GTACCATATCAACGCCAATCAAATGATCAGCCATTTCGACTAGCCAGATGTAAGCCGTCAACGTCCAAATCCAGTATTATCCCCTACTGCCGAGTAGGCCGAATAGGTAGACCCTGTCCCCATCGACTAGAATAGGTCAGGCCAGGTCAGGTTAGGTCATGTCAAATTCGTCCCCTGTGCCTCATGAGAACCTCACTCAGCAGCTTTTATGAACGGTACCTCCCGTCCCTCGTCCATCCTACAGTTAATAGCGGATCATGTCAATCGCATATCGCGTGTGCTGCATGCTGACTTAGTTGTCAGAACTAAGTCTCACCGCACGTGGGATGGTTCAACCTCCAGCCCTGGAGGATTTGAAAACTCTGCAAATGCAAGAGGGTAGTAGAAGAGTCACTAAAGATGTGCGGCATTGATAGGTAACAGCACAGAAGTTTCTATTTTCTTTCCAGAATGAGCTTAGGCAGCCAGCCCTAAAAACCCCTTGAAACGGCACAGAGTACGAAGTACGACGAACGACGTTGCATTATTACATGCGCGCCAGCTTATGACAGACGCACAACTGCCATCTTGGGCTTCTATTCTCAGCTCAAGATGAGGAATCGTTGTTTCCTGTTTATTAACCCTATATTTAAGAACAGCATCATTACGCAACGTACGTATATGGCCTTTGCGCGACATATTTGATGGAAGGCTCAACTAAGATTAACCATTTGGTTCTTCTTGAGAATCCGATGTGCTTATTCGCCAGGGGTGTGTCTATGGGATTGTTCAAGACATGATTAAATCCCTTATTACAACATTGGCCAACGGATATTTCACCAACTACCCATAATATCCCGCCAAGCAACTCCGGGTCAGGGTAGGAAGCCGGAAGCTGGAGACAGAACGGTTAGATGGCTGTTCTAACCACAGACTATAGAAAGGAATCGCGTCAAAATGTCGCAAACCCCGTAGAGAGCAATGCACAGCGGCAAGGAACCTGAAAACAGACATCACCGGCTCCCACTCCGAAGCATCTAAGATCCAAGAGTGGATTAGCGATTCCGCCTCGCGGGATTCGAAAACGATCTAAACATCTGACTGGGACGGCTAGTTATCGAATGCCCCTAAGCCGCGCCGGCTTTAAACCGTTCGCCATCAGCAAGGTTCGCAGGCCAATTAACGACTCTACCACTAACCCCGACCCTTAATAACCCTGCTGATCTTACATACACGAAATGCCGTTATGTCAGGGGCATTTAGTACCCGGCGTTTACAGGTTTGTCATCCCATTATTATCACTAACCATCTCAATATCACGACCAAACTACCACATAACGAGCTGACTAAGACTGCCCTAAATACCGAGCACCGCGATCCCGATGCGGCGGGCATTTCGTTACACTGCTTTGAAAATACCCAACATGCAGATCGTCGTCGCACTGGAAAGTTATCTGCATGCTAGCCAGGCTAGGCATCCTCGATCTGCCTTATTATGCAAGGAACATGTGTTACTACGTCGACGTCATGCGTCAACGACCGATTGTCGTTTTCTCTCTATTCAATGTCGGACTTATGCGAATACAGCTCTCTCAGCGACGAAATGTCGCCTCCGAATTAATAATCAAGCTCCAATTTTTATTTTATTCATGATCCTCGCCACGGACTGCGAAAGCATTCTTGCCGAGGTATTTTCAAAAGTCTCAAACTAAACAAATGGAAGTAAATGGTTGAACGCAGATGCGTCAATGGTTAGGTTTGATTTCCGCGTCTCAGCTAAGTACAACCAACATCATGAGAGCGTACCCCGGATTGTTGCAACGATTCGACAACAAAGGTGCCTCTACTAACATTTCTCTAATAATATCTCGCCGGTTTGCAGTTTGTTCAATCGTTTCAGCTGCACCCCCGTTAGTGTAGCCCGTGATCGCAAATTATTAGTGCCTGACCGCATTTGGCCCTCGCATCGGTTGCCTTCCTGCACGAAGTCTAGGTCGCGTAACATTACGGCGCGCAGCAATGTCGTTTCTGCATCATATCGCCTTCGTTGTCCCTATTCGGAAATCATGGGCTTACTTCAGCATATCAGCTGTACTGACCCCGGCCCCTAGCTATCTCTCAGCAGCACTGCGCGTTTCATGTTTCAATTGGAGGCTCAATTGATAACTACATGTGACATACAGCAGACATATCCAGAGCAAATTTGATTTTGGCATCATACTCATCATTTTAAAACACAATGCTCGAAGTATCCGGGACATAAATACTTGAAGGGTTACTGCTTATCCCCACCAGAAGTGGGATATCAAACCAATTACATGAGCATGTGTATTCTATTCCATACCTACTTGGGTAGCTAGCCCCGAAGTTTCACGGTACGACTCATATCGCTCCTGGTATGCTTGCATCAATCACATTTCCTCATGGCTGCGAGAAAGCCAGAATTACCCTTGGCATTATCGAATCTATGGTGATCACTCTCCTTTCGCTGTAACTATCTTATGTCTTCTTGGGATTTAAAAATCCCGCGATTAACCCGCCTTGGAGACGGTCCCGGGACTCGGTCCCGAGCCCCGACAGATTCGAAATCATACGTCCTGTCCTTAGACACCGGGTAACGGTTGAGGATTGACAGCGTCGTACGCTTATCGATCCTTCCGTTGTTTTTTTCGGGAAGCATAAATACCTCTTCAAGTTCTAGGCAGGGCAGTCCCGCAAATAAGGCTGGTCTACGTACTTCACTTCTTCCAGGGCGCCTTGTCTCATCTCCAAGGAATTCCGTTTCCCCGAATCCCTGTGGTATTTCATTCATGCTAAGCGTGAAGCTTAAGGAATCCCGTTAACTTAGCCGATTGGACCCCAACTTAGAACAAAATCGTAACATAGCCTGTCACAGTCTTTCGATATTGACTCCGGGATGTCTCCGTGCATGACACGAACGGGAGGATCATTTTGAACCAACCGCCAGCATAATCTGGTGTAATGATCCGTCGGGATTGTTCAACTGGAATTCAGTGGTGATTGATTTGCTCCCATGCATCCAGAGGCCAGACTCATGTATCTACCGTGATCTACTTTGAGTTTATCCAATCTATATTTTCTAGATGAGGTTGAGGGGTAAGTTTGACGCTGTTCGCCACCTTGTTTGTTCGAAGATGCCTCATCGAGTAGCACATACGTACAACCTTTGCGATCAATCTGTCTTACCTACCTCTTCATCAGGGTTGTGAAACGGTACGTCCTATCTATACTAGTACACTAGCTGTCTTTGTTTTACCAGAATTGCCGCCCTGATTCAAAGTTTATCAATGTAGATACCAATGATATGCCATTCTATCGACATGTTCCGGAAATCCTTAACAATGAACCGCCCTGAGATTTACTTAAAAAGAAACGGGCTCGGGTAACAGACTGGATCAGCAACTTTAGAACCATATCCAGAAGATGTATCCTCCTTCATGACACAGATGCTCAATCCTTCCCCTGATGAAATGTTGACTAACCATAAATTACCTAACTTTGATGAGAAATGATGAGCTGATCGCTTTCGTAAGCCTGGGGTTCTGCTGTATAACGAGACACACGTGGGAGGACGAGCCGGTGGATGTCTAAGCCAGGAAATATTCGTGTCAGGCACATAACGCAACGAGAGCCTCATATTGGTTAATATCATGTCATCGGTGACCATGTTGGGAACACCTTACGACAACATTACAGGGCCACTTCAATCTGCCTTATAGCAACAGAGTGGCTCTCGGTGACTTCGCTTATCTACGCAATAGCTGCATATCAAAAGTAAGAGGGATATATCGCAATCTACCATGCCGAATCTATATCATATCATCCTAAAATAGTTCTCAGGGGTTACTTCCTCTTCACATGTAACATACGGCGGACTACCTAATCAGACTAAAAATTAAAGAAAATCTTTAACTCAAATTTAAAGGGGCGTTGGAATATTACGTGAAAAATAAAATGAAAGATCTAGGTTTGTATATATTTAGATAATCGAGAACGTCCTTGACTCTGCCATGATTCTTCGCGACTAGATCGCAGGTAAAGGGTAGGTATCTAGGTACCTATCTATAGAGGTATATATTAGACCGGCAGGCTCAGCTCATAGGAGGAATAGAAAGAAAATCAAGGTTTACTTCTTTGAAATCGGATGGAAGAACAGAACTGTGCCCCGAAGGATTTGAGGGGTTGAGAAAATGCTGGAAGTTGCATCCTAAATCCGGAGTTGATCTTATCTTACACCCATGAGGATTAATGAAGGTACGGGACCGAGAGAAAATTCTCAACATTTATGTTCTAATAAAAATATTTCGGTGCTTAGTGATGCTATTACAACTTGAATTAGTACCTAGTAGTTCCTTATCACTAGGCTGAAAAACAACCTACTGCAAGAGCCATTTGTTCAGGTGCCTCCTTCCCACTTTCTATAAAAACGTGCTAATAAGCAGTCGTCAATATATTTTTCTATTTTATTATAATTCATACTATGAGTACTTAGTACAATGTACCAAGGTCTGGTACCTGCTACTAGTTAACTAGTATGAATATACAGTTGTATATCACAGTATGACCAATCATTCAAGGACCATGTTATGGGGATTCGTTTTTTATACCGATTATCATCTCATCATCTCACCCATGGACACCATGAGTCAGTCTTTTGGCTACAAACTTGAGTTACTCATTCTATACTTGACTATATTCTAAAATGCACATGTATCTAGACCTTCTATCTATCATTTCATGTTGTCATCTCTCCAGGATATTCAGTTCCACTTCCGTCCGAAAGTTGCATATAAGAAGCTAGTCATCTCATACAAGCTCATATTATTTAATCGTACCTATCTTCTAGGCTCTCATCCATAACTTCTCCTGTAGCTCTTTCCTTTTTCTTATTATCTAACTCATCACACCCGCCCCTTGATACTTATACTCTACCTACGGAGGTAAGTAAGGTTCTAACATATCCATTCAAAATTTCAATGAGCAATTAAATAAGCATATAACCTGCTCTAATTTCAACTTAGAAAAGAAGTATCTACCTTCTCCATGAGAAAGTAGCAGCTATCAGGTGTGTGTCTCTACGCTCATAACACCCAACATGTCTAACTCTTCCTCATTCCTCGATACAATAACTTAACCTCCCACCTAATACCTATTCCACTCCCCAATATTAATTTCACCACCTGACTAAATAGTTTCTTTTTAGGATTCCTTACGACGATGACCTTAGCATTAACTACTCAGGTCGTTAGTCAGGATATCACTGAAGATATTGTCCAAGATGTCTTGGATGATATCTTGGATGATGTCTTAGACGATATCGAGGAGGGAGGTGAAGTGTATGAGTCGGAAGGAGGCGACTACGTGCCTTCCACTTCCTACAACAACTTAGCAATAGAAAAGGAAGTTGCGCCTTACGACGAAGCTGCCCTTCGGCAGAGGATAGCTACGGTGATTGCCATGCTTGACGACTTCTGCAAATCCCGACGCAAGACAGAGACAGGAGTGGCAGATAAAGATGACGCTAAACCCCAGCTAGATATGGCTTGTTCGGAGGAATCCACCACCCCAGTAAGCACCGGCTTCCATTCACCACTTGCTTTCGATGCCCAGAAGAGCGACACAAGCTATAGTGAAGAGCCGAGCTGCGAAATCGAAGAGCTAAAAATCGAGGACCTAGCACTTGAGGAGCCAACCCTCCCACCCCACCATCTCATTGAGACCGAGGACATGGAAGCATACGGCGAGATCCCCTTCGCCCACTTAGTTAATCCCGAGAAATACAGCAACCAGTATTTCGAAGTCAAGAAGTCAAAGATTAGCGGAAATGGTGTCTTCGCGAAAGTCAATCTCAAACAAGGCCAGCTAATCCACGTGGAGCGCCCGCAAATCGTCGCTTGCCCGGAGTCTCTGTATGACGTGCTTGAGGAGCTGTCGCCGGAGATTCGGAATGCATTCCTGCGCATGCACTGCCACAAGCGATGCTCCGACCAAGACGACCTACATTCAATCTTTTTGACGAACGCGTAAGTCTTCATAAATATCTGCCAGATGCGATGTTTTATTTAGGTATATATATACTAACCATGCATGTTGAATTAGTTTCGCGATCCAAAGCAAGTCATGCATCTACCTGATCGCGGCACGGTTCAATCACTCCTGCGTAAATATGCGGTCGGTCGAATACCACGTTAAGTCGGACCGGGTGATGGAGTTCCGAATGATGAAGGACATGCCGGCCGGAGCCGAACTCACCATTTCCTACGGTCCACTCAATCCGCGGCAACTCTATTCCATGTGGGGATTCCGGTGTGCTTGCGGCGGGTGCAAGCCCATCACGGATGAGGAAGTTGCAAGGATCGAAGCCGTGCACGCAGGAGAGATTTGGTAGGCGGTATTTGAGGGAAGGAACAAAGAAAGAGGAAGGCAGACTTGCATGGCGGTTACCTAAAGCTGTGCATCAATAGCTAGTATCAAGTACTAGGTAGATTCTAGCTGCTTTCCGATTTTAAATTTAAGCGTTTCTTTCCTCAAAATCTCATGGAGTTTGAGACCGATTAAGGTTAAATCTTAGATCTTTATCTGGGGTAAAAAAGTAAAGTGGGTACTTCCGAATAACTAGTGCGGTGAAAGGATTATTTATTAGCTGCTAAAAATGCTGTTTTGACAACTAGAAGCTTCTTGGTTGACTGCCATTACCGCCCAATTGAGACCTTAGATTCAAGGAATCTATGATTATGTACCTGAGTATTTAGGTTCGAAATACCAGGTACCTCGTATCTTTCTATTTCGGAGTGTAGTCACGTGCCACCGCGTAGATTTTAATTGGCTTTCGTGACACCAAACGCACCACCTCCTCCGTCAACCGCCGCCACTGTCAAGTTAGGTGCATGTACAAGGCAAGAAGCCGCCGTGTCGTTACCTGCCCTATGAAATAAAGTTTGGTCTATTCTCATAGGGTGCACAGTTTAAGACTCACATGCAAGTTGCTAGGTAGGTACCTAGGAACGGTACAGAGGTAGGGACAGAGGTAGGTATCTTGTAGATAGGCTTTCCTCTATCACTCTGCATCTACCAACTATCTTTCATCGTTTCTTCATCTCCCAAGACCCTACCACCCAACCTCGTCTACCCAATTTTCGTTTGTTCAGCAATTCTTTCCATACTTTATTAGTTTTCCCACTCGTTTGATTATCGACGTTTGTGACACGAACGATATCGCATAAAAGCAATCCTAAGCTGCTAAGCACTTCAAGTCTTCAACGTTACTTTCTGATTATCATACCTCCTTGGGCTCTCTTTACTACACTACCCATTTAGTAGTTGTAGGTATACCCTTCACTTACCTGCTCTTGCATCGGATGGTATTTTAATTGCACAATATTGGAATCATTGTCAGGATTTCTTTTTCAATAATACAAACATCATGCCTCCGGTTCCTGCGTTTGACTTATACTCCACCCTTGAGGTGGAGACAACTGCTACGCCCGCGGAGATCACCGCGTCTTATCGTCGTTTAGCACTGATCCACCATCCCGACAAGAATACGGAAAATGAAGAAGCTGCAACAGCTGCTTTTCAGAAGGTACGCTTTCCCTCTCGTCTCATTGGAATACTCCAATGCACTAGCCTACTATCATTATGGGCAAGATTAAATTAATTCTTCATAGATCTCGCACGCCTACGAGATTCTGTCTAGCCCCGAGAAGCGTGCTCACTATGATGAGAACAATCGTCCTTCTGCCAACCCAGCGGGCCCGTCGTTCGAGGGACAAGGTTCCTTCTACTCTGCACCTGGACCTAATGTCTTCGCTGGCGGATTCTTTACCTTCGACGGGATGTTCACTGGATTCAACGGCGGCGGCTTCCGTGCTTTTCCCTTCGCTAGCACCACAAATGCTCCTACCTGGGAGGAATTCCGCAGTCAGCGTGACGCGAATCTGGAACGGGACATCGCAAATAACCTGCGAACTTACCGTGTCAAAATCGAGGTGCAGGAAGAGGAGCAGAAGACCCGGGAGGCTGCTAAGAAGGCCAAGTCGGACGACGAGAAGCGAGTTCGTGATCAACTGCAAGCTACCGAGAAGTATAAGCAGGAGCAACGATGGGACAAGCTCGGTGCCGTGACCAAGGACGAGAAATTGGAGAATTGTCTTCACTCTGAGTTTTGCGATAAGATTCCCCAGCGCCACAAGTTCAAGTGTGACGCCTGCAAGGTCAAGAGAGGCATTATGACTTTCGAGTGCCCCTACTGCTCGTCGCTCCTCTGTCAGCAGTGCGTAGTTGGCTTCTCGCAGAAGCGTTCTGCTCCCGAGACGAAGCCAGTCCGTCAGCCCGAGCTGGTGGTTGACCCCGAGCCGGTGGTTGACCTCAAGCCGGTGGTTGACCTCAAGCCGGTAGGAAACCAGGAAGCGGAGGCGGAGGATGATGGTTTCAAGAAGCAACAGAATGTTAAGCAGCAAGGTGGCCGAGGTCACCCTCGCGATCCCCAGGGACCACCCCGCTGCTTCTATTGCCACAAGCTAGGTCACGTGGCCAAGTTCTGTCGCCACCGCCTCGAGGCTAAGGGTCAATATACCTTCGGAGATAAGAAGCACTGGCAGGGCAAGCCTCCCGGAGGCCCCAAGGGTAACGGACAGGCACAGTAGTTCAAACGGTGGTCAGCCCTGAGACAGGGAGGCATGGCATCTGGTGGTTAAAGATACGGATGCATTAAGGCTTGGGTGGAAAATTGGCGTTCGGATGCATGAGTTTGCGATATGGGTTTCTGAATTTGGCATGGGGTGGTGATACCCAATACGTCTACGATAATGAATGTTTCTGCATTGGTGCTTTTTGAGTTCTTATAGTCACATAGGTCTGTCTACCTATCTTGGCCTGCTTGCCGATCTTCTTTTGCCAGATTTTAGGGCTTTGGTATTGGAGTCGCTGGTTAGGTTAATACTATGGAACTTTGCATTATATTTTGAGACATTCGTGATATTGTGACCTAGTTATATTGTGATATAGGCTTCAAGGCCATTGCTTGGCCTTGTGTATCATGATGCCAAGTATGTCAGTCGGAAAAAGACGATGTTTCTCAGCTAGAGATGGGTTCCGATGATAGTAGGCGGAGATCGAGTTCTAACCGACCCTAAGGGATTTTTCTGGGCTGAATTCGGATCAGAATTCAACTCTTGCTTTTTCTATGCATATCTTCTATGTACCCGATACCTAGGTGAATATATACCTACCTACCTAGTAGATACATATAAGATACCTATATAGGTATCTAAAGAAGAAAAAGGAATGTTGGCGAACGGATGACTGCCTTAGCTTTATCCCATATCTCTACCAGAGAGCTTCTTCATTGTTCAGAACGTATGCCACATGAACCTTCGGATAACGAAGGGATACAGCGAAGTAGCACACCGAGCAGTCAGAAGGTCTCGGTACCCCCCACAGCTGACGTAGAATCACAACCGCCACAATATATCCGGGGCTTACATCCAAGTAAGCCACCGCTCCAAGCACCCCATTGACAGGCGTTCCATCGCATGTACCTGCCCCTACAGAAGTATTCTGGAAACCGGATCAATTCTCTTGTATGACATGCATACCCGACGTCGAAATTAGACATGGGAACCCAGCTTTCCACCGTGATTTTTACTTCCATTCCGCGGAGGCCCTTCGAGTGTTAATGAAATTAGGCAGAACACGAGGTATGTAGACATCATCCGTAACACAGGAACCGAAGTGGCGGAACACTGCCTCCACCATAAATGGACGGCACGGGAACGCCATTAACGCCTTAGGTGTGATAGTGTCTCAGCAGATGCGGCGCCTCTACGGTTAGCGGACCTTTCACTTGTAAGACCGGATGAAATACCGGTACAGTCACTGTACGTGAATGGAGCTTGTCATGATCCGTTCTTGTCCGGTTTCATTGAAGTCAGTTAACCCGAGCTGAAGTAGAGCAAAACGGGATCATAATTAGGGAGCTTGTTTAGCTTGCACGTGAGCGGGACTTACCTTATAACCACCCCTTCGGTTCTAAAACGGGTAACAAGCTCCCATAGCTCTCAAGCCACACGTCAAATCACAGCGGCATAAAGTTCGAAAAGATAAGGAAAAAGAGCACGAGGACCAAGTTTGATCCGGATATACGTGTAGTCGAGACTGGTCTTCTATTTCAAGGGCTTATATATCAATTTGGGAATCTTGCCTCGCCGGCTGGGCTTTGTCCCTCCCTACTAAGATCGATAAGGGGAGTCTATTCCCACCGTCACCCGTTTCGTATTCGCAATTCGCAGGCTATGCTGAACCGGCCTTGGGAAGGATATCCATGGTTATCCCTAATGGAAGTGCCTCTGGCGGAACCTCAGATCGCGGTGCTCAAGATCCCCCAGAAAAAGTCCGGTCGACAATGCCGTTTGCGCGACGCGACTGCCATGTAACCTAATCCGCTGTGCTTCTTCCCATCATTCACTCCCCTCCCTTTTTTTTGTGCTTCAGACCCCGCTCTTCAGCTTCTCCCTATATCCAGTCTGCTAGCAGACAATGCTCCGGTTCGGCGCAACTCTCGCCCCCTCCTTCTTTATCCTCCTACTCGCTTCCATGTATGTAAGGCTCGAAAAAGGGCGCCGCCGATAAAAAGTAAAAAAAGGGGACAAAAGGAAAAGATCAAGTTACTTTGTATCGCTTTGGGGGAGAAACACGACGGCGCTTCAAACTCTACTTGAGCAAATAAAAAGATGCAGTGCGCAGCGCTCGAGAAATCCTCCTATAGCGTAGGGATATTCAAATGGATACTTGTGTTGGTGCTTCGGGATCCCTCCAGGTCATTACTCGCATATGTCGAATCGGCCAAAAGAAGAACCTTGTAAATAGATGGGTGGAAGAATTTGTATTTATACGCCGACCGACTTGAGACGGTCCATCGAGGACAGGGAAATGAGGAAGGAGGACGAAGGGAGCTCTCATGCAACCCAACTCGGTATATAAGATTAAACAGTACATATACACCAAACTTCGAAGTTATTGTCACCAAACGCCCGCCGCTATGAGAACTACCTACACGTAGGTAGCATTTCGGTTCGAGAGTCGTTCTCGTACAACTGAATATTAATTGAAATTTAAAGAGTGACATCGAGAACTAGGCTGACATCCTGGACGTTAGATCCGGCCAAGTCTTCGAGAACGGGTATCAAGTCTAATAATTCATTGTCGTGCGCGTCTGAAAACCAACTGCTAATGGGCACGGCATGTTGAGGGTGGAAGATGTAGGAAGTAGGCGAGTTATCGATAATTATCGTGTCCTTGAGGTCACGGCCGACTTGAGATAGATCTTTGACATAGTTGCCTTGGTGGTTGTAACAGCTCTCGCGGAATAATCGGTGGTGGACAACCTTGTGGATATCCAGTTGATCTAATAACGGATCACCGTACTGCCGAGCTAGTTAGATACCGCAAGATTATAGTGACGGCGCGCCAAACGTACCTTAGAGACGGAGGCCGTGAAAACTACAACTTCATAAAGCTCGCCCACCCGCTTCATGAACTGGTCGACACCCGGTCGCTTGATGACATACACATTGTGGAAATTGCCTTCAATCTCGACCGGTATCGTGAAATCAGCTTGATGTAAAATCTGCGACGGTTAGCTTGCCGTTTAATTTCCCTCGGGCACTTCATGATTTACCTTGAAAGAGCTGTGTACTAATGTCTCGTCCAGATCTAATACGAGACACTTCCTGCCCTTGAGGTGAGGTTGGACGGGTGGTAAGAGGAACTTGGTCTGGTTTTGCTCCACATCGGCCGACGCGTCCTCTGATGCGATGGGAGTAGGGTTGGTAATGGGTATCGGTCCGGGAGGTGGTGGTGGGACGGGCTTCGCATATTGTTCGTCAGTTCCCGTGCCGGATTGCTTGGCAAGTTCAGTCTTGGCTGGCTCCCCATCGGCCATCTCGACATCACCGTCGACGTCCCTGCTGGAAGACCCTTCGGCGGCAGCCGCCTCCGCTTCATGGTCCTCTGCAACCGGAGGGTTCACCGTGATGCTAGGGCCCGGTACGCCGACCAGGGTGGTTTGCTTTGATTCACTCTCTCGCTCACCGACAGTTGATTGATCCTGGGTCGTTGATGCGGAAGCCCTTTTCGCGGCTTTAGACGCGTCCTGAGAACCGGCGCCCGTTTGAGCTTGCACCTCCTTCTCCTTATCGTAAATCTGAGTCTTGCTACCAGCAGTCTGTTCGGAAGGCGTTACGGTTCGCCGACTAGATGTTAATGGTCTTTGGGGGATCTTGTCGAGTTTGTGGGAAGGGAGTGGATCTTCGCCACCTTCAAGGGCGTTGGCGTTATTAGGAACAACGCAGCAGCCAAGAAGAGCCAGTAACCCGCCCTTTTTCCTCCGCTGAGGAGCCCCAGCCGGAGAATTTGGCTGAGATGTACTAGGTGTAGTTGTGGGATTCGTGGCAGCCCCAGAATGATTACTGGATACACTACCGTTCCGACGCCGGCCCAGCATGCTGTGTTTTGATTCCTTAGATTGGCCACCAATACTATCCCTCGGATCGTCAGCAGTTGTCCCGCTTAGCCCCGTTGTCGCCGGTGACGACTGTATCTTTTGCGACGATGATCTAGATGGTACGTTCAAAAGACTGCGGCCTTTTCTCGGACCGGGACCATCCTCTGGCGAGATTGTCTCTTTTTCCCTTGAGCCTTCGTGCTCCACCTGTGTTTTCTCATCAGCGCCCTTGGACATTTTCTCAATTAGGCTTCGATGCTTGCTGGTGGTTGGGGACGGTACACTATCACGCTATAAAAATAATATTAGCGATGGAAATATGGAAAAGCGACATGTGACTCAATCGCATAAGGCGAAAAGGGGAAATGACGAAAATAAAAATGAAGGTGAAGATGGTAGAAGGATCAAGTACTAATCTAATGAATGGACTGGACTAAAGAAGATCTCGACAGGATTAGCTTGACCGGCGCAAGGAACCGCGTCGGTCAATTGGAAAGAACTGCAATTACTATGAATGTCAAACAGGAGAAAGGAAGCATCAACGATAGAAAAACCTCATCGGTTATCGCTCACCTCGGTGTTTAATGATGGTTCACCTTGGATAGCTACCCAAACCCCTGACGCAGCAATTGGTGGCCTTGGGTGGCCAAGTCGGTTTTACGTCCGCGCGACTGCGACCCAAAAAAAGAAAGTTGGCTGGCTGATGCGGCTGAATCGGAGCGCAGATAGAAAATCCGATTATTGAATAGCCGCAAGCCGAGAGGGGTGGGAGAGGAGGACGGAAGGGCGATGCGATGAGAGGATTGTCGAGGATATCGAGAGAAGACTAGGTACCTAGGCAAAGAGAGCGCGTCGTAGGAGGGAAGCGTGGAAAGCGTAGAAGCTGATTGTGATAATTCGGGGGGATGAGAAGTGGGTCAACTACCACTTTGGACTTGCGAACTTGCGAAGAGCGAAATGAGTGAGCCTAGGGTGTGGATGAGCCTCGGGGTACTTTCGGGCGGCTTTATGGGTATCAGAACAAAATAGTAACTCCAAATCCTGATGGGTAAAAAATGAATAAAAACATATGGCACAGATGCCTAAAATATTCCTGTTAAGAACCTAAGAGGGAAAAAAACAGGGAGAATAATAAAAAAAAGATGGATTGTAGAAGTTTACAACAGCGCTGGCGACAAGAAAAAAAAAGGGTTGAAAGCAACAGAATAAACGGGTTGGTTAATGCAGGTAATAGGTGGTTATACCGTAATAGGGCAGTAAGGTAGTAAGGTAAGGTACAAGTACAAACATGAACTGGCTGGAAAAAAAAGAAAAAGATGACCAGGACTGGCACTGACAAGGACGAACTAACAAGGAACTCACTCACTCTTCCCTCTATTCTGCTGTGTCTTGTTTCGCGGAGGCTGAAGAAAGTCTGGTCCTGTCTGGAATCGCAAGCGAAATGATTTCCTAAGAAGAAACTGGACCACCTTGGAGGGAGGGCACGGAGCATTTTGACCAGGGGTGCAAAGCCGCTAGCGCGCCTACTTAAATCACTATGAAGGATCCCATGGATGCGACAGGGAGTACCTGCCCCAGTTGAACTGTTAGCCCGCTAGGGACAGAAGCTGGGCGCTTTGAGAGTGGACCAGTCCCGTAGTTATGGTCCAATAAGATCATTTCATTCCTTAATACACTTTCATACCAGGTAAGACCGAAATAACCCATGGCAAAACATATGCACAATAGAATCTGTTAACGCGAGTATGAAGCCTCTCTCTTATTAGCTAACACAATCCATCCCGCTTTGGTACTTGTCAACCATGCCCCATCCACTATCATTAGCCTTGAGAAACATTCAATATTGTAATTTCGCAAACTTTCTAGAGTAATCACTTGCAATTAGTGGCATCCTCTCATCGATCTACCCGATTCCTCAACAGTAACACATGGCATTTTAGTACATCCACTTCAACGATCTTACTTTATCTCACTAAGTAATAACGTGCTGTCAGATTCTTGCTTTTCGAGAACGACAGAAGAATAGATCCCAAGATACTTTGTAGGCAGGTACCTTAGAAGCTTGATTGCTAATGAGCTTGCATATATAGATGTACTTATTTGTCATACGGTTGTATATAATTAATGTACCTAGCATCTAACATGCAGCTTTAGTGCTACTTTGACACTCGACCTACTGAGTCCGGTACCTTGCGGCCGCAAACCTCCATCGTACTACTTTTTGGAGATTGACGGGAGACCATCGCTGCATGGAAGTACCTATAGGAATAGGTACTACTGGGTATCTACCTAGATATATCGAAAAAATGCGCGCAGCATCAACCCACCACCGAGACGAATAGGCGATGGGAGAATTAACTAGCGCATGAGCTTCTAATCGCCCATCTCATCTAGGTACATATATCCATGGGTGTGAGTAGGTAGTGTATAGCGGGGGAGCTTTCCGCTGCCGCCATAGCAGTGCCTTACTATGCATAAGCGGCAACAGAAGTTCACTGAAGTTGCTGGAGGTCGCATGAAACCCATACCTATCCAGATAGTGGTAGCCTCTAGCATCTAGAAAGCCAGGGTAGCTAACAGAGCCTTTTTACGCATAGTATCGAGACCAAGATGGTTGAGGAGCATAAGGTACATACCTAGATACCTGGGTCCTATGCAACTGCTCAGAGCTGATTTTTGATTGGCTGTGTTGCCGCCCGTTGGAGTGATAGCTGAGAAGTGGAACTACAGTACGCCATTGGTCCGTTTTTAAGACATAGGGCACGGTTTGGTTCGCTCCAAGAGAACCAACTGAACTGATTTCCCATAATGTGTAACAACGATGGGCACGAGTGTGTACCAGTAGTACACATATCAATAGTATAACGTGAGGGGGATGTACGCCACTATCAACATGGGATTCAAGGTCATAGGTTATGCAGGTGAATAGACGGTCAGATCTCCGGTTATTTTTATTTCGTGAGATCCGTCCAGTCGGGTCTTCTACTCGCCTAATATATCTCTATATACCATTCTTCTAATGAATCCAATCATGCTAAAATCTATGGATCTCTTTCTAAATCTTAAAACGGTCATAACATCTTGAATAAGCTATCCGAAACCATGCTCGATCTGAACAAAAGCAAGAAATAAAAAAGGGGGTATTAAAGGACACTAAATTCAATTTCCCCAGACTTCCAAGTTTCAACTTCCAAGATGAATGAATACGTACTACTATTCAAGCCACAATGTTTAGCCACAGACACGTGAGATGTAGATAATCGTGGGGGAAATGGTGGCTAGCATCTGGGGCTTAGGAAGTGTAATTATTCCAGCCAATGACAATCAAGGTTTAACAGTTGCTTACTTCATTCATTCTTTAGAACCTTGGGATTATTGGAGGATCCAACCTCGGACCATCACATGTCTGTCTCAGCTCCGTCGCTTTCAATCGTCACCAATGACGGAGTTTCGAGCTATCCCAGCTATCCCAGCTCTTCCGTCTTTTCTCCTCTGCCTCAATTACCTTTCAAAGACATGCCGGTGACATCTGACTTTCCACTAGATCTTCGAACGACTTTAACATTCCTCTCTTCGTCCCACTTGTTCTAAATAGTCCTTGTCAATGGCATTCGTAGTAAACCATTATTTACAGGCCAGTCCTATTTGATGTCATGCCGCCATGGCGGTTCAATCCACCCTTCGTCATTCGGCATCCGAAGACATCCTCGTCGCCTTTCTCGACAAATATACCAATCTGATTCGAGATCGATTACGAAGTACCTCTAAACGTACCAAACTCCTCGCAACACTTGCTCTCGCCGCATCCATAATACTCGGCGCAGAAGGCAGCCGGAGATGGTGGAAGCGAAGGATGCAAGAAAAAGAACAAGGCCGGAAGCTTTTGCGCACGAATTCCTGGTTGTTCAATAAGGATGGATCGCGAACCATATACGTCCCATACAAAGATGGAACGTCCAAAGTGGTCATTCATAGAACGAAACCTCTAACCTTCGAAGCGCATCGCCGACTCTTCCTCAACCCACCCAAAGTTTCGGGACTTGGCGATGGCACTGTGCCCTCAGCGCAAACCAAACCTGGCCTGAATCTTGCCTTCCTACATCAATTTCTAAGCTTAATGAGCATCATGATACCCAGATGGACCAGTAAAGAAGCGGGATTGTTAGTCAGTCACAGCGCGTTTTTGATGCTTCGTACCTATCTTTCGCTAGTAGTCGCACGTCTAGACGGTGAGATTGTTCGAGATTTAGTCGCAGGCAATGGAAAATTATTTCTCTGGGGTTTACTTAAGGTATGATACAAATATGGCATTACCATCAACCCGAATGACATTTTGCTAACATCCAACGTAAAGTGGTGTGGACTTGGTGGCTTCGCTTCTTACACCAACTCTATGATTAAATTCCTAGAGTCCAAAGTGTCCATTGCCTTCAGAACTCGGCTAACGAGGTATATCCATGATTTATACCTCAACGACAACCTCAACTACTATAAACTGTCGAACTTAGATGGCGGAGTTGGACAAGGAGCAGACCAATTTATTACTCAGGATCTAACTCTATTCTGTGCCTCTGCTGCTAATCTATACTCCTCCCTGGGGAAGCCATTCGTCGATCTTTGCGTGTTCAATTATCAACTATATCGCTCTTTAGGTCCCCTTGCGTTAACTGGGCTGATGAGCAACTACTTCCTAACGGCAAGTATTTTGCGAAAAATGTCGCCACCTTTCGGCAAATTGAAGGCAGTTGAGGGACGCAAAGAGGGGGATTTCAGAAGCCTTCATGCCCGTTTAATCGCAAATGCCGAAGAGGTTGCTTTCTATGGCGGCGCCGAAATGGAAAAGACGTTCTTGAACAAGGAATTTAAATCCCTTAAGAGTTGGATGGAAGGAATCTATTTGCTCAAAATCCGTTATAATATCCTTGAGGATTTCATCTTGAAGTATAGTTGGAGCGCTTATGGTTACCTCTTGTCATCCTTACCCGTCTTCCTCCCAGCTTGGGGCGGTCTAGGCGGTGCGATGGAGATGGTTGAGAGCGCTGAAAAAGGTGGCCGAGAACGCAACCGGATGAAGGACTTCATCACCAATAAACGACTCATGCTTTCGCTTGCGGATGCTGGTGGACGTATGATGTATTCGATCAAGGATCTATCTGAACTAGCAGGCTACACTAGTCGTGTTTACACACTCATCTCAACCCTACATCGTGTTCACGCCAACTCATACTTCCCACGACCAAGCGGAAACGAATTGTACTCGCTCTCCGATGTTCAGGGAACTATCCAGAAAGGCTTTGATGGTGTACGATTCGAGCACGTGCCTATCGTTGCACCCGGATTATGGCCTCAAGGTGGTGAGGAATTGCTGGACTCTTTGTCTATGATCGTCCGCCGCGGAGAGCATCTGTTGATCTCTGGACCTAACGGCGTTGGGAAGACTGCTATCTCAAGAGTACTTGCTGGGCTTTGGCCTGTCTACCGTGGCTTAGTCAGTCGCCCCAAGTCTATTGGACAGGACGGTATTATGTTCTTACCTCAAAGACCATATTTGAGCGTCGGTACACTACGCGACCAGGTTATCTACCCAGATGGCGAGGTAGATATGCGTCTCAAGCGTAAGAACGAGGAGGAATTAAAGCATGTTCTCGATGCAGCCAAACTTGGTTACCTGCCTGACCGTGAAGGTGGATGGGACACTCGGAAGGAGTGGAAGGACGTCTTGAGCGGCGGTGAAAAGCAGAGGGTTGGTATTGCACGTCTGTTATACCATGAACCTCAGTACGCCGTTATCGACGAAGGCACAAGTGCTGTCTCAAGCGACGTTGAAGGCCTTTTGTACGAGACGTGCAAAGAAAGGGGAATAAGTAAGTCCAACCACGCGCCAATTCTCTACCACTAGCTAACAAATGATAGCCTTGATCACCATCTCAACGCGCGCTTCTCTCAAGAAATATCATACGTTCAATCTTAGTCTCGGAGGAGGCGACAACGGCGATGAATGGGCGTTCGAGCGCATCGGAACCGAAAGGGAAAAGATGCAGGTCGAGAAGGAATTGCAGGAACTCCACGAACGCCTCTCCCAGGTCGAGCAATGGAAACAGCGCCGCGAAGAAATTGAAAAGGAGTTGGCTCAAGTTTGGGTTGAAGGTGATGCCACCTTGGAACCGCCTCCTTATGTGGACGCTGTTGAAACTCAGGGGTGAGAGTCAAGAACGGCCTACTAGGGCTGTAGCTTGAGTGTATAATTGCCATGTACGAGTACTATGTAGACAAGGCAATACTAGAATATTGATTGATGTTATCATCATTATCACTATAACTCTTGTTATTAAGCAACATGAGGTAGATGAACTAGGTAGATAGACCTCTAAGAGCCGTTTCGTATAGATGACAATTTCTTAGACATTTCGTTCATAAGGCCGCCAACACATTCTGACTCAGAGAGAATGGATCTATCCATGAGTGAAACATAGGTACCTAGGTCATTTTTATTCCTATTGCGTCAATTGTTAGTTAAGCTTCGTCTCACTTACCACGTCATTTAATCTCATCATGGACATTTCCCTAGGTATTTATATATATTTATAGGTACTTAAGTATTCTACCTTCGTTTGCTTTAGGTTCATTCCACTCGACACATTTGAATCAAGAATAGTTTGCAAAATGAACTTCTTATTCTCGGCTATTATTGCGTTACTGTTTCCTGCTAACAATTCCGTGTTCCTTCGACATGTTGGTAACACCTCAGTCCATGTCGAAGGGACTAACTATTGGCAAGTACACGCATCTGGTCCAACAAAAGGTGCTGATAGAAACATGCTCCAAGATACTGCCCACATAAGTATGATAGAACACCCTAACCCTCTATATATGATAGGTGAACAACGTGACAGCATGAGCAAACCATCTCTTCTCTCCCAATCCTTACCTGGAAATAAGATAAAGCATATAAACTGGATGTTTCGGTGTAAACACGGAGAGGAAACATGGTACTATGAGAAGAGCCAAATAGAAAAGATCGTCCCTAGTTTCCCTGAGTTGTTCAACTTTGAACAGGAAACGAATGATAAGACCAAGAAACGTAAAGCAGTCTATCCACACCATTTCAGAAACGACGAGGGGTTAAAATGGCCTTTAAATAAAACAGCATGTGATAATGCAGGAAAAGCTAGACTTGAGATGCCTTTAGGGGAAGGACCAACGCTCCGCTGGAACTGGGAGGCACACTTCAACTCTGTTTGGCCTCTACCTCACATGGCTCAAGTGGGATATGATCTTCCTAAGATATATCCTGAACTCGTAAGAATTGTCTACGTTTACAAGGCTAGAGACAACTTGCTCTGCGGTCTGATCATCCATAAGGACGTCTCTAAATTCGAACTTTGCTCGCTGATAGAAGATCATAAAGATGTTTCCTAGGAAGTATCGATGTATCTATGAGGATAATTATTTCCTGCCATTTTCGAGCGTGTAATTATTACCACCTGACATGAATGTAGGTAGCCTTAGATAAGAACACATTCGAGGGCAATATTGTAAGGTTATCTTTCCTAGTGATCATCGTAATCGACATAACGTGTTCCGAAACATTTACAGGTGTTACATTCTTATGTAGAGTAATACTGAATAGTTAAACATCTTGTAGTTGTCTAAGAAAAGAACTCAATATGATGCTGACTAATACACTCAGGGGTAACAATGAAAAGGAGGTGATTCGCCCAGCCCCAAATATCCACTAGCCTCCGTACCTAGGTAGGTAAGTAATTATGAAATATTTTAGACTCCATAGGATGCGAATAAGTCTATATATCTGTACCAAGATCGACAGTCATATGGTGGAGTTTCCACTTTTGCTGCGCCGCAGCAAGGCGATCAACCCTTTCACACAGCCTCAAGAAGGGTAAATAGGTTAATTTCTTATGTTCTCAAATTTAAAAACTAGAGGGTCTCCTGAAGAGGTCGTAGTTTATCAGAACCAATACCTCTTCCTATGAGATTATGACCCTAAGTCGCCATGAGCAAAGCAGAGTACTCCCGGGTTCCGCTACAGAACCAGAAGTCAAGAAGTGACCCCGACGATGCTTTGCCAGCGTACAGGCCTAAGAAGTCTAAGTCGCGACGCTCTCGGGATAACTTGCCGTCTTATGAAGAAGCTGCCGAACCCAGCTGGTCCCCCGTGGTTCACCCACCATGCGCTCACTTATCGGAGAGCGGCTGCGTGATGATCGCTAAAAGCAATCTCTGTTGCTCTTGTATGGATGAGCGACCGGTACCGGATTCTGGCTTATATCCGATGTATGTTGATGGCGAAGGCTGGGTTGAGAGAGCTAAGAAGTGGCAGTTTTACTGTCCTAACTGCCAAGGTGAGTCTCACAAAGTTACTAGCTAGCTAGTCAATATCACCACATTGAATCAGTCTCGTTCCCATCTTAACATAAGTCTTGATCTAACTCGGAACAGAATATTTTGACCCGGATGCGAAGAGAAGAATGATGCGAGACCAGTGCATGTGGGCGGAAGCGCGCGCCCAGTCTTTAGCTGATGAGCGGGACAAAAAGTATTTCGGCCTCGGGCGCTGGATCCATCATTGCAGTGAAGCAGTGAAGAAGTGCTTTCCAGAATGATCCATCGTAGCGCCCTGTGATTTTCTCGTCAACGGGTCTAGCGTACGAGGGGTGAGGGTGAGAAGAATACGATGTGAAAATACATTACCTAGAATATAAGAGAAGGGCTTTATACCTACCCATGCATCATACTTATTTACATTTAGAAATTCCTAATATACCCACATATCTGATTTCAAGAGATCTCAATACAGACATTGCCCTGGTGCTTACCCGAAGACAGATATTCGTACGCCTCCTTCAACTGCTCCAGCTTGAAGACCTTAGGGTCAACAACAGGCCGCAATTTCTCCAAGTTAGCCTCAATCGCGCGTCCCATATCCTCCAACTGCAATCGCGTGCCCGCCCAAATCCCACGGGCCGTGAACAGATTCATCCAAGTATCCAGTAAGCCCGGCATCTCCTTATCCGCGGGACCACTCCCAACGGACCCCATCACAACCATAACACCATCATACCCAATACTCTCCACGCTCTGCTTCATCGTAACCGGGCCCGCGACCTCCACCACGAAATCAACCCCAACACCGCCCGTCAACTCCTTCGCCCGGACCCCCCAGTCCGGCGTCTCTCTGTAATTGATAACATGATCCGCGCCTAGCTTCTCCAACAACTTCGCTTTCTCCTTCGAGCTCGTCGTCGCAATAACCCGCGCCCCAACCGCCTTGGCAAACTGCACGCAGAAAATACTCACCCCGCCCGTGCCCTGCGTCAGCACCCAATGCCCCGCACTCAGTGGGCGTCCCGGCAGCCCGAACAGCGCGTTCCACGCGGACACTCCCGCACAGCTCAGCGTCGCTGCTTCGGTGAAGCTCAAACCCTTAGGCATGGGGACGAGACCCTGCTCGTCGAAAGCGCCGATGGACCGGAAGGTGCCGTCGAGAGAGGCGCCGAGACCGAAGTCCGATAGCGATTTGGTGAATGAACCGCCGATGAGCTTGGGGTTGAGGGCTGTGACGACGTTGTCGCCGGGGGAGAAACGCGTTACGTGTTTCCCGATGGCGAGGACGGTGCCGGCGCCGTCGGAGCCGGGGATTATGTTTGGGATGGTGGCCCAGGGGTAGGTTCCTTGGGCGACAACTAGGTCGCGGTACTGGGTGGGGTTAGTATGGCAGTCTTTAGGGGTAGAAAGGGGTGTGGGTTTACGTTGAGAGAGGCGCCGTGGACTGTGGTTTATGTCAGTGATGAAACCCTGTTTGGAGGGGATGCTTAGGTACGTTTAACTAGGACTTGGCTATCTCCAAGCTCAGGCACAGGCTGCTCTGACAGCTTGAGAGAAGCAATGCCATCTTGACCGACGACATTCCACTGCTTTGCGGTTTGGGGGATTGACTGGGCCATTTTGACATGTAGACTTAGTTCTCATTTTGTTTGGATTCTGCTACTGAGTAACTTTTCATTGATATATTTATTTACCCCCTGGAGGAACACTCCATGTCAATTTGCAATAGGATTTATGCAAGCTTGATTTGTCAGAATATCTTCAAAATGCTGATTTATAATCAATATGGCCAATTTAGTCGAGTGTCGTCTTAACCGACGAATAGGAAGTGAGGAATTATGGACAAGGCAATGCTACTACTAACCAACCATTTATAAAATGTAAATCCTTTACCATAAGAATTAGATGTGTCGTTATACCTATTCAAATGAAGTCTTGCCAGAAGTCATGCCAAATTCGTCATACCGTACCGCTATGACGGATAGGTGGCTGGGTCGCTGCTGAACCCCCTCCTATTTACCTGTGTAAATTCGTCTGAAATTACTCATTTAGAAGGCGAAATGAATCCGAATGTAGTGTGTGAGTGGAAGATGTGTTAAGACGGTAGAAATTTTGTTGGTGCCTTTGAATAGTAGGTAGCCAGCCATGATTATCTGGTCCTAGATAAGGCACGGTTATTTGAGACACTATGAATTTATAGCATACCTATCAGGTTGATATCGAGCATGTGTACAAGTATGTAAAAAAACCAAAAAACCAAAAAACCTCATGATTTCATTCAATGAGGACGCTCCATATTGTACATGCTTTGAGTGAATGACTTTAGATCGACTAGAGATCACAGGATGTTGTACTTATGTGGGTGGCTTACCTAAGTGGAAAGAGGAAGCGATTAGGTAAGATTTAAGTTATACCGATAATTACATTTAAACTCAAAATGATTGCATAAGAGCTGATATGACATTTATGAAGCTATCATACTTGATACGTGAATATTAAGCGGAATAACGTGGGGTATCTATTTAAACTTCCCGGCACACCTAAGATTGCAACTGCAACCAACATCAAATAGATTTCGCGTTTTACACAACTTTATGTTAACCGCATTTAAACAGCTTGACTTCGTACTTCGTTTATTTGAGCAACATTCTTGAATATACTCTTATAAGTATACGAGTATCGCGAGACCAAGAATTTATTGTGGACTAGGAATATTTCTATGATACCACCCTTTACACATACATTTTACGAAGATCTCCTGATAAGTGATCGTTAGCGCATTTCCACCCTTGTCCTGATTACCTGCCCTATCAACAGCTCGAGAAGCTCCCTACAAGTTGACAACCATGTCCAGCCATGTCGCAAGTCACAGCAAGGCAACCTCAAGAGTCCCAATTTTCCTTCATGTACACTATACCGAAGACACTAAAAAACCATGAGTCTCAATGGAGAGTGTCATGTTGCGACGTAGATAGCATCTACGTTAAGATGAATCTCTCCACTAGAGGCCGAAGATGATACGAAATCCTGTCAAGTTTCCCGGCTACGCCATTACCTGATTGGGCTACATAACCCGAGCTTCATAACTTAGGTAATGAACACTGAACCAGCTTATCTATTCTCTTCATATCTCGAACCGGGGATCGATAATTGAGTCGCATCTTAGCTAACGGCCTTAGAAGAATGGGCGTGTTGTACATACATGTCGAGCGTATCGTTGATGTGCATGAAAATCTTACATATTATTCCTTGTCGCGCCTGCATATGTCCGCCATGACCACCGCCTCACTGTCACCCATTTCAATACCGAGCAAAGCTTTCCAGCTCAAGCCTTGCTCTGTTTCTTGTTGTTAGATAAGTTGCTCTCTGAGCCTATAAATGCAGAGGCAAACTCAAGGGGCTCTCATCCCTTACCTACCATTACCACCATAACAGACGCTGGCGCCATCGCTTCCGATTGAAGAGGCGCTCATCCTTATCTACTCACTCAGCGAATCACCATCGTCCGAACAAGACACGCTAAAATGACAGAGAATGCGACAACCCTCGAAAAGAAACTGAGCCCAGAACTTGGAGGAGTAGACAATGATACCGTTGCTGCTGTTGACCATGGCGTCGAAGTTAATGCAGCTGGTTATAAGGATCAGTTAAAGCGACAATACGGCCTTTTCGGTATCGTCGGTATCGCGCTCACAGTTGATAACGCATGGGGAGCTTTAGGTTCTTCAATATCAGTATCTATTCGTAAGTAGAGCCTTGTGTCAAATAGAGCCAAAATATTGCTAGGTTACATGAAATTAACATAGATTTAACTACCAGTCAATGGCGGTCCGCCGGGTCTTATATATGGGCTCATCGTTGCCCTCTTCTGGTATACCTTTATCGGAATGAGTTTAGCTGAGGTACTCCAACTTTATCTCTCTCTGTATTTGGCTCTCTTGTTGAGTCTGGAGTGAATTCAGACCATGTTAAATGATTCTAACATATATATAAGTTGGCTTCTTCTGTCCCTACTGCGGGCGGTGTCTACCATTGGGGTACTATCGCCGCCGGCCCCAAATGGGGACGAGCGGTTGGTTTCTTTACAGGATGGATCAACTTCTACGGCTGGATGTTTGACTTGGCCGCCCTAATCCAAATCACGGCCAACATCCTCGTCCAGATGTATGCGACTTACCATCAGGATACATACGTTCCAGACGCCTGGCATGTCTATGTTACGTACATTGCCGTCCTATGGATCTCCGCTACCTTCGTTATCTTTGCCAACAAACTCATTCCGTACACCCAGCACTGTGGCATGTTCTTCGTCCTAGTTGGGGGAATTATAACTATTATTGTGATATCAGCAATGCCTAGTACCCACGCCACGAATCATTTTGTGTGGGGCTCGTTCGAAGAAAATAACTGTAAGTATACTTCATGATATCTAAATCCTCATATAAATCCTCCGGGATTCTACGCAAAGTAGTTTCAATTACTAACTCAGAAATTTTAGTGACGGGTTGGCAAAGCGGAGTCGCATTTCTCCTTGGAGTGCTAAACGGAGCTTTCACCATCGGTACACCCGACGCCATCACCCATATTGCGGAGGAGCTTCCGAGGCCAAAGAAAGATCTTCCAAGAGCTATGGGGCTTCAGATAGGATTGGGATTCCTCTATGCGTTTATTTTTGCTATCGCGATAGGCTACGCCATCAAGGATCTCGAAGCCTTGCAAGGCGGTATCAACACGTATCCCCTTGCTGTTATATACCAGCAAGCAACGGGAAGTCCAGGTGCAACTTTCGGCCTCTTATTTATCCTCTTTCTCAGCAGTATGTGCTGCTGCGTTGGAACAGTGCTGACTAACTCACGCACTTACTGGGCCCTCGCTCGAGATAATGCCGTGCCGTTTTCTAATGTTTTTGGCCAAGTCAATGAAGGTCTAAGCTGCCCCGTCTACGCTACCTTGTTTGTCACAATTTTTGCTACGGGCCTTGGAGCAATTCCGCTGGGGAGCTCGAGTGCCTTCTTGGCTCTCACAGGATCTTTCATCGTTTTGACTACAGTGTCATACGCGATTCCCTTCGCCGCAAATATGGCAACTGGTCGAAAGAATTTTCCTCCAGGCCCATTCCACATGGGAAAATATGGCTATGCAATTAACTCTACGGCTGTCTTGCTTACAGCTCTCTTTATAATCTTGTTCTGTTTCCGTAAGTCGCACCTATTCATTTGTGTCAGCCACATAAACTAACATGACTATTCTAGCTTTCTCATTGCCCACAACTGTGGAATCTATGAACTACAATAGCGTGATTCTTGTAGGCACGATCACTCTCTCTACTCTGTGGTGGATCATCCATGGATCTCGTCACTACCCAGGACCAAAGGTGATGAAATTATATATCCATGACGATGCGATCGAAACGAACGGCGAAGGAATCAAGAATACATCGACATCGCCAAACGATGAAAGCATTCCGATAACCGAAAAATAGATGACATAACTACTTGGAGCGAAGGTGTCGAGAATTTTTCAGAATGGAAAACGAGAGCCGATTTCATTACATTGATACCTGGTTCTTTTGGATCAGAGACCGTGATGCAAATCGTACATCATATATATACCATATTATACCACAGAGCTGGGTGTTTCGGGGTTGGGGTTGACGAAAAGTTCTGAAGATGTGAGACAATCATTTAGGAATTTATTTTTGAATATTTTCAATGGATGAAGTTCGCCTACCACAGTTATGAAGTCGCTACAAATAGAACAGACTGACATATCTACCTAGTAGGTTACCATCATTGTTTAAATCAGGCATCTCGGAAACCGTTGCGCCGACTTCACCCCCTCCGGATTGGGGAATCGCCCGTGAGCCTCTTGGGTTAATGAGGGGATAACGTTTCTTTCCCCACATTACATGCCATTACTACTCTATTCTAGAAGCCTAGAACGTGTTCAAGTCGACCGAAACAAGGATTTTGTGGTATGGCCTTTGAAACCTATGCACTCAACTTGGCTTGCTTGTGTTCCTGGCATTTTATAAGCCCGTTCTAGTTTACCGTGTGGGGTATCCATGGACAGATACTTGCGGTCGCTCGATCTGTCGTTCCATTGCATTAGCAGAGACTGACCTAGGTACCCCCAGGGCTAGGAAATGATTGGTGGATCGTAGCGACTCTAACGTTAAAATTAAAACAGCTACTCTCTGGATGTATGGATGGAGCACTACGATCCGCCCTATGAGGAGGTGCTAAGAGAGACATTACTCGTGATAGTGCTGCCCGACTAGGAGGGCTACGTCTAAGCATGGCGATCTTACAACCATACAAATACGAAGCTCCCGTCGTCTAGTTCTTTATGCTCTCTCTCTAAGACTAAGTTGTCTTCGACTTTATTCAGTGGGTCGACTCATCAACAATCAAAATGAGGTATCTTGGGACAACACTTCTCTCGCTCGTCGGCGCTGTCTCAGCTGCAGCTATCAGCGCGTCGAATGTAGCTACTATCTCTTCCCCTGCCGCCGCAGACTACCCGAAGACAGACGGCCTACTTTTCAATATCGACGGAGAGACTAAGTACTTTGCGGGCACGAACAGCTACTGGATCAGCTTCCTAACGAACAACGCGGACGTGGACAAGACGCTCGATGCGCTCAATAAAGCAGGACATAAGATCTTACGTGTCTGGGGTTTCAATGATGTGACTTCCCAGCCCGGTGGTGGAACCGTGTACTTCCAGCACCTATCCCGTAGTGGCTCGACGATCAACACAGGGGCCAATGGGTTGCAGAGATTAGATTACGTGGTCCAGTCTGCAGAGAAAAGGGGTATCAAGCTGATTATCAACTTTGTGAACAATTGGGGCGATTACGGGGGCATGCCGGCTGTAAGTTGATATCTTCTCTCCCAAGCTACCGAAACCATTCTATGGAACGAGTTCTCATATCTATAGTACGTAACCGCCTTCGGAGGTAGCCAGACGACCTGGTACACCAACACAGCCGCGCAGACCCAATACAAAGCGTATATAAAGGCCGTGGTATCGCGATACGCCAACTCGTCCGCGATCTTCGCATGGGAGCTCGCCAACGAGCCGCGCTGCAACGGCTGCCAAACCAGCGTCCTGACGAACTGGGCGTCGACCACCTCGGCCTACGTCAAGAGCCTAGACCCGAACCACATGGTGACGCTTGGGGACGAGGGGTTTGGTTTAGCCGGCGATGGAAGCTACCCTTACCAGTTTGGAGAGGGGCTTGATTTTGCAGCGAATCTGAAGATTGCGACGTTGGATTTTGGCACGTTCCATCTGTACCCGAGTACTTGGGGCACGCAGTACGAATGGGGCAACGGCTGGATCGAGGCTCATGGTAAGGCGTGCGAAGCCGCGGGAAAGCCGTGCATCTTTGAAGAATGTGAGTTTACCTGTGTTATCTATCAGATTCTATCTATCATATCACCTATTACTTGAAATTGTGCGAGACTAACGACGCGAGATAGACGGCTCTACGACTGATCACTGCGGCATCGAGGGAAAATGGCAAAAAACGGCCCTCGCAAGTAAAGGGTTGGCGGCGGATTTGTTTTGGCAGTTGGGTATGACGCTTAGCACGGGGCAGACTCATAACGATGGGTTTACTATCTACGATGGCTCGTCAGAGTGGACCTGTTTGGTTACGAATCATGTTTCTGCTATCAAATAAGTAGGGGTACATGTCACTACGTAAAGTTCTTCGATATTGCCCAGAAGTCCTGGAATAATGAGAACGAAGATTCCTTCCGAAATATCATCCCCTGCTGGGCTTGGCAACCTACTTCTTAAAGCGCTACCGAGATGACTTCTCAGCTCCAGCCTTGAGGGAAAATACCCCTGATCGTGAAATTCCCGCAGCTAAATCCAACATTTACATTCCAATGAAAATTTTATTTTATTTTGGCAAGGCCTCACCGCGACGTAACCAAGCCCATCCTAAGACCGACGAGCTGCAAGGCGACCGTAGCAATGGTATGCCACCTTCTACCAAAGTGATCAATAGTCTGGAAACCTCAGCTTCAATCCTCCCGATCCACTTGTCCTGCTCCCCCATGCAACTATCATGTTCTCTCGTAAATACCTATGTAGTTTCTTCATGTCCCATTTGATGCATGGGTACTAGGTAGGTAGTTAGTAAAAGGGATGATGTATTAAAAAGAGATCTTACTAATGTGTTAGGTAAGCGATTCTCAGCTGAGCTAATCAATACTTACATAATGATTTTCTGGTCGACGGTGGCGTCAATATTAATAAGATCTTACCAAATTGACTTTATAAGCATGATTACTAAGCTCTACTATATGTATATTCCGGCTTGCTATCCCTTTCGTAAACCCAACGCTCCAAGTGATATCGCAACGTGAACGCCCATAGCCAAGACAAGACCTCACCCCCGTAGACTATAGTTTCTATGCCATCGTAACCCGCAGAACTCTAGGCCAACATAAACCACAGCCCTCACCCCACCGCCGCACCATCCTTCTGTCCCTTCGGCGTCCTCGGGTGAAAGCCCAACATCTGCATGAACCTAAACGCCGCCGTATTCTCCGTGCGTCTCAACTCCTCCTTCTCCCTCTCCTTCTCCAACACCTTCCTCTCCCTCGCCGCGCTCTGGCTCTTATCCCTCTCCTCCTCCTCCCTCCTCTTCGCCTCTTCCGGATCCAGTATCTTCTGCTTCTGCTTCGTCAGCTTTTGCATCGCCTCCTTGCCTTTCGTCTTCGTCTTGATGTACGCTTCTAGCCCCACTAGCACCGCGTAGCTTTTGCTGATGCTCACGTGAGACATGTCGACGCCTTCGTCTTCGAGACTATGCACGAAGGCGCGGAAGTTAGAGGCGGGAGGGCGGTAGTGCCCGGAGAGTGGGGAGAGGCTTGATAATCGCCCGTTTTTTATCTTTATGAGACCTGCGGCGGAGATTCTTGATCCTTGGAGAAAGGAGCTGTGCTGGAAGGCGCCGCTGTTTTTGATGCCGACGTATAGGCGGAAGGAGGTGTCGGCTACGAAGATCCATGTGTTCTTGCGCACTGTCTTGCGAAGTAGCTTGTTGAAGATTGTTGCTGCTGATACGTGTCGGATCTTGCGAACCCCTTTCGCGTTGTCTAGACCGGGGTTCGCGTACTTGGCTGCCATTGCGGCTTCTAGCTCTGATGCTTGCGACGAGTTCGAGGAGTCTGAGCGATCCCGTGGACGTGGTGGTGGAGTCGCGTCGACTGTAGGTTTCTCCTGAATGGACGACTCGATGATGGGGGAAAAGGTCGGTGTAGGATCGTCCGCGGGCACAACACCATGAATACTATCCTTCCAATTTTCCGTCGTGTCAATCCGCATGCCATTCTTGGCCCAAATTAGTCTCCCCTCTATATCTACTCTGACTAGGTAATACTGTCTTTCCTCTCTGCTCAGGTATCGAACTTGTTCCCGATCTAGCCGTTCTCTAGGACAAGCAACCAAATCTATTAGTCTGCCCTCGCCATGATCTAGCCAGTAAAAGAAATTCTCGTTCGTGTTAGACCTCTTCCATTCCTCGTGGTATACCCTCAAGTTGCTTCCGTAACGATGTTTGAGGTCTACCATTTCTAAGAAGTATTGCAAACCCATCATCTGAGCGTGTTTTCGTCTCTTAGCCTTCGCTTTCATCCACTTCTTCCTCGCCTCCGCTCTCTTTTCCGCACTCATCTCTTGTAATTCCGCTTCATTGAGTGACGAGGCCGAATCACTGTCCGAGTGGTTGGAATCTTCGTCTCCGCCGGCACGCCGAGCTATTGTGGCAACCTTCATCCAATTTCTCCGCGCTGCAGACCGGCTACTACTAGGTCTCGTCTCATCGTTTACCTCGTCACCCCCGACACTCAACATGCTGTTTTCTCGTGCTCGCGGTGTCGTCAGGTTCTTCCATTGCGCATCCCTTATGGCATGAGTCCATCTGGTGTTTGCGTCCAAGCCTAACCCTTGCATCTCTCTACGCACACGATATCCGCGATATGTCCGCTGTATTACCGTTGCTGCCTTTGATTTGATGGAATCTTCCGCACTATTTTCTCCATGAGTGGTAGCACTCTTACTTCTCTGTCTTGAGCGCGATTTGGAATGCGAATGCCTGTGTCCAAATATAGAGCGGTGACGTCCTTCATGTTCTTCTTCCTCCTCGGCCGCCTTCGCTTGCATAAAATCATGCCTTGCCTCCATGCCTTTCTGTGCCATAACTATGCTCCGGTGACGTAGCTCTTGGCTGCGGCATCTATGTTCTTTTTCGCGCTGTTCTTGCAGTTTTGCTAATCTCCGAAACTCATCTTCCGACGGTGGTTTTAATGAGTCTAAATACTCCTGGTGGCTCTTATGTGATGTTGTAGTAGATCGGTCGGGAGAAGTGGTAGAATCTTTACGGGGCAGACCGGGTAGACCGGGTGACGAGGGTGGGGTTAACGGCAGCGATCCGGGTTCTGGGACGGGGTTCTGCGGGGCTTGCGATGACGACGGAGATGCAGATGCAGACGGGGATGGAGATAAAAAGGACGGCGATCGTCTTCGCGCAAACGATGGTGTCGGTGACGTATGTAGTGTGTGGTCGGTAGGGTCTCTCTCGGACATTTTGCTACTTAGATTGGTAGATGTCATCACCAAAAATAAAAATGAAGTGCCTCCAAAGTTGTACTATGTAATACAATAGAGGAATGCCATGTATGACGATTCATAGGTATAAATCCCCTTACCATAGGTCCCCAAAGGTCGAGTAATCTTGAAGAATTGATATGTAGATGCAGGTTGTAGAGAGCGTCGACTTGAATGCCTGACCTTGTATGTAGCTTTGTTCAGTATGACGCAATAACTTACCGATGTACCGGTATGTGTAAACTAACCGGTTAAGCGGCATGTTGCTATGGATGCGATATGTACACGCCTCAGTGCAAGATTTGGTCTGTGTAACTGACTGACGTTATAGGCTGGAATGGGTATAAATTTAGGAAACTGTTATGTTCCGCCATTCGGAAGCTGCGCAGGTGTGTCTTTACTGCCGTGTTACTTGAAATTCACGATATGGATCTATTAGGTATCTCCAATACTAATTATCTACCAATGGCGATTCAACTTGAATCACAAATTGAAAAAAAGGCAAAGATCAAGAAAGAAGAAACTTTAAATGCCTAGCACTTGCATGTGATTAAGAGTTGTAAACTCGTAAAATTAGTCGAAGACAAGGTATGTTTTGACAAGAAAACAGATTTGACTTGTAATATGTCAGGACTTGCGTCACTTCGACAGCCCTATGGGATGGTCTCAGCCTGTGCAACGGCATCAGGTCTAGACATAAATGGATCCATGGATGTTACCTGTTATTATGTAAGGTACTTGGGTACATAGCCATATGCATAACAGTTCTGGTACTTAATACATTCTAATATGGTTTGATGACACAGTGCTAATTTGACTCACACAAACCTTGACCTATTAAGGGCAATTCAGTAGATAGGAGGTGCAATTTGAGTCGAAAGGCAAGCGCCCAGTACTAAACTAGAAAGGAGGTGAAAAGTACCTACACTGTAGAGCCCGCGCCTGCGCTGCAATACCTAAAGTGAGGGTAGCAAGTACCAAGCGACAAGCGACAAAAGTATCCGTCAATTGATGACAGCAGCGCCCAGAAAGTTTTTGGGTTTGAGAACATTGAAAATTTCTTGAAGTCGAATAACCTATACACTACTTTGTACCTAGTTCATGTCAATGTCAATGCGCAATTGAGGAATACCATACCATATCCCATTTCAACCTCTCGTTCTGTGCCACCAAGAGATCGCCATGCCAATTTCTTGTACATCAAATAATGGCCACCTCTACGCGACGAGTTGAATCGCTTCATCGTTCGCCAAAACACTTTCAGCAGCACATCGTTCATCATCCGCGACGCGCCCACCTTCATCAAGACAGACACAACAATTCAACTACTGCAAATCTAGACGCCAACAGCGTGGCTGCTAAACATGCTCATGTTATCGCGACACAAATCAAGACGCGAAATTCGCAGAACATCTTACAACAACCTAGCCCGCCGCGAATGAAGCGACCACTCGACCCCATTGCGAACAATTACGAACCTCACAAGGCTAAGAGAACTCGAATAACGGTTGAGATTGTAGCCAGACCCATCCCACCATCCACTAGCTCTCAAAAGACCATCACTGTTAGGACCCAACCACAACAACAACAACCCCCTAACCCTACTACTATCAACGAACCTCCCACAACTACAACCACGACATCGACCGCCGTCACAACAACCCAGAAATCGCATAAACTTCCTCACGTTCCACATCAAGATTCCAAGACGGCGACAGCAATAGAACCTCCGTTGAAAAAACACAAGGCGAAGGCGATTAATGGAATTAGACATGAATTGGATAAACTGCAACCAAGTGCAGCTGACACCAGTTCGGCAAGAGAACGGCCCGGTCGCAAATTGAGGTCACAAGAAGCGACGAGATTCAAGAGTGAACTGTCGGCATATTTCCCCGATTATGACGAAGTAATCGGCAATGATCCTAAAGAACAGCGTAAGTGCACAATTATTTCAGTACCACCGAATCCCATAATCTCAATCCTTCTAACCCATTCAAATCGCTACCGAATACTGACAATTCTATTAAACAGATATCCTCAATCTTGATACCCCAATCATCATCGTCGATACCCATCCCCTCCCTAGCACTTACATTCGTCAATCACAAGCCCCTATCCCCTCTCCACATCCAGCGCTAGGCTCCTGCGACCAGCCCCGCTGCGATACAGTGCGAACATACGGAGATCATCTATTCAATAACTTACACGATGCACAACGAATTAGCTTTGCCTTTCTCCAGACGCGATACAACGGCAAAGATATCGGAGATCCTCTACCAGCTTCTTACTTCGAATCTGCACACAAGAAAGCTGAGAGGCTAGAGAAGTCTATTCGTAATACGGAGAAAGGCCGTGCGCAACATGAGAAAGATCAGATTATCCGATTGCTCAACGAGCTGCAAGGTCACGATTGGTTGAGGACTATGGGCGTTAGTGGTGTTACCGAAAGTCGCAAGAAAACATTCGAACCTGCTCGAGATCATTTCATCAAGGGTTGTCAAGTAATATTAGAAAAATTTAGGGTATGGAGTCAGGAAGAAAAGAAGAGGAAGCTAATGAAGGAGAAAGCCTTGGCGGAAGAGGCAGAAAATGAAGAGGAGGTTGACGAGGATGAAGGGGCCCAATTAGATGAAGTGGGGGAAACAGATGAGGATATATCAATGGTTGATGTCAACGAAGAAGGTAATGACATCCCTGACGACGTTAGCAATGGTGATCCTCCGGATTACAGCGACGTTGATGCATCCGCGAAGCAGCTTCTCGATGAGGCATTGGCACGGGCAAAATATACGGCCTCAAGTTCAAAGAGATCCCGAGGTGAACCTCCACCAATATCAGCGGAGCCTCGTGTGACAAAGGAATTCACCTCCTTCTTTAACAAGAAACATCTGCGCGATGCAGCCCTCAGCAAAGGTCGACGAAGAGGTAGAACCGTCGTGGCCTGGGGTCATCCCATACCAGATATGATGGAAGGCGAGTTTGAATTACCAGAAGAATACCGAGATATGGAGATTCTGAAGGCTCACGAAAGACAAAAGAGGCGAGAGAGACGCCAGCGCCAACATTAATCCGGCGCCTCGAGCTTTAAGCTTAGAAGCATCAACTTTCTACAAGGCTCTTAAGTCTAGTGCTGTCCTCATCTCCAGGGTTGTGGTATTCGTGTGGATGATGTCTAATGACTAGCAGTTTGAGCTCCCAATGGTTGAGCCAAACACATACCTTGATTTATTCATGGTCATGCATATGCATTTGCTAGGGACATTAAGTGTACTATCAAGACTTGCTCATAATGGAAGGCATTTAAATAACGTGAACGAATAAATTAACTTAATAACTCATGTTTTGATTTTGTTACATGTGTAAATTATGATACGTTTTGGTATTGCTTGTACGTAAGAACTAAGTAAGTTCGCTAATTTATTCAATGAATAATAATCCTTAGGAATTCAGGAGCAGTAAGGTAGCATATGATGAGCAGGAGAAGCTTTGCAATACCTAAATACAGACTAAGGGGAGTATATTAGATACTTCAAAATGACAGCTGTTAAGGTGTATTTGCTAACCATGGGCAAACAGGAGAATGCTACCAAGTCAACGCCAAGTTACAAACTGGTATAATATGTCACTAATAATGATCTCCCGAAGGATATCGAGCTCCCGCCATTAACATGTAGAACCTGCGTTCTTGCGTTGGGAGAGGGTGGGATATGTAAGTGTATACCTAGTACGCAGAGACCCCATATAAATCGTCTAGCGAATACAAAGGAGACCGAAGTGAGGAATACAATGGCAGCATAAAGTAGAAACTTCTGATTTACAGTGTCCGTAGGGCAAGAGCGAGGCCGAGGACATGTAGAGTTATCGCAGCTACTCTGTATTTTAATACTGTCAACCCAGCATACTAGGTATTCTTTTACAGTGGACTTTCCCCGGAGAAAGAGCGATGCTTAAGATAAATATGTAGTCGGCAGCCGTCGCCGAGTAACAGGTACCTACCCTAGGTACCCGACGCCCCACATTATTAGCTGTGCACGCGCCAACTAACACTCGATTGGACCCCTGTCGCCCGTACTAATCATACGTAGCCCCGAACCTACAGTAGGTAACTATTGAGACGAGAGCTATCCAAAGTTTCGAAGGCGGCGCGCGCAAAAGCTGCTTTACACTCTACGATCTCATTAACTTCACCAACCAAAGATTGATTTCTTCCTTAGATTCCCTTCATTTAATGCGATCAGTCATTTGGAAATCTTAACCTCTATACTGTTGATACCAACGGTATTTTATTCTACGCGTTTTGAAGCTGCGAACCACAAGTCGCGCTGTAATTCTTAGGTACTCGCATACGCAACGAAGATACCGCAACTCTGCATTTCTTTATTTCCACTCGTTCAGCACCATCTAACGACCACCGAGTCGCCTTGCGCCGCTGCGATACTATCGTTACTGACCATATTCCTACGCGAAAAAAGCTTCTAGCAGGCGAGACCACCGATGATCACGACTACCTGAGAACATAGCGGCTTCGCAGACGCCCACAATGCCGGGCATCGTGGAGCCAGAATCCACCGAGAAGGGCGATACTCCTGCCGACCTTCCTATCGATGATACCCCTTCGCGTCCCTTCATAGTGCTGAAGCAGGATGTCGAAATCGAAATCGACTTTGCTCGACAGCGTGTCCACGGCCAAACCGATATATTTATCGGTACTCACGATCAGATTCCTGTTGTCTACATTGACGCCCGCCAATGCGAAATCGATACATCCCAGATTACAGTTAGTAACTGCAAGGTGGAAGCATCGTATTTAGACCCGTGTGATTTACTACAGACCCCTAAGAATTACCGCTTATCGGCATCGCACTGGGCAGTAAAGAAGCGCCGTATGAAGCCGCTATTACACCACCGACGCAAGGAAATTTCAGCTGTTGACCATGAGCTTAAGTGCTGCACCCCGCTTAATGGGTCTATCAGCGTAAAACTTCCAACTAAGCCTGACATCATACTGAAGAATCAATACATTCCGAAGCCAGAGCAGCAAGACCTCCTAATAGATAGCGAAGGCAATGTGGGCTGCTACAGAGTCCGTATACCTTTCAAGGTGAAAAATACGTCAGACGGTTTCCAATTTGTCGGCTGCAACGAACGAGATACTCGATACCCCCACGTTTATACGCGTCATTCACTCGAACCTGGTACCGCGTCCGCTATCTTTCCATGCATTGATGACCCTGGCTCCCGAAATTCGTGGAATATCTCCGTCACATGTCCTCGCACTCTTGGCGATGCCTTTCGCCGAACATCTGTGGCACAGCAATCAAAGGGCTTTGGTGACCCTAATGGAAATCGCAAGAGGAAGCGTGACGAGGAAGATCCCCAAGATTACGAGAATAGTGGAAGCTGTGTTGAACTCACGGAAGAAGACAAGATGCTGGATTTAACAGTTGTCTGCGCTGGGTATCTTACCGGGGAAGTAGTTCACAAAGACGATAGCACGAAGAAGACGATGTCTTTCCTTATCGAACGTAATAAGGCGGTACAGCACGTCGGCTTCGCCGTTGGTCCCTTCGAGCATGTGGACTTGTGGTCGGAATTTAGGCGAGAAGAAGACGATAACAAGCTAAACCGCAATGCGATTAAGATACATGGCTACTGTCTTCCAGGTCGTTCTGAAGAGGTCAGAAACACCTGCTGTACCCTCGTCACGGCAATGGATTATCTGGTGCTCTCATTTGGACGGTTCCCCTTTGAGAACTATAAGATCTGCTTCGTCGATGACATGATTGAAGATACTATACCACTATGTGCCTTCTCTTTGTGTAGCAGCAGGCTACTCTATCCCCGAGACATCATGGAAAACGAAGTTGAAGTTGTGAGGAAACTGACGTACTCGTTATCATGCCAGTGGTTCGGAGTCAACATTGTCCCCAACACCAAAGCAGACATCTGGCTCGTCGTCGGGATTGCGTGGTACCTAACCGACCATTTCATGAAATACTTGTGTGGAAATAACGACTTCAGGTTTCGAATGAAGTCGATGGCAGACAGACTTGTCAAGCTTGACATCAGACGGCCGTGCCTGCAAGATCTCGGCGAACATCTTTACTTAGGCGACTTTGAGGTTGATTTTATGAATCTCAAGGCACCTTTGGTCCTATTCATCCTAGATCGACGAATTTCTAAGTCAGCGAGTAACATGGGCGTGTATAAGATAATTGGCAGGATGGTTACAAAGGCTAACACATCCGGCCAACCGTCCGATGAAATTCTAGGAGCAGACGCCTTTCGGAGGGCTTGCGAGAAAGCCGGGAATCAGAGACTGGAGCCATTCTGGAACCAATGGGTACTCTCGTCCGGCTGCCCTAGGTTTGATGTGAATCAGCGGTTTAACAAGAAGAGGCTCTGCGTTGAGATGACTATCCAGCAAAAGCAAGACGCCGCCTACCGCGCTGTCAATATACTAGACAAGAACGATTTTTGGAGAGGTGTTATGGAAGAGAGCCATGCTGTCCGCGCTGGCGAATTCCAGCAATCGTTCACTGGACCAATGACTATTCGAATCCACGAGGCCGACGGTACTCCCTACGAGCACATAGTAGAACTACGAGAAGATACCGCCAAGGCTGTGAAATTCGAGATCCCATACAACACGAAGTACAAACGACTCAAGAGGAATCGTCGACAACGTGAAAGACAAATGGCCAACAACTCAAAAGCAAATGACGATGCGCCTCGAGATCTTTATTATTTGGGGGATGTAATGCAGCATCCAGATGAGATGGAAGCCTGGGACTTCCGTGAGTGGGATGATGAAACTGAAACGAAGATGGACCAGGAATCCTACGAATGGATTCGCATGGATGCTGACTTCGAGTGGATCTGCGAGATTCAAACCAACATGCCTGCTTATATGTACGCATCGCAATTGCAGCAAGATCGAGACGTTGTCGCACAGCAAGATTCAATGTGCTACCTCCATCGAGCATTCTCCAACATTGGCACACATCCTCTCATGGCGACAATCTTAGCACGTACCGTCTTAGACGCTAGGTACTACTATGGAATTCGCCTAATGGCAATCGACGAGCTTCCTAACCACGCTACTACAGAAGCCACCAACTGGGGACTCAAACATCTGCTTCAAACTTACAAGCACTTCTTCTACGATCCCAAGACGAAGGATCCTCTCCCGAATGACTTTTCGGATAAGCGACAGTACTGGGTACAATGCGCTATTATAGAAGCTATTGCTCGCATTCGCGGGGAAGATGGCAAGTGCCCCAAAGAAGTACGAAGGTTCATCCTTGAGCAGCTTCAGCGCAATGACAATAGTTGCAATATTTATGCCGATGATCTGTACATCTGCGTTTTAATCAAGGCTTTGGCTATTTGTCAAATTCCAGACAAGACCAAACAGAAAAAACCCGACTCCTTCGAGCCCGTGGATGTCGACGAGGACGAGGACGAAGTGATGGCCGAGCCTATCGATACTGAGCCAGAGCAGTTTTGCGAGTTAGTACTCGAAGAGATTGACCGCCTCCGTAGGATGGATGAGCACTCACCGTCGTTCGAGAACTGTTTTACGATCGCCGCCCTTGATGCTTACTGTCGTTTGATGAAGGCAGAAGTCATAAAGAAAAACCCAGCCAGATTCATCGAGTACCTACAGGACAGAACTTATGATCTCGTCCGTATAAAAGCTTGCGAATCTCTTGTGGAATTAGGGATGTTGGCCAATAGACACTTTGTCCGAATGTTCCTTCTCATTGCTAGCACAGACACTTCGCCGTTCGTTCGAGACCAGGTTTTCAAAGTATTGTGCCGTGGACTCGCTAGCGTGGCTATTGGAGAGGGCGAGCAGGCAGAGGAGAAGGCACCAATCCAGCCAACAGAAGACGGTCTCATCGTCGAACAAGATGATGCGGTTATGGAGGCGAATAAGAACGCGAAAGCTCGTAAGGAGGACCTTTCCGCTGCCCTTGCAGCCTTGAAAGCCGAGACCACCGATGATGAAGACTTGCAGGAAGCTATTTGGAAAGCAATGGACTCGCCCGTCCTCACTACTACAGAACAACTCAAATTCCTCGAGCTCTGCTCGGTGTTGTTTGACGAAGATCAGTCATTGATGATGTGCTTCCCTTACCCTAGTTACTGGAAAGTTGAACGCGGAGAGAAGATTCGGAATAGATGCCTCATGAAATTTAAGCGGCGTTATAGAACAAAGCCGCGAAAGCCTCGAGCCATTCCCAAACCGCCTCCGCCCAAGCCTGAGCCTAAGCGAACCATTACTTTGAATCTTAACAGGAGCATGAGTATGAGCGCGAAGGCAGCAACACCAACAGCAGAAGCTCCACCGCCACTACATTCAGTTGCTCCCACTCCCAAACCCCCGGCTACCGCTTCCACTCCAAAGGTGACTATTCCGTCCTTGAAGCAAGCAACTACATCAAAAGAAAAAGTCTCTACACCTACTATAAAAGAACCAACCACCCAGGAACCCGCGCCGAAGAAGCTGAAGCAGTCCATCGCCGCGTCTGCGTCGCGAAGTGCTACTCCGTCAGCATCTCAGGATAAACCAAAGGAAAAGTCAAAGATGGGCGAGTCTCATAGGGATAGTATCTCTGTTCAGCCCCCCGTGCGGCCTACTATTGAGTCTCAACAGCCCGATTCAAAGGCGGCAGTCCCTAAGACCAACGGAAGCACTCTCCCGACACCTGCGAAGCTTCCGAAAGCTCCAAAGCCTCTCAAACGAACGAGCACCGAGAGCGAAGATCCCCGGCCAACCAAGTTTGTAAAGCTTAACACTTCCAAAATCCCCAGGAAAGAGTTAGAGAAACTTGAGAAGAGACCGAAGGCGCAGAAGCCGAAGAAACTGGTTACGGTGAAGTTCGCCGCCTGGGATAAACTGCGTAAACGAAAGAGCAAGACACCCCAAGCTGGCTCGATTCGTGCTACGGCTAAGCATCGTCGACCCGATGAGAAGCATATCGGTAAAAGCCCGCGTCCCTCCATCGGCCCGGCCTCGCCCGCGCCCAGGATCTCAGAGTCCTCCCAGGCTAGAGCATCTTCGGCAGCCGTATCATCATCCCAGAATCAGACTGCTACTCCTAACAGTTCCTTCAAGTCCGCATCCCAATCCTCCCAATCAGGCGCAAACAGCGAGAAAAAGCGAAAGCCTCTCCCAGAGATGCGCAAACCCCTCCCGTCGTCGGCACCGACTAACAATCCTACGCCGCCGTCGAAGCAGCCCTCATCCGTTCCAGCTACGGCGTCGAAGGCGCCCACAAAGTTGAAGATCAAATTGAAGGCTCCCACTTCGGGGTCTAATTAGGATATGGACACGCGATAGTCCACCAGCTAGGATGATTCGTACGATCACGGCCGACTTATTTTTGTTTTCTCGTCTACGGTATGCGGTGTGGGATACCGGCCGTGACGGCTAGTGGTCAGAAATCACCACATCACTCTGCACCTATGGTTTTTTACCTGAATTTTTTGTTTGTTCGTTTTGTTTTTTCTCTATCGTGTCTTTTTGCATGACAGGGCATGGCATTGGCGTTGGGAAATGGAACGAGAGGATATGACAACCCCAAGGCCGAAAAATGCGTTCTGTTTCCTTTTCCCCTTTCTCGAGTTTGTGTTGTGTTATGTCATCAGGTCGAGGTTCTATTCTGCCGTTGCTTAAGTAATTCCTTAGGTAATGCCTCTTAGGTAATACCTTAGGTAATACTGCTTAAGTAATTCCGATTAGGTAATGGGATGGAACAAAACTCCTTGAGCCACGGGACAGAATGAGGAATAAGTACGGATGGCAATGGACATACGAGGACCGAGCACACACTACAAAATACCACTACGAACCTACGAATTCGTTACGTCTACTACTCCCCTAGACTACGATATACCGCCACCTCACCTACCTACTACAGTTTGTCTACTGGTCTCTTACGATGAGGAGGGAAGGAAAGGGATGGATCAGGGATGGGAGGGGACGTCTGGGCTTGGTGGTGCTGTGGTGTGTGGGCGTGTAGGAATCGGGATGGTGAAATCACATAAGTGCGTTGAACAAATGAGATTTAAAACATAATTTGATTTTAAATGTGTGAATGTGATGCGATGTTTAGTGTTCACCACTCGTCCCTATAATGAAATGGGACTAAGTAGTAGGCTTGGCACACTATATATCCATGTGGTAAGTATAGCATCTCTGACATCGTATCCTATTTGGTGGATGTGATGTAGATGATCTATACGAATACCTATCCACAATATGGAAGAAGCAACGGCATCATCTACCATAAATATTTCCCCCCTAAAACGTCAGATGTATTCGCCCATTCCTCAATGCTCTATCCCCGAAAACCTTTTGGCTTCTTACATCTAACGTAACTCAAAAGAGGTGCAGGCCCACCTCTCCTCCCACTGAAATTTGTCCAAGCTAATTGTGATATGCTGTAATGAACAGTTGATTAGCGGTTGGCTCCTATCTAGAATAGATGTAAAGATTCATAAGAGCATATAGCATACCTCGATATTCTCCATCAGAAAGGCTTAGGAATCGAGCGTAGACCGTGACTTAGCCCATAAACTCAGGAGCTCCCATAAATCTTTTCCTCAAAGAACCGCTTTCTCTCCTCATCACCCTCCTCTACCAAATGAATTAACAGCGCCCATCTCCCACCTCATGCCTAACTTCCCACAACGATCATTGTCTGGCCTCTACTTCCACCAGTTACGAGTTCTCTCGCATTTAAACCACTCTGCCAGGCAAAGTCTACCTATAAAATAGGATAACGTTTCACTGACAAGCAGCTAGCAAAGTCCCAGGCAGATACGCACCGACAGGAGAGCCACCAACTACCATGCAGACACAGTAAGTAGCGACACGGGAAAGGTATCCCAGCCCTTCATTTCACTCAAGAGACGAGGCAAGAAACCTCGAGTCCAGCATAGCGTACACGAGAGTGAAAAAGAGCATATCCAAGACCTCCAACTCCCATTCCCAATCACCTACATACATCAATCAGCGCCAAAATACACAAGACTCAAAAGGGATATATACAAATCGTAAGGACCAGGCCGTGTCCGAGCGCGCCCCTACCGCCGTCTCGGTCCCCCTCCCGCTCCCGCATTCGCCCCCGTCCCAGATACCCCGATCCGCTCCTCCCTGCTCCGCGTCATCATACGTCCGGGCGCTGGGGCTGGCACTGCTGATGGCTCGTTGCTCCCTTGCCGACTTGTTGCTGTGCGTGTTCGTGGCGCGCTTACGGTTTGCGTGCTGGAGCCGGTGATCCGCTGCATTCGGGTTTGGGGGGCGGTGGGGACGGGGGTTTGTTGTTGTTGTTGTTGCTGTTGTTGTTGTTGTTGTTGGCTTCTGGTTGCGCGTACTTGTTGCAGGTACGCGGCGCGCACGGCGCCGGGAGAGACTTCCCGCGTTGTGAATTGGTCCCGGGCGGCGCGGCGGGGCGCGGTTATGAAGGGGTCGGTTACGTCGGCGTCGTCCACGTCGACGTCTACGTCTTGCATGTCTTCGTCGTCGCCTGCGGGGGGCGGGGACGGGGTTATGGAGGGGGAGGTGTCCATTGCTGTTGGTTGGGGTTGGTGCGAGTATGGTTGGTGAGAAGCTGCTCGGGAGGGTGCTTGGGTTTGTGGTTGCGATTGGGTTTGCGTCGCGTATCGTCGGTCTTCGTAGGACGCGACGTCCTCGGCTGTGAGTGTGAGGGTTGTTGGCGGTCGGCGGAGCATTGTTGGTTCGGTTTTGCTGGAATTGGTGGTGGTGTTTGGAATGATACCGAGTGATTCTTGATAGTAACAGAGACAGTAAAGATACCTAGTAGGTAATGTTTGGGAGATTGATATCGATATCGAGTAAAGAAAGCCTCAGTTGAGTCTCTATGCAAGATAATTTAACAGAAGTAGTGGCAGTACCTAATATCTCGGTAATGACCTATGTTGTTGCAAATGTTGGTGTTGAGCTTAGAACATAGTGAAGATGGCGGCTATTAAAGTTACTATTCTATGAAGCAAGGTAAATAAAGTTTATGATCTTTTGATGCTACCTGCGGGGTCGACTCTAGGGCTGTTAGTGGTGTAAGGTGGGGTACCTATCCATGGTAGTTCAGCCCTATATTAGTGGATACATCCATTGCAGTACTCGCTGTAGGCGCCTACGTGTGCTGTAAGTGGTGCTAGCCCCGTTAGCTTTCTACAGAAGCACCTTCACCTATTTGATCCCCAGGTGGCCTGTTTACTGTACTAAAAGTCGATGTGGAAGGTATGAAGAGTGAGGCGTATAACTGGTATATGAAGAAGTTATTCCCATTTAGTCCCCTACTTTACTAAGCAGCTATATCTATCACAGAGCATAGAAATAGGGCGCAGAATATTGGAAATTGAGAACTATCAATGACTTTGGAATGGCATGAATACAACTGCTCGCAATATTGCTGACTTCAAAGTTACTAAGCAAAAGAGAGACGATTACGTAAATACTTAGGTAATCTATTTCGATGTCTTAGGTAAGCCATTCCGGAAGCTTAGTCATTTTAACTTGAGTAACACAAACATTCTTTCGTTCTTATTATCGCTTGAAACTCTATAACTCATATCCCTCATGCTTATAATTTCGTTAGGATATATTTATCTCCATCACCCAGAAATCCATATCTTTGACTTATTTTACGCAATGTCTTCCTCGGGTGGTTGTATATGGGGAGCAATAAGCCTCTTAGGTGGCCACTCTGCCGCCTCAAAATTGCATTCTAGATTATGAGTGCCAGATCCTAGGATTTGACCTTCGGTTTCGTCAATGCAGACATCGTTCCTGTCGTCTAACGGCAAAAATACCCTCGCACTGGAATTTGGAGGAATAGTCAAAGTCATAGAAAATTTCCCGTTAACCACTTTCCACCTACAGCTTATCAGACCGTACGGCCCATTGAACGACACGTTTGCATCAGTGATGTTGCCGCCAGGGATAGGACGAACAAGAATCCGTTTCCAGCCCGGCTCATCTGGACTGATGCCGCCAACTGTAGCGTGCAACCAGTCTGCTATAGATCCTAATGCATAATGGTTGAAGCTAGTCATTGTGCCTGGATTAATGGAACCGTCAGGGAGCATAGCATCCCATCTTTCCCAGATGGTAGTGGCACCCATGGTCACCGGGTATAGCCAAGATGGATTGGTCTTCTCAAGCAGCATCCGATAAGCGAGCTGTGATCGATGCACTCTGGTGAGAGCATGAGCGATAATTGGTGTCCCAGCAAAGCCTGTAGCAATATTGAACCTGGCTTTTTGGACCAGCTTCGTGAGATCATGCGCTGCCAGGCTAAGTTCTTGATAACCTGAGTACAGCGAAAATTCTATGGCTAGTGAAATGGCTGTCTGCGTGTTTGACACAAGCTTACCAGCCGGTGTAATGTATTTGTGTTGGAATTTGCGCCTTAGATATTCCGTCTGCAAACCGTATTTCTCGGTTAGGTCAGCCTTCCCCAAGACTTTACAGATCTCGGTGAAAACTTCAGTGGTATGGACGAGATACGCATCTGCGACGAGAATTGTGTCTGTTGGGCCGTTTGACGGATCATTAGGGGGTGCTTTAGGATCTAGCCAGTCACCGAGCTGCCAATGATCTTCATCCCAAAGACCATCATGCCCTCTTTTGACCCCATTCTCGAGCCATTGCTGCATACTCGAAAATTGACGAGAAAGGATTTGTTCATCTTTAGAGAACTGATAGAGAACGTGTGGGGTTAAGACAACAATATCGTCCCAAATAGCTTCGGGCATGTGTGGCCAACCTGACATTGGGATCTCGGGGCATATAAACGGCGGAATACCGCCTCGTCCCTCTTGTAGCTGCTCTGCCGCAAGATCCTGGAGCCAGTCTTTTAGCATTCCGACCGTATCAAACAGGAAACTAGCTGTTGGGCAAAAAACTTGAATATCTCCTGTCCAACCAAGCCTCTCGTTCCTTTGCGGGCAATCTGTAGGGATCGAGAGAAAGTTACCACGCATGCTCCAGATAACATTCTGGTACAGTTGGTTGACCAAAGCATTGGAACAAGAGAAGTCACCTCTTCTCTTGAGATCTGTGTGCATGACCTGGGCAGCAAAGTTATCCTTAGAAAGCAAAGGACTGTCTTCCGGCCAGCCGTCTATCTGCAAATAACGGAAACCGTGGAATGTAAATTTCGGGGCCCAGTTCTCAATCACATCGCCGGCTGATATGACCGTATCCGTTGCTTTTGCTAATCTCAGCGGCCGTATTCCTAGTTCACCATGCTCCATGACTTCGGCATGCTTGAAAGTCAACCTGGTACCCTTCGGAACGTCAATCTTATGCACTTGAATCCTGCCTACAAGATTCTGGCCGAAGTCGATGACGGTGTTCCCACTCTTGGTCTTGAATAAGTCAACTGCCTCTATCGTTTGAGTAATGCGAACAGGGGGTGCATCTGGAGCAACCAAGTTTGCCGAAGGCCACGGAACTATGGTTACGGGCGTCCAGTCCTTTGCAGTCGACGAAGTAGTAGAGATACTCCACGTTCGATCTTCTAGCTGAGCATCATAGACCTCCCCATCGTATATCTCGCTGGATTGGATAGGACTACGGGCGCACCGCCAACTTTCATCAGATACTACGAGTGAGGGGGTCGACTTGTCATCGCCATAGACTTCGAGTTGAGCCAGCGCAGCTAGTCGATCCCCGTATAGAAACCTAGTGCCTCCTCGAAACCCGAGAGTACCAGCGTACCAGCCTTCTGCGACCTCGATAGAAATGACGTTCTTTTCTTTGGGGTTCAGCAAGGAAGTCACGTCGTGAACTCGATAGTTTAGCCTATGCTTATAACTAGTCCAACCGGGAGCCATTTCCTCGTCGCTCGTAGGTTTGCCGTTGATATACGGCTGGCAAACTCCCATCGCAGTTAAGTATAATCTCGCATGGAATTTCTCGCCTAGCGAAGCATCCAAAGTGAATTCTTTCCGGAATCGCAGCGGCTGCAATGGTCCATTTGGTCCAATCCTGGTAGATGAGGTGATGAATGATGCTTTCCAGTCATCGCGGTCGAGAAATCCAGCTTCAACTTTGCTCGCTGGAGACCATGTCGTCGGAGACACCGACCCATTTGCGCATTTGCCATGGCTACGGACTCTGACCACAGCACTTTCCCTCGATTTCAGCGGTCGTGCTGGCCATGGGACAAGTACCGATTCCCTTGAAAACGCTGTGACATGTTCGACTTTTTGGTCGGCTGACCATGTGATTTCAATCTCATATCTTTTCTGGTCCCATCCTGCTGGTGTATCAGGGGCTACTACAAACTGCCATGAAATTCGAGGTTGCGAGTAGCCAAGGCCGAACCCGCTATGGTGGTGCTCAAAGGTCGGGGCAGTTAAAGTAGGAGCCGACATCGTGTCTGTCCAGTTTTCATGCTAATACTACCATGGACATATGTGATAAAGTGCCGTTCTTATTGAAGATTATAGTTAGCAGGACTAGGTAAAATGCATACCCATCGATACCTAAACATCAGGAATAGTTTCTTCGTCTCCTCGCCTAATGATCAAATTAGGATGCTTCCTACAACCTCGGCCTGATTTATCCCCGAGACTTGGGGTCATCCCCAAGCAGCCAAGATCCCCTAAAAGATTCCTAGGATTAGTACTGCGGAGATCCTGGAGAACGCTACGCGTCTCCATACGGGTCCTCGCTCAGCTTCCGATGCGTAGCCTCTGCAGCTGAATATTTTCCTAGCTAAGCTAAGAGACCTATCGACTATTAGGGGCTGGGGAGATTTTTTCGGGCCAGAGATGTCCGCAAGAGCACGTCGACGACCTCGGGTACTATCCCTGACCGTCAAAAGACAAAAGGGTTAAATGGCCCAACATGGATTTGAACAACAGTATCCTGATCTTTGATAGTGATGAAAAACCTCCTTTTTAACTTAATATCATGGCGCGCTTTCTCATTATTGGTATTGCATTGATCGCCGCCTTGGGCGGGCTCATCTATGGCATAGACAGCGGTGAGCAACACTGCTCTCATCAAAATCTTTATATCAAATGTAGACTAATAGGTGGCAATAGGTATCATCGGGACGACCTTGGGTCAAGATAGTTTCAAGCTTTACATGTTTGGACCATCTAAAGCAAACGCATCTCTCTCAGGTAACCAGCTTCCCCTATTCGAAGCATGAATTACATCAACTCAACGGTTATCTAGGTGCAATCGTCTCTTGTTACAATGCCGGCCAAGCTCTTGGAAGCGCATCTGCAGGCTACCTCGCCGATAGATTCAGCAGAAAGTATACTATCCTTATGGCTGCAATTCTTGGTAAGTTGTCCGCTCTGGGGTAGTAGCTTTGGAGCCACAGACTAACTTGCTGTCAGCTGCGGGAAGTGCAGCAATACAAGCTGGTGCCATAAACATTGGGATGATGGTTGCCGGCCGTGCCATCGCGGGCTTTGCTTGCGGGCAGATACTAAGTGTCGTGCCGGTCTACATTTCCGAGATCTCACCCCCAAAGCAACGAGGTTTTGTCGTCGGCTTGCAAGGAATGGCAATCGCTTGCGGGTTTGCTGCGGCCAACTGGATAGGATATGGAGGGTCATATGCCTCCGGTAATGCTCAATGGAGAATCACCCTATCCATGCAGATACCAGCTGCTGTCTGTCTGGCTATTGGAATCTTATTCGTTCCATTCTCTCCTCGATGGCGTAGGTTTCTCAGACGAATAATGTCCACGGGTGTACAAATATACTAACAGGTTATCCACTAGTAATCCAAAAAGATCGCTTTGAAGAAGCACAACGAGGTATGTATTTACTACAACCTACCTTATACCTACCCAGCTAATAATCATTGTAAAGTCCTATTAAGACTCCACGATGCAGAAGATAACCACGACATCGTCAACCAGGAGATCATCCAGATACGGGAACAAATCAATCTCGAGAAAATGCAAAACGACTCATCTTGGTTCTCAGCAATCGCCAAGCTCTTCTCCCGACAATACGTGCGCCGCACAGTAACAGCCTCGTTCATCCTCGCGATGACCCAGCTCAGCGGCTCGCAGATCATCCAGAACTTCCAGAACATCTTCTACGCAACCGCGGGCTTCAAGGGGCAGCAAGCTCTCCTGATCTCCGGTGTGTACGGGATGATGGGCGTGATCGGGCAGGTCCTATACCTCGTCTTTGTCGCAGACAAATGGCCCCGCGCGAGGACAATGTGGACTGGGTCCCTGGTCCTGTGCGTGATGATCGCCATCTGCATGGCGCTGAGCGCGGTGTACGGCGGACAGAGCGGCGGCGACCTTTCGGGTGCGAGGGGCGCGATCGCGTTTATCTTCCTGTACTCGATGGCGTACGCCGTGTTCTTCAACGCCGTGGTGTGGGTCCTTACCGCGGAACTATTCCCATTCTTCCTCCGCTCGAAGGGCGTTGCCGTGGCTGTGTTTATAAAGGCCGTTGTTGCTATTGTGCTATCCCAGATCACACCGCTCGCTATTGCGGCTGTTAGTTGGAGGTACTATTCCCTCTTCATCGCGACGAATTTCGCGGCCGCGGTTGTCTATTTTTTCTTCCTGCCTGAGACGTCGGGGAAATCACTTGAGGAGATTGCGGAACTGTTTGGCGATACGTTGGCTACGGGCCATATTGGGGAGATTGATGTCGATGCAAAGGGCATTGAGTTGGGTGAGCCGATTGTTGAGACGAGGAGTAGGGTTTAAATATAATATGTGAAAATGGAATGGAATGATTTGGCGGGGTGGTGATGACATATCAGCATGATATCAGCATATATGCTATATTTGAATAAAGTTTTCTTAATAATATGAAATTAGCGAGTGGAGAGCTTTTCAATAACTCAATTGAAATAGATCCACTAAAACTTTCCAATCTCTAAACTTTTAACGGAACAAAACTCATACACAAGACCTACCGATTTCACCACGACATGCCGCATGCTTAATCAAATACTAGATATTCTTGCATATCTACATATACGCGACCAACTATAATCCCTCAAATGAACGCCCACGCCCTCCTGACCGCTCAAGGGTGGCGGGGCACCGGGCACTCGTTACACCCAACAAGCGACGATAAGGGACTGAAGCACCACCTACTGATCAAGCGCAACGATGACGGGCGCGGTCTCGGAAGCAAAAAGGATCACAAGCAAGAAGCATGGTGGCTCAACGCCTTCGACCAAGCCCTCAAAGGCATCGATACCAAGACCGGCACGATGAAACAGACATTGCGCGGTGGTGCGCTGGAGAAGATCACAGCGAAGGGCGCGGCTGGGAAATATACTGGCACGAGCGGTTTATACTCATGCTTTGTAAAAGGGGGCATGATGGAGGGAACCGTTGGGGTGAAAATGGTGACGGGATTGCCTACGCCGCCGGAGAGCGGAGTGGGCACACCGGCTGCCACGAACAGTAGCACGGACGAGGACGAGAAAGAAGAGAGGAAGGAAACTAAAGAGGAAAGGAGAGCAAGAAGAGAAGCGAGGAGGTTGAGAAAGGCGGAGAAGCATAAGAGGAAAGATGCGGAGGAACGGGCGGCAAGGAAGGTCGAGAAAAAGAAGGCGAAGAAGGCTGAGCGGCAACGGACTCAGGCTGGTGAGACTAAGGAGGAGCGTCGTGCGAGGAGAGAGGCGAGGCGGAAAAGGAAAGAGGAGAAGAGGACGCAGAGGGCGAAGTCTGGTGGATGAGAAGGCTGTGGTTTCTGGGATACAGTTACATGAGATCATCTTCCTGGTCTTCTGTGAAAGGCGCTTCTGCTGTTGAGGTTTTCACATCTTACGAAGTCCTCCACTTCGTCATATGGGGGGTCGACTAGACGGCAATCCGACAGACGTATATGCCGAAGACTACCTAGGTGTACAAGATGGTATATATCCAAGTTGCCATTTATCACAAGAGGATGAACAGCTCGCTTATTCTAGTTCGTGCTCCTCGGTGGTAGCCGGCGTTCCATAATACCTCTGGTATTCGAACAGGATAACGATATATATGGTTACAATAGAAGCAAGCGATAGCATGACAATGGCAAGGATCTTCGACGTGTTTTGGTCGTCGTCTTGTCCATCTCGTTTGAGATCATCCATATTTTCCATTCGTTTTCGGTAAATGTCTAAGGTGGCTCTAGGAAGGTGATATGTGAATATGAGTAATTTTATTATGTTTCCTTAGGGATCGCTCCTGGTTTGTTGGACAACAACCAAGGTCGTCTCTCCCAGAAGTCGTCCTTTATAATGTCTACATGATCAACCAACACTCTAGCTTTGGCACGGCGCTTCTTGATATTATCCTCCTGAGTCTTGGACTGTTGCACTGGTTCCCCTAGCTGATCAACAGCTGTTGCCACGTCATGAGTGCCTGGCTCAACGAGTTCGTACTGGTCATTGTCAGTATGTGGTCATGCCAAGTGTTGTCGAAGGTAGAACGAACATCTCGATATACTACACTCCCCTTCTTAAAGATCTCCGGTTCGTTGTTGTAGTTGATGTGGAATCTCGAGAATAACATCTCGTTCTTATCAGCAGCGAGGGTCCCCTGGATATTGATCAGTCTGAGTCTGACTTCTCTGCGGAGGAATGGCGTCCTACCGATAGCAACTTCTCTGCATCCTTCGCATTGACACCTCCTATTTGGACAAGCGACCAAAATGTAGTGTTGTATAGATTGTTGATGTGACCTTTGAGTTGATTAATGCCACGGACTTGGCAAGCCACTTATGGAATACTTACAGTCTGCTTGGCGCCAGCTCATATAGTCGCGTAGGTTTTGTACGTTGGGGTAGCAAACGGCTCGGCCATCAAAGCTAGGAAGGGGAGGAGATAATGGCGTGTCTGGGAAATAGGTTGCCCATAGATGGATATAATAGGCTGTGAATGTTGAGACAATTGTCGAAACTATCTTGCTGTATGTCTCAAATAAGTTACCTTGATATTTTCAGGTATCGTAACCTTTGAGAAACTTACCTGGATCTCCTTTCAAACAGAGCACTTGACTTGTGGAAAACGAAACTGAATTCGTCGCTAACGCCATATGCGATTGTAATATCATGGATCTCACTCACGACTGCTTTGGCAGCAGCATTCATCAAGTCAAGAGCTCTACGATCATTGGGTTTTTCGAAATTATATTTGGCGCATAGTCTACCTCACATAATAGATCAGAATGAGACTATAGATGCAGGGTTATCATATAGGGATTTTACTTTGTGAAGCCTCTGCCATCTATTCTAACCACGATCCAGGTATTGGGCAGTAAGTGGTCGATTTGCTCGAATTGCTTGACATATTCGAATCTGAACATGAAGAGTTAGGTATTGATATTATATCTAGAAGTTGATCTGAAGGGCGTAGCCTGCCTTGAATTAGCCATCACACTTATTTATCTGTAGACAACTGCTGGTAAACGATGTGATATGGCATTTGGATAGTTGAACGGATTAAAAGTCGTAATTTTGAATTAACAACCCGACGAATATATAAAATAAATGTACGAAGTACCGTCCGGCGTAAGTAACGGGGCACTTGTACCTAGCTTCAGCGAGTACATCCGTCGATCTACGCTCTAAATTTGTGCTTGATTTGATAGTGGGGAAGCGGTAGCGGGGATTCCCTGCCTACCTAGATCCTTGCAAAAATGTACAATATCTGCATGAGCTGCAAGGCTATCAAGGTACCTACTGCTGCATATTTAACGGGAAGCAGCCCTTGATAATATTATCCATTGATTCAAACCTCGAAATTGTTATTATCTTAAAGCGACATAAGATCCGATTCGTCTACAAACAACATTGAACTAACACGTCATAAACCCAATTACCTCTCCTACTGAATCACGGAACATGATCGCGTCAACATGAATCTGTTACTTTCTGACGATTATCTACTTCAGGATTATCCTGAGAATATCACCAACACAATCCGATCAGGTCACACAACATGCCTACGATTCAATCGAAAAGGTGACTACCTAGCTTCGGGTCGTGTCGATGGCACTGTGGTGGTTTGGGATTTGGAGACCATGGGTGTGGCGCGGAAGTTGAGAGGTCATAGAGCGGCTATAACTTCACTTAGTTGGTCTAGATGTGGTCGTTATTTGTTGTCCGCCTGTCAAGGTTGGAGAGCAGTTCTGTGGGATCTACAAGATGGGACCAGGTTTCGAGAAGTGCGATTCCGTGCGCCCATTTACACGGCAGATTTGCATCCTTGGAATCAGTAAGTATAGCTCGGCAACAGTAACATCATTTCCATGATCGCTAACCATAATGTGAATATAGTCAAATGTTCGTAGCATCCATATTCGACGAACCTCCATCGCTAGTCGACATGACCGGTCCGAGCGACGTTAAACATACACTCCCCTCTGCGCCAAAGCGTACTAATACCGACGCCGACGCAGCGACCAAGGAGAAGCAAGCGAAAGAAGATGCAAAACAAATGACTACGGCGACAGTGTGGACAGCCACTGGAGACCATATCCTCGCGGGTACAAATAAGGGTCGCATCAACATTATAGACGCTACAACTCGCGAGATTATATGGTCAGAGAAGATATGTAGTTCTGTAGTAACTACGTTACGATTAACGGGATCTGGGCGTGAATTACTAGTTAATTCTCAAGATCGTATCATCAGGACTTTCCATCTACCGAACCTCGCAGCAGAAGACCTCGACCCAGATACGATACAGATGCCACTCGAACACAAATTCCAGGATGTCGTTAATAGACTTTCTTGGAACCACGTCACATTCAGCGCCACTGGAGAATACGTAGCCGCGTCTACGTATAACAATCACGAATTATATATATGGGAACGAAACCATGGTAGTCTGGTTCGAATGTTGGAGGGCCCCAAGGAGGAACAGGGCGTCATTGAGTGGCATCCGCACAGGGCCGTATTAGCCGCCTGCGGGCTTGAAACCGGTCGCATTTACATTTGGTCGGTAACTACGCCGCAGCGCTGGTCGGCGTTGGCACCGGACTTCGTCGAGGTGGAGGAAAATGTCGAGTACATAGAGAAGGAGGACGAGTTCGACATTCATCCCCAAGAGGAGATCAATAAGCGCAGGCTGGATCAGGAAGACGAGGACATTGATGTATTGACCTTAGACCCGAGTAAAGGTTACGACGAGGATATCGATGGCGCGGGATTTCGAATGCCAGTATTATTCAATCTCGGCGAGAGTGATAGCGAAGAGGAGTTCGTGGCGGTATCGACAGGTACCGTGCGTCGCAGAAGCCTAGGCGAGGGTCAAGAGGGCGAAGCTCCCGACGAGGAGAAAGTAGCCGGAGGTAAGAAGGTTGCTGGGAGGGGTACAAGAGGCAGGAAGAAGTAGAGTAGCAACAATCTGTCAATACCAAAGATATTCAGTATACTTGATTGCAATGAAAAATGACATGAAAATCCTAAGCATATCCATTTCTACCAATCGTTTCTAGCTGTTTCTGTGTCTAGTAGGGGAATATCTAACAAGGTGAATAAATAAAGGTACATAGAGGTATATAATGTTAGCTATCCCTAGACGTATTCAAGTATTTAGTACCTGATACCTAGCCATATGCAATGCCGATCCGCGCAGTCCGCGGCATACAATCGCACTTGCCAATTGATTCATCGGCTACCGGGTAGTTGATGTAGCTAATATGTACGAGATAGTTGCACTGTATGTAGCACTTTCCAAGGTTGAATGTTGCACCGGATGCTGGCTCTGGGTTGATTTTCGCGTGCGGGGAGATACGTACCTAACTACGTACCTATGTACCTTACTAAAAACTCGATGTGTGTGAATGTATCAAATCAGCCGCATGGATAAATTTACTTCCGAAAAACTTATTGTTCCCAAAACAGTTTAGCGCGTTCTCGTGGCGACCGTCTTGCCTCACCATCTAGTCAGTCTCCCGACTCTTTCTAAGAACACAGCCATTCAAACCACAACAACTTTTTCACGATTAACGGAATACCTCAACGCGCACCCTGCTTCGCATCAGCTTTCCTGTTGCGACTTTCAGGAATCGTTTGTCGTATCGAGATAGTGGTTTTTTCTTTCAATCATCGCGATTATTTCGTCGACCTTACGCGCGCTGGATTAATTATAATCATTTTCCTCGGGCCTTGGGCCTGGTTGGTAACCACCTCCAAGTACCATCCGACGCGTCTACATTGACGAATAATTCCATCATTCTTTACACTTCTATTTGAGTATCTTCGTTTTTCTCTTCTTTTTACCAATCGAGAAGCCGCTTTACGAATAACGAACCGAACCTTATATCGCGCTCATTTTTCACTTTATCCTGCCTTTGTCTCCGACTTACCTGGACACACTCTTTTTACCTCGCGCATCGATTAGATTTTCATTTGCGATATTTCTTCGCATTCCATCATCAACTCATCCTTTTACAAATTACGAACCTATTCACTTAAAATAATCAACTAGCTATTCTTTTAAGATGGCGAACCTCTACTTTGCGCACTCCGATGCGCCCCTCAAGATCATTAAGGAGATTGTCTTCAGTATTCAATCTCCTAAAGAGATCAAGGACCAAAGTGTCGTGCAGATTATTCATCCTGAGACTATGGATGAGACTCGAACTAAACCAAGAATACAGGGTTTGAATGACCCTCGCCTCGGCTCGCTGGACCGCCAGTATAAGTGTGCGACCTGTTTGGAAGGCATGAATGAGTGTGTCGGTCACTGGGGACATACTGAACTAGCTGTGCCAGTCTATCATCCAGGATACCTGAAGAAAGTCAAGAGAATCCTGGAGATTGTCTGCCACTCTTGCAGCAAAGTGCTCGATGACAGAGTCAGTTTTGTCTTTGCTTTCTGCTTAAATTGCATTTTCTTTGAGCTAACTAGCTTTAGAGCAACCCAGAGTTCTTAGCCGCAGTGAGCGCGCGAGACCCCAAGAAGCGGTTTCACGCTGTCTGGTCCGTCTGCCAGAAGAAAAAGTGGTGCAATAATGAGCAGGCAAAAGAGGACGAAGAGAAGGAGTATGAACCCGGCTCTAAGCCGAAAGGACACGACCACGGTGGATGCGGTAATATGCAACCTGTTGTCCGCCAGACGGCTTTGCAGCTCTGGGGCCATACGAAGGCTATGGGTGAGGATGGCTCCAAAGGAACCAATAAAGAGCTGTTGAGCCCTGCCAAGGTCTTAACTATCCTCAAGAGAATTTCTCTGGAGGACATGCTAGACATGGGCCTCAACCCCGACTTTTCTCGACCCGAGCATATGATCCTCACTGTGCTGCCTATTCCACCACCTGCAGTTCGACCCAGTATTTCGATGGATGGAACTGGCCAGGGTCTGAGAAACGAAGATGATCTGACGTACAAACTCAGTGACATCATTCGTGCCAACAGCAACGTCCACGAGGCTATTCGAACAGCTGCGCCGAAGCACATTCAAGACGAATTTGAGCAGCTTCTTCAGTACCACGTCGCCACTATGATGGACAATGACATCGCTGGCCAGCCCCAGGCTCTTCAAAAGAGCGGCCGTCCTGTCAAATCCATCCGAGCTCGTCTAAAGGGAAAGGAAGGAAGATTGCGTGGTAACTTGATGGGAAAACGTGTCGATTTCTCCGCACGTACCGTCATCACGGGCGACGCCAATCTCTCGCTTGACCAAGTTGGTGTGCCTAGAACCATAGCGAAGACTTTGACGTACCCCGAAACAGTTACGCCATACAACATTTCTCGTCTACACAAGCTTGTTCAGAATGGTCCCAACGAACACCCTGGTGCTAAGTATGTGGTTCGAACGGATGGTTCGAGGATTGATCTACGCCACCACAAGCGCGCTGGTCAAATTAACCTTGAGTACGGTTGGAAAGTCGAACGACATCTTCAAGATGGTGATTATATTATTTTCAACCGTCAACCGTCACTCCACAAGGAATCTATGATGGGACACAGAGTTAAGGTGATGCCTTATTCCACTTTCCGACTGAATCTCTCCGTCACTTCACCTTACAATGCCGATTTTGACGGCGACGAGATGAATCTTCACGTTCCTCAAACCGAAGAAACGCGGGCTGAAATCCGTGAACTCTGTATGGTTCCGCTGAATATCGTTTCTCCCCAGCGCAATGGACCGTTGATGGGTATTGTCCAAGACACCTTGGCTGGCGTGTATAAGATGTGTCGACGTGACGTATTCCTGACCAGAGAAGAGGTCTATAACATCATGCTGTGGGTTCCTGACTGGGATGGTGTCATCCCTATACCTGCTATCCTCAAGCCCCGACCTCGTTGGACAGGAAAACAGATCGTGAGCATGATCATTCCCAAGGAGATTAGTCTCTACACCAAACCAGGATTGAAACGCCCTAAATCATTCGACAACAGTCAGTGGAACCCTGCGGAAGATGAGGGTTTGCTCATCCAGTCTGGACAGCTGCTCATAGGCGTTCTTACAAAGAAGAATGTGGGTGCTGCTAGTGGCGGCATTATCCATCTGTGTTATAACGAGCTCGGTCCTGACGGCGCGATGGCCTTTCTTAATGGTTGCCAGCGTGTTATCAACTACTGGCTCCTACACAATGGTCATAGTATCGGTATCGGCGATACTATCCCAGATAAGGTCACTATTGCCAAGGTTCAACATGAAATTGACCAGCAAAAGGCCGAGGTGGCAGATTTAACCCTCCAAGCAACAGCCAATCAATTGGAAGCTTTACCTGGTATGAATGTTCGAGAAACATTTGAGAGCAAGGTTTCTAAGGCTTTGAACTCTGCGCGAGATAAGGCCGGAACTGTCACGGAGAACAGTCTCAAAGACAGCAACAATGCCGTCGTCATGGCCCGCTCCGGTTCAAAGGGTTCATCTATCAACATCTCACAGATGACTGCTCTCGTTGGTCAACAAATTGTTGAAGGCAAACGTATTCCTTTCGGTTTCAAGTATCGTACTCTTCCTCACTTTACCAAGGACGACTATTCTCCCGAAGCCCGTGGGTTCGTCGAGAACTCATATCTGCGTGGTCTTACTCCTTCAGAATTTTTCTTCCACGCCATGGCTGGTCGTGAAGGTCTCATTGATACAGCCGTCAAGACGGCTGAGACTGGTTACATCCAACGTCGTCTTGTCAAAGCCCTCGAAGACGTATGTGCGCGATATGATGGAACCGTCCGTAACTCGCTTGGCGATATCATTCAGTTTGTCTACGGCGAGGATGGGCTCGATGCCATGTACATCGAGAAACAACCTATGGATCATTGGGTCTTGAAAGAATCCGATTTCGAGGACCGCTATCGTCTAGACGTTATGGAAGGTATTCGTGCTCCCGTGCTCGACGCACTAGAGTATGGTCAAGATCTTGTTGGCGACATGCATGTGCAGGAACTTCTTGATCTGGAATGGGAAGCCCTTTGCCGGGATCGTGAGTTCTTGCGAGAATTGAAGAAGAACTCCGAGAAGCTCGAGGATATGTTCCAGCTTCCTCTCAACATTGGTCGATTGATCGAGTCGTCCAAGAAGCTTCTCAAGGTTGATGACACGAAGAGAAGTGATCTGTCTCCTCAAGACGTTATTCCCATTGTGAGAAGTTTATTAGACCGTTTGATTATGGTTCGGGGTACCGACGACGTCTCAGTAGAGGCTAACGACAACGCTACGAAGCTCTTCAAAGCCTTACTGCGTTCGAGATTAGCTTTCAAGCGTCTTGCGGTCCAACACAGGCTTAGCAAGTTGGCTTTCCGACATATCATGGGTGAATTAGAAACCCGTTGGTCTAAGTCCATGGTGAGCCCCGGCGAGATGGTTGGTGTTTTGGCAGCGCAGTCAATTGGTGAGCCTGCCACGCAGATGACACTAAACACATTCCATTTCACTGGTATTTCATCGAAGAACATCACGCTTGGTGTTCCACGTCTAAAGGAAATTCTCAACGTTGCGAGTAACATCAAGACACCTTCGATGATGGTGTATCTAGACGGTTCCACATCCCAGGAACACGCGAAGACGCTCCGTAGTGTGGTTGAACACACTAATCTACGCTCCGTCACGGCAATGACGGAAATTTACTATGATCCTGAAATCGACTCGACCCAAATTCCGGAGGATGAAGATTTCGTCACGTCCTACTTCCTGTTGCCTGATGATAGTATGCCAGATCAAAGTAGACAATCGCGATGGCTGCTTCGATTTGTTCTAGACCGACAGAAGATGCTCGATAAAGGCCTGACTGTAGAAGACGTTGCTATCCGTCTTCGGGAAGAATATCCTAGTGATCTAGCTGTCATTTGCAGCGACAACAACGCGGATCAACAAGTAATCCGCATTCGCCCGATGCCGGAGGATAAAGACGATGCTGAGAAAGCTATCGAAGATGACGTTATGCTGAAGCGATTAGGCGAACATCTTCTAGAGAATCTTACCTTGCGAGGAATCAGGGGTATCGAACGAGCTTTCCTGAACAAGGGAACCCGAATAGCAATTGATAAGCATGGTGCCATGATCCAGGCCAAGGATACCCCGTTATGCGAGGAATGGTACCTCGATACTCAGGGTACAGCTCTTCGAGAAGTTCTCGCCATTCCCGGTGTAGATTCTAGGCGTACTATCACGAACGATTTGTACCAGACCGTCGAGGTTTTTGGAATTGAAGCTGCACGACAGGCGCTTCTGAACGAATTGAGACGAGTGTTAGCCTTCGATGGTTCATACGTCAATGAACGACATCTTGCTCTATTAGTCGATGTTATGACGTATAGGGGTAGTATTGCTGCCGTTACCCGTCATGGTATCAACCGAGCCGACACCGGTGCGTTGATGAGATGTTCTTTCGAAGAAACAGTGGAGATTCTCCTAGAGGCTGCTGCCATGGGCGAACTTGATGACTGTAGAGGTATATCTGAGAACGTCATGCTTGGTCAACTTGCTCCTATGGGTACTGGTCACTTGGACGTTTTCCTCGATCCTAAGATGCTCGAGACTGTTATTTCGGATAACTCCAGGATGGGCTTAATGCCTGGTATGACCATGAAGGGAAGCCCGATGGAAGGTGCGGCGACTCCATACGATACAGGATCACCAATGGCAGACTCCGGTTATGGAATCTCCCTCGCGTCACCGTCGATGGGAGCTGGAAATTTCTCGCCCATCGTTGGTGCCGGCTCGGATTCGCCTTCAGGCTTCGGAACAGAGTATGGAGGATTCGGTAGTGCAAGCCCGTACGGTGGACGAAGTCCTGGTGCCACCAGTCCATTCTCTGGTGGCGCGTCACCTTCGTCACCTTTCAGCAGCTATGGCGGTGGAGGTTACTCGCCTACTTCCCCTGGCGGTAGTTATTCGCCTACATCACCCATGATGGGAACTCGCTATGACAGCTCGCCGCGGTTTAGCCCGTCGTCGCCATCATTCTCCCCAAGCTCGCCTCAGTTTAGAGGTGTGGGTGCAACAAGCCCCTCGTACAGCCCTACCTCACCAACTTATTCACCCACGTCTCCTACATCTCCGAGACATTATTCTCCGACGTCACCTAGTATGAACTCCCCCACATCGCCCAATTACTCTCCACAGAGTCCGACGTATAGTCCCACGTCACCTAATAATCATATGGGAGCAACGTCACCTACATTCTCCCCAGTCTCTCCTAATTACTCTCCCACGTCGCCTATGAGTTATTCCCCAACTAGTCCGCATTACGCGCCTGGAAGAGCGCAACAGTCGCCAACGAGTCCTCTGTACTCGCCCACGGTTCGTTCTAATTCCCGATTGCTATGATATGCATTTCTTACTAACACTGCATGTAGTCTCCTACATGGTCTCCTAAGGAACCTGGCGCTGGTGGCAGTACTAGCCCGAAGTAGTACGTATTTGCATCTATTGTATGAGTTCATGACGATACTAACCAGCTACTGTAGCTCCCCTACCTCCCCTAAGAATGATTAGTCCTCTCCTGCATAGTATACATCCGGCGTCATGCGTATTCTTCATATTCGCATTTAGGAGTTCTTTTTCCTCTCTCTTCTGCCTTCTCGTTTTTACTCGACCTCTATAAGAGGCATAATGCATCATCAAGGAGGGAGACATATTCCTTTGGCATCGACATAAGACTAGAGAGAAGAGCAACAAATCCCGAAAAGTTTAGGCGAAAGGGCAATGGTCTTTTAAAAATTTTCTTCTCTGGTTTATTGTACACTATTCGCAGAGGCATGATTGATTTATACGTTCTTGCTTTTTGCTTGATTTACTCTCCCCCAGACGCGACGCGAACGAAGGGCGGCAGATTGACATTCCGCCATAAACACATTTCTTCTTGGTCGTCTAGGGAGGGCTCAGTGGAGACGATGACGAGACGAGAGCTTACGAAGTGGGGGTTGAGTTATTGTGATCGGAAGGGCAGATAGGGCCGGTGGCTACACTCCAGATAGTGAAATGCAAGGCCTTTTTTCCTCCGAAATGAAGGTTTGTTCATGTGTAATAATACCCTCACACTATGCGGGCGTAGTTGACGTAGCTCGGCTTTTTCGCCTCTGCGTAAATGAGTTTCGGAGGTTGATTAGGTATTAAGTCGAATCAGTAAAATAAAAGTACTAGGTAGTAATGGGTAGTAAGTAAATGCCAGGTACGATAGTAATAAAACGTTGTTATTAAATTTGCCCCTATTCGTACGGCCGACTGTGGTTTGAGGTTTGGTGCTTTTTAGATTACGCGGGCGGTATCCGCCTCTTGGACTTGTGTCAGGTGAGGCTACTATCCAGGTAGGTAATGACATGGGGAATTTTCCAAAAGTGCGTAATTACGATGCCGGCTACGTATCTCCAGAGGTTTTCGCGGCTTTGCCACACGTGGACATTACACATATTTCGCTAACTACTAGGTACTGACCCAGTATCTACCTACCTACCTACTCATGCCTTACTAACTACATGACGATGTTGTATTCCGAGATGTCACAACTGTCACTCAGGTTGGGGCCGATTCTGTTTCAAATGTCGGACTAGAGAATTGTGTAAGATTCATTCCACGCACGGTTAGTTAGTTAGTTAGTTAGGTCTAGGTAGGTCGTTAAGTCATTTCTGCAGGTAGGTATTTGATTTCTCTTGATTATCGCGCCTCCGGCGTACAGTTTCAGCTGCGGAGATTGGCGGAGTGGCGATTCCTTATCTTCTCATTCCTTTCTTTTCTTTTCGTTTTCTTCATCGAATATGAAATCATGGCCCGGGCCGGCTTTAAGGTTATTTCAGGTCCGGTTTAGTCAGAGGGGCGGTCGAGAGTCGTTGCTGGTGAGCGAGGTTCGCGCGTTTCATGAATTTTCGGTACCCGGTTCTGAGCTCGGTCGAGCCAATAGGGGGACGGTGGGATGGTCATGTATGTCATATTAAGTACCTAGCTAAGGCATGGAAGGTCCGTAGGTAAGGTAAGACGTGGGTGGCGGCCGGCGCCTAGAGACCTGTTACGTGCCGTGGGTAGGTAGGTGAGGTGGTATGCAGCTCGCTTACATACAGCCCTATAGGTACATTCTTCTGCCACATGGCGTACCACGTGAGCGTGAGAATGGGCGCCGATGCTGTGCGACAACAACCTTGTTTAAAAAAGAAAGAAAAGAAGGCCATGCATTTCCGGTTGTCACATGGCAGATCGCATCCTGTTCCCTTCGCGGAGGGGGCTTGGGAAGAGATCACTTTTCCGGCCCCCAAATCGTGATGGATCGTCCGCGGACCAAAAAGCTTGCCTTGCTTCCTTGGCACCTCCTAACATAAGACCCTCTGAGACATGTCGGGATTGGTCCAGAGGTTTTGGGATCTGGGGTCGTAAGGCTGGAAAGGTGGTGTGGTTGGGATTCGGATCCATCAACGGTAGTTGCGATAGCCCTACGTGACATGCATGTCAGTGGCTAGGCTCATTGTACAACACCATCTGCATTCGTATCGCGTATTAGTAAGTATCTAGGTATGTATGTATGTAGTTCCCAACAGCCAGGATCTAGCGAACAGGTCCATCTGGCCTAGAGATAATTATAGAATCCCGTGACTAAGTCGTTCATTACGTTAGCCAAGTCAGCTAGTAAATCACGTTTCAACTAGAAACAATATTTTTCTGTAGATAGCTAGCTAGGTATGTATACTAGATTCGGGAACTGCTTTTCTTAGTAAAGTCGTTGGCGGGAAGCCCGCCATGTGGTTAAGCTCCCCCTTTGGCTTATATATTAAAAGTGCTCTCGTGGTGAAAGTTACTCGCATAGGTGCGATGTTGCGTTGTAAGGGGTGGACGAAGCTAGGTGAGATTTTACCTTGTTTCATGGTGAATAAACGCCGGACCCGTGCATAATACTGATCTAGATCTGGGGTCGTCGCGCTAAACTTCTCTCCTTCATACACTAGGTCATTTAACTTGGTAAGCGCGCTGTATTCTATAAGATTTAAATTGATCAGCGGCGTAGAAGTGGTAAGACACGTGTAGAAGGGTTTAATCTGCAGAAATATCGGTAGTCAGGCTCCTGGGGTATCTGTAGATATACGCATGCTAAGAACGCACGTCAGCTAAAGTATATCGTTGGTGACGAGGAAATAAAGATGGCAAAACTAACCACTCGCTTTCGCGAATCCTTCTTTGCGCATGTTTTTATCAACGTATCCTCTTCTAGGGTATCGTGTAGGTTGATATTGTCTTTAAAGTACCATAGATCCTCTACCTCCGTGATTGTCATTTGATCGGCTCGGAGATCCGTTAAGTATGGAGACTAGGACTTCGTGGTCAGCAATGCAGAACGATTGCATGTGGCGTTGAACGTTTTAACCTTCTTCTATGCAGTGAGATCCAGCGTCTAAACCCCTGACTAGCTTGGTATGGGAGTTGAATGCCTGCATATAAGAAAGCTGCGGCTGCGGCTGGGAGGAAGGATTGCTCTGATCTTCGGAAATCCTTCGTCGCTTTCGAGATCCATCTGCATAGCTTATTTCTACCTAGTTCAACGACACCCAAAGAGAAATAAATTAGTATATCACTGTAGATTTTCTAAAGGATCGTTAGATGCTCACGCAAACGAATCTCACCAACTTCACATACAACAGGCGACCTAAACAGTGAACAGCCATCTCCTCGAAATCCTTACCCGAGTGTTCCAGGCGATTTATACGCGTTCAGATCGGTATGTCCTGCGCTGGAATATATTCGAATATCGACTAAGGATAGTAGACGGATTCGATATAAACCGCTCATTTAGTTATGCAACTACGGAATAGTCAGTACGCTCGTCAGCACGCCTACTTTGTATAGCTAGATGCGTCAGTGAACAATAAATTGGGGTGAGTAAAAGGACCAATATTACCTGCTGTTTCGCAGGCCAGACAACTTCATCCACGCGCGCTTTTCGCGAAAGAATACGGATGGAAGCTTCGATAACTCATTCAAGGGTACTTTGGTACAATTTAGCTGCCACATCGACTTTTTTTAGAGAGACATGAAGATACGATGGCAAACAGCCTGGAAATTGAAACAATACGACATCTCGAGGGTTCGTTACCCAAAAATCGCATAGGAATGAACATGATAACAAGAAATCAAGATAGGCATCATGCAAGACAACGTGTATGGTTTGGAAACTGTGCTGTCTCGGTGCCACATGAAGAAATTTCCCCCAGTATACCACAATAGCTCGAAATGATATGAAGGCTTTTGAACGTGCGGTCACCTTGATACATGATGGGCAAGTTCGATGGGACATACTAAAGCTCGCCAAGAGGACTTAATATGAAACCCGGATGGCTACGATGTTTTTCGAAAGCGCCTTGTCTTCCAATTAGTTCGATGAGGCGGAAATAGGTAATGTAACTTCGGGAGTGATGAGAGCATAAGAGCAAATATCTAGCGGCTGCTGTAAGACCTCGGACGAGAGAGATCCTGCCTTATTCGATTCCGTGCCCAGTGAAATGGCGGCGCTATGTCGATATTGCAGTTGTGCTTCGACGTGACACCGTAGCTAGATTATGCGGTTGGGTGTCGTCGGTAATCAAGATGCCGTGTTGGTAAAGCAAGAATTACACCGCCAGAAACGCCCGAAACAAAAAGCGGTATCGTTTTTCAAGAGAATAATGTCTCATGAAAATTTGGTTAGTGATTACCTAGGTAGTTTTTGAAATACCGCCCCGCGTAGTTGACTCATACCGGTGGCATGAACTTGATATGGTGATGGTGGTTCGGTAAGATTGGTAGGGTAGCTTAGAAATGAATACCTACCGGTGATAGGTGTCGATGACTGATGACTGATGAGGTCGTTGTGGAACTTCCATGTTTCCAAGAACCAAAGTTCCCTCTGGTCCCCTGGCCCCTGCCACCCCTGCCTTAAATGCACGAGAAAAAAAGAAGTTCCCCGAGTGCCTGGGTGTAACCTTGGAACCTAAAGCTAAACCGAAAGGACGTGGCTTTGATTGGACGCCCTACGGCATTTTGAATCTTGATACAAGGCTGACAGGGCGAGGTCGATGAGCTTAGATTATAGGGCAAGCCTAATATGACTTCATGTGATGCGGTTGACCAACTTGACCAATCCGCGACCTCCCCTGCTTTTCGGCCGTAATTCCTATAAGATTTCATGTGCAGATTAATGTGAGTTGGGGGTTTGGCGGGCTTGAACACATCAGTTATGTATATGTCAGAATTTAGTCTTGACCTATCGCGTTAATATTGGCGAACTAACAAGTTAATTCATAACCCTCACGTTCTTACAGTTGGAACTATTGCGAGAGCCTTAAGATTATCTCGAGATCTTAGCCGCTTCGAGGAATCTTATTGGTGGCCGACACGCCGTAACCGCCCGACACGTTTCGACTAGCTAATATCATGAGGCTGCAAGGTTGGTGCATGAGGTGGTGATAATTGCAGGGGTTTTGACAGCTGCTTGCTCATATGTCGGGTTAGATTACCAGGTTCAACGGGAAGGAACCCGCTCTAGCCGATCTATGACGGAAGCGTGCTGTTCGTAATCACCTAGAACCGAACAGTAAAGGTATTCATTACCATCGTCGCAAAGAATTTCCAGGCCGGATTTCGGTCGTCCAAGTGAATGGTGCCCCTTGCTTAAGTAACTTGCTATTTTCGACAGCCCCCGATGTTGGTAGTGAATATAATAGTTAGGCAAGGAAAGGTGGTTGTCTTTTTAGGCTACACCGGAGTACGCCGGAGTACACCGGAGAGTTATGTATGTGTAAGCCATGTGCTCACGGAGTCGAAACCGATGAAACCACCATTACTTGTCAGCTATTGATTTGCCGATTTACTTCAACCGGACTAAACGAATAGGGCATTTAAGCAGTCAATTGTTGGTTTGCCATTCCACACCGTTATTCGGTGAGTACATAGCGCCGATTGGGCTCGTAGACGCAGCTTTCCATAATACATAGTACCAGTACCAGTACCAGTCTTGGGTTTAGAAGTAGTTGAATGCCTAGGTACGTAGGGAAGTACCTGTATGTAGGTACCGGTAGCAACGCTAAGTTGCATGAAAAAATAAGAGCTTGTGAGGGTGTTACAGCGTTAGTGACGGAATAAGAAAGATGCTAGACAGAAGAGGAAAAGGCCAAGGGAAGACAGGTGTAGGTTGCCTCGGGAAAGGAAACTAAAAGCTCGTAAAGATGCGGTGTAATATAGTGACAGAACACGATAAATGTGTTATATCGTATTTATCGGGATCGGGCCGCACAACGGGCCAACGCGCATTCGACGATGGCGCGGCTTAGAACGAGTATCCTACCTAGGTAGGTAGGTACCTATGCACGATATGTAAAATACAGAGCCAGTGCAGCCCCGTGTTAGCCACGAGCCCTCCCGGCCCCAACCCGATCTAGAGGGGTTCCTAGGTAGGTGATAAAATGAGATGGAAATGAGCATCAAATTAGGCGGTCGTCGGCCCGAGACACATGCTTGACGGCGAAGTCATGCTGCTAAGCGCGATGTCCACAGGGCAGACAAGGTTGACCAGGGTCGGCGAGGGTTGGCGAGGGTTGATGTCGGTATGGCATTTCTATTGGTTTGGGAACCGCGGTCAGTGAATAACATGCTAAATACGTGACTACCGATCCCAATACGGACGATGAATTTGGCCGAATTGGTAATCTAGAAACCTTCCTTGTCAGGCTTGCCAGGGGCGAAAACGCATGTCCGATATCTAGATGACTAGATGGGTGGATGGGTGGATGGGTGGATGGGTGGTTGGGATGATGTGGGGGAGGGGGGATGCAAGCAATCAAGAAGTGGGAGAAAATGGGAAAATGAGATCTTACGAACTAGCCGGCCCCTTAATTCTATTTACATATCTCCTTAAGCCGTGTCGATCAGCGCCATATGTACATAAGTACATAATGCTTCACGTTCTTTTTCTTTTACAACAATATATGTATACATGTATTTAGTATCTAAATTACTCAATTACATCAATTGACGTCTGGATTACATACTCGCTGCTCGAAGTAAGAAACAGTAGGTACCTCTTTCTACGCATATGCCTCGCAGTTGCCTAGGTATAAGTGGTGAGTGTACTAGCCTGCTAGGTACTAGGACGCAAGGGATAAACTATAGCTGCCCGATCTGGGTTAAATGATTGGTTAACGCCTTGACGAAGAAGTAGCGACTGCTCTCAATGGTTGATCATCAATTATTATTATCCTTAATCCCTTTATTCTTTCCTCCTATCCCTCGCCCCTCGATAATCACATGATACAAGGTAGCTGCGACTGTTATATGCAATTCAGTTCAAAAGGAAACAGCGGGATCTCTTCCCAACCTATGCGGCGCTTTTTTGGGTTTTTTTCGCGACGTCAGCTCCTATCACAGGATCTACTTATTCCAAGGTCACTTTGTTAGTTCCATCGGCCATGGCCCTCATAGCATAGTTCCGGGCATTTCTGGATTCCTACCTGCTCTGCCTTGCATTAATTACCCGTACTTCGGGTAGCTGCTTCTGCCCGTTGAAGTGGCCGCTCAACTTCCTTTCCGTATGCCACCGTACATATGCCAGGTTGAGTTGTGTCACGTACTACCGGCCTACCGCAACTTAATCCGATGTTGCCAGCCGTTTTTTTTTTTTTTTTTTTGCCATGCCATACCATACCATACAATTCGACGCGAGTTTCGGTGCACAATTCGTAGAAAGCATCGTAGTAGAGTAAAAATAGTAATGCAATTGGAAGAAGATCAAAAGCTTTCTGAATCTATCCCGCCACCGAACGCACCATAGCCTTCCAGATCCTCTCCAGATCCCCTGTATCGTAGGTCCCGAATCGAATTATCTCCGACTAGACAAAGAAAGAACGTGCGCAGTACCATTGTCCATTGAATCCTGACTCCAGGCCAGACTTTTTTAAAACTTGAAATGACATGAAAGAAATTGAGGTATCGATGCGATTGCTCGCAAAACGCTCTTTAGTCCTGCACCCATGCTCGATCATTTAATCGTGTACCCTTTGGTCATCATGCTTGTCTAACCCTGTGACTAGATAGGTATGTGCCTAGATAGAAATCCAAGTTAGCAAAGTGTGAACGGTAGTCGTTGGATTTAAAGAGAATGTGCTCTATTTCTTACCTTTGGTTAGGCGCATTTATCGCATGGGCCGTCGTAGACCTCGTCCTTGTCATCATATCCCGCAGCGCATGTTCCAAATGTGTTCGGCGATTCGGCGCAAGAAACTGGGCGGTCTTCCACGCAGCCGCATGAGTACTTGACGTGGTACAGCTTGCACATTTTGAATATTTGTGGTAAGGGACGATAGTTGAAAGTTTGTTTCGAAGGTATGAGTCTATGGTATTGTGCATTAGTAGATTTTCGTGGCAGTTCATACAAGAGGAACGAACCGGTATTATCAATCTTTGACGAGGCAGTCGATATCGAGCAAGGGAAGTTGCGATGATGGTTCGGTTGAAGAAGGTAATGGTAGATGTAGTTGATGAGTGTGATGAGGAGAAATAAGTTTGAGTATTGCGGTGGGTGGAAGGTGTAATTTATAGATGAATTGTAGGCTCGCGAACTATCTTGAATATATGACTGAACAGATAGATTGTGAAGTGCCTCGTTTGAAACCCGAACACACTGAAAGTAAGCGGTTTTTGGCGCAGTATATCGGTTGGTAGACTGCTCTGACGTATCGTCACAATGGTATATCGAAAGATGACCCTGTTGGGAAAGAATGCCTCTTCTCGGGCTAGAGTGACAGGTGGGTGTGTATAGATGGGCGATACCTAGTCATCATCATATTGCCAACACGTAGTATCTAGAGGAAGGGGGGGAAGTGAGCTTTCAGCTGCAGTTAGACGGCTGAATATGTCGTCGAGACGCGTGGGAGTGGTGGGGAATTGGAGTCGACGTTCGAACGAACCATTAGTACTATAGTACTGAACTTGCCCGGCCGTCTCTCTTCGTCAGGTACGCAGCCCCAAAACCACCCGTGTTATGGTCTGGATACCGATGGGCAAGCAGGGGTCTTTGCGGCGTCCCGATCCAGGTGGAGATAATAATAATCAAATATAAATCGAACTTGAACCAATGGGTGGGTGTTGGTATCCAGATGCAAGGTAGGTAGTCTAAAATCCATCAACCTAGCCAATTCGATTAAACAATTGAGAACAGCCTCTGTTTCCCGCAAACTTATAGGTGCCTAGAAAGGCATGTAGCGAATCCCTGGTCTCTCCCGTTTGCTACGTTCATTCTCTTATTGTAACAGTTGGCTTGGTTAATTTCATTACCATACTTAGGTAGGTAGTTATTATCATGTACTACCACCGGTAGGTATCGCCGCTAAGCAACGGACAATCGTGATAGGCACCTATCCAACAGTGGTTTCTTCACCTGTCTAGGACCTGAGGATTGCCTAGAAACCATTTATGGGTTGTCAAGGTCATCGAGGCTTATTCGAGTGTTAGTTCTGCTAAGGGACGCCACACAAGTAGAAGTAGAAGTAGAAGTAGAAGTTTGCAGCAAGTAATAATCGGACCCAATGCTTTAGTCAGGGTGAGGAATTACGTACTTAATGGCATACCTAGTAACCTTCCCGCGATGCTTGCCTGTCTGTCAGGTGGAAGTGGGCGGGAGGTACAAGAGGAGTGTAGATTGGCATATCAACGACGGACAGGGTTAAACCAAAAAAATTGAAGGGACTAAAAAAATTATTAAAAAAATAAATTGTTTGAAGCGGATGCACTTCCATGGAAATCCTTCCCGTTGGGACCAACTGCAGGTATGCAGTGGCATACTGAGGTGCGAAGCAGGTATGCGGTAGGTGTCAATACCCCTACCCCTGGCATCCAGAGGTACATGATCCGTGAGATACAACCAGTCACGTTAGTGTGGCTATAACAGCCATAGCTAACAAGAATTAAAAGATAAAAAATAGCGAAATTTAAGTAAGATGGGAAATAATATTTTAAATAAAGGTGGATTGGGGGTAAGGGGTTATGATTTTAGTTTTGGATTTGGTACACAACCTCGAAGTAGTATTCATGAACGGTGGATGGTGGGCAGTACCTGACTATTGACGCTGTATTAAACTGGAAAGTACTAGGTGGTAGGTACGTAGGTACTTCACCCATGGATGTTCTGATGCATCATGGTAGTACAAGTATCCACTCTTCCAATTGGACATAGTGGGGTGCTAATTCTCGTGCCATCCTACTTCTATGGTCATTTTACCTACCTACATCATGGATACCTCCTACTACCTACACACATCAACATTCTATGGTCAATACTGTAAGAATGCAAACAATTCGGTTCCCATGCATTGTGCTACGCTAAAAGGTAGATTGCATGAGAGCCCGGGAGATAAAAGAGAAAGAGAGAAAAAAAATACCCGATGGGTAACACAGCCTCGTACCTTGGTACATTGAATACAGAGGATACTACAGAGGATACGCAGGTACCTTTTCCGCATGCTCCATGCGACGAAGCCCTCTCGAGTTCTGCGTCCGACAGCACCATCGTTCATGCAAAGAACATTCGCTCATCCAGTTTTTCACAAAACGAGGAATCGGGAATCGGGGTCTAAAAGCAAATGATTCCAGAATAATTCCCAAGGCCGTTGCCAGATGACCACTCCTTGTGCCATGTCCATGGTCTATCATCCCTACCTACCTCTGGTCAGGTACTGGCCTTTGTAAGTACCTACCTACTTACCGATGCACCAATCATTGTTCATTATGATGTTATTTACTTACCTAGGTACCTAGTATTTTCATTGCGGGAAACTAGTTGTCATACGTATAAACACTGCAGGACATATTCGACTAGCTGAATGGGACGGGCCGGTTGCCGTCGCTCTCATCTACTAGGATGACATATTCCCATCTACAGAACGATCACCAAAGCCCTAGGCTCATACTTAAAAAGTGATCATAGTCTAGGTTAAGTGTGCATCAAGGGAGAAGAAATGTCATCGAAAATATGTACACGATCCATCATCCCATCATCCCATCATGAAAATCTCTAACCAGATGCAGAACAGCTCTGCATGAAGCAAGGGACAACATGCTTGAACGGGAATCGACGGCACCTACACTCTTTAACTCGGCATCACTTGACAGTTTTCACTGGCTGACCACGAGGTCTTGCCTATTTAAACCCAAGATGCCTGGGTAACAAGTAGGTGGTGGCCGTTGACACCCGAGTGATTATCGGGCGCCGATCTCAGTCTAACCATATCTACCGAGTACTTCGAGATGAAGTAACCACTCTAACTGCCTAGTTAACGTAGGTGCGCATTTAAATGCTATTGTATACTTACAACAGAACTTGCCACCTACTTCTCTTGACCTATGTGGACCCCTGATAGAAAAGTCCACGGGTCTACTAAGTTGCGGACAAGGAGGCAAACATTCAGATACGCCCAATCTCTTACGCGTCAATCGGCATGTAAAATTGCTAATAAATCGGCTAGTGAGTATGGATGATCCCCCTATTTTGGAAAGAGGTGGAGGAGGAGGGGGGACTAAAGAGTAGGTAGTATATTCTTCCAACCAACATCTACTAGAACAGCCTTACGGCCCGCTACCCATGCAGCCGTTCATCCTTAAGTGAGAGAGAAAGATTGAGTAGGTAGATTCATTGCTTCGCCGAATTGCGGCCCCAAAAACGACCCAGTCCGACCAACTAGCTTGATATACCACATATCCAACGTCAGGCTTGTTCTTTAACCTACAGAAATCATGTACCAAGTTACCCTTTAATCTCTAGAAGACCCTCTACGCTGACCGAATTCATTATCGACGGCCTATTCTGCAACCATGAGGCTGATTCCTCTTTAATATCTGAATGCCTCAGGCGAGGCTTTCGAAGTTGGTTGCTGAAGAAAGGGATTCCAATGTATCACCGGCCCTCAAGCTCCCCATATGTTTAATACAGACATGCTCAGGAATACGTCTCTAAAGGTTACTTAGAAGTACACAGTTGAGCCCAATTCGGGACCGATAACTAATCGGTCTCCCGCTTGACCGACTGAGATCGGGGTGACCAATGCCTGTCTTTTTTTTTCATTTGGAGAAGCTGGACTATCTCTATGATCACTGGCGTAACCAATCGCCAAGTGTGACTCGCTGCCTCTAACCCCTTAAATTTCGTACAGAACTAGGTGCGGAGGCCCTTTCCAGTCCTATCACATTCTCTTCTCGCGAGATTACGGATGTTGGAGGCAGATTGCACCACATAGCCCCATGAGCTGGACTTTTTCTACTACTAAAACGAAATACTAGCAGAGTTCTCCTTCACGCCAGCGAATATACCTAGTAATAGCGATTGAATTACTGAAATCGCTTAGGTATTATACATACACATGCTTGGCGCGGCGGGGATCGAGCGGGATAAAGCAAAACTGGGACGTGCCATCACAAAAGCCGAAGGCCTATGCAGCACTTAGCTTCTGCAGAGAGGTTCTTAAGAAGAGATATGCTTCGATTCGATTCAAAGCGGCTTCTAGATATGATGGGTGCATGGCGATTGTGCGTGAAACCAATCAGTGACCAAAATAAGCGCACTCTTTGCATGCCATAGTGTCGGGTCGCTTACCTTTATCATCATCATTACTCAAAATGCAGATTCCATCTCACAATTCTTCGATGAAAAAACTCAAATACACAACGGGAATCATGATTCTATCCAACATTGGAATACAAGCGGTCTTCCGCGCTTGTTGGTGTTACCTAGTCGACACAACGCGGCTAGTCCATCATCGGGCACAGAACATGCTGAAAATATGCGCGATGTCCAACCAACTCCGACATTGACAAACATGCACATATATCGTATGTGTTCGTATACTTAGCAAAGCTCTTATGGGGTTATAAAGTCATGGATATGAACGCAGTTCCTTCGACACCCACTCACGAAGCCAAGGGTTCTGAACAAGAATACTAGGTAGTCAGGGGTCTCCTATTCACATGAACCACCAACAACCTTTACACGATCCTTTTTGGGGGCAACGAACCTCCCTTCGTGTTTCTACCGATCTCGGCCCGACCCTCTCGTGGCTATTTACCTCAGCCTAGTAACTGATTCTCGTGTGATGTCGACAAGTGACCAGGAAGAATCGGGCTCCAACTCGATATCTAAAAGAAGATCGGGGGGATGGTTGACTGCAATAATACCTGCCTAAGATATTATCAATCACTTGTATTGTTTCCATCTTGGTCATGGTACTGAGTTACGCAGTTGGTTCACGCTCAACTCAATGAATTCAACGGCTATGTGTTAGCTTCCCCGGCTTCGGTACAGAGTATGGCGCCGTGACAGTCCGAACTGAGGTGGTATCATGTATTAGAGCCTTCCTTATGTGGTGTCTACTTGCGTATTCGTACCTAGGTCTTGTGTGATCACGGCACGAAAAGAAACCCGAGCTTCCATGAAAAGCTGAATCATAATAGCCAAGTAGAGCGAACGTAACTGTATGTATAATAGGGATGTACCCAGTAAACATGCATATTGTCACTTGTCCCAACAGGTTCCTACTTCTGGTTCTTGGAAACCTGTAAAAGTCAGGCGTTCATCCTCCATATGCAACCGAAAGCACTTGAAATTGACCAATTGACTGACGTCGCTGCCGTCTTCTTCGGACACCCCTATGTCTTCTCGACGACATAATCCCACGCCCGTGGAGACGAAGACGCGTGATAGTTCCAAGGCCCTATTATTTGGGTCTAAAGGATCTTGGGTAGTACAATTAAACTGAACCTTTTTTCTAGGAATGCCTGACTACCTCGTCACCATTTCCCCGTGGCCCTACATATGTGATCATGAGTATGTGATATGAAAAGGTCGCCGGGCGGGATGTGTCAAGTGCCACATACTACCACCTTGCCGTATATGGGCCAACTAATATGAGCAGCCCTGACGAATCACACCCGTAGCCCTAGGTCTACACAAGATTGTAAGCCCGAGCGAGTTAAGGTGAGCTATTATCGACGACATGCCACTTGATCGCAGCCTTCCTTGGAGACCAGTCACTTCTCTTGGGAGATAAATGGGGTCGGAAGGAATAGTGCAGAAGGCATGTTCCGCAATCCCAACTGTGCTCCTCTCTACAACATCACACCGAGTAGCTCGTAGACTATCCATTTTCCTGAGGATGTCTCTGAGAATTAAACAGTCACTCCACATCACCCCACCGCCATAAACCATCATTGTAGGCCCTCCATGGATCACAACCGACACGCACCTACCTACCTAAGCAGGTACCTCCGGTAGTTGCTCTCTCAGATTCTAAACCCACGCGACACCCAGCTCCAAAGCTAGGAGCTCCAAGGCCAATAGACCGAGTAGATTTATCACGTTCTACTTCGCGGCTAGATCGGGCCTAATATCGAGATCTCCTTCCAAACCCTACCCCTGAACAGCAAAATACCGAACACCCGTAGACGTTTAAGCAAGGTAGCTTTTAAACTATTCGCCTATCTTGATAATATAGTTTATGGAGCTAAATCGATGTAAGGGGGATACTGGGCAACAGGCTCCGAATGAGTCTATTTAGGTGGCGGGCTCAATCAGCAACAGGTAGATATCTCACGAATTAAGCTCATCTAAAAGTTAAGAATAAACACGATTAAGGAGAACATAGACTACCAATGAAGGAAGATACCAATTCGCCACCAAGCACAAAAGGCTCATACCACTCACATACCCCTATTATCCTTGTGGGATTTCTACATACCTGGACATATACGAATATATTTCTTATGATACTTCTCTGCCTAAGCATGGTCTGGGGGAGTGTATACAGTCATGGATCTCATATATCACAGCTTCCAAATCTGGCTTCCCATCTTGTCGACCGAGAAGCCGAAGTGAACAATGTTACGAACCGGCAGCTCCGGTTTATTACAGCGCGAGAGCATCAACATAGCAATGCAAAAGACCTCGAGATACATCACCTAGTAGGAGAACGGTCTCGCCACATAAACACCTAAAGACGCTATATGATTCGAGTGCTAATAAGATGTTAGGTCTTTCGGGGCGGCCGTTCCTCTGTCTGAGCACAAGGATCTTCTCTCCTTCATTTCGCGACCTCTTCAGCTTCACCTTTTCCCTGTCCTAAAAGGAAGAGAAGCGCGTTGGACATGAGGCTTTGTCGCATCTATCAATATTGCAATTACGGCATACGAAGCCCCGATACCACATCATGTCTATTGCTACTAGGGCTCAACCAACAAAGAATTTCTATCCGGCGCCGACGACGTAACACCGTCTAGGGGGTTACGATATAAAAATAAACCCATCATATTTAGGAGGCTCTGCTTGTTGCGGCACAAGTATTTCTAGGTATTTTGATACAGAAGTCCCCTGCATCGTACATTCTGCAGCCCGTACCCCGACCTACGGTCCCGGGACTGGGAACTGCCGCGGCACAAGCCTAGGATCTATTGCTAGGGTTATCCTACGTATATCGTCGGTATCAAGATAATACCTCCGTGTCAGCCGGACTGACCGGGCGGCTCTTTCCGCTATATTTGGCCGAGAGGCCTCAATTTTTAATATGTCTGTTGGCTGTGCCTCGCCGATGTTCATTATGAGAATGGCCGGAGCATCGGTCTACGAATGGATATGATGCAACGGAGGCATGATGGCAAATTGACTCTCGAGTTCTATGAGGCTCAATGATTGTAAGTAAAACATCCTTTCTAAATTAATGCGAAATCCCCATGAAAAGGGTCTAATGTTGGTTAGTAAAATGCGACAACTTCTACCGGTACAGCATCCATCGATGATACCTGGCAATTCCAAATCCAGTACTCTCTTAGGTTTGACCATCAGGGCCAACAGAGAGTCGGAAATAATTCCGGGAGTTGTAGAATGATTTTGTTTCAGATTTAGGAAACGCGAGGCTTTCACACGGGACCGTGGAAGTAGTCGTGTAGAATGCATAGCTCGACTTCAATTACACACATATGCTTCAATCTATACGCACCAATCTTAATTATATTCGCTCTCAACTCTATAAAACACTTGAAATTTATAAGAAGTGACCCCCCTGACATTTCATCTTCCCTTTTTCTTTTATCGTTACTGAGAGAGGAGGGCTACCCCTATTCTACAACGAGTTCACCTTTTGGCACATATCCGCATGTAACTGCATAAAATCCACTAGCCTAATTGATGATTAAGCTTCCCTTTCCCTTGATATATTCCCACAGCTGCATATGATAACACTTAGTCGTTCATATCGAGCAATAGGGTATTACGTATTAAAGGACAGGCAGGAGCGTTTTAGGAAGACCGATATCTCCGGGTGGTTCCTGCGTGGCCTGTTCGATCTCGCAGTTGCTCTCCGAACAATCCCGTTAGTGGCTTGGCCCACCCAATGGCAGTGTGTTCAACCTCCGAACTCTGAGCCGTTCTTGCCCAATTCTCGCCGTGATGCCCCGGGGCGACCGGGTGTCGTTGCTGTTGATTTAAAGTCAAAAGGAGCCGCACTTCTCTTCTCCACACCTTCTCGTTCATTGTCATATGTTGTCGGCATACCTGACCTTTAGGATGAGCCGCAGACGACTTCTCGTCCGCCCATCCGCCCGATTCACCGCTGGGAACCGAGGTGTGTACCAGCTTTGACAACTCTACTAATCCCTAATAGGATCGGATCGATAAACCGGAATACATCTTCCAGACCTCGGATATAAGATAACGAGGATAACGAGGATACGATGGCCCTTTGTTGCGTGCTTGTGCCCCGGGTACGTCGATTACTTTATGACTAGCTATTCGTTGCCAATTGTGCACCCCACGTGTGCGTGCGCGTTTTCTCCTCTTGTGCTATGCGCTCATAGCCCGGACATGTGCCACTATGTCCGTGGCGACGACCGTCACGCCCAATCAGCGCGGTAATGGGGGGGATTGATAGCCACTAGCAAGCCTACAAACCCCGGCCTAACACACACTCCGTCGAACCGGGATTGGAGTTCTCAGGATTCTGGATTTCTGGAGCGCGGGCGCGGACTTGCCTGCTGAAACCGTACGCAACCTTGCGGTACAAAAATAATTAAAAACCACTATTACGGCAGGTCTTGGCGACTCACTACTAGAAACGTACACGATGGGTCCATGACTAGTATTCGAGGCGCGCCTGGTATCGGTGTATGTATGCGAAAGAGAGAGAGGGTGTGGGGGGACAAACCTTGGCGGGTCTACTTCCACCCTTCCAACACCTAGTAGGGTCTGGTATTTGTCTATAAAGGACGCATCCCATTCTCTCTACTCTCCTTCTGCTCAAGTTATTCTTCATCCTACAAAGACAGCAACTTAGACAAAGCGCAAGAAACTCAACTGAGCACTTCAAAGTTTTCAAAAGCACAAAGAAACTTCATCACCGACGAAGCCTAATCTTTTGCCTACCTCACCTACGCCACCACCACTATCAGACCTTATACTCCAAAGTCAACGACTTTTCCCACTTAGTCAAAATGCCTGCCCAGAACATCGCTCAACAGGCCCGCAAGAGCCAGCCTCAGATGTTCCTATCTCTCGCTCCCACGACCTCTGCCTCGTACCCCACCGTCGAGAGCATCAAGCCCGCCTCGCACCCCCGTCGCAGCTCCAGCCAGAGCAGCTCCGCTAGCGCCGGCAGCCTGCGCTTCCTAAAGCTCGGCCCCGTCCACTACGGCGAGCACCAAGGCGAGCACAAGGAAGACTTCCACGAGGTCGCGGTCACCGAGTAAATCAACCTAGGCATCCAACGAAAAAAAAATATTTCATGATTTTCACTCTTTCTTCTATAAGCAAGCACTATTAGAGAAAAGCTGAAAAAAGTCTGGCGCTTTTTCATATGGCTCAATCTATCTTAACGACATCACCGACTACTAAAAGTGGTACGATACGATCTGCACATTAGCATGCAACTAAATGGAGGGAGGCTTGATTTCTTTGGCTCCTGTTTCTTCTGATTTCCCTGGCGTTCTAAGGGTCTGACATAGGTGGGCAATGGGAAACGGGCTTGGGGAACGGATGGATGGATGGATGGGATAGGATAGGTTTACCTGAATTACACCTACATACATACATACACACAAACTTTCCATAACATTATGGCACACACACACCTTATGAGTGCGACTTTTGAATCATAAGGTTCCTTGGCGGCTATCTGCGGGAGATTGATTCTTATCTACCTTGGAATGGTGGGAAAAGGATTTTTTATTTTTTTGGGATCGTGCCGTTTCTAGCAGTCTAGCTCAAATAGTATACTGTATTCCAGAATTCGAAATAGAACGGTTCGGTTTTCACATGCGGGACACACAGCAAGCATGTGCTCCCATAGCTTTCCCCCCCTATTTTGCTTCATGTTCATTTGCGCGAATATATGTGGCACAACGTACATACGTCGTAGTAGTTGCAGTCAGCGATCCAGTCAGCCCATGCGCACTAGTGTAATAGTAGAGCGTGTATGTATGTATGTCCAGGGCATAGGTCACATCCCTCTTACATCCCTCCTTTCCCTTTGACGTGTTCCAACTTAGCTGCCTACAGGATAGTGCAATGGGGACCGCATGGAACATCCTCAAATAGTAAGAGTGAGAATTGACGATACCTGTGCATTTGCGCATCGCGTATTTCGTTCTAAACGGTCTCAGCGCAACTCCTGATTGGTTAGGGGCGACAAGCTTGTTCTGCCCCTCCCTTGCTTTTCGAAACACAACGCGGACCTTCTAGACGAGACGAAAGAAGTGTGGACGGATCTACCTATGAACGACTGTGAATGACATCCATATTATTTATCACGCATACCCGGCGATGGCCGTGTCGTCAGCCCAGTCATACTACTATAGTGTGGTTTATTAGGAATAGGAGCGGCCAAGCGAAGCAATAATACGGCATTCCGTACCAAGACGGACTCTTGCGAGCGAGATGTTCTTCAGAGAGTTCAGAGGGTTCAGAGGTGTCTTGGCGGGGGGGAAAGCAGGCACCAGAACAGAGGGGCCAGCAATGACATAGCAGGTATTATTAGCAGTAGAACGGATACGGAGTTAGACAGATTTCCTCTTTTGCCAATCAAATGCCGTTTACGACCAGGACCCTTATCCGCCTTGAGAGTTGCAACGGGCAGAACGGGATGACCACCCCGCCGATCAGATAACTTAGCTCTTTGAATAGCGTTTCCATGCCTGCCATGGCCCACGAGAGGTATGGATTGTGCAACATTTACGGTCCACTTACGCCACCTACTATAACAATCCTAGCTCATAAGGATAGAAAAGGACCCTGGAGCTTACAGCTTACCAAGCCGGGGAGCAAACCGCCCCAGTATATCACAAGCTTTTTTGATTTGTTTCTGTTTTCCTTCTTTCTATTTTTTCTTTCTTCTTCTCTGATCTCTGACCTCAGTTCTGAAACTAAACATCTAATCTTTGATTTCCAAGCTGCCAAGCTGCCGATGACACTTGGCGGTAGTGGTTTGTTTTATTTACTTCCATTTTTAAAACCGAAGAGGCGGATCTATGTTTCAATAGTAGCTAAGATAGCGCCTCTTCTCTTAATTCTTACTACATTCATGTATTACTATTGCGAAGGATACAAAGCTTGTATAAAACAGCAAAAGTACAGCCAACGTACCCGATCGACATAAGAGGCTGAGAGGTATAATGGTATAATCAAAACTCCACCGACATTTTCGAGCATCGCTGGCCTGTAATCAAGAATTGGCTGGTCGATGGCTGGCTGGACTATGCATATTATTAGCTGGGTACATGCAATATACATGTGCATATCTAGAGACATCTAGATTTATGTAGGATGTGCAATTAATACCGGCATATACGTTGCAGTGCAAGCTTTATGGCTGACTTTAGTGTCTGACGTCCATGCTCGCTACCTTATCCACGGCCTTGGGATAGCGCCGGTTGAACCCTCCAACTTCCATTCCTTCCCCCCGCGTCCTACCAAACTTCCACCACTCCTCCTCGCCTACACCGTTCCAGCCTTTCTACCGCACCCTACAACTCCTACGGATGAGCCTACCTACCAGCCTACCGACTTAAACTCGGTAGCAATCTTCGATGACGCCTCGCGTGCGGCAAACCTCGCAGATGCGAAGAGGAATGTGACTTGACTTAACTTGACCTGACTCTAGCTAGAAAACCGAAGGACGTCCGGTCCAATGGGAGTATTTCTACCACCCTGACTACCTCAGAATCCCTCTTATCCCACAGGAAGGAAAGCAATCCAATAGAGCCCGTAACCCCGACCACACGCTATTCACCTAGGCTGGTAGGTACATATCTAGCGCCAGCTCGGCTGTGTGCCGAGACGCCCCCGGACGCGGGCACGTGGACCATTTGAGTCGACGGGAGCGCGAAAAGGTGTGGGAGGGGGGAAGACTCAGAGAGAGAGAACCTGGCAGGCAGGCAGAGTGATGCGACGTGAGGGAGAGATGGCGTCGAGGCCCTTGAGGCCCATTTGGTGTTGCACCACTGTCTTACGATAGATTGCGGCGTGCATACGCAATCTATCTGGGTTACCTACAGCACCTAAAGCGCGGAGGGAGTTCTCCTCGACCCTATGTAAGGCAGCGAACCAAACATTCACGGTATATTGCTTGAATCCCTACTTAGGTAGGCTACGACGTAGGTACCTACTTACACATGCATTTTTGAAATCATCATCGTGGTGAATAATCAGATATGTATGTCAGTCAATTCACGCCGTATCCAGTAAATCCGCGCGAGCTTTTTATATCCGAGTTTGCTACCGATACAGATACAGATACAGATACAGATGCCCAGATCCTTACATGTTACCCTAATCTTCGGTAAGTGTGCGAGATGCCAAGCGCCAAGTGCCAAATTTGAGGTAATGAAGATCATATCTACAGATGTAGCTGTTCATTGGAGCCCTGCGGGATTTTTATATGAAAAGGCTGTGAGTTAAAACTGATACCAACACGCAATAGGCCAGACGAATGAGATCAACGGAATCATGACGTTTGCCCTCTCACCTCAGGGTCGTGCACTAGATTGCCTAGAATATCCTAAATATCTTTGCAAGAGTTGGAGGGGGGGATTTCTAAGTCTTCGATCCCGTTGCACAGCTGCGCGCGTATGATGGAAGACGACAAAGCGTATATTGGGATGATATCAGATATTGATTTGTGTTTGAATCCAACTTGTAGATCTAGTTTTTAGCGTTCCTTAGTATGCATTTCTTAGCATTCCTAGTATTCTTAGTGGCGTAATTCGGCAAAGAAGAAAATCCCAAGCGCTTGGTAATTCAGGTCACTTTCCCTTGGAATACAGAGACATATGACGTCGTGCTTATCAATAAAGCCTTAGGTACTAGGTATCGACAGGCATTCCCCAGACCCCGAATAGGTTGGACTCAATTTGGATCTAATACTAAAAAGCTCGATAAGATTGATTGCTCTAGTCAGGGCGAGCACTGCAAGCGAATCGTTAATAAGCCTTCCATATTTGCCACTTCTAACTGAAACGAGAAATGTATCTTAACGCCCCTTGACAAGCCGAGGTTGATTGATCAGGTCGATGTATAAATCCGCCCAAAGTGGATGTGGATTTATACAATATCCCACTCGACGATACAAATGTACATACGTATCCTCAACCATCTCTTGGCGCACGTACTATGCGTACAGCCCTCCTACAGGATTGCAGATAGGGTATTACTGTATTCGGAGATACTGTTGAGATGCCTAGGCGTCGGTGTTACGCGTATCCCAAACCGCGTAATGAAGCCGAGGTTCCAGACTGCTAAAATCCAAGAAGCAATAATACGCATCCAATATCAAGCTCGTCAGCATGGGTACATATTGTGCGTTGTAGGAGTGCGTTGACGATCTAGAGACTAGAGGACCAATCTTGAATATCCCGTACATAGAGTTGTTTCGTTAATGGGGCATGGAGCTACCACGGCGGAAATTTAGGCTCGCCGCAGGAGGCTTCTCTCGGCGGAGCGAAACCCGCGGTACACCGCTCGACGGAGAATGCGCCAAGTGAATACCAAGAATACACGATACGGTCCAATGCAAGTCATACAAAAACCCATGCAGCTGCGCACTCTGCATGATCTGACTCCTAGAAACCTCTTTGTCCCTCTCTGCTAGCCCCCGGACGAATATACCATAGACGATCACGCCCGCCCACTATTTTCGAGATCTAATAGCGTCCTATCATGACCTTTGCGAGACATTTGTCCAACTCGATTATAGGCATCATAGACGATGCCTATAACTCGCCAAGCTTCTAGGCCTGGACTGAAGTAAGACATGGCGCAGTGGCGTGCTTGAGAGCTGGAGTAAAGTTTCACAGATGGTAACTGCGGGTGATCGACAGGGACTCCCTTTAGCTTTTAACTCAGGGAATGCCGACGCTAGAGAGTCGCTTGGCAAGCTTGGCCGCATATACTATGAGCGCCGAATCTTCTTGGCTATCTATCATGAAAGATATGTGGAATTGCGTTGTGTTTCGCCAAGAGATTTCCGACGAGATTGGGTGTTGCGAAAAGTCCGAGGCAACCACATGGGATAATGATAGGTGTTGATACATTTTGTTGAGATGTGGGATAATCGATTTCGGAGTTAGCTCTGGCAGTCGAATATCGAGATCATCCCGTGGCTTGGACGATTGCCGTCTCTTGCATGACGTGGCGGAGCACCGTGACAATCCGTGTCGTGAAAATCTGGCTTGCGCCAGTAAGCCCTGGGATACAGGGTGCTTGCTAAGTGTATTATTAGTATACATACGAATACCTAGCTGCCTAGTAGTCCAACGCTGGTCGGTTACTGATGCTAACGGATTTAAACAGGCCCACGAAGTATTCTAGAAACGGAAGGTTATTAGTCTCTGCGAGATAGATAGCCTGAATTGTTAAATTTGAGCCATAATAAAGCACTTGTCTCGTCGAAATCCCTGCAGTGCTTGCGCCCGTCGATTCTTAGTAGGTTCTGTCGCCAATCCTCACAATCTTCTGTCCCGGCGCGTACACATCAACCATAGCCCTCCAATCTAGTTCAACCCAACCAGTACTGTTCCGTAGAATGGCGATACCTTGGTTATCAACCGATTCGGTATCCGTCCTCGACGAGTTTATCCTGAGGTGAAATGGGCAGAATATAGCCAAGTGAGCTTTCCAAGCCAATAATTTAACCTTTTCCAAGTACGGGTCGGCTAGCAGCCTTAATAGCGCTTGAAAGGGAGGCCGTTGCTCCATATCACGTTCGGGCGGTCGACTCGCGCCAAGTGAACTAGGCGGTCCTAGGCGCATCACGAGCTCTCTTAAGTTCCCGTTCAGAACCATATCGGAAAGAGCAGGTCCTATGACACGCTCGAATTCGCCGCCTACCCTTGTGAGGTACAGCGTCAAGTTGCGCACACGTCTTCGGGCGTCCTTCCCTTCTTCACTAAGAAAACCCCCTCGGCTTGTGAGATGGACAGGCAAGCGATGACTGTGCGCGTTCAGGGTAAAGCGGTTCATGGAATAGAATATAGCCGATGCCTCTTGGTACATCTGCATATTGACGAGGAAGACATTTAGAAAGTTCCAGTTCCCCGCAGAAGGTAAAGTGAAGAAAGTTGTATCATGGAGTATAATACTTTCATCCGAGACGAGGAGTTGTGAGAAGACAGCACCTCTCAACTCAGGGGGTAAGTCGAAAAAACGAAATGCCTTATTTGCTGCCATAATCGTACAACCTTTCCAAAGACCGATGTTTGATAGTAACAGCGTTGGTGTCGCTCCAGTAAATAGTGATTGGCAATATTATGCTTGTACAACCCGTTCCATATCCATTTCTTGTAACTTTATTGGAAACGTCGTGAAATCATGTAGATAAAGAGTGCTATGAGACTTGAGACTTCAGACTTGAGTTGAAGAACTTGCAACCTCAATTATTTAGAAGCATGAAAGAATATATCGACGATAGGTGAATGTTATCAGATCACTAGATATTTGATACTTATTTTTACTCGTACATCTAGGAACTTTTGTTGAAAATATCTTAAGTAGGAATGTGATGTTGATGTTCGTCGATTTATCGAGTCATGGCACAAAGTAGAGGCTCAAAGCTACCCCACATTCACATATAAGAAAATCGATAAATTCATATTTATTTTAAACGGATTATATTGCCAGTTGAATAACTGCATAATCCGCTCGTTTAATGTGTTATCTTATCTACAGCCTTGTTTGAAGCTGCACGTTGCACATAGCTTAGATCCTTAGCGCGTTTTGAGCTCTTGACTGTAAATATGCATATCGATGGCAATGGCAACAGCGAATCGACGACTTGTTTAAACTCCAACTTCATTTCTTCGCGTTGCGCCAATCTTATTCCTTTCCAACCCGGCGCTTGAAATGAGGAAACGAGATTCAAGATGCAATGCTATACGGAGTTGACGCCGCCTACGGCTGTCACGCATTCCCTATGCCTCCCTTTTATCAATGCGCAAAGCAATAATCTCGTCGTCGCAAGAGCCTCTCTTCTACAGATATTCACTACCAAGTCCGTCTCTGCTGAACTAGACAAGGCTCAGAATGCCCAATTGCAATCTTTCCGATCGGCCGAACACTACGATTCCAGAATAAACGACGATGAAGGCCTCGAGGCTTCTTTCCTTGGCGGCGATTCCCTTCTCGTCAGGTCCGACCGTTCTAACTATACGAAATTAGTTCTTATCGCTGAATTCCCTTTATCTGGGACAATCACAGGGCTCGCCCGTATCAAATCGAAAACTACTGCTTCCGGCGGAGAGGCCCTCCTATTAGCGCTGAAAGATGCGAAGCTTAGCATGGTTGAGTGGGATCCGGAGAAGAATTCAATAAATACGACATCCATACACTACTATGAGCAAGAGGACCTACAAGGAGCCCCATGGGCTGCTCCTCTCAGCCATTATGTCAACTTTCTAGCAGCTGACCCAGGCAGTCGATGTGCTGCTTTGAAATTTGGCTCGCGTAGTCTTGCCATTGTCCAGTTTAAAACTGCAGAGGAAGACATAGATATGGATGACTGGGACGAGGAATTGGATGGCCCGAAGCCTGTCAAAGAGCTATCTACTACGCTCGCAAATGGAACTAGCAGCAATGAAGAGACTCCATATTCAACCTCGTTTGTCCTTCGACTGCCCAATCTTGATCCTAGTCTCATCCATCCTGTGCATCTAGCATTTCTTCACGAATACAGAGAACCCACGTTCGGTATTTTATCCTCCACTACTTCGCCATCTTTAGTACTAGGTCGAAAAGACCAGCTCACGTATATGGTGTTTACCTTGGATCTTCAACAGAAAGCGTCCACAACTATCCTGTCAGTGACGGGCCTCCCACAAGATCTGTTTCGAGTCATTGCGTTGCCTGCCCCAGTTGGTGGCGCTCTCCTAGTTGGTACAAATGAGCTTATACACATCGACCAATCCGGAAAGTCACATGGCGTAGGTGTCAACCAATTTGCGAAACAAACCACATCGTTTAGCTTGATCGACCAAGCTGAGCTTGAGCTGAAGCTAGAAGGTTGTGAGATCGAAGTCATGTCAGCAGAAAACGGCGAGTTTCTGATGGTTCTACGAGACGGTCGCCTGGCAGTAATTACATTTAGAGTCGATGGCAGGATAGTATCCGGATTAAGCGTTCGATTAATTGCGTCAGAGGTCGGTGGATCTATCATACCAACTGGCGTTGCGACCTTGAGCAAACTGAACAAGACGTGCATATTTGCTGGTAGCGAAGGGGCTGATTCGTTAGTCGTCGGCTGGACACGTAAACAAGGTCAATCGGGAAAGAGAAAGGCTCGTCTCCAAGACCCATCTCTAGACGATATTGACATGGACGATGAGGATATGGAAGGACTAGAAGACGAAGATGATCTGTATGGGGAAGATTATGTGCCGACTAAACAGTCAGCTAACTCAGCCAATACCTCAAGTGGTAAAACGGGCGAGCTTGTTTTCCGCGTACACGACAGACTTGTCAGCATCGCGGCCATCAGGGATTTCGCGATTGGTCAGACAACTTCATCCAAAGAAAGCCAAGCAAATCAGTTTGGTGTTGCAAGTGATCTCGGGTTTGTCTGCGCATGTGGCGAAGGCAATGCTGGCTCGATCGCTGTAATTAATCGAGAAATACAGCCCAAGGTCATTGGCCATTTTGAGTTTCCCGAAGCAAGGGGATTCTGGACGATGGCTGCACAGAAACCCATACCAAAAGCATTACAGGGTGATAAAGCAGCTACAGCGATAGGCGGAGAGTACGAAACATCCGCTCAACATGACCGCTACATGATTGTCCCTAAAGTTGATCTAGACGGATATGAGACGTCGGATGTTTACGCCTTGACAGGTGCTGGATTCGAGGCTTTGACCGGGACGGAATTTGAGCCAGCTGCTGGTCTTACCATTGAAGCCGGAACTATGGGCAATTATATGAGAATCATACAAGTTCTCAAAACTGCCGTCCACTGCTACGACGGAGGTAAGATTAACTCCATAATAGTTATCAAGAATATGCTAATACGATATACTAGACTTCGGACTCACCCAGATTTTGCCGATGTTGGATGAGGAGACGGGCGCGGAACCTAGAGTTGATAGTGCTAGCATAGCCGACCCTTTCCTCTTACTAGTACGAGATGACGGCAGTGTGTTCATCGCGAAGATTTTCAAGAACCTAGAACTTGAAGAACTAGAAAAAGAAGATTCGGTACTCACTTCGACGAAATGGGCTACTGGCTGTCTATATGAGGATCGATCTGGCATATTTGCCGGGGTTAATAGCGACAAAGGCGCAAAAACCGACGAAAACATACTGATGTTTCTGCTCAGCAAGGCCGGGGCACTACACGTAAGGAGTTTATTCATGATTTCAGTGACATTACTAATGACCGTAGGTGTATGCTCTACCTGACCTATCGAAACCCGTCTACGTTGCTGAAGGGTTACCCTTCGTACCACCACTCCTTTCCGCGAACTATGCAGCAAGGCGAGGTACTGCCAAAGAAATCATTAAAGAGATATTGGTGGCTGACCTTGGGGACATGACATCCTCATACCCGTATCTTATTGTGAGTGGTCTTAAGTTCCCATTGCAATCCCACAATAACTCACAAGTTCTAGGCACGTCATGACAATGATGATGTGACAATATATCAACCTTTCCGTATACCTTCAACTACAGCCCAGGAACTTTCCACAACACTTCAGTTCCAGAAGCTACCTAATCCTGTTCTAGCGGATATCCCAGAACCGCCAGAAGACGATGATGACGATGAAGTGAGACGACCGACTCCAATGCGACGTTGTGACAACATAGGCGGATATAAGACGGTCTTTCTCCCAGGCGATTCTCCAAGCTTCATCCTAAGATCATCCAAGACGTTGCCTAAGGTTCTTGGGTTACAAGGCGGCGGTGTTCGAGGAATGAGTCCATTCCACACTGAAGGATGCGAACGTGGCTTTATTTACGCAGACTCTAAAGGTATCGCCCGGGTGTCCCAAATACCAATTCGTAACACCACATACGCCGACATAGGCATGTCCCTCAAGAAAATTCCTCTTAATACCGACATACACACCATCACCCATCATCCCCCATCCGGGATCTACGTTGTGGGTTGTGATACCCGCGAGCCATTTGAGTTACCTAAAGAAGACGATTATCATAAAGAGTGGCAGCATGAAAAAGACCTTGTCTTCAAACCTACAGTGGGACACGGTAGCATCAAACTGATCAATCCAAGCACCTGGACCGTCATCGATACCATTGAGCTGGATCCTTGCGAGATAGTGATGTGCATCGAGACAATTAATCTCGAAGTCTCAGAGTCGACTAATGAGCGAAAGCATTTAATCACGGTTGGTACCGCCGTATCTCGTGGTGAAGACCTCCCCATAAGAGGCAGAGTTCTCGTATACGATATCGTGACGGTTATTCCCGAACCAGGAAAGCCCGAAACCAACAAGAAGCTAAAACTCGTAGCAAACGAGGACATTCCTCGCGGCGCAGTCACAGCTCTTTCTGAAATAGGAACACAAGGTCTAATGCTAGTTGCCCAGGGTCAGAAATGCATGGTCCGGGGTCTGAAGGAAGACGGGACCCTACTTCCCGTCGCGTTCATGGACATGAACTGCTACGTAACTACAGTTCGTGAATTGAAGGGGACGGGCCTTTGCTTGATGGCCGATGCGGTGAAAGGCGTCTGGTTCACCGGCTACACGGAAGAGCCTTATAGGATGGTGCTCTTCGGGAAGAGTTCTACCAAGTTGGAAATTCTGACGGTGGACTTCCTGCCAGATGGAGATGAATTATTCATTGTGGCCTGCGACTCGGATGGTGGGATCCATATCCTCCAGTTCGATCCTGATCGTAAGTACCTCTTTCCGCGATATATATATATAAATATTAAGAATCATTGCTAATCATCCGTACAAACAGATCCCAAATCCCTCCAAGGCCACCTTCTCCTCCACCGCACAACCTTCTCCGCTGGCGCGCATCCCCCGACACGCAGCATGCTGCTCCCGCGCACCCTCCCCGCGGACTCAGAATATCTCACCCAGCATAACAATAATAGCACTGCTGCGACTACCGCGACTAATGGGTCTGACCCTGACTCCCCCCCCGCCCCTCCCTCCCTGATTCTCTTCTCCTCCCCCACAGGAGCTCTCTCATGTCTCGCCGCCCTCTCGGAGCCCCAGTACCGCCGGCTCTCGTTCCTAACGGGCCAGGTCATGTCCTCGCTCCCGCATTACGCAGGCCTAAACCCGAAAGATTACCGCGCGCCCGTTTCGTCCGGTGCCGTGGGTCGGTTCCCGCCTGCCGTCGACGCAGGAATGGGTCGGAGTATCGTAGATGGAGCGCTATTAGCTAGGTGGAATGAACTCGGTGCTGGAAGACGGGCGGAGATTGCAGGACGCGTGGGATTTGCAGGCGTCGACGAGGTCAGGGATACGTTGAGGGAGGTGCTCGGAGCGGCCGGATTGGGATATCTATGAATTGGGAGTAGGGGAGATAAGGGTGTTGCGTGCGGAATATGGCACATCTAGCTAACTAGTTGCGGAAAACTTTTACCCGTCTATCTGGATGGTTGATAATTGGCAGGAATTTAGACAGCTGGAATGAGTTGAATCAAATCACGAGTTACATAGTTCATCTCGCCTAGACTAGTCTCCTGATCAATATTATATGAGATGCAACTTAGGACCTAAGTAGATAGGTAGGAATTTTGCTTACGACGTAACTTGGCGGGAGTAGGGGTAGTAGCTTCCTACATAGGTAGTTATCAGTGTACGAATAAGATCGGGATTTTCGTAGATGGATGGAATAAATGGTCATTAATTCAGGACGTTCCTCCCTCTTCAGCCCTCGGGCTTAAAAATGCCGTGGAAGCGATTTTATGAGAAGCTATCTGGAAACGCAGCACGATGGGAAAGTCATCCGACACTCTTCTCTCATACACTCATTCCGCCGGCCGATGCCGTCCTGACCTCCCTACAATAGCTGACAAAATTCACTAAACTGCCTCACTGCTTGCTTGGTATGCTTCGCCGTGCTTGACGTGAGCGATTAACTCGACAAATACCACCCACCCAGGCTTGCTCATTGAAGTAGCTTTAATTCATTCGTGAAGGGTCATAAAAAACGCCATTGCTAAAACGAGACCCAGCTATATAAAACAGCCAGGCTTATCAAATCGCCAAGTACCCCTAGACCTCAAACCTCATCATGTCTGCGACGAAGACTACCGATCCGTCGCTTGATTCCATCACTCAGACGCTTCCCCCTCGGACTAGCAGGGCCGGAAGAGCCGAGACTGGCGCTGCGGTGGACGGTGACGTTGGTGGCGTCCTTATCGCTGCGGCCGCTGGTGCGTGCGGCAGGCTGCATCTCGTAATCTCCGCTCGGTTTTAGGGAGTTTCGCTGCATGCGCTTCTGTCTCTTGCGGTCCTCTTCTATGGTGTATGATGGCTCACCCTTGCCCTTTAGATCATCTGGATGGTATTGCTAGTGAGATGTTAGTTTGAATTGTACGATTGCATGTCGATGATTGGGTGGAATTCCGGCGTGCGAGTTCTCGGATCATTCAGGGATGGGTGGCTGTGCTTTCAATTGGAAATACTTACGACGTGAGCCCATCGCTTGTATGGGCCTCCGGGCGCATCTTCTTCTCTCATTAAATCTGCTCCCTCCTCGTAGTCCATTACGTGGCCGCTAAGGTCTCGTTGCCCAGGAGGGATTACGGCAGTGCCTTGCAGGGGTACGTGGCGTTGGAGAGAGTCCATGACCATTTCACGAGGTGTTGCCTTCAGGGCTTCTGCGTTGCCGTACTTGACGGCCTCGACTGGAGCATATCGCTTGTCACGATTCCGAGAAGCTAGAGTGGCGTCGTATGGACCATCGTGGTGATAGGTTCCGAGGCCGGTGTCATCGAGAACATCGATCATATCGGCACGGGCAATGCTCTTTTTTCGAAGATGAGGGGCGCGGTTAGCGGCTTTATTCGCACGCTTGATAGCTTCTAACGGTCGTTCAGACATGTTGATAGGTGCCAGTAGAGGTCGGAATTGTTGCAATGATTGATTGTCTTTATATATTAAGATAGAGTGATGATCAGTGGCTCTGTAGCAGATGTACGGTTTCTTTTCTTTAGAATGCAGACCAGTAGCTAGTTGAAAGAATTGCTCGTAGGGTCGGGATATATAAAGGTACCCTAGAGAACCCTAAATAGGCAACCTATTAAAGTTCAATGTTAGTGGACTGAGCCTGCCAACTCAGGGACCTGCACGCGCGTTCAATGCATGGCGATGATGTAACCCGGTACCCACCAAAGCCGAACCCGTCAGCCCGTACGAGCCGTACAGCCCCACACCCTTACATCTTTCATCGCCCCGCCTGCCCGCCAATCGAAAATTGGATCTGACGTGACGTAATGAGTGTAGCTCGGGTACATCATTGATAACGCACTAGGACAAGGGCAGCAGCTCAATGATCAAGATCGACAGGTACAGGTTGAACAATAGGGTCTCGTACAGCTGATAAAGGAAAATAGAAATAGCGTGCTACAGGGGTTCAGAGCATAAATATGTTTAGGACTCTCTAGGTGAAGAAGCCGTTTACATACACCATACCAACAAAATATGATCCTGCCTGTGTAACCATTTAATTCCACGAACACAGAAAGAGACATGAGTGTGAGGAGACACTAGATCGAAAAAGGAAATAAATATGAGACAGTTGAACTTACGAATGAGCAATCCTTGTAAAGTAAAGGTACAATGCACCTTTAGACATAAGGCGAGTGGAAGATGATATAAGGGTTAGACTTTGCAGAGAGGCTGTGAAGAGATATGACGATTTGGATAAACCGCGCAACGATTGGATTGGAGAAACACTTGGTTAGGTAAATGCTGCGACGGCGAGCCGGGCGAGGCATGGTTTAATTTCCGAACGAGGCGCCAGAATCGGAAAGAGACGCCGTGGATCACTGTTGAAACTTTACGGCGATTATGCGATAGGTCTTTCTGGTATTGATCGAAAAAGGAAGAGGGGGAACGATCGTAGTTGGAGATAAGTAAGCGTTAAAGAAGGGGAAATTTTGGCGATAGAGAAAAATGAAGATGCCAATTGAGAAGTTGTGAATTTTGGTATTCTTGGGAAGAGAAACTGGCGACGTTAGCAGCCAAGACTGTTTGCTGCAGCGTGGATTCGGAACTAGAGTGTCTTAACCTGTGCATAGATTCCTAAACAAGCAACTTTAAGTGGGAAATTATAACTCAAGTTAACTGCTCAAATTGAGGCTCTTGCTTTCAGGTTCAACGCTCCTGCCGTCTACCTCGTAGTGTCAGGGAAGCCAACACCCATAGCTCTAGCATCAGCACTATTTTGCACTGGTATACAAATATATATTGAATTAAGGGAATTATTGAGTATATCCTATCTTGCTGTCCGGGTGAACACATTTCTTCTGAAGTATCTGACATATAGGGAGAGACAGGAATGATTTTAGCATCTACAACATAGTCTGGAACCTTCCCTCCCAGGACCAATGGTCGTGTTGGTATGGCACGATATCTTGGAGTTCGTGCTCAGAGGTTCGATTCCTTTGACGATCAATTCATTTTTTTTAAACATTTTCTCCTTTAGTTCTTGCTTCACCCTTTTGAGTTTACATAATCTGTGAAGCTCACTGGATAGTTAAAATGATTAACCCCATATCACAAGCTCCCAACAGCAACTACATTATAATATATTCTATGTTAGTTTTTTCTGCTCTTAGACGACTAGTTACTTGCGTATCAAATAATTAGGAAGTGTTTTCAATTTAGCGAAGCCTAGAACATTCACACTACTGTGATCACTGAAAAACGCAATTCTCTTTCCCATATTTTAGGAGATACCTAATCTAATGCTGGACTATCGCAGGTTATTAGCCCTAGAACCCATTATAGATACCTAATTGACAGCTACACAGCGCCAAACAGAGTAATTCAATGATATTCATCAGAATAGACTGTTTGGAATTATAGTCATATATCAAGGCATTGATACATGCCATTTTAAAGAACGGCGGATAGAAGAGGCTATACACGGATATTCACTTCACGTAGGATTGGTCGGTTTTCAGCCCTACGGGTCGCGCCGCTGCTAATGCGGACCGGGTAGCACTATCCAGGTGGTATAAACAGGGAACTAATGCCGAACCTAAACCCTAAGACATCCGATTTAAACCTTGAAACATCACAAGGATCTAGGTAGCTACGTCAAACGCACCATCTATTGGCTCTGGGTAGTCATAGCAAAACTCAATCGGGTACCAAGCTTAGATCTAAGGTTCCAATCCCGATCTCTTGCATGCCGTTATGTACCAGGGGTTGCAAACGATAAGCAAACACCGATAACTTCAATGTTGCGGTGAGATTCGGGACCTATGCGGGCACGGAGATGGCGCTGGTAGACTATTCATCCTCGGACTCGGACTCCGCAGACGAAGAAGCAGGCGCGATTTCCACCCCAGCAGCAAAAAAGCCCAAGACCTCTCACACGGAAACATCAACAGGGGACGAGTCTAAATCAACCGCGCTCCCCCCCCTCCCCGCCGCCTTCCACGACCTCTACGCATCCACCGTGCGCGTGAGCACCACCGACGACCCAACCCTACACCAAGGCCGGAAGAGAGTGAATCCTCACAAGGCAGGCAACTGGCCCAGTCATCTATACATCGAATGGCACCCCACGCCCGCCCAACTGCATACCCTCAGCGCCTTCCTCTCCGACCTGCAACCCGCACTCTCCCCTCTCTCCGTAGACCTAACCTCATTCCTAACTTCGGACCTAGGCGCGCCACAACCCCTGCACATCAGCCTCTCGCGCCCAATCGTGCTAAGCACAGGGCAGAAAGACGGGTTTCTGGAAGACCTCGCGGCGCGGGTGAAGGAGTGCAACATCCCGCCGTTCGAGCTGGCGCCTGTGGGACTGGAATGGCATCGCACGCGCGAGTCCGAGAGGTCGTTTTTGGTGCTGCGGGTTGCTGGTGTGCCGCCTGTTTCTTCTAACCTATCTACCGGCAACGGTAACGAGGACGAACATCCCGTCTCTACACCTCGCCCGGAAGAAGATGCATCGAAGAAGCTGCAGCGGCAAAACCCACAGCTGACTGCTCTGCTTATATGCTGCAATGCCCTCGTGCAGGAGTACTCGCAGCCGCCTCTGTACGCGTTTAAAGCCGATGACGGGGACACCGCGTTCCACATCTCTATCGCGTGGAGCTTTGCGCCGCCGAGTGCGGAAGTGAGGAGGCGGACTGAGGAAGTGTTTTCGCGGCATGTGATGCGGGATGAGATACGGGGGTTGCGTGTGCGTGTTGATGGTATCAAGGCTAAGATTGGGAATACGGTTACTCATGTACCGCTTCTAGGGCGTGGGAAGAGGTTGTTTAGTGGATAGGGTGAGATATTTAGGTAGGTGTGATACGTTTAATGTAGATAGCATAGGACTCATGGCAACGAGAGGGCTGGTAAGACTCGAATCATTTGGATTACGAGCAAGAGTATGAGGTAGTCACGGATAACTGGATAATAGCACGGCAACGAGGTATAAGACCGCGAAGGAAACAGACTTGCAAGAATGTTACGCAATTGTACTAACCGCCCTCCATTACCGCGACGGTAGGGTATAGTACGCTATCAGGTATGCACAATGCACATAATAAAAACACATGACAATTTTAAGGGGTTACCAACCCGTCCTCCCTAGTATTAAAACGCCCAAAACTCCGCCCATGTATGCTTGCTTGATGCGCGCGCAAAGTGATTTATGTATACAAAACGCTCGATGATAGTCTATTTCAACTCTGCAGTCCAGCGCAAATCTCGCATATGCCAAGAGCAATTCTATAGCTCGTCGAGGCTGGGTCTCTGAAATGACCAGGTACGAGGTGTGATCGGCAAGCCAATATAGAATTCCCAGAGACGTTGTAATTCCAAGATGAGGATCCGGGAGCTATTGAATTCGTTAGTTTTCTGGTAATGAAGTTATGGTATGAGTTTCAACTTACAAAGTCTTTGGGAAGGCGATCCAGTTTTCTAGGACGATCTTGGTTGCTTTAACCACTCTAGCAAATTCGTCGTTGAAGACGTCGCCCGTTGTTTCGGGTTGGCGGCGTTCTCGCTTGGGTGGCACATCGCCTTCCTCTTTGTCCCAACCGTCCTCTAGCTCTGATTCGGCGTCTACAGGTGGGGTGTGTGATGGTTTTGGTGAGACGCTAACTGCGTGTGGCTTTTTGGCTCGGTCAGGAATGACGTTTTGTTTCGGCTTCTCCTCAGCCTCGACCATGCCCCTAAACCCAACGATGGCTCTCATCGAGCTGCTAAGTCTTGCGTAGGTGTTAAATAGGGCTACAAGTTCCGTACGCTTGAGCATCGGAATTTCGTCACTGTCGTTGTCGAATTCAAATAGCACTTTCAATGCCGCGCCGTACCCTGCGGTCTGCAGCTTGCCCCAGAGTCTGCATTTATCGCAACCAACGCAGTCCATAACACGGCTGACATTACGGAATCGGTTCTTGAAATCCTCTTTCAGCGATGGTCCCTCACCGTTCTTAAACATGAGGCCCTCATCGAAGATTTGGGGTACAGAAGCCGCTCCTTGTGTCACGGCGAGGACCTTGGCCTTCGTAGCGGCATCCTGGTCCGGATCTCCTGTGCAAAAAGTGTAATCTTGCAGATGCGGACCGATCTTGGCGACTGCGCGGGTAAGAAGTGCGTAGTTGAAGTATAAATTGGAAATGCGATCAGGGAATGTGTGCAGGCGACCCTTGTAGCAACCCACATTGGGTTGCCATTCACCAGTAGTCTGGTTCAAGAAGTCCCAGCAAAGGTGTGTGCTGATACTCGCGTGCATGCCGGACACTACGCGGTAGAATACACGCTTTTCCAAACAGTCGCCCTCACCCTCTAGCCCGGCCTGCGCAAATATAGTGTTTGGGTCTTGTTGGTGCTGTTGCAAAATCTGCTGGCGCTCCGCATCTTGGAGAACGTTCCGGAAGTCTTGCGCAGCCGGTCCCTTGGCAACAGGACTGATTCCAAGAGAGGCCGAATGAGGAAACGATGACCTCTGGAAGCAGTTCTCTCTGTAGATAGCATCCCAAACCATCTTAGCACCTTCACCAGCGTATCCTGTGAAACGTTCGGGGTTGTGAACTAAACTGACGTAGTCGCCCTTTGCGCTCGCGCTCTCATCCTCTGGCACACAGTAATCTCGCTCGTCACATTCATCGTCGTATTCCACGATACAGCTCTCGCCAACATTCTCTCCTAATATGCCCTGCAATGGCTTTTTCGGCCGTTCCTTCTGTACTGTCTTTCCGGGATGTTTCGCGGACGGCCCCTCCAACTTGCTCAACTCGCTTGCTCTCCAGATTTTGGGTATATCTTCTTCATTGTCTATCGTGTTTACAGCGCAAGCTATATTGCCACACATGGCATTTTCGTCGTTCCAAAACGGACATTTTTTATTGAACAGATTTAGACGGTAGTAGGAGAAGAAGTCGGTTTCTTGAGTAAGTTGGTCTAGAGCGGGTTTGACTTTTCGGTTTAATTTTTCGAGTGTAGAATAGGAAGCACATGCGTCAGATACGATTGCGCGGGGTGAGATCTGGACGGTTTCATTTTGGTTAGAGATTAAGAATTCATATTGCGACGGGGTCGCTGCCAGTGAACTGGCTGTGAAGTAGATATAGATAACTATGTTGTACAACGAAGGCGACATACTGCGCATGATTCATCTTGAGCTTCTTTGCCCTTACATTGCCCAGGTGTTCCCCAAAGCGCGAAGAGCGTTAGGTAAAAGAGCTTCGCGGATTTCATGGCGGGCGACAGGGTGTCCCCGGATATATAGGAGGAATGGACACCTAATTATTATTAGATTGAGAGGAGGAGTGACAAGACTAGGCCGTTCTCCCCCCTTCGGTATTTCTAAGGTCGGTAAAAGAATACTAGGTAGTAATAGAAAGATACGTAAGGATGTAGGTGCAAAGCAGGAAGGGATTCGTAAAACAAGCGATTGCTACCACGGTTAAATTCCAAAGAACTTGACTAGGGTAGCTAGGGATATGTACATATGCATAACTACTGCTAGGCAATTAATATGTACTTTCTCGGGTCTTCCAAAATGGTAATCGAGATCTAACCTTGGAATGAAAATATGAAGTTGTATTAACTTTAAATGTTTAATGTCGATTGTTGTCAACGTGTTCACTTTTGAAAAAGAATGAAGCATTATAAATCCCGACGTCATATGGTCATACGATTATGGGATGTAGTTACTTCCCTCGTTCCCATGTTTCCCCATGTTCACCATCGAAATACGGATAATGGAATGTTGCCAGCTTGCACCTGCGTCGCCCTCAGGGTCCATTTATTAAGTGATACATTAGGCATGTACCCAAGTATACATCTCCATCGTCCTATCTCATGTAATGCATCTCGCCTATCAGAGTGTGACTAGCTAACCTAATTGGCAATTCCCGAGTGGATAGTGTCCATTGCGGGAAGTTCTAGAAACACCCTGGAAACGGGAAGCTACCATATGCCTGGTCAGCCTGGATTTAGCAAGTCGCAAGTGCAGTTTTCTGTACTTGGTAACGCAGCGGAATAGAGCGATAGAACATGTACTACATACATAAGTACTAAGCACACAGTTTGCGGGATCTAAGATCCTAAAAGAAGGAAGAAGAAAACTTCGATATTAGCATAGTTCCAAGTTAATACCATCCTTCAAACGTTTGACGCTCCTTATGTGACTAAGTGACTAACTATGTGATTGTGTGACTTGATGAATTTTGTCATCGCGATGAAGAAGCAAAATCGTACGTTGGTTAGATTAACTCCTATCCGCTTTTATGGTTCAACCTTCTTCTCGGAGACTACCGCCCTGCATTCTACTGTACATCTTACTGGTCTAGGCAGGGAGGTGTCCAGATCTTGGCTACCTCGCAGGTATGTGATCATTGATGAACCAACCAGATCCTGCAGATAAAAATAAATATCCGGGGTTGACAGGTTAATAAGAACCGAGCCTGTCTGCCTGTCTAGTCTCACAACAGGTTGTACATATTTGCATCCATGGATGACAGTCGGACATTTATATACCTATGTATATTTCTGCAAGCATAGTCACACTTATTAAGTATTCGGAAAAGACTTAAACGACTCAACGTTCGGAGTACTCATGATATCATGACGCTCTATTCCATTCGAGTTTCTATGGGTCTCAATAAACCAAAGGTAACTGGTTAAAGTGCGACCATCCATGTCCCATGAAAATAGAAACTCGGGTTCATGACACACATCCCCGCCCTTCAGCTCTGTAGAACCTCCTTCTCCTTGCTACCGAGTTGCTCGAGTTCTCCTCATGCTCTAGAAGAAACGCAAATGAACGCCATTCCCTTCTGTATATGCTGATGTTTTGGGTCGAAATCTGCTGTATAAGCTTGTGGGTGGCCTCGGTAGGGGGACCATAATGCATACCCTAACGGATCAAGCTGAAAACCAGATAAGTAAAAGGAGTTATACTGATTAGGAACGGCCATAAATCGTCGCGAAGCATTATTCCTTAATAAATGCAGACGTCGCTATGCAGTGGTGGGGCGTATCAAGAGTATTCTACAAGGATGGTGAAGCCTGAATAGGCTGGTAGGTCATTGTATTTTGGGTTGGCTTGCTTGCTCATCGATCACTGTTGAGGTGCTTGATAATTGAGGGGTCGCCTTTTGTAGAGTTAGCATATTGGTGAGCTAATGGAGAATGTTGCGCACTTACTTGAAGAGTAGGATATGCGGCTCCGGCTCATGAACTTCGTAGTGCTCCCAACCCAAACTCTGCAATTTTCAAAGTTCGTTAGTTGCTTCCATACCGCTTCTATGGCGTGTAGTATTTGGGTACCAAGGTAGCTTACCTGAGTGATACCAATCCCGCGCCACTCATCTTCCCATAGTAGCTTCAACGTTCCCTTAGAAGGGTCATGGTAGTCTTTGGGAATGGCCTTGAGCATGGCCTTCGGGAGTTGCACATGTCGGTATTCGTACTCGCTATCGGAATAACTAATTTGTCAAGTTAGCAACATCCCACACACTCTCGACACCAGGACAGCTAAAGCTTGCAACCGTACCGGGCAGAGTAGTGGATAGAATCGATGAACTCCTCAAGACGTGCTCGCTCGTCATCACTAAGAGGACGGGGTACTTTGTTTCGTCGAGTCATATCGATGTCTAGGGGCATTGTATTTGGTTGAGCAATAGAATGTAATTTTCGGGGTCGAAATAATGACGACCTCTTTACGGTGTAGTGGTTTTAGGTCAGTCTGCGGCGCAAACCTCTGGCGATTTAATTTTCAAAACCAAGAGAGGAATTCTGCAGCCTGTTGTTGGTTGGCAGAGAATATATGTTGTCGCGTGAGGAGGGGAAGTAGAGATGATAGCCTTGATTTCTAAGATGGATCGCCTTGTCTTACTGCGCACGGGTGTAATCGATCGATAACTATGAACCGTGAATCGTTTGAAGTAATATAAGAAATACCTTGCACTATGCTAGCAAGTAAAAGAAGAAGAAGAAGTCACGAATTGAAGGTTGTAAGTTTACAGGTGTACGGGTTTTGAGAAGACGGGAAGAGCGCGTTTCTTCTTAAAAGTTGAAGTTACGGTGCCCCCAAAATTTAATCGCATATTATTATGTACTATGTAGAGAAGTAAACAGTGCTAAGGTGGGGACGTTTATTACACAAGCCACATTTGCTCACCTTATCTGAGGGGCATAGCAACAAACGGAATCTTGACGGGTATGACATAAACATCTTTAGAACCCGTGCACTGCCATTTGTGGCGTACTAGGGAGTAGATACAGCAGGTACATAGGTACTACGCTATATGTATTGTACTATGTAGCAGGGAAGGTGGAAGTGGAGCTAATTGGTTGATTGGAAGCCATTACCTATGTAGGTACCTACCCCGGCAGCCCGGTCGTTGTACCTACCAACCTGCCAACCTCAAGCTGGTCAGCTGTTCGCACTCCTAACTCAATAAACCTTTACACCAAAATCCTTCTCCATAATTCCGTTGCATGCACCGACGAACTTCACTAAAAATTCGCCATACGAAAACTACACTTATATACGGATTTTAGTGATATTCCATTCTTAGTGCATTTTCCTTTAGTCGGATTATTTGCACTCTTTCACGTCAATTTAACCGTTATAATCCACTCTACCTTGTACTAGGTAGCTAAAAGGGATAAAACGGTCATCCCCCTAGATACTACCTACACTACAATAGCGGTACTAGCAGCCGCGTCCGAAATCCACAAATCACCACTACAATCGCATTCGCATCGCATCGCGTCAAAGTCCTGCGATCTCGTACCCATCATTTCGACGACTCTATTTCGCAACGTTGAACTCCATTGAACGCGCAACACACCAGACAATAGGCTGTGGTGCGTTAGGTCGACCCTGCATGTACCTGCGATCATTTTTCCACCGCAGCCATGGAGAACAAGAGAAAAGCTAGTGGGATGAATGGCCTTGAACCATCAGCAAATGACCCCAATGATCGTGCTGCGAAGCGTCGCAGATTGCAGGAGGTAAGCTATCGTCCACACCTTAAATATTTACTTCACATTCCACAACATTGCGCGCAAGCCTCGCCACCACCCAGCTACCTTTGCCTGTTTGGCCAGGTGCAGTGCGTCGTAGCTGCGATGCGAACGTGTTCATGGATGAAGGTGAAGTTGTGACTAGGTCTAGTTGAGGCTGCTGAAGAGGCACAATGCCAATATTATCGGCTTGCCTTTCAAAGACCGGTCCCCATCTTTCTCCGTACATACCATGTACTTCAAATCGCGGAACCTCCAAAATCCTATAATTTTAAAGCTCTTCATGCTCCCTTTTAGCTATCTACCCTTTGCTCTACTTTTCACTAACCAAACACACTACTATAGGAATTCGGTGATCTCTCAAATGGCGAGACTGCTGAATCGACTACCGCCTACGGATTGAACATCCTCGAGTCAATCAGAGCCACGACCGACAAGAAGTATGTCCAGGTCATTTTCTGTTATTATATACAACATATCCCACGACATTTCCATCTGCATCCAATCTCGTCCCATATATTATTTGTCGAAGCAGATAATTGATTGTTTATGACATGGCTAACTATCTTTACGTTATAGTGGACGCTCAGTTTCACCGTATTTTGAGACCCTTCCTACTCGAAGCAAAGATCCTGAATATTACAAGAAAATCAGGCTACCACTATCTCTAGAGTTGATTGAACGTAAACTCAAGAACCATGAGTACACCAAACTCTCTATTCTAGAGAGTGACTTCAAACGCCTGGTTTCGAATGCGAAGGAAATAAATGAGCGCGCATCTGTAGCTTTCGGCGACGCCGAACGAGTTCGAAAAGCTGTTAGTAACTTGATGGTGAAGTACAATCCTGCGTACAAGTCTGGAAACTACCAAGCCGTTGCTACCCCCTTGCCCCCAACTCCTGAACCCGACGACATTATAGCGGACGATGACGCGGAAGGTGAAGAAGAGGATAAAAAGGGTTCAATCACCCAAGAGGTGCAGCCAGAGGACAACGACGACGTCGAAGAAGCGGCCGAAGAAGAGGAAGAACTAGAGGAGGTAGAAGAGGCTGGCATTGAAGAGGAGGAGGATGTCGAACAAGATGATGACGAGGAGGAAGAGGAAGAAGAGGAGGAAGAGGAAGAGGAGGATGATGATGATGATGATGGTGAACCGAGCCCTGTAGCTCGAAAACGACGACCCGGCCGCCCACCCAAGAATCCTGCAACGCGTACCCGAAAGGTCACACCACGTAGACCAACTCCAGCCAAAGGCGATAGTCATTACGAGAACCAGGGATACAAAGGCCTAAATTTCCAACAGGCACAGGAGAAGATCGTAGAAGAGATGTTACGAAAAAAGGATGAGAGGTCAGTACACACTATCCAGATGTAATTCTATGTCTTACTTACAATTGCGTCAAGTGGTGAATTTCCCTATTTCGAACCTTTCATCTATCTGCCACCACGAACTTTGAAGGATTACTATGAGATCATTGCCGAACCCTTGTCGCTCAAGGCACTGCAGAAGCAAGTTCGAGGCCAGCACGGAAGAGGAGGTGCTACATATGTCAGCGACTTCAAGGGCTGGGCTGCTTTTGAAGATCAAGCCAGCTTGATCTGGAAAAATGCATACCACTACAATGAGGACGGAAGTGAGATTTCCCTCATGGCCCAGGAGCTCGAGGTAAGCTACCACAAATCATTACATCAATGATGTCTGAATCATCTTAGTATCTAACTATCATAGCAATTATTCCATGAGCAACTGCAAGAGGCCAAAAAATCTGTACCAGAACCACCCCAGCCGAAGATAAAGCTTAAGATGCCATCTACTTCGGATACGGCGGTTCATCCTAAGAAGATAACGATCCATGTTGGTGGCAAGACTAGTGCAACAGGATCGCCGGCCCCTGTAACAGGTCAATCTGGAGAAGGAGAGGCTTCAGGTAGCAACGGTACACCTATTAGCAGGAATCCATTTGGCGGATCGACAGCAACGTCGGTCAACTTGAGCCAGCTCGAAAAGGCGAGAAGTCTGTCGGCTTCTGCTGGCCCTCCAAGTCCATCAACTGCAGCAATTACGAAGTCCGAAGAGGTTGTTCGACCGTCGCCTGGATTCACCAATCATCAGCAATTTGCGCCTCCAGTGATGCCGCCCTCTAACCTCGTACCGAATGGTACAGCTCCCCCACCGCCTCCACCTGCCCCGAAACTATCGGCCATAGATATTCTCGAGGCCCAAAAATATCGACCTCACCCAATTAGTAAGAATTTATCCTTTGCATTCCTATATATTCCTATTTTACATATTGCTAACTATATTTCAGAGGAATCAGAGGCTATTCTGCCTAAGCTTGTCCTCCTTTCTCATCCAACCCTGCAACTTGAAAACCAATTTACGGCAGTGTTTTATGCGAGCCCTACCGAGTTTCAGCAGGAACTCGTTTTTAATGCGCCGTCGACGCATTTCCGTATGCTCCTCAAGCCTCATGTAGCACCGTTTCTAGAGGAGCAGCAACGCGAGTGGAAGCTGAACGTATTCCATGATACAGTACGTTTGTATCCTTCGTCTGCTGCATTCGACAAACGAGGCGAGCCGGTCTTTGACACCACGTTCCACTTTGGGGTCAACCGACTCGAGATATCTCTGGTGGCTGCCCTTCCAAAGGGTGAGAAGGCACCCAACGGGTTAAACATGGAGATGGAGAAATTCGTCGTGCATTTCAACTTGCTTCGGCATTCGTAGCAGGTTGGTATGACTTTAACAATCGACACTGATTAACATGGTCTTTTAGTCAACCGGTCGAGAAACATTACTAGCCTATACCTCCGGTTTCATCTGTTGTCGGATTTGTACTTAATAGAAACTATGGAGATGGCTCTAGCTATGCTCGTTCCACACAAGGAACGATTTGCTTCGATGTAAGCATTTGTACAAGTACTATATACTCCTGGCGGTTCATGAAGCCACTTGCAGAAAACGCCACTGGGAGCTTTGCTCTTACTACGGTCTACAGATAAGACCTTTAGACAGGTAGACAGTTAGACGGGTACACGTTTAGGTAGTTAATCACCAGGTAGTTATATAAAATAAGTCTCAACAATGGTATAAATGAGTGATACGGATTTGAGGGAGCCTTTAAGAAGTACGTCGGTAACAGACAGAACTAGGTATTAGACTCGCCAAACAACTTGCATTCGGAGTGTCCGTGAGCTTTATCTCGTCCTCGATATATCCTCGCGTACATGCCTAGGTATATATCAAACTGCATCTATCTTAGTGGGTGTTTGAGTATTCATAAAAAGTGCTAGACCCGACGCACGATTCAATGTTTGGCTTTGAAAAGCTCTAAAGCTGGTGGGGTTCGTGCTTAAGAATCGACGCCAAGAGGCTAGACCCTGGATTTTGAAGTTCATTTTGAGTACGTACCGTATACATAGCAGCTGGCAGCTGTAGATACCCTAGGACGCTAAACCGGATTTAAGTTGGTCCCGGCGGCAAAGGTGGGCTGGGGGTGGGAAAGAAAAAAAAAATTAAGATTTTGAATTAATTTTCACCGCCCGCATAAAAATTCAGTTGAAATTTCCCCTCCATAAACCCGTAAGACATCCCTCCATACTTCTTCCCCCGAACTATTTCCTCTTCCTCTGGACAACCCTTTTCTTCCACACAATATCAACCCTTCCTGTGGATTCGTTCAGTTGAACATAAACTCTTACAATGGCGGAAGAAGTTTACGATGGTGCCATCGGCATCGATCTGGGTACGTCGCAAAAAATAACCCCGCGCCCACAGATCGTCGCATTGCGGGCCGTAAAAAAATATTTCAAATTTTCGAATTTGCGATTGCAATTTTCTAACGACAATTAAACAACAGGTACCACATACTCTTGTGTCGCCATATACGAGGGTAACAATGTCGAGATCATTGCCAACGAGCAGGGTTCTTTCACCACTCCCTCATATGTCTCCTTCAACGAGAAGGAGCGATTAATTGGTGAAGCCGCCAAGAACCAGGCCGCCATGAACCCCCGAAACACGGTCTTCGATGTCAAGTATGTTTTGACCATACCTCACAAACTTATATAATATCTGGTACTGCATAACTGACTTCTTTTGCGACAGGCGTTTGATTGGCCGACCTTTTAACGACCCCATCGTCAAAAAGGATATCGAATCATGGCCCTTCAAGGTCGTCGAGCAGGGCGCCAACCCTCTCGTCCAGGTCGAGTATCTAGGAGAGACCAAGACTTTCTCTCCCCAGGAAATCTCTGCTATGGTCCTTACCAAGGTAAGCAAACGATACCTCACGTACAGGCAACATAATTGTCCCGGTTCTAACACATAATCTGCCTATAGATGAAGGAGATTGCCGAAGTTAAGCTCGGCAAGAAGATTGAGAAGGCGGTCATCACTGTCCCCGCCTACTTCAATGACAACCAGCGTCAAGCCACTAAGGATGCTGGTTCCATCTCTGGACTAAACGTCCTCCGTATTATCAACGAGCCTACTGCTGCCGCTATCGCTTATGGCTTGGGCTCCAACAAGAGCAACAAGGAGCGTAATGTCCTCATCTACGATCTTGGTGGTGGTACTTTCGATGTATCTCTCCTCAACATCCAGGGCGGTGTTTTCACCGTTAAGGCTACCGCCGGTGATACCCATCTTGGTGGCCAAGATTTCGATACCAACCTTTTGGACCACTGCAAGAAGGAGTTCCAGCGCAAGACCAAGAAGGATATCTCCGGTGACCCGCGTGCTCTCCGAAGACTCCGAACTGCTTGCGAGCGTGCCAAGCGAACTCTTTCCAACGGTGCCCAAACTACCATTGAGATCGATTCGCTCTTTGATGGCGACGATTTCTTCCTCCAGATCACCCGTGCTCGTTTCGAGGACCTGAACGCTAAGGCGTTCAACGGTACCTTGGAGCCTGTCGCTCAGGTTCTGAAGGATGCCGCCGTCGAGAAGAGCGCTGTCGACGAGATCGTGCTCGTTGGTGGTTCTACCCGTATTCCCAAGATCCAGAAGCTCCTCAGTGACTTCTTTGATGGCAAGAAGCTTGAGAAGAGCATCAACCCCGACGAGGCTGTCGCCTACGGTGCTGCTGTTCAGGCCGGTATTCTTTCCGGCAAGGCTACCTCTGCTGATACCTCAGACCTCCTCTTGTTGGATGTCGTTCCTCTTTCCCTCGGTGTTGCTATGGAGGGTAACATCTTCGCTCCTGTCGTTACTCGGGGTCAAACCGTCCCTACTATCAAGAAGCGTACTTTCACCACTGTTGCCGATAACCAACAGACTGTCCAGTTCCCCGTGTACCAGGGTGAGCGTGTCAACTGCGAGGACAACACCTCTTTGGGAGAGTTCACCTTAGCACCTATCCCCCCTATGCGTGCCGGCGAGGCCGTCCTAGAGGTCGTCTTCGAGGTCGACGTCAACGGTATCCTGAAGGTCACTGCTACAGAAAAGACCTCCGGCCGCAGTGCCAACATCACCATCTCCAACTCTGTTGGTAAACTCTCATCCACTGAGATTGAGAGCATGATCAACGGTTCGTCTTATCCCCCAACCAGGTAACAAAACAAAACTAACATTCTATCCGCAGATGCCGAGAAGTTCAAGAACAGCGACGAGGCCTTCAGCAAGCGATTCGAGGCGAAACAGCAACTTGAGTCGTACATCAGCCGTGTCGAGGAGATCATCTCCGACCCGACTATGTCTCTCAAGTTCAAGCGTGGCCAGAAGGACAAGATCGAGCAGTCCCTCAGCGACGCTATGGCTCAGCTTGAGATTGAGGACTCCAACGCCGATGACTTGAAGAAGAAGGAGCTTGCCCTGAAGAGACTGGTCACCAAGGCCATGTCCTCCCGATAAATGCTTCTCTCTTCATTTGGCGAATATAGGTCATGGATTATAGATGGGCGGGCGGCTAGGTTCCCTTAAGTCTTGTGGGTGACCTTGATGCCCATCTACGCGAAGGATTGGGATTGGCATCTCAAAGGGGAAGGGAACGTCTCGTTTAGTACTGCGAGACAGGAGGGAAACAAAAAAGTCTTTCGGGTTGGTTTCTACTCTATCAGGCTCTTGTTATACTCCACCTCACCGTCCTCTTACGAATACTTAACAACCACATGTTGGTTGGCGGCGCATTTGCATGTAGACTAGGGAAAAAAGTGACCCAGCAGGGATGAACTCGACGAATTTAATTTTATCTCACGTTATATATCCAGACTCTATCGGACTCGTCCGTTTAGACGTCATTCTTCATAAGTGCCTTTGTTCAACAATGTTCCTTTTTTTCAGTGTTAGTAATCATCGTAGGGTATGTCGTGATAAAGAGCCCCCGCAACTCTCGGCACTAGTTGACGCGGATTCTCCAAGTCCGGGGTCCCGCATCCTAAGTCGCCCAATGGGCGTCGATATATATGTAATTACTTGAAAGATGAGGGAAGCTTGGAGATCACGTCTCGTATTTTATAATTTCTTAAATTTCTATCTTAGTTGGTAGGTAATTCTGCAATGTCGACGACGGCCCAAGATAACGCCAATGCCGGCGAGGAGGAGGACCAGCCTAACCTCCGAGACTACGACCTCAGCCGACCCCTCGACACCCGTCGGGGGATGCGCACAGGTCTCACGTCCTACGGCGACGCGCACTTCTCCCTCTTCCTGCGCAAGGTGTTCATCAAGGCCCTCGGGTACTCCGAGGACGCGCTCTCGCGGCCCATCATCGGCATCGCGAATACGTACTCGGCGCTTAACCCGTGCCATGCCAATGCGCCGCAGCTTATTGATGCGGTGAAGAGGGGGGTGCAGTTGAATGGTGGGCTGGCGGTTGAATTTCCGACGATTAGTCTGCATGAGAGCTTTGCGGCGCCGACGAGTATGTTCTTGAGGAATTTGATGAGTATGGATACTGAGGAGATGATTATGGCGCAGCCGGTTGATGCGGTGGTGCTTGTTGGTGGTATGTTGGATTTACCTATAATTTTAGGGTGGAGGGGGATGGGGATGGAATGGTGGAGGGAGATTGCTAATGCGGTGGTAGGGTGTGATAAGACGACACCGGCGCAACTTATGGGTGGGATTTCGGCGAATAAACCGATACTGCATCTTGTTACGGGGCCGATGATGCCGGGGAGTCATCGCGGTGTTAGGATTGGGGCTTGTACTGATTGTCGGAATAATTGGGCGAGTTATCGGGCGGGTGTTATTGATATCGAGGAGATTGCGGCGTTGAATGAGGAGTTGGCACCAACTGTAAGTTTTGAGAGCTATAAAGGGATTCTTGGGTAAGTTGATGAGAGAGTGTGCTAAAGATGGGAATTAGGCCGGCACGTGTGGCGTTATGGGCACTGCGAGTACAAGTGAGGATATTTTGAATGTCCTTTCTACCCCTTTCCTCAAATGGTGGTTAATAGGGGAAATATTGACTTTGTTCTCTTATAGTGGCGTGTATACTAGTTGGACTTGGCCTCATGCCATTTAAAGGGGCAACTGCACCAGCCGTATCATCAGCACGGTTACGAATCGCCGAAGAAACGGGCGCTAATGCCGTGAAAATCATCGCAGCCGGAGAAAAACTCAAACCCCAAGCTCTCCTATCGCGGGAGTCATTTCTCAACGCCATAACCGTCCTCCAAGCCATCGGCGGCTCCACAAACGCAGTGGTTCACATAATGGCCATCATAAACCGACACCCGAAGCTCGCCGGCACAATAACCCTCGATACCTTTGACGAGATCGGACGTCACACCCCTTTGCTCGTTGACCTCAAACCCAGCGGTGCGAATTACATGTCCGACTTCCACAACTCAGGGGGCATGGCCGCCCTCCTTCAAGAACTTAGACCTATCCTCCACCTTGATGCGCTGACAATTACAGGCAAGACCCTCGGCGAGGCCCTAGATAGCCAGCGCATCATCCCAGTCCCCCAACACCTCCGATGCATCCAACCCTTCGACGAGCCGCTTTACCCGCGCTCCTCGCTCGTTGTGCTGCGCGGAAACCTAGCACCTGGTGGCGCCGTAATGAAAGCTAGCGCATCGAAAGATCGGAGATTGCTGCGGCACTCCGGGCCCGCGGTCGTGTTCACCGGATCGGCGGACCTAGCGCGACGGATCGATGACGAGGAGCTAGAAGTCACGGAAGATAGCGTGCTCGTGCTGCAGAACATTGGACCCGTGGGAAACCCTGGGATGCCCGAAGCTGGGCTCGTACCGATTCCGCGGAAGCTGGCTGCGAGGGGGGTTACCGATATGCTGCGGGTTTCAGACGGACGGATGAGTGGGACGGCGGGGGGGACGATTGTCTTGCATGTTTCGCCTGAGGCGGCGGATCCGGAGAGCGTGTTGGGGGTTGTGAGAGATGGGGATGTGGTTACGTGTGATGTGGAGAAGAGGGTGTTGAGGGTGGAGATTAGTGATGAGGAGATTGAGCGGAGGAGGGTGGATAGGAGGAGGGAGGTCGTGGGGGAGGGCTCGGAACACCCGTGGAAAGCGAGGGAGCGGATGAGGGGGTATAGAGGGTTGTATATGAGGGAGGTGAATCAGGCAGATCAGGGGGCGGATTTTGACTTTTTGAGGGCTGGGTTTGAGAGATGATTGCACGGAATCGTATATACAAGAGTCTTCGCGGTAACAAGGATCATGTTTACAAACCAGATAAATATGGATATATCGCTGAAATAATTGAGTATTTGAAACTTGCGACATCATAAACCTTTGACTGCAATAGGGGGCTTTCCAACTTTCTTAGCCTCCTCATTCAGAGCATCGATCTCGGCTTGAACTAAAGGAATTCCCGTCTTCTCTCTTTCCTCTTGGGTCAATTGCTCGATCTCACCAGGGAAGTATATCCGCTCGACGCCGGCAGCCTTATCCGAGCCAACAACTTGTTGATGAAGAAAATCCATGCGTTTTTTGAAGTCGTCGAGACTCATAAATAAGTCTGGTTTGATAGCTACGAGGAAATGACCGGCATCCGAGGGTTTGCTTGGATCGTACGGGCCTGTAACGCCGCCTGCGTATTCCGAGCCTGTATATCCTTGATTTAGTAGAAAACGGACGTGCCTTACTATTTGCAGTAGAACTCTCACCTGATAAAACGCCTGAAAATACATCCATCATGATCGCCAACGCCGAGCCCTTAGGTCCTCCCATCGGCAACATAACACCCTCTAGGGCGGCAGCCGGATCATCCGTTGGTCTCCCTTCCGCATCCAACGCCCAATCCAAAGGTATCTTCTCCCCTCTCCTCTTCGCCTTATATATCTTACCCCTAGCCGCTATAGACGGTGCCATATCTAAAATAAAGGGCTTCTCCTTACCACCCGGAGCGCCACATGCAATAGGCGAAACCCCCATTAACTTACTCTTCCCACCGAAAACCGGCAGCGCCGGACTCGAGTTCGTGAACACGAGGCTCATCATCCCCGCATCGATAGCCTGTTGCACGATCCAAGCGCTCATTCCGAAGTGGTTCGAGTGCTTGACGCTCACCATCCCGATCCCGAAGTCTTGCGCCATATCGCACGCCTCCTTCATACCCAACGAAGCAGCTAGAAACCCGAACCCATTGCGCCCGTCGACTTGCGCGACGACCGGCGTGATCTTAGATAATGAGGGAGTGGCGGTGCCGTCGAGGACACCGGCGCGCACACGGGCCATGTACGATGGGATCCGGTTGATGCCGTGCGTGTCGACGCCCCGTAGATCTGCGGCCACGAGACACTTCGCGACTACTTCTGCGTTGGAGGCTGGCACGTCATTCCCGATGAGCACGGCTTCGATGAATTTACGGGCTTCGGAGGCTTCGACGTAGAGCTTTGCATCGGAAGTTTCGGCCATCTTATATTAAATAAGGTGAATCAATAAATAATGGGAAAAGGAGTAGGGCTAAAGTGCGGATTATGAATATCTATTATATTAGATTGAGATGAAGCTTCCTGTAATAAAAGGTGAAATATTTAAGTTCACGTTCCCACCCCGGTACCTGCAGCCGAGCAGCCGAGAGTCATCCGGTCGATTACTTGTCCGAACTCGGACCCGGTCCCGCTGCCGAAAATTCCCGCGGCATCTGAGATCGGGGTATCTCCGATAGATTATTTCACTTAATCGAATTGGGGGTTCCTCATTCTCGGCGAGTTTCTTCATATAAGATATCAATAGAGATTATGACGCATTCTTGACTCAACGCTTAGTTAACATCCAGGAGTATGAGTCAGGACTAAATGTCGGCCATATATGAATAACTTAGCGGATTAATACATGGTTTCTGGAAAACACAATTGCCTTGTATAGGAGTTGTAAATAAACCATAGGGGTATTATGTAACATGCCTAGTAGGTAGGCATCCATATTGGCAGCTGGCTTCTGTCTAAATGAATGTTTCTTGAATACGAGTGTTTGTGGTGATCGCTACCCCTAATAACAACTTGCGGCGATGTATGAGTAGGTAAAAGCTGTCAAGACGTTTCAGTATCTAACCTGCGTGAGATAATCAAATATATATAGGGTTAATTATAGGTTTAGCAATACGATTCAAATTATTATCGTTACATGTTAGCTGTGCGGATCGCGTTGACTTGAACATCTCATTGGGCGGGATTACGATGAAGCCACAAAGCAGCACGTACCAGTATAAAGTACGGTATGAAAATACAAGCGATTTTAGCCAGGATCGAGCGAACTCGTTCCATATCACCTTGGCTTTAAGTGGCACAGCCAAGGTCGTTTATCGTTCTTCAGGGGAATATTAAGAATATCATCACCCATAATTGGTCAGACCAATTTTGCACGAGCCATCCATGCAGCCTTGCCTTATGTACCATGGATACTCGACAGTCGGGGACCACAGCAAGAAGACTTTATGTAGATCTCAGAATGGCCGTTTCTTCTAAGTCTGTAGCCTTAATTCTCGTCGTCCCCAACTCGTTCGTAGGTCGACCACCATCTTTTAGCTAAACGCCTAGGCAAGGACATTGCAGCAATGGCGAGTAATCCTACCAACACTACACATCCAACTCTTACCACAACCTTCACACCTGCGCCAGAATGTACGCAGTTGACGATAAGTACCTGCTACGGGACGAATCGCTGCCTCGGTTCAGCTCTGAGGAATGATCATTGTAGTCAACCTAACTACGCATGTTTCCCCGAGTCATCGATTTTCGAGACCACAGATTACACATATGCGACGCCGTACGTGACATATTCGCCAGCGAATATATGTCCTCAGGGATGGTCAACAGCCGCAGCCGCGATAGGTCCCGATGGTGTATGGTGCTGCCCCAAGTGAGTTGCCTCCGTCGTGGTGATACGCCCACCAGATCACAATGCTAATGTTATGAATGAAGTGGCTTTGAATTTAACCGAGATATCCAGTATTGCCAGGGAGTGTTCACTGAAGGCGTAGCGGTATCAGTTGCAGCGAACTGTGAAATTCTAAGCACTATTCCGTTCGGCCCTGGCCGAACAAATGTGATGACGGTGGCTTCTGTGGGAGCGGTAGGGTCGGATGTAATTCCTGCGAGCGATCTCACGATAACGGCAAGGGCACAAGGTATCTTCCTTCTGGGACAGGCACTAGAAAGCGGACCGAGTCAGTCTTCTGCAACCTCGATAACATCCCTAATCCCGCCACCTCCCGAAGGAAGAGACTCATCTATATCTACAAGAGCCGCCGTCGGTGCCAGTATAGGTGGCACAATAATAATTGTTTTGCTCCTTGGCCTTGGGTTCTTTCTTATTAGGCGTCACCGTAAAAGACGACGAATAGGTGAATTAAAAGCAGTGGACGATCAGGACCCACCGGTACCGAGAGGAGGAGAGCATGTGGACAGCGAGCGGAAACCAGAGCTCCAAGGAAGCAATACCAACCCCGCAATATTCCAAAAGAACGAACTGGATGCCAATGCAACGCGTTCAGAACTCCTGGGGGATATGAATGCAAGTAGGGAATTGGATGGGAACACGACACGTTCTGAGCTCCAGTGTCCTACCAGTTCAGAATTGGAGCTCTTAGGAAAGGAAACTCCTCAAGAATTGGAAACGGCTGTACGGTACGAGCTTCAAGGATGATCGAATTAAAAAAGGGCTCATAACTTATATTACTTAATGGGATATTCATAATCGGATTTGGGAACTGGGTAATAATGTTATGTTTTTGTGGTACGCTGCAACGAATTATTCTGACATTGTCAAAATTATGAATCTGGGAAGTTCAAATCCACCAATTGCTATTGGTTTATTCTAATAAAACAATGCCCATTGATTATATAATTTCGCTGATAACGATAAGGGAATGGTTACACAATTACATAACATTACATGTTATGGATTTAACAGGTAAGTATGCATAAAATGAGGTATTTACGTCATGACAACGAGCTGAACTACGTACTGTACGATATGTAAAGCTCCATCGTCGAAAAGCTCCATCATAATTATTCCGTACATCGTGCATCAACAACAACGCGACATTCCAATCTTCCATTTTCTCTGAGCAACGCGGGGTAAATTTGCCTGCGTCCGGCTTACTTCTTCCAATGTCCACTTCTTATTTACTATTTTGATTTCTACACTCCTCAGTCGTAGTTACAAGAACATACCTATGATATTGTCTGCATCTGCATCGTTAAAATGGCTGCCCAAGGCTACGTTCAAACTTCCCTCATCTGGGTGGCTTATGCCGTCGCAGTTGTCTTGGCCTTAATTGTCGCCAGTATCACCACATTTACGTGGCAGACACCTCGCGAACGATCCGCGGTCGTAAGCATTGTCGCCATCATCGGTCTTACATCCATCCTCGCGACCGTCCTCCTTCTCCCTGTCGACATCGCCCTTGTCTCATCCACTACGTCCACCCACCTCGGTGCCAAGAAACACTGGGCCACTTCCGATCGTATCGACAACATCACCTTCACTCTTAAGGTTGTCTACTATTGTCTCTACAGCTTCGACGCTCTTCTATGTCTTCTCATCATTCCCTTCTCGTACTTTTGGTATGAGGAATACGATGAAGTCGAGGAGCAGGAGGGTAACCAGACCTTCGGCAGTCGTCTCTGGGGCGCCTTCAAGTACACCATCGCCTTCATACTCTTGGTCGTAATTATCTTCCTCGTCGGCTTCTTCGTTCCTGCTGCCGGATCCCGCGGCGGTGGCGATCATCTCGATCTTGACTTCTTCAAGCGACTCCTCGACGAGAACCATGGCGAGAAGGCACTTACATTCGGCGTGGGTCTACTGATTACACTGGGTACGCTATTGTATATTCTATATACTGGAGCTGGTCTCGCGCTTTTCCCAGTCTCGTTCATCAAGTCCGCCCCGTCCGTATCCGCACCGCAATTGTCCGAGAATACCGCGTCCCAGTTGGAGCAGAACAGGGAGCGTCAACGACAAATTGAGATGCGTAACGCTGGCCGACCGGAAGGAATGCCGCACAAGGATCGACGCGAGCTAGAAGCCCTCGCTCGCGAAGAGCGCACCCTCGTCCGACGTGAACGACTCGCCGCTGAAGCTCAGGGAGAAGGCAAGAGTTTCGTTGTGAAGCTATGGTCAAAGATCTGCGCCGTATTCCGACCACTCAAGCTCATTGGAGGAATTCTTCTCATCGTTCTTGCACTGCTTATCTGGGTCTCTATGCTGATCACTGGAATCGACAAGGCTGCCAACTCTGTCTGCAAGGAGCACTGCGGATATATCCTCGCGCATATCAACGTCTTCCAGCCTATCAACTGGATCTTCGTGCAGACCGCCAAGGCCTTCCCCGTCGACTATGTTCTCATGGCCTTACTAATCCTACTATTCTTCAGCAGCTCCATCTCCGGCGTGGCAGCTATCGGTATCCGTTTCCTCTGGTTGCGTATCTTCCAGATCCGCAAAGGCCGAACGATGCCTCAGGCTCTACTCATCGCGACGGTTATGCTAGCGCTAATGATGCTTGGGATTAACTATGCGGTAGCTATGATGGTGGCGCCCCAGTACGCGAGTTTCGGCACCCAGACGTTCTGCGATTTACCTCCCCGCTTCCCGTTCTCGAGCCCCGACTGTCGCGATACCCCCGAGGCCGTCAAGCCCTGCTCCGAGTGGGCGGACTCACGATCACACAATGGCAAGAATCTGCAGCAGGTCTGCACACCGACTGTCATGTCTACATTCCTGAATCGTGTTACGCTCAACTGGCCCGTATTCGGCGCCGTAGCTTTCTGGGCCCAGTTCGTGTTCCTAGGTGTCTTCCTCCTGGTATTCCTCACAAGCTTGTTCCGCGCCCCGCGACTCAATCTCAGCGAGATTGACGAAGAGGCAGAGGCCGACGAGGAAGAGGGACTGCTGGCCAGCACGGGACGTCGCTTCGGCGCTACGTGGCAGGATATCACGGGCCGCCCGAAGACTGGTCCTCATGGAAGTGGAAGTGGGAACGGCGCTGGGTCGAGTGCGTAAGTTGATTGCCGGCTCACTTAGGTACCAAAGTTGTCCATGTATTCTATATGGTACCACGGCATGAAGCATATTTACCCACGCACGAAGGAAGGGGAAGTTGGTACAGAATGAATGGTTTTAGCTGGCTAGTTTCCCCTAGGTCACATGGATGCAAAAAGGGGGACGGGACAATTACCCCCAGGGACACATGTACGGAGTATCAGGTTCTACGGAGAGCAATATGGACGGCGTCGTGATTGATTGATTACTTGAGATTGTACTACTGGTTTGCAACGAGGTTACGGATAGGTTCCTAGGCTAGGGTAAAATAGGACATGGACATACGGAAGAATTTCCGGTATATTATCATGGCTTGAAAGTGATACCTACGGTTTTGTAAGGCATTAGTCGTATTGGCATCGCCATTCGTAGCGTAGGATTGATTGATTCGCGACGTCAAGGCAGATTTCCTGACAGCGCAGCGCAGCTTAGCTGGCTGATGCCAAGAACCATCGCCTCTGCCCGAGTGGGCAGGTAAGCAGCGACGAAGCCATGTCATGCCACTTATTTGAAGTGGAAATTGGGAAACCCGCATCTTACGATATACAGCTGAAGATCGGTAATCCAACAATGTTACACTAGGGATAGGAAATCGGTGTGTATAGGACCTCAAACTTTCGATCGCGAAAGTCTTAGGCGGTTCGGTGTTGGTCATCACAGACTACAGAAAGGATAATACCATCCAACATCCAGCATACCAACATACGCAAAGCGCCATGAAATCCCGTTAATTACCCAATCAAATCACGTCATCATCATCATCAGCATCATCATCATCATCACCGCCACACCTCTCCCTAAACCAAAATGCCTCACCCCGTCTTCCCATCCCTATTAAACTTCTCCCACCGATGTCCGCGCTCATCGTACCCAGCGCTCGGACCGACGTGCATCTCGCGCCAGCAGCGGGCGCAGTAGACGTCGCCGTCGCAGCCGAGACACCGCACCGTTCCGTCTTCTAGACACACCGTGCACCACGTCTTCTGGTCTGCGTCGGTGTACCCGTGGCGTTTGATCAGGCCTGGGACCGGCCGGTCGGCGGGGGCGAAGGTTGGGGCCGTGGGAAGCCCGAAGGCGTCGACGGCTGTGGTGGGTGCGGAGGGGAGAGTCCGTGGTGGGGTCGCGAGGCGGAGGGCCGCCATGCGGGTGTTGATTGAGGCGGCGAAGTCGGCGTCGGAGGGGGAGGAGGGGTCGTCGGCTTGGGAGGGGGAGAGGGGTGGGAGTGTGGGTTGGTCTTGGAGGGAGGAGGGCACGGTGGGGAGGTTGAAGGGGGGTGTGTCTTTGGGTGTTGTGGTTTCACCTGGTTTCTCATCATGGGTCTGATGTGTGTCCTTAGATGTTGGTGTTGAATCTAGCCAAGAAAGGACCTCGTTGTTTTTTTGCAAATCTACCTCGTCGGCGGCTTGAGCGAGGATTTCGTTAGCCTTGTGAGTCGTATATTCACCATCAGAGTCATCGTCGCTGCCTTCATAGTAAGTGGGCCCACGATACCCATTTGCAGCTAACAACTCCTTGATCCACGCTTGTTCCTCTTCAGAATCGTAAGTTTCCCAAAAGAGAAGTTCCTCGAGTCTATCGTCGACTTCGCTAGTCTTATCTTCCTTCGAAGGGACATCTGGTGTGTTTATTTTCATATCCAGGCCTTTGGAGTTAAGCTGTGGCTGTGGTTGTAGTGAACTAGATGAAGTGGTATTCTTGCTACTTCCGTCTCCCACCCCTGAGTCACTAGTAGTATGGACATTGTTACTAGATTGGTTTCGTAAGCTCTTTAGCCTCTCCGAGAGAGCGTCTTCTCTCGATAGAGGTTTGGCCGGTTCCAGAGTAGACGCTGCAATTGTCCTAGGAGATATTTAGCAAACTTCGGCTCTTTAAACATGGATGTGTCCATGTAACTGTAACTGAGAAAGGCAAACCAGAAGCATTGAGGTCATCTTACTTTGATGGTGGGTCCAAGTTAACGGCGCTGGGTTTAAGGGCGTTTAGCCTGTCTAACAAGGTCCGATCTGATCCTGGGGCGTTGGTCATGATGAATGGTTAATGTGATGAGCCTTCTTGTAGTGGGAAGTTGAGTGTGGCTTGACGAGGGTAGCTGAAGGCAATAAGCTTCTCCACAGACACCAGGATACTAGGCGCGATCGCGTGGTGGAATATGTCCGCTCTCGGATGGTACCGACAACGTGGTTCCTGCAGATGGTTGACTGTGCCTCAATCCGATTTGGAATTAACTTTGGAGAGCGAGGCTGAGTCTGTAAAATTTAGAATTATTCTCCAATCAGGAATCAGATAAAAGGCCGATACGTTCATAGATGAAACTAGCCGTCCATCAGATTGACTGACCTGATCGATTAAATTCCGAGATGTATGAATAATGATTGAGCGTTTGAACATAGTGATGTCAGAGGGGAGGTACCTGGATACATTTATTGTGGATTATTGTATCTGCTAAATATAACTAGTTCGCATTAGATCTAGCCTCTTAGAAGATTTGTCGAAGCTAAGCTAGATCCGGTATTAATTTACATGAAAAAACGACGTTGTTGTACCACGTTAAGGATCACCTGCAGCTGCTAGATAGCACAGCCCTAGCAGCTCAATAATAATCGTGACGTTAATTGGAATACATGATGGCAGGTGAGGTTGACTTTCTGACCAGTCGTACAATTACCATTATTCCGGTCTTTCCTGCTTATCTAATGCACCGTATACCAAAGTGACCGCACCCAGCAAATGGCCTGTATCATGAAACCCTGGTCCGTATGGATATCGCAACAATTTACAGTTTACAGTTTAGAGCCGTTCTGTCTTACTTTAATGACGGCTTAGACTTAATAACATCCCGCTTTCTTTGTGGCAGTAAAGACAGTGCTATGTAGCAATGGACGGACTTGGCAAGAGTAATCCGCCACAACATCTGGAATTGGCCACCGACGCAATTGGTTGACTGCTATCTATATGTACCTTCAATGGCCCTCACACGTAGGGACGATCGGAGGTTAGAGTTTGCTTGGCAGTCACAGAATCGGAATCGTTGGCATCACCGCCTCCAAACCCTGTAACCTACTCCATCATTTCAATCCTACATATACAAGTTCCCTGCTCCTCACCTAATTTCTGTTTCTTTCACCTTTCTTAGAATCGGCGCTTATCGACTCCTAGCTAAACGTACTTATATCCATCTATACTGGCAATAGTAACGCCTTTAACATCAATTTGCTACTCTACTGCTTATTGATATACACAACAAACACGCGAATCTCTTGATGAAGCTTTCGAATTTTTTTCTCGGCTTGGCGGCCGTTGGCCAAGGCATCAATGCCGTCGCAATACCCGACGCGCAAGATGGCGCGCTAGACACACGATCGCCAGAGTCTCAAAACCAGGACCGATCAACGACCAACGAAGAATTATGGAAGCGCAAGGGTGGCGGAGGAAGTGGTGGTAGAGGTGGTAGTAGCGGTTCTTCTGGCGGTTCATCCGGTTCTTCCGGCTCGTCTGGCTCATCTGGCAGTCGTGGAGGCAGCGGCGGCCGTGGATCGTCGTCATCCAATACCGGGGGTTCAACGACAACGGGTAGCGGCGTTCGCCCCGGCTATGGTGGTGGCACATACTACGGTGGGGGCGCAAAAGAGCCGTACAAGTCCGGAAAAGCGAGCCCCTCAGGCATCGTACCCTTCGCACTAGGTGGCGCCGCACTCGGCACCCTGGGTTTCGTCGGCGCAACTTGGGCCTACGGCGCATATGTGTATCCATACACTCATCCCTACTGGTACCGCAACTCGACAACCAACAGGAACGAGACCAAGCCCGTGACGTGTCTGTGCGATTACTACGAGACGTGCGGTTGCGACGATAACGGAAACCAGACGTACTTCAACTCAGTCGTCGGGGACGGGAGCTACTCAGGTCTGAACAAATCGCTAGTCACGGTGGCGGATAACGCTACTACGAACGAATCCACCATCTACATCAAGGGCTCCCTACCCAACGGCACGACGTCATCAGGTGGCACCGAAGATCCGAATGCCGCCGGTGGTGATTTAGTAGCATTGGCTCGATCGGCGGGCTGGTGGCCGGTTGTTACCACGGCGATAGCTATTGCGTTCTTATGATGCTAGACATCGGTTAGGACATAGCTAGCTATATCGCTCTTTTTATTAATTAATTTGTACATACGATTGCCTTTGGAACGACGATAACTCAAAGACTTCCGCGGCAACGCACGAGTTTACGACGGATATACCAATGGTGTTCTGGTTTTTTTGAAGGGTAGAAGCGAATTGGAGAGAGGCAGACATGATGCCTGCACGGCTATTTGCTTTAGCGTTGAATACCCTTTGAAACTGGCAGGATGGAAGAAGCATCTGCCGAGCACTGTTGGAATTTGAATATAATTATTTTACCCATACCGCCTATTCCTCCTCCCTTTATAAGTGATATACCTTCAATACATGAAATGGCCTAATAGTGAGAGTACAGTAGTTTATAGCTAAAGCCACAGTTATACATGTCTATCGGTTGGGGGTATCGCATAAAATCTAGCAAAGTGTAGCTCCTTACCATCGATCCTCGCTGACCATAATGATAAAAGAGACAGCGGAACCTTCCTCAAGCACGTCTATTCCAGCACCTCAACTTTCACAGAATCATCAACAGCCTCCTCCTCCCTCTCCTTCCTTCTCCGCACACACCAGTCCCCCAAAACCTTCCAAATCCGCTCCTTCTCCTCCGGTCTCAGCGTCGCCGCAAGCCCACTAGTACTCGTCGCCACAAACACCCTCGAGCCCTCCCAGCCGCCTTCCTCACCATCACCAGTCTCAATAACACCCATCCTCTCCTCCTGCCACCCGTAGCTAAACTCCCCCTTCCTCAACGCCCGTCCATGGCGGACGCGAAACACGCTCTCCCAGATACTCTTCCCGACCACACACGCGACCTCGGGCCTCCACCTCCGACACTTATCCTCTAGCATCGCCACCCCCTCGTCCATCTCCGCTTTACTCAGCTCGGCGCCGTTGCGCGAGGGCCGCGCGACGATGTTGGTGTGCCCTAGACTGAACCGCGCTGGCATCGTTTGGTCTTCTTGCGCGCTGCATCGTTCGGGGGTTATGCCGGAGCTGAAGAGGAGTTTCCAGTACAGGTTTGACGGGTGCGCGTAGGCGTGGCCGGTTCGTGCGGTTTGGAGGCCCGGGTTGAGGCCGATGGTTAGGATGAGCAGGTTTGGTGCGATGGCGTCGGGGAGGAGGGGCAGGTGCGCGTAGGTTGAGGGTGGGGCGTAGGAGGATGATTTGCGGGTGCGTTTCTTTTTGGGAGAGGGGGACGAGGAAATGGGTGTGGGTGTAGATGTAAGTGTGGTGGCTTTTCTACGATTGGGTTTCTTGTTTTCTGGTTCTGGGGACTCTGTTGGTGTTTTTCGCTTTTTGGATTTGGAAGGCGATGAATGCTGGAATGAGAGAGTGGATTGAGTCATTGTCAGCCTTTGGCTTCGCCTTGGTTCTGATGAAGATGAGCTGTTGCTTGTTCCTGTGAACATGAAGTTCTTCAGTTGAAGACGACCTTTGAAACTTGATTCCTCGGACGTGCTATTTTCTCCCATTGGCTCCTCTTGATCGTCCCTTTCATCTGCCATTATGACGGTGGCTACTTATGAATGTCAACTCATGGGAGGGTAGTCCTCCTGAATGATTAGTCAATTTCTGGTATAATACGCGGATTGGAAGTGGGAATGTGCATATATAACTCAAATTATTAGGTTTATATGCTCATATAATGAAAATAATGGAAAGAAGGAGTCGACAATATGTCGTACTTTCAGATCCTCAGCTTAGCTGCCTAGTGGATACGCGCTGTAAGTTGCACGCCTCGCAGCTACCTTGTTCCCTCTAGGGCTATTAGTGGCCACCGAGGCAGCAGGGTGGGGTCCCAACTTCTGGCGGTAGGGTTTAATTGAACTATCCAGTTGCCCACCAAGTGCCTACCATTATCATCATGACAGGCATTTCCCTGTTTCTTCTTAAGATCAGATCTGCTCGTATTTTTTCCAAGCACTTTCAATATTTACATTGTCGTATTTTTACTCACCTTGCATAAGAGTTCACTGATGAAACCCAACATCAGATAAATAAAGCAATTGGGGATTCGATGTTGATTTTGATCGTGGATACCTCGTACTTTTGCTCGGATCCTCGTATCAAATAACGCATTTAAAGGGACATACTAGTCAGGGATTTCACAGGAACCAACAGCCCGCGATCTGGAGCCTCCAGTTACGGCACACCTGCAGATCGGGTATGGAACGGCAGACACCGTAGCTGCGTGGTCTCTGCAGAGTCATTTTACCACCCGTGGATTACGTATCGAGATCAACGTCAAGTCGGGAAAAATCAAACTGCAATATCGTCTATATTGCACGTCGTCAGCTCGAAACGACGGTAGAGCATAGAACATTGAAATAGGACACGAAGTTTCAACTTCAACGAAGTAGCGAATAAGAAACGGGATTGTCACCGCATGCCCTAATGAAGCGGTGAGGTGAGATGCAACGTCCAACCACGGAAAGAAAGTAAAGTTGTGAGAGGAGGGAAGAGAAAACAAAGATTCTGGGCAATCAGATGCCCTAATTTACATCGATGGTGTCACTAACATAGAGGGGCAATGCAAAGCTGAAGCTACTAAATGTATCCCTACCACTAACCCCCCAGCAAATCCTAGCATCTCCCCACCACTGACTAGCCTACTAGCTTTAAGATCCTTGTTAATGCCCCTCAGCCCCTCCAGCTTATTTGTACGTACATATACGTAGTGACCCCTGGTAATCATCATTCTATTTTCAAGCTTCTGTTTCAACTCCTGAATCAGTCTCTTCCCAACTTTACGACCTATTGTCTAAAGTAGCCAATTGCTTGTCCTCTTTTCATAATTCTCCTGTAAGCACTTCACCTATAAACACATCGATCAAAATCGACATGTCAGCCGAAATCCAGAGCCTGAAGGCCCAATACGAGAAAGCTGGCCAGAGCCATGTATTTACCTATTTTGACTCCCTGAGCGAGTCCGAGCAAAAGACCTTCCTCGAGCAACTCCAGAAGATTGACCCTGCGAGAGTCCAAAAACTACGAGATCTTGCCTTGAACCCCCCGAAGGAACAAGGACAAGCTATTGTCGAACCCCTTCCCGACTCTGCTAATGCCAGTATTATCGATTCGAAGCCCGAAGATATTCAAAGGTGGTACGATCTCGGTCTGGAGTTAATTGGAAAGGGTGAGGTTGCCGTAGTCCTACTAGCCGGTGGACAAGGCACTCGTTTAGGAAGCAAGGCACCAAAGGGAGCTTTTGATATTAAGCTTCCCTCCCACAAGTCTCTCTTCCAGATTCAAGCGGAACGAATCTTAAAGATTCAAGAATTAGCTGCCAAGAAGGCCGCGGATCCCAGCAAAGCTGTGATTCCCTGGTTTATCATGACTAGCGGACCGACACGAGGACCTACGGAGAAGTTCTTCAAGAAGGAGAAGCTAGATGAGCTTAGCGATGAGGAGAACGCCAACCGAGCTAAGGGTGTCCCATACTTTGGCCTAGACGCTAAGAATGTGACCATATTCGAGCAGGGTGTGCTTCCGTGCATTACGAATGACGGTAAATTCATGCTTGCGAGTAAAGGGAAACTTGCTGTAGCTCCTGATGGAAACGGTGGTCTGTACAAAGCCCTACAAGACGAAGGTGTCCTTGAGAAGATGCGCCCAAATATCAAGCACGTCCACGCATACTGTGTAGACAATTGTCTGGCAAAGGTTGCCGACCCTGTCTTCATTGGTTTCGCGGCCGAGAAGAAGGTCAAGATCGCCACCAAGGTCGTAAGGAAGCGAGATGCCAAGGAATCAGTCGGTCTAATCATCCAAAAGAACGGCAAGCCGGACGTGGTAGAATACTCCGAAATTGATGACGCCACCCGTCAAGCAGCAGACCCTAAGCAGCCCAGTCTCCTCAAGTTCCGTGCTGCCAATATCGTCAACCACTACTACTCCTTCGAATACCTAGACAGCATGGGAGATGCGGTAAACAACTTGCCGCCTCACGTTGCCAAGAAGAAGATTCCCTTCTTCGACACCGAGAAGGGCGAAGCTGTCGACCCCAAGTCCCCTAACGGTATCAAACTGGAGCAATTCGTCTTCGACAACTTTAAGTGGCTTAGTCTGAACGAGTTTGCTTGCTTCGAAGTCAAGCGTGAAGAGGAGTTCTCCCCCTTGAAGAACGCAGATCCGGCCCAAACGGCCGACGGATCGTTCGAGAAGCAGCCCGAGGACAGCCCTGCTACTAGTCGTAGACACATCAAGGAACAGGGCCGACGATGGGTCGAAGCTGCCGGCGCAACTGTCAAGAATGGAGATGTTGACGGAGGCCTCGAGGTCTCGCCGCTCACAAGCTACGTAAGTCTTTTCCATAATTTCAGCACTTGGAATATTTCTAACCACAATACATATATAGGGTGGTGAAGGCCTAGAGAGTTTCAAGGGACAGACGATTGAGAAGTCGTCGATTTAGATTCATCATCTTTACGTGATGTGGTAGATAAAAGTAACGTAGATGAATTTTTCGGACTCGTAAAAAGAGTAGATATATGGATGGTTATCCTAACCCCGCTTCTGGGAGGTTATCTAACCCGTGGGATTCCGATCGACGTAAAACGCTCGGTAATAAATGAAATAAATATACAAGGTCAATGATTATGGTATATAGAATCTCCAAATTACGTCTACCTCGTGATTGTAAAGATTATGTATTTGTATGAGAGTAATACAACAGGTTGTTACAGTGTTCTGATGCTACATATTTACGAGGGAGGTATTCTTCCGGGTAGTCACGTGATACGAGACTGCTCCTTAATGAAAAGGGGTCTAAGTCATCAAAATATTCAATCATATAATGGCATACTTTACTTATCCATACATAGGTATAGTAGTATCTTTCTATTTTCTCGCTATGGACTTAGATCACAGTAAACCGTATTCTTTTCTATTATTCTAGGAGGAACAGGTGAAATTCTCCCTTATGTCAAATTTCATCTCCAGCCTCCTTTAGGTATTTCTATGTCGAAACTATCGCTTGTTAGTACGTCGTCAGTGTGTGATAGGATAATCCCGTTCTAGCGGCCCAATCTCCGAGAATATGTGTTCCGGGTCTTATATAGGAAAGTAATAAAGGTGTCCGCCATACTATTGGATTGACTGTTGATACCGGCGATTTGGGCGAGAAGGTTTACAGCGACCAAGATATCTAAGGGTATCTCGGGTTGTTTACTGACGAGAATCTTGACTGGCAAAAGACAAATTTAGACCTAGAGGCAATCCAATGGAGGCTATTAGATTATATAATATATATTATACTTAGATATGTCTACTCAGATATTTTGTTAGCTAAGGATGATTATAGCGAAGTAAATTGTATGGCTGGTGAAGCTCTTGAAAAGGGGAGGATATTCTCATATCCCCTAATTGACAGAGGACCTCAAATTCCTTAAAATTCATGAACTATACCTAATGGTTTCTATTAGTAGACCTTCTTAGAGGGGGTTCGGAAAGGATTATGATTGGTTATTCTTAGCAATGTAATTGTGAAGTCTTCTGCCCTAGAACAATGCTAGGTGATGGATGAGAGAGACATCATACGTATACCCTAGTGTAGATCTATATGGACCCTTTATGCATGCATATCGCGGCTAACGCGTCTATAGCCCTTGGCTAGGAAAAGGATTTAACCGCGTCTAAAAAATAGGCTAAGCTTCTCTCACTAACCCGATGTGACATCGTCCCATTCTTTAAACCGAAACCGCAAAGCAGCAAGTTGTCATATTTCAATCTCGTGTTCTAATCGGAACTTCCTGATGTCTCACGACACGTCCATATGTCCTACCATAGAATTCAATGGGTTATCTGGGGGCATCTCTGCAATGGGCTCGCATAGGGACAATCGCACTACTCGTATTCATATTCTCGGCCCACGTTTTCGCCTACGAGGAATTGACCGATGATGCGCTCCGCAATATACCCAGTGGTGCCGACGACTTCGATATTAAGACCGGCTCCTTGCTGTCGCCGATATTAATACCCCGGGTACCTGGAACCCCGGGATCCATTGCAACACAACACCATTTTGTCGATTTCTTCTCGCAGCAGTTACCGGGATGGAGGATCGAGTGGCATAATTCGACATCTAAAACTCCGGCGACAGGCGATACAGATATACCATTTACAAACCTCATCATTACGCGCGATCCACCATGGGCCCAAGTTGGTGATGTCGGCCGGCTGACGCTAGTCGCGCATTATGATAGTCTGTATCACCCGGAGGGATTCATCGGTGCCACGGATAGCGCTGCTCCTTGCGCGGTGCTGATGCATGTAGCCCGTAGCATCGACAAGGCTCTAACGAAGAAGTGGGAGGCCATGGAAGCTTCTGGGGACGCTGGCTTAGGAATGGATGATGAGAAGGGTGTTCAAATTTTGCTACTGGACGGAGAAGAAGCTTGGGTTACTTGGACTGATACGGATTCACTCTACGGCTCAAGGGCACTAGCCGAGAGTTGGGAATCCGAAGTACACCCAGCTCTGTCAACGTTCCGGACTCCTCTTGACTCGATCAGTCTTTTTCTACTCTTGGATCTTCTTGGAGCAGCCGAACCACATGTTCCCTCGTACTTTCTACCCACGCACTGGGCGTATCAGAACATGGCTAAGATAGAGGAAAGGATGCGGAAGCTGGATCTTCTGAATTCGAAGTCGAAGAAAACATTCCTCCCAGATTCCGAGAAACATGTATCGCAATTCTCTCAAGCGTATGTTTTGGATGATCATGTGCCTTTCCTGATCCGGGGGGTCAATGTGCTTCATGTTATCCCCTCACCTTTCCCAGATACCTGGCATACTATGGAAGACGATGGTGATCATTTGGATATACCAACTCTCGGAGATTGGGCTAAGATTGTTACAGCATTTGCTGCAGAGTGGATGGAATTGGATGAATTTATGAGTAAATCGCTCTCATCGAGAGAAGAAGGGGCAGTCAGAGACAGGACGGAGTTATGAAGCAAGCGTTGTCGACAATACCCAATTGATTCACTCTGCAGCATCAAGGAATTGAACTTTTAATACGAGCAACTTAGATAACACATTGGATAAAGTTTTAGTTTTCCAATATGGCTTCATATTGCATTGTATAGTAATACATTCCCTGAAAAATACAATGAGGAATCGTATTCCATTGAATAAACCTTCGTGAAAAAGGTTAAGCAACCGGAGTTGCATCCATGTACCTGTAATTACGGGACCCGATGCTAAAAAGTGGGTACCATGTACCTAAAGCTTATCGATAGTTTAGAACCACGTCAGCCACAACGACAGCAAGCAGCAACGACCAGTAAAAAGAGTGGAACCAGGAACTGGCATCTGTTCAATTGATCTAAGCTTCGCGCAGTTCGCAATTGCATCTCGGATCTCGAAAGTTGAAACCCAATTCCAAGTTGCCATTGCACCAAAACAAAGCAACGACAGCCCGACTATGCGATTCTTACAATCATTCGTTACGCCCTTGCTCCTGGCTGCTGGCGCGGCTCAGGCAGCTTCGTCGTGGGGGTTTGACGATGCCAAGCTCACAGTGAGCGGAAAGAAACCTGGTGGCAGCAAAGAGAAGGATGTTCGAGAGTATGTTTAGCAGGTGAAGATTAATAGATGTTCTAGGTGCTAACAAATACATGCTAGATTCGACGGCAAATCTCCTTTCCTCTCGAAACCCGTGAACTTCGACACGTCCGACACATTCAAGCTTAAGCTTAAGACGCAAGAGAATGGCAAGGGCAAGCGTGCGCACCAGGCATTCATCGTCTTCCGCGAACCTACCTCCGGCCTCGAGGCCCCGTTTCCCCTGACCGTGAAAGATAGCGGAAAGGCGACTGTTGAGATTGTACGTTAATAACTCCTTCCTCTTGTCTATCGCACATGCAATTACGCACTATATACCTAAATATATTCTCTAACACCTCCCACAGAAGCAGAGCGATCTCCCAACCCAACTCGCCACCTCAAACACGCCTCTCAAAGCCTCCCTCGTGATCGCCTCATTCGGCTCGTCCCCAGGCTTCCAGAAGGACATCTTCGACGTGCAGCTAACCCGGGACCCGATCGCCGCGCCCGTCTCGTACGAGAAGCCTCTCCGCTACGGCAAGCAGCACGAGATCCACCACATCTTCAAAGCCGACGCCAAGAGTCCCCCGAAGATAATATCAATCGTCTTCCTCCTCGCCATCCTAGCCACGGTCCCAGGTCTCTTCGTTGCCGTAAGTAACACCTACCTCTATTCCTCCCTACCCTAACTCTCTTATCCCCCTATATAAAATACCCTCACTAACAAAACCTACAAACAGTGGACCGTCTACGGCGCCAACATCTCGCACCTCCCCAAAGCCCTCAGCAAAGCCCCCGTCGCGCACGGCGTCTTCTTCGGCTCCCTCGTCGCCATGGAGGCCGTCTTTTACCTATACTACGCCACGTGGAACCTCTTCCAGCTCCTCCCCGTCGTCGGCGTCATCAGCACCGTCACCTTCCTCAGCGGCACCAAGGCTCTCGGCGAGGTCCAGAGCCGTCGGCTAGCCGGCGAGCGATAGGCTGTGATGGGGTCGTATTTCTCTATTTCTCAACGGATGTAGGGGAGACAGGCTGTTACGGGCTAGGCGGAGAGACTTCTTGTTAAGTCTACCTGTGTACTTTAGTCTAGGGCGCATGATGTGGCATGACATAACATGGCTGTGCTTGCGGCGCCAGCACTGGACTTGGGACCGGCTCGGCTCGGCTCGGTTTGCCTAGGTGGAAAGGGGGAGGATGGGAAAAGGTGTAGATAAAACGAGAAGATAACGAAACGAAAGAAAAGAAATGTATAACAGGCTACTTGAAACGGCGTATTGTGTTTTGACCGTTCTGCTTGTGTACATGTCATCACCAAATTTCACCCGTGGTATAAAAGTGGAACATTAGGGTCAACTGAATTCCAGCATCATCCTCCCTCGCAACAAGAGAAAGAATCACATAACACCACAACCAAAATCCCACCGATACTAAAAAGTTTCTTCATGTCATTTCTCTTTATTCCGCATACCCCATCACGACAATGGAGCACGCGCCTCATTAATGATACACATACATGTCTATCTATGCCTGAGCAGGTCCCTGATCCATCAACCATAACGCGATGAGAAGAGATCCATACCACTACCACCACCACCATCATCTCCCCCTTCTTCCTGCATATTTTCTCCCCTTTCTTTCATCTAATTAGACAGTCAATGCCACCACCCATCATCCTGACCGTGATAATCGTAGCTCCCCGGCTTCCCTAGCCAATACGTACAGCGAAGTATCTATTCCTAGCCAGGTCCGTCCGACCATTTTTTTCTTCTCTTCGGGCTCTATTAAAACAACGTAAAAAAGGGCTCCCAAAAAAAACCTCCCGACTGGTTTAGCCATGTGTGTATCCATGAATACAGAAGGGCCGCGTTTTTTTGTGAGGGGGGGTCCCTGTAAGTAAAAGGGGGATCGTGTATTTCCAGAATCGTACAACGAAGCATATCTCCGCACGCACACGCACACGCACACACATCTAGCCTACTGAGACTTCTTCCCATTCGCGCCATCTCCATTAAGCAGGCCTAGCTTGCGTTTATTCTCGAGCTGTTTGTCGAGGGGGATGGTGAGGCAGTTTATGCCGAGGAAGTTGCAGATGCTGGTTGTGACGAGGTAGGCCCAGCGGGAGTAGACGACGAAGGCGAAGACGAAGTACGCCCAGAGGTAGTAGTGCTCGAGGTCGGCGGTGATGGCGGGGAGGCCGAAGCGCGGCAGGTTGCCGATGACGGCGCCGCCGACGAGGGGCACGAGCATCACGGTCCAGTACGGGAAGGGCTGGCGTGTTAGGTGTGCGAGGATCATCTTTGTTGTCATGCGCCCGAAGACGAGGGACATGGTTAGGCAGAAGAGCACGAGGTGGTTCTCGCGCATCAGGGTCGAGTGCGGGGAGTACAGCCATGCGCCGATCGAGAAGGTGTAGACGCCCATGGGGATCCATTCGAGGAAGACGGGGAGCACGGGGAGCTTGTTCCGTCGGCGCGCCTTGACGACGTTGAGGACGCAGAATGGCATGTGGCCGAAGACTAGAGATCCGACGATTATGAGGATCCAGATGTCCCGGATCGAGTGGTCGCCTACGAGCTCATCGTAGCCGAAGAGGTAGTTCTTTCCTACGATATCCACAATGCGCTCTGTCCAGATACCGGGTCCGTAGATGCCGGAAATCGCCATCAAACTGCACGCGATCAGGAGGCCTTCGGTGGGGCCGTTGACGTAACCTAGGTATAGCGTGTGCGTATGGTATGTTTCCCAAGTTGAAAAGAACATAGGTAGGCAAGGACATAGAGCGGTGAAGACACCGGACTTCGAAGTTCCCAACGCCATCGCGGCCGTCTCCAACAAGCTACCGAGTGTGCAGTTCAGGGAGTCGATGCCGTGGTCGAATAACTCGCCCAGGCCGCTCGAGGTACCTGTCCGTCTCGCCTGCTTTCCATCGATGTTGTCCATGGTCTGGTACATAAAAAGGCCGAAAGCAAAGCTAAGGTACAGCCATGACGGGCCCTAAAGATCACCAAGTCGTCAGTCTAAGTGCGACTGACAAGTTCACATTATTGAAGCTTATGACATACCGGTCCGACTAAATCTGGCATAACTATGACCAGTAAAGCGATATTTACTAGAATAAAGCAGAACCCTATCAGGGTCACCATGTTGGGAGCTAGCCATAACGGCAGAAGCTCGACGAAGGCATTCCACTAAGCCGAGTAAGTCTTAGCACTATATTTCTATGGTATTAGGATGGCTGCGGGAGCTTGGGACGTACGTATGGACGAAGGATATAATTCGATACCGGCGACTTGTCGACAGCGGAGTATTTGTAGGATTTTAGGTGGATGAGGGCGTCGTCCGAGATGCACTCGGCAACGGCAGTTTCTATATGGATACAAGGCTGGTTAGAGCTGGACGAACCACATTGGAGGGATCGGGCACGGGGTACTAAGATCCTTCTACCCTTCTACATACTACTATTGTTCGGGGCCATCGTGAAAGGTTAGCTCTCTCCGCTCCGTAGAAAAAAAAGTAGCGTATCGTTCGCGATCAGGTCAGATGCAGAGGATGCAGAGAAGTGGGAGCTAGCAAGGACTCGGTAAAAATCGGCGGGATAGTAAGGTAGTGTCGATGCAGGTTGGCTACCGTGGAACTTTTATTTGACTGCGCCGGTTTCCTGGATCTTTAGATCTTAGGATCTCAGATAGACGAAGCTTGTCAACTTGCGACTTGGAGAAAATATCATTCCCACGGTAAACTAACTGCTAGTTGACGTGATCGACTCCATGAGATAGCTCTATTAGGCAGACGAGATCCTTCAGACAAGTGTGTACTAGGCTGCTAGGTAGGTTGATGGTGAATGGTAGCGAGTGGTACAACTGTGTCATGAAGGTTGTATAGGGAAAGTCGGCAAGTCGGTGTAGTGGTTACTGTAAATGGTAGAGGTCACAGGTGGGAGGAAATCTCTATAGTGGGGCCATGATTTTCGTCCTGGGTTCTCTCTGCGGTCCCACATGCAAAATACGTAAATAGGGTGCAGAATCCGAGAACGCGGATTTTTAAAATGACCTATCAAATTACACCATTTCGCGACGATGCCCCTTTTTTTTTCAGTCTCTTTTGGCAGGTTCCGTCTAGACCTTGTAATAGTTTAAAGACTTGACCAAACACAAGGAATAAAATCCCATCAATCAAGATAGGTTTATAAATTTATAAAGCTCTGTTCAATAGGTGAGCTTAGCTTACTAGCTGACATGTGAAATTAAATACTTCATTACAAAATCCCTACTCAATAACCGATATTTAAGTCAGAACTATTTCATGTTGTGGAACGATTCTAGCATCTAGCTCAGAACTTTAAAGTTCCTACTACAGCGCATGCACGCTGTACTTACCATATTAATCGAATCTACCGAATGATTAGTACACGTAAGGGATCGTAACTTAAACATCACTTTTATTCTCACGTGCGAAAGGCGAAAAAGACAAGAATAGATACGAGTTAGGTCTTCGTAATAGACCAAATCTTCATACGATTCAATTATTAATTCTGAGCCTCATTGCTCAAGCGTCCTTCGTGTGGACATCGTTTTGTAAGGTGAGTTTGCTGTACGGCAAATATGTACCCGAATTCTCCATCTACGTTCCCCGTTAACCAAATTCGAGGCTTTCCCAAATTCAAATCCCAAGCTCCTATGCTCCGTATGATATTAGATCAGTATATGGTATTGCATCTAGGCAATCATACTGATATGTAAATGAGTCGTCGTCGTCACCCCCTTCCACATTTGATAAAGCTCGTGATAGTGCTGCACTGCAAGAACAGCGTGCGTGGTGAATATGCCCGTCACCCCGGCCACGGCGTCTTCGTCGGGAATCGAGAATCGTCTAGCATCGTCCCCGTGATCAATACCCGAAGCAGCATCACTTAAAGGTCGAAGGAATTATTTCATCCTTTCTACCTTATAGCAGGAATACACCCAGACTGACACTGGCTGCAAGTATAACGAAGCCGAACATGCCATCGCTCGCACCAACGCGGAATGCGGCGTTGTTATTGTTGGAGTCGCTGCTGCTACCAGCCAAGCCGGTGAATACAGCATTGGAGTCGGTAGCAGTCGCACCCGTCGCTGTCGCCGAAGAGCTTGCGGTCGACGTCGTGTTAGGTCTCGTCGGGTGCAGAGCACCACAAGGGTGGTCCTCTCGGCAAGAGCTGGAACATGTGTTGTCCTGTCCACAGTTCTTCACGCACTGGTTTCCCCATTCTTGGCAGACAAAGTAGGGGAGCGTGAGCGAGTATTCTGATACGTTGGGTTGCAGCTGGTCTCCGCAGATGCAGCCGTAAGTCAGAGTTTTCTAGCGGGCGGAGAGTTAGCTCATAAAGATCGTCAAGCCTGCTGTTCGATGCAGAAAACTTACCGGGTCACAGTCGTTGACTAAGGTAGTTCCGGGGGTTGTCTGCTGGCAGATCAACGGGCACGTGCTCTTCTCAGATTGGCACCAATTGTCTGGATATCGTGTTAGGTATCACTGGGTTGAGATACGTTTGACAAGCTGTGGTAGGACCTACTTCTGTTGGTCAATGACACACTGTTGGGGTCAATGACATAGTCAGCTCGGGCGGACGAGACGAGGACGACGGCCGCAGCCAAGATATTCCTTATCGAAAGCATCGTGATGTTGGAATTAGGTATGTATGGTTATGGATAATTAAGTCGAGGTTGTTAGGTACAGTTGATCACACCCCTTGATATTATTAGAACGGCCGTGAAGTATTAAAGATGATATACAATATAAAGAATTAGGTAGGTTCGGGTATAAATATTAGAAGTAAAGAAGTGAAGAATTCACAGGCCGACCGAGTTTAAAACGAGAGAAAACAGTCACTAGGATACGAAGGGGGAACGACAGGAATGTTGAGAGAAGAGGAAGATCTGGAAGAGCTCGAAGATGGACGGACCGGGGGTAGAGCTACATATTGTATATTTGATATTGTACTGTATGGGGTACATAACCGGTAATGAAAAATAAAGGAGATATACCCTGTCCGGTGATGGTCTCAGCGCTATCTTAAGACCTCCAGGCTCTCAGCTCGGCTTATTAGTGGCTACCTTCTATCTGTTGGACAGGGATTACCGAACTCTATCGACCTACCTATTTGTACCGAATGTACATATTAGCGAGAGTTGCACTTTCTTACATATGTCATCGGCGTCATTGGCTTCGTTTTCGCATACTAGGTAAATATAGGTATACGCATACGAGGCATTCCCGTTAAAACCTAAAGGCTTAAAAACCTTGGCTTAAACGAGGTACTGTAGCTACTGCTAAACTGGACGAAGACTCTAGAACTCGCCTTCCCAGCTCCAAGCCGATCTCTCTTAATGTCACCCAAAATACGCCCCCAAACTTCCCTGTAAAAAGTCCGGACAGGGTCTCACCAGCACGCTAATGTAAAGCCCCGGTTTAGTCTCAGAGCCTCAGGAAGCACAGGAATCGTTGGCGTGCTACCTGCCAAATGCCAAATGCAAAGTGCAAAATGCAAAATGGATGCATAAAAAAATATATCCCGTATGTTTGCGATGTTTCACTCAAAATAATAAACCGAGTGCGGATTCAGTCTAGATCAGCTTGCGGCAAAGTTACTGTCGATCATCTGCATTCATCGTCCGATATCCATCGACTTGGTTCATCAATCACCCAATGTCGATTCGACATCGTTCACAATACGGGCGTCTCACTCAGAAGACATCCATCCATTTATGATCCATATTCCACTGGAAGTCAGCTATTATCAGCCAGAACCCAAAGGTGTTGTTATGTAGGGTCTTCTAGCGCATTCTTGGGATGGATCCCCCACGGGTATCTACGCTCGAAAGAGGCCTGTGGAGATTCTCATTGGGCGAGAGTAGCATCAGATTCCATTTGGGGAAAGCGACTTTTCTTACCTGCTGCCATGGCCCTCGTCTTGCCGCGCCTCCGGCGTTGGCTAGCGTTCTTAGCCTGCTATCAGGAGGCATCAATCCTCGTATTGCAGGCCAGGATGGTTGGACTGCAGAATCCCGAAGCGTCGCTGCGTGATATCGCATGGGACCTACCAAGTATTTTCACCTTCGCTTAAACGTTATGTGTGTGGAGTTGACGGCCATGTTCTCATTATCTCATATTCTAACGCTGCACGCACTTAACGAAGTCAAGTAATTCTCCGTTCGATGTTGTGTTAGTATTGTTATGTATGACGATGCCAACTGCCTGGAAACTGCCTAGGTGCAATACCTACAGGTAGGGATAGCTGTAGCTAACCGTCGCTAACCCCGTCGCGATCAGGTTCCCTAGGAGGTATGACGGATTTCAACACCTACCGACGTAACCTCCGTAGCGAAAGGAATGCCACTATTTCGACCCCGCAACGAGCAAACGCTCTTAGATACTAGTATGAGACACGGGAGCCTGGTTTTTAGAAGTCTTAATCAAGGTCTTTCGTTGTATTTCCAATCAAACCGCCGAAGTCCCCCGCATTATTAGCTGATATTAAACAACGATGTTTGATAAGTCCCAGCCTCTGTTATTATTATTTTGTTTTCTCCAACGTCAATTCCGTGGTTCTATCTGCAATGGCATCTGCTACATAGTACAGCCTACAGCGTATATCCCAAGTTGGGCAGGTCTCTAGCGGGTTTCCGCTGCTGGATTCGATCGGTATGATGGATGTAGACAGTGCGCATTCCTCTGCGTCGGAATAGCAACCTGCATCCACAAATGCCCATATGTAAGTTTCCAGCCCCTCTTCGGTGCCCAGTGGTTTGACCATTCTATCTGGGCAATCTTCTCAGACGTCACCGTCACCGTCATTTCAAGTTTCTCGGAACTTTGGTTTCCGCATCTAGATAATATGTATCACGGAATATAGATGATGAGAGAATACGTGAAAGATCAAACAATATGAAGCAAATGCCACACATCGGCGCACGTACATGAAGTCGAACACATAGATACCTAGATATCTCCAAGTATCCTCGCACAGTACGACGGAATAACGCCGATGCTGCGGCGGATCTTACAACATCACCCGCAACCGTACCTCCCGGTGCATACTGCAGGATCTCCGTAGGTCCGTCTGTTTTCAGACCTGAGAGAGAACATATCCTGACCGCTTCTTACCTCGTGCTCTCACGATAGCCTTTGGAGAAATGTCAGCCTATACGAAGTAGGTACCTGAGCAGCTAATGCAGCAGTCTCAATTCGACGGATCGACATAAGACACGCCATGCAAAGGTTCTTATTTCATAAAGCTCACGGCATATCATTTATCGTACTTCGTATTTTCACTTTATTCGGAGGGTTGGTTGCATTGGTTTCGTCCACGGTGTTTCGAAAGACCCCTAATGCAACTTTACAACCCAAGGAAAGAAGTATTCTAACAATCACGTATGATGTCCAAACATTTCAAAGGATCAAGTTGTCTAAACAGTTTATTTATTATTGGATATATTCGCACGTTTATCCTAGGTAAGTTTCAGAAAGGGTGTTATGTCAGCACGACTGCATGATTATTAAGATAAATCAACCAACCACCTGGCGCTGTGGCGCTATCTACGCAACAGAAAGAAATCATAAGATCAAAATGATTACTTAATTTACTTACATAATCACTTCTTTCTGCCTCCCATATCAGGAATATTTCCCAGTGTTTGAGTGAGATTATTTACTATTTTGTTGTCAATGTTGCCCCTGCAGTCGTAAAACTTGTTGCTATGGCAGAATGATAATTCGGCCCAGCGACACTGTCTTGGGACGGACAATAGGGGCAAGACAATAAAAGACACCTCGTTCCTTGGACGGGAACGAGGTCGTGTTAGCAGGACTACCGTTGTCTGCTGCAGGAACTTTTCCAGTACTCAAAACAGCGAAGCTAATCGTATTATTAGCTACCTAGCGGTGTGATATACAACGATGGATAGCTTGCTATTTTCAGCTTTCGGATCGATTAGCCAACAGCCATATCTGAGAAGCATCGCCCAGTGAACCGGTGATTCAGGTTTTACTGTCTGCCCAAAGCTTGCCGTTCTATCACCCTTCATTCGCCCAGTTGACGCGCAGCCTTATCCCAACGGAGTTGACGGTTAGGCACACCCTTCTTGATGCGTCCTTGTCACTCGCCATTCCGAAACAATTCAACTTCATCAGCTGTTGAAATACGTGGATAGGGATAACTTGTCTCGCCCATCCAGGCCATATCCGATGGGGAAGGATTGGGGCACCATCATGCTTTATGATATATCCTTCTGAAGCCAGCTAGATATATTGTCCCAAAATAGGAACTGCGCGTCGAATAATAAGGCGAAGGCTCTCCTTGGTAATCCTGACCGGATCAGACAGATTCGCCGACGACGAGAAAATCGTTATCTTGTGTCGCAGGTCTTCTCGGGAGATGTGCAAAAGTCAGTTGCATACTTCGTGTATACGCACCTCTGGTACTTTTGGATCTCCTCCACGACCTGCTCTCATCCTCAGTGCTTATTATTATCTTCCATCGATACCACACCTAAAGTTAGATTTGGCGGATTAGTCGGCAATTTTTCGAATTACCGACGAAGCCATTAACCGTAAAAAGTTGAACACCATCAGGCTATCCCTAAAAATATCTAGGCGGCTGTCATAAACTACCTAGGTAGTTTGTCAAATCCAGTCGATGAGCGCGAGAATCGCCACATGGTATCTTAACTGAGTTGAGCCAATGTTACCTCTTCAGTAGCTACCGATATGATTAACAAGCGCAAGCTTAAGAGTATAAGCCCGAAGGCGCGAGAGAAGGCGATAAGAAGAGTCATGGTTGGTAATCGCATTATAGAAAATGTGTTTCTTCTTTTTCCCCTATACCATTAGGAAGTGATTACTCCTTTTTCAACATGGAGAACGGAGCCTTTGTATAAGGTAAGCTTGAAACCGATATAGCCTGTAAAGCCCGGTGGGCTATCGGCTATCATTTTTCAGCCTCGTGCCCAAACTTCATCTTGGAATCATCAAATTTCTCCACCAATCGTGAAGCTTCCGTTCATCTAATGAGATAAAATTAGTCTGGATATAGGATATAGACCCAGAATCTGATGAATTTTAGGACTGGTAGGTTTTGGTTATTTTTGCAGGATAATGTTCTAATACACCCTACATAGTCTAGAAGGTTAGTATATTTTCATTCCTGGAAGCCCATTGGTTTCACCGATATTGCATCTCATTAAATCGGCTCCGATAGATTTTGTAATTAAGATATGAGTGGCGATGTCTGTTACCGGTAGTCGTCACGTCTATACAAATAGGAACGTTTCCCGGTTAGGACGGATATCACGACTAGGGACTCAACCGTTCCCGTCGGACAATTAATCATATCTTGATAATAAGAACTTCCATGATGAAGTCCCTTTCAGTCGTACTGTGGACCCTTGCGGGTTTCGTCGCGGCTCAGGAAGTGTCCCCCACGCCAACAACATGCACGGTCGACACCAACGCAACCTACCCGAAATCACCCAAGCTCCCTGACCCATTCCTCTTAGCGGACGGGAAACGCCTCGCTACCAAAGATGAATGGGCCTGTAAGCGAGCCGAAATCCGAGATCAGATCCAGCGTTACGAGCTTGGCCCAAAGCCGCCGAAACCCACTGTCTCGGCCACGGCCTCTAGCGGAAAAATCACGATCGTCAGTTCCGAGGGCGGAAAATCCATGTCATTTGCCGTATCGATTAAACTTCCTAGCGGGACCGGCCCCTTCCCGGCCGTAATCGCGTACGAAGGAACATCGATCCCGGTCCCCGCCGGCGTCGCAACTATAACATACCCGAACCACGAAGTCGCGGCCGACGACCCGCGGGGCAAGGGGAAGTTCTACGACTTGTACGGCTCTACGCACACAGCCGGCGGGTTGATAGCCTGGGCATGGGGCGTAAGCCGGGTCATCGACGCTTTGGAACAGCTCGGACCCGAGTCCACAAAAATCGACGTCAAGCGCCTCGCCGTAACTGGCTGTTCCCGTAACGGCAAAGGAGCCCTGATCGCTAGCGCTTTCGACGACCGGATCGCGCTCGCAATTCCGCAAGAAGGCGGGAGCGGCGGACCTGGGTGCTGGCGCATAGTAGCGGATATCAAGAAGAACGGGACGAAGACGGAAGACGCCACACAGATCGTCAACGGGGATTCGTGGTTCGCGACTGCGTTTTCGACGTATGCCCCTGACACTACGGTGTTGCCATATGACCATCATATGCTGATGGCCCTTGTGGCACCGAGGGGGTTGTTGGTCATTGAGAACTCGGGGATTGATTACCTCGGCCCCATTAGCACGTATGGCTGTTCGGTGGGCGCACACATGGTGTACGAGAGCCTGGGGGTGAAAGATAACTTCGGGGTGTCGCAGGCTTCGCATGGGAATTCGCACTGTTCAATGCCCAGCTCACAGAATCCGGAGGTCGCGGCTTTCTTCAACAAGTTCCTCCTCGGCCAGGCTGATGTGGCTACTGAAGTGATTAAGACGGATGGAAAGTTCACTTGGTTTGCCGGTCAGTGGATTGACTGGGCTGTTCAGACGCTGTCGTAGGTAAATAGGAAGTGGATATGTAACATCGTTGCTTGACCCGAGAAAAGAATGTGGGTGTCACATCTTGTCCGACTCACCCCCCTGTCTAGTGTCGATTATATCCATGGATGACTGTTGCGTGAAGCCATGAAATGTCCCCGCGAAGCACTTGTATTCGATGACAGCTGTGCTGCCCTACCTTCTCAGTATGTCCTAGTTTGGTGTCTAGTGGTTGTAATCCCACTATAAACCCTATTATCTGCAGGAACCCGATAGCTTTAGATCCGTTACTCAGGTACAGTCCTAGGGGAATGAGACAGGTCAACCAACTAGGCACAAAGAAAAGACTATTCGAGATGGTTCGTCCGTAAGAAGTAAAAGATTCGGGTTTGAAAATCTAGCGACAGGTCAAAAGCAAAGAGCAGGAATGCTTACATAAGGGTTTACCTAATGATTTGTTAGGTACCTGCTACCTAACAATCGTCATTGCCGAGCCCCGAAAGTTTACGTGGGCTGTTCTGACTCCCTTAAACCTTCCCCACGTCGAACGACCCCCTACCCACGTTGTGCGCTGAACTAAACAAGTACAAGGGTCGGGTACGCTATGGAATTGAATTTTGTACACTCAACTCTAGCGCAGGTCTAAACTTTCAAAGAACTTCACCTTCAAACTTGCTGGTCTCTATCCCCTCCAATCGCTTACTATACCTATTCAATCTCGTATGCGATTTTCTGCTTTTCTCGCCCTGTGATTTACGACAATTTTTGGAGAGAGTTATTTCGCATCTACACATTAATTTAAGAGCGTGCTCTGGCCAACCGCATTCGCTGGTCCCGACAACACTCCACGATTCGTCATCATCCTCGAGAAGACAACTGCGCCGCGCGCGCATACATGGATAAATGGCGTCGGTAGTAGAAACCCGGGTCCCAATCGCCATTGGAAATAACGCAATGGACGGCGTAGTAGACGGAGGCATTCACAAGAACTTGTCGCAGGCTACATTGCGTCTAAATCCACCGCCATCTCCACCCGCAACCGAGACAGACACCGAGACAGATTCAGAAGCCCCGAACACGCCGCAGCTACAATTAGATCCCAGGACAAGCATTGCGTCACCATCATCAAGTCGTGTGATAGAGATGAGTACACCGGACTCTAACGCAAACAATACCTCGCCTATAATCTCGCCTGTAACGTCACCCATAACCTCGCCGCCGTACTGGATGAACAACCACTCGAACCATACGAGAGCGATATCGAGCACGTCCGTCGATTCGATCCCCACAGGCGGCATTACGCTACGAGACAACGAAAATAGTGAACTTGACGATCGGGGGAGTGCGTGTTGGGCCAAGAGCGTTGAGATCACGGACTACGTGACGGTCAATGGCAGTACTACCAACATAGGAGCATTCGTGGTTTGGAACATAAGAGTGGGGACATTGAGCGTGAGTCCTCTGGATGCCTCTTAAAGAGCGGTGGGAGCATGGGCTGACTCGAGCTTCTACAGGGGAGTTACATAAACATACGGAAACGATACTCGGAATTCGACGACTTTCGATGGCGGCTGATACGCACGTTTCCCAACTTTGAGGCCGCCGTGCCCGAATTGCCGCCCAAGAGCATCGTTTCGAAATTTAGGCCTAGATTCTTGGAGAAGCGCCGAGCTGGTCTGCAGTACTTCATGAAGTAGGTCATCATCACCTTTTGCTAGCAGAAAACTCGTTAACCGTCACCAGCTGTGTATTATTGAACCCGGAGTTCTCTGGATCCCCCGTCTTGAAGGAATTTCTCTTTTCATGACACCACTTACAGCAAGCTCAAATTTGAATGACCGGCACGAGATAGTGCACGATTTTGACGCACGTTACGAAGTAATGCTAATATTGTATGAACACAATCGCTTGTAGCCCAAGTACCCGAGATGACACTCGGATGTGGAGATGGAATTTGGACATACCATGTCTTGGGCATTTTTTCTTCACCATTTCATTCGTGGTACATATAAAACCCTCAATGTATTATCTCCGAAATTCAGTAGTCCTCATATGTAAATCCACCTAAACAGAGGACCATTTCATGTAAAATTTTCTGTATCGAACGAGAACATATGCTTCCTCTAGACCAAAAACCAAGTCTATCTATGTCGTAACCTAACTATGTGATGTGACCAAGAACTAGTAATCAAATGATCGAAGAGAAATTTACCCAGAAAAAAACAACGTGACTGGCAAAAGACACGACGACCCCCAAAGTAATAACCGGTTCCGCAAGAACTCTCGGTCACAAACGCCTCGTCTATGCACCGCGGCTACCCCTTTAACCCCCTGATGAATCCTAAGAGTGTATAATACACATTACGAACCCTCGGCCCCGGAGGTATGTTGGTTTTTGCATCTAATGCCGTCATTTATTTTCGCCCCCCTTCTATCCTATCCTAAGCCCCGACCACCACCCCGGCAGCATCTTCAGACCCATCCCCCACCTTCCCTGCCCTCATAACAGTCAAACCAGACCAAGTCCCAGCTCATTTCTGGCTATTAATCATGCTAAGATAGCAATTCCACCCAATACTAACGACATTCACAACGAGGACGCGGTGCTCGAGGGGGACGAGGGTGAAATTGGCCATCTGCACGAAGGGCCAGATGAGGTAGTTCGTCTGCAGCGCCGGGGCGTAGCTCTTGGCCAGCTTCTCCTTGGGCGAGCCGCCCTCCATGACGGCCATGCTCGACAGGAAGATCCCGATGAACGTCGGCGCGAAGATCAGCTGGTCCGCCGCCACCCGCGCTACCATCTCCACTTTCTTGTTCTGCAGCTGGATCGACCGTTGTAGGATCCCGTACCAGGTCGTCGCTGCGGGGCCGAAGACCGCTGGGGGGGGGTTAGTTTGGGTTTCTCGCATGGGGGGATTTTGGGGGGGGGGCTTGTGTGGTTGGGTTCTACGGGAGATGTTGTACATGAGGTGTAGTATGTATGTATGTATGAAAGTTGTGGGGAAACGGACTAGTAAATAGAAAAGGGGGGCGTTTTGGGGTAAAAGGGGAATGGGTGTTGTTGAGGGAAGAGACCCACACAAGCTCAATGTGGGGTAAAAGGAGGTGAGCTGTATGTAAGGTGTAGTAAGAAACGGTGAGCTCGAGTGAAAATTGTTTGAGCTCTGATATGAGCTCAAAAAAGCGCGAAAAGCACGAATAGAATATAGCTCGAACGTACCACCACCGTAGAGGAACATGCGGCCTGTGCGGGCAATCTCGTGCTTCTCCAAACCCTTCTTCTCGACGGCTTGTTGGGCGGCGATGTCGCCAACTGCGAATAGCACAGCAGTGGTGACGCTCTGCGTCAATAATGGCCGCGAGGCCAGCTTTCGTTGGTACCTGCGACGGCGAGTTAGTATCTCATCTATACATCCCCAATATCCCAGATCATGATCGAAAGGCAATTAATATATGCCGAGGTGACATTCATCCTACGTACCAGCGAAGCATGGTTGCGTTTCGAATGCCTTTACTGAAGGGCCGATAGTGAATTGGAGTTGGAAGTGGTGGTTTGATGCAAGTTTTTAATTGCGGGCTAGACGATTTCAAGCTGCGGCTAATTATCTTTTATCCTTCTAAGCGGTGTGAAACGTAGTGCTCATCCCGTTAGCTGCTTAGTTTCGCCAATAGAAACCATTTAACACTATAAGCTACATTAATCCATACAACGGGGATATACCTTCTTTAACCTGTGTATATGCATAATGCACCCCCTATTGAGTCTATTTATGGGAGGAACCATATGTTTAGTTTCTTTTTGTACCTTTATAAGTTGGTAAGCATAAGTTCACAGTTTCTTCATTTTTGTTAACGTATATTTAAATTCAGATCAAGTTCACCTCAAAGAGGTTACATCGAGAATCGAATCTACGATGCCATCTCCATCTATAACTTGGTGTGATTGTATGCGGCTCTACTTTAGTATTAGGTTTAGTTTAGGCGCGCTCCTAAGTAAGTTAAACCCATTTTAGGTAGCTATAGTCTCTCAATTGCCTTATTAGCTAATTTAATACCATTGTTATCTTTTATATCTTACATACCATAATCGGGCTATTGATGTTCACTAGAATCGAGTATATAATAGGGGTCGATGCAAATAGGCTATGAAATCCTTAGACTTAGGTATTATAGATGACCTTTTACTCCATTCTTCATTCTTGAAGTTAGATATTAGATGACTAATTTTAATCAACTTCTATCAATTGCCTAGGAATAGTGTCATACTAATCTTGGTGATAATTCTATCAATTGTTGCCGTAGCTCTTACCCCTTTTACGTCTAGGACAGCCAGAATCTAAGTGCACGGGTGCGAATGTAGTGGTAACAATTCTGTAAATTGTTCTGTCATACTCCTTTCCTCTATATCTAAGGAAACAGTTGCCTCGCTAACATTCGTGCTTAGTTACCTATAATGATACTCCTACTACCTATATTTAGGGGTTTGGAATCGGGAATCGTAGCTAATCCGCGGGATTTGAGCAGCCTCCAAGCTTCCCTGAGAGAAACTCTCTTTCAGCCCAGACCCATGGGTCCATGCCTTAAGGGGGTCAACGTCATTAGTTTCTGATGGCACTTAAAATCGGGCTCAGAAGCCATACACCCTAGCGTTGATCGTCTACCATCAAAGCGGCTGCGGGCTAATTATCTCGGGATCATCAAGGCTTTGGTTTTCAATTGCTCTTTACTTTGGCATGTTTATCACTCATTTTTGGGAAACTTTATTCAAAGACGCCGTCGCTCTCATTTCATTTTGGATATTGCCCGCCCTTGCACTAACGAACTCTAGCCACTCAATTCTTTTCATTCTCCTGTGCGTGTATTTATGGGGGTTTGGAGTGGAATATGGAGACGGCGTTACTTCCTCGCTGCCGCGACATAGTGTGGTGTAAAACCGCAATTCATTTCCCTACTTCTGGCAAGCGTGCGCCACGCAGAGGCTTGAGGGCTTAGGCAACCTAAGAAGCAAGCAAATGGATCGTCGGGCTCAGATAATGGAATCATAATATGGCCCTAGAAGTATCTAGGCAGGCAGCTTGATTTAAAATGCCTACATAGATACTTCGTACCTGAGGAGGCTCTTTGAATGGCCATAACCGCGACGGCTTAAGTATGAATAAATTCATGATGCCCGAATCGCTATATCGTGTCATCAACGACTTCCTGCAAAGAAAAGATATGTGAAAAGGGCCTCAATTATATAGGCAAGGTGCTCTGGATTAAAAGTAATAAGTACCTACTTAGTACTATTTTTATTAAATCAAGTTATGTGCGAATGTAACTAACCGACAAGTAAAATCTTACTCAACCCATTAGGCTTCATCAATATACTGTGCTCTGTTTCATAACCAGTACACACGATATAAGTTACCGGAGTTCGTTGACAGTAGTTCTTAGCCACGCAGACTGTGGTGGAGGGTATGAATAAGATAGAAAATGCCTCATTTTAATTCTCTTCATGCCAAACTACGGCATGCCATCTCGTCCGTGTCTAGGATTCTGAGTTCTGTGATCGTTCCACAATCCCTAGTACAATTTTGAAAATAAGGTGAGATCCGACCGTGGGCATCTTCTAACACAAAGATACACTATAGCAGTTGTCAATGCTTAACCGGCCAGGTGGGGTTGGGTAGCTAGCACTTATAGATTGTTCCGGATCCCATGAAGCTGTCAGCTGCTCAGTGGAAAGTGGTTAGATTATCGAAGTTTCGTATCCCTAGCCAAACTCTATCGAGTGTCGCTCCATTTCTGGCTCACTTAATAGGGGAGTTCCGGTGCCGTAGAAGAGGTAAAAACTCTATCTTGAGCAGATATAGAGTTGAGACCAGACATAGTTGTAAACTCATACGCATGGCTACGCGCTATACAGCTTTTAGACGGGTCTATTTAAACCAGGGAAACGGCAGTTTGGTCTGCTCCTCTCCATTCCTCTCCTGACAACCGTTGAGTCGCCTAATATTTATGCATGAGTTTAATTGACTCTACGAGTCTACCGTAACTCTAAGTTTCAATTAATTGGCATGTTCTTTATAGCTAGGAACATGTCAGAAGCTCAAACCTCGTTCAAAATGGGGAAAGACATGTGGATTCCAGCAGATTTCGGTCGTCCAGCTACTAGAAGAAGGGAACCCGGTATCAAATCCAGGTTCCTGCGCGACGAATCTGAGAAGAAGATCCCAACTCCTTGTTCGAATTGCTTAGGATTCCCCTTCAAAGTCGAAGGCTCTATGGGTTGGGCTGGCAACCAACCGTGCGTTTACGGACCCGAAGAGGGATGCACCCGCCATAATCCAGAGAGGATGGCAATCGCCTGGAACAAGCGGGTTCCCTCGAACAAGAAGAAGCCCGGAATTATCGAAAGATTCCGTGGGCCGCCTAAGGTTCCCGAATACGATGAAGTACAGCGAAGCACCCGTATATGGTCTTCACTCCACCTGGATCATGCCACCGCAGATCCGCTTGATCCTATTCACGCTTCCATCCGCTACGCTCTGGCATATTATCATCTCGACTGGGTTCGAACTGCAGGGTCGCCCGACTTGCAGAAGGCAAGAGCGAATTCCCTGGCGTGCAACGGAACCGTGCTCGGAGATGGAAAACGGCGTCCCGACTTCGAGTTTTGGACCAACCCGTACTGGTATAACGAGTCTTTTCTTGTCCAGCAAGTCATCCGATTCACTATTCAACCAAAGAAGCGAAATCCTTTACTCGGAAAGGAAACCGTCTACCTGGAGTACCCCCGAGACGAGTGGACGTTCCAGCCTTGCCCGCACATCCAACACTGCTTCGGAAGATACCAGTTTGTTGAAACACGAGGGCTCGTGAAGGCAAACGTGACGTACAGAACTAAGAAACAGAACGGCGTGATTGAGTTGGAGAGCAAGTCGAGAACCCAGTGGGAGAGCACGAATGGCCCTCTCTGCCACGCAACCAACTGCCAACGCTGCTGCACGGATAACTGGATGCATATAAGTCTGATCGAAGATAAGATCGTGGTCCACATGTATGTGTGGAAAGATCTCGGAAACGCACTCAATGCATACGATAAGAAGTGGATAGCGGCGTTGAGACCAGATGGCCCAAGGTGGAGGCGTTCTAAGGACGAGGCCAACAGCAATGGGATTCGGACTATCGTCCTAGCGGCGGTAAATGCGTCAAAGGGTGTCCGGGACTCTTCAGCGTAGTAAATGATTTCCAGAATGCACCGGTTGTTTATTATCACGTGTTGTTTCTCTTGGCTGTACGGGGGGCCGGCGATGGGAGAGCCGGAAGAGTTTCAATGTTGATCTGGTCATAACCGCCTATGTAACGTAACCATAGTAAGCTGGGGAAGAACCTTGAAGTTTCAAGCTTTTGGATAGCCTTTGTAGTTAGGGTTAATATAAAGAATTTCGATTGTCAATGCTAAATGCAATTGCTTGAGAAGCAATGACGGCGTCTGGTGAAGTTCTCGAGAGTCATACCTACCTCTAAGTAGCAATTCGGAGATACTTCCTAGTAACTTACTAGGCACCTACAATATCATAGCGCCGGCAGATGACGAACTCGAGCTCGGATTATTCTTGCGATAGCTCGAAAAGCACGAATTACCTAGGTGCATCCCTAGCTAGCTGTTGCTATGTATGAACGGATAAAGCCTCGATATTATCGAAAGCCGAGATTGATTTCGGACACAGGGAGACCCATGTATTAGCGTATTCGTGGGGGTTCCACCGGAGGCGGGACGAACATAGAAATCAGGGTCCGTAGCATTATAATAAGCATCGGATCGAAAACAGATATCATGTGTATCTATATGAAGCAGCCGGCTTAGATGGGGTCGATCCCATTTGGATAGAGGGATCGGCAAACATGGCGGCTCTCGATTTCGAGTCTGATATGTGTTTCCTCGATTGATGTGAGAAACAGCTTAGTGGATATCAAAATGAAAATTGAGATAGAAGAGCCCGAAAACCGAATCTAAGAAGATCGTCTCTCTATGCGAGATTGAACGTTGAAATGTTTCTGCGAAGTTTAAACTTTACCCGTCTACCAGCAACATTGAACGGTTAAACTAAAGAACGAGACGAGGCAATGAAGCACGGATAAGCTTTAGTAGCCTCAGATGGAAGGAGATACCGACCTTAGATGTGCATAAGACGGTAGACCCGAATACATACCTGCCCGCTACTTACGTGTACAGGATTGCCAGTACGACGTCTAGTAGAATAGTGGGTATGTCCGAAGTACTTTTCAATAAGAGCCTGACAATTAGCCAATTAAAAGCCTGGATGCACATCCCTGCGACAGATGCAGTATTCAACATCTGATTCGTTCTTTCCTTTTTCTTCTTCTATCTTTAATGTTGCCTTCCAAGACTTTAGGTTAACACCATTAAAATACTCAGGCACCCCTGACCGGAGAGAACCAATCCCAATTAGGATTGATGGAACCAATTGGGACCCGAATATCGCAATGGTACCGGGGCAGTTTTAGGGAGCAGTTTCCTTTCCTTCCAGCCCTCTTTTGCACTAGTCCTTGCCCCAGCCCGCCCCCAGGGATATCCATTGTACCTATCACCTCCTGCATTGATCGATCCAATTCCCATTCAATCCACCTGCACCGCCCTGGAATTATCCAACTCCCGTTCTCGGTCCGTTGTCGATTTTCTTTTCCCAACCTTGGAAGCTGACTGACACTCTGCCACTCTACCACTGTCGCTTCATTCATTATCTAAGATTTCTTAAATCGAGACCGAACTAACCGCACTCTCGCTCAACCTCTGCCGCGTCGTATAATCCTCGCCGGAGTTCGGGTTCCCTCGTTCATCCCATTCGCTCCTCATCTTTTCGGAGCCCCTCCACAGGACTACACCCACAACCGAATAGTTTCTTTTCTATTTCCTTCGGTACCTATTAAGGAATAAAAAAAACAACCAAAATTCACTCTGTGAATACGTTGGAAAAGTTAGGTTACCATTCATTAGGAAGCCTAGGTAGGCATCTACCATCATCACCATTCGTTTCGTGTCCTGTGAATCTTACCAGGGCTAGTCAGTTTTGTTGTTGGCACCACTGCCGTCAGGGCGTCCCACTTACAAATCACTTATTGCATACAATCACCCTCTATTTGGAGAATTGGGCTCCGGGATTGTTTACGGGCAACACACTTTAAAAAGCAATAACCGCTCACTTCGGTTCCCTTCGATTTCTACCCTACGAACGTCTGGCATCTATCGTCTAATCCGCTACTACCGCCAAAATGAAGGGTCGTCCGGTTGATCAGATCGTCTTCGAGTGCATGTTCCCTAAACCCCGACCGAGCGATCCGCAAAACTTTCACACTCTCCTTCACCGAAACCTAATCCCAGAAGTTCGTCAAGAAGTCCATTCCTTCTATGGCCACCTCGACACCCAAGAAGCCAAGTATCCTGGCCTAGATTACACCCATCGCATCCACCGCATACGGCTTAGCCGCTGGCCATGGCATCGACGTCTCTTCCGAACATTCGATGCTCTCCGTCTAACCAACAACGAAATCTCGAACCTGACTAAATGGGAGGGCACCAAATGGGCGAAGGAGCGTTTCGAGCGGGATTCCGATGTTATAATCTATGATACTGCTTTCGACGAAATTGCAGAGTGGGTCGAACCTGAGGATAGACCGCAGACGGCTCGTGCGACGCAAACTGGCACCTTGGAGGACGACTCAGCAACACCAGATGAAGAAATGGAGGGCGAGGAAGAAGATAGTGATGGTGAGCTGACGAGCGTTGGTGTTTCCCTCAACGAGCGCCTCCGCGAACGAGCTGCGCTTCACGAGGCTGGCGACACCTCTCTACCTCTGGACGAAGAGTGGGAATTGTGGTTGAAGAACGCAATCGAGTCCGGCGAACTTCCTTTCCTCACAGAGCAGATCGTACGGGAATCAAATAACGTCGCCCTCATTCCACAAGCGCTCTTCCCACCACGGATGCTCAGCGCAGCACGAGCTGGCAGCTGGGGCGACATCCCGGACTTTCTCCATGGCGTACTCCGATATGCTCTGGAGAACGAAGCGCCGAGCAGAGGACAAGAGTCGAATGGTCGTTCTTCTGGGCGCATTGCCCAGGAAAGTGGGTCAAGAAGGAGTTCCCGACGCGATTACTCGGATCTACGGCTCCCAAGTAGCGAGGCTAATACCGTTGCTACTCCACGAGTTCGCCTACAGCGAACAGCACAGCCTGGTACCCAGGCCTACATTTCTCTTCCGTAGGATATTGGCAATTTGAAGTTAGGCATCAGACTCAGACGAGAGGGTGAGGAGGACAGGCGCAAAACTTTTCGATACCCATACCCCAACCGAGTTCTTTCAACTTCCGACCCGCTCTTAGTGCATGGCCGCCCAGGAGTCTTCAGCATTTTCGCGCATGGTTTTGTTTTTCTCTCCAGCCTGGATGGCTACTACTTGTTCCCGAAGACGTCTTAATAATGAGCATTCCGAGGGGTGGATGTAGTTCAGAGAATATTGATGGCATTTGGAGAGCTTGTGGTTTCAGATGACTGCATGGGTGTTTACGAGCAGACTGGATGCTCTGGGTTTACCTAAACGATATGGTAACGGCGACGGCAAACCGAATGGACAAGTTCTTCGTCTTTGTGTGGACCGATATTTCGAGGTTTACTTCAACACACTTCGTTGTCTAGTTCATATACAGTACTCGCGGTCAACAAGACGAATGATTCTCAACGTCGGGATTCATTGTTGAAGTGGCTTACATACCTAATTATGTAGGCTGACAACATAAATCAACTGGATTTCCACCATTTCTGCTTACCTATTAATCTACGACATCCACCAACCGAGTAATACCAACCGTCCAGCTTTCTGAAAAGGACATAGTGGGGAGTCCGAGGGGAGGCATCGATTCTTTTTTTACACGGGGAGTTGTGGATCGCATTCATCGGAGGCCTGTTACCTGATTTTTTTTCTTTTTTTTTTCTGAGGATGCGGCGTTTCTATCAGAGAGAAACGAATTTGCGCGCGATTGTGTTGAGTTGTGTTGTCTACTACTCATGTACTGTAGATAAAACGAGTCGACCGGCTCGGTGAACGAGCTCTTGGGATCGGAGAAAATTGATTTTCGATGTTCATGGTCATGAAAATTTGGTTGTTCTGCTGTTGTGATTGACATATATTGGCTGATTGCTCGCGTGATACCTATATATCCCTAGACGATTATAATGGATGTCCTTCGGACGTGTTATACTACTGTAGTTATTCTAAGTACTCCTACCTTAGGTAGCCATTGATATTCATCTACAACAACGGTCTTCTCATCTAGCAAAATTTAGCATGATGTGCAATCTACACAGTCAGATTGACTTTCAGTTCAGCAATTACTATCACATTGGCACAAAGTACCAAAATTCTCAAAAAACCTTAACGCCGAAACGTGACCGACATGCAACATGCTGCCTCCCATATCCAGCAACGCCCCGTGTGGTATCACAAATATCAATTCATTCCGTCTTCTCTTTTTCTGCATCACAAGTAACATTTTCCCTTTAGCTTGTCTCCTCTTCTTCAAAGTAAAAAGTCCTTCGGTCCAGCTCTTTCCAGAAGGCCAGTGGGGTCGGTTCGATGTCGTTTCCGATACTTCGACTGCTGAGGCTTTTGGAGGGTATTTGCTAGAGCTTCGATGGCAGTATGGCAGCTTATGTCTCCAAGTTTTTTCCCTTCTTAACGGTGTTACGTGGTGATGTGATCATCAATGGCACAATTGTCCTTTACGTTAAGCTAGTCTTAGCCTCTCCATACGCGGCAATATTTGCGGATCCAAGGTAGCAGTGACAGCGCCTGAAATTTGGCCAACGAGAGCTGAGAGGATTAAGGTCTGGTAATACGACGGCGACCTCGGCCGCTACCAGGAGGACGACCACGGCCACGACCACGGCCGGGGCCGGGACCGGGACCGGGACCGGATTTACGTCGGCTTTTGGCCAAAACAAAATCGTCATCTACATCCATCTTCTCAGCCGTCTCCTTACCTTCATTTGTAGGCTTGGTGATAGTCTCACCGAGGTTAAGAGCCGCCAGATAGTCTGTGGTGCTGAAAGCTGACGCCATGGATTCTCGTTTTCGTTTAGTGTCTCTTGTCTCCATAGTTTCAATCTTCAGGTCCTCGGGGTCGACACCGGCGCCCAAGTCTGCGCAATGTCGGCTCTCGTACTGTGAGCGACGTCGCACTTCCCGTTGCGCTCCCTCAAATGATTCCATCGTGTTCCTGACCTAAGGCTCAAGGTGCGACCATTCAGGGATAGACTTGATTTGTGTCCACATAAATTTCTCCAGTTTGTTCGCAGATTTCGCATACGGCGTGGACTCATTGTTGTACTTGCGGCAGTTATCGAAGATGAGCTTCGCGTCCTTGATGAACTCCTCAGGTGTGCCGTACTGGTCGGCCTCGAGCTTGGTTTCCATGGTGCTGAGGTCCATGGGCTCCTTGATTACGTCGTAGTAATCTGCCACATCGTCCTTATTAACCGGGTTAAGGAACGGCCATGCCGACTGGTGGTTCTGCAGATCGTTGAGTAGATGGAGCAGCTGGTTGTAGTTCGGACCGTGTCGCGGTTGTCTAGCCAACTCGTCCATATCGGGTGACCAACCCGAGGCACGAATTGCCTCGATAGACAGAGGATCGATAGGTGTCACGCTGTTTTTCCACTGCTTAGGTGGCTGATGCACAACGTGAGATTTGGAGAAGGCGCGGATCTTAGCCTGCACACACTCCTTCTGTTTCAGAAGCATACGACCCATCTCGAGGTATCTCACGCGAGGAAGCATGGAACACTGCATTATAGTGCCACCTTCGTAATCTTTGATATAACCCATCCAAACTGATCGAGGCAATGTGATCTCCTTAGTAAAACCCTGCTTCTTAAAATAGCCAATAGCATAATTATCAGCGTAGGTTAGAAAGTGCATCACGTCACTAGTCGCCTTGACATAGTCCTTTAAATGAGACATAAGATGGGCGCCGTATCCCTTCACCTGCTGGTCACTGCTAATAGCACAGAACACGATTTCGGCAAACTGGCGTCCCTTAAACGGCCGGTAAGTAATTCCGCCAACGACTTCGAGGGGTTTCTTGACGATAGCGATCGATAAATGGGTTCGGTCGTAAACGAGTCGGGCGATATAGTCCTTAGGCATCTTGGGCAATTGCTTCTGGAAGATGCACTTGAGGCCGGTCAGAATGATTAGAGATTCGCGCTCATTATCGTTGTTCACTACGCGAAACTCGATTTCGCCGGTTCGTTCCTCGACTACGGCAGGCTAAAACGATTTATTAGTGATTTGTGCCATATTCGGTACGCGTGTAGTGATTCCATTATATCCTCCATTACACAAAAGAAAAAAAGAGAGGGGAGAAATATCCTTCCCAATCTTATCTAATACAGCGAGACATGCACGGTAGAGGTAGATGGTTTATGACAAGATATGAGTAGAGATGAAATACCTTTTCCGGGAAAGGGATGGGTTCGATCGTGGGCTTCTTCATTGGGTCTGAGGTGTCATCATGTTTGGCCCTCTTAGCGGCGACCGGTGACGATGGCTCGTCACTGGCCTTGCGCTTACCGGCTGTTGGGTAAGATGGAGAGATTAGCGACGCGAAAGCATTTATCAAAAAAATTAGGAACGGAACTTACTTTCGTCCTTCACCATCGTGTCGACCTTGCCAACATCAAGTGCGACGTGACGAGTAGAGGATGCAAGTTTTAAGTTGTATGCGCATATCCAATGCGACCGAGTCGCAGGTTGAAGTTGATGACTGATTAGCGCATGGGGATTCGGGGAAGGTGCACACTGCAGGCTGGGGATGTGGAATCGGATAAATATGTGGAGATCAAGATCCAATGCTTTTATTGGTCAAAGCTTAATTCTTGCTTATGTAACCCATCAAAGAGCTCTTTAGGCGACTAATAAGGCTTGAGCTAAACCCAAAGGAGACAGGCCACCTGTTTGCAAAGGAAAGAGACATGGGAGCTTGGTTTGAGGTTACGTACACTGCAATATCAAACTTTGAATGCAATCATCTAAGGTTATCTTTTCAAAAATTCACAAGAATCAGACTTTCTCTAAAGGAATGACGCCGTAAACCTTTTTCACCAATTTCTGCCAATACAAGCCATCTAGTTTGTCGATTTAGTCAAACCCACTAAAGCTATCATCTTTCATTCTTCATGGATTCTTCATTGCATGAGATTTGGCAGACTGCACCAGGCAGCCCATTTCTTCCTACAGTGGGAAAGGGTAGCCAATTCCTAGTCGCATTCATTCTTCTTCTTATCGGCCTTTCTCTGACTGGCGCATTCGCACTGAGTGAGCATTGCCTTCCCTGGAATTCAATATTGCAGGTAACTAATTTATCAAATCTAGACCGATCTCTCGTAAACCTTCCCATATTCGGTGTTCCGGCCTCGCTAGCCGTTGCGTACGTTACCTTCAACCACTCGATTCATCGTGCTCTACTTACTAATGCTATAACAGGTTCGGCACGGTATACATGTTCTGTGCAGTTGGAGTTTACGTCTAGAAGATACCCGAGAAGAAAACCGCGAACCTAGAAAACGCCGGCGTGTATCATAGATGAATTGAGGTTTACGAACATATCTCTTGGGTTCCAACTATTATATAAACGTGATTGGAGATCGGTTCTTAACAGAAGTCCGGCATTACCGCTAAGATAATCATCATATTCAACAACATCTCAAGCTAAGCGGGAATATTAATTCGCCATGGCTTCGTCTACAGGGTCAGTTCCGCCGCAACAACCACTATTTCGAGCAGTGGCGAGCTCGACAAGGCAAATATATCAACTACTCAAGTGTATCAGCTTTACGGCTAAGGTTCAAGTTCAAATAACTCAGGATGGCATCAGGTTTGCGGCCGACCATTCGCGCGTAATGCAAGGTTAGTCACCAGCATTGCACGAATTAAGACTAGGTAATCTAATCGTATCTTCAGGGGTGGCTTTTCTAGATAAAGCTCTTTTTACAGCCTATACTCTCAATATTCCTGATGAAGGAGAAACTCTACCGCAATTCCAAGTGAATCTAGCCGCTCTATTAGAAGCCTTACAGATATTCGGGGCTACAGATGTGGCCGCTCGAGCTGCCAAAGCTGAAGCAGAGAGCTACCGCAGCAATCTACGTAACTATCGTGCAGATGCCTTCAACCATCAAAATCTAGGCATGCCAGGCACGTGTTGTTTGATGTATGAGGAAGATGGTGCTCCATTAAGCATCATCTTGGAGGAAACTGGAGTCAAAACCCAGTGTAATATGATGACCTATACGTCCGAATCACCTGAAGAAATCCCATTCGATCGCGAAGATCTTTCCTTTAAAATTATCATGAATGCTCGGTGGCTCCTCGATGCTCTTTCTGAGCTAGCTCCTATGGCCCCAGTGCGTATCACCATGGCTGCATCGCCAAACGCGCCATATCTGAGTCTATCAAGTGGCGGGGGACTTGGGAGTGCCAGTGTCGACTTTTCAAGTGGTCGAGATCTCCTTGAGACCTTCTCGATACGTGACCGCTGGGTTCAGAGCTTTAAGTTCGACTTCATCAAGTCAGCGAGCGAGGCTATGCGAATTGCGAACAAAGTCAGCTTTCGCGGGGATGGTCAAGGCGTCCTTAGTTTGCAGTTTATGGTGGAAGTAGAAGGCGGTGCTGTAAGCTTTCTCGACTTCCGATTCGTTCCTTATGTCACGCAAGAAGATGAGGAGACGGAATCTGAAGACGAAGACGATTAATGACTAAATACGCCTAACCAGCCGCTCAGGCGTATATGTCCGTCATACGGGATGTAACGGTCGTTTGTTAGCCGGTTCTAAAATCGATTGAGTTTCTTTTCAGCTCATCAACGTGCTATTTCCAAATCAAATGTTTACATTCGTTAGCTGGCCCCTATTCACACCTCGAGACTTTTTACTCAAATCAATCACCGAATTCAATGTCTACGATTCCTGATTTCAAGGCCAGTAGACTTATAGCTGATACCCAGCCTCGATTCTAGTATGGACTTCCTGGTAGATCATACGACAACGATCGAAGAGCATGTGACGGGCACAGACCTATAGGGCTATGGACGCTTCACCGTTGTGTAAAATTTTCACAGCTGAACGTGCTGGATACTACTAGAAACTAAACATCACATGCCAGTTCTTAGTCCAACGACGATACCGAATCATAAATTTACCCCAATTTCCACATTGTCTAGCAACAAGTTACAAGTACAGTATATAGCACATCAGCTATCCGACGTCCCTAGCGCCACCATCATCGGCGACTAGGCTCTGTCTAGTTACAGTAGATAAGACATCGAACCACCCGCATCGACCCCAAGAATCTAACGCCATGGCGTATTTAGAATCTAAGCTTAGATCACGGTCGTGCGTGTCTAATTGGATCATCTGATCCCCTAATAAAACATCTCTATTCAGCTCTCACCCTAATGTCTCAGCCCCACGGTAATCTAGAGAGTCTCGATTCCAGCAATGCGGCAACCCCGGGCTAATCTAGGTAGCCAAGATGAGTATCACCTTTCATGATCTTGAACAAGCTTCTACAATTACGTCATAAAGTGCTGTCGTTAGGCTCTCGACCCTTCACGAAGTCCGACGGTAGGTAGCCAAAGTGACACCCCCCTCAGGCGAACTGGCACCGTTGAAACTTACATAGCCAATTAACGTCGTAGGGCTCGGTATTTCGAACCAGTGCCATGTACTATCACGCACCCCTAAATTGGGAGAGTAGGGTATGGACCCTCTTGACCCAAAGACTTCGCCGTTTTAGTAAACGCTCTGACAGGTAACGTTTATATGTTGATTGGCAACTAAAAGAATATGAAATTGGTATAACTAGGAGAGGGGTGGATGGTGAGACATCGTTGAACCATGCGGGATTTACGGACGTTGATGTCAACTGACAAGACCTTTTGTCCAACGTTGTTGATATTATACAAAGCTCCACATTCGATTTATCGCGAGAATTTTCAACTGCATTATACCCACAACGGGAATTCCTAACGTAACGGGATCAATTATCGACTCGTTGGTCATACTATCTACCAATCTTTCACGATCCTTCCCAATATATCTCAGAACGTAAAATCGCGCGTAATCCAACTGCCCCTATTCATCACCGAGGTACTTTCACCATATGTAACTTACCAAGAAAGCCATGGTCAATCTAATCGCGGTACGCTAGAAACAGAGGAACAACGAGTGCCGAATACAGATACCCACCGAGATCATCATGAGCGATTCCAACAACGATAACGGTGGATCCAACACCGGTCTTCTCGGCCATTGCCTTCGCTCATGTTTCGGTGGAACGTCCTCCTCTAAACCAAGTCAAGAACATAACAAACCGAACGAATTGAATGCATCATCGGACCAGAAACTCACCAGTGCTGATGCTCCTACGTTGCCTCCAGCTCAGACACCGTACGTGCCTCGACACGCCAAAGAGTCGTTCCTAAAAACCACCACTACTCCCCAAATCAAAAAAGCAAACGAGATCCTTTAAGACGCTTCCACTTTTGCCACTTTTATCGGCTTGCACGATATTTCAAACGTGCTACCTACTTCGCTGCCTACTCCCATAGGCATAGGCACAGGTATAAGCCAAGCCGCTGACGTGGGACGGGGGCAAAGCCTTCCCCAGGGGCCGTCCAGAGAAATTGAAATTGAAATTGCATTTTTGACGCTTTGCCGACTCTCGCCAAACCCGGATTTCTGAGTCTTGGTATGTTCCTGTTGGTAACATAAGCGTCGCGGCTTAACAAGCCTACGCTTATTACGTACGACGTTGCTTTCTCGCCTTGCTTTTTTCTTGCGTTAGGTACTTTATTTTCATCAAGATAATCAAGAAAGAGAGAAAAAAAGAATAAGGCGCCGCGGCGGCGCGAAACTCGGGCCGGCTTCGTCGGAGATGATATGATGTATTTCGCTTCTTATTCCCGCACGTACGCACGCACGCACGCAGATGACTCCTTTCGTTAGCTGGTGAGAGGCTTCCTCCTGCCCGAATTCGTGAACTTCTCTCGCCTATCACGCCCTTGTTTCTCCGGCCGTGTTAGTAACGGCTGATCACCTGCACACCTTAACACCTACCGTATGTATGTGCATGTCTTTCCCCCGTTTCTTCGTCGAGCGAAGTTTGGTTGTGCGGCTCCGACACGGAGGATCGGTTTACAGAGGCGATGACCGGATATACATACTACTAGGTATGTATGTATGTACGTGTGTACGTATGTACGAGGTGGGAACGTTTCTGCTGCATGGAGGAGCGCTGCGACAGATGCTACCTACTTTAAACCTCGCGGACGCCGACTCCAAACGTCGGGATCGAGACAGCAGCCTTCTCCAAGACGACTTGCGGCAGCAGATCACTCGCGCATCGTTTGGGCTCCCGCCACACTCATTGGCCTTCGCTCTTGATTCCTGGTCTCAGGTTGAGTAGGAGAGAATCTGGCGCGCTGACAGGGGGTTTTGCGTGTAACCCAGATTCGCAGCTCTTGGACTCGAAGGATTTCGCTTGATGCAGGGGAAAGAGGCGTGGGTTTTTGACGGACGGGGCTAGATTTTTTAACATACCTGCTATACATACCTACCTACCTAGGCCTGCCAGGCATTCAAGGCACCTACATACATATTAGGTACGCACACAGTACGGTACCAAGATAACACCAGCCAGCTCTAAAATAAACTATTGCACATCCATGATTCGCGAATTAAAACGTGGGCAGACTGGGCTGCTGAATCGGATTAGGCAGGTGTGTAAGCCTCGTGCATATGTATTGGATCCTTTGGCCATCGCGAGTCAGGCCAAAACTGGGGAACAAGTCGAAGCAGCTTCCAAGTTGCGATGCGGACAGGCACGCTAACCAAGCGAATTTCGTTGAAACGTGCTTTTTCGGCTTTTCGGCTTCTAAAAATTCAACGTGGCTTTCCTTGGAGCATGCTTGGCTTGACGGTAGCGAACGTCTCATGTCCTCGTGGGTTTATTTCCCCATATGTACCCTACGAGGCTGAATTCGTAAGTAATAGTTACTTCACGATGATGGTGGGTGAATTCTTTCTGGATATTTTCGATGCCTTCAGAGAAGGCTCGCAGCTCTGTGATGTCAACTGTTCAAAAGCCCGTCATAGTGCGGGGGGATAGGATGAGGATCGCCATTTAGGATGCGAGACCCTGAATTAAAGAAGAGAAACCTCGGTATACGATTTATCAGCTCGATCTGCTGCAAGTAATGCGGTAATTGTCGGCATATTTGTTTATTGGACAAGGCTCATGATGACAAGGCAAGGCGTTGAATAATTATAAAAGAAAATCCTTAAATAATCTGCGAGCTAATGGATAACGGGAAAGGGGGATCTTTTTCGGTCCTTGTCGACCGGGGGTTGATGCTTTAGATATATCCCGAACCTGCCAATAAGCCCTGCTCAAGCCTCCTATCTCACACGTGGGAGGATTCGACTAACCGGACAGGTCGACGAACTAGATCTATCTAAGCCCCGATTCCTACGCAGGAATGCCGCGGGTGTTTTTAAAGCCTTTAGGCAAGATGCTGAGATACTTATCAATCAATCTAGGCACGTACATTACATACATACATAGTTTGGTCCTAATCCAACGAACTCCCGGTAGGGACATGGGCTTTATCGCTTGGGGAAGCGTGCTTGGCGCGCTGGGAAGATACTCGAACGCTTTCAGGGGTTTCAGATCCGCACAGACGATGCATGGCGGCATACGGGGCTCGATTCACGTGGCACGATTAACATACGTATGCGGAGGCCGGTGCGGCTTACCGTAATCCGTACGGGGTTGTGGGATTGATGAATACTATTACACGCCTGGCCTGGTAGACCTGGGCAGTGGGCACAGATAACCCCCCCGGATCGTCGATTCACATAGGGGCCAGGGGTAAGAATGCACCTTAGGACTATGTATTCGAACAGCCTCTCAGATCAAGAGCTGCAGGTAAATCGTTTCGTTTCATCTGTCCAGGATCGGTAACGTTGGGGGTCGAATGTAACCCATCTAATACAGTATAGTAAGAGTGATATGGAAGAGAGGCGCTGAGACAGAAGCGAGAATACCGCTTGGGTGGTTGGTCGCGTCAGCCCCTTGCAGCAGCAGACATGTCGGGGAGTAAATGTCAAGCAGAGGCACGGTGTCAGCACTGCATGTTGTCTGGACCGTCGAAGCTAAGGTGACATGACCAGATATCGACCTGCAAGTCATGATCACAGTGACAAGATCAAGATCACTCGACTGGTATCACGACTCACTGGCCACTCGGGCACGTCGGCGGCGAAAGATCGATGGTTGGTTTCAAGACCAGAGATATGGTAAATTAAAGCCGGCATATACATGCCTAGGTAGGTAGGTTATGAGTGCATGATCCTATCCAGGATATTTCAACCTTGAGCGACGTTTCTAGTACTTACTACCAACATGAACCCATTCAAATCCACATCAATCTACCACTCTCAAGCATAGTGAAGAAACAATAGCCATTCTCGGACTTGTATATTCAAATCAGCCTAAGAAAAACGAAGCTATGAGAAATAACGCCTTTTCATATTCGGATACTGGGGAAGGATTTCTTACCAATCTGATTGAGTGGATGAGCTTATATTTGTGACGTTCACTGATCCTCGAAGATTCCATCTCGACATCATATCGCTCCTAAGGACAAAAACCGGGGAAATAGCTCGACCTATGTATTTGTCAAGATGCCGTATCGAGCTAGCGCTTCGCAGAACAGCCACGTTTTGAAGACCCCTATAATTACCGGCAGAGGAGTGGTGTCTGACGGCAGTATCTATACTGCAAATGCTATTGGAAAATTGGTATTCGACTAGACCGCAATGGTATTATCAAGCGTCCCGATCAACTATTGAATTTGGTTCGGGATAGGTCATGCCACGCGAGGACTTCTCGATGGGGGTAAGACGACGTTCCATTATTGAATTCCAAGATTTCAAATTGTTCTTTCGTCAGTTGTGGAAGTCCTTGGACCAAGAGCATCCGCCTCTTAGGTAATAATTGGGAATGGGATCATCTTGAAATAACTATACCCTCCCCATAAGATTAATCCGTATAGATGACTAAACCCGATAAACTAGACGTTTCAAAAGTTCAGAGAATACTCGTTAAAGAATCCCAAAAGAAAGGATTGCGATAAGTGTCTCCTTCCACAAGCCACTTCTACATATCCTAACCACGGAAATCCACACGTGCATAGGTATATTATTACATAGTACGCGTATTAGGAATCAGATAGCAAGGGCAAGGGGTATGCAACGGTATTTTTATACCTATTTCAGCTATATCCACAAGAAGAGTGGGCGGCATCGATAGACCCATGTCAATATCAATGTCGGAGTAGCGCACTATGGAGTTCACGGACTCGGCCCGTTTTTATCGCCTGCGGTGAATTCAAGCTCTGGACTTTACGCTGTGGATGTCTTCTAAATGCCGGGACCGAAGCAAAAGGTCTTTACTCCGATCTGAATGCTTGATGAAGCATGATGATCAATACAGATATCACCTGTTCTAGTGAGTCAATAATAGATGATTTCGGTTTTCGCGGATGTGAATAGGTGGGGAGAATAGGTAATGGCAGTAACGTCAACGTGCGTAACTTGCGTACATCCATGTAAACGAAAGGAAGGCTTAGCAATTCAAAATAGGTGGCTGCCCAGCGCTGTAATAGGCGGCTTTTACCTAAGCGCCGCAGTCCGTGACCTATTAGTATTTCCCGTAAAGTCGGAGGGCGGTGTTAAGATGTCAGCTTACGGACGTAGCGGGTAATGTATTGGGGTGAGATGCATCCATACAGCCAGATCAACACGAAAATCCCATCATGACCAATAGCCATCTCCAACCCTCTCCATTCTAAAGTACTTTCTTATCATCATTCCAAAGTCCCGGACTCAAATCAAAAGTTCCTTAGACGGAGATGGAGAAGGAGATAGATTAGACGAGATCGTGAGAGGAATATCATTACGCGGCCAACAGGTTCTATTAGTAGGTGACACGGCAGTTCATCTGAAATATGATTGGCGATTGACGAGGAACGTCGTCGATTGTGGGGTATCACGGTAGGAACTGTGAGAAGCCGAGATGGGTTCTCTTTCGTGGGCCGAGCCGGATAACGAGATCATTGGCGCGGCCGCGGTTGTTGGTGCAAGCTGGACACACGACCACATCCATCACTGGATATCACTTGAGACTTCGTGTCTGGGGGATGGGGGCCATGAGATGCAATAGGCCGCTGAATTCGAACATGGCGCTTAATTCCAGAGACGATTATTCGATCCTGGGAACCAAATAGGCGAACAGGCGAACAGGCAGCGAGGCTTGACAGGACAGTTTTAGCTATAAGCCACAATGAACAGAATTAACATACTTGGCTTGGAGTTCTGCAAGCCCAAAGTCGTCGATTTTCCACTCGGTCGGATACGCGGTGAATTACTGAAAAAAGATATCAAACGAGTCAAAGTACCTAGAAACTAGTGGTGGCTCAGTCGAAAATCTGCAGCGGGCAACGGTTGGCTGCATGTACTATTGTATATGATCATGTACCCAGTGTATTACCTAAGATTTAAAGTTCTTGGATGGAGACAAACGGATCTTGTACTCGTACAGGTTAGCCGCAGATGCGTTTGCTGTTTACCGAAGTACCTACCTACCTAGTAGGTACCTATATACGAAACAAGTAAGTCCTAATAATTGTCTCTACCTAGAAGGAAGTAGCTTACTGTAAGTAAGGCTGTTTCCGTGTTTCGCTTGTCAAGAAATAGGGGAATCACGTGCAAGTGCCGATTCCTTGGCTTCCCGATCTGTATTAACTAGGTGCTAGGTACAAACTAGAAGTAGGCAAGTGGGCAAAAACTCTAAACTAGAGGGAAGCTGGAGGGGTCGAGTCAATTCAATGGTAGAGGGGCAGGTATGTACTGTACCTACTGTATCGTCTTTCGCCTTTCGCCTTTTCTCTAGCTGTTACCCATCCAGTCCATTCTTTTTCCCATCCTGCGCCGTTCATATGCACCTATCCTTCAGTCATACACGAAATTACGTCCCTTAGATACGTTACACCTCGTACTCCTAAGAAAATATTGCCTTACTCGTCATCTCCCTCAATTTGCTACTTTAGAAATTAGACCTAGTAGGTCGTCGAGTCGGCCTCTCTCTTTAATGGTTGGCTTGACTTATATCGACAAGCATTCTGACTTAGCGGAATATCACGATCATCGCGAACATGACCAATCTACGATTGTTCACGATTATTCGCGACTATTCGCGATTATATCATTATTTCCACAAAAGGAATGCTTTTGCCCATGACGTCCACTTCCACGTTCGCTTTCGTTAATTTATTAGTGGCTGGTCAGCTACGATTATGGGAAGATTGCCCGAGTCGTGCCTCTATTAGGTACCCTTAACAGACTACCACCTAGGTGCAGGTATCTAGGATTCAATGTTTGAACCAAACCTCGGTTCTTACCTAGCAGCCTAGTAACTTCTTAGCTACTATCTTACGTCGCATCCTACATGTATTTCTACTTTGTACCAGAATACAATTCCACATCTGTGAACAACCCGTTTCGTCCCCCGGTCAAGAATGTACCTCGAATCTGCCAACACTCCAGCTTATGTTACCTCATAGGCTTCAAGGGTTGAGCGCCTACCAATTGCCCCTCAGAAGCTTCCCCCCCATTGCGGGCAGGCTATGCTGTTACCTATACCAAGGGACACTGGAGACACTGGGGACATTGGAACCATCACCGACGTGCTGTTGCATTGCGCAATGCGGACTGCGAGCGAAGCCCTCCTTTACAGCTCGGTAGCTCATCAAGTAGCTCGCAAAGTCGGTATTCGATATTTCAGTATATGTATATGCGCTCGAGCAATACTTCCACCGTTGCGGTACCAGATGAGATCACCGCATATCTTACATACTTGATGTTGTGCCGTCCCGCCATGATTACCGCGATACACAGATGCAAAATTCAACTAATTGCGGGTAGAAGACCACACCAACAGGAAACACCGCATATTACCCGCCAGTCAAATTGAGACAAAATAGAGAGAAAAAAAACTAACTAGGAGACACCTAGCCTGCCTACCTAGTAGTAGGTAAGCATGACAATGACAGCAATATTTCGAAGTGAGAAAAGTGAGCATATCCTATCTGTCCATTTTTCAATAACCTCTTAGTCAACCTTAACTAGTCGCTACATTGCCCCGTACGAATGTAACCTAACGATAGCATGGCAATTCGACTTCCCTTTTAATATGCCCATTGTGGTATCATGGCCATCGTGGGCATCGTACATCGTTTGTCGTACGCTCCCCCAGGCTGCCAGGCTAAGGCTATGCGGAATACAGCATACATGTACATGTCTTAGGTACATGCGCATGTATACTTCTGATCCAGATCGACTCACAGACAGCACGAGATACGTATCTCAGCCAATATCCCGGCTGATCCGCATCAAGCATTATCTACCTAGCAGGGAACTACAGGATAGAGAGAACATGACTTGCGCGAATAGTAATTCCCGAGTGGACCAATAGACGATAAAAATAACGGAATCCCTGGTGAGAAAAACCCCCTGCTCCAAAGACTGGGCTACCCAGGCTTGTCTCTTTTCTGCAGGACCCCCATTTCTTCCCGCTTCGCAGGGCTCCCTTCACAGAGCCACGCTCGTGTACGCCGTGCAGGTTCATAGAAAGATACCCGTGTCGTAGAGCGGACTAGGGTCTGCCGCCGCATTCCGTCACTATACCTCTCTCTCTCTCTCCCTCTATTCCTTTCTTATGTACATGTGCCACAATGTACAGTGTAGTGTCGAATGACAAGATGCTCAGTAATAACTACCATGTATACCATGTAGCATGCAGCTGGTCCTTTTCCTTGGATGCAGAGCCTTGTGTCACCCACCAATTGTAGATCCCACACTCATATATGTCGAGTCTTCCCCCCAGAACAGCCCGTTCCCTTCTACTTGTCTGAAGTCCCCTTGCGTCCGCGCTCCACCATGATGCTATCTAGACCGGGAGTTAGTATTCGAAGGTTCATATCACAAAGACGAGTTCAGGATGAATATGATGACGGGGTTTCCGTTGGCGCCGACAGGCTGGGTAACAAAGCGGGACGGAAAGACACCGGCACTGCTAAGAGGCGGCCCTACAGTAAAAAACGAGCGCCGCCGCCGATTATAGTTAGCAGGGAACAAAGTATTCATGACATCTTGGACCCTTTACCACCACTTCCATCATACGAAACGCCACGTTCTTCAGCTAGTTCGTTAAATAGTAGCGACCGCCATAACGACTATAACTTATCACAATCATTCGATTCAAAGAGGTCAAAGTCGCCGCTTTGTTCCATATCTTCAAAGGAGGGCCATAGTCGAGAATCTCTCCAACTCTCTAGCGCCACGAGCTACGGAGGCGATGACTTCCCCCCCAGACCTCCACCTAAGGGCCACGGAAGGTCTTCGGAATCTCTGAGGCGCTATGCTGATTTGCCAGGCTCGAATTTCGATCTGACAGAAGCTTTATCCTACCAATCAGATAACAAAGCACCGGCATCAAAGCAGCACGTGCGACAATCAGAGTCATTGTCGAGTATCTCGGATAACATTCAACAACTCATCCAAGAGGCAGATGAAGCATTCAGAACTATCAGCGCCCTCACCGAAGTACGAATTTCGGAAAACGCAAACAACGCAAATAATCCGAATAATACAAACAACACAAATAACCAGAGTAACACATTTAAAGAATTACCGCGCATACCTACACCTGATCAATCGCCGATATTGAAGCCGGTGGCCCTTGTCCCTAAAAGCAGATCGCAGAACCTGCCACTTCAAGTTGTCACTTCACCACCTCAATCGCCTAGACGAAGTTCAACCGCGAGCACTGGGGTCAAGAGGAAGAAGTCTAAGAAGTCAAAAACGAGGTCAATGCGGCCGAGCCGGAAACCTGCCGCCGCCAAATCGGCGGCAAAAAGTGGACCAGGATGGGCACTGTCGGATAATGTGACGGAGCTATTCAGCGGGAAATTCTTCCGAAGGGTCGAGGTGGATGAAATGCTTACGCCGGGTCAGCTGGAAGCGTACAGACTGCGTAGGATGTCGATAATGCAATCGGAGAAATCGACCGAGACCCTTGATACTGAAGCGAGCGATACACCAATTGAGCCATTTCACCTTGACGATCTTCCCTCTCGAATCAAATCTGCTAGCGCAGAACTCGACGTCGAGACACCGACAGCAGAAAGACCTAACCCACCAGATTTCGAAACCGTTGTACGCCGCGACTTTGCGCTAGAAGGGCGCAATGAGGAACAAAATTCCAATAAGTCGGCGGCATCGCGGATGGACATCGGAGAAGAACCGATGGAATATAAAGATGCAATTTTCCCTACACCGCCGCTAAGGCACTCCTCGCGATTTTCTAGGAGAAGCCAGGGCACATTACCTAGTATACCAGAGTCCTCAGCCGTCACTACACCAAGAGACAACCTCTATAGCCAAGGTCTAGGAAATTCCCGAGATCTCGTGGCTGACTCAAATTATGTTTTCCTTCAATCATCACCATGCTCTTTGACCAGTCCCATTTTCCGACACGGGCCAATCCGACTAGCAAAATGCGATCTTATAGCAGACCTGAAAGTCGGGGCGGACGAAGGATTAGACTGGACGGCATTCCAAATGGCCATTTCCGGGGGCGCCGGGGATTGGTTCTCCGAAAGTGACGACATAATTCGTCGCAGAGAGGCCGAGGAGGTCCAGGAATTGGTCGATTGGTTTGATTCGTGGAACTTTAGCCGCCCTGGAGGCCTCGTCAAGGACTACGAAATTCCCAGCCCTACGAGTACGACGTCGGGTGAAGACTACTCAGACGTGTCATACGGTGAGATCGAGAGGGACAATCCATATAGCCCCCACCACCGATGGCAGCAGTCTCAACGCAGGATGGCGGCCGACAATCGCCAATTAGACCGCGATATGTCCGGACTCGAGCTAGATACTGCGAAAATGTTTTCTGATGATTACAAAAGCTTCGATGGCCGCGAGAGCTACGCGAGTCTTCCCCAGAGCCCAATGCTAGACCTTCGGGTCATTCGAAGCCCAGAAGGGGACGATGTAGATGTCGTCCCAATGGGTTACAATCTCGGACACGACCTAGGAGATTTTCTTAAATGGGAGGCAGAGCATGCTTATGCTGGTGATTTTTACAGTTAACAAGCTAAGGCGTTATTTTGGGTTTGGACTTTTGAATATTCGTATCATGAACAAGGCGTATCCATATGTTTGCAGGGAAATGCGAACTCACTCACCTTTCCCCCCCTCAAGACCATTTTTTACTTCTTCTCTCTTTTATATACTTGGAATGAGGCCTACGTCGGACATTTTACCATGCTTTTTCACTTACATATCTCACTATCATTATACCATTTGTTCTTTTTGGGCGTTGGAAGGTATACGCTCCATACAAAAACGAAGCTCGATACATTTTTGGGGTATGCGAAGCGCGGCGCTTGGATTTTTATTTTTTTTTTATCCTTTTTATAAACATCATCGAAGCAAAGCATTGGATCATTTGATTTACCCGATATACGTCATTTGTATCTAGGAATTCGTTACGCAGAGACATGGAAGGAACGTTGATGTCAAGTGTTTTTACATCGGGAATCTATCAGGGGGTAACGGGCTAGGATAATTGGAGTTCAAAGTCAGGAGTTATCGAGTTATCAAGGTGGTGGGAAGGTGGTGGGAACTTACGTGGTCAGGCCGGGTAGTTGCGACTATTCGTCGTACAGAACTGAGAAGCTTATTGGATTTTTGAGATTTTTGATTTTTTGTTAAATATCGACTCATCTTCCAAATCATAACCACCACACTATCTTCAAAGTTACACCGCGAACCATCGCTGGTAGTGCACAATCGGAAAGGTGTCATTTGATCTTGTCCTCTCCCCCCTTATTGACGCCGTCATCCATTTCTGGGTTACCTCTAACTTGACAGGACATACATATGTCACCTCGATCAATCATAACCTTACAACAGTCGAAAATCCAACAATCTCACCCAGTTTATGTTTCGACTCACCCACCATCTCCAACTTGGCGGCGTCTTTTAAGCCCTTTTCCTTTGGACGAAACCTAATTGCAGATTGGCAGACTGGCAGATCGGCATACTGAAACGAGCATAGTTTTGGGGCTACGTCACCCACCGAAAGTTAGGCCCGCGACGTAATGCTGTATATCTTATTGAAGCAGGCCTTGATGGGTGTAAGCCGCGCGTTAACCTCGTTTTTGTTGTTAGGAGGTCCTGTCGCAGCCATGCAATACGATAATTCAGCCCTCACCATCACATCCGTGGGTACTCCGGATCCCTTTGTCACGGTCTTTAGGGGTCGCTATTACCTGGTAAGCTGTCGCCACCACCATCACCTTAATTGGTAGACTAATTATGCTTAGACCTTTACTACCGGGAATAGAGTTGAAATATGGTCCTCCCGTAGCCTGATTGATATAGAGAGCTCCGCGGATAGACATGTGGTTTGGTGTGGCTCTCCTCTAAAGATAATCCTATCTCATAGACTGACTCGTTACTCAGGACCCCGCCCCAAGGCACAGACCACTCGGCAGACTTATGGGCTCCTGAGCTACACGCCTTACACGGCCGATGGTACGTCTACTACGCCGCCGCGAACCCGGCCCACGGAAACAAAAGCCATCGTATGTACGTGCTAGGTGGGCCGCCCGCATCGGAAGACCCGTGTCGGGGACAATGGGAATTCCTAGGACGTATTCATGCCATGCAGGATCACTGGGCCATCGATGGTACCGTATTCGAGCTGAACGGGGAACTTTATTTTGCATACTCGGGCTGGCCTTTTGACAACCAGAACGACTCGGATCTTATACAACAGCTGTTCATCGTGAAGCTCTCAGATCCGACGAGCGCAGCTAGTCCTGCTACCGTGATATCCACCCCGCAGCTTGAATGGGAGATCACACGCGAGGGTAACGGCACGGACCACGGCATTAACGAGGGCCCGCAGTTCCTGCGGTCACCCGACGGTGGCGTCGCCTGGCAGGGATTAGTCTTCAGCTGCGGAGGCAGCTGGACCCACGAGTACAAAATGGGACTGCTCAAGTACGCCGGCGGCGACCCGTTAGACCCAGCGTCATGGCGGAAGGGCGAGGAGCCGCTTGTGCAGACACGAAGACACGGCGCAGGTCCATACGGGCCGGGCCACGGCTCATTCATCACCCTCGGAGACCAGGTCGTGGCTATCTACCACGCCACAGACAGTCCGACGGACGGGTGGGATAATAGAAGGGCCAGAGCGCAACGGGTCGCGTTCACGCGGGACGGTCCGTATATGGGTAGGTCCCTCGGCTTGGATATGCAGAAGTATGACGGTGGGCTGGTGAAGCGGATGAAGTTGCGGTTGGGGATGAGTGGGAAGAGTAAGGCGGAGGCGGCGAGTGAGAAGAATTTGAGGATGTTGTTGGGGAGTTGTTAGGGGGTTTGGAATGAAGGTGGTGGGTTGATGGGAGGAGGGTTGTGCTAGGGGGGAGGGAAGGAAAAGGGAAAGGGATGGAAGGGAAGGGGAAAAGAGGTCTGGGAACGCATGATATGGTATGATACGTACGGTATGAGATATTGAGGTCACGAGATAGGTACTCGCTATTGCTGATGATGACTGCTAATTCTAATTTGAGAATCGCGTATTTTTATGGCTGTGTCACGTCGTCCTATTTGTGGTTGATAAGAGATTGTATTCTTTATCCCAAGGGAAGGTGAATCATAGTCGAGTATATTTCAGATATACGTATTTCTGTCGCATTAGGTAAGGAGTAGGAGAATAGGAAGGAAGGAAAGGGGAACTTAGAAGAAATCCAATGTGAGAAAGATAATATGTGATAGAAGTAGGTACCTAATGTATAGGGATAACGATAGTGATTGCGGTTATATATAGGATAGAATGGGGGATAACTGGTTGGTTAAGATGGGTATATGTATCCCGAGGTATTATACTGTATATGTTAGCTAGCTTTCGATACGCCTAGTTTATAGGAGTTATCATTTATGTAAAGCGTTGATAGAAGCTGCCCCGTGGGCTCTAGTTTACCGTGTCGTATATACACTACCTATTTTGTAGGTTGGCTTGTCCATATGTCTCCTTAACTTTATTAGTACCTACTCAACTCATGATATAGATTTAGAAACCTAGTACCATGTCAGACAAGCCAAATAAGAAAAGAAACCGAAAGTTCATTCACTGGGGGCACAAATCACAACATCACAACGCCAAAACAAGACAATAAATGCTTAGAACGGCTTCGTTTCTCTTTCCTAAAGCTCATCTCGTGTATCATCCCTGAAAAAGGCGCCAAAAATACTCTTTTGCCACTATAAGTACAAGAAAAACACTGTTGTTGTTGTTGTTATTGTTGTTCGGTTGTCCGGAAGAACGTCAAGACCCTCTCCTATCGTGTGTCGCATAAAAGCCCGTCCACGTCTGCGCCGTCAAGGTCCTGTCAGTCCATCCATCCATCCTATTATTTCACCCGAGACGACCGGTGCTCAAGAACCCCCGAGACTGGTCTCAAGAACTCCCTGAAAACAAAATTGAATGCCCCGAGATTCGTATCGGGCTTCCCCATAACCGCCGCATCTTTTCTCGTATTAGACATTATTAATGTGTGGCTTTTAACAACCAGAGAAAACGATTAAGCTTTCTAAGCGGCCATCTCTGGTGCTCTGCCTCTGTGCTCGCCATTCAATCCGGTTTCGGAGTCTAATACGGAGTGTGCTTGGTCATCCTCTTCTAAGTCCTCCTCTTCGTATTCGTGATTCTTGTGTTCGCCAGCCGCGACCCAAGATTCGCGGTCATTGAGCGGCGCATCTTGGCCTGATAGGTCTAAACCTTCTGTCCGGGCTTTGATATTGTTACGACGTCTCGTCGATAGCGTGCGGGCTCGAGTGGATAGCTTCGGGTTCACGGCGGCGTTCGACGACACCCAGTTAGTTAGCGCGTCTTCGCAGTCTTGAATGATGGCCTTGCTAGCTTCGTAGCCGTCGTACGCGGCGCGGGTTTCACCCGGGGTCACGGGGGTATCATCGATTAACTCAAGCAGGTGCTTTCCGTACCCGGCAATAATAGCGACCTTCTCGCAGTGCTCCTGGAGAGCGTCAAACTGGTATGCGTAGGCGGACTTTAGCTTCTCGCGGGTGATGTTAGATAGCTGGGCTTCGGCGACGAGCGATTCGGCTTCGGCGCGAACTAGTTCCTGTTCAAGGACGACGATCTTGGGTGAGTTTGGTTCCTTGTACTTGAGTTGAGCGATCTGGTCGGCGATCTTCTGCTTCCCTGCAATGATATTAGCTGGTGGGGCTAGGTGATAGTCTGTTGCCTAGCAGTACTCACGGTCTCGACTAGGTTGTACCGATGCCTCGATGTTTCTGATACTCTTCATAGTGACTCGGTACTGGTCGTACCGATCGACATACTGATCTTCGAGCTCGCCAATTTCGTAGATAAGCACACCAAGTTTGTCGGTGACGTCAGATACATCTTCATCAGCCGCCTCGCCCCAGAGGGATAGTTGTTGCTAGGTAAATACGTTAGCAAAATGTAACCCTACACCGTGGAAGGTGTAACATACAGCGACCTCCATGCGCTCCTTTGCGACAAGCTCCAAACTTCGCATCACATTCTTCTCCATCTTAACAAGTTGAGTCAACTTCTTGGCGAGGTCAGGCCCGAAGGCGCCAGCGGCATTGCGACGGAGCGCATGTCCTAGTGCACTCATTAGCTTATTGAACTCCATAATAATACCTGATAGCAACCCGGGTGTTGATCGTATGTTGGGGAAGTCGTAAGCAACTTACCAAATCCGCCTCTTCCGAATAGTCTACCGGACTTGGTGGACGATGGCGGGGGAGGGGGGTTCTGGAATCAACGAGGTTAGCAGTGTGTCGTAGTCATAGGAGCGCATTGAACAAAGAGAGGAGTCCTTACTTGGATCTGAGAGGCAGTAGGCGCCCGAGTCTGGCGCATAGAGTATGTTCGATGCATCGTGGGAGGTAGATTATCGATGAATCGTGAGATTATTTATTGTAATGGTGTGACGTGGATGGAGGTTGAGAAACAGTAGTTTGGATGCTGTTACGGTATTATCGAGAAGCCTCGGTAACTTTGGCTTGATTCGCTTTAGGCGGGCGTATAGAACAATTAAAGCAAGTAGAAATTAGAGGTAGAGAGAGAGGTAGTAAAAATGTGAATACTGAAAGCTTTGTACGGTCGAGTCGAGAAAGTGGAGGGAAGTTAATAAAGGTGGAGGGTGGATGATGGACGGATTGGGACGATCGCATACGTAAGGTACACACTTTTTCTTATTTTCTATTTAAGAAACGGAAGATGGAAGTGATGGCCCCATGGGTGAAGAGATATGGGCGGGATATGGGCTGCGGGCTGGGGTTTCGGACTGGGTTGTAGCGGATTGGGCTGTGTGGGCTGTGGCTGTCTGGCTGTTAGAAGCTCTGACAATCAAAAAGTGGAAACAAAAGAAATAAAGCTGGTTCCCTTCTATCCCTACGTCATCGCTACCGAATTGTATCCTTTTAGTTTTTAATAGAGCCAAGCTAGTCCCAAAATGACAATTGACTCAAGCAGATAGCGTATACTAGTGTCGATCTTATTCTTTAGTAAAGGAATTCACGTCTTAAATGATGGCCTTTTCAAATACTTCTGTAGATACATCTGCCATTGACAGGTTCAAGTGTCGCATGCGTCCATGTTAGCTCCCAACTAGGCAATTAGCTGCTTTCTTGAAGTAACCTTGCAGCCCTTGGAAATCATCTACTATTGCTTGACTCAAGAAAGTTAAATTGGAGGATAATCATGAGATTGTTTTCTCATATATGACTAAGTATACCTATATCTAATAATTATGACTACTATGTACCTAGTAAGTAAGTAAAAGTCCAGTAACTACGAATACTATAGTCGATTGATACATTCTGATCCGATTTAACCGTGACCTGAATAATGGCAGTGTTGAGTTCCATATAGCTATCGATAATTGCCTTGGTTATTTAGTGCTACTTGACTTCCTACAATGTCAACAGAACCTTGGAGCTGGGTTCGGAAAGTTAAAAGTGGGGAGTACACTAGCCACAGGAGCAGCCACCTACGCACTCTCCTTTTTTGTTTGATTAGATAAGGATATTCATCTCGGGTCATCTCGTATCGCCTCATCTCATCAACGCGTCACTCAAAAGTTAAAATTCACATTAAGTCAGGTTCGCCGAAGTATCTATGTGATTTGTCTTGTAGGATTTCCTTCATAATAACCACTTATGTAATTACTACTCATTCGTTCATTCATTGGTTCGTATTACCTCAGATCTAAATATTTACTATGCTAATTTTATCGTAGCTTCTTAAACCGTTCATTTTAAAGGGGGTTATCAAGCTTCAAGGTCGTTAGAGACGCGTTCGGTACCTCTTAACGCGTCGAATAGAACCACCACTATCACAACTACCTTGAATTTTAAGTTATCTAATATCTAAACCGTATTAGACGATGGGCGTATCACAGTCGCATCCTTGGTAAATTCAAGGACAAGTATCAGAGCGGCAAGGGCGGTACGAGCGCACCGACTTAGATTTTAACGGTGTGCGCCTAAGCGGCAGCCACATTGACGCAATGGCGAAAGATCATATTGATTTAACCACTATCGTGTCTGACTCCGAAGAATCAAATTCCCTGGATAAGACACCTAGAAGAAGTGCACCATCTCAATCACAGTCACAATCGCAGTCACAGTCTCAATCTCGACCTCAATCTCGATCCCAGTCTCAGTTAGGTGTACATTCCCGTAAACTTGCTAGCCCTCAACGATCTTCAGATCAGCGAGCAGCATCTTTACATGGCTTTACCTCTATTCATGCTGCAACACCACCTAGACAAATAAAGGCTTCTCCAAAGTCTGTTGGCCAAGATGGGAAAATGGCTCCAATACCAGTCAGATCAACTGGTAATTCCAGGGATGGTCTAGACGCAACTCCCCCATCATCTCATCACCATTCATCCTCTATTCACCGAACGCCTAAACACCATACTCCAAGGAAGTTGGAGTGGAATACCGAAAAGGTTGAGGAAATTCTACGAGATTTCTCAGATGAGATCGGTACAGATGGGGCCAATCTTACCGCCCGCCTGATCCATATGGCTTGGAAGAAGGAGGCACCTGTGCAACAGTTCACTAGTAAGAAGGATTGGTTCGCTGATATGAAGCGAACACCGTTGGAAACCACTAGCAAGTCTGCAGATACGATGAGAATAAAAACCAAGGTTTGTCTCCTGAATATATGAATATGAGTAATTCATGATCCTACATACATATCATAGGCACAAAATGAAATTTAACTAACAAATATACAGCAGGTAGGCCAAGGTAGATCCGGGAAGCAGGAAAAACGTGAACACCATCACGTCATCTCTATTAAGACCAACGTCGATATGGTCCCTGCCTACGGTTTTCATCATGTCGAGATCAAGAAAAACATACTCTCCCCCAATACTATGTTAACCTACGTCCCTCATCTACGAGATCTCGCAGATAATGAGGAGGGTGTTTACCGCCGGTGGCTCGAAAACCTGGAAAATATGGACAAGACTTCTGGTTTTGCTACGCTTAGTAGACATCAGAAGGTGACGAAAACTATTAAAAAGGAACGCGCCACCACTCTACTTCTGTATCTCGACTCCTGGCTAGACAGGCTTGGTATTGAGAATTGTACCAAGACTACACTCATCCGCTATATGGCAAGCCAGGGTGCTAATGTCACCCCTCAGCAAAAGTCGAGTATTTTGAACTCGTATACGGACGAGCCCGGATCTCCACGATCAGCTAAAGCAGTAAGGATTTTTACAGAAGCATTCGATCGAGTATTCAACGATTCATCACTACGTGAACGAGCTGTACCTCTCCGCGACGTGCTCTTGTTAGATAAGTCGGTTGATACCATCGTCGATTCTAAGAAATGGATGAAGGAAACTCCCAGCCAGTCTAAGGTCGCGGAAGAGCAGACGACAGTCGAGTCTTTCCTAGAGACATATGCATTGCTCGGTTGCTTGGTATGTACTAGTCATTCATGTGAGCATGGAGAATACGGCGTTGATAATGAGCGAAAACGATTTTCTATCGAAGTAGTCGGTGGTTTATCGCCGATAATTCGCCAGCAACTTACGCAGAGGCCAAAAGAAAGGGGTGATGACAGTCCTCCTACGCCTCGTAAAACAAAGAAGCCTTGTGGGGAGGACTGCTACCTGAATGGTCGACCGGGAACGCGAGCTAAATTATGGAGCGACAACGAGATAATGCTCCTCAAATCATTCATTTCAACATTAAGCAATACCAACATTCCTATACAATGTGCAACTGCTGTGGCTACCGGAAGGCCTTGTTGGGATGTACAGCGTCAACTCGATAAACTCGAACTGCCGAGACCCATTACCGCCCCGTCCCCAGCACAGCCGGTTCAGGTTAAACCACTGCCTTGGTATGATAGGAAGAGGAAGATGCTTATAGGAGACTGGCAAGAGCACACCAACACTCACGAACATCAGCGAAAGGACTTCTTCGATCCATGCAGCCACGATGGGCCTTGTACATCCAAGAATTGCGGATGTGTCCAGAACCACATTATGTGCGAGCGCTTCTGTCGATGTACGGCAGCAATTTGTGCGAACAAATTTACCGGCTGTGCCTGTCACTCTCATGGGAAGACATGTCACTCTAAGCAGAAAGACAGGCCTTGTATCTGTGTACAGTTGAATCGTGAATGCGATCCTGCCCTGTGCGGAACCTGCGGTGCATCTGACAGGGCCCACCCAGCACACGCAGACAATGATGCGCTATTTGCCACAGGATGTCAGAACTGCGCGCTACAGCGAGGGAAGTCAAAGTCGGTTATGCTTGGAAAATCTAAGATTGCCGGTTACGGGCTTTTTACGACCGAGGATATCGCTCAAGATGAGTTTGTTATCGAGTATGTTGGAGAACTTATAAGTCAGGATGAGGGGGTCCGTCGTGAGGCACGTCGCGGAGATGTATTTGACGAATCATCCAATTCATCATACCTCTTTACACTACTAGAACAAGAAGGCATTTGGGTAGATGCCGCTATATACGGCAACCTCAGTCGCTACATCAATCACCAAGAAACCAACTGCAACGTCACACCCCGGATTCTTTACGTCAACGGCGAGTATCGAATTAAGTTTTCTTCCCTGCGTGATATTAAGGCTGGAGAGGAATTATTCTTCCACTACGGTGAGAACTTCCCGAATCTCACAAAGAAGCTACTGCAAGAAGAGAAGGCCGAGAAGAAGCGACGGAAAGCTAAAGAGCAAGCCCGCAAGACGGCGCAAGGTGGGGAAAAAGTGAGGAAGAAGCCCGGCCGCAAGCCGGGTCGGAAGCCAGGTCGAAAACCAGGCCGTAAACCAAAGAAGAAAACGTTCGCTACAGTCGAATCAGAGCCAGAAGATGATGACGATATCGAACCTTCAGAAGAGCTATTCCCCGACATCGATATCAAGCCGCGCAAACGCAAGCGTGCGATCCTTGACGATGAAGACTCCGAAGAAGGCGAGTACCGCCCCGGGTCCGATTCTCAGGGCGGCGTAATGGGTGATGCTGGCGAAACATCACCATCCCGGAAATCATCACGTTTCCGAAAGCGACTAGGCGCACCAAAAGCAAGAAAAGGCTTCCCACCCATCTCAGCGAGGCGTCGAAAAGTAAAAGAGACATCAAACGAAGACGACGAAGCAGACCTCACACCAAAACGCCAACGCAAGAAACCGCGACGTCTCCTCGAAGACGCGACCCTCGACGAAATCGACGACGTGCTAGTCCCCGACACCAAAGCTCCTGGAATAACAACGCCTAAGAAGCGCGGCAGGAAATCGAACAAGCAGAAAGAACTCGAAGCCCGACAACGCGCGGAGCAGGAAGCCCGTCGGCGGGGGGATACAACGGGCTTAGGAAACGCGCAGGACCTCCCTCCGACGACTCTGGAAAGCGCCCCGGGCAGCGCGCAGGGGAGTACCCGGTACAAGCACACGGAAGCGCGACTAGTTCTCGACTCGGACTCCGCAGCGGGCGAGGACACGCCATCGCGCGTGCGCACGCGCCGGCAGCTTAAAGATCAAGAGTCGAGCCCCCTATCGACGCCCGACTCCCGATTCGAGGACGCAGCACCTGAAATCTCGGACTCGGACATACGACCGATATCCCGACGGGGCAGGGTGAAGAAAGGGGCAAGTGGCGACGACGAGTATAACGGGAGCAGCTGGAACGACAGCGACGGCGTGCACCACCACGGCGGGGGGATGAATACAGATGATAGCGAAGAAGACGACGATGATGAGGATGACGACGACGGAGTGTCGGTTGATCGGTCGAGAACTAGGAGGAAGCCTGCGAGGTACGAGGATTAGTTGTTGGCTCATACTTAGATATTGTAGGTGGCTCTGCTAGGGGGACTGACTTGATCGGTTAGATAGGTGTGTGAGGGGCTTGCTTCTGTGTAGATATGTAGGTATGGATGGGTGGGCTTTAGGGCCTAGTTGCTGTATTAATTCGACGATGTGTTTTTGTTAGGTATTGTAATGGCTTGGTGTTTTACTTACCTATCGAGGTACATACTTACTAGTAGAGTATGTGTATGTGTACTGTACTATCCTGTGCCGAAAGTTTGAAGTAGTAAAACATTCACCGGCATTTTTTTGTAGTCATTCCCGTTGGTGCCGTCGTCCCCCGTACCGTAAGTACAGAAACACCACATACGAAAGCGACCTACCCCAAAAAAACTACATCACCTCACAAACACACATCAATCTCATTCTCACAACAGTTCAAAAAAGATGAATACCAGAAAAGCCACATAATTATTTCGTCAGCTACCTAGCTAGTAGTAGTAGTACGTACTCGCGATATAGTCCGTCCGTAGCCCATTCATTCCATCTTAATCCATCCCATCCACGGAAGACGGAAAGACAAGACAAAGACAGGACCCAAAAAAAGAGTTTAAGTAGGCCGCGGAGCCCGATCCCAAAAAACAACAACATGACCAAGTAGCAGACACAGTCACTGCGAGGTGATGATCAACTGAAAACCCCTTTCCGATAGTGTACACGATAACAAGAAGGACCCGTAGCACGCCTTTCCCTTCCCATCCATCTTTGCCCTTTGTATCCTGGAGGTATTCGGAAGAGAGAAAAAAACACACTGATTGATTCTTCCCCATTTCCGTAGGCTTTACCGGTCAACTGATAACCGTCCGGGTTCTAGTTTGGTATTGGGTTCCGACTATTGGTATAAAATTGAATAGATCCATTTCTGGCCTCTACTCTCGTCCGCAAGGATTGCTACACCCTCGGCTCTCGTTCTCGTGGCACTGTATCTTCCTGCCTTTCTTGAGATGGGTTGTTGACCGGATTTAGTTCGACGACTTTGGCGTTAGGACTTGCCGTTAAGCTAGGTCCCCTCCCTTGCGCATCGCACTTCTTAGCTTTTTTTCTAAGGGTGATACTGTTCGAGGCGAGAGAAGGCCTGCAGGCCTAAAGATGCGTCTCTAGTCTATACTATAGAAGTTTGTGTCCTTCAATTTCGTTTGGGTACGAAATAAGTTCGTCCACGTATTAATCTCGAAAAGGGCCTTCGTTTACACGGCCCTTCAGAGGTATCTCTACACACTCTGAGGATACACGCTAGCAGGCTATAGGAAGAATAGAAAGTCAGCCATGGTTAGGATGCATCGTCAAAAAAGCATGCTAACATACCGGGCTGTTCAACATGTTGTTACGCTTGTTCCTGCCCTTCTTAATGTGGCTCTTTAGCGCGGAGGAGTCAAGCGGTTTTAGAAGTTCGAAGCTACATAAAAGTTCTGATGAAACAGACATGACAGCTCCCCAGTTATCGAATTCGCCGCAGTACTAAGGGTAGATTGTTAGTATATAGATCAACATATAGAGTGGTGGTATTCTCTTACGTTTGGTGCGCTAAAGACAGTGACTAGAACCCTATCGTTAAAAAATTCGTATCCGTCTTCGACGACCATGTGTGCCCGGCAGACTAGATCAAAATCGTGGGTCGCAAGGAAATCTGTGATGACCTTCTTCCCAAAGCAGTAACTAACACCTCTCTCGTTGGCTTCCCAATCCGCTTCCATGTCGGCAGGATCAGACCAGAGTAGATCATTCAGGAGACCATAATCTGGGACATCGGTAGGACGAGCAATGTTGCGAATATCATCCATATGACTTAGCGCCGGCGACAGCCCTCCGTGGACACAAAATATCTTCCCCGCAACTATAGCAGCAATCGGAAGCGTATTAAAGCAATCGATAAACGTCTTCCAAATCTTAACGTTACACCTTCGCTTGCATTCGTCATAAAACCCATATACCCTCGTTACATTGGCGCATTCGTGGTTCCCTCGCAGTAGGAAGAAATTTTCGGGGTACTTGAGCTTGTAGCACAGCAGAAGCAAGATAGTCTCCAAAGACTGCTTGCCCCTGTCAACATAATCACCAAGGAAGAGGTAGTTTGCGCTCGGCGGGAATCCGCACATCTCGAACATACGGATAAGGTCGGTATACTGGCCGTGGACGTCGCCAACAATCTTGACCGGCGCATCAAGCTCCAGTAACGCAGGTTGGGTTAGGAAGCATTCTCGAGCTCTCTGGCAAATGGCGACGATTTCGGCATTCTTCAGACAAACACTCTTCGTTACCTTCCCAGCGTACGCAGCATCCAGAAGTCGCTTAATGAAATCATCAAGATCAATATCCTTGATGTCGCTCATAGCGACTCCAGCAGGCGAGTCATCTTTCGAGGAAGTACCAGGCATCGATATAATTGGATTAATAGTATTCTCCTTCTTAACCAGGATGGGCGCACCGGGTTGCTGCTGTATATGAGGATTAGGGTTCACAGCCCCAGAAGGTGGTTGGTCCGATACATGATCTACCTCGCCGGAGGCTTGGGCAGCGAAGATATCGCCATGGCCAGCTCTAATGGAGGCGGATTGAACGGGAGATGGAGGCGGCTGCATATCATCGAGTCGCAAATTTGCTATATCCGGCGTTGTTGGGGAGGATGGGGAAGCGAGTGAGTCAGCACGACTTGTTCTCGATCTACTACTCCGCGCAGACTTTACCGATGCTGCGTCCGACTTGTCAACGGCATCTCCATTAGACATAATCGCCGAGCTTCGCGGACTATCCGTCTTCCCACCACCAGGTATCTTGGATCGAAGGTTTTTGAATGAGCGGGTAGAATCCTTAGTATCCGACTTTCCAAACGCGGGATACGACGACATATCGCCGGACGCGCCGCCGGAGCCCTTGGAGCCGCCATCGGCTTTTGATGTTTGGTTTCCCATTATCTTTTGTCGAGTGTTAGGTGTTAAGAGGTTCTCAGAATGAATGTTCAGTACAGCCTCGCGATTCCAAAGACTTGGTTATCGAACCACCCAAACACACACAAAAAAAGATTGGCACGAAAGCCTGCCAATACGTTGTTCAAGGCCCAATAATATATTGTTCGTCTACGTGCAGGTTACTCCTAGGGAGGATGGAACAGTCGGTCAAGGACGGAGAGGAGGAGGACTTCGGAGGAAGAGGAAGGAGCCGTTTTGTTCTCCGTCTTCGTAGCAATCAATTCGTATAACGAGCGCCGGCGTCTGGAGAGATCGGAGAGTTGCGGGAAGGGTAATCAAAGGTGAAGATGGGGTACACAGTCCTGTCGCACTGAAAAACGGAGTTGTCGGGGCGAAGAAGGTAGGACTGGTAGTAATTGCGTAGGAGGCTATGCTGGCGAGGTTGAGGCTGGCGGAAATGGGATTAATCTAAAATGAAGGTCGGAATAATCAGCTATGGGGCACATGCGTATTGAAGTTGCACATGTATAAGGGTGTCGGCAGTTGTCCAGTCAATCCATCGGAGAAGAGGGGGGAAAGGAAGCTGGAAAATTGATTGCAACGATAAATAAAGACCGGGGAGTTGCGGAAGAGAGAAAGATGAGGTAAGAGGATATGCGAAGGGAGGGAGGTTGATAATGATGACGATCACGAAGGTTTGGGGCCGGTCTCGTCTCCAGGTATTATTATTTTTTTCTTGTTACTCCTCTCTGCTCCTCTTCTTTTTTGGGGATAAGACAACCAAAAATTCAAGGGAAAATGCGGGGAGAAGGCTCGTCTACCACTCCTTCAAGAGAATGCGGCGAAGGTGATGAGTAAGGGTATGGGTGCTGTAGGCTGTACTGTATGTAGGTAAGTGAAGACAGCGTATGGATGTGTGTGTGTGTAGAGGGAAGATAAGACAACATGGGGATAGGATATAACCAAGGGACCCCTTGAAGCCAAGACAGAGGTCAGAAGAACGTGCTAGACTCTAGTGGATATTTTGGCCGCGGCGCCAAGCAACGAGGGTAACCGTCTCACCGTATTATACATACAGGTCAGTACTTGACGTGTACCTAATGGAGAAACTACTACATATGTATGTGTATGTAGTATGCGGTAGTAGGCATGAGTAGACGACCGACGAGTGCGACGAGTTAGACGAGTTAGACGACGAGAGTAGCCTGATCTGATTCCGATAATTCGAGAATTGTGTTATACACACGGCAAGATATGCCCATATGTCTCCAAGCTCGGATGGATCTAAATGGATCGATGGATCGTTGGGATCGTTCGTTTGTTTGTTCACTCGTCTGCTCGTTCGGGATTGTTTAGGGTATTTATTTATTTTCTGCTGTTTTTTTTTTAATCAATTCAATTTTCTCTTTTCTTCTTTTTTTCCTTCTATATTTTCTCTCTATGCGCGCGCAAGCTAGAGAAAGCGATTGGGTTTTAACGGTGGGTGTAACGACAAGGTAAAAACGTCTTGTTGCGGTTCAAGGTCATTGATGACGACAAGCTACCGACAAGGTTGGCCTGAATGTTACAATGCACGATTTGTTTTTTTGCAAATAGAAATGTATCGCTTTATTTAGGAGGGGCTCCGCGGTTGTGTAGGTTATTTTTCTCTTTGAATTGACCTAGCTGCAAGGTTGGGATCGGGTAGGACAATGGATGCAGCACGTTGGAATTTCAGGCTTCGTGATAAGTTAATTAAATGTTGATGATGGTAAAGTTGGCTAAGTTTGATTGAGATGAGGGAAAGAAGAGAAATATGTGAGTCGAAACATCCCCAAAGTCCCCAAAGTAGGTACATACATGTAGGTAAGGTAATAAATGTATCTACTATCCGATACAATATCCATATATGTGTATAGTAGATATGACAGATGTAAGTATGCGTAGATACCGTGTTAATTGGAAGGTAGGGTGTGAGGTAGCTGCTTTCCACTCTCTCGACTCTTGAATGGTCCGCGACGCCGTCTGCAGCTAGACTTTTACCTAAGTGATTTAGTGGGAAAGTGCAAAGTAGGCCATTATCAGACCGCTATGTGTCCGTCTACTGTACCTGTACATTTGATAGCTAGGTAATTTTCGGCGGGGCTCCGTCCTTCCGGCTCGAGTCAAGTCGTCTAAAGTTGCTCAACTCTACAACTCCGTTATTTGTAAATTCCAGGTTGGTAAGTTGACTCCGTCGTAGTTTCTCTTGTCTTCCCTTTGATTGATAACAAAGGGATTATCTACTTATCTGCCACCTCAATATTAATATTCTCGGAGGTAATGGATTTTTAGTGTCTTACACGCGGCTCACTTAAAAATTATAAATTGATCGTGTGGGGTCGGAAGAGGCAAAAGCTCGACAATAATACGTCTACCTCAACATCCAACATGCCAGGTACGGTAGGAGGTCAGGCCCCTCCCCCTACCTTACCCTACTACCTCATAGTGCCTAACACTCCATTAGGTCTACGATGCTGCAATGTCGCGGGATAGACATGGTCAAATGGACAACCGAACGGGCATTTCCAGTAGATCAAGGTGACATGCAGACGGGAACAATCTAGTAAAATATATTCAACTTCCAATGAGAACGAACGAACCCCGTCGATCAGGGAACCTCGATGACACCTACTGCAAAGATGTCAACCGCGAGCCCGGCTTTTGTTCGTCACTTTGATCTGTATTGCCTAATATGGACAGTGGCAATTGGTTCTGCTGGTCCGATAGGTAAAATCTTTTAACTCTTAATAATCTGCAATTCGACTCATATTGTTATTTATATGTATATCTAGGTAAGTTTTTTATTCTGCATATTATATATATTCTGTATGTAAATCCTCGTACCTCCCTATATATCTGACTTCTAAGGCGAGTGTGGGCTTTGATATATCACGATGCTTGGCGGTGGCAATTACAAACCCCTCGTTGCACCACAACTGAACATCGTCTACTTCTCGACCGTCTTGGCTTTAGCTTGTCAGGTCTGCTTACTTGGCATCTGTCGTCCCATTTTGGGTATCATTTCTATTGGAGTTCGCCCAAAGCTTGACACTGCATTTAATACCGGCATCGTGGCAGTTGCATACACTCCAGCCTCTAGCATGTTCGGATTGATTAGCCAAGAACACGTTGGAGATAAGTAAAAGCTTACAGGTAGCTCTTATGTTTGATAAAAAGAAGTGTCCAATAGGAATACTATGCGCTAGGTCGTGTCGCGTGCTACCGAATCACCGACTGTCCGTATTATAAGTAGTGGAATCCGAGAGAAATATACTGGCTCTACCGAGCTCTACCGTCTAGTCTTTGCTATGTTTAGACGTTTAGGTAGGTTGATTTTGACCCAAGGGCATGTTTTCATGCGTCATCAGAAAGCGACTGGGTAGGTAGCTCCTATGGATATGGAGTAACTCTCCAAAACAGCAAAACGGAGTCAGTCAGCTCATCATGCTCGTCATGCCATGGGTTCCGGGTTATGAGAAGTCTTTAGCAACGCAACACAAAGTTAAGCATTGGGAACTTTGATAGTGCATGACCATTCTAATGTAGTATTACTTTATGTCATGTTCAACAACATTAAAAGCCTGCACCCTAATACATGTTTATGAGCCAATGTCGTGAGATGTTTCCTTCTTCCGTCATCGAATGGTCGTAACATAAACAAGATGCTTCCGGGTACTTCGAGTTCAATGCTAATTGGGTTATCAGGGTAGGACCACTTACAACTGTACTATCATATCAGTTTTGCCGGTGACATATAGCTGCTTAATGGAGAAACTCTTTAATTGGTAACGGACGGTAGTAAGTGAAAGCAGTGACCTGTTGCTGTTATGGTAGCTTCGGCCCGTTAACGCCACTATCACCATCCGTGAAGTGGCTCCGACCTGACCCGGACCGTCGGTGCATTCCGGATCCGGCAATGGTCTAGAATTCAGAGGCCTCCCACTTTTCAATCACGGCCGGTAGGGCTGTATATTTGACACTCCCGATCCACGTTTCTCGGTAGCCGGTATTCGGCAGCACAAAAGCGGTGACTAGCTATTAGCTAGGTAGCTTAGCTATGTTATGCCTCGGATCTTTACGAGAATCCGGAGATTTCCATAGCTTCTAGGTCATCTCGAGAGAAAGAACCCTTCGAATCTCGATAGATTACGTACTTTTTCAAGCCACAGCTATTGTACCTTTAGATTTCCTATTTTTAGGTACCTTTTTGCGAAAGATCTACCCCCGGTCCTGCCCTGGAGGGTTTAGCATGAACCTGCCAAGACTCCACTAAGTGACAAAGCCACATCTGAAGAGCTGCAAGAAGCTGCATCGGATCCAATTTACGGCTCGAGCTTGGGGTCGCTTTCGAGTTCACCGAATCCCCCTTTCAATCCTTCGTGTTTCTATCGTTTCTATTGTTCCTTATCTTCAACATCTGTCGTTACCCCTTATAATTATTGTCATGTTGTTGAGTTTGTGACATTATTCTTTTTGTCTGAGGATATGATCATGATGATGAATATTCTGTCTGCTGAGCAGTGTCGGAAAATCGGCAATAATGTATGTCTTGGCTGGTCTCATCTGACTCCGGAACGGGACAGGATGGAGAATCGAGATAAGATGGGGACGCGTCAAGGGCATTGCCTCTTCGAAGTTTGTGTGGTCAGTTGTGGAGCTGACGCCACAAAAGCCCACGCCAAAGTCTACGCAGCTCAAGACATGCCAGGTGTGGAATACGCAGTATATGCAAGAATACGCCCGATTTGAAGAAATTGATCAGATTAAAAGCTTTTCGACTAGGGTTTACTAGCCACGCTGATCTACATTTCCCCATTCTATTCACTGTATTCTGTAGTTTTGCTGCGAGTTTGTACCAGCTCAACGCGGCCCCTCCACTTATTATTCTTTATTTTTTTCTTCTTCTGCCTTTTCGTGTTCGACGATGTCACCCTGTTACCCTACCGAACTGCGTTTGATTGCCCTGGCAGCCTGACACACGAAACAACCGACGTGCAGTTTACCATTTTGTCTAGTTTGTTTCCATCTGACGCTAGATGTACTGTAAATACTGAGTATTCGAAGCTACCCCCAAAGGGCACTCTCAGACTGCCGAGACTATGTAATTTGGACCCCAGTCGATCGCCTAGCCCGGAATTGTGATATGCTTTCAAGGGTCGCTGGTCTTTTGTAGCGTTTTTGTAGCGTCTTGTACTATGTATTAGCGAAAATTCGTATGTCAGTTACGGCGCCCATGAAATTTTACGAAATCCTTTGAATGGAATTTCTCAGCTGCAGCAAGCCTTTATCTTGTCTCATCAAACAGCATTTTTGGATATTTTTGGTGCTTGTTAGGTTTTAACGCCTAAAATCCGCCATCAAACCTGATCGACCCAACCAACATAAGGAAGTGTTTTAGCTAAGAATTTAGTGATTTGGTGAAATCGGTTTGCCGTTTTGCTTATTAAAACAAAATTCGTCATCTTGTGATTTTCGGCTACATGTTTCGCATACATCTATGGATCAGCAATATCGAATGCCATCAATCAAAAATACGGAGGAATCGAGGAGCTGATGAACTTGGTCGGGTACCTAGAGAGTTAGGCTACTATGTAAAAGTGACTAAATCTCTATCTAAAGTGACTTAAATGTGGTCGGAGTAGTTAAGAGTGGTACGGTTGGTGAGTGATATCTTTTTCAGCGGGGTATCATTCTCGTCTCATCATGTCATTGGTGAGTTTACAGGGGGGCTGAGTAGGCAATTGGCCCTAAACAAGAAAGAAGACCAGGTGAGCTGACGTCGACTTGGAAGGCTCCCCCTCCCCCCGCCGCGTCTCAATGCTGTGTTGGCAGGGCTTGTGTAGCCCCGGGAACTGCGCCACGCTTGCCTTTCAGACCTACCAGTACTTGATCGTCCTTCTATTGACACCAAACTGCGTAATAAATACAACCGTCTTACGCTCTCTGACCTACCACCTTATTTTAAGTCTCATCACTCTCGTACATCTTGTACTACAAAATCCATCACAACTCTATTTATTTACCGTCCCCGTTGTTTGCGTTGGACCTTATCTTGCACCACCGACATATAACCGTCCCCTCTAGTAGCGATCAGATACTACCGATACTACCTAGTACCTCATTTTCTATCTCGTCGCGCACAGATTACATAACTAAGCTATGGGTGTCGGAAGATATATTTGTGTGGCGCTGCCATTCATATTAACAGTCGGCAGCATCATTTGCTTCTTGATTGCCGGCCTCACTGGCGTCGCCAACAACAACCTCTACATCTTCCAAATTGACATGAGAAATGTCAGCGTCGATGCTTCGACCCTCTCGAGTTTGCTCAGCAACATCTCCAACTTAGAGAACATCACCAGCACCATCTCGAAGGAAATCAGCTCTCGATCCCCGGCTCCGGAACCTGTTGATGTTAGCAGCATTGTCAGCAGTATTACTGGAACTGGTAGTGGTAGCAATGGAAACATCACGGCGGCTGATCTTGGAATCGATAAGCTTTACGATGTCACTCTCTGGAACTACTGCACTGTTTCGGCGAACGGAACCGACAAGAACTGCACTCAAGCGAAGTTCAACTGGGCCGAGACCGACTTTAACACCACTTTCGTCAACGACTTCGGTAGCGATCTAGGTGCCAACATTACCATCCCGCAAGAGATCCAGGATGCCTTGAACACTTTCAAGCCTCTTATGAAGTGGACTGAGGTTGTCTACATCATCGCTATGGTTGCTCTTGGCCTCGAGCTTGTCGTTGGTCTATTCACCGCTTGCTCCCGTCTAGTCTCGTGCCTAACGTGGCTCATTTCCGGTATTGCTACCCTTGCTGTTATCGCCGTTTCCGCTATGATGACTGCCATGGCTGTTGTCGTCGTCGGTGCAGTCAAGGGTGCTATTGGCAAGTACGGTGGTGACGCTAGCTGGAACGGTAGTTTCCTGGCCTGCATCTGGATCGGTGTTGCATTCGCTCTTGGTGCTAGCTTGTTCTGGCTCTTCTCCATCTGCTGCTGCGCGCCCGAGCGCCGCCCCTATGCCGGTCGCTCGCGTGGCGGTCCCGAGGGCGAGAAGTTCATCCCCACCGGTTCATACGCCCCGCTTGGTGAGCAACGCAACTCTGGTTACAACTACGGCGCCCCACAGCGCGGTGGTGCCCGCTCAGACCTTGCTTACGAGCCTTACTCTCATGCTCGTTAATCGTGGAGGACGTCCTGGAATGGCGGGGAAATTCAGTGCGCGATTGGACCGTTTGGTCTAGGGGTTTGCACCATTTGCATTATGCCGGCGTTAGGGTTTTGAAATGACAAGACTGGATGAAAACGCGGTGTTTTCGCGAATTATTAGGCAGAGAGGATAGATGGAAGGATATTTCTTATGATGAACGGGATACCCCGGGTTATTATGATAGTGTTCAATTTCGCATATTTCGCATATAATGAATGATATATGAAGAATCAAAGAATTAAGAATTTGACCTTTTGGAAATTGAAGTGATAATGATTGTAACTGAAAACTTAGAGCGACAAGAATCCAACCAATCACGTGGTTAGTAAAAGTTAAAATGATAGAATTTTCCCCAAACCTTGAAGTTTTTTAACTTGGGCAAGTGCGTGTCTAATAGGTAACGATTAGTTTATCTAAGCCTTATAAACGAGAACTCGAGATTTAAACTTAGACAATTCATCGTGCAGACACATGGCAATAAAGCCGAATTGTCAACCCGATGTCTTGTGAGGTGAGTAGAACAAAATTCCATGAGCCCCGCCAAATGATCAACTTATAATTACCCCACGTTCAAAAATTGATTCTTTCAACAGCTGGCCGCTCTGGGTCGCCTCCACAGAGAACATGTGCTGAATCCAATAACCGCGTTGGCGTTTTACACGTCGACTGATGGGCAGAAATATCTCTTGGCGGGAGAGGACACGGACATTAAAGTCTATCATGTCCAAACCTCTCGCTTTTCTGGGCAGTTACCTGTGTTCAAGGCCCAATCTATTCATGGCATCGCCGTACCACCGGCAGAGATATCCGAGAAGTCTAGTTTAATTCTTGTCTGGGGTGGAAACTCTGTCAAGGTTTTGCCCAGAGATGTCATCGAGAGCCTCATCTCGGGCCATGGTACCGAGCGGGATTTAACGAGGGGCGCCACCGAAGCAAGAGCACCTGACTGGATTTTCGATGGGAGAGTTTCGCCCTTTGGAGACCGCCGCATTGTTCTACTTACTGCCCATAATGAGGTTATTCCGGCCCATGTAGACCCTAGCCGAGGTAAACTTATCTTTGATAAAATCCTGTCTCCTTCGCGACCGATCTTGTATTCGGGTAACTTCTTCTGGGTATCCAAGGAATGCGTACTGGTGGCCGCCGGTACAGTTTTCGGCGAGATTCTAGTCTGGAAATGCCACCTCGGGGCGTCGGAGCAAAATCAGGATTGTGAGGTTCTCTTCGTATTCACGGGTCATGAAGGTTCCATCTTTGGGGTCCACATCTCGCCTGAGATCCGGACTTCAACGGGAGAAAACTTGAGGCTGCTAGCTAGTTGTAGCGACGATCGGACTATTCGAATATGGGATATCACCGAAAGACAGGAGTCCCAAGATCTGAAACAAAAGGGATATGACACTCATATCTCAGACGCACGAGAGACAGGGTTTGGCAACAATGTGGAGGTATCAGCTCACGGCGACCCTTCAGCAAGATGCTTAGCTACTGTCATGGGCCATGCGTCGAGAATATGGCAAGTTGAGTTTCCACAGAACCAACTTTTATCACGGACCTCTAACATCGTTGGGCTCTATTCATTTGGCGAGGATGCCACGGCCCAAAAATGGAACCTCTCCCTAAACTTACCACTATCTGAACTTGGCACTTCTAGTTCCCCTATTAAGTCCGTTGCCAAGTTAACGCACCAGGAAACTTTTTCAAATCATACTGGGAAGCATATCTGGTCACACGCCACGACATCCGAAGATGATTATATCCTCGTTGCGACTGGCGGCTCTGATGGAAAGATCGCCCTTATAGGGACTGGAATAAAAAGTAATTCGTCAAATTTAACAGAAGGTAACCAGACATTATTAGATAAGAAGAAAGCCGTTGCATGGTCTCTCACAGATGTACTACGATCATCTCGAGCAATCGGCGCAATAATAGAGGAGTCAAATGTCATTTCAGATGACATTCCTTTGGCGCCACAGAGCACCAAGCCTAAAAACGCAAAAGAAGCTTTTAATCGATACACATTCATCTCCGATAAAAGACTACTTGCCGCAACCAATTCAGGTCGGATTTTTGCTGGTAGTTTTGAGGATGACCTTACATGGATAGAATTAGCTCTCCCTGACGAAATTGGTCAGATAGTCTTCTCCCATGCTTTACATGGAACCTCTCCGGTACATCCGCTGGCTTTCATTGGCACAAGCAATGGCTACATATTTTACTATAGTGAATCGGGGGACCGATCTCTTCAGTCACTGGTTAAAGTAGATGGAAAGGTTGCTGACATTTTTTGGCTATCTGATGCCAGCGCATCTAATAACAGCCAATTCCAAATTTTCGTTACTCTCCTACGCAGTACTAACGCTGTCATTATCCACGTTGACCCTGATACTCTGACGACGAAACAAATTAGTGTCACTTTAGAGTCAGGATTTATGGTCACCGCCGCAGCTTTCATCCAAGGATACCTCATCCTTGGGTCGAGAAAAGGTATTATTGCTGTCTTTAGCCCAGGGGAAGACGGTAATTATTCCGTTATTCTTACAGTCGAGGTACATCGAGACGAGGCAATTACATCGCTGCTACCTCTTCGTAGCCGGGACGACCGGCCACGCAACTACATATTGAGCACGTGTCGTGACGGCAGGTATAGGATCCACGAAATCCCAACAAAGGCTCACCAATCCGCCGCCGTCCTGATTCATGAAGCCCTCCCACCATTCGTGTCCTCAGTTGAAGGGGCCTGGTTCACCAATAACAGCGACGGCACCAGGGATCTCATGCTCTGCGGTTTTCGGAGCAGCAACTTCGTGGTCTGGAACGAGACCCGGCGTCACGAGGTCGCCACGGTAGATTGCGGGGGCTCTTCTAGAAGCTATGCTTGGGCGCCCATTCGATCCCAGCCCGACGGGTTTCGGTTCGTCTTCACCAAGGCGGGGCAGATGCACGTTTTCTCGCAGACGCATGCCCCCCATAGGACGCTAAAGCCAGGGGGTCACGGCCGTGAGATCAAGGCGGTGAGCGCTTCGTCTGGGCGCTACGTCGCTACCGCCGCCGAGGACACCGTTATACGTATTTGGGAATACGGTAGCGGCGAAGGCGAGGCTGAAGGTGAACATTCCGGGCTTAGGTGTGTCGCGGCGCTAGAGAGGCATGCGACGGGTATCCAGGCCTTGAAGTGGTTCGGAAACGAGTACCTCTTCAGCAGCGGCGGCAACGAGGAGTTCTTCGTTTGGAGGCTGAATAAGCTGGAGAGCGATGATTTTACCGGACTTGCTGTCGTGTGCGAGGCTGTGTTCCCGGATAGATCTGAGATTGGCGACGCAAGGATTACGGACTTCGATGTTACCTGCGTCTCGAGCGATGAAGATGGCGCATACGAGTTCTCTGTCTCCATGGCGCTGTCAAATTCGACGCTACAGACATACGCTTATACCAAGAAAGCTGGGTTCCGTCTCCTGAGAAGATGGACGTATACCGGAGCGTGTCTCACGCAGGTCCGACATCTCGGTAGCAATCATATCTTGACTGCGGCAACGGACGGATATCTTGCTGTCTATGCCAACACAAGCCAAGCAATAGAAGCAGATACAGACGGTTCCCCTTTACCCATCGTCACGAAACTCCATCAGAACACCATCAAAGCCCTCGATATACGTCAAGTATCTTCCGAAAACGATACCTCGCTCAAATTTCTCCTCGTCACCGGCGGCGACGATAACGCGCTGGGTGTTACGTATATCTCCGTTTCCCCAAACTCTACTTCTACCTCTCCTACCAAAGCAAACATGGCGGATGTTAAAATCCAAAGTAAATCCATCATCCGCTCCGCCCACGCCGCCGGCATCACGGGCGCTGCCATCGCGCGTCTTAACGAGGACAGCGCCATTGTTGTTACAGGAAGTAACGACCAGCGCGTCAAAGCCTGGCGGTTGATCGGCTGGGACCAGGACCAAAAGGAGAAAGAGAAGGAGAAGGGGAGGGTTAGGGCGCAATTGCTGGAGGATAGGTATAGCGCCGTGGCTGATGCCGGGGGCTTGGAGGTTTTCGATGATGGGAGGAAGGCGCTTGTTGTAGGCGTTGGATTCGAGGTTTGGGATCTGGGGGTTTAAGTTGTGGAATGGGCAAAGGGGGTGGTTCTCTATCTCGAGAGATATAGTGGTGAGAAAAAGGGGGTTGGATTGGGTGATGGGTTGATAAGGGGGAAGTTAGGTATATACTTGAATCTACCAGGTCATATTTTGCCGGTCTCTCTTTGCTATCCGAACCATCTTTAAGTTGTAGCGTAATATACAACGAATATCACCGGAAACGTTTACTCTCAGCCTGTCCCAATGCTCTAACTTATAATCTTCAGAACAAGTTGGGATAAGAAGTGTCGTTTAAACCTCCCCTTTCCCCTTCCCCCCCTAAAGCACATATTCTAGAATCTAATCACAGTTAATGCAAGATAAGTAGGTAGTCATATTTCATGGTCAGATTCTGATTTGGATTACTACCTAAGTACATACATACATACATACATACATACATGTAATGCGTGAGCGGGGCGGATTCCAAAAGGATATATGGGATATAAGTATGTATATGCAAGTATATGTCAAAACATCACTTCATACTGCCGTCTTGTCTTTCGTCTCATCACCAAACCCATGCTGTGGACTGTGCTGCCGTAACTTTGTTTGTGGCCGACCAACCAACCAACCCATTCCGAACCCCAATCCCCAAAAAGGACCAAAAAACCCCCTTAATCCGAAAAACACCTACGGGACCCCCGAAGCCGGAAACCCGGCAGGAGCGGGAGTCGTAGTATTAGATGTTGCTAAACCCCGCGCAAGAAACAAAAACGTGTGAAAAATCAATGTAAATAAAGTAGCCGCGAGCGCCGTAATGCCGAGTTCTCGTGTGTATAATATGCGTGTGTGTGTGTTGCGTGCGTGTCTCTTCTCAGATTGCTCCGGATTCGCCGATGAACTCCATCGAGTGGTGGAATTAAAAAAAAAAAAAGATCTATGTATATTCTCTCTCTGCCGACCCGAACTTGCGTGCTACGTCGCTAGGAACGTAGATGATGATGATGATGAATGATCTGAATGAAGCCAAAAAAAAGAATGAAGAGAAAAACAATTAATCAGTAAGTAAGAACGAAAAACAACACCGACCCCCTAAACCGTTCTTTTTGATGATCTGCCCTGGTTGCAAAGCTTACCACCCAACACCTGATGGGAGCCAAACGCCTTGCATGATAAAACGTGAAGTGCGAACTGCAAACCGATTAAGGTTACGAAAGATGGTTCAAGAAATCTTGGAATTCTGTATGCATAATATTCTGTTCTTGGGATGTATTTAAGATGGTGTTTTAATATTGGTATGGCTAGGTAGGTATTGTTTATGCTGCCGCTGTAGTTTCGACATACGGCGTATGAACTGCGACAAGTTGCTCTATTCTCGGTATGAGCTCGGGCATGCGAAATGGTTTGGAAATAACATCGTCCTGGATAAAATGTTAGTAATTATTTTTCAAATATTCCGGTCGAAATACATACGACACCTGCGGCCTTGGCATTCTCGATTTGTTCTGGCCGCGCGTACGCCGTAACCGCGATGATAGGAATGTGGCTGACGATCGTTCCGTCTCGTTCGAGCTCGCGGATTTTGCGCGCACAAGTCATACCGTCCATCACAGGCATTTCGAGATCCATTAATATGACCGAGATATCATCTCCAGACTCCTCCTTTCCGGTCCAGTAACGCGACTGCTGCAATACTTCTAAGGCTTCGCCTCCGTGGTTGGCGACTTTGGTGCTATTCCCAACGTTGCGGAGCGACCTCTGTAACACCTTCTGGTTTACAAGATTATCCTCGACAATGAGCACATCAAACAACCGCCTGCCATCTTCTGAGAATCGTGCCTTAGAGACCATGTTGTTGTTAGAGCGAGTCAGCATATCGTAAGAACCGAGTTTCGGTTGCCTTGTCTCGATAGTCGTCGAGGATCCAGGAGCACGTGTAAGCGGAGGTGCAGTTGGTAGTGCATGAGTTTCAGCCTGTGGAGCATCTGTCTTCCTGCTCTGGATGTAGAAGGAAAATGTACTGCCAATGCCCTTCTGTGAAGTAACACCGATCTGACCTCCTTGCAACTCGGTTAGGATTCTAGAGATGAATAGGCCTAGACCTGATCCGCCATACTGGACATGAGTTCTAGGGGTGGCTTGAGAAAAGCGTTGGAAGAGGAGTTTCCTCTCATGCTCATCTAAGCCCCTGCCTGTATCCTGAACAGAGAAATGAAGATTAATCTTTTCTCCATTACCCCATTCGCCATGATCGGTAAGGTCGTCCCTGTCGGCACGGTCGCTTGGGAAATATTCAATACCAAAGTCAGACATGTTTAATGCCTCGCTAGAAGCGTCGAGCGTCACTACAATCGATCGGTTAGGACGAGATTGCGTAAATTTGATAGCGTTAGTCATCAGATTGATCAAGACCTGTAAGAGTCGCGAAGGATCAAGCTTAACCCAGTCGATGCCTAGATCTAGATAGCGGTTTTTGACTTGGAACTTCATCTCGATGCCATTCGTATTCAACTCGCTCTCGAACATTTTCAAGACGCGTTGCACGACAGCTAATGGCTGTACATCGACGGGAGTTACGAGTAGAAGTTGCGAGTCTAGCTTAGAAAGCGTAAGGATGTCGTCGACGATCCGTTTCTGATGGCTTGCACAGAGAGTAATGGTACTCGCTGCTTCCATGCAACCCTCCACCGCGAGCCTCAGGCTCTCGCCTTGCTTACCAGCCTCTGCAGGTTTGAGATTTAATAGGGTCCCGGCGATTTCGTCCGCGCATTGAAGGATCGCACTAAGAGGATTACGCATCTCGTGACTTGTGATATCGATGAAATTCTCTTGCTGTCGCTTGAGCTCGACCGCTTCCTCTCGTCGCTGCATTTGAATCTGCTCAGCTAGCTTCTGTTGCGATATGTTTGTGACGCATCCGAAAATTCCTTTGATGCCACCGTCATCATCCTTTTCCGGGTACGCGCTCATCAGCACCCAAGTATCGATAAGGGTCTCCCCTTCGTGACGAGAACACTTGAATCTGAACTCATGAGTGATTGCAACTTTCTCCCTAAGCAGACACTGCCATATTGACTCTAGTGCGGGTCGGTCATCTTCCTTGACACTGTCCATCCAACTATTGACACTCTGCGACCTATTGTGCCTTGATATATCCCACCACATGTCGTTGCAGTAAACGATATGGCCTAAATGGTTAGCGATGAACATTCCCACAGGTGCGAATTCAGCCATTCTCGTAAACTTGAGTTCGCTTTCTTCGACTTCCTGGGTCCTTAAATGTAGCTGTTTCGTCAATTCCTGTCGATCCGCGGCAGCCATTTGAGCGGCTTTCTGACCACGGCGTATCTCTTCTTCAAACAAAACGACGGACGCCAGCGAGGTCGCAAGTTGCCGAGATAGAAGATTTATGAAGAGCTGATAATCATCGTCGTATGGGCGCCTAGGGTTTACACCCATGACGATGAACCCTACTACGCTCTCGCTACCCGTGGTTGGATGAACGGGGAAAATAACAATTGATTTACACGCATCACCTGGACCTCTCCAAGCTAATCCGTCCATGAGGCCTTCGGGAAGTGTTCCATCTCTTGCAGACAATATTACAGGTTGTCCGGAATTCGACATAGATTCTCGCATATAGGGAGCAAAGCCTTCGTTGCTCCTCTTGAGATCGAGGGATTCGACTAGTAGGTGATGGCCTTGAGGCACTCCAAGAGATGCCTCAAGCATGAGTAGAGGAGGGTTTACAAAGCTTCCCGAGTGCATTGAGGATACATCGCTCTCAGACTCTTCGACTACCGAGTAAACTAGGTTGAACGGTACATCATCTTCGTTATAGTCGAGACCCAAGTTGACTTGACTCCAAAAACTCTTAACATCACGAGCTAGGGCAGTCTTTTCTCCTACTTCACGCAGCGTTAACATTCTTCTCTCGGCGATCTTCCGGCGAGTATTTTCGAAGGCCGGGTTGAATAGACCAACAACGGAACCATCGCTGCCAACAAGCGGCACGATCGACCAAGAAAAGAACGTTTCCTCATCGAACCCATTTCGTCTAATAATAAGACGGTCGTCATTTTTCATCGTCGCCTGACCAGATTTCCAAGCGATTTCCAGGACGGGCTGCAACTCAGGCCAAATCTCACCCCAGGCTACCTTATAGCTCTGACCCATGAGATCAGGATGTTTTGCACCTGCCACGGCAACATACGCTTCGTTGTATATAGTAATGAATTCTGGCCCCCAATATAACGCCACGGGATTGGGGCTACCCATAACGAGATTTGCCATTTGTCGGAGTTCCGACGACCACTCTTCGACCGGGCCAAGTGGTGTCGAAGCCCAATCTCTCGAACGAGCGAATTGTATGTGCTCCGGAAGATCTTCAGTAATAGGTATCCGAGTCCAATCAAAAGAAGGTTGTGGTTCGGACGGCGGAATAGCAATAGCCTCCGGCGTCATATCACAATCAAGCTGCATTGCTGAATTCGTTCCCACATCGCTAATCGCATCCTGCTGAACCGAATCATCTGTCTCAATAGGGTTTGCATCTCCAAAGTAATCCCGCTCTCGATCTGGTAATACGATATCACTGGGCGTTTTAATCTGAATATTCGGTGTCAGGTCACGAACCCGCGAGTCGATACTGGCCTCAGGATCCATTGAAGGATCGGGAGATGTCCTCGCAATGGAGGCGGCGCTGGTATTTGCACTAACAAATCGGTACCGATTCCTAACAGTCGAACAAGTCCAATTATACCCGCCATAGTAGAATGAGGGTAGAAAAACATCGATACCGTCGGGACTGAGGCCTCCTGTTTTCACCCACACCTTGAAGGTAAGAAAATCATCACGCGCTTCCACGCTGTCCCGAAATTCTCCAGATATTAAATGGCGAATGAGATCGGAAACCTGAAGGGCGGGATTTACGTAAAGAAGATTCATAGGACCAGGGGTGTTAGTAATGGGAGACAGGCCGTCCACGATAAAAGTCGGCCTATCATCGCGCTCCAATAATTCAAGGACACCAATGCCTTGCAATCCTTGCAATCCCGGGATAGAGGCGACCGACTCGGGACTCCGCGCGCGATTTCCGGTTTCGATGGAAGACCAGCTACCCGGTGTACTGGACGACCTCGCCGGGCTCGCAGAGTTCACCGTGCCCCGTGCAAGCTTCAAGGTCGTCACCTCCGTACCATCCCGTACACTCCTTAACATGGTCGCAGCCTCGGATCCGGAAAAACTTGGAGGTCTAACTATAAGGGGTCTTTTCTTATGCGAAAAGAACAACGGGGATGTAGGGCCGTCGGTAGGCTTCAGAGGAAACGCGGGTCTGGCGAAAGGGCTGAGGTCGATCTTACGGGGCGGCGTGAGTCGAGCGCGAGGTCGCTTCAGCGCACGTCGACAAGGCGGATGTTCGTCGAGTTCGTTATCCGAAGACCGCTTCCCTTTTCCAAGCGTCGGCACGGTGCGGTGCGACTGTTGCACTGCGGCGTTATTTGCCCAATTTGTCTTATTTACCCACGGTCTCGTACTTGACTCGTTCGGCGAGGGCGCCTTCGGGTCCCCAACAATCGACTGATGATGAGGAGAGGCGGCGGGGGTTAAACCATACTGTCCAACTTCGGTCGAATACTCCTCCAGAATACGATTTACAGGACCACCGGCGGTGTCATTAGCGAGCGTGTAATGGTGTTGGCGCACCGCTCGTGCGAAGGGCCTCGAGGCACAGGAGGCGGCGGACAAGGTCGGATCGGAGCTGGTGGTGTTCTCTTCAAGGACAAATGTCGGGTGGTTGCCCGGAGTGGTTGGGTGATTAGGCTTGTCTGGATTACTTTGAAGAGTCATGAAGGAGTATTTTTCCCGTTGGAGAATGGGGGTTCCGGCGCCAATATCAAAGATCCTTACTCGAGAATATACCCGAATTACCTACTAGCAACGAATGGGGGGTGGCGAATCGTTGGGCCGTGGCCATTGATGGCGTAGGCCCGAAATATGAGGAGGATGAGAAAGGTAGCGAGACCAGTACGGGATGTGGATACGAGTAATCGAGCCGGAGGACCTCATACAGCATCGGGGATCCTCCGAGCTTCTTTTTTTTTCTTCTCGAAGACGAAACGAAGCGTTCCAGACCGAAAGACTAAAGATCTAAGAAGCTCTAAAGGTACTTAATACCAACACAGTTTCCCGTTCCGAGCTCCTATTTCCCTTCTACCTGACAAAAAGTGCTAATACGTCTCTCCTCCGCAAAACTAGTTTGCGACCAAAAATGACGAAGAGGAAGAAATGTGATAGAGAGACAAGAGGTACGGAGGGAAAGAGAAATAGACAAGAGTCGAGAAGATGATGGATAGAAGAACGGCGTTTCAGTAAGTATAAGCCTAGTCCACTACAAGAGACTTAGACAGGTCCTAGAAATGCGGTAGGACTGGTGGTGCGTACCTAGTAGTTTAGGTAGTCGGCCGCCTGAGAAAGAGCCTACGCAATGCACTACCTGCACATGCACTGATACTGATAGAAGACTGATCTATCGACAGGGTTCGAATAAGGAACTAGCGATGAGTGGGTTGAAGCGTTGTCTGAGTGGGATGATATTATTTGCTTAGGTAAGAGTCTAGGAGAGAAAGAGGACAATTATTCGTGTTGAACCGAAACTAAGGAGTTAATGGGTGTAGTCAGTTGTAGTGGTAGTGGTAGTGGAAGGAGTAGTGGAAGTGTAGTATGTAGTATCGGTACAAACGCGATTATAGCAGGAGCAGCAGGAGTCAGTAGGTAGGAGTACGCAGTAAAAAAGTGTGATGTGGTGGTCATTAACGAAATACTGTAGTAGAATGTATTAGGAGGGTAGCAGTTTTCTAAGGGAGGTTTTTTTTTCTTTGCTAGGTCGTTTGCAAGGTTTGAAGTAAAACATTCATTCGCGTGGTAGAAGTACCGTCGAATCCAGATCCGAAAGAAATTGGGGATTACATGGGATTACATGGGTCTAATTGATTTACACGTTCCAGACCTCTCAGTAGACTCTTGCTACTCCAGCAGTTCGGGTATCGATTTGGGGAAAGTATCACTGACGATCTCCATACAAGAACAGGGGGGTTGGAGCTTGCTGATCACTTAAACCCAACTAGGCTATACACCTTTGAGAATTCCGTGCAGCAGCACCTCCCGTCGACTCGTGGCAGGCAGCCGTAACACATCTGTACCATCTGTACCATCTGTACCGCTGCTGTATTATTTCGTACATCTGTTCAATCTATTTCCTTCAGGACAAGATCATCCAAGAGGAAGGCATACACGAGGCGCATTGTTTAAGTATCATACGTTTTTATCGACGGAATCTTTGAGCATCTTATGCATTCGATGTTCTGGCTATACACCTACACACATATACAAATTTACCAGCAGTACACGGAACAACCTTGAACCTTAGAAGTTAAAGTACGTACATAGAACCAAGAGAAAAAGAGCAATATTAATCATTGAGTTTAACTATGGATAATAATGAGTTTGTACTATAGCAATACAGACATGGATCCCCTACGACGAAGGTATGTAATCAGGGGAGGCTAAGAAAAGCTAACTTTTAGTCGGTATACTTAACGTATCTAATAACTATTACCTGCCTGCGTAGTACCACGTATTATTCCAGTACCGGGGAGTCACCTTATAATCTTACACCCGCGAGCAATTCGAACTCGACGTCGTATAACGTAACCGAACCGAGGCTAGAACTTCTAGGCGCCTCAACACCTACATGATGTGTTACACAAAATATTCTATTGCTCGGGAACACAACCTTAAGTAACCAAACCATTCAACAGCTTCAAGCAGTTATACATAGTACTATGTAAGTAAGTCCCTAAAGGTAACACATCCACATGGATGAGACAGCAGTATAAAACTGATAACTGAGCGAATACCAGAATTCGGGGTGAGCAAACCAGATGATAACACACTTCCCCCACATAAATCTTGATGCTGAAGAGTTACGTGTACGGGAAGGGCATTGATATTAGGTAGTCGACCTGGTTTACGGAAAAGCGGTTTAGATTCGACCCGGTACTAAGACTAGGTAAGCAGGATTTTCGATTCCCGCAGCGGACTAAAGACCGCCAAATCGATGCTGGGTCCCGAAGTCCTCACTAAATCTTTTCACTAAGCCGTGCCAGGTTAGAAAACCAGTCGCTTTGACAATGCCTTCCGTTGATAATCTACGGTTGTTACCATAAATCATTATTCCCATACTATTCCCGTGCCAAAGGTCTAGCCTTGCCGTTATCTTCGAACCGGAATTTACCATCGTGGAAGTCATGGAAGCTATTTCGAAATGAGCTACGTTGGCTGGGTAAGGTTCGCTCACCTTATCGCAGATCCAGACCGAAAGCTGTAACAAAACCCGTGCAGCCCGTCGTACTAGCTTCATGCATTTCAAGGATTAGATCCAAACATGTTCAATCTTGCCATTACATAGCCTGTTCTTTTCCATTTTCATATCTATCATGTGTCTGATTTGAGATGTAATCATCCCCTTTAGTTTTAGCATGTATGGATTCGTACGCTAATATGTATGTACGGTACTAAACCCTTAGGTAATATTTATCCCATATATGTTTATATAAGGAATGTGTATCTAAATACGGAATAATTAAGTACTCTTATGCAACTACCCGTACCTACGCTGTACGACCAGGTATTGTACTAATACCTGGGTAGTCGTTTACCACTCTTTAACAAACCACCTATGGGTCCCTGGGGCAGCACTTACCCAATCTAATTAGCAGCCTTAATAATAGTACCTAGTACTAGGTACGTGATTGATTCGAATAATCAAACGGCCTCTCTTTTTCTCCTCCTTTCCAAACTACACCTGGCACACCATCCGACGAAACCTTGACGAGTGTGTGGATTTTTATTGAATCTCATATTTCCCACCACGTGCACGTGCCCCAGCCGTTCCCCATGACAGCATGGTTGATCTCTTGTGCTTTTCTAAGATCGGCTTGCATCAGCATGCTGGGACACTGTAACACTGGAACACTAATATGCTTCTATTGATTCAGATCGTCAATCCTTTCGATATCTCGACGGGGTGTGAGAGGGGCTGCGGGCTCTCATGTGCGAAGCGAAAGATCTCGCTCATAGCTAGCAGCAGCAGCAGCAGGTACGCATAATAATAATAGTATGGCATAATAATATGTATCTGATGGAATCTCTCCCCTGATGATTTGATGATTACTTACCTACCTACCTACTAGGTATCTAGTGCCTACAGCGTACCTAGGTCCTATAGGTCCTAAGTAGGTATGAATGAGAAACTAATCCAACTCGCCTGTGTGAGCAAATGGGTCGCGTTGATCTGCGAGTCTAGACCAGTCTGAATCACAAAAAAAGACGCGAGTCCCGGCGAGTCAATGGTGTGTTTTGTGCTTGTTACTCAAGTCACGGGCTCGGAATCCATTCTACACCTCCGAGCTTATTGCTGACCGACGAAAGATCGTCGATCTTCGAGTACATCGGCTTATTGTCGGTACCTACTGGCCTTTTGTTGGCCTGCCGTTAAGTCCTGATACCTATATCATACCATACAGTGGCAGTGACATACATTTCGAGCTATCAAACTCAGCCAGCCATCTCAGTGGGGGTCTCTTTTCGGACAATAGAGATCTTACCCGAGCAACCCGAGCCACGCTGTCCTGGAACAGCACTCGTTTTAGATTTAATTTCGGCTTTATTTCATCCAACATTACGACTTTTCCTTGATTCCTCTTCTACCGCAAATCGCCTTTAGTACCTACTCAAGCTTATAAGTTAGACTTAACAACTTCGACAAGCGTATATGCATTGTATAGACATCCAGCCGCAGCGTATAGATTCTAGTTCTATCCGATTCGAAATATTTAACCCAATACAGACTAGAAGCCACTACGATTCTATTCAAAGTTTTCTAACTGCAATGGGATGCGGCATTGCGCCTTGGAGCGTAAAAAAAGATATATGCACTCATTGCATGCAAAGAGACGAAGAAACTGGCACATGCAAGCGGGCTAAGAAACCCCGAGGCTGGCAACCGGATGACCTGATTAAAAAACAAGATACTAGTCCTGTCTTGATCCATTTGAGAGTTTCATTACGAAGCCGCAAAGGTAACCCTGCTGAAGACAGCATCTTCACTTCCTCTCCTTCTGTTTCCGTTGATGTTTGTTGAGGCTCTGCTGTTTGCCGAATGGCAAATATCGCCTAACAATAGCCTTTTTTCAACAAGATGTCAATCTATTACCGTCTCACAGCCAGGTTTGAGAGCCGGTCACAATTACTCATACGGGTTAGGGCGCAGTCGAAGCGTTACTTTAGCATAGTAAGGCTTCTTAAATATAGATGATCGTCTATCGCAGAGTATCACGAACGCACATCATCAGCGTCGCGTTTGATAAAGATAGATATTTTGTGAGATGGGGGCCGCAATGAAAAAAGGCAAGATATTCAAGACATTCGACCCCTATCCTGGGTCATGGAGGGGCGGTAAGTCATCAAAATGGAACGGGATCTGCCACCAAGATCCGGAAGGGATATCTAGGGGCACAAACCAATGAGAATCCCGGTTGTTGTGTGCAGATTCCGAGCAGCGCCTCGCGCAATCATTGGCTCGCCTGGTTCGAGGTTGGTCACCTCGCTGGCCAATCCCATGGAGGCCTACCATTCTCTCCAGAGGTGAACCGGGACGTAGCGCCCACTGCCGTACCACAAGCCGGCGCTTACAGCTGCTCAGAGTCGCTGTCGCACGCTCTCATTGGCCTTTATTGGCCGTACACACCATATCACAATGCACCCTTGTGACTGACCTGCAGCCACCCTCCTGGCACCATCTGGGTCGTTGGCGCCCGCTTCCATTAAAAATGACCGACCGACCGCCAACTCCTCTCAACCTCGATCTCTTTCGTGAGTTTCGACGTAAAAGCTTCAAATCTTCCCCAGCCGACATCTAGGTCCAATTCGTACGACGACAAGCGCCATCGTAGGCATTCCGATGTGAAATATTAGTCAGTTTGCTGGCTTCCAGCGACGTGATACCAGTCGGCTTAGAGAAAACCGCGCATTTAGCCGACTTCTGCGAACTAGGCGTCTTGACAGGTCTCCACGAAGCTAAACGCTCTCAGCTCAGCCGTTTAGAGATCCTTCGGTGGCGCGGGCTGTTTCATCATGACTTATAAACTTTTGCGACGGAATTGGAGGTCGACGAGAGCCATGTACTATACGATGATACCGGAGTTGCTAGGGACTGTAGCCGTGTTGGTCATGTTCGGAATTTCACAACCAGATCTATACCGGACCAAGTTATGGCGAGCCGGCAGCGAACTCGGATTCAACTCGAGCCCTAGCGTCATCCTATGGGCGTACGCCAACTACGAGCCTCAGCCAACGCTACCGTTCGTGTGGTCGCAGACGTATGTGATGAGAAGGCTCTGTTCTATCCCTTGGAGCAAAATACTAATGTTGCGCGTAGATTGACCAACTTCAATGTCGCCATCTCTGTTCTCAGTCTTTTCCTCCTTCTCACGAAACTTATAGCATTTATTATGCATGTCTGGTTCCCGATCATCGCACTGGTCGTCAACATCTCACTCATAGCATTATACGTGACGAGTTTAGCCGGCCAGGCAGGTCCGGATTACCTCGACCCGCAACATCCGAGTCGCATCGCTTGGTACATCGCTAAGCCATGCACCGTAGCTGCAAATCTGAGTGTACAGAACTCTTGCCGTCTAGCGAAAGGCGGGTTTGCCGCAGCATGTATCATGCTGTAAGTTGAAACCAGTGTCTTTTCTTTCTACCAGGAGTAATATTTGCTAACTAACATGTCAGTGGTATTTACGCTATTAACTTGGGCCTGAATATATGGGCTCTGCTACCAAATGAGGATGATAGGAAGGAAGTTATTGACGACGATAACGAGAGCACTTCTTCGCCAGCCGCGTTGAAAGGAGGAAGCCAATGGGAGATGCACGGTATTCCCCAGACGCCGAGGACAGGGACCGTACCGTTTACGCCACGAACTATGGCATTTAACACGCTCGAGAGGAAATTACCTCTGCGAAACCAGTACTCATGAGGAACCATATTCCGTTCCTAGAAATAGAAGTGCTATAATGGATGCGGTAAACCCCCACCGCGCTTGGAATAAATGGTGGGCTTATTATCTTGCTCTGGAAGCGGATATTATTGGGATGATATATCCACGAAGTCCACAAATATTAGGATATGGGAGAGTGATGAGGCTCTCTTAAAAGTAGATTAATGGGAAGGTGTGGTTTTGGATGTGATACTGCGAAGTAGGAGGTTAAGAACACGAGAGCATACAGCTTTCGAGGCAGATTTGATACCATGTGATGGAAAGGGGAACATGCCCCTATTCCAACGCAGTGTACACTACGAGACCCTTCGAGGTCTTTCTCTCGTCGATGTAAACGGTTTAACTACATATGCCAAATGCAATGGCCATCGTCATTTCGCTGTTATTCCCTCGGTGACCCTGGTGATAGCCCCCTGGTTGCAGTGCATTGCAGCTTGCTCTGCCTACGGATGTTACATTCCCGGTGGGAGGTGATGCTGTCAAGCGAACATGGGGGAGCATATGCAGGTCGACGTATGGAGCGTCGTCGGGACGTGCTATGCCATGTTTCTTGATGAGACAGCGTCGTATCTGGTTCATGGGTATAGCGCCTACACGGCCAAATAGAGTTAGGGTTCTACGTCAGCTACGAAGCGTGGAAGCATCATATATTCGAAGCCTCATATTATAGATATACATAATGCTTACGGTATACGAAACCGAGTATATGCCTCTTTATGGATGATCGTATGTAAAGGCTATTATCAACGCCCGAATTCAACATGCACCTACCCACCTACCTCGACGCCGTCCCGAAATCCAAAACCACAACCTCCGAATCCGGGACCGCGACCTCAACCGCACCACCAACCACCTCCACCGTCTCCCCCGTCGTCACGTTACCCAAACGCACCGGCTTCCCGCGCTCAAGCTCATAATTATAACTCCACCCATCCCACGTAATCCCCGTCACCGCATCACTCCCATTAGCACTCAACCTCCTAACCTCCGCCGTACTCCGCGCAACCCCATCCAGCCCCGTAAACCGATACCTTTTCACCGGCCGCTGTTCCGGGTTCAGCCCAGGCCCCGTGCCGTTAAGCGTGTAATTGTACTCCCGCAGATTCAACACTAACACTCTAACCACCGCCCCCTTCTCATACGCCGCATACGCAACATCCGTCTCCCCATCCGCGCCTTCACCTGTAAGCTGCACCTGCGCCACCCCCGTTCCTACCTTTCCTCTGTCATCCCCAAACTCACCGCCCCCAATCCCACCCCCTAAAAACGCAGCTACCGCCACGTTGCCATAATACGGCGCCTTAGTCCCCACCGTCGTCTTCGCCGTCTGAACCGGCTGCCACGCCGCGTACCGGTAGTCCGTGCCCATATGGAAATGCACTCTTCCCATTCCCGTAGCGGCAGCGGAGACCGCGAAATCCACGGCCCATAGCGCGGCGCCGAACGCGTTTGAGAGGCCGGGCCGCCCTTGGTGGTACAAAGAGTTGGTCTCGCCGAGGATGTATGGGATACCGGGGTTTATGGCGCGGTTTTCGGAGGTGTGTTGTGAGAGGCTGAGGAGCGTGCGCGTGTGGTTTAGGAGTGTGCCTTGGAGTGTTACGCCGAGGGTTTCGACGCCGGAGATGTAGCTTTGGGAGTGTGAGTTTGGGGGTGTAGGTGAGAATTAGGGGGGGGCTTACTTGTGAGAGGAGAAAAGCTTTATGTTTTTGTCTTCGTCGAGGCCGTCGGTCCATGTGCGGGGGGTGTTCAGGCGGTTGGATGTACCGGCGAAGGAGGGCGCGAGGAAGTCGTACTGGTCTGGGCTGAGCTCGGGACAGCTTTCTTTGAATACGTTCTTGATGGCTCGTGTTCCGTTTAGCCATTCTGATACGTACTCTGATTCGTTCCAGTTGGATGGTCTGACTGCGCCGGCGAAGAGGTCGGGTTCGTTGCCGTACTCCCATAGGTACAGATTATCGCCGTTTAAGACTTTGCAGGCTACGGCTGCGGTTTGGAGAAGTGTTTCCCATTGTCTGCTGTCGTGGTTTCCGCCCATGTTGAAACCGTGGGAGAATTTGACTCCAGGCCAGGTGTTGTAGGACTCAAAGTACGCAGGCCCAATCTCAATGGTTGTTGGGTAGTCAGCAGACCTTGAGAGATTGTAGGTGCCATTGAGCGCAATCTTGAGCTCGGAGTTCCATATGGCGAAGTCTTGGGTATTCCCTCCAACACGTATATACGGTTTAACACCCGCGAGAGCCCCAAGATTGTCTAACAAGTTGTTTGAGAAGTCATTGGGATTGGTCTTGTTGCCTAGATGGTTCGTATGTTAGATATATCTCACGAGATAGATTTCGTAGGAGTTGGGTCTTGTACCGGCGAAATCTGGAAACGATGAAAACTCAATAGAATAACTTATGAAGCCATTCAGGGGTTGTGTGATGTTTACAGAACTTGCTATGTTGCCAACAGCAGATACCGTAGGTTCCGCTATGGCTAAATTAATCTGTGCCAGTAGCATGATGAGTTGGTTCATATCGTCGAATTTCATAGCGAACTAAATATGAAGGAAAAACTTCACGCGTGGAATGGATATATCTCTTTCCCGCGAGGTTTCAAGTAATTAAACTACCTTCAGGCGTCTCTCATTTCCCGTTCAGATTATTAGACTCAAAATTAAGTATATTTTATTATTTCTAGTGAAATGATGTAAAACTGGAAGCTCGCTCTCCAAATGTACGCTCGAACCTCCACGTGGAGGAGAGGTCGGGAATCCATGGTCAATGTGCAATGCAGCTCTCATTTGCTAAGAGACTGGTGGAATATTTTCAGCCGGTCCCATTCATGATCGGCATATGTTTACTTTGCAAGCTTCTTTATTTGGATACGACAGCTTGAATTGGAGTTCGTCTTCTCGGATGGCGCCATGTAATAGATGCGGGGAATGTTCTACAGCTGAATACATGGTTGCATCCGAGGCCTAATACTTGGTGATCTCCCGTGGATTTCTACTTGATGAAGTCAGCAAATATTCCCCTTGACGACTCATCTGAGAAGCGATATAATAATGTTAATAGGCCATTCTTTACTCGCGATACGTATCTTTGAGTAGGTACCTATCTATGCTGTTACGACGGGATAACATAACTTTGAGCATCATCTAACGAGACTGTGGGAATTGCCTACCGACAGGTATACATCATACCTACCTAGTAGTGACGGGATATCGTTGCATACAGAGGCACAAAAGGTTACAGTAGTATCAGGGTGCTTGCCGGAGTGAACGAGGGTGGCAATCACATACTTGAGTTCCTTCGAGCTGAGAAATAGGTATGTAGCATTTTACTCCAAAAAGAGAACTGAGGTGTTTAGGTAATTGGTGATTAAAAGACGAGTTTCAAATATTAGCAACTGACATGTCTCGACTCCGAACTTCGCAAGGAATTGACTGATCTTTGGGAAGAACTTAAGAGAGAAGTTTCAAACAACTAAAGATATAAAAGGGCTCAGGATGGACCTGCTTCTTTAGGAAAGCCATCTACAGGTACCTAGCCGCTAAAGTTAAGCTTCTTGCCGTTGTGACTATAGGTACCCCGTAGCTGCCCGTAGATACCCCACAGTGAGCTTGTCTTGGGTTTAGTGCCCCTCCAAAATGACCGATGTCGTCAGTCTTATCAACCCGACGTCACTTAGCCGTATCTAAATCTAGAACTATCCCATTCAATTATCGTAGATGTCAACTAGAAATTGGGTCCTGCGGTTTCTCTGACAAGTTGATTGAGTTTTCTTGATGCTTCTCCACTGGATTATATTCTACTAGCTTAAGTTTTAAGCAATTAATCCCCTTTTCCTCCGAGCTCTTCGTACATTTCGCAATGAGTCTCCTAAGAAGGTTCCAAAGAGGTGTAACATCTTCATCAAGATTTGTTGCGAGATCGAACTTCCAAAGATCAACTCTCCCATTCGTCATGTCGCGGTCAGCATCTAGTAGGGCACCAAAGGTAAGCTTACACACATACATATCTACATACAGTAACAGGGTCGCAAATCATCTACATAGTAGCTGCAATGCATAAGCCGTGTGAACCTAGCACTATACTGACTTTGCGCCTCTTCTTATAGCTCAATGACCCCTCCCTCTTCAAGACCGATGTCTGCTACGTAAACGGAGAATGGGTCAAAGCTGCGTCGGGTAAGACCTTTAGTGTCTATGACCCCGCCACCGGCGAACTTGTAGGCACTTCTCCCGAGTTCACCGGAAAGGACACAGAAACTGCTATCGCTGCAGCCGCCGCCGCATTTCCTAGCTTTCGAACGAAAACTGGTCGCGAGAAGGCTAAATTGCTTCGCAAATGGTACGACTTGATGGTAGAAAATGCGGACGACCTCGCCAAGCTGATCACATGGGAGAACGGAAAGCCGCTCGCGGATGCGAAGGGAGAGGTAAACTACGCTGCTGGCTTCTTCGAGTGGTTCAGCGAAGAGGCGCCAAGGATATACGGTGATTCTATCCCAGCTACGGTAGCTGCCAACAGAGTCATAACTATTAAGCAGCCTGTCGGTGTTTGCGGATTGATTACACCATGGAACTTCCCCGCTGCGATGGTTACACGAAAACTTGGCCCCGCTCTAGCAGCTGGCTGCACGGTTGTTGTTAAGACGCCGGGAGAGACGCCATTCACGGCTCTAGCTTTAGCTGAGTTGGCACACCGCGCTGGAATTCCCAAAGGTGTTGTCAACTTCGTCACGACCTTAGAAAACACACCCGAGGTTGGAAAGACGCTGGCGACTCATCCTACCGTACGGAAGATTTCGTTTACTGGATCGACTGGTGTAGGAAAGCTTCTCATGAACCAAGCATCCCCAACTTTGAAGATCTTGTCCATGGAGCTCGGAGGTAATGCGCCATTCATCGTATTTGACGATGCCGATGTCGACGCGGCGGTTACAGGTGCCATTTCCTCCAAATTCCGATCTTCTGGGCAGACTTGCGTATGTGCAAACAGGATATATGTCCAAAAGGGTATCTATGACGAATTTGCTAAGAAGTTTGCCGCGAAGGTCAAGGACTTCAAGGTTGGCAACGGATTTGACGAGGGTGTCACTCATGGACCCCTAATTCACGACCGGGCCATCTCAAAAGTAGAAGCCCACATTAAGGACGCCGTCGAGAAGGGAGGCAAGGTTGTCATTGGAGGGCAAAAGTTGCCAGATATAGGTGCCAACTTCCATCAACCTACCGTTATCACTGGAATGACGAAGGATATGGCCATTGCGGGTGAAGAAACCTTTGGACCTGTTGCCGCTCTATTCCCGTTCGGTACAGAAAAGGAAGTTGTAGACCTAGCAAACGCCGCCGAGGTTGGTCTGGCAGGATATTTCTTCTCAAGAGACCTAGAGCGGATTACAAGAGTGGCTGAGGCCCTAGAAGTAGGAATGGTGGGTGTTAACACTGGTCTGATTTCCGACATTGCTTCGCCATTCGGTGGTGTTAAGCAATCTGGATTCGGAAGAGAAGGATCTAAGTACGGCATCGATGAATACTTGAACATTAAGACAATAACGTGGGGAGGCATGGACAAGCCATTGCAAAGTTAAATGGCTCTTTCCTATGTAATATATACCTGAATATGGCGTTAATGAGTAGAAAAAGGAAATTGGACGACTTTGTAGAAAAATTGAATCAATTTACGAAGTACACAGCACTTAAGAATTTCAAGCTCTAATGTAAAAATGGAGAAAGTGTATTACGTAAACTCGCATAATTGGATACATCCCACCTAATACTCGCTTAAATGCATGCCAAAAAATCCACCACTCCGCCAAAGCTTCGGAGAATATCGATTTGCTATCGAAATCTCGAAATTTTCTAGAGCCTCAACCGACGCTCAGCAAATCCACACAACAGCCGAGCCCACGATGATCCGGCATCCGATGAAATCGGCCGTCGGCCACGCGAGGCCAGACCTCAGTCGGGTCGCAGACGGCATCGCGGCCTCGCTGCGCCAATTCTCCATCTCTGCGCGCCGGTGCGCGGACCAGAACAACGATAACGATAACAGCGATGCCCGCCGGCTCAGCAGTCGTCAGCGTGCGGCTGCTGCGGTCAGCGAGTTAATCGGCACGGTCGAGAATACGATTAGGGAAACTAGGGACCTAACGCAGAAAGCCGACGCGGACGGCGCGCCGAACGCACTTAGAGGGGGATCGAAAGTCGTGACCACGCCGCCCGGGTTCAAAGGCATCCGGCGCACGGTCTGGAACGAGCCGAATTCCCCGTCTCCTAGTCAAATGCTCAGAGGGCCGAATGTCATCCGAGGCGGGTTCCGGGCCGGGTTTCAGGGACGGGGGGGAAGAGGTGCTGGGATGAGGGGAGGTGGTATCGGGATGAGAGGCGGTAGAGGCGGTATGAGAGGAGGCAGAGGAGACGACCGACCGCGTCGGGGGCGCGGACGCGGACGGAGACGCGCGGAGGGAGGAGGAGCAGGAGGCGAGGGACGGGGGCGACGTCCGAAAAGGGGTGGGGATCGCGAGGATGACTTTCCTATGATAGCCCAGGACCCGCGGGTCAAAGATTACCTCGAGAGTAGGGAGACCGGGTACACGACGCCTTTCAACCCATCCATATCGCTCGAGTCGCTGGCGGGTTGGGGCCCCGGGCTGGCGACGTCGGCGACGCCGTTCGCGCAGAGCGAGGCGGTGATTCGACAGGCGAGGGTGTTGGGTGGTGGCAACGCTTTCCATCCTACCCAGCTCGTCGACCGGAATGTGCTGCGCGAGCGGTTCTTCAAGGGTGGTGGGATTTTCATCCCGCCGTCGGAGTACGCGCGGACGTGGGTGAAGTCTATTCTCCGCGACAAGGAGGTCGTGGATGGGGAGACGGTGTATAAGGAGAAGAAGTTCGAGGCGCATGATGAGGTTAAGACGGCGGTGCTGGAGGATGTGCTGTTGGGGAAGTACGACGGTCCTACATATACGGAACCTAGTGATGTGCATGGTGTTCTGGCGAGCTATGTTAAGAAGGATGGGACGTGGAATGCGGCTGCTGGGAGGGGTCTCGATGAGAAGGTTCGTAGAGTGCTTAATCCACCTCCTAGACGGGGCGGCGACGTCAAGAGGGTTAGGGCTTGATATATGTATATGTCCATACTTCTACGATTCTGCTCTATGAGGACGGGGATGGAGAGGGATCAAAAGTCAGCTCTGGATTCTAGCTCTAGCTAGGTCTTCTCTGTATCATCACGAGAGGAGACACCTGTAAAAATATACGGCCTGGTGTATATCTATATTATACACGGATATTGCACATCTCCATCGATTTTACTGTACTGGCCCCCTTTTATGATTGATCGACCGCTGCCAATACCTGATGCCTTTCGTGCTTATTCCTTTTCTTCTTTTCTCTCCTCTCAGAGTTTGCTACCTAGCGAATATCTTTTAAGTCTACAGTTACTCAACCTCACCTCGACGACTCAACAGACTTCAGCGCCTCCTTCTCAGCACCATCAATCTGCGTCATCTTGCTCTTAATAACCTTCTCGAGCTCCTTATCCGCCTGCCTCTTGCGATCCGGCCCTATCGCCCTGTCCCGGAGCCAAGTCGTGTGCTGCTTATCCCGCTTGTGGCGAATAGCCCGCACGCGGTCCCTCCATTCCGTAAACATGGCCTTCGTCCTCTTCACCAGCTCGTCCTTCGACTCCGGCTCGATCTTCAGCAGGAGCTCCAGGTCGTTGTCGGGCACCCGCTGCGGCTGCTGGTTGAAGTCCTCGCTGGCTTGCACCGCGCTCATGATCGGCTTCACGTACTCCTCCTCGTGCGCTAGGATCGAGATCGTGCGCCCGCCCCGTGGGATCACTTGCGCTACTTCCTTCAGCGGGTATGTCGTGTCGTCTTTGCGATCGGGCTGGATTCGCAGAGTGCCCACTATGTCCGGGTTGAAGCGGCCGCCGGATCGCAGTTTCTTGAGTACGCCTTCGAAGTGCTCTTTTTGCGATTTTACGCGCGACTCTACGTCTGCGAAGTCGAGCGGCTCTTCTGGGTTCGCGGGTGGGTGTCTGCTGGAGGTGTCTGCAGCCCCGCTAGGCTCGGCGCTGGGGCTGTTGCCTTTGCTGTTGCTTTTGCTGTTGTCTTTGCTGTTGTTGCGGACAAAGCTCTTATACCGTTGCGCCGTCGTGTGGAAGGCGCGCGGGTTAAGGAATGCCGGGGACGAGCTCGGGCCAGAGAACTGGCTTAGACATTGTTGCGATGGATGAAAATTTTGGCTTGTCGCTACGAAGCGTGGTCGGATAATTACATCTTGACTGTTTTGCTGGGCGTTAGTCTACGGTGCTCTCTACTCTCCTATCAATTGGGTCGGCTGGGTCAATTGGGAAAACAGACACTCTCGTGAGCTCAGGACGAGCAATGCTCTGCCGTAGAAGTGATCTTGCAGCCGTATTTCGCATGGTTTTTATTTACTTTATGACGGGTCGATGCCGCAATAATTTGTGAGCTAATTTTTTAGGTTAGACTCAATCCAATTCCAATCGCACATTTGCAGTTTCTAAGCTTGGAGTCTTATCGATAAATAGGTGTTCGAAATACGCATCTCATTTACGGAATATGCAAAAAAACCTCCTTTCGCTCTACCAATCGCTCACAGTAAATAAATTCGGTCAGGTTTGCTATCTAAACTATATACATGCCCAGCCAGGTTATCCGCGCGTTATACATTTACTCAAGTCATGTAGCTATCAACAAGAGAGAAGGGGAGATAATTAAAAATTTCCTTAAAAATATAAAAATTGTAGCGCAGGGTAGGTTCGAACCTGCCTAGGTAGTGGGAGACTGTGTGACTTACCTGTTGAGCTAATCGATTACATAAACTTTTGTAAAGTAGATACAAAGTTATATAACCTAATACAATTCTCCACTTTAATCAGGATTTGCTAGAGCCCACCCAGGTAGTGAGCTCCAGCAAATCCTGATTAAATATATAAGAGAATGCATGTGATGAATAAAGCAATCCGAGAATATTCTCGGTTTAGACGAAAACAAACCAGCAACTCAGCTTCCCAATCACTGATTGGTTCTCTTAAGACATATAGTAAGAAGCCGGGGCCTCGAACAAGCCAGTCTAAAGAGCTTCGCGGTATTCCAGTCAGAGAGCAGAGCCTCCAACCAACCAACCACGGTGTGTCCCTGCAGCATACTAGTAAGAGGCTATACCTCGAACAAACCAGCCGCAAGGTACTAACGTGCGCCTATAAGACGGACGCTGATCCTCCAATAGAGCCAAAGAGTACGTAAATGCCGATACTTTTAGCCACAATAGCATTGAAGAAAACTTACCAGGGCAGAATTAAGAGACGTTTAACGATCCTTTCGGCATCCGGATGCCTCTTTTCGGGAGGTTTGAGCATTTCTCTCTCTTCCCACGTCAGCGACCTGCGTAAATTAACAGCTGGATGATACTTTTCCTCATAAGGAAACGTGTCTGGATCTTTGCAGCCATCCCCAGACCACCGAAGTCCGCCTGGGTACTCCTCAGTCCACCATTGGACGTGTGTGTCTACCCAACTAGTACTTCTTCCATTATTCGAAGCAAAGGCGAGGAATTCGGTCGCCAAAGACCTGACCCAATCTTCGTAGAAGCTCTCGGCCTTGGGCTTAGCTACTAGTTCAGCGACTTGTTTCACGCGCGCGAATGCTGGTCGCTTGCCGCGAAGTAGTTTCATCGATCTTTCTCTCCGAGCGACAAGTCCTTTAAAGTTCTGGACGCGTATGACTCGGCTAACGTGGCTTTTAGTCGAGTCTAGCTGGATCTGTCCGAATAATTCGTGATCCTTCTCATAAAACGATTTAAATATCGTTTCAACTAACTCTTGTGGAAGGAGCACACCACTTGACTTCTCTTCTGCACGCAGCTGAAAAGCCAGTTTAAGCCTTCCATATTGAGTACCAGACTTCGGGGTCTTTGTCATTGCGATACTAGCCTTCGCCATCCTCAGAAAGTTATTAGTGGAGGATATTTCCAGACCTGACAGTTCGAGAACTGCATTCCAGAGAAGGTCATGATAAGCTGCGGAACAAAGATGGGCAAAGCCCCCATAAAAGAATGACTGGGAGTGATATGAGAAGAACGCCACTTGCTGGATATCATGAGTGCGTCTATCGCGAATGATGGTAAGGAAGGGCGTCTTCTTATAAACGCCAGGTATGCCTGGACATTTAAGCTCCACTTTCTTAACCTCACAGCCCTCTTTCACTTCAATTAAGCTATTAAAGTACCGGAAGTTCTCTTCTCCAAGAACGATCAGAAATTTGGAGTGTGAGTCGATCCATTTTATGAACTCGAAGCAGATCTTTTCAATGCGATGTCCTTTCTGATGATCAGCAAAGAGTCGACGTCCTTCTGCAGGAGTATAGTCGACGCGAATTGGATATAAGTTCTCCGTCCTAATATAAGGGTTCGAGCCGGCTTTTCCAAATTGAACTTTCAAACACGGATTGGTCCTGTCTGCGACGTGTCCCCAGACAGACTTCTTCGTGGTCCAAGATGGGTAGTGCCATCGACAAGTTAGGATAGCTTTGAGAGGCCCAGACGGCTTACTCAATGTGCCGGGAATAATATCGTGGCCAAGCAATTCCTCAATCTTTTCCACGAAAGATTTCCACTCTAGAGTAATATCTGAATCATGATTTGCCCAGTTAGTCTCGTTGCTTGTGTGGAAAGCATCAATATCCTCGAGGGATCTTCCGCGGACCCAGTTTGACGGATTATGTGCATCGGCGAATGCACGTATTGACATTCTATATTCCTCGTCTTCGATAAGTTTGAGGAAGATATCGCTCCAGCTTCCCTCTCGGGATATACCAGGAAGGTACTCGAACACATCTTCGCTAATTGCGGATAGATCACTTTCTAAAGCGTCATCAGCATTGAGGGCAACAGATGAATCCTTACCTATTGATTGTAGATCCGAATCAAGAGGGTCAATGAGCTGAGCTAGACGGCCTGCGTCGTTGATGAGATCAGATTCGTCTACGGAAAGGTCAATTTCCTCATCAAAGTCGTCGGAACTTGTCTTCGTCACTTTCTCTGGTGGACCAGCCTCGTCCACATCGCTTAAGCGTCGTTTTCTTAGATTGCGATTCATCTTAAAACAACTCAAGGGGGGATATAGGTTGCGGCTTAGAATGAGATAGTGAATATGTTACAAGTAAAACTAATCGGGTCAAACAATAATTGCGTATGAAGACTCACAATCAATAAGTGGTTTCAAGGGCGAAAAGTCTTGAAGAACTATGGAATCAATTGGACCAACTACTTGAATGAACCTACGGTAAGAATATAGAAACTTTCTCAAGGAAAGAGCAATCCTTCAGACGCATATTTGGTTTAGATGCCTACCTACCTACCTAGTACCTAAGGTAGATCCTACTCTTCAAAATCAACTTCGCTAAGGAGGAAAGAGAGATGGAGAGGCATTAGTTAGATAATACTAGGTAGGGGAAGAGCTAGGTACCTGCGAAAATACAAGATGGGCAATTGCCAACATTACCTACCTAGGTAGGTAGGTACACAGGTAAGGGGATCTTGTAGGTAGGTGCTAGGTATGTAATCGCTCAATTATCTTACGACAGGAAGACACATGATAACTCCCCCAAACTCAATTCTTTACCTACCTTAGGTAGGTACCTAATACCGACTAGTAGCTGAGGTTTACTTACCCGCCTGAGTACACCCCTTATTGGTACCTATGTTTAATCCAAACAAGTACCTACCTCTTTCAATTTTCAACACTTGGAAGGACCTACCTTCATACCTTACGTAGGTAAGTACTACACGCAACCATCTAAATAATAGCAGGCACAAGGCGATCCGTGGATATTTCGTTTATAAATTCCTCGTAAACGTTTCCCCCCTCAAAAAAAATCCTTTTCTCTTGTCCCAAGTCACTTATCATGAAGTAGGTATATGGTTTTACTATTCGAACACGCACTCTACCTAAAATATACGATCAAAATTCAAATTTAAAGGGGCACATTGCATCTATACCCAGTTGAAATAATTCCAAGCAGCTTAAACAACTTTCTGATCTTTACCAGGTTTAAATCTCCGATTACTCTCAGTCACTATGAAGTTTCTAGTGCAATTCATACTACGGGCATAGATTTTCGCACTTCACAAACGTACCACCTATTATTGTTGTGCGGTCCTCTCACCGAGACCATACTTGCAGCTTTATCACACCTGACCATCAATCGACTACTATCTATACCACTCATTCTCACCGCGTTCTTCTATTACGCCTTTACGCTACTCCTCTTCGTTTATTCATGAAGTTCTTGCTCTCATGATACTATGATCAACCCTTCCTAGAGCATTTTATTACGTTCAAAAGAAACTCCCAATTGAAGTTGAAATTCACGAATGTAAATATATGCTGACGAATACTTCATTAGGGCCACAATCCGACACGCAACCATAAACAACTGGGGCGATAGCGGCAGAGGCGGCGGCAGAGGCGGTAGAGGCGGCGCGGGCGGCGGCCGACAACCCCATAATGGTCCCCAGAGTCCCGAAGGCCGCATTAACAAGGTAAGTAAAATGAATCGAAATGTAGACGCCATTAGCTAATATACATTACTAATATATAAATAGAAGAAGAAGAAAAGCAAGAAACAAATAGAGAGAGACATCGAAAGGGCCGAACAGAGGCTTGCCGACCTACGAACGCAGGTAAGTCTATCCTTATTTAATCTATACATAGTAGCCAACAAAATATTTAATCGATTAAATAGCTTTCGACCACCTCCCCCGACTCCAGCAACGGTCCATCTGATCTTAGCAGTAGTAAAAATTCCTCGGGCCCCGCCAACGGCGACGGAGGCTCTGGCTCTGGCTCTGGTTCTGGTTCTGGTTCTGGTTCTGGTTCTGGCGGCGGTGGTGTGTCTCCTGGTAAAGGGGCCTCAGGCTCTGGCGGTGGAGATTCTTCCAGCGTTATGAATCTAGATTGTAAGTTTTCTTACTTAAACAAACGTAACCCCCCGCTAACCTGGATATAAAGTCGCTAACTTAAATATTGATTAGAGACCTCATCATGTGTTGTGGATGACCTACTCTTTGCCTGGGGTGGGGGTTGCTATTGTACAATACAAAGTTTCAATGCAAGCATCAAATATTGCTACATCCATATCTCCCGCTAACTGGCAGTGTGGGTATCGGTACCTCGGCTTATCCGCAAACAACTACCATAGCGTAGACTGTGTAGCCAAAGGTTTGCTACATAAGCAGATGCTCCCGCATTTTTTTCTAACTACCCCACAAAGGGTAAGACAGCTTGGTCGACTGGCGTAGTGGTTATCGCGTCTGTCTTACATTCGCATCTTGATGGTGTACTGTGAGCACACAGAAGGTCGCAGGTTCGATCCCTGCGTCGATCAACACTAGGAAATAATCGCGTGGTTCTTTCCCTTTCTTTTTTGCTGATTTTGTATTTTTGTTGATTTGAATAGTCGTTAGGTCAATCAATAGTATGAGTGAGCTCCGAACTTCGAATTGTCAGGTTGAGCGAGGGAGGGCGTGGGGCGAGGACTGGAGGGATTACGACTAATTTTTTGGAGATAGATTGGACGGAAAGACAAGTCAATATTTTTAACACGAAAGTATAGTAGTTCAACATAGATGGTTTGGACGAAACTTGGTGTTTACGGAATTGTAAATCCCAACCTGACAAGAGCAAGCGAAATCAACTACGGTCTATTTGTCACGGAACGCGTCTTCCTCATGGCAATGCTCAAGGCATCGATCATAACGAAAAGTAGTTTATGAGATCAAAAATTGCGCTCCCTACGATCCACGAGGGATAATAGAAGAGGGTCGACTCCGCGATGTGCAATGCAGGTCTCTCCCCTTGCGAACCCCAATGCTTGAGCTGAGGTGCGCGGAACAAGGTAAGTATGAAGAAGAAAGAAAAAAAAAGGTCGAAAAGACGGGAGGGAGGCCAGGTATATATAGACTTTTGGGAAAGGCGTAATCAGCCAGGCGGCAGAATTCCGGACTAGGCACATGCCCAGTGCGTAGCCAAGTAAATAGGTACCTAAGTAATTTCTTCATACTGTATTAGGATTAGCTAAATTCGCAGCGAATAGCCGCTATTAAAGTTCAAGTATTTAGGGAACTTAGCCACTGTAGAAAAAAGCAACACGGTACGAAAGTACTTCATCTACACGGCTTTGGGTTATTAGCACCCTCCCTTTGTCATCGACATCAACACCTTCAATATCCATGGATGTACTCAGTAGTGCGACAACAATAGTCAATGTACTTTCTTTCACATTAGAATCACTTCGAGATTATTGATGTAAACCTTCATAGTTTGTCAATATACACTCAATTCTCTGATTAAAATGTACAATGTCTCGTATTTCCAACCCACAAGACACTAATTACCTAAACTCAGCCCAAGTCAAATTATCTTCTACATGATGGTATACTTAAATTGAGGGTTTCATGCAGACGCTTTGGCTCTCTTCCCCCTCTTAACGCCCTTACCCTTCTGCCTGCCCGCGGCTTTCTGAACGCCAGTCCCATTATCCTTATCCTGTCCATTATCAACCCCATTAACTTCACCATCAGCATAGTCATCATCGTCATCATCATCAATCGTAATAGTTTTAGTAGCCTTCCTCTTCCGTCGTCCTGACGGCAGAGCCGGGGTCTCCTCCTCGGGGGTAGCAAGGTCGGCTGCTTCTGCAGCCACAGGAATACCATCCACTACAGCCTTCGCGCGGAGCTTATTAACGGCCTGTGCCATACGCTTGCTTGCTTGGGCTCTCTGCCTTGGGGCAAATGCCTCCTTAGCACCCACGCCAACGCTTCCTTCAAAGTATCTAGTAATATTACTTTGTGTGCCTTCTGCCTCTCGCCGATTCATATCTCTTATGACGGGCACCAAAACCTCGTCAGTGCGATCCTCGCTCCATCCAATTGTGCTCATCAGGAATTGGCGCAGGCCCGCTACGTCAGGAACTCCCCATTGGAACTGTTCTGCATCGCTGTCAACTTCCGGATGCAGGTATGCCTCAAACACGGCTGGGCTCGGAAATCCGGGAGGAAGGAACAGCTTTGTACCCTGCGACTTCCGAAACTTTCTCCGGAACACCGACTTCTGGTCCGCTTCTTTGGGTCGGCTGTTGATCTGGACGTCCTGCCACCACTCTTTGAATTCCGCGAGTCCGTCCCTGCCGGGGAACTCGGAGAGGATCTCGACCGCAGTCACGGGTCCGACTCCTGGAAGGCCCTCCGTGTAATCAGAGCCTAGTAATTGGGCTAGTGATATCAACTGTTCGCGTGAAAGCGAAAGCTCCTTTTCGAGATCAGACCCGAGATAACACTCAACAAATTTGTTACTATTGAACATGTTTTTGTATACTCGGGTGCCGCCGAAGAGGAAGGTATCTGAATCGTCTGTGACTATGCCGTCGACAAGGCCAAGTTTGACCAGCTCGGCACACTGGGCCTCTGCTTCCATTGGAGCAGTTATGTAAGGAATACCGAAAAATCGCAATAGAGCTTGGCATTCGGTAATCATAACCTGGGTGACTTCATCTGCATCTCTCCGGTCCTTCTTCTGCTGTGACCGCAACGCTTTGAGTTCTTGTTCATAGGCTTCCTGATTTTCTTTCTCAGATTTGTGATTCAGCTGACTAGCGAAGCGCGCGTGTTCTTGCGCCTCTTCCGCCATCTGTACTAGTAGCTCTTCTTCCTCGGGGTCACTAAATTCATTATCATCAAAGTCATCCCCAAAAATCACCTCATTAGCATCATCTTCGGCTATAGTTTCCGATACATCGGGTTGCTCGACGGCTTTAGGTACGGCAGCATCCACATCTTCGAATACTGGCTCCGGAGACTCTGCTTCGGCAACGGTATCATCGACGATAGGGCCGGGCTCGTCTGGAGGTTGCATAATTTCGACCTCTTCGAACTCTGGCTCCGGTGAAGCCGGTTTGGACGGTAATTCCGCATCCACGGTTTCATCCATTGCCTCGGCTTGGGAAGTAGTCTGCTCTTGTATAGCATCTGCGCGTCGCGTATCCTCGGTTTGGCCTTCTTCATTAGCGATCGGAGGGTTGATCTTTATTAGGGTAGCAGGAGACAGCCGTGATGTGCTTCGGTTTTCTCCATGTGTGGGAGTTTTCTGACTGCGTTGTGGAGGTGCTTCAATTATTTGAACATCGCTCTCATCATCGGAAGATTCGATCTCAATTATCGCCTCTTTACGCCGCCACTTTTCCTCTTCAAATGCGGCTTCACGATCTTGCTCGTTGATTTCACTTTCAATTACTCTCTGAGCTTTGAGGGAATCACGGATGTCCGAATCATTTTGCATCATCCATGGTGGGAGTGGACGGGATTCCTCGCTTCTATGATCGATGCTCTCTTGTGCTTTACTCTCTTTTGCCATACTTTCATCATCGTCTCGTACGAAGCCGCCAGCAAGTTCATCGTCAGAATTTGGTTCCATATTGACCTCTTTCTCAGGGGCTTTCGAAGGCACCTGCTTATCTTTTCTTGCGAAAATGCTAGATTTCCAGTCTAATTTCTCAAACGGTAGAGGTCCATCAAATGGATTTTTCACGTTGGAAACCGCAGGTGTAACTTGTTTGAGGACCGGGACCTTCTTCTTTCTTTTCGATGACAGAGCTGCTCGTAGATCAATATCGCTGTCGCTGCTTCCATTACTGACTCGTCGTTCTAGTGCAGGTCTGGGCGCAGGTCTCGATACAGCTGCATTGGCCCTGTTATTCACGATATGTGCGATCATGCTACCACTTGTTGATGAAATCGGCTTTGATTGCTCAACAGCTTTTTGTGTCCATTCAGGGACGGGAACATCTTCAAATGCTTCTTCTTCCTCTTCCTCCACCTCTTGTTGATCTTTTGAAGTTACTCCATGTTGGTTCCGAAGCGACAGCGCAATCGCTCGATTAAGGTCCTCTTCCTCGTCGTCTACAAGAAGATTTCCTCCCTCATCATGTGCCTCAAAGAGACCATCAACGTCGTTTGTAGTGTTCCCGCCAACAAACAACGAGTCTTCATCGTCGTCGATGATAGCTTGAGATTCTGAGTAGACTTTCGGTAGTCGATTGACGCCTTCGATAGGAACATCTTCAAAATCATCATCTTCCCACTCATCGTCCTCTTCCTTGTTTTGGTATTGAAAATCCAGAGCATCCACATCAATAGGTTTATGCATCTCACCATAATCCCTCTCTTTGCTGATAACACCCAGGGCCCATCCACCTTCAGCCCCATCATTCTTTACGAGGATGTATTCACGGTCCTTTTCTCCGGCTATTCGTGCGTTTTTGGCTAGTGTGAGATCAGTCCCAGTCATGCCAGCTTCCTGCATAAGCCTTTGCGTCAAATGATTCCGCTCTCTCACTCTTTCGATCTGGAATCGCGAAAATGCCATCCTATCAGGGAACATGCCGTCCAGCTGCTCTTTACTTAGACCCATCCTTAGCCGGCTTCGTATTCTGGCAGCGTTTAGGATGTTGTATCTATCGACAGGTGGCAGACTTTTGAAAAACTCGCCCTCAAAGTCGATCTTGCTAAAATCGTAGACGTTGATATCCTCGCCGCTATTGAACTGTCTCGCATAGTCTTCCAATTCTTCAATACTCATGATACGCGGGTCATCTGGCTGGCCCATACCATGAATACCACTGTCCAAGTCCGGTAGATGATATGCATCCTGCTTGTAGAACTTCCTGTTTTTTTGGCGTTCGGTCTGGCTCATTCCTAGCTCATCCACATAGACCAGCTTATCTGCATCAGGAATCTCTTCTGTAGGCTCTTCTCTCTCTGGTTCTCTCTGCTCTTTTCTCCTCTTTCTCTTCTCATCCTCCTCCTCTATCATCCTCTGCATCTGCACCGCGAGCAACTTTCCCGCAGTCCTCACCGCATCTTCTCTCCTACCCTCTCTTCTCTGCTTTCGACTCCTGATAGTCTGTCTCTTTAGCGCGGGGGCGCCACCGTCGAATACGAACACGGGTCGGATGCCGAACCATAATAGCTTGCATATACGGCGGAAGAAGCCTACAACATGGGAGTTACGCAAGGCGTTACCCTCTTTGTCGCGCACGGCTTTCAGGAATTGGTAAATCCAGATGGAGGCATCGACGGCGAGTCGCTTGCGATTGAGCGTCGCAAGATTCGTGGGTCGCGCGCATGGCTGGACTACGGTCCAGAGACCGTTAACACCCATGGTGTCGGGAGACTCGGGTTAGGGATAAAAGCGCGATCCAATTCAATATTGCAAAAGAAAAAGGAACACTCATGTAAAATCTAAGTATGGCCGCATGGTGAACGGTGTTAATCATCAATACAAATGTACGAAATAAAAGTACCGGGTAGCTTTTAGAGCTGTGGAGTTGTTGCCTAGAATTAGAAGCTACGATATGAACAATAGCAATGACGATGACTCGATATAGCGGACCTACCTAACCCGTTAACCGTGGAAGTGGCTGTCGCGTTCTTATCGATAAGCCCTACGACGCATGCCCCACCATACCTGCTATTCCAGCATTAATGAAAGAGCAACACTTCTAATAAATAGTTGCGAAGAATTCCCCTAGTCGTCCAATAATCTCCTACAATCTCGCGACAACCCGCCCGAGGAGTGCAGTTCCTCGTCATGGAGGACAATGCCGAAAAGGCAGAGGCCGGGGCATTTCTGAGGTCGCTTCTCAACAAGAACCTGTGCATCTACACAACGGACGGGCGGCTATTCATAGGCACATTTAAATGCACCGATACCGTAGGTCCCGATATACACTACAACCGGACATATGCTGATCTAAGTCTACGCATAGCACAGAAATGTCGTCCTATCGCTCTGCTACGAATATCGACAGCCGTCGCAACAGAAGATCGCCGAAGCCGCAGCCGCAGCCGAGAGCTCTGGCAAGGACAAGTTGGCTGCGGACATGACGTCGCGGTATTTGGGCCTCGTCGTGGTCCCCGGTGAACATATTGTGAAAATGGAAGTCGAAGAATTCACTAGTCAGGTTAAAAGTCGCTCGATATTCGATAGAAAGGACATATACGGTCACCAATGATAATGGTGTGGATGTCAGATACACGAAGGAGGAAACTGCGCGATTGCGCTGCTATGGAGGCTGGTCGAGTCCTTGCGGGCTGAGTAGATCAACCATCATAGAGCCAAAGTCTACTTGGAACCGACCAACATAGACCTCTTACCTGGTAGGGTACTTATGCCTTCCGATTACAGGTAATAGGCGATGTGCTTTATGAGGATACCTTAATATTGGGGATTGACATGTACACTCTAGTGCATATACTTATAGCACATGTGGGATCTACAAAACCTACCTGTATTGTTAGCACTAGTCTCCCGATAGCAATACCTGGACGAAGAGAAATCACGCATAGCAACCTTGGAAATTAGTTGACTAATTAATATATCTTTGGCTTTCAATGTTCATATTCTAAATTAAGAACGTTGTTCAAGGGGTGCAATGCGATAGCTAACGTTCTATATCGGGATGTGTGAAGTGGATTATAAGATCAATGTGATCTTGGCGAGTCAACGCCTACTATCATATAACATGAACTAGTTATTAAGAATATATTTTCACTTATCCATTAGGAAGATTCGTGTCATCTTGTTATAACCGCTTTTGTGTCATCTCTTGGTTCAACTAGGTCAGAATCTCAAATTGCCGAGCAGACGTAACACAGCCCAATTCATCCTACAGAAAAGTTGTACCGTAGCTTCATAGCGCCCCCCAAGCAATGTCACTTTTGGAATATAGAAAACAGGAACTAGTTCGAAACTTTGCGGGGTCTCCAGACGAAGAATCATACTAAGCCGTTATGAAGCTAGAGCCTAGGAAGGATGAGATCCTAGGGGAACGGTGCCGCGCTACAGCTAACCGAATTGTGCTGGAGGTGCGTCGGGGCTGGCTTTGGTCATTGGTTGTGCTTAAGCCTTAGATGCACATAATGTCTTGATTTATCGTCCGTGGTGCCTGGGTATTGAGATGGTAACTCTTGGTGAAACTCCTGAATATGAACGGGTGTGACATATAGAAAACTGTTGTCATTGTCCATCAACATGGCTGGACGAATGGCTTTCTGTCTCCTATAGCAATGTTTCCATTCTCGGAGATACTGTTAACTAAGACATGTTTCATCGGATCAAGAGATTGCCATAAAACGCCGTAGTACAATTGTTCAGGTCCCCCAAACTCCGAAAAGTTAGTATATTCGCCTGCATATATTAAGTAGGAGCTTGGCTAATGTTAACATCACGTAAACTTTAGAAATGCTGTAAAACAGTTAGCATATCACAAATTCGTGTAGCTCATCTGGATCGTGACATGTGAGTAAAGGTTCCAATAGGAAAACCCTCCTTCTGAATAGCCACAAATTCATCTAGTAAATGGCCGGTCCGGTGAAGATATCACTCATTTCCCGTCTCAAGATACCGGAGGGTTGATTTCGGTAGAGGATGACAAATGAGGGGCTAATCGAGTGGAAGCCACTTGGTTGCTACCGGGGTGTAGAATATGAGGGGCATGAACGCAATGTCAGGTGCGACTGCCGACCTGCAAATTCGTGTACGCTTAGTGTGAATATAACAAGAGCGATGCATCACTTAGTAACTGCACACAAAATCTCGGCGCCAGGTGAGATCCACAAGTGTGCTGGGCTTCGAAGGGTCTCATAGTCGGTGAAACTAAATTCATCTTTCCCCTTGTCATTAGTGTATAACCGATAGACTTGCTAGGGGTTTAGAGTTAAAACGGACCAGCGCCACGCACATTCTTAATCGACTATTCATCGAGTCTCCGCCATTATGTCGATGTACACCGTACCGTTCGTCATTAATGGCGAGGAACGTCAAGCCGAGAACACCTTCGACGTAAAATCTCCAGATACTGGCGAGGTCCTGCATCGATGCGGCATTGCAACGGAAGCGGACGTTGTCGCAGCTGTTAATGCAGCCGCAGCTGCGGGTCCACAATGGGCAAATACGCCCGCGGCCGAGCGGCGGGATATTCTTCTCAAGGCAGCTAACATCATGGACAAGAGACGTGATGAATTAGCTCAGTATATGATGGATGAAGTTGCAGCAGCACGTGGCTGGGCTGACTTCAATCTCAACCTTGTCATCGACATGTACAAGGACGTGGCTGGGCGAGTCGGTGCCGTAGAAGGCACTGTCCCCCCATGTCAACCTGGGCTCACTTCGATAGTGGTAAAGGAGCCTTATGGCGTTGTGTTAGCGATAGCGCCTTGGTAAATATCTCCCAGATTATTGAGTGACCTAAATCAAAGTTAACCGCTTCAAGGAACGCGACATACATCCTAGGTACTCGCTCGGTACTTTTCCCCATCGCAGCGGGCAACACGGTCGTTTTCAAGGGATCCGAAACAGCGCCTCGAGCTCATCGTGCTATCGTGTCTATCCTGAACGAGGCTGGAGTACCCAAAGGAGTAGTTAACTACATCGTCACTGACCCAGCCCATGCACCAACAGTTACGGAAGCTCTCGTCGCAAACCCGAATGTAAAGAAGATCAACTTTACAGGTAGCACGGCCGTGGGAAGAATAATCACAAAGTTAGCAGGCCAATACCTGAAACCTATCGTCTTGGAACTCGGAGGAAAAGCGCCAGCTATCGTCTGGGAAGATGCGGACCTAGACCTTGCCGCAGAACAAACCGCTCTTGGCGCCTTCTTCTTTTCTGGACAAATTTGTATGAGTACGGAGAGAATCATCGTACACAAGAATATCAGTCAGGCGTTCCAGGAGAAGCTACTTGGAACCGTAGAGAAGATGTTCTCGTCCAAAGGCGATGCTTTAGTTCTAGTTAACACTCAAAGTGTAGAGAAGAACAAGAAACTCATAAAGGATGCAGTTAGCAAGGGCGCTTCGGTTCTAAATGGAGACGTGGACGCCGAAGAGAGTTCGAAGACGAGAATGAGGCCATTAGTGATCAGTAAGGTGACCTCCGATATGGACCTATACAAACAGGAGTCATTTGGCCCATCGGTGAGTTTGATCGAGGTTGAAAGTGAGGAAGAGGCACTACGGGTGGCGAATGACACCGAGTATGGCCTCACGTCTGCGGTTTTCACCGAGAATCTGAGGGTCGGTCTGAGGTTCGCAAGAGGCATTGAAAGCGGCGCGGTTCATATCAACAATATGACCATCCATGACGAGATGACGTTGCCGCATGGAGGAGTTAAGGCGAGCGGGTATGGTCGATTCAATAGCTTGCCCGGAGTTGAGGAATGGGTTAGAACAAAGACTATCACTTGGAGAAACTAGGTAATACCCAGGCCCTGTGTCCTTTAAGAGTAGATGAAGAAGTCATATTAAAAGACCAGAATTTAACTATAACAACATTTAAAGAGGAGTAGTTGCTATTTATTTCTTCAATTCTGCTAGGAAGTGATAACTGACTTTAGGTTTCAGCTGGTGCCCGAAAGAGTCTAAGACGAAAACGTGTGTATTATTCAAGGTTGGAAACCACGATCATACGGCAGTCGGCCACTATTGAAGTAGCACCTGCAGTTGATTGCAACCAATAGCACAGCTTTGATTGGTCCAGGCTTCCCTTCCTAATGGATAGTACAGAGTACGTACCTCTAAATTCTTCAGCATACATGGGTCAGTACAGAAACACCAGGGGCGACGCACCTCAGTCAATCATAACGTCATCTCGAAATATTTCTTAAAACTTTTTTTCTCTCCTTCTCCAAGCAACAAAATAGAAGGGCAAATAATTACCCACAATGGGCGCGAAAGCATCAAAACCTGTTCAGTCGGCGACGCGGAAGTTCCCCACGAGGGCGCCCGGTAATGCCGCTCCACCACATACTCGACCACAGCCATCGACGCAATCTCGTTCGGAGCCCCGCGCTTCGTATGCGAAAGACGACGGTGAGTAACAAGTCTCCAGCCGCCCTGACGAGCATATCGCTGATGAGCGGTGTGTTCTGCGATTAGCCATCAAAAGGGACAGCATAGATCCAGATCCGAATCCCTCGACAAACGCAGCGTTCTCGCAGCGCCTGAAGCAGATGGGTGTTGCAACGCCGAATCCGACTCTATCGAACTCGTCGACAGCATCTTCCTACCCCGGTTTCCCGGAGCAAAAACCGGGAGCACCCAGTTTTGCTCCGTTATCCCAGAACCGGACGTTAAGCGCGCTTGAGGCGCGGCAGCGGTTGCAGGAACGCGCGCAGGCCGAGTACGAGGATAGGAGTAAGGGGAGCGAATTCCTGGATGTGGGGACTCTAACGCAGGTCCTCATAATGCAAGGGCGAGGTGTCCCGCATGCCGATATCGAGAAGAGGTTTAGGCTGAAGAGCGGCGTTGTCGAGAGGTTAGGTCCTAAGGGAGTTACCGTGCCATATGGTCAAATTTTATAATTGGGTCTAAATTGGGATGGAAAGAGGAAAATCACAGCATTGTTAGGGACATAAAAGTTTGTTGTTTTTGGGTGTATAATACTATGCATTCGAGGTATTTCAAAAGGTACGTAAAAGCGCCATCTATCATATCGCCCTATACGCTCCGCGCCTGTAATATACTTATCCCAACTCAGTATCCTCAAGCTCAACCACAAATGATGCCCATTCGTTCATCCGAGAAGGTCGCCCCCCAGCATATATCCTGTAAATCTACTACCCAAGGTGTCAATATTCATATGATTTACCAGGCGGAGTGGCCTCCGTCGATGCGCAAGTCGGCTCCAGTCATGAAGCGACTAGCGTCACTCAACAGGAATACGGCCGCGCCACGGTAGTCCTCCGGCTTGCTCAGTTTGTTCAACATGTTCTGCTTGGGCCATTCAACACTCCGGTCCGGGAACTTCTCGAATAGTTTCTGGACCATTTCCGTCACGATGTAGCCTGGGGAGATTGTGTTTACGCGGATGTTCTTGACACCCCACTCCATAGCTAAGTTGCGACCGAGTTGGAGCACGGCGGCTTTGGAAGCGTTGTATACACTAATAGCGGGTCAGGTTTTTGGTGTTTCTAAAGATTTGATAAGAGGTTGAGACTTACGGGCAGATCAGGCCACGATTTGCGACGCTACCACTCATGCTGGCGATTAGGATGATACTCCCGGGTGTATCGTTTTCGTACATGTATTTTGCAACTGCCTGCGCTGTCATCAGCACGCCGGTAACGTTGACTGCCAGCATGCGGTTCGAGTCCTCTGCCGTATAATCTAGAGCGGCGGTCTCCTGCTGGATACCAGCTGCTGCAATCAAGCCATCGATGTGTCCCTCTTTTTCAAAAACTTCCCCGGTAATCTTCTGGAGGTTGGCGGCGCCGTCTAATACGTCGACTTGGTGGTAATACATTGAGGTGCACAGCTCCTCTTTTGCTCGACGGGCTACTTTGTCATATTTCGAACCCGAAGCCGGCTCGGGTTGTCTGTCGTAGACGTGTACTATCGTTTACTAAATTTAGCGTCCTGCCGAACAGAGAATAATTCATCGCCCATACCTGTAGCGCCTGCTTCTAGAAGTGCTTCGGCTTGAACGAGGCCGAGTCCTTGTGCTGCACCCGAAACAATAATGACCTTGCCCCTCAAATCGAATTCAGGCAGCACCGAAGGGCTTCCCTGAACCGGCTCTCGCTTAGAACCACGCATAGGAGTGCTGTGGAAGGATCTGTGTGCTGGCCGATCACCGGTAGGCCATCTGCAGGTCGCCGATCCTGTCACCTTAGCGGCGGCAAAGCCGCATGCCGGCGTCGCTCGCGGCGTCGCGCGGGCGAGCTTGCCTATGGAAGGAGCAGCTCGAGACATCCGCGGAGCAAGCGTCGCCATTGTGAGTAGACCTTACTCCCGAGGTCTTAAGAGCTCTGGTGGTGGGAGCCTAAAGGGTCTGTATAACCTTATGTTCTCTAGCCGACTCAAGTAGGGAACCCCTGACCCGGATAATGCAAGTTGATGTATGTCTTGTTGAAGAAATTTGACAACCTGTAGGGCTAAGAGACACAAGGGGTGGACAATGGCATGGGTATCCAGGAACAGGAATGGTGGTAGATGAGCGATAATGGAGGAATCCCATTGTGACTGAAGGTTTGCTCGCGTCGGGCATCCTATATAGCAAAGTTTAACCCCCTGCTCGAGGCAGCCATCGTGGGCCGAAGCTCTTATCCGCCAAGGTGCCTCGTTACGCCCAAGTCTAGCCCCTCTTCCCCTTGTCTTTTAAGACAAAGCCGCGGACATAACTCCTAGAACTAGCGACGAGGCAAATGAGAAAGGCTGCTGATGGGGGGCTCGCTCCGCTCCCCTCTAGGGAAGAGAGGGGCCAAGAGCTCGGGTGTTGGGACGAGGGTTCAATGATTATAGAGCTAAGTATATCCATCCCCACCGGTACAGCAACGTTCCTAGGAATAACTTGCCTCGACTACCTAAGTAGGTAAATTGGGGTGAGGGGACCGGTGAGAGGTTGAAATCCGATATGTGACTAAGACCGACGAACATCAAAACCTGTAAGGTATGAAATCTGGCTCTCGGTGACACCGTAAGGCTATCAGAAACACGACAGCTTCGCTCTCGAGGCGTTACGGAACCCAGAATCGACCCCCCACGTGCCTATTCTCGAACAAAGAAAACCGTAGTTGAACCATCAGACAGACATCACGGGGCAATAGTTTATAGGCTTCGGGTTACCTATTCGGGCAATCCACGAAGGACTCAGTGAGGTGGAGTTAATACGGATCCCGCTAGCCAGCGCCAGGCTCATCCTTATTATAAAACATTGCACAAAGTTGACCGTATGCCGTAACAACTTTTATGATCACGTTTGAGACTAAGGTGGTTTAGTAAGTTAGGAGGTTATGCTGGACCCTGTCTACATGTCTACATGTCTACATACAACCTCGATGGTCTATCGACCGGACAAATCGGCGAGTGGTTGGGGGTATAATATTCGTCGATATCAGACCCTACGCCACATGATCGCATCTTTTTCGGTTCTGTTTCCATGCATCGCTGCCTCACTACAGATGAATACGACTGTGTATACAAGCTGCGAGTCCCCGCATTGCCATGCTTCTGACTTTCCCCGCGATTTACTCTGGGGTCAGTGAAGGTTGCAGATTGGGGGTGGTTCATGATGAATGGACCAATGGCGTTCCCCTTTAGGGAGTGTCAAGGTATTGGATAGGCTTAGGCTTAGCTCTGCGTACAGTTCCGCCACATTAGTGTTTTATAAACCCGCTAGAAGAAGTAATACAGCAGCTACTAGTGAGTCGTCAGCAAGATCTGTCTTGTATATTCGCCTAGAAATTCCACTCTCCCGCGATTGGTAAGCCCAAGACAGACACGCCTACCCGTCCGCCTGAGGCTTATACTTCGTTGTCCCGGCTCCCCGTTGTTGACTTGTTGACTTGTCAACTTCAAAGGCTAATTGATAAGATTGCCGGTCCGTTGCCGTCGAGGAAATGCGATAGATCAATTCGGCACTTAGCGTAGTCATCGAAAACGTAAGAATATTTACCAGTGGTCGGGTGTTTCTGGTACAATCCCCTGCCCCCCGATGCACATACAGCAAGACCCCTACTGCAGGATATAGTTGACGAAAATGAGGAGTTTCTTTAATTGGGAAGCCGCCCGCGTCTTCAAAGTTCGAATCACGCGTCCTTCCTCGCAAACTACATTTCTATTTCTAAGGGTCCTCCGAAGGGTAACATTCAGGGTCTCACCTCTACTCGGAATGGAAGCCTATCTCTCAGCCCTACACGCCTGCCGGGAGGGCAACCTATTAGAAATAAAAGCGCCTCTGGCGGATGTTTAAATAATAGGTACTATCTACAAATAACCAAGTGATGCCTCAATTTCTTCGGCCAAGAGGTAATGTTGCTATTCGTACGTGCCTAAGCCGTTCAATAACCGGCAATGGCTCCTAAATGGCATGCGGATGCGAAGCATGAGAGAAACGGTGAATACCAAATGGCAAGAAAGTAGTCACAAAACGATTTGCCGAGTAGGAGCATCGAGACAACTCAGAATATCGCCACCGTCGTCAAGTCTTTCCCCTAAAAAGAGCGAATTTCATGATATCGGCCTTACCGCTTGTTCTTGTGGTTGTTCCGCAACATCGATATTTCAAAAGGCAATAATTGATGCCCAATATGTGAAAAAAGCAATTTGTCCAACCTCCAAATTTGCACGAGACGACCGAGACCCTCGTCGAGAATCTACGGCATTCGGAAACCAAGCCACCTTGAGAAACGCCAAAGACATTCACCTACAAGGTGTATTAGAAATGATCATGGGCCAGAGATAAACGCGAAACTAGAAATGCCAGAGTAATTACTCGAAATATTAAAGACTAACGGTTGTTACTACTGCCCCTAAGCGTACTCCTTTATCCCTCGACTAAGTACTGTATTATGAAAATTTTACCTACTGCCAGTATCTCAGGAAGAGAACCCATACATGGATCCGAGCAATGAGGCGAATAAATATCTAGATTACCGACCGAAACGTGACCAATCTTATGAATTCGAGTGGTTTGACAGCATACGCAGTCAGGAATAATCTCGGTATTACATATAGATATTGACAACAACGTGTTCGTTATCCATGATTTCGATCACATCTTCACCTACCTAGATAAAAGACCATATCTACTATTTCCGACCCGTAGAGCGGCGTCTCACAAGCTTGCATGTGACAGCATTTGCATGAGCTACGTATGAAGATTGACTAAATGCCGGTTCAACCCGCGACTGCAGTTCCCCAAACCGTCACATCTAACTGTCCAAAGCCCAATAACCGTCAACATGGGCGCCGTCCTCCAATGAGAGCAAATACCAAAAGCCGCAAATTATGGGGATAGCAGTATGCCAGATAAGCTAACTACGACCCTTGTGAGTCTAAATTAACTCACCGCTACCGCGGAAACCGGTTTTCGATGACGTATGTGAGGATATGCTGTAATATCTGCCAGATAAGACTCGTCGTAACGTTGCCGGGTCAAGATTAAACCCGGTAGAAACTTACCTATGAATCGCCCAAACGACTATGGTGTTGAACGCAGAAGGACCCAATGTACCACTGTTATAGCCAGCACATACATCTCTGATCGTTATGACGTTACAGTATAGGCAAGACTACACGTTGAAGAGAGGTGAATCCCAGCCGAGGATAGAAACAGAAGTGGTTTCGATATTTCCGCTCACCGAATATGGAAACAAGGGTATTATTAAGGTAGCACTTATACAGCACGTGGATATGTAGACGTTCATTAGACTTCACAGATGTCACACTACACCCTGGTTCTTGTTAGTATACATGGATCTAGATAGGGTCTTCGGGAACTGCTTAAGGGTTCTATCTTCCGGCCAATAATCGAATCACACATGGTTTATAGACAAGTGAAGTTTGGTACGCGGCACCAGGTGAAGGTGTACTTTTCTAGATGCCGGTTGGGAGGGCGTTTTTTCTTGAGGCTAAATAGGTTTGGCAAGTCGGAGAAGAAATGAATCGCTAACTAAACTAACCTTATCGAAAGCCAAGTCTTCTATATCGAGATCGGTCACATGCTAGATGCTAGATATATCTTCGGTAGAATACCATGTTTAAGCCGTCCATCGAACACTCTTTTATACTTCCGCTCCAATAGATTAATAACAGATTGGAAACGTCCTGTGATCTACTTACTATGGTGTTAGAAATACCTTATGTTATAACTAAAGTATAAGGACGTAACTTCGTAGGTATTTAAGTTCATATGCATGCCGATGCCGAAAAGGACGACTTGCTTAAGACTGTGAGTAACCCCGAACCAGGATTCTGAAAGTAGGATTAGGTATTACGTAAAAGTTTTTGGTACTGAACGAATATTATACCGGGATAGCATAGCTCTATAAGTGTTACCTAAGGTAATGGAGCTAATGGTGGGCAATTTCTAGTATTCACTCTTGTTGATAGAACAAGGGGTATTCATAGATGCTGTTACCCGGACACTGTTGCTGACGCGGTATGAGTTGGATCCATGTGAAATGCGTGTTACTTATGAGAGTTTGCCAGCACTGCCAGCGCACTTACGATGAGGAACGTTGACTCATGATTTATAGATGTTTCCAATTATCATAAAATTATGCTCGAGTTGTGTTGTTGAAGTGTTGGGAATTCAATGACAACTCCTCACAAGCCACAATAGACGCATGTTTCACTTATTGGTGACTAATCCTCATTTGCTGCATATTAGTAATACGCCACATTACATAATATGCACTTAGAAAAGGAACACTCTATAAATGCATGCATGGTTCACACTGTGGAGGTTTGAAATTAGCCCCATAATTGTTACGTACTTCAGCTGCGCCACAGGAAGGAAATAGGGAAATAGGGATCTCCATTTTCAGCCCTTTTTGCACGAGGCTTTGTTTTAGTTACCATCCGATGTCCGATTTTCAGTCCATTCCCTATTAGAGTTTTCATAGGACCGAAGCCGTAGTCTTCATTGAATGGCTTCGTTGATATTGTGGCCTTTATGCAGTCCCAATGGCACGTGATGGGGGCTCGAGGCTGACAGCTGTCTGGTGAGTTACATCGTGACCCTGCTACCTCTGAATAGCGGCTAACCTTTGACACAGTTTTCTTGCCTCGTATATCTGGCTATCATGTTCTTTACAGCGACATTCATTAATAGGTATGCCCATCTTCGTTATGTTCCTCTAGTATGAACATTTGATGACTGACCGCCTTATATAGATCAGCCGCGGCTGTCTTCATTTTTACTCCTTTTCATTTCAGGTATCATAGCTTTCATAGCTAGCCTGTTTTCAAAATGGCTTCCCGGCGCAGATGGAAGATTTGGTATGTTCAGATTACTCTCTATTGAAGAAACGACTTCTGACATTGAGCGGTAGATTCGGAGGCTGTCATAAAGGGAATGCAGTCGTCTCTCCCACACCGCCCTCGCCGGTTTTATGTGCCTTGTATCATATTTCTCATCGTTTTTCGATTAGAGATCGTGCATAAGGTTATGCGTGACTTTCAATGTGCCACCGAAGGCATAGAGGTAACACATATCTACCAAAGCAATGGTAGACTGAACTGACATTTCCCAGGCCTTTCTTCCTGTATTCCTAGCTGCTCACGAGTTCTTCTCGCATCGTACGGGCCAGGCCATGTCCGATGACCCGGAAGAGATGTGGGGCAACCCCCTAGACGATTTCAAGAATTGGCTCATAAGCTCCCCGATCACTCTTTTTTTCAGCACCATTCTCTTTAGCTATGGTGTTTTCATGGTGGGCGATTTCACCACAAGATCTAGTTATTTCTGCTCGACCTTGGTGAATCAGAGCTCGTTCACTGTACTCATACAGTGGTTGGGAGTTTTCACCGATGCTGTCATCATCATTATGTTATGGAGAGTGCTTTCGTGGGCGAGAACAACGAGGAGCCGCCTTCGGACTCTAGGTGGGATTTTGATCTTATCATCTACTGGCGTCTCGCTTTTATGGATGGCAACACGAGTTTCCCAGCATCAAGAAATCATTGGCCATCATCCTTTCAGGGGAATCGGCTCCCTTTACTTCTTTGACGTTTCTAGTACGGCACTCCTCATCTCTACCCTCATTATCTCAACGGCGCTGTGGATCTGCGATTCAACAGTCTTGGAGCCTATAGCCATTGCATCTTTTACCTCGGGCTTACTCGGGAGTATTCAAAATGTTCTGTTGATCGGAACATACCAGCAGACCTCTCCAGGTCAGCCACTGCTAGTACTTGCTGTTATCTCAACTGGGTTCATTCTTTTTACGTATGCAAACAACATGAGATGGATTATCTTCTTCAAGCGGGTGTTCCTCATGTTGTTGCTTGCTTCTATATTCATCACATCTGCCATCTTTGCTACGTTTAGGAGCAAGCATCTAGACCGCCACCCAGTTGATGATCTCGTTTATAAGAACAGGGTGGAAGCCGACCGCTGGCTACGGCACGCAACTGTTAGTACTACACTAAAATCTGCGGTCACCGAATATAAAGACCGCCACCAAGGGCGCGACCCACCGCCGTATTTTGACAAATGGTTCGAATTTGCGCTGCAGCGGAAATCTGTTGTCATCGACAGATTTGACCAGGTAGAAAAAGATATCCGACCTTTCTGGGGTATGAAACAACAAAAAATCCAAGAGGGCTTGGATCGATTGAAGGTGTTGCCTGACATTGGAATCATTACTATCGCAGAAGGCAAGGCATCTCACAACCAGCTTGTGGACCCCGTTCAAAATGTGATATTGGACGAGGCAGTATCGATGATTTCAAATTTTGTTGAGTATCTTCCTGATATGTCTATTGCTATCAACATGAAAGAACGGCCTAGGGTTCTAGTTCCATGGGACGATATTCATAGATTCATTTTGGCGGGCAGCAAACCTCGGTTCCAACTTCTATCCTCTCGCTCACGCAACCGCCTAGTGGATGACCCAAAGCTAACGGACGTTAACCCCGCCGACGTGTCTAAAGAGGTTCTAGGATCAAATACCCAGCCGTATGTGTCCCCGAAGAAATTTAGACAACTGGAGGCCTTGGCATGTCCTCCGGGGTCGGCAGCCCGCGGAGGCGTAAACTGGGACACGAGGGATTTCTGTTCCTCGTGTGTCAAACCTCACTCGGAAGGGCAATTCTTACAGGATTGGGAGATGTTCCTTGATCCATGCCACCAACCTGACATATTCAACTTACATGATTTACACACTACCCCTCATCTCCATGACCTACATCAAGATCTCCTGCCCCTCTTCAGTAGGTCAAAGACAGATAGTTTCAACGATATCCTCATACCACTCGTACGCCCCGTCAACCAGGACCCAGACGAGGTCGACTTCGACAAGAAGAAAGAAATCGTGTTCTGGCAAGGGGATGCCAAAGGCTCGCAAATCGTGACGACTCAATCCCTGCTCGGCGGCCATCGTCATCGACTAGTGCACCTCGCCAACAACGCCAGCGTCGTGGATCAAGTGTCCATGCTCCTCGGCGTCCAAGCCAACAAGAAAGACAAGTTCCAATACGAGGCAACGCAGGTCAAAGATGCGAACGGACCGCTACCATTCGAGTTCTCGTTTACCAACACCGAATCGTGCGACGACACCAACTGCCAGCTCCTGCAGCGGGAGTTCGGCTTCAAGGAGCCGGAGAAGGCCTTCGATAATAGGTACGTGGTACTACTCGACAGCGCAGACGGACCACCACAGGATCTCATACCGACGCTCCGGTCAAACAGCGTGCCGGTGCTATCGTCCGTTTTCCGAGAATGGTTCACCGAGCGGTTGATGCCGTGGGTTCACTTCGTTCCGGTGGACCTCAGATACCACGCTCTGCACAGCACGATGGCGTATTTCATCGGCTTGAAGAACCGCGGCCCGATTAACGGGAGACTGCAAACCACCGACGGCAGACACGAGGACGCGCGGTGGATCGCGGAGCAGGGGCGTAAGTGGGCTGATAAGGCTGTTCGTAGAGAGGATATGGAGGTTTACTTGTTTAGACTCCTGCTTGAGTGGGGTAGGGTCATCGATGAGAATAGGGATAATTTGGGCTTCACGCTGTGAGAGTGGCGTATGTGGTGGGTGAGGGATTTGTGTAATTAGAGGTACCTGTACCTACATATGTATACAGCAACATCTACGTACATTTGCATGGCATAGAGGTAGTTGCTGGGGACAACTAAGTGGGGGTAATAAAAAGGCGTTTCGGACATTAAATTTGTTCATGTTGTGTTCGGATGGTAGTTGGTGTTTGCCACAGAAATGGGATCCATCGTTTAGGAACTTTCATGCATTTTTTGTTACGGGTAGCTTATAAAAAATAGTAGCCAGTGCTTTTGGAAAGTGTTGACTTGTTGTTCTAATGTTTACTTTCGATTTGCTCTTGCTTCTAGGTATCAGGTAGGTACCTAGGCGGCCACCGAGAAGAGACACCCGTGAGAACGCCACAATCTACATTCTGATGACTATCAGCCAATGCTCATTTTGGTGAGATGCGAGTTGCCGCAGTTTTCATGCGTGAACTGGCCTACGCTACTTCAAATGTTAAACACGGCTTGTAGCGAGATGACTTGATTTGCTGGTGCTTTGCAATGTTCTATCAGAAAGGGGAAAACAGCATGAGCGGAAAAATAAGTCTATCATCCTAGGGTACCTAGTGAATGAAACTGAAAATATACATATTGTTGAATTATGTGATCTCTCAATGCGGTACTGATCATGAATACTTAAAATAGAGTAAATAATTTCTCTCTCCATTCCCAAGTTTTATTTATCAAGATTCTCGACTTATTCCAACATGATGAGATCTGGCTCTGGCAAGCATGCCATCGATACCGCCACAGATGGTGAGATGGCCAACAAACGACCTCGGACTAGTACGACCAGCCCTTCACGTTCGGACATCGGAATTCCAAGAATTAGGGTTGAAAACAGCAGCAGCAAGGGTGACCCGATGTCAACAAAGATTGGGACATCAGGATCCGGTCTAAAACCACCTGTGTTATTTATTCAGACCGACATCCATCATTTGGATAAGAATAAAGATAATGTTTCGATGTATAATACCGATGTGCCTGAACTTGTATGGTCTGATTGCGAATCAGAATACAGCGGCAGAGAATCAAGTTCGGGCGATGAAGATTACCCCGATACCGATGACGGTTGCACAAGCCTAGCGATCCGCGAGGGTCCATATGCTGACATTATTCGCGAGTTGAGACAGAAGGGAAAATCTCGCTTCCCGTTCTATATGATGATGAAGCTGGAAATGAACCGTCAGAGAATGTTGAACGATCCAGACATGCGAAATTCTCTAACGACAATGATCTCTTCTCCTATGAGATTTGAAATCATACATGCATTTCGCCCATCGAATGATTATTACAGCGTGAACCGTGAACGAGAAACTGCGGTGATCGGAACAGCTCGAAGTCTCGAGATAGCCAATGTCAAGGCTATGTCGTACTTCTATCAATATCACCATGGGGACATGTGTAGACTGGGTGTAAGAAGGAGTAGCCGTCAGAATCGCATGCAATTAAATTTTGTGCAGGATAGCGGGTACAATGGTATGCACTCGTTTGAGATATCCCGTCCCGTTTGCGGCGCAAAGGACTATTGACGGCGGACCATAAGGCCGATTCCGCCAACCCGCCAATTCAATTAATGTATTGAAATGTATACAGTATAATACAGTGGAATTACGTACAGTTTGAAAAGCATTCCACACGGTGCCCCGAATCTTACAGGGGTCATAGCGCTACAGGGCGCTGAAAGCCCTGTAACTTATAAGGGTTATAGCGCATAGCCTTTTTACATAGATACTACCTAATAAGGCTCGGCGTATATCACGTGATACCCCTCGCTTTGAACTATTACGCGAATATGTTTATTTACTTACTTATTACGCACTTAACTAAATCGAATTAATCGATTGAATCAGATAAATTAATTGACTTAATTCGTTTCGAAAAGGTTGAAATATTAATGATAACCTTAGAAGGCTCTAGCGCTAGCTTGAGGGCTTTTTACATACCTAAAAAGCCAACTATAAGGTATAAGGAGTTGATGCGCTATAAAGCCTATAAGCTACAGGGCTTCTAGCGCCTTCTAGCGCTAACACCCACTGTAAGATTGGGGGCACCGTGTGGAATACTTTTCAAACTGTACGTAATTCCACTGTATTATACTGTATACATTTCAATACATTAATTGAATTGGCGGGTTGGCGGAATCGGCCTTATGGACCACTCTACTATTTGACTTGGGGTATTGACTTAATGGGTTGCCTGGGACTCTCGGCTGTTCGTGGCATGGAATGTTTTAGCATGGTTTATGTGAAGGAGTCGCACAATTTTGCTTGAACGGGTGTGAACTGGGTTAACTTGTTGTGCTTAATGGAGACGTGAACTTAAGGGTTCGATAGATCTTGTATGCCCTGGGCTTGTATGATTACCTAGGATCTGGGTATCAAAGTACTTTGAGTGGCTAGCTTTGCTATCTACAAAGAAAAGCAAGAAAATGTAGCATGTTTTATATTCGCGATGGGCGTTTGCATGTATGTACGTAATCCCGCTTTCCCGCCATTCTTAGGTAATACTTATCGTTCTTATCGATACCATGCTGACCTAACACAGTATTGTTTCGCAAATTGCATAATCCCTATTTTGATGAATTATTGCATGATGTGACGTCGTGTACCTGACAAGGCAGCTTCTCTCGACCTTGCTCCCCACTTTGACCAATCCAATCCCGCATCACCAACTTCACAATTTCACTTCTCTTACCTCCTACCTTGCCGCGACAACGTTACGGACAACTACTCTATCCCTTTTTAAGAAGCATCTTTCGACGGCAACATATCGCGATACGATACATTTAAACCTACCGTCATATCATTCATGGTCATATAATTCTAAGCATCCCAATTACGCGGTTACGAATTAGGCTGCGGCGATAACTAAACCAAGACCCCACCGACGATGGCGGTCATTGACGAAGATACATTCTCCAGCATTCCTTGGAATAGCAGTAACAGTGCATCCGATGCTGCAGATTCAAGCTCTTCGACTACTGCAGTAAATCCTGAACCACCTACCGCCGAAGACCAACATCATGGAGAAGAGTTGCAGCTCCAAGACCCCGGATTGTCCGGAGACATACTGGAGTGTATTGTATCGGAGCCTCGCAAGGAGCAGGATGGCACCAAGGACGCTTTTGTATCATATCTGATTACTACAAACGTAAGTTCGTCCTTTAGAAGAATCATGGTCTAGGAAGTTTTCGTATTAAATTACTAATTACTAATTCCTAATTCCTATAGTCAACATTCCCCTCCTTCCAGAAACCCACATTCACCTCCCGTCGTCGCTTTACCGATTTCGTTTTTCTCTACAAGTCTCTTTCTAAAGATTATCCGGCATGCGCCGTACCTCCCCTCCCTGACAAGCAGCGCATGGAATATGTACGGGGAGATCGCTTTGGCCCAGATTTCACTAATCGCCGAGCCTACTCTTTACAACGCTTCCTCATGCGCCTTACCTTACATCCTATCCTCCGGCGAGCACCTATTTTACACACCTTCCTAGAATCCCCCGACTGGAACGCGACTATGAGATCCCGCGCGGCTAGAACTAGCACAACTTCGGACCAAGGCAGCGGAGGCGTCTTCGACAACTTCGCTGACACCTTCATCAACGCATTTACTAAAGTCCACAAACACGACAAACGATTCATAGAGGTACGCGAGAAGAGCGATAAGCTAGATGAAGATCTGGGACATGTTGAAAAGGTCGTGGTGCGAGTAGCCCGGCGGGAAACGGACCTCGAGATAGATTTACGAGATCTCACAGAGCAATTCCAGAAGCTCATCACCCTCGAACCGGGGGTTGAAAGCGCCGTCCACGGGTTCGCAGCTAGCGTTGAGGACACGGCAACCGGACTAAAGAAGCTGCGCGAGCATACGGACCAGGATTACCTCGGCAGTTTGCGAGATATGCAGGCGTACAGCCAAGCGCTCAAGAATTTGCTCAAGGCGCGCGAGCAGAAACAACTCGACCACGAGCAGCTCACAGAGTACCTCAATAAGTCGGCAGTAGACCGTGAAGCGCTAGCCAGCGGATACGGGTACGGCACCACGGGCGCGCTGGGCGGCGCCGGCGGCTTCATCCGATCCAAGATCGAGGACGTGCGGGGCGTGGACCATGAGGCAAGCCGACGCGAACGCCTGCGCAAGCTGGAGATGCGCATCGACGAGTTAACGACCGAGGCCGAGCGCGCGAAGAAGACAAGCGAGGCCTTCGACGAGGAGGTCGTTAAGGAGGTCGTGGATTTCGAGCGCATCAAGCGGATCGAGCTGAAGAGACAGTTCGGCGGCCTGGCCGACGCGCATGTGGAGTTTTACGGGGGCACTATTGATGTTTGGGAGCAATACGTCCGGGAGATGGAGAAGGAGGGCTTGAGTGAGTCGGCGTATACGGGTTGAACGATGGGCATGGAAGGGGCTTTGTCGGCATGTCAACGGAACCTGACGGTTGAGTAAAACTGATTGTTTTGTTGCGCATTGCCTACCTGACTTCGACCTCGACCTTGAAGGAAAGCCAACGGTCCTTGGGTGATTACCTAAAGCTACGCAAAGCTCATCAGGGAGCTTTCATCGATTCCATTCCCAGGTTCGAGAAAGCAAAATCCGAGATGGCGTTGAGGGACGGATGTACGGATGGATGTATGTAAGCAAGCCGGAGAGCGAGCAAGCAATGGAATGGAATGAATGAACATCAGGGAGTTAAGGGGGTATTACGGCGTTGTAGGGAAATTTGTGTCCTGCTGTCTCATAGAAAAGAGAGTAGCTTTCTGCTTCTTGTTCACTTACATACATTGGGCGCTTTTACGTGGATCGTGAGAGGTGACTATTATGTGATTGACTCCATATTACTGGAGAATTTACTTCATGCTCCGATTCATGAGAACAAGTCGCATTTTAGATCCAAAATTTGTCATGATCCACTTCTCCGGATTGACCTATAAGATAGCATCAGTGGTTTAGTGGTAAAATCCATCGTTGCCATCGATGGGCCCCGCGTTCGATTCGCGGCTGATGCATTTCTTCTTTTTTGTCGCGCGGCACTCTACTCCTCAAGGACGTCTTATGCGCCGTCGTACGCGAAGTGTACCCATACAAATACTATGCAGGTACGTCGCAATCAAGCCGATGACCATATTAGACGAAAAGTGCCTAGGTACCTAGATGGTAGTAGGTAATCCGATTTTACATTTTTAAGAATCACGAAAAAACAAATAGCTTAGGAAAAAAACCCTCATCATGACGAAATCAACCAATCAATCAATACCTAGCAAAAATAGCTATTTAAAAGCCTACATCTATTTAATACTCCCGAACGCCGTACGGACCATGCCATATGTCGATACTACGAAAAGTATGCCTATATATACAGAAACGACAAGAGCAGCAGTAAAGGCAAACAGTGGTATGCTTATGGTGATGAATCTCTAGGGGGGGGAAGGGTCGATGTATCCACATCCCAACCGATGCCATGATTGAATTTCCGAGACGAGCGATGCTATTTTTCTTTCTTTACCAGAATTCTCTATCCCACCTGAGACCCTATCTGCTGTCGCCTAGCAGTCTAGAGCTCTGCTTCTCGACATGACCCGGCCTTCGCTCGTGGTCATCGTCATCATCGTCCTCATCGTGGCTGGCTATGCTGAAGTGATCGGTCTCTGACGATTCTGCTTCGTCTTCGCTGCCGCCCGCAAAGGCATCGTACAGCTCACCGGCACGTCGTTTCTGGCCCTTCTCACCAGTCGCACCGAGACCCTCGCCACCATCGTCGGCGTTGAGAGGCTCGAATTCGTAGTCGTCACGGGGGTTGTTGAGGCGTTGCTTGCGGCGCACGAACCAGAACCATGCGCCTAGACCGGCGCAGAAGGCTACAATCAAGCCGAGGGCACCATAGATCCAAGCTTGAGTGCTAGAAGAGACGCCGAAGGTGGGAAGGAATGATGGTAGCCAAGAACTCGGGGCAGTGGTCTCCGCCGCTGTTTCAGTGCTTGTCGGGGTGGCGACACTTCCGCTAGTGGTCTGAGTAGGCTTTGTAGGTCGCTCGGGATGATCAGACGGAAGAGAAGTGGGTAAGACGGTGTTGGTGGTTTCCGGGTTAGGAGGCAAGCTGGTTGTGGCAGCAGGTACGGTGGTGGTGCTAGTCACGTCGTGGTCTGCGTCGTCATCCTCACTAGGCATAGGCAACAACGTAGCTTTGGAGGCATCAATACTTTCGCCCCACAACTTCAGATGCCAATCGGTGAAGTTGCCAGTGTTGTCGTTGACCTTGGTATCGCGTACAATAAGCGTCCATTTACCAACTCCAGATTCACCCCTATATTTCTATTAGTTTCAAACGCTATTAAGATATACGTATGCGCAGGAAGCTTACCAATGAACGACACTCATAAAAGTCCAGTCGTCATAACCCTCAGTGCTAGTATCCAGTTTACGCGTAGCTGACAAGTGACTGATCACGTTGTTAGGACTAATAAGATCAACGCTCAGATCTCCGCGACGGGTGTGCTCCACGTTCATTGTGACAGTAACGTGCTCCAGACGCTCGAAATTGGCCTCCTTGAGCATGTCTTGCGTGACTTCGAAGCTAACCGACAAACCCTGGTCACCTTGAGGAATCTCCTTGCGAACGTGCAGCCATGGAGAGTAATACCATGCTTGAGGCTTAACATTCTTCCAAGTCTTTGCTATCTCCACAAGAGCCCAACTGTCGACCTTGCCGTAGCCAAATGTGTGGCTGTACTTTTTGCCGATAGTAGTAGGTTGCCATTCGCCAGTATCTAGGTCAACGGGTACCGCACTCTCCAAGGCGATATACTGCATATCTCTCCAGGACAAATCGGGTCGAACTTCGAGGGCTAAGGCGAAGATACCAGCAGCTAGAGGCGCGGCAGCAGAGGTACCGCCATGTCCATTATAACATTGGTTTTCGCCGACATCAGTCGTGTGAATTGCGTCTCCGCTGCCACTGCTGTAGGTAACAACAAGCTGGGCCGAGCACTTCTCCGAGTAGTAAGGATGTGCCCCCTGTCTATCAATCGCGCCAACAGTGATACTGTATATACTATTCGTGTAACCATCGAAATTGCAGTTATCCTCACTTGCAGCGCCATTGCCACTAGCAAAAACGTAGATAGATCCTTTCTTGCCGCGCCCATTCTGCACTCCGTTCAACATAGCTTTCTTGATTAGGAGACCGGGGGCGTCCATTGATTTTCCATCATCTGGCGGACCCCAGGAGCAAGAGTATATGTCATTGTGTTGGAAATCGTAGTTCATGGCTTCAGCCTCGTCCGCGTCACTGATGAGCTTGCTAAGAATTCGAATACCGGCAATCTTAGAGTCGTAAGCGACACCGACACCACACACATCATTCCTCGCAGCGCTGACTTCACCGGCACATCGGGTACCATGCCTATCGTCGGATAGAGTCGGGCGAGGCTCGGGTCTCTGATCGTTGAAATCGTAACTGCCCTCAGCGTAGTAGTTCGGCTTCAAGTCGTTGCTGTACATATCTAACCCATCATCCACAATAGCTACTGTCGCATTCTTGCCCGTGACTCCCGCAAGCCAAACACCTGTCACATTTACGTCATGACCTAGTTGAACTGTATTTAAGAGATGCCATTGCTCGTTGAAAATCGGATCGGAAATGCTGAGTGTCTGCATCACTGACTTCTGCTTCTCCACCGTGGCCGCATCGGGCTGGTCTGCTCGCTTCGGGGGGGTATAGCCGGCTGGAGGAGGCGGGATAATTCGCTTTTGCATAGGAGCCCGCAATTTTTGCTTATGCGAGGCTTTTACACCGTCGATAATGTCCACGCCGCCTAGCGAGCGCTTCCGTCGACGATCTTGAACTGCGCGCCGTACAATATCAACCTCGGCTTTGGAGGTGGAAAAGATATGGTGACCAGGAAGTTGGCCCAACTGGCCCTCGTGCCTCAAGCCTAGGCGGGATGCGATTAGATCGGGTTGCGCATCGCGTTCGAGATGGAGAACGTAGTAATCGTTGGAGTCGAAATTCCGACGTTGTACAGATGCAGTGCCTAGCCCAGCAAGGCCACCGACAACGAGGCCGACTAGAGGGGTGAGCTTCATTGTGAGATTGAGTGAGGGTTATTCAAAACGCCCCGCAAACCTCGGAACGGGAACGGGAAGGAGTTGGTGTTTATCGATACAATGAGTTTGTGACGAGGATAAAGAGATACGAAAGTGAAGTTGTTAGGTGACCTTAGCCTTTAGGTATTTCGTAGGTAGTGGATTGTAGGTATCCAGAAAAAGCAGAGACGAAACAAAACACCTTCGCTCAAGGCCATGCACGAACCCCCTTAATGAAACCGTGAATCAATATCTTGGCGGACGAAGACGTCGGCATCTGTTAATCCAGTAGAACAATGACTTGCTATCACTTTTGGTGTTTTGGATCCGACAAAGATAAATTCAGTAGAAAGTAAGAATCTAGATAGGAAGAGGAATACGTATGAACTCCTCTTCGTTGTTGAAATGTTGTAATGGATTGGTTCAAGGATGCAAGTGTGGCGGCGTAGTCCAATCTTTTCCGCTCTTGCCTTGTAAGCTTACAGTTTACAGGCCTAAAACCTTACATAATGCGGAAGCCAGGTGTTCTAAAACCACTACCAAGCCACGCGCCACGCCATTCTTTGGGTTTAGATCGACAAACTTGTGGGGAACATATTAAATTATGATTGGCCATTACGAATTCTCGAGACCCCTAAAATGCCTTACTCTCTCTCCCTATGCCGCCTGAACCAGCCCTAACATACATTCACCTGATCGCATCATAATGTACCTCATACATATAAATGAAGCGATTCGGAAGTACGTAGATGCTTGCACCATCAGCCTCTAATAACCTTAGAAATTAATTTGATTTTAGAGAAATAAAATCGATTATGAAATAATTATGTACAGCTCGTTGCAGATTGAGATTGTTTCACTAATGGAATTAGCATTCCCCTTATTATTATGAAGACACAAGCATCGATTCGTGGTGGTACCGTACATACGTAATCCGGTGTGCATGCCAGTAGCCGTTCCTGCCAGGTCCGCCCACTTACATATGTGATACTAGGTACCTCCCACGGTGTTCAAACTCCACCTATCAAAGTACAAGCGTCTATCCGAACTTCTTCAGCAATCTTACCCGAATCAAAAACTCGAATATCAACTATGAAATACTAAATACTCGAAGGCAGAACTATTCCCAAAAGTTCTAGGAGATAAACATATCTCCTTTACCATTATTACATGCGCTTTGCATAGATCATCACCAACATCACTAACAGAGTGTTCTATTCCGGGAATGACATCACAAGCTGAACTAGGATCTACAATTGGACACCGTCAATATCTAATTAAAGATCTGAGAGCTCTAGATAGAGCCTATTCCGTTTAGAGCCACACGGCTCATCCCGATTCTTGGACAATTTTCGAAGTGAATTGAAACTCGCCGTTTGAAGTTTGTTAAACAGCTATCTCTCTTCTCTCCGGTACCTGAAGAAACAAACATCCGACTTGAGATAACAGGATATCCTTAATATATACATTATATATTTCCATATTGGGTAGGTAAGGACTATCGTATTGTCGCCCTTGTCGGAAACTAATGTCTCTCTTTTATTGATTGAGATATATTTCGTTTGAAGAGGGGCTACCCAACCACCGTCATTTGTGGCTCACTGGTCTCCGGCTTTGGCTCTGACCTTGGCTCTTAGCCTTTTTATACTGTACATCGTACATGAAAAGAGATTCAGCTCTGGAGTTTTGAGGGCTGAAAAGCCCCAGTATCTCTCGACTAACATACCTAATAGGTAAAATCCACTCACGAATGCAAGAAGCACACCTAGGACCTAGGTGCATTAATAAAAAAAAAAAACTCCGTTCAACAGTTGACCGCTTCTTTTTCAAGTAACCGGTCAGTGAGGAAATAACGGACAATATAAAACATCATCTATCTTTCCGCCACGGAATACGCCCGTATATGATTTATCTAGGCATCGTACGCATCGTACGAGGCTAGATCTGTTTCTTGCCGGGTACACGGCCTTTTACCCGTCTCCCGCGCCAGGATTCAAACGAAAAAAACCGGGAGGCTTGCAAGGCTCTGGACGTCCGAAAGGGAAAAGCAAAAAGATCCTGGTTTCTTTTTTCCTACCTTCGCCAGCCTTGGTAAAGCTGAAGCTTAGCTCTCTTACCAGCCATATTATTATTTTTTCCGCCAACAACCTTGAACTTGATCTTGATTAATACAACTCAAGCTTCGACGATTCTCCTCATGTTCGCAACGGCAACTTCGTGACTGTACCTCTGAATTTCCCCTGCATTAATTACCTGCTACCCACAACTACCCGAGTCGCATGTGTCTGCATCGTATTGGTCATCATGGAAGCCCGCAGATGATAGCTAGTCCGACACGCCTCCATCCGTCCTGAGCTCAGCCTATCTCGCAGCCCAATCATCGCCGAGCCTGATAGTTGTCCATCATGTCTATGTCTGCACCATATTGGGGCCAATTGCCCCCTTCAAATGCTCGCCGCATGTCCGGTGACTACGATCAACCTGATCGGCCTGATCGCAGACAGTCTTTGGATCAGCCTCCCGCCCAGTTTCAGTCGCGATCGAATCGGGCATCTGTCCAAACTGCACATACCGAATCTACCTTCAGCCCCCTAGAATCCCCCGCCACTTCAAACTTCCCAAACACCGGCTTAGCTCCTCGTCCGTCCTCCCTACCTTACGGACATAATCGGTACCCTTCAGATCTGCAAGAAAAAAGGCGAAGACGCACCAGCCGAACAACAGAAGACATTTTGGAGATCGGTTCGCACGACGAAGGCGCTCTTTCTCCTCCTCCGGCCGCTCCCGACGTTCCTAGAGCTCCGCCTGTTAGCTACAAGGACCCTTACAGACATAGTAGTCCTGCTTTCACTCCGACATATTCCTACAACGAAAACGGTCAACCCGGACCACCATTATCAGCTTATAGATTCGGTTCTCCTAGATACGGGTCCCCCGCTCAAGCACGGATTGCCGGAATGGAGTCCGAATCTTTCTACAAGGATTCTACTCCACCAGCAGAGAAGCAAAACAGAGCGCCTATACTCGATCGAACTCGACAAACATTCAGCGAAAACGAAAGTATCGATAAACAATTGGAGAAGGATACCGAAAGATCTGGATCCATACGTCAACCAACAAACGGGGATCTGGAAGGGCAAGGGACTGTAGATCCATATGCACCAAAGAGACAACCAACTCTAAACGCGCCGATAAGACGTCCGACATTTGCAGAAGATCGATCGCCGCTGCAAAGGCTTGAGCTTACCCTCGACAGCATTACTAAGGAAGAGAAGCGAGCTCGTGTAGAAGCTGCCGAGCGTCGCGCAAGGGAGCGAGCAGTTCGAAGAGAGAATGCCGTAAATCAAGATAAGCTTCAACCTCCGCCGGAGCGCTCGAACAGCCAACAGGTGAAGGTTCGTGATCGACGCCAGTCCGTGAGTCAGCATGATGACTCGGTGCAAGTTCAGCCATCGGCGGTTACATTCCATGGACCTTTGTCTCAGAACCCACCCGAGGAAACTAAGCAGTATACACCATCCAGCCAATCTCCAAGCTCTAAAATTCCAGTCCCTAAAAATAGAAATAACGCAGCAACTCAGAAGACCGATCTTCCTCAACGTAACTTGAGTTTTCGCGAGAGGACCGCGAAAAATGACGGCGACCTCTCAGTCGATGCGGGTAGTAACTCACCTGTATCACCAATTAGCTCACCAGGTGGAGGGTTTGCTCTCACTCGAAACGGAAGCAATAAACTGAAGAAGAATCCACCTGGGGACCCTTGGTATGCCCAGCGTAAAGAGGCCGAAGAGAAATCTGCGGCCCTTCAGAGACGCAATTTCCAAGATGGGGAAAGTTATGAGGTGCCTAGAGATATCAGTACGGCGCCAATAACTGCTAGGCCTAGGAATGAGCCTATTACAAGGGATCCCGCCTCACAATTTGTCGGCCGACCTCCGGCAAGGGGTAAGCAGCTCGAGCAAGAAGAGGATTATGGTGAACCTAGACAAAGAGGTATCGCTGCTACATTTGGGCCTGGTCGAAATGACTCCGTGACCAGCAGCCAGCGCTCTCCACCGTCACAGCAAACACATCAAAGCTCATTGCGAAATTCGGATGCCCCTCCTAGGAGTGCTGTCAAATCCGTCACGTTTCCGGACCGACGCTATGAAGCTCAAGAATTTGACGACGATGACTATGACTCAGATTTCAGCGAGCACAAGTTCGGTGTTCATGATTACATGCATCGGCGCAAACTGAAACCTGGTCGGGGAATGTATCAACCACCGAAGTATTTGGAAGAATGGAAGAAGTCTACAGTTGGAACACTAGCGGGTTCATTACTTGATCTCAACGTGGAGCCCCCTAACCCTAACCCAGGTGCTGATAAGGGCACGCCGTGGTGGGAGAACAGCGGCGGCAGACGTAGAAGCAGCACAACAACTCGACCGCCGCCAGAATTTTTCAACGAATCATATGATGATGCGCAAGTTCCAACGAGGTTTAAACCGCCACTATATCTCAAATGTGGCCCGCTACTACGTTATTGCGGTATGCGTCATGAAAAGCCCCTAGGGCGAGCAAATCGCGATAATGCATCTCTTAACCGAGATATATGGAGAGGTACTGTTATGATTGTCACCCAGGACACAGAATCATCATATGACATTCCTCCAATCCTTCGACTTTTCGTTCAGCCAATTGAGCTCCTGCCGCCGCCTCCCGCAGAACTGCGTGGGGAGCAGGTCCTTCCGCCAGAGTACGTTGACCCTATTGCCGGCATACCGAAGCTTGGTCGACGAGGAGAGACACTTTATGTGCGACCGGTGGAACATCTGGAAGAGGCCAAAGATGTTTCAAGGTTAGATCCCGATGATGGTCTATTTGAAATCACAAGGTCCGCTCCCGACTTCAATAATGCACCCGACCCGCCTGGGTCCTTTGCTAGTCGTAAAAGACGCACTCCGGTCGATGGGGAGAAGCTTGGGAAGTACAAGGATGTGCGTGGATTCCGCTTACATGCCGAAAGGGGTCATACATTCTGGAGATTTAATATCGAAGTTGAGCTCCGGGAGAAGCAACAACGAATTGCCTACCGTATCAACCATGGCCCTGCCACGGGCTTCTGGGTACCCGCTCGTGACCAGTCGATGAACATCATGTTCCACAGCTGCAATGGCTTCAGTCTGAGTGTAAATCCAGACGATTTTAGCGGGCCGGACCCTATGTGGCGCGATGTGCTCAACAATCATCAAACTCGGCCATTCCACGTAATGATCGGAGGGGGTGACCAGCTCTACAATGATGCTATTATGCGGGATACCCGCCACTTCCAAGATTGGCTACAGATCAAGAACCCTCTACATAAGAACAATGCTCCCTTAACTCCGGATATGCAGGATGAGATGGAGAATTTCTATCTAGAGAGGTACATGATGTGGTTCTCGCAAGGGTTATTCGGTCTAGCGAATTGCCAAATCCCCATGGTCAACATGTACGATGATCACGATATCATAGACGGCTTCGGTTCATATCCTGACCATTTCATGAAATCGCCCGTATTTAGTGGCTTGGGCAATGTTGCGTTCAAGTACTACATGCTTTTCCAGCATCAAAGTCTACCTGATGAAACTGAGGAGACTGAGCCAAGTTGGGTTACGGGTATCAAACCCGGTCCGTATATTCGCGAACAGAGCCGCAGTTTGTTCATGTTCTTAGGCAACAAGGTTGCGTTGCTCGCTGTCGACTGCCGAACCGAGCGTACGAGAGATGAGGTTGTGACGGAGGATACGTGGAAGAAGCTCATGGATCGTTGCGATTCCGAACTTGTCAAGGGCGAGACGCAACACTTGCTCGTTCTTCTGGGTGTTCCAATTGCTTATCCCCGACTTGTGTGGTTGGAAAACATGTGAGTGACCTCCAACCCCCCATAAAAACATGGCACAAGACATACTAACTTTCATAGCTTGACATCGCGATTAATGGATCCGATCAAAGCCCTCGGAAAAGCGGGAATGCTAGGAAATTTCCTCAACCGCTTCGATGGGGGTGTTGAGGTCCTCGATGATCTCGACGACCACTGGACAGCAAAGAACCACAAAGATGAGCGACGCTTTGTCATCGAAGACCTTCAAGACCTCGCCGTCGACGCATCCGTGCGCGTGACCATCCTCAGCGGCGACGTGCATCTCGCAGCCGTCGGGCAGTTCTACTCGAACCCCAAGCTCAACCTCCCCAAACACAAAGATTTCCGATACATGCCTAATATTATCTCATCCGCCATCGCCAACACGCCGCCCCCAGATCTAATGGCCGATATTCTGAACAAGCGAAATAAGGTTCACCATTTCGATAAGGAGACCGACGAGGACATGATTCCCCTGTTCACTAACGGGGTCGATGGCAAGCAGCGCAATAACAAGCATCTCCTCCCCCATCGCAATTGGTGCTCTATCCGCGAGTATGTGCCGGGACAGACCCCTCCGCCCACTCCACCACCCGAGGATTTCGATGAACCCCTCGAGGCCACGCCCCCGAATAGCCGTGGCGGCCTACTCCGCCGATTCTCCCTCTCGAGTCGAGAGGGCCCGGCAGCCCGTCCGAATACCTCGCACGCATCCGTCGACCGCTCGCGCCCGCCCGTGTCTAGCGGGGGAGGATTATTCCGCACGCTTTCGCGCCGGGCTTCCGACGCGGGCGTGCGGCCGAATAAGCTCCTTCGTACACTCTCGCTCGGCAGAGTCGACTCCACGCGACGTGGAAACAACGCCGGTAACAGCGGCGGCCTGTTCCGCCGAAGAAGCACAGACCGCTCCGACGACGGCGGAATCAACGGCGCCTGGGGACCCGATAGCGACGAGGATGAGGATGGCGTGTACGATGCTCGACCTCAGAGGAATGTACGGGGGAATGCGAATCAGGCTCCCATGATGACTGGGGGTAGGGAGTACAGGGACGGCGGCGCGAGTATGGGACATCTACGCGGCGGCGCTGGCGACTCGCGACACGTTAACGACGAGTACGAGGTCGGCGACGAGGTGTTCTTCACGGCGCGCCCGCCCCGCCGCGCTGTTACGCAGCCGGTTGCCTTGGCTAGTTCTTCCTATTCCGCCGCGGCCCCGACGCCCGTGCGTAGAAACACGAATGGTGGTCCGGTTAGCGGTGGTAGCAATGCATATGATAATTACTACGATCCTAATTCCTCGGAAGAAGAACCGCCTCCACCGCGCCCGTTTCATCGAACCCCAACTGGTCTCTCGACGAAGAAGTTGCAGAAGCGCGGGGTGGAGAGGTACGAGGTTGATTTGGAGGGCGGCTTGGATGTCTGTCTGAACGTCGAGGTTAATCCGAAGGATCCGGCGGGTATTACGGTGCCGTATCGACTTCTGGTTCCAAGGCTGTGGTATGAGTATGAGGGCGAGGACGCGAGTCCCACGCCCCCGATAGAGGCGCCGAAGCCGCAGTTACCGCCACAGCAGCAGCAGCCTGTGAGGGAACAGGTGCATGAGGATGAGGAGGACGATGATGAGGATGATGATTATGAGGGCGAGTATGATGGGGAGTATGAGTATGAGGAGAAACCAGGCATGCTGAAACGCTTGTTCAGCAAGCGTGGGCGGAATGTCTCGGGGGGTAGTGGGGGCGGTGGTGGGAGTCAGTATAGGGCGAGGAGGTCGTCGCCTTGATTTACGGATCGAAGACTCTCAGAGATGAGGTTTGAAAAACACGGCACGGGAAGAGTGGGGAAGCAAGGCAAGTTGTAAAACGCTTGTAGCAATACTCGGTTCCGACGGCTTCGTCTCATTTTATTTACCTATCTATCTATTCAGCAATAATTCGGCGGGGTTTGGGAAAAGTTTTCATCACTCGGGTGTTGGCATTTCGGGGTCTGTTTTCCTCGAGGGATATCTACTTCACGCTTTTCACAGTCGGGTTGACTTTAGGGATATAAGATGGGGAAGAAAGGAAGGAAGGAAGGAAGGGATGGGCGAGCTTGGTTCTTTATTTCGATGCGGGCAAGTTGGCCTGGCTGGACTAGGCGTGCTTGAATTGATTGGTTACGATTCTGAGAAATCTGACGAGATATGATGTTTGGAATGTCTGTGTTTGCGGGTTGGGGTGGAGGTTGATTTGATGATGTGGTAGCTGGCTTGACGTTGCTGCTTGGACGCGTTGATCTGATTATAATACAATACAGAGTTGCCATCGTCAAATCATCAGCTAAATATGCTACGTTATGTGTGATCTTCATGTTTCTCGTGTTGTTGTCTACGAGTGGTCGTTCTACGCTGTGGGGCTATTCATTGCCATGACCCTTATACCAATTTTGCGATTCAGTCTATCACATACGACCATAGGATCTGGAGAACTCGGGATCCCGTCCGCTCTCCCCTTGATAAACCAGATACCGCCGGATCAGTAGTTGGGTCGGTGACGACCAGCGAATCCCTGGTGTTGTATGTCTTCTTTTTTTCTTCTAGTTCTTTTTAGCTCCTTTCTACGATCGTCGAGTCCCATAAAGTTCCACCTGCTTAAGCCTCCATATTCTCTAACATACTGGGTACCCAGAATCCAGATATGTATGTGGATATGATGCTAAACAAGTCTTGAGAATCTTTGTGCATATTACATTTATCATCGTATCATCTTACTGGCTGTTTCCTTTTTCTGAGAACTAGCTACCAGTTTCAAGATCACTACTAATTATGACACCGCATTGTTATGGGTTCGTCTTAGCTAGTAGCAAAGGCGGAACGCTTTACTACTATTAGCAGGCTCAATATGGGGCTCTAATGCAGGGGCACGCTCTATAAGTCAACTTTCAAATCTAGTCCCAAACAAAAGTCGGAATCATGATGGAGCGATTGCCAGCAGTCAAGTAAGCCATATGGTCATTCGTAAGTCGACCATGCTGAGCAGTAGCCGCAAGCTGAAGGTTGCGTCACCCACTAGTATAAAAACCAACTAAGCACTATGCTGCGGAGTTTCCTATTTGGGATGTTCCTCTACAGCGTGCTATACGTACCTATCTTATTCCTTGTCCCAAAACGATTCAAGAAAACCTTTCTTTCACATGATTCTCGACTAGGATACCAGACCCTTGACCGAGTTATATCATCCCATATTTAAGCATATAAGTCTATAGGCCAGCTCGTAACAAGCGTCTTCGACTGGTGGGTATATCCTATGTAACCACACAACACCTTAAACTAGTAGCAACTCGCAGGACTCATTGAAAAATTTTCGTTCCTTAAACTACCTAATACATAGGCGCCTTGGTATCTTGTGGATTATAGAAACGGGTCCAATCCACCAAGCGACGCATTCTGGGACTGGGAATCAATGCATCAGTGCCTAGTTTGGAGGCTAACCCGAACCCACCGCGATGGCTCCATCTTCACGAACCCGATGCCGCGGTATAAGTGCTACTATCGCAGGTTTCGGTTACTACTAGCGAAACCATGGTGTTATATGATTCGTTGGCGAGAGTATTAGTAGGACCCGTTTTTTACAAGCTTAAAAGCGTTCCCCCCAAAAAAATTGGTGTAGGAGAGGCGCAAAATATAAAAAGGTAAACGATCCCTCGGACCGGAATCGAACCGGTGACTTTTCGATAAACAATCGTGAACAATTACAGTCGAACGCCATAACCAACTAGACTACCAAGGGATGCTGAAAATGTTTATAGTATTGTTTAAATACTAGTAGGTGGACAGGTGGGTGATCCGAGCTCGTCTAAGCGGGACAGCACGGGCTTGAGTTGTGATAAGTTTGAATGATGTCAAATATAGTCGTGGCGCACTAGAACTTCATAGGCTGTAAAAAAAGGACCCAGTCAAGAGTGTCAAGAGTATGAACATATTCTTGATAGAACAAAGGAAGCCACATGCATAATCCTTGATATATATCAAGAATCATTCAAATTCCGGCTTAGGCTCAGCCGACTGGTCAGTAAATCGATGTGGAGACTTCATTTTCACGATGAGAAAGTTGTTCGTTGGGTGTTGTGTTATAGTAAACCCTGCCTTGACACCCGCAATGGCTTGTGCCATGAAAGACAAAATGGCCCCTGACGTTGTTGTGGCAGTTGTGGTAGCTTTCAATTAAATTAACTAGTAGCACGACATAACTGCCACATGAAGCGCCTTGATACTCTATATGGAAGAGCATTAGGATAGCCGCGTCCACATTTGACACACGACAGTACGTGACCTAATCAGCTCAACCTTGGCCTCGTCTATTCGTGTTCGGCTATTTGTATTCGGGAGGACATGTGACTACTTTGCCACTCTACAAGAAGAGCATCAATAGTACCACACGGCTGTTAGAGTTGAAAGCCACGACTAAAGTTCTACGGCGTCGAGAGGCTGCCATAGAGCTTGTAGCATGTGCAAGCACCACATCGAGGGTGTCGGGATTCTCGTTACACTGCCGACCGGCGTAGCTTTCATAGGTGGGGACGGAATTCGGACACGGAATAGAAGCACATGCTCGCTTCTCCTTAGTTCGTACTATTATTACGGCTGAACGGCGTGTGTGCTATAGGGCAGTAGGCACAGCTAGTTGCAGGCGTCTGATTTGGGGATAGAGTCGTTTGGGAGTACTACCAAATAGAATTCTTCCTGCAGTGCGATGGGTATCCAATATATCCAATATATGTTTTGATACACATGATAGATACGTGTATGCTTCAAGTAAATCAAGAAGTGCCAATAAATGCAGGACGCCGCTGTTTCAGACTAATTCGACGAATGATCGCTAGGTGGGCGTTAAGGGGACTTCACCTGAGTTTGACCACGTACCAGTCGCTGAGGGTGACGCATTGGATGTTAGTCAAAGACATACCGGACTATAACGAATACGAAACCGTGGCTGAAATGTGCATAATATCGACAGAGGTTATCTGAGATTTGAATATTTCCAGGGTCCGGACCGAAACATATATCTTCGAAACTGGAAATATGTGGGCTGTGGCTTAAGCCCGGGGTGCCGCTTTTGTGCATCACGCATATAAGACTTAGTCTAGCCGAGAGGACTATATCGTCACGGCATCCTGAAGATCGACATTATCTCGGCAAGCCCCTCCACTTCCCAACCTTGAGATTAGCTAGCTGCATCCTCTCATGCGCAGAGGTCACATATAAGTGCGAGATAGCCAGGATAGCCTATACAGCTGCAAGTTGCAAGCCGGAAATCCTGCAGGGAGATCACGTCGGCCCGCCGATGCGTCTGTGACGTTCCAGAACGGCGGGGTCTACAAACGGCTGAGCCGTCGCCGCGGACGATATCTCAATAGGACTTTCTGAGGTGATCGTCAAAATAAAAGTTTGGTTTAAGCTTGGTTAACTACTAGGTATAGACACGTACGGGTCGAGTGTCTCTCGCTTGGACGTCTCACTGTAACCTCTTTGATAGATGCGGGGGCGAGGGTATATGATGTATTCGATGCTGGCTTTGACGGTGGCCGCAGTCTGCCCTTTACTAGCTCTCGGCGTAATTGACGAGGCTGTTGAGGTTGTTGCTGCTGCTGTTGCTGTTGCTTCGGTTGCTGCTTATCAGACATGCTTCAAGGTTCTCATGATATTTACCTAAGTAAACATGAACTCGTGTGGGGATTCAACTATAGTCCTATAATCCTATAGTTTAAGACCTGTTTGCAGTTCGTAATGCAGGTCTCAAGCGATAGGCTGGGAAATTTATGTATGTGGTTTGCATGTTGTTGTCGTATTTGGATTCGTTAGGTGCTGAATGTTTATTGGAACCGAAAGACGGGTCGCTTATACGTCGGCAATTGAAGCATGGAGCGCAGATCAGGTGCCTTAGAAATTCTTAAGACGCTATGACCTTTTTTAGTGGCTTCTCAAGGATGAAATGTTGACGATAATAATATTTTAGTCCGGGCAGGCAGAAGAACCTTGAAAAAAATGACGGACCTTCCCATCCTTTTGGTCACACAAGAATAACATGGCAGGAGCAATTGAGAACGATTGAGAGCAATCCGATTCTCAACAATTATGTTATGTGTCTCAATTGCAAACATTTTACCTTATAGAAGCGTTTTCAGAAGCAAGGGAAGCTTTTCCTAAACTCAATTGAAAGTTTCGATGGAAGCTTTCAACACTTTGCGAAGTGAATATAGTGAATAAATGCTGTCTCTAAGCTGTCAGGGATCTCATTTGAAGATGCAAATTGGGGTACGAGCACCTGACCATTTCGACCGGGGTTACCTTCCTATAATAGTATTCCGTTAACTACAAACGGCAAGGCGTAATATTCTTACCCCTCATTTCTACTTGTCCTTGGAAGGCGGCCAAGGAGGTCGTGTGTAGTCGCATGCAGTTGACGACGTGAGATGGAGGTAGCTTTGCACAATGAACAACTCATTCTTTATTAGAAGACTCGTGATTTGCTCATTGAGGTCATTGAGGTACCTCTTCACCCGTTAGGTAATCTGGGTACCTGATCATACCTTGCGTACCTTGTGGCCTCTACCTTGTCCCTAGCTTGCTCCTACCTGACCCTACGTGCATTCCAATTCTTACGTCCTTTGAAAAAAAAAATTGATTCAATCCAATCCCCGTGGTCAATTGGCACGGCTAGTTCCAAAGCATAAGATTTTTAAGTTCGGGGTAGCTTCTGACTGTTATAAGTCTTTGACCAAAAGACGATATCAAATCAATTAGATTCCCCCCCCTAACACCGCCTAAAACGTTTGCTTTAACATTGATTATTCCTTCCCTTTCTTTTCTAGTACGTACAATTTAATACATTGAAACTTTGGAATCGAACCTTGGAACCTAGGTTGATCCACTTCCCACGCGTTGCCCGCCACTCGTGGACCCCGCGTTAGAGTATTAACTGAGTTAGCGGCAAAATTACAAATTTTTCCATTGAGAAAGAGGTGCCCAGGCGCCCCTACCAGCTTTTGCCAGGTGAGCATTTACGCACCTAAGCACCTAAGCACCTAAAGCCCCGAGCCGCCTTTTTTTACTTTCTCCCACCAAAAATTTCCTTAACTCATTATCCTTCCTTATCGCCTATTAGTCCAGACCCCCCCTCCTCCAATTACTCAATTCCGTGATCGGTCTTGGACCTCGACGCAAGACCCAAAGCTGAGCAAGCAAATCTCAGCCTCGGCCGGTATAGCGGCACAACGGCATAGCGGCATACGGAGCTCTACGGAGTGAAGTAATTACCTCAAGCAAATCATCCTACGGTTCGTCACATCTGTCATCTTAGATCCGCTTGATATAATTTGTCAATCCACGGTTCTAAGGTGCATGGATGGTCACACAGTCGTCGGCGCCGTTTCGGCCCCGTCAACGAGCCCAACCAGCCCCGTGAGCGTACATCGCCATGGCTCCATGAAGCGAAAGCGCAGCGAAGGAGGACTTGGAGTCGACAGTAGTCCGGGAAGCGTTATCGGCGACGAAGACCAATCTTTAGCAGAGCCCGAAAAGAAGAGACAGCCTGGCGTGAAGCGGTACGTCGACAAAGAATCAATTAACCCCATCTCTCACTCATTATTTTATTTTATTTTATTTTACTTTACTTTTGCCATCTACCTAGACCTTCAACTATCCAGGTATAAGGCAAACAGACAGATATATATATTCATATCTGTATATCTACTAGGAAGTATCTGTTTGGATACTACCAAGATATATATATCTATATATAATATGTTTTTATAATATGTAAGGCAATTTACTAATGAGGTCATCTTCGCAGAGCATGTAACGAATGTAGACAGCAGAAACTGAGGTGCGATGTTGTCCAAGAACCATTTCAGAGTTGTTCGAGGTGTAATCGTCTAAAGCTCGAGTGCAAGATCGAGTCCAATTTCAAACGCATCGGCAAGCGATCAAAACATGCAGAGATGGAAAAAGAGATTGACCGTCTACGACGTAAGATATCGCAAGCAAAGGCTCAGGGTTTCGTAATAGACGAAGATGAAGAACTGCAATCCCAATTGCAATCCCCCGTCGCAAATAGTGCGTACTCGCATACCCGCAATCCTTCGCTCATGGGATCCGATGAAGCTGTCACTTCCCTTCTGACTCTAAAGCGAGGAGGGTCGTATAGCTTAGCCGCAACCCATTATGCCTACGAGCTTGAGACAGTGCGGCTGACCGAGCAGGATGTCCATGGCTTATTTCAGGAATTCTTCTCATGTTACCATCCATTTCTCCCTTTTCTGAATGAGCACCAGTCACCTGACCTGTACTATCAACAACATGCCTTGCTCTTCTGGACCATCATTGCCATCGCTTCCCGGCGGTATACCCCTAAGCCTAGTATCTTACACGAACTTTCGAGCGGACCTCTGAATAGGTTACTATGGGGAACCGTAGGCGATGTGCCCAATAGCTACTTCGTCGTCAAGGCTCTTTGCTTACTATGTACATGGCCCCTGCCGACAAGCACGACCACGGCGGACCCGACACATATATTATGTGGCGTGATGATGAAAGCCGCCACAGGTATCGGCTTACATCGGCCTAATCATACACAGGACTTCTCCCGCGTCTCCGTTGAGCTCAACAAGGACCAGCTTCACGATCGAGTAACTACCTGGGCTGTGTGCAACATTGTTTCTCAATCGATTGGGACCGGCTACGGCCAGCCCGCCACTACGTTATATGACTGGACGCTTGCTATCCGCCCCGGAGAAGAAGGACCCTTCACCTTATCGCCTGAACTCGAAGCTAGATTGAGGATAGAGAGATTTTGTGATAAAGTCTCCAAGGAAATGTACAGTAATGCAAGCGATCCCAGGGGTGTAGCCGGCGATGAGCACAGAGCAATGCTGATGCGGGTGTACCGTCGAGACTTCCAAGAATTGCAAGCATCGATCTTGTCCCAACGTCTGACTCCCATCGTGGAGATTCACCTAACAGCTGCCAACGTCCACCTCCGTCTCGCCGGATTCTTTGACTCTAGCAGCACACCCGGTTACATGGATGATCTCATGGGTTTATGGCGGGCTATTACAAGCTTTCTAGATCTACTATTCCTAGAGACTAACCAGCACATCTTGTTGTACGCCACTAATTACATCCAGCAGATGCTCGTCGCCGCTGGCTTTGCTTTGTTGAAGCTGATGAGATCATTCTTCGCCAAGACGATGGAGTTCGAGAGGGGACGGACATTATTTCACAAGACGATCCAGGCAATACGCTCAACAAGCGTACTCGACAATGATCTGCAATGGCGGTTAGCAGAGCTCATGGTTCAGATGTGGAACGGCGCCCGAATCGACAATAAAAATAACACCTCATTCCATGAGGACGACAACTCAGTTCTCATTGACGATAGCTTGCAATTGAAAGTACGATGTAGGCATAGCATGAGCCTTGTATTCGACTCTATTTGGCGTTGGAGGGAGGAATATCAGGCTCAGGGTCGCGGTACGCTCGACGGTATGTCGTTTTCCTTGTCTCTCCATGTACACCACGCCTGTGTGGGTTGGAGATTTTACTATTTACTAATTCATGGTCGAGTAGCTCTCAAGCAGCCAACTAACCCGGACTCAGGTAATGAGTCTTCAGCATCTTCTACGCATATGGATAGCACACTTCTGCCTCATAACAATCTCGCGAATTTGACGACGATGGCAACGAGTAATGGTGGTATAACACCGACGGCAAGCCACGGCCTGAACGCCGGCGCCAATAGCATGATCGGGATTGGCTATGGCAGCGATGCAAACTACGACTTCTTTGATCCACAACACTGGATGCTCGACGGTTTGTTAGATTTTAACTATACTTATGCTCAACCCCTGGAAGGCATGTAGGACACGCCTTCCGAATATCGACATGAATAACAGGAAACCTTCAACAGCCAACAGCATGGCAAACCAGGCCGAGACATCAGGGTTTTAAAAATGGAGGTTTATTGAGTCAAAACACTTGGGCATAATTACTATAAGGGCGGGGGGCACGAGGATACGAGGATGGGATTCAACGATGCACCGAGAACATGACTTGCGCAAGGGATAAACGCAAAGTATTGTTCTTTTCACCTGCCACCTGGAGTGGGTTTAATTACGTTCGATGCTGAAGATAACGCTTCGGTATAGATTGATCACGATTGAGGAGAAACGACCGGAGATGGCCTAATACCCCTTTGCTTGCGCGTGGTATTGCGAAAAGAGGGAGGGGACTATACCAGGTGCGGTTGGGGTTCAAGCGAAATGTTTACATGTGATATATAACCTGTATATCTTAGTCTCACGGTGGTCGATTTACATAGTCAGCATTTATTCGGAGCAGAGTACGAAATTGAAATTGTTCAACATATTTGCGAGTCCTTAACAGAAGCGAACCCTGAGAATTGGATGCGGATGTGCTCGAGTCTCAGAAGAGGACAACAGTTAAGATACCAACCTCTCCAGAATCGACCACAGTCCTGTCCATCGCAAGGCAGTGTCTTCAGCGCTTAGAAATTCTAAGTTAGTAATTTTTGCGAAATCAGCCAGATCCTACGATATTCCTGAGAGGACATCTTGCTTGGGGATAGATCCAACGAGGCTGTGGCTGAAAAGTTAAGAGGTTTCCGGCAATGTTAGCTCTCGGACCGAAAATCAGATGGTATATAAGTTGTATGATGTATGGTGTGTATACCTATGCCATGTGATTTAAATTACGCGCGCGTAAGCTTCGCTACCGTGAATACGAAGCTTCTGTTTCTTTATGATGAAGTACCGGGCGAAGATCGAGGTCGGGTGACAGTATATTGGATCCGACGGATGTTTAACAGAGCAGCAAAGTGTGATATCAACAACATGTGCCAGAAATAGCAACAGCAATTATTCAGCTCGGAACCTTCCATGCCCGTCAACCGACTCTGGACACCATCTTGCATGTGCTTTGGTCTGGGGTGGTTGTGGTGGATGTGGTGAATGCGGCTTTCTGAGAGGTGAAGTAGGCTTTCTTGACTTTTAGCTGGGCGCTGTGTAACTACACTCGGTGCCGGTGATGGGGGACGTGAGGTAACGACTACTGCAGAAGTGGCCTGCCCGAATCGGAACGTGAATATCCATATGTATGTAGGTATGTATGAGGTATGTATGTGTGTATGTACATGTGTGTGGGAGGAACGACGACGAAGGGTGGGATCGTCCCCTCAGCTAGATGGGCAGGCGTGTTTCAGAACTGCGCGTGGCTGGCCCGGATTGCAACGCACGAGTTACGTTGTGAGTCTACGTGCCTAGTAGCAGGTATCTTACGTACGTATGTCGCGTGGCATATATCTTGGAGTCTGCAGAGCGACGGCGCAGACGAAAATGCTGGGCGCGCGCACCACACACACACACACTCATATACACAAATACACGCATCCTAGCTCGGCGGTAGTCTGGTTCGCTAAGAACTGCTGCTGCGTGGTTAGGTGGGAAGAAACGTCGCTACTTTAGAGCTTTGAAAACCCTCGCTGGTAGGTAGTATTCTTTTTTTGGTAAACTGTTGTTGGCTCGTGGTTTACCAGCATTTCGGTTCACCTTTTTCCCGCATGATGGCTTTTTAGCGTGAGATGTATAGTTACCAGATACTACCATATGTAGGTGGCTTACATAGGTAGGTAGCTAGCTACTAACACGATTTCATCATCGTCATCTTTATCATCCAAATATCTTCTAGGTCGTCTCAGAAAACTGACTTGCAGCGCTTGTTGCTGATGTGATACCATGCACCTCCGATCTCTTAATACCTAGGAAGGTCCCGGTAGAAGGATCGGAGAAGCCACATAGAAGCTGGTCGATCAGCGCGTCCAATTTCGCCCCCAAAGCATAGGACATGGGTTCGACGGCTTCGTGAACGGCGCAAGCCATTGCCGCTATGTTGGATCGCTACTTTCCGTCACCCGTAGGAATGATAGGGTATAGGGTATAGGGCATAGGGCATAGAGCATGGAGGGCGTAGGGCTAGCGTGATCTTACCTGTTAGCAGATCCGGGGCTTCTGTTCCTGCGTCTTCGGGACGAGTTTTTTGAGATAGAGGTAGATCGGCGAGACCAGCTTCTTTCAGGTATGGCGCGCCGCCGCAGACCCGCGCCACAGACGCCTGCCAAGGACTTTTTTGATCGTTCCGTCAGCGGAAAGTTTGCCTGAATCTGCCCTGAGACCCCGGAGGAGTCGGTACTACGAATCTCTGGCTCCTTCGCAGATGGGCCAAGACACCGAGGAGGGAAAGCTCGGCCATCGTCGGAGCGGTGTCTTGTACAAACCTGTGTTCACCTCCGGATTCTACGGGGACACGATGGCTTAGCCCGAGGCAAACCTGCGGAGATAAGACGTCTAATATCCTTTTGGGAAGTAGGTATGGTTTCACAAATAAAGAAAGAGGCTGCTGTACCTGTCTACGCCTCCGGGTTATTCCCTGGACGATAGAGTGCTAGTTACGCAATGCCAGGATCAGAGATGTTCGACTACGCCGCTTCTAGCCATGCCTTTGTGGGAGCCGGTAAAATTGAGATCCTGTACAAGATGGTTACTTGATGAGGTTCCAGATCTCATCTGTTTCAGGAAAATAAGAATTAAAAAAACCTACGACGCGATAGAGTTGGCTGGGGAAAGCGAGTTGCAACGTGAAACGAGCTGCTTGTCATAGTGCTACCCTACCACCTTACCGCGAACCTGCACAGTTTATTACTTGGTATTGGTTCTCTTATCTGCAGATGTCTTTGGTACATACATGGACAGATTGTAATAAACTGACGACTCGAATCCTTAATCATGCAAGAAACCGAATGAGAACATACTAAGCTTTTAGCTCTCAGGTGTTCCAAATTCTAATAACTACTAGATATCAACCATGGAAACTATGGTTACACGGAAAGGCTACTTCATGGCAGTTACAGGGTCCGGAATGCAACTGTGAAAGAGATTCTCGTGGTTTGTGTAACACTATTGAGTCTCTCAGGCGACGTTGCTGTAAGCAGTTGACCCAAGCGAGTCCATCGACGTAAGCTTGCCACGAGGTAAGCTCCCATTTTGGCTGTCCGAAGAGAATATCGTCTAACAATATTCGATAACATCAATATCTAGTAGGTAGTCTGAAGTAAGCACCGGTGAGTTCTTGAAAAAGTCGCGGTGAACCCTTGCTAAGAGTTTGAATCAGCGAAAAAGAACATGGACTCCCTATTAGGTATTCAGTAGTCCATGGTATTGGGACGAGCACTACAAGTAAGACAATTAGGCGTTGCTGACATAGGAAAGTGAAGAAAGTGTGGGCAGGTGTTTCTGCAGCAGGAGATTGCGCAGTACCGTGACTTGACACTTGACCATCATGGAGACCTTCGTCGCCTCTTTCCTTCTTTGCTCTCATCTAAGCTGCAACTGGCGATGACTTCATTTCGGGGTCACCGCCAAGAACCTGAATATGATATTCTTTTAAGTAATGTGCCTGTCAATCCGTTCCTACCGGACCGGAAGTGTATCTGTAAAAATTCAATCGCTGCAAACGAAAACGGGGCCAAAAAGGAAAAGGCGGGTGTAGGGTGGTGGCGCCCCCAATGGTGTAGATGGCGTAAATGGCCTAAATGGCGCACGGATTTGGTCGGATTTGGTCTGCGGTGTTACAGAAGCTTTTCGTCCCCATCTCCCCACGCTTCCATTTTGTTCTTGGCCCTCCGGAAGCAGGAGTGTCTTCTCGGACCTTGGATTCTTAACTTGGTAGTATATGCCACGTCTGGGTCGATCCCGGACCTAGCGAGTCGGCCGTGTGGCTAAGCTTGCTCGAGTTCGAAACGCAAGCGGAGGACGGCCGGCATTTGGGTCGCATGATGAACGTAGCAGGCAACCAGGCGACCGCTGATCAGCGACAAATTGCGGTCGAGGAAGACGACACGCTCCCACTGCCGGATAAGCGCTGTGTCGAACAATGGGGGCCAAAAACTGCAGAAATGCGGCGGTGCTGGTAGACTGGGCTGGTCAGGCTGATTTTGCACTTTCGAAACTTCCACTTCTCTTTTTTTCTTCTTTCGGGATTCGCCAAAAAAGCCTTTCGATCCTATTAAACCTGTCTTTGAATCAGGTAATCAGGTAATCCGGTAATGGACCCAGCATCTCGTCCGTTGTACGGCAAAGAATTACCTACAATCCTACCCAATTATTAATCCCATAACTCGACTCGGTTAGGGAGGAGAGGCGTTGGTGGCCGACGTTGCATTCGAGCACGCTTCCGGCCAAATAGTCGACATCTCGAGTACCCAAAGTTCCACCCTACCCCGGTGTCGAGCAATTACCATACCCTGAATTGAATACCGTACTGGCCGTACTATGTACGCTGTATGTAGCAGCCAGGCAGCGTACTACATGTATGTAGTAGGTATGTAGTATGTAGTATGTAGCTCTCTCTCCTTAACACCCTTCCTTCTGGCGTCGGATTTTGATCGGGTTTTAGCTTATGTTTAATGTTCTAGCGCTTCCTCGCCCAGACTTTTCTGCGGCGCGGATGGGCTGGAGTCTTGGGGGCTATTATTATAGAATCCAGAGGACCCACGTTAGGGATTGGACCGCTGGAATCTGGATAGCACTCGAAGCCCTAAGCCTTTGAAGAGCAACAACCAACGTCAAGATCCTCTTCCCTCGAGTCGGAATATGTGTTGGTACCCTATACTTTCGCCCATCCATACCGCCCAGATCATAGGGCTGGCCAATGGACCGGGTATAGTGTCAGCCAGCGTTACCGAAGGATTGGCGACCAATCCGATGACGCACATGCTGTATATCAAAGAGCTTCTAATCGTCGGTGTGTGATATTATGCAGATGGCGGCGAAAATGCACCGGCTTAAAGGGTAACGTTAAGATTTCATATCTCGTGCCCGCCGTTTGGCAGCATGTATTGTCCAAGTACCATGAGGAGATCCCTTGCTGTGCCGCGAATAAAAGCATCAACATGCAGTCCGAGAGTCTAAGCTCCCATAAGGAGTAGAAAAGATGGAACTGCCGAACAAGTCATTCAACCATACCTTCCTAAGACATCTAGAGTCATTTCGGATCTACGATAAACACTACATGCCTGACCCAAGTCATTACGTAGGCAGGGGCTGCTCCTAAAAGGGGGAGCGATCAAGCAACCTCACTGGATCTTGACTTCGGTCCGGGCGGAATCAAGCTTGGCACACGATGAGGATACTTGAGGATACCAAGTAGGTACTGAAGCGCGCCCGTAGGATGGAAGGGGAAAACCCCAGACTTGCAGGTAGCGGCAAGGGTGAAGCTTCGTAATCGTTTAAAAACCCTCACCGTAGGCGGGTAAATCGGGCTAAACTTACCAGACAGTCTAATACAGAGGGCAAATTAACAGGTAGTCTCAACAAGCTCATACCTCCTTGTCTCTATCTTTGGATCAAATATCAACAAAACACGATACCCACTTCATCTAGAGGATGAAGATGATGACAGGATTCAGAGCTTCTGGGTTAGCACGTGTCCGGCAGCACCTAGTAATCAGCTAGTGAAATCTACATTCAGCCTCACGATGAACATGCCATACCATCAGCGGGTATTAATTACATAGGGGGCTCCATATGGCCATGTTGGTCATCCTACGGTGTCCTGACCTGCCGAAAGCGTCCTCTTCATTGAAGACGTATCTACCTGAGTATTGCAAGGGAAATTACCGGCCGAGATACCTCTGCTAGCATTGCATCGAGTAGATTGAAACTTTTTTACCGGGGGAAGCTGCTATTCGAAATGACAGCAAGGATGCCGGGCTCGAAGTCGTGGCGCTGGTAAACCCCTGAGTCTTAATTACATACCTGATAGCCGGTTCGCTCCTGGAATGGGGTACTTACCTACCTGCTGTTAAGGGGGGCCCATAAGAATTGCCTCCCTGCAAATGAACCACTCCGTGTCAATGCGCTTTTAATTAACGCTGTTCGGGATAGAGGCCATAGATGTGCTTCTCCTTACCTACCTATGAAATATGAACAAGGCAGGAAGCTAGCAAGTTGATCCTCCTCGGCTGCAGAGCCCGAGAAATAATTACTTTTGCTTCTCGTCGTGTTACCTACTAGGTAGATGACACACTTGCCTAAGAGAGAGAGAGCCCCTAAAGCCAACTCTAGTAGAAGGCTGTAATGATAGACGGCTACGAAAGCCTACCTAATTACCGACATCATACCCGTAGTTCCCCGGGCGATGTTGGAGTAGTCGAGATACTTTGCCACGCGATCGATTGGGAAGTTAAAAATGGGAAAACATGGAAAATTAAGCTTGTTTTCCAATACCCGACATGGACCATTAAATCCTTGGGCAATCGCGTCAAAATCGACGCTCAACCGCGTATCTAAACTGTATCCCATGGGGTAAAAGATACAAACTTAGCCTCACGATGACCAACTGCATAGACAAGCACGAGCGGAGCGCTTATGTGCATTATTATGGTAGCATTCGATGGATAATTTGGTGTCCGACGTCACAGCATAGGGTGCCAATTGGTGAACGCCCTGCTCGTTTGGTAGATCCCAGAGTTGGTAATCTCTGCGTGGAGTGATACCCAAAGCCCCGGGTCCATCGCCGAGGCTGCCCAGATGTTTTGATGCGCCTGGAAGAGTACAGGCCTTGTCCAAGGGGGTTTACAATCGGGATCTGATCCTCGTTATTCGATACAAATTGACTTAGACTAGAAACCCCTAGTGCGCCGTGTGCCCTTGCTAAGGTACTTCTCGCCCTAAGAGATTTTGTTAGAATTTATTTGTTGGCTATGGGCGGTGGAGCAGCGTTTATTTAGACTTGTTGGTTCTAGCGGATTTTTTAACTAAGATCGCTTAGTGGGCAACTACCAACACGTTTCTTGAGGCTTAGATCGCGACTAAAACTGACTACTTCCTAAACAAGCGCGCGGATGTCGATGTGATCGTCGGGGCGAGGACTAGTTGCAAGGAGAAGATGTTGTGTAAAAAAGAGTCAAGTGATATATACCCAGTCAGATTTTGTCTCGTATAGCGCTGCTGCCTCGGATATCTCTATCCCTTGATAGGTTCTCTAAATATACTTAACTTAATCTGATAAGTGCTAGGGTTCTAATGCAACTGCGGAGTTATGATAGATCTCTCTTTATTTCTCTCTCTTCTCGGGATCGTATAAACCGACTCACCACCAACTAACGGTCGGCGGTCCGGTCCGAATATAGAAACTCACATGAGCTCAGCCCTATCGTATATATCGTGTTTGGGCACAAAGGGAGGTGGAGAGGAGACCAGGCCCATGGGTATGTCGTGATTGCTATTTGTAGTAGTTACTACCTAGCTACCAGTTAAGATATGCCGAAGCTTTGGGAACAGGAGCACATCAACCTTCATTTAGAGTGCTGACGCTACGTACACGCCGCTTACCGCCAGTTCACGAAGAGATTACGGGCCGAGGGAGTTTTTCGAGTTCCAGTTCGAGGCTCTCTTCTCACATAATCGTTCGATGAGGCACGATTCTTGGCAATCGTCCTTTAATCAACGCGGCCTGCATAGGTAGTAGGTAGATAGTAAGTAGGTAGTAGTATAGCATACACTTACTATTGTCTCACGTACATAAACTTGGAAATCTGGTTCAAGTCAGCGTCACACGCACCCTTCAGGCGATTAGAGGGTAAGAGACGGTAAGAGAGGGTAAGTATAGGCTCCAATGTGGTGCTGAGGCTACTCTCGTCCTCTATGTCACAGGTGTGGCTAAGTATGATTGGTTACCGACTGGACGGTAACGAATCATCCTAGTACAGGCTAGCTCCTAGATCAGCCACTAAGAACTCGTGGTCAGTGTGGTCAATGTGCAGTGCCACCGTCCTAGGCGCTAAGCGCTGTGCTGCAACATCCATGATCCGCTTTTCCACCCCCGCCTGCACCTGCTTGTACCTTGATACCGTAATACCTGCTGCTTTTTAGCCCTCTTATTATTCGCACTGTACTTACCATGGCAATTATGCTTCCAAAGTTCATACAAAAGTTGCCATAAACATGTCCAGTCGGTTTGAGATGCATGGGTGGAGCCGCTCATCCGTCTCCTCCGGCTTCCCGTCATTTGATCGATGTCCCGTCGGCATGTCGCAATCTCTTAACACTTTCCTGCACTTGCTGCACCGTCAAGCCATCCGCTTCCCCTTTGGGGTCTTGCGCGACGCTCGTGCAGAGCCGGTCGAGTCAGACTGCAAAGGCCTCTATCCCAGCAGTCCAGGAGGATCGTAACGCATCATATAATATATCGTCCCGTACGGTCGGGTCGGACAGCACATCGTCTAGGACCTATCTACTGCCTCGAACGCATAAATTTGTACAAATGTCTTCGGCTGTAAGCGGGAGCCGGAGGGACTATTCGCCCATATCTGGATCGTATCACCGTCCGCCCGAGGGTTCATTGGCAAGTAGGCAGGTAGGCAGGTAGGTAGTCGCCGAGTTGCTATGCGGGACAACCGACAATCACACTCCCGACTTTTCAGGAGACCTGGTCAATTTGTCTTAACCTACCATTTGGGGGCTTAGTCTTAATAATTGCGACCCGAGACCCGACCAGAGATAAACAAAAAGAGAAGGAAAAAAATACCCGACGGTTTTAGACCCCAAACCCCGCCTTGTTTTTTTTCTTGTCACGCAATGCGAGATATGGTCGGGAGTTGCGAGTTACCCATCTGACATACCGCATATTTGATCTGTATTCTAAGTATAGAAATGAGTATAATCCAATATCAATATATCAATATTGAAAGAGTTAAAAAAGAAAAGATCTAATTTATAGAGATTATCAAATGACCATTACGACATGTATGTCACTTGTCTATAGATACCAACCAACGCTAACAACTCTAACCTTATACGTAGCTCATTAGGCTGAAAATTGAGATAAATAGTTTATCTAGCGGATCTCAGTAGAACGGTATCCCAGGTCGATTTTCCCGTTTGTGGACCTGTGGGACAGTCCGTGGTTCTAATGTAGTACACGTAATAAAGGTAGGCCAGTTTAGTGAATTTAGTGAACTCTAGTGGATCTTTTGATTTGACGAGATCCTTTCAAAGTAGGTACTGGCATAGCAATTGCGGGAATTGGGTCAAGAACTACCTTAGTCTTCTGCGGTACTCCCTGAGATGCTGCGTAGGTACGCTGTACATCTTTTTTGCAAGATGCCGCGATTGGCCGAATTAATTATTTTAAGGAGGCCGAGGCAGTCGACGGGGTCCACAACAGCTATTAAATACATAGATACTTAACTAGTTTCATCCATGCCATCCTTGTATTAACCCAAATACAAACCTAGCACCTAGTCACATCCTTGAGATATGTAGGGTACCTTCCCAGCTGGCCTAGCGATGCAAATACAGCAATACGTGCATACGGTACACTGTCCCAGCTTGGCCGTGTGGGGCACCAAGCCCCGTTCAACTCAGCCCATTTTCAACCTTTCCACCCCGGTCTCATCACCTAAGAATTCTCATAGAACCCACAATCTAATTGACCTGATTCGAAGATCCAATCGTCTTTCACTCCTCCTCCCGTCCTACCCCGGTCCCATTTCCATCTCCAGAACCAAAAAATCACGCCCCATACACTACTAGGTATTCGTTGATCATTAACAAAACATCCAATTGCCTACTGCTTAGGTCTTCACCGTCTCGACATCAAAAATGCCAAAAAGAGACATGTGCCCGGCCGAGGAGGTAAGTGATGCCTATTTCCTTCAAGGTCCGGATCATACACCGAAAGGGATTTGCATTTTTACCACGTTCGAAATTCTCGCCTGGAGGTGAGAGAAGAACTCTGGGGCGATGAGCCTCAACCTATGAGTGGTTTCAAGCGCGATTCGCGATGAGCGTCATGGCCAAATTCAAGGAATTACGCACGCTAGGCCGCCTCTTGGCCGACCCGGCAGACTGATTATCTGCCTAACGATGATGCCGATGCCACAAACCATCGAGGCATCATCGGTTTCAAGCGAATGATGACCGAAATGAGCCTCCAAAATTCAAAACGGCTGCCTCTAAGGTGGCAACCTTTATCCTCTTTCTGCAGACAACGGTCGCAGTTGTCGAGATTACCGATCGGGCGTAACTCGATAGGAGTCGTGGATGACTCTTCCTGGGTGCTTCGTGGTTCGAGCGCTGACCTATCCTAAGCTTTACATGCCCTTTTTCTTTTTTTTTCATATCAAATTTCTGTGCATCACTACGGCGTGGCGGAAACATGTTCGGAGACACCTGAGACTCGTACTCGTACCCTGTTTCCCTTTTAATTCTTCAACTGTGTTTCTCAACTTCCCCACCGACGTGCCGTATACCATATAGTAACTACAACGAAATATGGACTAGGGGAAATGAGGAAGCAAACTGGGCAAAGTAGGCCAATTTGCAAACGCGGACGAGATAGCTTGATATTGACTATGAAGCGGTTTCATTTTCTTCGCCTCTCTCAGAACGAACGCACGGTCTAATCTAATCCACGTCTTAGCAGACTGATCGGCGCGGAGAACTGTCTATCCTTCTCATTCGCTACGCCTATCTCTTTCATTTTCACTTAAACTGCTTGAATTAATACTAGCATATCTATCTTAAACATGAAATTATTCAACCATAAGAAACATAACATAACATAACATTAACATTATGTGCGGAAAAGCATAGTTCCTAACTTATAAATAATGTAGATCGAATATTTCGAATTCCTACTAGGTATCTTCTCAATTGCGCGTCCAGAGATCGCATCACAGAGATCCGCCTTCGTCATCGTGGCCATTGACATACCGCCTGCTTGAAGGAATACCACAAAGACAAGCTTCCAAAGTTTCGTCACTTTCAAACTGGGGTTTGTCAGCATCTGTATGCGACTCTCTCAATATAGGGATAATTCCCTTCCATACACGTTCAATGCCATATCCTTGGGTCTCTCGACCCTGGTCATATCCGCCAGTCCCAATGCAACTCTCATGGGTCGACATGTACCTCGTACCTAATTTGCATCAGTTACATGTCAGGTACTTCGGACGGATGTCGACCATCTGGCTATACATCGACACAGTGCTTCAGTCCACGGTACCTATTAACCCAGGTCGTTCGCTTATTACTCGATTTCCAGTCAAGATTGACGGGGAATTTCATCCAAAACGTTTGCTTTCATTGCCATGCCTGCCCTACAACCCCGTATTTTCTCACTATGCCATACTTCCCATCCTGCCCATTGCCCTTCCAAAGCTGCCACATCTACTACCACCCCGCTACTTCTTTTCCCTTTCCCAGTCACCCTCCCTAAGCCTTGATGAGCCCCCCGTCCCATTGCTCTGGTATGGCCTTGACCAAGGGTCGAGGTACCCCCTACTTATGGCGCTTAATGAACGTACTCCGGCGACGACATCCTTGATGATCCGGCACACTAGGGTGTCTGCCAATCTGCCCATCAAGGAATAAGTAGTAGTGGTTCTAGATATTGCGGCGGCTATTCATGCGTCTTGCTACCCTTGTCTCCGCACTCAGCACTCGGGTCACCCCTATCGGTGGCTAGAACCAAGCCCCCCTCATAGCTTGTTCTGTCATTTCTGTACCCTTGTCCATCTTCGAGGTACATCCCCGAATGCAGGTGTGGATAACTCTCTCGAGTACAATGTAGCATGTTCCTGTACATCGCCTATCAATGTACCTAGTGGAGCTATTCCTACGGCCTGGGACTCGAAGTCTAGCTTCCAGGAACGCTTGAACGACGTACATACATATGCCATCCGGTTCCCACCTCATCATCATTGACCTCCCTGTAGAGGACAAGGCTCTGGTTCAGATTCTGTCTATAATATCCCTTCGTCTCCTGACATTGCCTCGCACTTGGCCGGGACCTGGAAAGGCAGATTTTTCTAACTCTTAGTTGAAGTGATCCGAACAACTTCTACGCTTCACATCTTCTGAGGGACATCTGATGATCCACATGTACAAATAAGAGACAGCCCACCCCTACAACTGTCCGACCTAGTTCCCACGACGACATTACCTTCGTCGCTTTTTAGAGTCGCCAACCGCGCATCATTTTCGACAACTACTTATTAGTCTTCAAATGGACGACACCGTCTACGTTCATCATCCAAGGTCAGACCAGATGCGCCATAGTCTTTCCCGAGATTCGAGTATGCCCGAAGATCGGCGATCTATTCCATCGCCTTCTAGTTCTGCGTACACTCACGATATTCCTACCTCCTACGCTTCGGTATGTTTAGAGTGCTAGCTAAGACTTTTGCGACGTCGAGGATACATTGACTAACTGGCTATCTAGGTCCCTTCGTTTAGTAATTACCCCGTGCCGTATGATTCTTCGCTTCCAACACCGGTATCTGTTGCTGGATCTCCTTCGATGAATGAACGGACTTCGAAAATGATGCATTCATACCAGCACCGGGCAAGCTCCCAGCAGCCCACTCCACCAAATACATCGCGGCCGTGGTCCAATTATCAGATGAGTGCCACTGCAACTGACCTTCTAGAGATGTCTGGCTTAGAGGCATCTCACTCTCCTGATCATAACCAACTGGTTCCGGAACCTCAATTCCACCAGTGGGGCCATTATACGGTTTCTAGCACCGAAGCACCAGAAGAGCTACCTCCACATATGACACACCCGTCAATGTTTTCAGTAGCGCCCACGGAGCTAGTTAGGCCTTCACTTTCTATGCACCCTTCGACTTCAATGCCTCTTCCTGCGCCGTCGTCGCATATTCCCATTCTTCATTCTCCGGATCCACGGGATCTAGCTCCCTCGGTAACGCCGATCGATAACATGCATCACCAATACCCTAATATGATGCACCACCAGCCGCCACAAGTTATTTTAAATTATGAACCCTATGGTATTAGACGGAAAGTCTCTAAGGCTAGGAATGGACGATCAGGAAGACCCCCAAAGAGACAGCGAGGCGGAAGCCGGGCTCTTTCGAAGAATGGTGGCGCAGACTACATGGATCCCCAGCTCGCATCTGGCGATGGAGTTCCGAGTTCCAAAGTGCCAGGTCGCCATATCACTTTGAGGCCCGACGCACCAGAGAAAGACCGATATATACTAGAGCTCAGATGCCAAATGGATAACGATAAAGGGAAGGGGATTTGGGAAGAAATCACAAAAAAATACGAAGAGCGTTTCGGGAAAAGAAGGCAAGAGTCGCTCCAGATGAACCTTACTCGAGCTGTGTTAAAATACGCGGAATGGCCCGAGGAAGAAGTGAGTATACAATGGACACACTTGAAGACCTACTTGAGGTAGCTAACTGGGCCATAGGATGATGCGCTAAGACGTGCTGTCGAAGAATTAGATCGCCGCCGCTACTCTGATATAGCTAAACTGATGAAAGAAAAATATGGGGGCTGCCAAGCCTGGGAATGGAAAGACGGCCATATCCTGAAGCGGTTGATGGAGTTAGGCATCGAGGAATTCGATCCCGAAGACGTCACAAAGAAACCTCGCCGAAAAACCAAGAAGACTATGAATAAGCGGTCGAGTAGTAAACAATCTTGGGTCGCTCCGAATATGCCTCTATACAGCGAAGACGGTCGGATAATATCCTCTGACCAGGAGAACTACATATTAGAAAATTATTGTAAGCCGGACCCCGATTCTCCAGATCCAAACGCCATGCAAGGTGTCATGGAACACCCGAACCCTTTACCCTCAAGGGGAAGCATCGATAGAGATCCCGGAGAGAGTCGAAGCGAACGAGTAGCCAAGCAAGCATGCGAGCAGCTACTCTCCAAGGGAGGCAATCATGTATACGGCGCTCTTCCTGTGGTCGACAGCCACTCATAAGCATAACAGGACGACTCGTCTACTTTTGCTTGGCGCAACCCTTTGTTTTTTTATATACAATAGTCTCTACGGGATCTTCATCACCGCTATTCAAATCGTCACTGTCATAGCTGAACGGTTGCTTACATGTTACTAGAAGATACTTCAGAGTCATAATTTTAGCGATTGTTTGGAGTTGGAAAGATGGATCGTATCACTACTACAGAGGGCCAATTCACCCCTCTCGCAAGGGCAAAAATGGGATAATGATGTGATTTTACTAGGCGGGCGGTTTATGTGGTGTATTTTTGTCAAGGTCCATATTATGGATGTGTTTTTTGTGGAACCCGGGGGGGCCTGGGTGGGTGATTCTATCAAGGCGTTGAGATGCATTGCTATGGCACGGTACATATTTCAAATTTCCTCCGGTCTTCCTTTTATTTATTCTACCTTTTTTTGATCCACGACCCGGCTTGTCATTACCTAGTTATTTTATGTCAAATTCGGTATCTTCACCGTCTTCAACTCCTTGATCCGCTTGCGCCTAGGCATTGCTATCGGAGAATGTGTGTGTGTGTGTGTGGTAGGGTGGTGGGTGACTTTGATTTTTTGTGAGGCACAGGGATGGGACTTCAAGCTTGGCTTAATAAGGGGGCATATGAACACTTGGAGATAGATCCCTGATGAGGAGCAAGGAGTTATTTGTCATGTTTTACTGTAATAACTAGCTACTGATTTCTATACCGGGTATCTTTTCAACATGGACGAGTCTTGTTGATGTCGCTGTTACAAGATTCATTACCTATACTACGGTGCCGAACTTGTCTCTTCTAAACTTTGTACTACGTATACCATCCATGTCTTATTAAGTTACTTACGCGGGTTGTAGAATTTCTATCTATTCTGTATTATGTACTATCTAGTTTTCGTTACTATGTAATGAAAATCACGACAATAGCCTTCGACTTTGATCTACTCTCCCTTGACCACCGGGTGGCTTAGCAACATTGGGTATTTATATAAAGAAGAGAGCTACCCCGTTGTACTGTGCCGTCGGATCTGCTTTTTTCTACTACCTAAACATCTAGTGGAACCGACCATTGCAGATTTACACGCGTAGTGAGGCACGGATTGAGTTTCGACGGTTGGCTGCAAGGGAGACCAGTTTTTTCAAACAGACCATCCGCGCGGGAGAGAGGCAGAATCAGGAAGTCAGTTAGAAGAAAAAGAAAAAGAAAATCGTAGAAGCGCGCTGCGCCTGTTTCTAATAATACCATTTAACTACCTAACTATACCACTACTATTAGGTAGGTACTACGTAGAACGTGCTATTTGATTCTACCGCCCTTCCACTCCTGCGTTCCGGGTTGACCTGCGAGACAGAAATGTCTTGGGGGGATATTCGCCGCAACCTTAACACGAGGACCGGACCACCCACCGGAAGGTGGCTTTACCGCCTCCTGGCATCCTGTTGGAATGGCGACACGTGGGTTTTCGTGGTGGTTGGGTCAGATTCTCTTTCTATATGCCTATCTAGGATATGTTCTAGATCAAAGAGTACCATTCTACGACGCCTTAGGGCGAGGTGAAGCCCGAGACATTCAATAATTCAACGGCATCGGACTTACCTACCTAAGGTAGGTACGTAAATGGTCATCATATCGGTGATTACAATTTGGTTCTGTATCCATAGCATTGGTAACGGCTAGTCCTTAAAGAAGTCAACCACGTGAAGTTGAAGCTGCACGTACATACTGTAGCTACAACTATTCTACTTACCTTAACTGTGTGCACATACAGTACCCTCCGGCCTTTAGCTAGTACTTGCATCGCATTACGTGTCTAGGGCCATCTACAATGGCATGATCATGGATGTCGGCTCGTACGTATCTCTATCTGACTTGGTCTTGGCCGCCCCCACGGAGATAGAGCGCCTAACGCCGACAAATCAAGATAGTAGTGTGAAGAGGTACGATATTTTCCAGGTTTAGGCTGACAAAGACCAGGTCAGACATCCATCGTCGGTATTATGGCTAGGATATCACTAGTTTCCATGATCCCGCGCCTCGATCAAAGACGTTATAGATGCTAGGCATACATATGTAAGAGGCGAAGATGGGAGATGTGCGCGTATCAACGGTATGAGGCAAGAGTGGGAGTGCGTGTAGGCGCAGGTATCTGTTAGCGACACCGCCCCTTCGTTCACTGTAGAAAGCAGAGAGGGCGGGCCGACAAATGGGAGGAAACAAGACCACCCACCGCAATAACGGTACCCCATCCACAACCGGGTTGCCCCCATGGTTGAGGTGTGATGGCGTTCGACGAAGCGCGCCATGAACCGCGTCCTTGGGAAATTGGAATAATTCTCACTGGCTCGATTAAAAGAAAATAAGAAAAGGGTGCACAAACGAGCTGTCCAGTCAGCCAGTGTACATGGCTACCCTAGGTAGATCCCTTGATTTTTCCCGTCCCCGCCATTCTCCTCGCATGAAATAACTATCTACCACACTGACTTTTCAAGCATTACCTAAACCAAGCCCCGGTACAGAGGTGCCTTTCAAAAGATTTTACCATAGACCAATCCCTGTCGGCTGTGACGCGCAACTGCCAGCTCACGTCGCCAGCTGTATTCCCAGCTGCCGTATAATCTCCAATAAACTATCAACTTTAATCACTTATATCTTATGATAAACAACCTTAAATTAAAATCTATATATTTATGATCACGACGTAATTTATAATATGTTATGAGGTTTTTATTGATTTGAAAACCAATATGTTTGATAACTATTAACTCAAAGTTAAGAGGTTTTTGAGACAAATCGGCGATCTGTTCCGCCAGCTGGTGGATGAGGGCTTGCAGCTGGTTGACTAACTGACAGGGATTGATGTATGGTAAAATCTTTTGAAAGGCACCTCTGTACTCGGCCTAAAATGACCGAAAAAAGAGAGGGTTAAGGCAAAGCAAGACCAGAAGTGAAGAACGATAATACCCAAGACAGTCCACTCCGGTTCTCCGTCGCATGTAGGGTCATCATTAGTGTAGGTAAGGTACCCGGGAAGGACGTTGAGAGTGACGTTAAGCTATGAGACAAGGTGTAACGTGACCCATCCAGAGGACGCAGAATTCTGACTGGCGGGCGACGGCACGAAGCGGAGCAACAGAGAGGGAACAGGGGGTACAGAGAGAGAGGACAGGACAGGGCTGCAGTGCGCTACTAGCTAGCCTGCCATCAAAAAGGAAGGGCAAAGACCCAAACGGCGATCCGACCATACCACATTGCTCCAAAAGTATCCACCCATTAAGCTTAAGAAATTGTACGCGTACTTGGTTCATACCAGGTAATCTCGCTATCTATTGCTGTCTTTTCTGATCCGGCTCCGCTCTTTTTTCTCACTACGCTGTAAATGTAGATTCTCCATCTCTTCTAAACAAAAACCCTCGCCCCCGTGCGAAAGGGGGGAGGGAAAATGCTAAGACTAAGACGGAGAACAACTCCGCAAGATGCGGAGGAAGGAAAAAAAAGAAGTATGTAAGATGTAAGAAGAAGAAGAGAAACCTTGGGTCGGAGATAGTCACCGAATGAAAGACAACTGCCGATGAAGATTTGTCAGACTCGTGGGCAGATACCTAACCCGACGGTTTGGAGCCGAAGCCTTAGAGCTTACGCTGCTGACATCTTTTCTGTGATAGCGGTCAAGCCGCAGTAGACCGGGAGGGGAAACGTGGAAAAGAAGAATGGAAGGGTATAATCGGGTGTGCCTTGTTTCCCTTTTTTTGCTTTTTCGGCGCTATTGAATACATACACACGACATGACATACATAATTGAAAACTGGGAGCCACTTGGCACACATCAGCAAACCTACACATAGCAGTTTAGGGCGATGATATACACAAGGGTTTTCTAATCCTATCTCGCTCGGATGCCCTGGTATGGTTAGGAGCGTTTTTCGAGACCGGTACTGAGCCCGCATGAACTGGATACTGGAGCCCCTAGTCACGGATCATTAAGGCACGGGCGTAAATTTGACCTGTCTAGTGTTCCTTAAGGGTTCCAAGCAGCCAGGGGGAAGAAGAACCCGGGGTAGGGAACCACAATTAAAACGGTATCTATACTGTATTACTGTATACAGTATTCCGGACATCCCTGAATTATATAATAATTGGGTTCGGTTACCGAGATCCATGCGGGGACTTTGTTGTTTCGAGAAAGAGTCGAGAAATGATTGATTGTGAATTGGACGTATTATACTGTGGCGTGGAGGGTTGCAATATTCGAACTCTCTTGAAATTGAAAGAGGCACGGTATAGGCTATAATTTTTATTAGGAGTAGGTGAAGATAACTTACCGGATATCATATATGTAGGGCGTCATTTTGTCTTGATAGTATATGTTATGTATGGCTTCATATTTACCAAAATACCGGTAGAAGAACATCCTTTTTGATTTTCTTCTCGAGAATCATCGATGAGGTTTACCGCACGGACTGGACGCTAACATTACTTCAAGGGGTAGCCCGTACGGGCCGTTACCTAGCCTTGGCGCTGGTTCTGGGATGTAAACAAGTGCTAATCTGCCCATCATCCCCCGGTCCCAGACTTGGAATTATCAAATGAGGGCCCCTGCCGACGGATATTCATCCGAGATCATGGAGCCATATCGTGGCCTTCGCGGGTACATCGAGAAAAATGCAGAACATGGTCCCAAGATCCGGGCACCGGAGCATTGCCCGGACTCGTGTAGCCGGAGTCTGGAAAGCCTCGTTTTACGCTAGGTCGTCGTCGCCCGCATTAGCTCTCCGTTACCCAGGGAGCATAGGGGCCATGTCCTGGCAAAGAGCGTCTATTTTAGACTCTTGTGCGACTGCAATGTTTAACAGAGACCTCAAATGAGTCTGCAAACCGATAAGTTAACATGGTCTCGCGACTCCGAGTTACCGTATCTCCACTCTGTCTACCTTAGTATGCTGCAGGGATGATTTTATGAACCCTAAATATATCCATGATAGCCTTTATGGTTCTGATTCCACCAGGACTCTGGTAAAGGTTACGGCTGTGTCTCCCCGTTACCTACCTCCCAGGTATTTTAAAGTACCTAGCATATCCAAACTACCCATATGGTAAGGATCGCACAATGAACTACTCGTCGCTCTGTGGAGTCTATCTCGACGACAGAGATCCACCTCGTCCAGGATATATTTGTCATTGTAGGTACCACACGTTGCCGATATAGCGGTGGCATCATGGAGGGTTTCGAGCTTGTTAAAATCCGTCAATATCCACCTAGGAATAAGGGGAATAATTCGTAGAAAGCGACAACTACGCTGTCATGGTCAATCATACAGATCAACCAATGTACATCTTCCGTAGTCCTAGATGAGCTTTCGTACTTTAGGAAAGTGGTAACTTAATATGTCTCATCCCCTGGCAATGTGCTAGAGCGCATTCGCTAAGCCTTGACGAATACTTTAGTAAGGTCTAAGATCCTGCTCCGGAGGAATGCGGCTCAGCAGCGTAGTGCAGGACAGTAAAGACACCAAAAACGACGCTCGGCCGAGTCGGTTTTGCATTAGTTTCGAGTACCCGAGTAGTGACGTCGGCGAAGTCCAAAAGCCGTTGAGGCCGAATCAGATGGGCCAGAACTGGCCAGAACCGCCGGTCACAAGGTCGATGATTCAAAACAGAGAATTTCGACGTCTTGTAGGCGGAGCAGATCCCAATATCGAACATCGTGTTGAGGAAGTCTTATGGTGGTAACACGCAAAAAAAGCCATCCCTTACGTCGTTCGATCCAGCACTTTATATTAACCGCACCTGTCAAGTAGTTACCAATCGGTTGTGTAGAAGGCTGATACACAAAGTAAGGGAGAGGCACATGCGTCCCCGCGAGTCGCACAGCATTCCTGTTTCAAAAGTTGTGCGTCTCGACACATGGATATATTCTTCGCTTAATAACTCTAGTCTTTCCCCGGATATCGTAAATCCGGAATTTCGCTGCCAGCCACCTATGTAAAATCAGCCATAAACCCAATTCTACACCTACCTATTTGCTATTACCGTGAAGTCTAGCGAGCTTTGTCTCAGCCGCTACAGCAAGTGCAGGATCTAGTTTAGACCCCGAGACACGTGGAAATTTGACTTGGGCGGCGACGACGCGCTAGCGTTGAGACATTTACTTTAATGAAGATGATTTCGAGCCCGTAGTGGAAGATCATCGAGGTAGGAACATGCCATGATCATACTAGCTGTATGAGATGCAATCCAGAGTATCCATATTCCATAAGGATTGGTGCGGCGTAGAACGAGATCTGCGCGAGTTCGCGGTACTTGGCCACACACTGTGCGTCTTGTAGCTGTACAACTGGTAAAGTAAATAGCATGAACACAATAGACACCGGGTTACCGCATTGTGATACGACGGGAAGCTATTCGGAAGAGGTTAGATGCTGAATGTCAGGAATGAAGAAGCGGATGTCGTTGGCGTCGTACAAGACCGGACCTTTACAAACAGTACATAAGCTGATATCGATAAGATAAGATACTGATTAGTCAACTTTTGCTTGTGATTATCGATTAGAATTGTGCTGTCTAATTATGTAATCACATGCAAGCCAACGTTGGCACGTGTCCTCAGGCCAATCCAGACCCGCTAAAAGATGGTGATGGTAAGGGAGTACAAAGTTTCTTATCAGCCAACCAGCGTTAGATTGGTGAATTCTGTTAGTACCTATGTCGCGTCGGTTTGAGTTCGTCTGAATTCCAAGCGTGGAAGCTTAATCTTTAATGACAGCATAGCAATGAAATGGATACCGATACCTGCCTTTAATGATCGTGGCTAAACATCCGATGATCACGTTCAAAGCTCTAAATTTCTATTCGCGTTTTGTTTTGTTGGTTTCGAAGTTTAAACCCGAAAGACCCGAAAGAACAGTCGCAACTTCATCGTAACAAACATTCTTTTTTATATTCTTTTTTTTGCAATTCCTCACCTTCGTCTCTGCTGGTTTCGAGAACGGTGGGAAATTAGCCGGTTCCTTCGTCGTTCCCTTACCCGTTCTTTATACACATGCCTTCTTCTGCATTCCCCTGCCGGTGATGCCCTTGCTAGGCATGGGCAGTTGGACGTTGGCCATCTCCCACAAAACGATAAATCATGGCGCTCTTACCAGGTTGATTGTGTTATTCGCGCTGTTGGTGTCATGGGTGGGTTTGGTGGAGGCGATGCGCCCCAGTCGCATTGCCGAGTTGAGGCAGGAGACGGCCGACATGTTCTATCACGGCTTCGATAATTACATGAATATTGCCTTTCCCGAAGACGAGGTATGCATCTAATGACCTTGTGAAAGAAAGAAGATGAAAAAGTAGATTTGTGCATTAGCTTATACTTAATTTATAGTTACGGCCCGTCTCTTGTACGCCGTTAACTCGAGATCCTCTAAATCCCCGAAATATTGCGCTTAATGACGTCCTTGGGAACTACTCACTCACCCTCATCGATAGTCTTTCGTCCCTTGCCATACTTGCCTCTGCTCCGCCCGATAGTAAAAATACTGGACCGAAAGCCTTAAGTGATTTTCAAGATGGTGTAGCTGCGTTGGTCGCACAATATGGTGATGGTCGGCCCGGTCCATCAGGTCAAGGTGCTCGTGGTCGTGGGTTCGATGTTGACAGCAAGGTCCAAGTCTTCGAGACTGTGATAAGAGGTGTTGGTGGACTGCTTAGTGCCCACCTTTTCGCCGTTGGGGAGTTGCCCATTGCTGGTTATAACCCACGGATAGTACTCAACGATGATGGTGATAGCGATATAGAAAAACATCCTATCCCCTGGCCGAATGGGTTCAAATATGAGGGGCAGTTGTTGCGACTTGCTCTTGACTTAGCTCAACGCTTACTTCCAGCCTTCTATACCCAGACCGGGCTACCTTACCCACGTGTTAACCTTCGTCATGGGATACCGTTCTATCTGAACTCACCACTTCACGGAAATAATCTAGATTCGAAGCCCGCCGAAGATACCCCCGAAATCACCGAAACTTGCAGTGCCGGGGCAGGTAGTTTGGTGTTGGAATTCACCGTGTTGAGCCGCCTCACTGGGGACCCGAGGTTTGAGCAAGCAGCTAAGAGAGCATTCTGGGCTGTGTGGTCGAGAAGAAGCAACATTGGCCTTATTGGAGCCGGCGTAGATGCCGAAGGAGGTCACTGGATTGGGGGATTTTCCGGGATCGGCGCCGGGATTGACAGCTTCTTTGAATATGCTCTGAAGACTCATATCTTGTTGTCTGGCCACGAGTTGCCGAACCGGACGATGCCTCAAGGTCATGACGGGGACTGGCTTGACCCAAACCAGATATACCATCCACTTACAGATGAGGATAACTCTGCTGATTCTTTTCTGGAAGCCTGGCACCATGCTCACGCTGCTATCAAGCGACATCTTTATTCCGGTCTACATCATCCGCACTATGTGAATGCACATATGTCTACAGGTTCACCGCAGGCATATTGGATTGATAGTCTAGGCGCATATTACTCCGGCTTGTTGGCGCTCGCCGGGGAGCTCGACGAAGCTATTGAAACGCATCTAGTCTACACTGCTCTCTGGACCCGATACTCCGCCCTCCCAGAGCGATGGTCCGTACGCGATGGTCATGTCGAAGGAAATCTCGGCTGGTGGCCTGGTCGTCCAGAATTCATCGAATCCACGTATCATTTGTATCGTGCTACTCGAGACCCGTGGTACCTTTATGCGGGAGAAATGGTCTTAAAAGATATCAACAGGCGATGTTGGACAAAGTGCGGTTGGTCCGGCTTGCAGGATGTGCGCACTGGAGAGAAGAGCGACCGAATGGAAAGCTTCTTCCTCGGAGAAACTGCCAAGTACCTATACCTCTTATTTGACCCAGACCATCCCCTAAATAAGCTTGACGCTTCATACGTATTCACGACGGAGGGACATCCGTTGATTATCCCTCGAAAGAAGGCACATCGTCCAGTCCGTCAACCAGTACCTGAAAGAGCTGTCCAACCCTACTTTGATGCTCAATTCACCAATACCTGTCCTCGTCCTCCAGCTCTGCCTCCATTGACCAGTTCAGCCGTTGCTGCGAGACCTGACTTCTATAACGCAGCAACTCTGATACGACTCCACCAAATTCCTAATATACACGGTAGACTGGAGACTCCTATCCCAAAGTTAGGTGATTCAAAGTCACAGATAAGGCTACCAGAGAGACCAAGGGAAAATTATACCTACTTCCCTTGGACACTTCCTCGTTCCATGATTCCAGCCGACGGAGTCTGTGCAGTAACAAAACAGGCCCAGACGTCAGTAATCGAATTCCCTTCTGGTTCTCAGCAATCTGTAGGCAGTGCCTTCAACATCATGTTCGGGGGCCATAATCTCGTTCGTATGGGAAGCGAGGGCATTGCAATTAATAGTCTAGCTGGCTTAAAGCTAGCTCTACTTATGGAAGAGTCTCCAGAGACTGATCGGGCTTGGAGGGTCTACAGCATCGGTAGCTTACCTCTAGGTCGCGACGAAAAGGTCTTCATCACTCGCGATGTCCTCGAGGACATGTCTGATCCGCTATTTCATCGTGTCCGTGACTCAGTTATAGTCGACATTCTTCTACAGATCGAAGTTCCTCCGGAACCATCAGAGCATAACTCTTCCTCCACGGATCCAGAACCTCCCCTCGAATCACAATCTACTATGGAGCTCGAAAGCGACTCCGCCGTTGGCATGTTTAGCTCTTTCCTGCAGCAGATCACATCCGTCCTACGGGAGCCTGTCGCCACCTTTGGCCCAGAACCAGTGCCTCCGCCGGTATTCAAGTACGTTGAGTTGCCTGCCATCACACCCGTCGGCAAAGGCGCTGCTCCCTTACCCGACGTCCGTGAGGCGCCCAACCCACAAACGAACGGGGTTATCGAATCGCTCTCGTGGCAGCGCGTCTTTTTCGCCGGTTACGCCTGCGATGGCAAATTACCCGACGCAGCGCCCCGTGCTCACCAAGTCATCGTTATGCGTCGTGGTGGCTGCTCGTTCTCACAGAAACTGGCGAATATTCCCTCGTTCGCACCAGCAAGGAATGCGCTGCAACTCGTGGTCGTGGTTTCAGACGATAAGGTCGACGATGATGACGATGACATAAACGAATATCAGAACGAGAAGAAGGGTAGTGGTAGGGGTGCCGGGGAAAGGGATGCGGCAAACGTGGATTTCATCAGGCCCCTGCTAGACGAGACGCAGAAGACGCCCGCGGGTATATATCGCCATCGGCCTATTGCTATGCTGATGACCGGCGGCGGCGAGGAGGCGTACGAATTGTTGAAGACGACGAGGAGTTTGGGGCTCAGGAGGAGGTATCATGTTGAGAGTCAGGGACTGAAGATAAGTAACTTGGTTGTGCTATGATTGGTCATTGTGAGATACTGGGGGGTGGAGCTATATAGGTTTAAAGCTATGATGATGGCGCGGTTGTGTCGTGCTGTTCTGTGCTGTTTGAGAGGGAGGTGGTGGTATATAGGGCCTGATGTATATATTTGACTGGAAAAGCTTGAGGTGTTGGTTGAATAGATGAGTGTCGTGCTTAGGTACCGTAGTTGAGTTGAGTTTGGTCGTGAGTCCAATTGCCTAGATACCTTAAGTCATGTATTACACTTAAGTGACTTGCACTTGAATGCATAGGCAAGTAAATGGTGATACTACTCGCGAGAGTAGGAAAGAGTAAAAGCGTCTAGTCCGGGTTTGATCGTCTAGCGCCGGCAAACAGGAAATGACATAACTCAAGTGACACACTAGCGACGAGGATGTTGTCGATACTCCTTGCTATAGAAAATCTCAGCATGTTTCAATTGAAATTAGCTGCCACCCCCGATCGTGATGACCTCCCTAGGACTCGAATAGTCTCGCGCATAACAATAATTTCCTCAAAACTCACCAATAATTAAAAGGAACATTTTAATGAAACTTCATTAAAATGAAAACAGGTATCAACAACGACATTGAAACAACAGAGTAAAAAACAAATTTATTATCGCCTATAAAAATTAAACCGTAAAAAAGATGGTATAAGAGGAATTTAACCTCTCAGAACTGGACTCGCGGGGAATCGAACCCCGGACCACTCCCAGATTCAGTAGACGGAACCCTAGAAACGAAGCCATCGTGAGATAGATCGTCGTCGGTGGGTCATACCTGCTAAGGGAGTATTATACCACTAAACCACAAGCCCGCTTGACGACACGCCGTGCCGATTGGTGGAAAACGATGAGTTTATTCAAGTCTATGTCGTTTTCTGTGGTGTTTGCATGGCGGATTAGATGGAAAGGCTTGCCCTAATGGACCAAGCGGGGTGGAGATGGGTTAGTGTGACATAGCGCGGTCTAAGAGATGGATAGGTATGGATCTTGGGATGAAATGGTGTCTGGCCTATCAGTGGGTTCGGGTTAGTTCTCTTGAATGAAAAGGGTTTCGTTGATAGGATGTTGGGATATCCAGAGCGGGGATATAGTTCATGATGTGCCTGTGGAAGAAATAATAGTAGAGCCGTAGTGGACGTAAGCTCATGAGTCGTTAGAAGGTATTTACATGTTGATCTTAGATAATTGGCCCGTACCTAGAATAAGAAAACGTTTCAGTACAGCCTAACATATCTCCGCGATGACGGCATCAACTATCTGTCGATCTATCTCTCTTTACATAGGTACAAATCTGTAGCTTGATGGCACTAGAAGATCTCGGACGATAAGCGTACATGTTAGAATTGCCAATAGTTCAGCTTAGCATATATGACATAAGTCTAGCTCTCGTTTAAAGAACACTTGATCATTTCTAGACTTCATGAGGGTTAAGTTCGAGTTGTAACTAGCACGATCCATCACGAACTCGGGGGTCGACAGTACAAGCGACAAGCTAGCGATAACATCGTAAAAATAAGCGAACGAACCAACGCAATCGACATCGAACCATACAGTCGGCGGGTCGTATTTATATCATAGTATCCCCATCGCGTCTGTGACCCTCAGCTAGCGACAGCTGACTTAACCTACACGCCGGTACGAGCTAACAAGGTAATAGTGTGCCGCTGTTATAACTTCGGGATAGCTACGATGACTATTGGCATCGCGTATTTCAGAGGCTGGGATAGGTAGGTAAGGTAAGCTTGTGATAATGGAGCTAACCAGCGATGAGCATTCCGTGCCGTATCTGACTCAAGACCCTTGGACCCATGTTAGATCGCTTGTGTATCAGAGTAAGATGATGCTACAATTGGATCAAGATAGCCGATCGCTCCATTCAATAACCGCAAAAATGTTCACCGCCGAGCTATCAAGGAGATAGACACAGCAGATATAGCAAATGAGAAATCGGACGGAACCACACGTGGCTCCGAGACTCCCGACTTGTTACGATTGTTACAGCAGTTTGCACTTTGGAGCTTTTAGTCCGGATGTCCGACTGATGGCTCGACTTAAATGTTGACGATAAAAGAAAAAAGAGGTGGCTGCGATTAGAAGACGTGATATAAGTTATCGCTTGCATTATCAGACAGCCGCATCTGCTGTCAGTGCAGATACGAGAACCCATCCCACGCCATGTTTCGCTTGGCCTCGGCCGGAGCGCCGAATTTCGAGCCATGTAATCTGCCAAGTTGCCCGGACGATACCTTACCACTCTAGTGCTCTTTTACTAAACTTCACGATCTCGTAATTGTTCAATTAGCCCGATATTGTTGCAGTATGTTAAGGTAATTAGGAAGCTATCAGCCTCATAGTTGTATTTTTGAGCTACCAAAATATCACTCAGTAACAAATTCCAATTGTTGGGGGTATTCTCGAAGACGGTATGTAACGTCGTTTCGGCTTGATATCCATCTCGCATGTAACGCCATAACTTCTATCGCATGCAGTGCAGATGCTCATCTTCCAATCGACCAGGTGTAAATGATGATTGGCCACCGTTAATCTCATAATAATTTTCGCCCACCGAATGCCCCACTCCGAACTCCAGTTGCCCATGACAATATGCTAGACCCATGGAAGAAACGCCGATATGATGCTGATTATGCTGGTGCTGAGATAATGAAGAGGATCGTGAATAGTGCTCCTTATAGGAAAGGCACTAATCTCGTTTGATCATCGCGTGTTGTACATGATCGCTGAGCTTTTGCTTTCTTCCGCTGGTCCCATCGCGACAACGACTGTGTTCTTGCAGACTCCATAACTACAGCATTCTTCGGCCGCCATTGTTCCTCGAAGAATTAAATCTCGTTTAGACTAGGTGAGAGTTAGCGTTGATATAATATTCATTTAGTGTTGTATAGACGTACGTCGGGACAGAGGATGGGAGATGCGTTAACGAAGGCTCCTAATAATGAGAATGCCGTCATGGCCGATATCAAGTTGAACAGCATCTTGATAATTCTGATATGTGACCGAGAGATATCCAAGGTAAATCTGGGGTGGCTGAAAGCCGAGGAGCTGGTTTATTTATTATTCGTGTGGTATGTTGGGAAGGATTTTAATATAATTTGGGTGTGCTAGGTATATAGCTGACACAATCCTTATCGACCTGCTAATAAGAGAAGAGACCTGGTAGTTTGGATGTAACGAGAGAACTTCCAACTAGTATATAAATTGTAGGAGAGGGATCAGACGAGACCATCCCCCAACGACTAATGAGCAGCGGCACTCATAATATAAGAAGAAATCAACGGATGGATCCCACTAGGGTGCATCGGTGTCAGAACTCGGGACATCCTACCTTACATACACATACTACATACTGTATCCATAGATGTATGCAGCTTGTTAGCCCTATGTGCGCCACGGAAACATCCCACCCTTGTGAGCTGAGTGTCCCGAGTACTACTTGTACATTGTAAGTTGCGGCTATTTCGATACCTGTGTACGAGGGCTCCCTTGTAAACGACAAATATAATAGGAAGGCGGCTGAAGGAGCTGGTGATTCAGGGAACTGTGGCTGTGAATTCGTTGCTAGGGGACATGACGAAATGTGCCTGAGATCTGGCTGGATGGCGGGCATCCAACCGCTGATTGCCCGCCATTACGGCGAGTAAGCTTTGTCACTGGCCAGACTAGTCAGGTAGGGCTGCTGACAGGGTCGTCATTTACATACCAGTGGTTCGGGGCAGAAAACAACGAGAGAAAAAAAGGCCAAGTGGCTATGATTGGAATCTCGTGAAGATCCTAGACCGGCGGTCTTGCCAAGCACACTACAATTCATCGTAGAAGTTAGTAGCTTAAAATTAAGAACTATTTCTCAATGCGCAATGATACGAGAAAAGACCATAGAAAAATCGAAAGTGTAATAGCCTTTCACACCGGCCCTACCGATTCTCCTAAGACACCTAAACGAAGTTCGTGATTGGATAAAACTGCTGATGCTAGAATTGTCTCGGGACGAAGAAAATAGAAACAACGACGATGGCAGGTGGCTAAACTTCTTTGGTGGTGGCTTGGATTAAGTGGAACCGGAGCTAAGATGCGTGGACCGGAAAATCTCGAGTCCGGGCACCAAAAACATCGAATGGAAAGAACCACATTTCCAATTTAAGAACCGAAATTACATAATCCATTTCATGCCATTGCTTCCCGAATCCTTCCCCTTCTCCTTCCCCTTCCCCTGTGGCCCCAAGGTTTCATTATTTCAGAACTTCACATATAAAACTTCAAGCCTCGCCTTATGCGTCTGCCAAGTACCTTAGCCGCATATGAAACAAAAAGGATCATTCGCCAAATCACATGTCGAATCGCAAAGCCGTACAAAAGCGGTTGCCTAGTTTCCGCGATTCAAGTTCGTCTCTTAATATTATATCATGATCTTTTTTGTTGTGGTTTTGGAAATATCAGAAAACATGATATTAGTCTTCGAAAGCTCCCTCACGAATTATCAGATATTGGCTATGTGCGCACGTCCTTCTTGACACAGCTTGTGGAGTACCCACATGTATATGTAGGTAGGTAGGTACGAATCTCGTGGAGGTAGAAAGGGTTGTATCCTTTACAGTTTGATTTCTATCACATATTTCGAATGGGCAGGTCAGGCTTCTCGCTCAACATGAAAGAGGCACCAAGTCTTCAATTGAATAGGGGTAAGAATGATCAATAGCAATTATGGTAAGCGCGTTCGTTCTAAACTTCCAAGCGTCTTCTGAAGTTTTAGAGAAAGAACGACTGCTAGGTAGGTTTGCCTGTGCTTGGATTCTCTTAGCACCAGCATACTTCTTTCTCAAAGTTAGGCTCAAATTCCATTCATATCGTATTCTGCTTCATCTTCTAGTTGGCCTGTTCATGGTAAATTCCAAGCATCGTTCATAATAGGATACGGCCAATTCGATCGAAGAATCAATTTTCTTGAGCAACAGATACCATGGAATCACCCCGGGTCGGGTCCATACTGAATCTTCACCCTATATCTGGCCGTCGTCACCGTGTTCATCGATATGGACGACCACGGCGTGCAAGAAGTTTACCTCCCCCAAATCGCATGTTCAGGCGACCACCTAGGCCCATGCCTTTCCTACTTCCTATACAGCTTCAGCTTCCTGACACATGGCGTCTCTGGAAGCCAGCCGTCGTTCATTGCCCAGCAGTGAAAAGCCCCCCACGTTGGCGCCCATGTCCCAATTACGGTCCCGGCGAGAACAAGTTCAGGCTGTGCGATGTTAGTTCTATAAGCTCACACTTGCTTTCTAACGGCAGCTAATCCCGACAGACCAGAAGTCTAGACGATAAATTCCCCTTTCCGCTCAAAGGTTACTGTAGGTGGGAAATCGAGTCTATGCCCGACCAGTTACTGGCCCAGATAATCACCGATTGGCGCCGAACTCCAGCTTTGTCCTTTCGACCTGACACTCGAAATGTGATATCGCGTATTACCCCTAACTTGGTTGCAAAGTGGGGACCGAACGTCTGTCAAGCAGAGGCAGACATCATGTGGATTATTGAGAGCAAATGGAGAGTGAAAACTCATGTCCCAATAGTGCACAAGATCCTCCGCGACGAAGTCACCGGGTATCTAATCATCATCATGGATTACATCCACGGTTCCAACTTGATCGACATCTGGCATCATATATCACCAGCACGTCAACACAAACTCACTACGGATATTGTTGAATTGATCCGCACCATGCAAACAAATACCGCCAGGTATCCAGGACCGGTTGGAATGAATCGCATGCGGGCCTTAGCTCATGAGAGCCATGTCGCTCCGGTCTGTATGAGTGGGAAAGACTACGATGGGTATATGAACACCATGCTCAATATAACCAATTGTCGCCGGCCTCATTCCCTTCGAGTACAGGGTTTTGTGAGGACACATTTAGGAAAATTTGTTCTGGCAAACATGAAGCTAGACCCGAGTAGCTTCATTGTTGACAATAAAGGCAATATTTGGATTGTTGGTTGGGGGAATGGCGGCTTCTACCCTCCTGAAAGTGAGCTTGCCGTGGCCGAGCATTTGATGCCGTCGAGATTCAACCCCTTGAAATGGGAAATTCTTCTAAAAATACCACATAACTGGCCGCAAAGACAATATCTGAGGGCGATTGCTGCAATGGTAGACGGTGATCCTCAGGAGAAAAGGGGCAGTGGTTTTTCTCGTCTTGCAAATTACCTACCAGAGAAAAAGAAGATGTAAGGGCGACTATTAGGAATGTTGGTTAACAGAAGTGTACAAACGTCAATCGCTTGCACGAACACGGGGTTCCTCAGTCAAACCGGATTGGTGTTTGATTTGGAGAATGATATGATAGCAGTCAAATTAGACAGTAGCTTAGCTTGCCGCTCTCATCAGGGATGATTTTTCTCGGGACGGGTAGCCACATTAGTTCAACGTCTACATACATTTTAACCTTACAATTTTGATATTGGCCTAAGGTGATATTGCACGCCCCCGGAACTCCAGATATGTCACACGGGTAGGACGGGTGATACATCCCACGAGGATATGCTGCTTCTCCCCGCCGTCTTGGAACGTGGACGAAACAAGAGCTTTCCGGATTCCGAGATGGCCTGGGCACGTTGCCGTGACCGTCCCGCAGCTAGCAAATAAAGAAAAAAATCCTATACGATTACCGACCTGTTGGGTAAGTTGACAAACGCTGATCCTTCATATCACCACCCAAGCTGGCGGTAAGAAGGCTAGGGCTGGGTCGATGACAGGTTACCTAATTACACTAGGGAAATGCAAAAACACGAGACTCAAACTAGTCGGCGCGTAGAGGTGAATCCTTAAGGGGGATCAAGAACCTTGGCTGTGACCGATATCGCGATTATACACCTCGCTCAGCATCTGCTGTGTTTGCTGCGGTCCACCACCTTACCTCTCCGTGCCCCTGAAAGTTCGTCTTACACGAAGTGCCGGTAGGACGCCGCTATTTATGTCAAACAGCGGAAATAAACATCGCGATATTTTTCAAGATATCTGTGTGTAAAGTAGAGTTGAATACATCAACAATTTCCTACCTACATACACATCGTGATTATTATATAGGAGTGTTCCTAGAATAAAAGAGGATGAGGGGAGTTTAGAAATAGAATCGCGTAGCTGCATGCGGGGGATCCTCAATGTGGTCCATGCGTCTGATCTACATGTAAGTGGGGGGACGATTGGGTTGATAACTGTGTCCTGGAAGACCTAAACAAGCTTTTTCCTTGCTGAATTCTACGAAATTTACGGGGCTTGAGAAAGACCTGATAGGCGCACAAGCGCTAGTGCACGCCAAGGCAAGATTTTCTCGGGCTGATCCCGAATCTCTGGGCTCTTTAGAATTTCTCTTTAGATTTTACAATACAAAGCAAAGCAACTCCTGGGCGGGCATCTCCGCTCACTCTATTCTAATTCTCTCCCACTCGGATTTGAGCGATGTCCGGTCAGCCAGCCAGTGGCTCACCTATGTACCTCCCTATTCGAGGAATAATATTCAATGGCTCAGTGGCTTAAGTCGCCGATATTGAAAGCAAAATCCAGATAAACAGATACCAATGGACTTTGATAAGAAAAGCCTCGGGACGTGCAATATTACTTCATCATCCAATCGATTTGTCGAGGACGACGTAATCGGTACCTAAAGGAGTCTTTCCGGTGTAAAGCTCAAATCATTATCCCTGTTCATGGCACTGCCAGGATCGACCATCAATCGGATGGATTGCTTTTGTGCTGGCAGCTTTTTACACACTCAAAAATGCTTGACTGGCCTATTCAGGTCCATAGTAGATGCAGTTCTCAGAACCCCGAAGATCCTCGTTACTTCCAATTAAGGCAATTACCTGGACCGAAGTTTCAGATGAAGTTCGCCAAGATTTCAATTTCGAGATCTTCGTCTGTGACGCCGTGCTGGGACATCACAGCTTATGGCGAGCCTCTAGCACCGCACAGCATGCGAGCCATTACCCTGTTTCGTTAGACTGGCCCGATTTTAGACTGATTGTCTCTTTTCTTGACAATTTCTTGACAATCGACAATTGACAAGAATCACTACCACTAAAATGGCACGAGCCGTTATCCGGGGCATTCCTTGTCATTGAACACTTTAAGGAGTGATTTCTGGCTCACATCGATCCAATCGTGATACTGTTTTCCCACTATATCTTATGTAGGTACTCACTTCATTAGGAAAGATTGATCATAAATTTAATATCCTCATAGATTTTTATCGTCACAAGTTGCTATGAGTTTTATACGCATTCTAATACACACTGGTGTCTCTACTTAGCACACAGTACATATGAGGGCCTCGATCTCATTCACCACTTGGACATATCTTATTCTATAAGTGGGTATGGTTATTACCACTGCTATTTCTTATCTTTTAAATTCAGCTGTAATTCACATTACAAGCTAACTGCTAGGGTCGCAGATTTCGCCCCCCAGACACTCGTTATCTAAGACTATCCAGCCAATAACCATTCACTATCGTCAAATCCTAGATAGCCTGGGCTGGACCTAGTTTCTCTTTCAGGTACACAATTCTTGCGCGTCCAGTCGCATGTTCGCTTCTTTGTCTCGTAAGCTACCTCGAGCTTTGCATCGTGTGTTACGGTGGCAGACTCTAGCCGTTGAGAGAGCGCCGCTATAAACACCTGTTTCATCCTATCGCGCCCCAACTTACCTGGACCTCCTCAATATTTCTTTTCGGCATTGGTCGGCATCTTCCGACTTACATCGATCCTCCTCGATTTCCACATTTTGAGATTTTGGATGACGGAGTTGCCCTAGAGGTTTAAGACTGGACATCTGGAATCGACGACGCAGTTTATGACACACTCTAGGTGTCGACACATAAAAACCAACTCACTTCGCAAACCTTAAGTGGGTTGAATCGTATCACTTCCACGTCAGCTTACACCTACGTGAAATCAACCTCAAATCCGACTTTCAACTAGCTGGTCTACTTATTCATACGTCAATCTCTCCTTTTATTAGCGGACCGCCAACATGCGGCTCTCCAATAGAAGCAACGAAACCGGGAGCGAGGAGCACAAGAGGGAGGATTCCGTCATAGTAGATTATGGATTCGGTCAAGTTAGCGACGAAAATGCCGTACACGGACGGGAACTGGCCTCGGGCAAATCCATGTATGCCAAACTCCAACGGTTCGCTGGTAAGTTCGGTATGGAACAGCGAGGAATCGAGCGAGTCCCCAGTGATGAAAGGACGGACTCGAATATGAGCCAAATAGGCACTTTGGTATGCCGAGTTTATGAACCCCTATGAATGTGCTTTCTGACACAATATAGTGGTTCTCTGCGAATATGGTTGTTTCGTCATTTGCCATCGGTGCCCTTGGAAAGCCCGTATTCAATCTTGGATTCGTTGATACTGCTTTGACTATCATATTCATCAATACCCTTGGAATCTTGCCGGTTTGTTTCTTCTCGACCTTCGGTCCCAAATTTGGGTTACGTCAGATGGTATTATCAAGATTCTGGTTTGGATACTACGGCGTCAAACTGAGTAAGTTTGCGAGACATCTTCGATTCTTGTTCACACTGGGAGTATCTGACCCGGCTAACCTATCCCGTAGTTGCCATTTTTAACGTCTTAGCCTGCCTTGGTTGGTCTGCTGTGAACGTTATTGTCGGAGCTCAATTCTTCCACGCAATTAATGAGGACGTTCCTGGTTGGGCCGGCATCCTGGTTATTGCATTTTCTACCTTGGTTATTTGCACTTTTGGCTATAAAGTCGTCCACGCTTACGAGAAATGGTCTTGGCTTCCTGTTTTCATCATCTTTATGATAGTGTTGGGTGTCTTTGCCCATTCTGGAGAGTTTAACAGCTTACTCCCACTGGAGACCGGAGTATCTGAGGCTGGTAGCGTTCTCTCCTTTGCAGCGTCGGTATACGGCTTTGCGACGGGATGGACTTCCTACGCTGCGGACTACACCGTGTACCAGCCAGTGGGACGATCGAGCAAGGCTGTTTTCTTGTGGACCTTCGGCGGTTTGTTCGTCGCCCTGTGTTTCACCGAGCTCCTCGGAGCCGCCGTGGCCACCGCAATGGCAAACAACCAAGCCTACCTCGACGCCTACGACAACGCCCATATCGGTGGTCTGCTAGCCGAGGTTCTCGTTCCGAGACTTGGCCGATTCGGCGAATTCTGCATCGTGCTTCTCGGCCTCTCCATTATCGGCAACAACTGCCCAAACATCTACTCCGTATCGCTGTCTCTCCAGGTCCTCTCCGAAAAGACACAGCGCGTGCCGCGTTTCGTCTGGTCCCTAGTCGGCACCGCCGTCTATATCGCCGTCGCGATCCCGGGCTACAACGAGTTCGAAAGCACCCTCGAGAGCTTCATGTTGATCATCGGGTACTGGCTCGCCATCTACGAGGGCGTCTCTCTCACCGAACATTTCGTCTTCCGCCGCGGCAGAACCGACCGCTACCACCCCGAGGATTACGTGGAGCCTAAGAAGCTCCCGCCCGGACTGGCAGCCATCACCGCGTTCTGCTTCGGCGTTATGGGAGCTGTGCTAGGCATGGCGCAGACATGGTTCATAGGACCGATTGGCAAATTATGCGGCGCGGAAGGATATGGTGGCGACGTGGGTTTCGAGCTTGCGTTTGCGTTTGCGGCGATAAGTTATGCGGTGATGAGGACGGCGGAGTTTGCGTATTTCAGGAGGTGAAATGGTGGGGTTTGGGTAGAAGTGGTTGCTTCTACACGTGGCGATTTTTTTCTTTTACATACGATAGGTTAAAAATGAAGATACGGATATGTTTGTACATGGAGAAGTATGATAGGATGAGATGGGATGAGATTTTGTCGATGTTACTTGTTTGATACTACGAAGAGCATATCGAGCGTTGGCGCGTGTATGTGTATTGTGCTTGTTTTGGGGTTGGAAAAGCCTTGGGTAGATACATTTGGATAGGTATCTTTCAGAGGGTGATTGTGTGGTTGGTGTATAGATAGAACTTGGGTTTGTTTCATTATTGAGACTCCTGTCTATCGAAGAAGAAACTTGGATTTCTTGAATTCTTTTTATAGACATAGCGAGATGCTATCTAGGTACTCTACCCATACAATTAAGAAATATCCTACCATAATTACCTACAGTATCAACTATCAAGCATATAACGAGTACCTACATCCGAGACATACCTACAAAATCGCGATATCTCAGTAAAAGCCTATAAAACCCAAGCTCGCCAAACCAAATCGTTTCGGCATATACATACCTACTACATACTTACTTACCTACTAAGTAATAAACAAGTAAATAGGTATGTATGACGGGGAGGATTGACAAGCGGAAACAAACGACCTAGGTAACTACACTAGCGTGCCACAACGCTTACGCCAGCGACGGATTGGACATCGACGTGGCATCCGCGACGGGAGGATTTTGGGTTTCTTGAGACCTGGGGTATGCGACTCGCTGCTATTATCCAGTATCCAGCCGCCTCTCCCACCAAATCTTGGGACCTGGAATTTCTAATCCGACGACGTCACTTTTCGTTCGATTGGGGGGTCCCTTCGTTTATTGTTCCTTTTAGGTTTCAAGGTTGATAATGATCGTCTTCGGTTATTTTGGTCCGCGTGGAGTGGACTGGAGGGATGGGTGTTAGGTAGACGAGGTCCCTGAGTGAGCTAAGCCGGCCTACCCCTATCTAAAGGCGGGCAAGGTGGGCGGTGCCGACGTCAGTGGGTGGCGGCGGACGCCGGGGCTCGGGGAAGACATCTAAATTGCGACTGTAGCGCGTATCTTCGCCGCGATAGTATGGGCTTGTCTTGAAGAGGCATGTTTGCTTGTCGAGCCCAACACACGCTACTTCTCCCTCGCCTCGATATAATTAACCCCTTTCACTTGAACCATTTCATGACAATTAGCCTAAGCTGGGTTGACTTGTCATCTATTACGACGAAACCGATAATCTCGTTAATTAATGTACTTCCTAAGCCGCTACTTTATACAGGGCCCCTAGCCATGCCTCAGCAAGATCCTTAACGCCAAACTAAAAGCACGACCGAGAACCTTTTTCAATGACCTAGTCCATACACACCACTCCGCCAAAGACCATAACTGATAAGGGAATATCGAGGTGTCTCGGAGAGGGATCAACCGCATCGTATTCTCCTCTGTGTCGGCCGTGTAAAGATATATAAGCATTATGCTTTACTTGGAACGTTTTGAACTTCGTGTCGTTTTGGATTAGACCGAGTAATACTGGTATGCGTATCTCCGTAGGATAGCTCGCCGTTGTGTTGTCCCCCGCTGATAATTCATCTAACCCGCTCGGTTTCCCGGGATAATAAAAAAAGCAATAAAAAGGGCGAAAAAAAATCGTAAATAGTGAAATAAAAGTGATTAGAAATGAATGCTAACTCAGTCGTAACCGCTCATCCCCGAAAGTGTGAGCTTTCTGAGGTGCCATTTAGATGAGGAGTGATCCATCCTGGCCTCTGTGTTGTCGACAGCTGGATCTTCGTCTTTTGATGTGGAATTTCCAATCCGAATCAGATGGCTTAATTGTTGCCTATCCGTTCTCGTAGTGATGGGGATTTCGCTTTGATTGCCTTTTCCATTAGGCAATGTCCGTCGTGTCTGCTCCTTTAATGGTTCATCTCTAGTAAATCCCGACAATAGAGTAACACTCTTGACTGCTGCACTCCAAAATTTGTTAAATAATAGCGTCAATTCCCCCTCACTAATTTCGCTTGTCAACCCCGAGTCATAATCCCATTGTGGTTGGAAGTCGGTATCGTCGATACGAGATGTAGTGATTGTTTTTAGATAACTCGCTAGCATGGCCCAACGCTTAGGTACACTCATTCTCTTCTACGAGTAGAAGTGCGATTTCTGGAAGCTTTCGGGGGAGATATCGCCTGCTTTGCTAGTAACTGTGGGCGCCTCCCGTTCTGAAATGTCAGATGATGATACCACCGACTCAGCTGGCGCTGCCTTAATCGCGGCAACGGCTTGACCTGGTCGTTTGGCTACTTCTAGGAATGTTGCGGGGAGGTATCCGAGACGTCCATCCCTAGCCCGGCAGCGCCACCACTCGCTTGGGTTACCTAGAGGATCACTCTTGCTCAAAACCGCAATGAAGTCTCCCTTCTTGACGGCAAGGTCGACACCCTGGGTAGCGTTGCCGGCTTCGGGGGTGAAGTCGTAAAGCACGCGGCAGAACTCGAGTTTGCTAGGATCCATAGATGCGTTTTGACCTGACACTTCCATGCGCTTACGCTCATCCTGCTCGTTATTGGCCGCAATGGACCGGATTGCTTTGTTCATAAGGTACGGCAACCCGAAAGCCGCCACAAGGAAAAATATTAGGGGCTTCCTGCTAGGCTTCGATTGAGCACCACTGGGACCGGGGACGGGGGGCGCGTTACGTCCCTCGAAACGGGCGAATGATGCCGGGGTAAGTGCCATTGCATCAACTGGTGGAGGCCGTCCGGTCACCTTGGCAAACAATGTGCGCAACCATCGCATCATAGTGAAAATACCGAGAACTGACCCTAGAGTCTGGCGCAGATTGCTGAATTGTTCAGCCACAGACACCATGGCTATGATGTGGTTAGTATACCATTCAACCGACTTTGTATAAATGCCACATCAACACAACTTACCAAAGAAACTGGAGTGAGTTGCCATGTATGTGCTCTCAAGCATCTGTGCGAATCCACTAAAAGTGCCAACAATTCCCTCCAGCATCTGGAAGGTAGCCTGAGTGCTGTTGCTAAAACTATTCGTCAAGCTATTGGGATTGTTGGGATCACCCGACATCATTCCTGGCATGCCACCGTACATACCGCCCATGCCACCCATACCACCCATCATGCCTCCGTAGCCACCGTAGCCGCCCATACCACCCATACCACCATACATTCCGCCACCATATCCTCCATACCTAGGATAAGGAGATGAATATGGGCTGTAGGCAGAGTTATACGGGGTTCGACTATATGCTGACGCGTTCTGGTTCACGGTCGAGTTTAGAGAGTCGGGACGTGGAGGAATAGACGGTGTACTCGTGGCAGAATTGGTGGCGGCATTGACTGATGCTGGAGCCGACATTGCGTTCGCGGTGGGAGGAGTCGGTAGTGATGCACCAGTCGCCGTTGCAGTTGGTACAGCGAGGTTTGCTATGAATATCTATGTTAGCAAAATCTGTTGCTCACATGTGAAATTTGGGTAACGGCAAACTTACTAGTTGTCGCGCCGGCACGCTCCCAGGGTTTGGGCGGCGAAGCCATCGTAACGGGGACACTTACAATACTTCAGGGGGCCCGGGGATATTGATAGACGACGATATCGCAAAAGGGATGTCGAATTACTCCAATAAAATCGGTGGTAACAAAGGAGAGTTGAGGCGAAAATACGATGGATAGAAACGACCTCGGTATTTGTTCCCGGTCATGACTTTCTAAGCTTCGGCTACGGTAAGACCCAATAAGACTTTAAACAATACGCACGGATCAGTTGATCACGTGGTTCTTGTTCATGCCTAAGCCTGCTAAAGGTGAACTGTATTACCTAATAAGTCGGGTCGCAGCCTCGGTCTCTTCAGGGTGGGGTTGACGTGCCTTCATAAGTACATAGTACTTCGTAGAACTCTCATAAGGCTTCTTTCACACGATTAAATATAGCTTCCAATTATTACTGTTTCTATAACGCCAATAATCACCTTTTCACCAGAAATTCCTGCTCCGAATTGCCGTATTCCTCCTATAACCCCACAGTTCGCTTGCTTGAATTCACCCACTCTATTTCACCCGCCCGAATTCACCTGCTTCAATTTAGTTTTTCTTGCCAGACTTGAAGAGTCTTTGGGCTTCCCTCTTGAGATTGCATTGGTGATGACGATTTATTGGACTCTCGGGACCAACAAAGATCAGGCCGTCATATATTGTGCATCCAATGATAGATCCGAGCATAGTGGCAAGCCAAGGTCCCAAAACCCACCAACCAGCTCCTCCGAATGTCTCTGGTCCACGATAGCCGACTCCCCATAGAACCATGCGGTTGCTAAAGTCAGAAGCCGGGTTTAATGCTGATCCGGCATTAAACCCTAAGGCGAATTTCAGGACCGTAAGCAACAGCCCAAATGCCTACACGTTTATCAGTCTCCGTCAGCCTGCGATTGTGGGAAAAGAGATTAAAAATAAAGTATGAAATGCCTGAGATATTCTTACCAGTGCAGCGGCATCATCTTCTCCAGGGCTGTCTGTACTTTCTCCACACAACGCTAAGACTAGAATCATCATGATTGCGCCGCCTACAACTTGATTTAAAAAGGCCGTGCCAAGCGGAATCCACGGCTGTCGAGTCGAAAAGAAGGTCATGGCCGTATCCGTCATTGTGGAGTCGACATGTTGAATGCCGTTGTGATAAATTCCGAAGACTAACGCACCCGCCACCATACTCGCAATGAATTGGGCGAGCACATAGACGAAGCATTGCTTTAAGGGAAAGCCACGGAAAATCGAAAAACAGACCGAGATAACCGGGTTCATGTGTGCTCCAGAAATTCCGCCAGCTAGATATACGCCAAATGACCAAGCAAGGCCCCATGCCCAGCACGATGTTTCGTATGTGCCATATTGGGTCGCTTGGTTAGCAGAAAGATTAACAGAAAGATTCGCTGCTAATCCCATAAATACAGCTATCAACGTCTAGTGGGGGGATTAGCCAGAGGGTCACGGGAGAAGCATGACAAAGGGCAAGTCCGAGACGAGAAGCATACCGCAAGAAATTCGGCAAACGGCTCCGAGTGCTTCGCTCGTAATCGGGCCCACCAATTTTGCCGTTTTTCTAAAGGTTTCTCTCCTTGTCCTGCTTCATCACGATCTCGTGGACCCAATGATTCGCTGTTGGTCTTCTCTGTGTCGCTAGTACGTTTTCTAAGTTGGCCGGCGCCGTCCCGCGTATCTGCTCCCAAATTCTCTTGCTTCTTAAGCTGCGACAGCGAGGTATTCGTGAGATTGCACTGTCCGCGCTCTGCTAGGTCTTCAGCAGATTTAGGTACAGGTTTCGTCGACCCATCAGCTTGTTTCTCCCAACGTACTATACGAGGTAAACCCCTAGAGACGCTCCAGATGGGCTTCTTAGATGGTTGTCCGTACGACGGGTTTTGTTCCAGATAGCCCTCTTCGATCCAGGGTTGTTTTGTCTTTTCGAGGACATCTACTGGTATGTAGACCCTACGCCAGACCTTCTTGTCGGGTTCCATTTTCTTGGAAATATGACTCTTAATCACCTCTGCAAGACGTGGGGCCTGAGATCGGCTACCAGCAGTAGGGGCTGTTGTTTTCGAATCGGCGGCATCCCAAAAATCTTCCGTTTGCGTTCCACGATCAACAGTAGGAACTACTGTTGTCGAGTCCATATTGTCGATAGAACTAGCCATTATTGTTATCAATAAGCAGACCAATAGAGCTCTAAGCGGAATGCGAAGATGTATTTGATGCTACAAAACTTGTGGTAACCGTTTCGAAAGGATATTCGAGGTGATGTTCTGATGGTTATAAGTCAAGAGATGATGCCTTGAGGACTTGTCCGGCTATCTATTAACTTGAGCGTCCATCTTCTCAAACGGGCTTCTTGTCAAAACACAGTCACAACCTCCATTTTGAAAGCTTAAGCTCACACTAAGTGGCGTATTTGAAGGCAAGCACATGTGAAAAGTGAACTGAAATCAGAAGGGGGCAACAACGATTCAACTCTCGATCGCGGCAAGAAGGTTACCTATGTACCTAAAGTAAGTTTGGGAAGTACGAAACTTTGAAGTTTGTACTAATAGTTGCATTTCGTAAGCGGAACAATTACTCCGCAGCTGGAGGATCGAACTCAGTGAGCAAGTGTCACCTTTAGCTTAAGCAGGTACCCGTCCTACCGAAACAATGTACGGTATGTGTTTCCCTGGTTTGTCCATTGTTCGAGCATTGCTTGCCAGTCCAGGTACCTACCTAGTAGGTATATAGTTCATCTTTGACATCATTTGTTCTCATAAAAACGATACGAGGCGGAACTGACGGATTGACGAACGATTAAACGATGACATCGTTGCACGAGGAGCTGGTGACGCGATATACATACAGGTAGAGCCTTCAAGTTTTCTCTTACTCTCGTTGGACCTGCTGGTGCCTTTTTATGTACCCATTTGAAGTATCTACGGGGTACTTTAACTTTTTCTTTTACACAAAGATATCAGGCGTAACTCAAAACTGACATCACGATCTATGACATACCGTCACTGCTGAAGTTAGCTACATAGCCGAAGCTAATAGCTCGCCTCATTTTGTCCAGTCAACTATCAGCTAATACTCGTACCCTCGACAACACTCGTGTCTTCTCTATTATTGATGAAAACTCGCTTATGTCCCTTTGATATACCTATACACAAGTGTTTTTTTACATATTATCTGACGTGCATGGAGGTTATCGGAGGGTATTGATTCTGCGAAATAGCTCAGCCATATCTGCTGGGGGGGTGCAGCAATCCGAATAGAAATCATCATTTCCCAACATCTTATTCTAACCTCACAATTTAATAATGACATATATCTATTTTGGTGATGAGTATGATTTATCCTCTAAGGTTTTACATCAGAAATATCACTATTCAATATTAACATAGCGCTCCATGTGAATATAAGTTAATCCTTTCTCCCCTTGAAGACTCAACCAGTTTATTTCCTCTGGCCTTATACACCTGAAAACCACTCAAAGAATTTCTGGAATAAGGTCTATAAAGTACCTTGATTGAATTGATATAGCACAGGTTGTTTTTTTCTTTGCAAAACATCTTGGGTTATAACTCGAAACCTCGTGGACTCAATCCTGTGCGCCGACTCTTTGCACATCGACTTATCTGCTTACAAGACAAAGTAGAATCCATTTCACGAAAAGAAGCTACCTGTAACTAGACCCGGGGTTTTGATCAAGGTCTTGCTATACAGTGCGTCGTTTATATTAATATCCCAAGGATTCAAGGGGTGTCTCGACGAAAAGGATTCTAACAAGGGGGAAGAAAGCAGACGGTGAACTCTGCTCGAAACAATTACGTGTGTAAGATAAACAAACCCATACCGGTATATTTGACTGCCTACCTCGGTATCTGGTACTAACTTGAACTAGGTTCCTTAGGATTGATGCGAAGTTGGATCAAGAATGAACATCAACATGACACGAGACGAGACGAACAAGTAACCAGCCCATACTATCATCAATAGACTTCCAACAGATACCTATCGACAATATCAACCTACCCTAAGTTCAAGCTCCTAGATGTACCCTACCTACCGAAGTTCCACTCCACGGGACCCGACACCAGTCTGTCTCAGACCATTCCCGAGACCGTAGAGCCTCAGCGTAACACACGCCCAAGCAAGGGCCTATTTTCACCAACCTCATCATACAGCGTCCGATATCATAATCATCATGAACCTAAGCTCATCAAGCTAACTAGCCGCCCATGAAGGCCATATCGCTCTAACAGGCGCTAATATTAAATAACATAACATCTACATTACGCTCGAAGAAAAAGATATGTCCAGAAAAAGAGTGCATGCATGCGATGGCAGGGTATTACAACTTAACAGGGCAAAAGTCAGTCATCTTAGGTATGCGGAAATGCGTATGCGAGAAATGGGTAATATAGGCGCAGAAAAAAAAGAACTTTGAAAAACAGCTCCTATATCCAGCTTAAAAGACACGAAGACCAGACATATAGCCGCCCTTTGAGGCATCCTCCTCCATCCAATTCCTTCCTGCCCATCCTGTTTTACCACCATACGTCCCTCGTGGCCAGTACCCCTTTACCCCTTGATGAGAATTTTACGACAAAATGAAAGACATCAAGCTGAAGAGGTCAATATCCTTCTCGTCGTTGATGAGATCCTCAACCTGATCGGAGGTAAGGCTGGTGGAGAAGTCAAAGCTGTCATCGAGGACCTTGATGGAGGCGGTGGAAGAAGAGGCCTGGAAGACGACGGCAACCTTCATGGGCGCGGAGGTGGGGCGGTCGAAGTAGTGAGAGTCACCGGTACCGGCTGCGAAGTGGAAGGTTGACTTGGCCTTGGTGTCACCGGTAGCGAGAATCTCGATGATGTCGGCTTCACCGCATCCACCTTGTAGCGGGCTGGCGTTGTCACCGCTCCAGCAGCTGCACTTGCTGTACTGGCCAGTTCGGGGGATTCTGCCGTTAAGCATCCAGAAAGCAGGCATATCCATGTTCCAGCCCTTCTTGCCGCTCAAGGGCATAGTGAACTCAGCCAGGAAGACCTTGTTGGCACCCTCGAAACCCTCTGCAAAGTCTAGTCAGCATACAAGCATCGAACTGCATTTGGTGGGGGAAGCTTACTGTAAGCAACGGTGCCGGGACGGACAGTGCCGCAGTCATCCTTGCACTCCTGGTCGGAAGCAATGATGATCTCGGTGGAGTCGTCGATTAGGCCATCCTTGAGGATGGTGGGGGAAGCAGCAGCCTTGGTGCCGTCCTCGTTAGCGTAGGCCAAACTGGCACCCCAAACACTACGCATTATTAGTCTCTGAAGCTCCCTCATCCAAACGAATGTACACTTACGTATCCCAGGTACCGGAGATAGCTGGGTCACCGAGGTTGCCAAGGAAGACAAGACCGTCAGCGACCTGGTCCTTGGAGTTGTAGTAGGCGACGCGCTGGTAGTCGCCGACGGGGACAGAGGACGCGGATGCGCTGCTTGAGCTGCTGCTCTTGGAAGCCTTGGCGGAAGACTTAGCAGAAGCGGCGCTGCTTGCGGCGTAGGTGGCAGCACTGGTAGCGGCGGATGTCGCTGTGGGAGATGCGGTGTTAGCGCCGAACCAGTTGTTCACCCACGTCGCGATCTTGCCGTCGATGGTAGCCGTGACAATGTCAGCGCCTCGCTTCTCGGCCTCCTGCTGCTGCTGCTCATGGAACTTCTTGTGGAGGTGCTGGTGGCCGTGGCGCTTGGAGTGAGGCTTAGGAACGTCACGCTTGCCCTTGGACGGAGTGTAGACAGCCACCGACTTCAGCGAAAGGGGTCCTCGGAAGTGCAGTGTCAACTGCGATCTAAAAGTTAGCGGCAAAATCGCCTTACGCAAGGGAAAATGGGGCGGATACTCACGTCCTCGTCGAAGGGCGCAATGGGGCCCGAGTAAGCCTTGTCCTCGAACGTGCATGTACCCGATTCGGTCATCTGGGCGACGGCTCGGTATTTGCCAGCGATGTCGAGACCATTGTACTTGATCTGCTTAACGGCATTGGGACAGAAGAAGTTTCCAGACTCCTCGAAGGCATCGGTACAGAAACCAGCGTTAGCGACCGAGGCCGTGGCCACGGCAAAGGCAATCGAATATCTCATCTTGATGACGAAGTTTGCTTTTCCCAAATATGAGGTTATTCAAGGGTTCGTGAGTTCTTTCGTGTCTATGCGGCTTCGCGTTCTCTCGACCGAGTTTAGGTTGTTTTAGATTGATGGGAATCGTCTCTTTGGAATGCAAGGCAACCTTTTTTTCAGTGGACCGGAATTGACAATAGCTATGAAGTGAACGTGACAAGCAAACACACAGTTCAAGAAGCGTAAAACAACGAAGGGTCGCCTATCGCCTGACCTTGAATTGAAATGTTTGTTAATGAGCGGATTGGCGAAAAATCACCAGTAAACAATGAGTGGAATTAGCAAATTGCTTCCGGGCAAAGAAAGACGACGACAATGAATATTGAAAGTCAAGTCGAGAGAGAAGGAAGAGAGAACCTTGAATGGAGTAAGGAGTGGAAAGGGGTGGATAAATGAGATTAAAGAAGGACTTGGCAACCATGGAGGGAGTGTGAACAACAAAGTCGGTTTCAAGATAGACGCCACAGGAGATGCAGGGGTGTCATTGGTGATAATCGACCCTACGAAGTAATTCGCCCTAATTCACTCCCATTCGCCCCAGATTGGCTGGGACCTGCCAACCTCTCCTGCGAGTAAATGGGATGGATGGAACGCTAAGCAGGGGATTAAGTTCAACTAAGTTCAACTAACACTTCTGTACCTGCGTGACCCAGGAATCGGTGACTTGGCCATGCAGCAAATTTTGCTGGAAAGTCAATGTACATGCACATATTCCATCCTATGCCGTAATTGGTGTAAAATCAGGGGGATCGGCAGCTTAAGTCAGCATCGTAGCCAGGAACCAATCATTAGGAACACACCGGGAGGTCATTAAGGTTCATCTGGTCTAACAGTCCTGCGAGTCTAATTTTTATTTTATTTCTTATTTCCTGTTCCTGGCAGTGTTCGCCAATGCCTCCTCAAGTTCCCCCTTCATTCCATGGTTGTGAGAGAGCTGATCGTCACTACGCTACAACCCAACCTGGCCACGGGTAATATTACGATCACTGCTTAATGCAACTTGATAGGCCCGTATCTTTAATGGCCCCCAGTTTCTGATCATTCCGTCAGTACCAAGCTTTTCGAGATGTGTCTGCGATCGGCCAGATTAAGAACTGACGCTCTGGCTCGGAGCCGTTAGTCGTTAATAGTTTAATGGTGAATCGGTCTGATCGGTCTAGAAGTCAGGATGACATTGACTCAAGATGGTCGATTTCCTTCAGATATCGTTGACCTTGTTGAGCTTGTTTTGTGGGAGGATCATCCTTCGATTTGACGGATCAAAAAGGGAACCGAGTTTATCTTTAAGCCATCATATTCAAATTTCCTAATTCTACTACTAGTCATGTCTTCCACGTCACTGTCCGACAGATGGTTAAATCTACCCGTCAAAACAGCTGACATACAGTTCCTTAGTGTTATTAGATAATATCCGACTTCAGCTTCTCATGGTTATTATGTTTTTTAATCTAGCACACTTGAACCCCCGAATTTTCCAAGATATCCAATCTCGCCGAATACTACAGGAGGAACCAGGGCTAAGGACATCGTCGGTCTTGGATTTAATGAGAACAACAAAGCGGACGGCTTCTAATAACTTGGCATATGCCCGATTCGACTTTGAATCCCTATTTGGGCTGAGGGGTTCGCTTAACCTCACCACAAAGTCTGGCCTAAGAGAAGGAATTGAGGAGAAATCCAAGTTGACATTTCTCTAATCGATTACTAGCTTATCAACGGGTTCGAATAGCGCATCTACTGACACGTCATCTTGCTGGCTGCAGATATTGTGGTCAGCCTAGTAGGATTATTGTGACCATTTTCTGCTGTACATAATCTACGAGCCAGTCCAAGACCGCTATTCTTTGCGCTACTCCGATTGAGCACCCGCATGGCCTCCGCATAGCATCCGCAAATGCTTACGTGTGTATGGAGATTCTTCTTATTGCGTTACTGCGGTATTCATTTGGATGGGTCGCGAAGTGACGCACGTGGCTGTCTTTTGAGTCCGGCGTATTTCCTTGAGCTTTGGGGCTGAGCCAATAACGTCGTCGCGTACCCCTCACGATGGAATCATGTAATCTTGTGCCCGCGCAACGACTGGGATAACGTTACGAATGCTCACCTACGGTCCCGATAGGGTTTCCTGCATCCGACTACCGGCCGGGTCCCGGGTGTCTACACCTATTGTTGTTGAACCATGGAATTTTCTCAACGACATTCCCATTCATTCATACGCGACCTATCGATAATAATTCTGCACGTACCCGAACCTCCAAGACATCGACCATGTGACGAACCAACAACAAATACTCGAACATGATGTCATATGAGGTGGACACAATAATGCTTAATATAATATCCAGGCCGACGGAGCATTTGACGTAGACTAAATTCCGAAGCAACGGGAATCCAGTTTCTTGGGTCGGCCCAGCTCGCTTTTACGATGTCGAGTAGGACAATCTCATTTAGCGATCTCATTCCAGGCATCTTGTATCACCAACGAGTCAGGCCTCCAAGGCTTAAAAGACTCGGATTATAATTCCGCAAATAAGTGGATCATTCAGAACAAGTAAATCACAGAATGAGCCAAAGCTCATTGGCGAGATTTCATGATTTTGAACAAACGATGAGTAAGGCATTCAAAAATAAAAAATAAAAATACGTGGATCTCCAGGTCAGTCTATCAGGTTTCTGGAAAAGGTCACCCTTGTCCTTCCGCTAGTGAAATGAGCCTCGTTTCATGCCCCTATAATTCTTTAGGTATGTTTTTATAATCACGCCCTAAATATAAACAAGCATTCCAACTATTCCGATACACTACTAAATTTCAGGGAAAGTTTCCAGCAGATATCGTAGCCTCATCGTGAACGGCACAGCCCGGTGTGGGGTATCTCCATCTTTATAAACGGTCGGAGGACCAGTCTTCCGGGCTCTAGCTACCTAGCGTCATCATGCGAGAGTTCTGTTCTGACGATCGCCTGAGCTCATGATCGCTGGTTTGGGATAGGTCATGGTTATTCACTGACGAAGATGCTAGTCACTTCTTCAGGTCGTTTCTCATAGACCAAAACAGCTCCATGAAGGCTTCGGTGGCTTATGTGACTCTATTCACATGCTACTATGCATGCCCAGTTCCCTAGTAGTCAGAACTAGCTTTGGCTGCACCTCTGGAGTCTTCTGCCGAAGATCTAGTCCAGCTTGAGCTCGCACTTTACGAAAAGTACACTTGGTAGTAGATGGTCGTGAGCTGAAGACTGTGTCACAGTGTGAGTGATCGTTGCAGGTGAGTCGCTGTAGTGTATAACTATAATTAACTGACTATTGATGCCTATCATCTTATATATAGGTAGGTACCTACTAGGCACCAGGTATGTTACACATAATACAGCAAAGGCGCTGTTACATCACTTCTCCTTATCAGCTCCCAACAAGAAGATCTAGGTGGTAGGTATAGGTGAATTCTCATTGAGAACCCAGGTTCAACATCATATCTAGATATTATTAGCACATATTCACTTAACTGTCTGTGGATAGGAAGAGGTGGCGGGGAAGAATACCGAAAAGCTCAGCTTCTGGGGCAAGTCACATCACCTCAACTAACGTGAGTCAAGCATTATCTCTCTGGGATGTATTGAGTCTTTGCAGGCGTGGGGTGGGGGTCTTGTGATTTGGAGAACGCCCGGGTTATATCGTCTCAGCCCGTCAATGAATGCCAACATATATCGAAGAGATATCTACAAGAGGCCCGATCTAGATTCGACGCTACCAGCCTAGATCTGATCCTCCAGACACGGAATCAACTCGCCTTGACATATTAGGCTATCGACAGCGAGCCTATGAACTAGTTTGCAGCTGATAAAGCTTTATTACCGTAGCCAACTGCGGCTTAGGGCATCTAGGCGGGTTAGTTTCCATGTTTCACAAAGGATGCAGTCATCTCAGTTCCAGCGAGTAATATAGCATAGTGCAGATCATGCGCCGCACTTGATGGGTCGTATTATGTAGAGGTAGGTACCAGACGGGTACCTATAAGCCGCATTAACGACACCGGAAAACATGACTTCACTCGTAAGGCTTCAGTATGGAACAGTCAGTTTCGTAGTATTCATCACTCATTATATCTCGTTATAGCTCGTCGACCCTCCCTCCCAACCTTAAGACGATGCATATTATACAGTTGTTAACAGTCTCTCTGAGGAAATAACTGCTGTCGGTGGTCTGGATGGTAGTTGATTCGATTTTATAGGGGCGAGGCCTATCCCATCCTCGTCTCCCGTCCTCCTCGTCCATAATGTCGTTGCATTTGAGTTGTACTCGTCGAACCCGATCTGCCGATCCGGACCTCTCGTCCGAGGGATATTCTTCCCAATTTCGGGTTTCGAAGATGGCTTCCGTCCCATCAGTTGCCTAACCAGAGGTTTCAACATCGGTACAGAGGCACAGACTAGCCCTAAACTCGATTCAAGTGTAGTCCAAATTGCGAAGCTAAAAGAATCCCATTGCGCATATTTCGGGTTGAGGAATTCCCAGGCTACCGCCATGCGCGTCAGGGAAGCGCAAGCCACAAATATACCCAACGTTAATACGAATGCGAGGGCAATCTTTTGTCGTATCGGCAGATGCATCTTGAGGATGTGAGGAAGTACCAGCCCAATCAGCCATAGATCGGTGGCCGTATGCAGGACGGCGGATGCAGTCAAGATCGGGTAGTATGCAAGGCACTGTCCCACTCTAATGTCGAGCTCGTATACGTTGGATACGGGGTTGCACAGGAAAAACGTGAGGAGGAACAAAACGGTACCGTACACCACAACGCAGCCCATCGTGATGAAGACAAGGATCCGTTGGTACGGTAACTTCAAAATCCGCAGGTAGAAGAACAAAATGCTGATCTTCGTAAGGACCAAGGACACTTGATAGCTGCTTATGGTCACGAAGGATAGCCGGATGCCGGTCGGTCGGAGGTGGAGAGGAATGTTGCTGAACTTGTGGCCGAGTCCATACCTAGTTTCGACACCGACGACGGTGACGACTGTGACGGCGAATATCCATGCGAGGAGAATGAAGGCGTCATCCCACCATTGATTTTTCAGAATTATTCTAGAGTATAGCCGACCGACAACCACGAGGCTGGCGAATACTATTGGAATGATTATTCCCGTTAGGATGTCAGGCACCTCCGAGGGCCCGGTCAACTGCAGGGTCAACGTTGTGAGTAATCTATTCGTCCCGACAGAATGGTTCTGGCCTCGCAATAGCCGACCGGACGCGGTGGAAGATCGCGCGGGCCATTGAAGGTGGAGATTGCTTACTTACCTCTAAAGGCGCCATAAAGGCGATATGATGCGATGAAATGCAAAGTGGGAAAACGTCGCAAGCATAGACGACGAACCGAAAAACAACAAAACTGGGACTTCACCGCTGGGTTTTCATTTAATGTCGAGATGACGCCAACTACGATATATGTATAATGATGCGGAGAGGTCTCCTCAAACATCTCATGTTGCCATGATATCTGGGAGTCAGGCTGTCAGCACGCGGGCGATCATCTCCGTGAGCTACCAGTGCAGGTATGTAGCACGACGGTCGCCGCTGATATAATAGAAACTGATGGATTCTGATTCAACCCCGCCGGATTTTGACCTCCATTGGTGAGACTGGCTTCCGCCAATGGAGAGCCGTCACTGAGGCTTGTGCTCGACAGAACTGCTGACAGCGTAACATTCGAGTTGCAAGGATACATAGTGGCCGTGGTTCTGGGATCAGGGTGTCCTCTGGATTAATCATCCCCGTATTCTCGAGCTCGTGCTCTCATAGGGCTGGCTGGTTTAAAAATATCGTCCGTCTACCAATCGCAAGCTCGCTCACCCATGTCCGGAGCAGGGGTTAGAATAAAGAACCTCGCCAAGATTCCGAAATAAGGCAGGTAGAGTTACCATCGGTAGGGGATTGAGAGCTTTTTCAAAAGCCATTGCAGGGCTAATAGGTCGCCTATGTTCTCGAATGCCGTTTGAAAACGCAGCTAAAGACCCGAGGCAGATGTTCTTTTGTTGATAGACATCGCGACGGTATCCAGTTCAGGTATGGGGCATACTATTCCCATTATCACCAGTTTAACAGGCTTATAAAACGATGGTGTAGAGCTTCACGATTTCTCTAGCTGATTCGAAAGATTCCATACTCATCCTTCATCATGCGACGCTAAGATCGAGATCGTGAGACTTACATAGAGGAATAGGCTATCGAGACAGTGAGAAGGTTGAATTGTCAGCCCCCGCGATAGAAGTTTAGCGTGAGGCCGCTCTGGTCGGCCTAGGTCTGGGGTAAGATAATATGCTTAATGACAACATAGTAGACTAACATCATAGCTGTCGTTAGCGATCTTGGCTTACCACGATCCGGCTCCCTCTAGAAAACATGGAGCAGTATTATTCGCACATAGTCTATTCGAAGCAAGAGATGCAGAAGATGTTAGTAAAAGAGAAAATGAGCAGCGACATTAGTGGATATATCACGAGTGCCGAGACATTGGCACTTTATTCCCACTGCAACTCTGCTCCATAGTATATTAAGCCACAATCTCACAAGCAGCTCGAGGCATAATTATGTAACCTCAGTACCCTTTTAGGATCTTGTAAGGTGGACATGTCATCAAGAATGGCCTTATAGTATGGTAGGTCTATCTTCTTGGCTTCTTGGATACATATTGTTATATTACAACCCAAATACTCTTATGTCAACCTCCACACAAGACGAGGCATTCGACAAACAAGGTGACGGCATGTTTAGCGCACGGAGTCCCCCATGGTACTAGGAGGTTGGGAACCAGCCAGCCACCGTCCCAATTTAGCTCCTCAAAAAGAAAAACCTGACCGGAAATGCTTAATTTTTGGGTCGCTTGTTGGGGTTCCGGCGATTTATTGTTGTAGAACCTCAAGGTTTCGGCTCCGGTCAGTTGTCTGCAGCGTACACTTCGCTTAATATTCTACTGCTTCTACATGCTATGGCAAGTTAACTTGTCAGCTTGTGTCCAGTGATTATAGCGCTCCGTTAACTATTATAGGGCGTTCTATAGGTATTATTAACAGTATAAACACTATACCTATAGGCGGACAACTAAATATGTAAGACTCAACAGGTCATATTCGCTAGAGTGCATCCTGTGCTCAAGGACGCATAGCTATAAATGGTATCACGTACCAAGACGATTAGTGAACTCTACTTGCCTAGGCAGTTTATATCTAGTCGATGAGCTCTGGCATTCTTACGCAATTTTTACATGTGAAATACTAGGTAGTTTTCTGGAAATGACGCTCTAAATATAGCATTAGACTACTGCAAAGATTGCGGGCGGTCCCTTTAAGCTAGCATGTTATCTTTGATCTCTCTTGGCAAGCTCCCTTTGTCACCAGGGTCTACACAGCACTCAGCATTAGTTGACTCTAATTTCGGCCGAATGCTTCATCGCTAATCGTTGGCTAGGGCATTTTGCAATTATTACTTGCTCTTCTTGTCCTAACGACACCGTGGGCTGAAAACGAGGCAACGCTAGAGTGAGTCTAGATCTAGTATTGTAGGCCATGATGGGCGATGCGGTGGGATTAGTCTTGCCGTCGGTAACGCATCGGCTAGAATGAATACAATATCGCCCGCTTAGAGCTTGTTGTTTCTACATCTCGATAGAAATTGATAAGAAGCTGTCTACCTAGTACTACTGATGGGACTTATCTGGGCATATCGACACCGTGACCGTGTGGTAACTTAAAAGTCCTCTAAGTATTAAGACTCTATTAAACCAAGAGGCAGAGAGGGTAGCGAAAAAAGCCACCACGGTGTCTGTTTTACAGTATTAACACTGTACATAACAATTAATCTAAGTCTCGGACCCTTCGGAATATTTCACGCTCGCGAGGCTCTACTGTAACATCTCTATTGTGAGATCTGATAATACGTTTGTTCCACAACATATGCATCTAGTACTAAAGATTCGGTAGGCTATAAGTTAATGAGAAGGGAAAGGAAGGGGAAATGATTGATAAAAGGTTGACCGTCTTTGCCTTTTGCCTGCGCGACAGATGCGTTTGTTCTCTTCACTCTCTTTCCCTAACCCGACATTCACCTACCTACGGGACTATTATATCTTAAGTTCTTTATTAGAAACCCTTGATTTGTCTTACCTGAACCTATTATATCACATAACAATTTTACATCTCTGCTTATTGGCAGTCCATACTCCCCATACAATTTCCAGGGGACCATATTTCAATATGGCTTCAATGCGAAATGTCGGAACGGGGAGCCGACAAGTTCTAATGCTGTTGCTCCCACTCACACATATTCCCACATGACAATAAATACTTTTTGAGGCATTTAAATATCATATGGAGAGTCTAAGATGCTAAGACTACCGTTGGTTCTATCCTTAGCATGCGACAAGACCAGTTTTTTTCGACCATGAGACTATCAGACTTATTGAACATGGTCATCAGCTTAGCCAACTTTCAGCTTCAACCTATTGAAGAAAAAATTGTCATGTCGTGCTTGATATTTCTTAAGCGACATCGCAAGTGACCTAGGCGTCAAGTTTCTGATAGGAGTTGTTGGTGTATATGCTCCATTGACTCCCCTATTCCTGTTTCAACAACCCGAGCCCATTCCTCCAAAGGGAAGAAAGACCGACGAAGTTCGAAATAATGAGAAGGGTTGATAGGAAGTTGGTCCAGTTTAAATGCTTGGTAATTTGCGTCGATGGGTTCCCCCGCGCGCGGTTCTATGCGCGATGGCTTGTAGTCGAGATTGCGCCATCGGAGACGTCAATCATGACATCGACTTGGGCGTGGAACCTGGACACGCGAACACCCCGTGGCCAATCAACCCTCCCGACCAGTACCTATCCGGTCTTTGACCATCACGACAGTACACCCCGACATGGCGAAGCGAAGCTATCGATCGTTATCAATCGGAGTTTACGTATGTATTGAGATAATCTATAATCCGTATCTCCATAGTCGACGCAAGCCATATCATGCATTTAAATCATGTGTGCGTTCTTTATAAACTTATCGTTGCCCCTACTACGTAGGTCATTTCTACCTACGCAGGGGCGATTGGAATCCATCGTGAATCAGCACCGTCCAAACTCACTTGAGGGGTGATCAATCACATCCACCACGATGTCGGAACTACCCTCCCCCAACCCCAAAGAGATCCTCGTGCACGAGTCCTCACTAGAAGCCGGATCCTCCTCACACCAAGGCAGCACCGAACAAGACGAAAAGCTGAAAGCACCATGGTGGTCCTACATCTGGGACTACGAGCCCGGGCGATCGCACGAAGAGCGGGTGTTCATCCAAAAACTCGACGTCTTCCTCATCACGATGCTCTCGCTCGGATACTTCATCAAGAACCTGGACCAGACCAACATCTCGAACGCCTTTGTCAGCGGCATGAAGGAAGACCTCGCCATGAACGGCAACCAGATCAACCTCGTCGACACCGCCTGGACCGTCGGCTACGTCGTCGGCCAGATCCCCTCGCAGATCATCCTGACCAAGGTCAGACCCTCCGTCTGGGTCCCGGCCTGCGAGCTCGTTTGGACCGTCCTCACGTTCTGCCTTGCTGCGGCGAAGACCTCGAATCACGTCATCACGATCCGGTTTTTCGTCGGCCTGGCCGAGTCCATTTTCTACCCGGCTGCGCACACTATTCTCGGGTCCTGGTATAAGCCGTCGGAGTTAGGAAAACGCGCTTGTATCTTCCACGCTTCTTCCGCTGCGGCTGGCATGTTCTCGGGATATCTCCAGGCGGGTGTTTACCGGGGGTTGAATGGTGTTAGCGGGTTTGCTGGGTGGCAGTGGCTTTTTGTGCGTTCACAGCTTACTCTCTGAATTTATGTTGCCTGAGCTAACGGTGAGGTGTAGATTATGGATGGGATTATCAGTCTTCCGATTTGCATCGCGGGATTCTTCATATTACCCGATCTCCCCGAAAACACGAGGGCGTTCTATTTGAATGAGAAGGTGAGTTTACCGAGAAGTTTTCCTACCAAAAAATCTTTCAGTTGACTTACCATGGGTTTTTAGGACCGTGCTATGGCGAAGGAGCGTATGGCCAAGGTCGGGCGTGCGCCTCGCACGAGACTAGGGCTCTCTGCGTTCAAACGGATTTTCGGTACGTAACTGCTGCGTTTTTTGACAAAAAAATATTCAATGGGTGAAAGCTGCAATACTGATAAACGGAGCAGGCAGATGGCACGTATATCTTCTCACGATTTTATACATAATATTCATCAATATTGGCCCGTCTTCAAGTGTTAATCCTTTCGCCCTATGGCTTAAAGCCAAGGGAGAGTCCGTTGAACGAATAGTGAGTATATCTACCCCTATTATTCGTGAAGGATAGGTACTAATCCTTTTCCGCCTACCAGAACCTCATTCCGACAGCTTCAGCAGCCATCCAGCTCGTCCTTACAGTTACTTTCGCCATCGTCTCCGATGCGATCCGTCGTCGCGCTTCGATCATGTCTATATCTACCTTCCTCGGGGGCTTTTCGGTTCTTCTCCTGGCCATCTGGAACATCCCCGATGGACTGAAATGGTTCGCATTCTTACTTCAGCGTGCGTCGGTGCCGTATGGGCCACTTAGCATGAGTTGGGCGAACGAGATATGTGGTTCGGATGCTGAGGAGCGAGCGATTGTGATTGGAATCATGAACTCCATGGGCTACGCATTTAACGCTTGGGTGCCGATACTCACATTCCCGCAAGTGGATTCGCCAACGTTTAGGAAGGGTTTCGTTTTCTCGACGGTTGCGTTCGGCGCTCAGGCGATTATCACGGCGGTAGTGGCGTTCATGTACAAGAGAGATCAGAAAAAGGGGAAGGTTCATGGTAATGATGCCCCTGAAATTGGGGACGAGGATGGTGTCATTGCACCTTGATATATAGGTACTTTCAAAGTTCTGCTTAAGATACCCAGAAACGATGTTTAAATGAACATATCTATACCTAATCCCTAGTTAGTCACGTTCTATAAGTGAACTTACTATTTGATACCCACCTGCCAACTCGTTAAGTGTCGGCAAACCTTGATACACTACATTCTGCTCATCACATTTCACTTTCTCATAGAGGGACGTATATTTTCATATATCAGGGTTGAAAGAATTAATCATTACGCTACATATAAACATTAAACTAGAAAACAGTTGACTTACATTGAGTCCTATGTCCATCCGAAACAGTGCCGGGTCTCAGCTCCTTTGTCGCGCTTTTCGTCTTTCGAATCTTTGTTAGAAATATGAGCGTGGTGAAGAAAACGAATACTAGGTAGGAGGTAGCTCACTGGTTAAAGTGCCAGTGCTGATTATCGTTCATCTCCCGCAACTCCTCTAAAAGCATCTCACGGAGTTCGGCCAACTCCATTGCTATAGCCCCCCTACGCTGAATCGCATCCCTCAAGATATGCACGGCTTCATCATCTATTCTGTCCTGTCCTAAGATCCGGAATATATCTGGGGCTTGATTACCCTGTTGACCCTGCTGATCCTGCTGACCCTGCTGCCCCTGCTGCACCTGCTGTCCCTGTTGCGGCGGTTGTGCACCCTGCTGCATCTGCAATAGCTGTGCCGCTGCCCGTCGTACCTCTTCAGCTGCCACCATATCAGCGGCCTTACGAATACTCTCCCGAATTTCCCGGATCTCCAGATGCTGCTCTAGAATCCCCGAGTCTCCGTATATAGGGAGGACTCGATCATCGCCAGCCATGAATATAGGTTCTCGGCAACTCGGGCAAGTCGCATCGTTATCTCCATTATAGACGATCCAGCTGTGGAGGCAAGTATACCCGAAGGCGTGGGCGCAATGAGGAAGAACCGTGTACGACTCGTGGTTCTCCCGCGACCTCGTGTCGAAGTTGGGATTCAGGAGGGCAATGTGCTTCTCCTGGCAGATCCCACAATCGATTTGGAACCGTGAATTCCGGTGCAAAATTAGCCCGTCATTGTCAAAGTACGTGAGTACCCGGTGGAAGTTATTTGTGGCTATCGTATCCGGTGCCCCGTCCATTTTCCTGTGATAATTTAGCTTTGTGTATTTCTTTGTGTTTCTTTGTTGAAGAAAGATTGGGATTGTGTGTTTGTGTGTGGGATGGTGAATGAGAGAATCCTTTTTTTCTCTGCTCAGAGGCCTCGTATTTAATGACAGATTGAACAATCCTATGTTCGCTAACAATATCCATGATATCCTACTACGAGTGTGTTTTAAAACTCACCCACTGGATTCGAAGGCAAACAAAGAAATTGAACCCTCTCACTACCTAAATACAGACTTGTTGGTATAAACTAAATTGTATATGATCGCGGGTGTGAATAATGGGTAGACAAGGCTTGTATCTCATATTCCATCTAGAGTCGGACGACCACCTTTTCCCCTCATAGCTCATCTCGGACCGTCATCTAATTAATTATGTATGGTAGGCGTATTAAAGTACATATGAACGAGTAATAGTCTTGTGCCTGAAATGAACAATCCCGCTTAAGTTTGTCTACTTCGATTAGCTATCAGACGGAACGCGAGCATGGACCTCGGTAACTCTAACCCTTTTAAATCTACTGTTGATGGAATGGACTTCCGGGTGTCTTCGGTGTCCTCGGCTCCGATGAAAGCTCAGTCCCTATGACATCTGCCCCAGGAAGTTCCGTGTAGGCTCCTAATCCCGGTGTTTGCAATTCACTCCTTTTTGGTTCCGCCTCAACTGGACTGCTGTAGCCCCACGCACCCGAGTGAGGGATTGTTCCATGCGACGAAGGAGGCGGCTGCCACTGATATTGTTGTTGCTGTTGCTGTTGCTGTTGCTGCTGAGCCCTCGCGGCTATGGTAGCTGCTTCGGCTTCCAATACTTTCTTATTCAATAGGCTATTACGCCAAAACATGAAACCTACTCCCGCAAGAGCGAGTGTCATGATAACACCCTCAATGGCAAGCCCTGCGACGGCACCCGAAGGGATGGAATCTGATGTGTCCGTGGAGGAATTGCTATTCGCAGGTTTCGATATCACAGAAGAGGCCGTTGCGAGAGGTATCGCCCCAATACCGGATTGAAGTTGTGCGATGACGGTGCCGACAGGTTGCGTTAATTTGAAGGAATTATTGCAACATTGCTGGGTAGTTAAGATATTGGCGTCACTTTCACAACACCAGAAGCCACTATCGTTACAGGCCTTAAGATGTGCATTGTCGATCTTGACTTTTATCTTCTGTTAACCCGGTATTTAATAAGACACGATAAAGGATATGGTAGGTAACTTACGTCCATGGCAGTATTGAGGACAGCTTGGGTCCTTAAATGTGGGATCCGTACATGCCGTAGCCCATAGCAGATGGCTCTGTTGACGAGAGAGACTGTTGAGACACAGACCGGTTGATAAGCAGGCGTCACCATTATCCGCATTACAGCACGAACTATGTGAACCTTCCGTGCCGGTGGCACTAAAACATCTGCTGTTAATATATGGGGACCTATGCTCTAAACTGATAATGGGTATCGTGGGGGATAGGAGAAGTTTGAAGTCTACGTACTTGGGATTACACAGGGCGTTCGATGGACCCGCGTTTGTGCCATCGAGATGATAGCATGTCGCCGCCAACACTTGTAAAATCATACAACCACCAAAGAGGAAGAGCACAATGCTCTCTATTGATGACGACCCCCTCATTTTTATATTATCCAACCGAATAAAAACGAGCGAAAAGATGTTGGTCTTCGGGTTGGCCTCCGAGGTGGGACTAGGATGATGTCGAGACGAGCAAGAGAAGGTAACAACAGAACTAGGAACTGCCGGAAGACGGACTGCCATATTTATTCTGCCTGCTCTGTACGTAGATCGCGTATGTCCGGAATCCGGGGTAAGTGGTAGAGTGGTAGGCCTCATGTTAGGGCTGATCTGCTTCGCTTCTTCATCCCCCTGTTTGACAATGCTTTATTCCCTGCTTCTAGAAACTCTGCGCACGTTTTGGGTTAACAGCGCTACATGTTCCTGAGAATTGCACGCTCAGCTGAGCGGAATTATGTGGCGTCGCACCTTACCACCTGGAATAGGAAATTCTTTGAGCATTGATCCACCGTCGCTTGGGACCTTTTCTGTGATTCCGTATTACAGCGTATCATTTTTGAAATGCGCCCACCACGTTTTGCAGTTGCTTTGGGTATTCAATTTTTGGTTAGAAGATGACGCTTGAAGCATCTTATTGGTAGGCGCCTACTAGATAGGTGATAGGTAGGACTTTGATCATAGGATTTGGCATCCCATTTAATAAGGATGCGGAGATTAACATAATGTTTGTCGAAGGGATATGACATGAAATGTTATGCAGCTATCATCGGAGGTTAGTTGAAAGCTGCGGTAAAAAGGCACCGAATTACCTAACCCTTCTATCACTACTCTCACTCTATGTAATCCAGCTGAAACCTAAGTCTTAGAACAGCGAGGAGACCGACGGAAACTGACGGAAACGCAGAGAAAACGAAAAGCAAATAATATTGTCTCAGACTTAATCATCCTCTTTTAGCGGCGGCGGCATGGTGGCGGCAGACTACTCCAGGAGTAGATAGATGCACATGATGGCTGCCGCTGAGTATGGGCTTGAGAGCTAAATAGTACATAGATCATCATGCATATGATGGTTTGAGGCGTGGCTTTAATGGCATCCGCCCTCCTCCGGGTAGGGACCTAGAGTGATGCAGTCGATAGGTAAACTTCGCGATACTTTCAAAAACTTATTTTTTTTCGCCAAGTTTTCGTCGATAAGGTTCATATTCTCGTCGCCGTATATTGACTATTGAAATTTTAACGCTTTGACACTTCAACTGCGAAAATAAAGTATGGGCTAAAGGATATAAAAAATTACCTTCACGCCACCATACTCACTTGCGATGGTTTTCTATAGGTACTAATGCACTAACGCACTCGCTATGCGAGGAGGCGTAAGTGTTTACCTTCGTGAAAACTGTAAACCATCAATTCGAATTTGATTCTCGATGGCTACCTACATAGGAGTAATTCGAGTTAGGTCTTATTAATATAGCTAAATTGTATCCGAGATGGGTTACTTACTTGGATATATATATCTAAACATGAACCTCCCATTTCAATCTTCACATTCTGTTTATTACCACCTCTTAACATATCCAATACGTCCATAATTCCATCAACATGTCGACTCGTATAAATTACAGGGAGCTCCTCGAGCCCAAGATGCCGCCTATCTGCTCTATAAAATCAATAGGGAAGCTTCCTGACGACGTCGTTTATATAGCTATCAATACTCGCCTAGTCAAACCCCCTGCAGCTCGCCTGAGAGTGGACAAGGCTCACATCGCCGTTCTACCTCGACTCAGGGAACTTCCGTGGACTGTCTGGGGGAGGCAATCTCCCCAGAGCTTTGTCCAGAGCCACAACGTCAAAGTTCATAGACTCGAGCGAACCGACCACAGTTCCAGCGAAACATACCCAGGGCACTTGTCAACGTTCCGAATTGGATTCAAAAGTGCGATAGAAAAAATCCGCAAGGGGTACCAAAGGGATATTAGAATCGCACTCGTCGGCGAAGACAACTACTTCGACTTCGAGCGCATAGCTTTAGAAGTTGAGGACATAATCGAATGCATCGACTACCGGATCTCACTCCCAAAAGTCATTGCGTCGAGCCGGCAAAACAAGGACTTGGGCCTTGAAGACGGAACGGATATGTTCTCTGCCGACGATTGTGTCTCAAGTTTTGAAAAAGAAAAATATAGAGATGCCGCGAAAGCCATATGGCAGTTAGGTAAACTGGACAGGCTGATGCACCCACGAAACGTCGACGTGGCCAGGCTGAATGTTTCGACCGATGTCAACGAACGCTGGGGAAGGCCGTACCGTGTGGCGATGATCGCCGCGGTGGACTATCAACCCTTGCCGAAAGGATGGGATTCCGCGAAAGAGCTTGCCGAGAGGGTCGTAAAATACAAACCTATCCATGTCGCGGCCAGTGCAGACAAACAGCCTGAGTCCATACATACGAAGGGTATGACGCATGCCTGCATCTCCTTCCATGGACAGGAAGATTTCTACGAGTTCTTGAGGACTGTTTATATGACCGAGTCCGATATAACTGTTGTGTCTATTAGTCCGGATGCTAAGATCGAGACAATCGGAAAGAAGTTGCAGTTACGGGATTATTGGTAATAGAGGGCGGGAGCTAAAATCGCCTGCCAAGCGCCGCCGTATTCTTACCTAATCTAATAGATACAACCAATCACATGCTTTCTCCACCATAGTTCTAGGCTTAATTACCACCTACCTACCTAACCGACCTGCACCTGCCGCAGCTATCGTTTCGTGCTTATAACCCCAATCCATCACCCCATCCCCAACTCCCAACCCGCAACTTCCACCACAACAACCATCATGCCTAGCGAGAGCACACCCTTATTAGTAAGCCTACCATCAAATTCAACAACCCGAAAACGAAGCGCCATGTTCTGGACCCTCGGCTGCATCTACGGCGCCACCGCCGTCTGCTTCGGAGCCTTCGGCGCCCACGGTCTGAAGAAGACCATCTCGGACCCGGCGCGGATCGCCAACTTCGCCACCGCCGCCCACTACCAGGTATTCCCATACCCTCTCGCACCCTATCCCCATCTCTTCCCCTTTTAACCCCTAGAAAAGAAGAGGAGACAAACCCAACTTCATTCGATTCAGGACTCAGAGGATCCGATCAAACTAACACTCCACAGCTAATCCACTCCGTGGCCCTCCTCGTCGCCGCACAGAACCAGAACCCGATTTCAGGGGTGCTGTTCACGACCGGCATGACCATGTTCAGCGGCAGCCTGTACGCGCTCGTGCTAGATCCCGCGCGCTTCCGGTTCCTCGGGCCTGTTACGCCTCTCGGTGGGCTGTGCTGTTCGTTCCCCCTTCCCATCTCTTCCCCCTTTCTTTCCTTCTTATGTACCTACCTAACTGGTATGAATGATCATAACGACGTATACTGACAACGCTACAGTGATCGCCGGTTGGGCCGCTCTCGCTTTCAAATGAGCGTGTAGAGCTACTGCTAAAGTGTACCTATACTTTGTTATGCTACCCGGTCTCGGGGTTGAGGAGCATTGGAATGGATCCATGAAGTTTATATGTAGTCGTTTACGTAGCCTTATAGTGTTAGACCAAATCACCAATCAATAAAAAAACCAAGTCAAATTGCATATAGGGTCAATAGCTCTTCGTGATTTCCTATCTTCCATAGCTACAGGTCGATATCCTGGGGTAGCTAGAATCGAAAGCAGCTACCTCCCTAAGACCAGCAACGAAGCAAGGATCAATGTCCGCGGGTTAATACCACGGGACTTCTGTGTTGATTTCTCCGCCACCACCTTTCCCCGTATCTATCACTTTGAAAATCCTGTGGTATCTTATGAACGCAATTTGACAAAGTGCCCGCCTCAACCTCGTGGCTAGAAAGGTGGTTCATTTCCCGTCACCGTCATCACTAATTCAGTGCCTCGTATCCTCCAGTTGAAATCTGGCTAAGTTCGATACCTCAGAATCTTCATCATTGTAATCCCTCATGTACTGAGTGTCCATACTTTGCGCCTGTCTGGACCTTTGTCCGATTTGAAACATCCGTTCCCAGAGCCTTTGCATCTTGTCTGACATACGAGTCTTAAGCTCTTCCACTCTGTCGGCGGACTAGGCCACACCAGTGGGCAAGGGGAGCCGCGATACGGATGCGAAGTTAACCAAGATCTCTCTATCGACATTGGCAGTCCACTCTTCGAAATTCTTCGCTCCGATTCTGTTCGGAAGGCTCTCCAAAGTCTGCCGTATAAAATCGAGTGACTGGACCCGTTTGACCGGATCAGATGCAGACAAGGCCCGTTCTCGTACGTCTTTGGGCGTGTCCCACACAGTGGGTTCCGGCTCGGAGGTGAGAACTAGTGTATCAACCTCAGGGTTCGGGGATTCGAGGTCTAAAAGCAAGACGAGCACACTTGTCCACATCGAAAAATAATCTTGCAGTTTCGACAACGCGAGATCTAGCATTGGTTGAGGGTTTTCGAGAAAACGCGTAACGGCTAGCAGATTCAGCTTCTGTTGATTGAAATCCGCCATGTTATCAAATGCGAGAAACCATTCTGCGCTGAGCCACTTCCAGACCTGGTCAACAGAACCAAATGAGGCAAGCACCTCGACGAACAGCTTTGGTTCGAGGACGGCGATTCGAGACAATATTACAAAATAATCGACGAGGGTGAGCCCCGTCACTCGAGATTGCTTCTTCTTTGGTCCCGACGTCTGATGGGCTTCGAAAGAGTCGTGGATCCCTTCGAAAATAGAAGGCAGGGCGCCCGTGCTCATCATATCTTTAATGAGCACTTCTAGTCCAGCCGTACCGCCTAATTCGTGAGACAGTCGTATCAGCGACTCGAAATACTTGACCGCAAGATTCACTTGCTCTCGATTTTTCGAGTCAAGCGAACGCGTTAGCACAGAGACGGTCGCTGCCCGATATTGGTCTTGAAGAATTGTCTCGGGCGATAGAACAACATAACAGCCTAGAATGCTCACGAGGGTAACAGTGTGCTCATTTTGCTCACCAAGGAGCTTGATTGCAGTCGGAATAAGATGGAGAAGATCCGGAGACATTGGAGGTTGGGTTTGATGTAGAATATTTGACCATAATTCCAGAGCTTCTTCGATGAGGTATAAAAAGAGCTCGGTCCCCTCCTGAGTCGCCTCGGCGACCAATGGAAGTATCATCTGATGATACCGTTGAGATTCTGTCTTCATTGACATCACTAGGGTCTGTATGATCGCCAGAACAGATTGCTTCATCATAAATCCCAGGTCGCCAGCTGGTGATTGCCATATGTTGGGTATCGCATCCATTATCATGTCACCAAAATGAGACACGTGCGTCTCCATGCGTAGGATAACGGTTCGCGTTGACTCGAGTATGGCCAACTTGGCCTCGTCGACCTCTACCTCTCCCAATAGATTAATAAGTTGAACGAGCACGTCCGAAGCATACGGAGAGAATATTTCCCCGTCAAAACCCATCTCGTCACAGACAACCTTGAAAAGCCGAGCAGTAGTTATACGAACGACAATATCGTTGTACTGATCGTTAGGGTTCAAGAAATGGCAGAATATCTTGTAAACCAACGGGCGAGTTTCTGGGGTTGATTGAACAGGAACCCATTGGCTTAGCAAGATGGCGATCCTCCGCCTAAGGACTTGACAGAATGGTTCGGCTCGTTGGGCATCGGCCACTATGATATTTTTAAGGAGACCTTCAAAATTGACCTCTTGGTGGATCACAGAAGAAGATAAACCCATGGCAGTATATATTGCCTCCCTTGCTACTAGGGTTGTCTGAGGGTCCTCGATTGCGACAAAATAGGATAAGACCTTTGGTAACAAGAGTCTCTTATAATGAAGTAAGAGATCTAGGAACAACTTCTCGGCACAGGGTCGGACCTCCCATTGGTAGGCATTGCCTTGGGTCTCTTCCTGCTGTTCCCATTCCTGTGGATCCTCTTCCCACGCATCTAGATCAGCTTGGCGAAAGAGTAAAAAGTGTGTGATGATAGTATCACTGATATGGACAATGAATTCATCCTTTAGAAGATCAACTTTGATTCGTTCAATAGCTTGTTGCTCTTCTTGCACGGCTTCCGCCGAACGATATATGATTGAACGTTTTCCGCGGTAGACCGTTTGTACACAAGCTCTAACTAGCAGGAGGCCTTTCAAAGCAACCTTCTCCAAGATAGGTCCTTCATTCTTAGTCTTTCCTTGGCTGGATGCATTATGGCGTATTCCAACCAACTCGTTAAATACTGTGGCGACCCCCGACGTGAGGGACCAGTAGAAACTAACAAGTCTTAGAGAAATTGGCAATAAGACAAAGCTAGCAGGATGCTGTTCGGCCATCTCTATATGGAGCTTTGTATATTGCATGAATAGTTTCGTCAAAATGTCGACGTAGCGGGAGATGGTTGGGGGACCATCTTTGACAAAGCGAAAAAGCGTCTGGAATTGAACCAGTGATGAACTCCAGAAATCTTGTACATTCTTGTCGTTGTGTGGGAACTCATAGCCGACCAACAACAGTCGACGTAGAGTTTTCAGAGCATAGAGACTAATCTCCATAGCTAGCAAAGCCTCGTCGCTATTCTTGTCGCCAGGGCCATTGTCAAGAAACGATGTGAATGCCGTAAACTTGGCATTGTATATCTCACAAAGAACATAGACGATTTCTGGTGTGATCGATTGCAATGTTGTCTGTGATTTGCGTAGACGAGCAGTGCCCAACTCCTTTACAATACGGAGAAGAAGCATTAGGGCGCCGTACAGCTCAACCTGATTACCGTCCTTTCTTTCTCTGAGGATTTGGGTGAGATCGTTTAGGGGGGTCGGCCAAACACTAGGAAAATCGATACGAATAATCTTGGCTGTAACGAGAGCGTTGAGCTGAGCGAGTTGTCTTTCGCTTTCACCGATAGTTCCTTGGAACAACTGCTCTCTGACTACCTGTCGTGCATCTTGCGGGATTGAATTGTGAACTTTATGGAGTCGCCAATATCGGTCGATGCCATTCTTGAGCTGGATGATGGCAAGTAGTCGGACTTGTGTGGACAAATTCTTGTTTAGGAATATTGTCTGTCAAAGAGGACATCATTAGTATCCAAGAGCTATGGTTGGGGTTGGGTTTGATTGAAAGATTGAAAAGTTCAAACCGATCTATCTAGAGGTGACTTACCTGTAAAGTTGGGTAATAACCCGCCTGGCTTTCCCATGTAGAGAGCTGCTGAGTAGCAGCCTGACGTTGATTGTTATCGTAGGATTGTGCTGCTTCGAGAGCTCGATAGAGTTCGTCGACAGAAAACGGTGCAGCGGCACCAGGAGCCTCGATGGCAAAATCCATCTCAGCAACGGTATCCGCGATGGATGTCGCGTTATACGCGTAACAAACCAAGCGTACAGTGTGACCGTGTTTTGGTTTGACTTGACTTGGTTAAGACGTTAAGACGTTTAACTGGGAGTGAAATGTACGATGATGAAATGTTCGAAAGGTGGGATGAATGAACAATTTAGTGGGGGGATCTCAAAAAGGTAAGCTGTAGATTCTAGCTCCCCGCGATAATGAGCTATCGTTTACAGCGTACTGACGGCATCTGCCGGGTACCTAGGTACCTAGATATGTACATAGGTAGTTTTATGTACCCATGTTCCTAAGAAATTGATATGTACTGGGTACTTTACCTATGTGGCTGTGAAGGTAAAAGGATGGATTATTTGATTGGTCAAATTAGTGAAATTAGTCAACTATACCGACCTAGTAGCGCGTGCTGGCTGGCTGGGTAGGAGGCAGGAATAACAGTTCGTATCCGGGGCTCTTAGGTACTAGTTTGCTAGGTGCCATCGTGTTCACTCAGCCACAGGAAGGTACTACCTAGTACACCGGGCTGGCTGGCTGGGCAGGTACAATTACCATTATTTAATTGAACTATGATCTGCTAATCACCGCTAGGTTTCCCCTGTCAACACCTTAAAACGTCACGATACCTGGTATACTAAATGCACAGCCATAATTTCCAGGAACATTCATTATTGAAGACATCCACTTCCAGCCACGAGGAAAAAAAAAAACACAAAAATAGATACGGCAGTTGTAATTCTATCGATCGCAGAGTACGAGATTCCATTTCGAAGTTAATGTTATGTAATGTATAATGTAAGGTGTCAGTTAATGTTTATTACAATGAATCTGTAAAAATATCGGTTTGTATACTGGGAAACTCGACAAGGGTCTTCGTCTCTCCCACTCCCTTTTTGTTTGCTTTTCCCCTAATTCCTTGTAAATGTCACCTAATTTTTTTAGGTAGGTATCTTAATTCCGGCCCACTGTAGAACGCCTGGTTTAGGCTGGAATCGTGTCTGGGTCGCTACCGTAGCCCCTTTATTCATTGCTTAACCACCAGCAATTCCCGGGGGCTCCAATTCCATGCAATGGTGAATAAAAAAAACCCAATCGTATCCCGCCTCATCAAATATGCTTAGTTTAAGAGCATACGTATCTGGTATCAAGTGTCATTCATGTTCATGCTTGGTATATGTCCGTAAGATTAGCAGACCAAGTGTCGTTCATGGACCAGCCTTCGACTTGGTAAACCTGTTGGTATGGCTCGAAGCCAAAATTAGGAGTGAGGTTTGGCGTCTCGTGTAAGCTTGTGACCGTAGTCCATGCCTCCGATTCCGAGATGCCTGGCCGCCAACTCTGACTGATTCGTGGTGTGAGGTATTCTTTCGCAACTGCCTTGACGTCCTCTGCGATCTTCCGTGAAAGGGGCCATGTTTCTCCGTGCACCGTAAGGATTTGTGTGAGCCTGTTGATGCGTTCGCGGAAAATAGGCGAGTCCAGCCCGAGGAATACGCATGCGTCTAGGTAGGCGAGAATAACTCGAAGTGTGCCAGCGGCGAATACTGCACGCAAAGTTTTGGTGGGAAAGGGGTGCCTGAACAGGTCACAGTAACCGTTGGCCGCCTGAATGTCGATTGGGTGAGAATTCCAACCGAAGCCCTTAACCATCTGCCCCTTACGATCCGGTCCTTTTGCTGGTCCTAGAGGGAAGTACTCCCGGATGTTGAGGCCGCTTCTTGGTGCAGATTGTCGAAGCCGAAGTCGATTACTATGTACCGTAGACGTCAATTAATGTTCATCACGATTTAGCACGCTATCATAAACTCACACATGCGCAATGGAGATGCCGTGGTAAAGAACTACATCGACTACGCCGTCAGGATCAACTAAATTCATCTTCCACTTAGGAACCCGTCGCAACCAGTCACAGATTCGAGAATCCGCTCGCTCAAATATCTCTGCCTTTTTATTTTCCGGGGCCTCGTGGTACGGCAAGACTAAGTCGGTCTGGATCTTGCAGATGTCGATGAGGTAGGCCATCGAGGAGAAGTCGGATTGCCCGAGGTTGACCTGCGTCTCGTATTGCGATTGAGAAATGGGTTGGGGTATAATCTTTGACGAGTATTAGAATTCGTATTATTGATGGATTATGTTGCACGAGGGATTGGAGTTTGTGTTTGTGTTGGTGTTGGCGCAGCGACCAAAATAGGAAAGTACTTACCCCTGAATCGTACTCCCATTCCTCACAGGGTAGGTCCACGTCGGAATCCACGTCTGTGATGGAGAGCGTAGATCCAACATCACCCAGGTGTCGCGTAGAGTCTTGGAAAGTCAGGCACCACCACGTCCTTCGGTAGCTTTCCGCAAGCACGGAATCCGTTGTTCGATCGGCGAACGTCTTCTGGTTCATCCCAAGTTCAACAGCTATCGTGGCGGCTCGGTTAGCCCATCCGGTGTGGTGTTCGAATTTCATTTCTCCGAAAGCTGCGATGCTTAGTATGAGAAGTCCCTGTACTGATTGTACAGTAAAAGGCAATGAAGCACATGCTGCCGAGAATGCTGCCTCTCTAAGATCATCCGATGGTATCGAATCCGAGTATAGCGACCCGCAAAAATTGATGACGGAAAGCAGGAAGTGGTAGGAATCTGGGTCTGCTTCGACATGATTACCAAAAAATCTTTTCGGTGGAAGGCAAGGGTGACTAGGATGAAAATGATTGTAGAATAGGTCGATCAATAAATCTTTTTCGTTTTTAGATGAGCTTGCGGCGGAGGGGGCAGAGTTGACGCTCCACCCGGTTGGTAAGTCATGGAGAGAGAGAGACTGAACCGACGGAGAGCCGGAAGAGAAATTGGTAGGCAAAAATGACCCGGCTGAAGTTGCCGGTGGCTTGTCTGATATTAGACTCCTCTTTTTCGGATCGCGAATACCTCGTCTCGATTTGGCGTAGAAACATGGCTTGTCTTCTTGTTGACACCGGTTGCAAGCGGGTAGCGTGGCGTCACATTTTACGTGCTTGCTACGGCATTGGACGCAAGCCAGCGATACTCGTATATTTGCTTTTGAGCGATTGGCGGCCTTAGGTTCCGATCCGTCTGGCGATGAGGCGGCGGAACCTTGGCGGCTGAGGCTGCCTGCCGTATGCTCACTGTCTCGACTCATGCCCATCACCTATTGCGAAGATCGTCGATTGTGAAGCGGAATTCTAGGTACTGTAAGTTGACTTTACGGCAATGATCGCCTGGATGTTTTGCCGCTGCTGTCTGTCTGTCTGTCTATAGTTGAACGCACCGAACTTCCGTTCGTGCCCGTCGAGAGGGATATGTCTACACACCATAAGTGCGGTCGACGGAAGTGTAGGGCTGATGAGCGACTTCTCATATATGAGCTCAGATGCTTCACATTTAGTTCTGACAAATGTTCGTCGAGGAACAGGGTTCCAGGGGTGTTAAATGGGTCCTCAGGCCTCTAAGCAGCCATGTACAAGGGTACGACGTGGTGTACCAGGACCCGACGACAAGGCCCATGGCCCCCCTAAGACTGGTGTCAGCGGTGGATGTATGAATGTATCTTGGCCCGTCAGCCCTAGTGGGGCGAATTAGCACGGGATGGAGGGAAAAACAATATTGATATGCCCGATAACGTCGTGGTGCTGTGCCTCCACCGCACCTCCACCAACCTCCACTACACCTCCGCGGCCAGTCACCTCCCAGGTAAGCCGCTCTTAGTGCGAAAAGGGGGGCGGTATGCATGTGGCCCAACCGTCGCGTTGTTGCAATGCATAGCCATGATCGACTCTTCAACAATGGACTGGTAACATCTCATTAGAATTAAACATGACCTATAAACCTCGAAAATGCTCTGAATGGCCACCGTTGGTTACATTGTGGCTTTTTCTATGGCCGTGTTCAGCATCTTTCTAATGAACCTTCCAATCAGGAATGGAAATGATAGACTTTAACTCGAGTGTTCGAAGCCGAAAAGGAGAGATTTGCAGCTGTTTCGACGTTCGACGTTAGAGTAATTACCTAGTAGGTAACTACCTGAGGTACCTAGGTCCTAGATAGGTAATTTCCATAACATATAGCATCCGATCGTGACTTGAGCCTCCGACATCTAGATCAAGTATGCACCCTAGAAACATCCAATAATAGAAACAGACAAGGCTAAGTACCTAACCCGCGGTTTAGACTTCGGGAGTTGAGGTTATCATATGCATCTAATCTAGTTCTTTACGATTCCGGCATGGAGAGATCCGTAACCTTGGGATGGCATCGTACTCCGTACCAGGTACATACCTAGGATCTAGCATCTACACCCGCCTCTCTATATTCAAGTTTTGCTTCAACACCTGATAACTAATACCTAATAGTATATACTAGTAAATATCAGCTAATCATAAACAGGTAAGCAGGCTTCGGTCTTAATTTTTAATACACGTAGGTACTAAGGCGCTTCTTTCTTATTTTTTTCTTATTTTTTCCCATTTTTTTCTTATTTTTAAGTTACACTGCATAAGGATGATGATTACGCCTGTTGGAAGTACCAGGTAGAATTTCATGTCATGATGGCTTCAAGTTTTAGTGATTAGGCGGTCGAGCTTATGACTCGTGAGGACTCCGAAATCGTAAAAGAACCAAGCCACACTTATCCTTGATAAGACGGGCTTGATTATTATGACATACAGTAGTTGGGTAGCAAGATAATATGGTGATATTACATCTCCGATATTACTTCCAAGTTTTTCTTTCTTTCGGACGCTTCTCTGCACCTTCGACGCTTTGAACTTTCGAATGCCTAGAAAAATGCATCAATGCGTTGTGTGGCGCTGGCGAGTTGGCAGGTTGGCGGGTTGGCAAAAAAACAATACTAAAATTCTAAAATTGTGTAAATGTGTGTAAATGGACTCCGTGCGAAATATGTCGCGTCGCGTACTATTTCATGCCATTTCCCTGTATTTCCTCCTACAACTGGAGGCATAAACACAGTGCATGTTTTTATGCATGATTATATAAGGCTGGTATAATATTAAAAACTCGTACTCCTATGTAGTACCGAGGCTGTGTGAAAAGCTAGTTCAATGGGATAAATGGATAAGGGCCAATCAGAGAGTAACCTACCATTTAACCTCGGTGTTTCCCGAATGTCTCCCAAACGTTTTTTTTGCACTAACAAAGCTAGGTACCCACAACGTCACTGTTCCCCAGATCATTTTGTCTGAGCTTAACAGGCTTAAACCCATTTCGGTCCATTTTTGTCCATTTTAAGTCAATTTAGTCGAGCTTCCGCCATTTCTAAGCCTCATTAAACGTTACACACATCGGCCAACGAACCTCAAACAATCAAACGATCAAGTTTACTGAGGAGCTATGCTAACGATTGACGATACTACCGAAGCCACCGAAACCACCGAAACTACCGAAACGAAGCTTCACCGTCGGACCATGCGGCAGCTCAGATGAGCTCAACAAATTTCGCCCAAGCCCAGCAGCGGTTGGCTGCGCGTCGATTGGCACGTGAACGCGATGCTCAAGCTCAACTTGCTGCAACTCGTCAAGCATCGCGAGCTTGGTCAGAGGTAACGCGTTTGCCATATCCATTGAATCGACTCGGGGCTACCTCTCTGTCGGCATGGGAAGTAATATCCTCACGCGAAGGCACCAGGCCGGCCTTTCGAGTCGGTCAAGTCGATGCCGAGTTATTAGACGAAGACCTCGTAGGTCAATTAAGAGATCAGGTCGGCGAAGCATTTAAATACTTTGGGGGAAACATCAAGGATGACTGGTCTGCCGAGATACTACTCGCACTCCGTACCGTTCTTTTTAAACTTACGGTATGGGATCATGACGCGACTTATGGTGCTGCCCTGCAGAACCTCAAGTATACCGATGCAAGACGTGATGGACCCATCCTGACACCCCCCACGATATGGCAAAAGAGCCTCTATGGCCTTGTAACCGTGGGGGGTAAGTACGGTTGGACCAAATGGGAGAATTGGCTTCTAGATCGGGATAATGGATACGATCAACCCTCACCAACGGTCCAACGCCTTTCCAAGATCACATCAAAGATTACTACCCTGCATTCTATAGCAGCCTTCGCCTCATTTCTTGCATTCCTATTACATGGGAGGTACCGGACTATACTGGATAGAGTGCTGAGAATGCGCCTCGCTCCCCCCACAAGTCAGGTGACTCGCGAGGTGTCCTTCGAGTACCTCAACCGGCAACTAGTGTGGCACGCCTTTACCGAATTCTTACTCTTTGTGTTACCTTTGGTAGGTATTAACCGGTGGCGTAGATGGCTCAGTCGCACATGGAAGAAGACAAAAGAGATCATCAACGTCGGCACGGACGGCGGTGATAGCGGCAAGCAAGGCGATTATGCATTCCTACCGGAACGTACTTGTGCCATTTGTTACCAGGACCAGAATTCAGCTGTGTCGGAAAATGAAGTCCTTGCCGCCGCAGCCTCGAGCGGAGTGGTAGGATCGGCACAGACGGACATCACGAATCCATACGAAACCATCCCGTGCGGCTGCATATATTGTTTCGTATGTCTTGCGACTAGATTGGAGCGCGAGGAAGGGGAGGGATGGACCTGTCTTCGGTGTGGCGAATTAGTGAAGGAGTGTAAACCATGGAATGGTGACGTCTTGGAACAACAAATCAAATCATCGGCACCAACTACGAAGCACGTTGGGTTTATTGACGATCAGAAACCCTCCGTTGATCTCCTGCAGGAGAAGGACGATACCCTTCGTCGGTCTGGGAATGTAACTCCAGACGAGGCACCTATAGCTGAGCCTCTAGATGAACCTGAAGACAGCGACTCGGAGGGTTACGAGGAAGAAGAAGCCGAAATTAACGGCGACTTTGATGACTGATTATCATTTCGTCATCTACACCTAGCATCGCAAGATGGATACAACTCTGCCAAAATAGACAAGGACAAGCAAGACTCGGGATGTCCAGATTCTAGCTACACTAACTAGAGAGTCCCCTATACTCATACCATTAACGCTGTACTGCAGCTCTCGAGCCACAACGCAACGTCGCGCATTATGATCAACCTTCTCCTATCAGAAAAGGGCAACCTGCTGGCGTCTAGAACCAATTTCGCCGACCGCCTTGTTAGCCCACACCTCTCTATCTCACCTAGCTGAAGGTTTACCTGGACGTGTCCTTATGCGTTCAATCTCCCAGAGCCAGTTAAATAGAAGAACGGATCCGTACCTCCTTTATTCCGACACGTGTGTGGCTACTTGTCGTCGCGTCTTACTTTGCAAGTCGGTGGTGAGATAGCCTATTGCCTGGCCCCGGTTTCAGGGGTTGCGGTTGGGAGGACCAGTAAGGCTGCAGGATAAGCCGGGAGGTATAACTCGAAGAAATATGCAGTTCAGCTCATCAACACCTCTCTCGCCTGGCATAAGTTGCATCCATTACTACCTAATGCTCGAAGGCTCCATATCTTTAGCGGTCGTCTCGGCTCTCGCTATAGCCCTACGCCTCCTATCCCTCAGGGCCGACAATCGATGTTATTTTTATCATCTTTTAAATAAAACTCTCACTTCGTCCTGAATAGGTCTCCTACAGGATGCTTACATACGCAGCATCTGGTCGCAATGCGTTACCTTGTCTAATCGAGCTAACTGGAATAATATCAAAGTGGGAATGGGTCACGGTCATAGTTATGTAATAGTTCTAGTAACCAATCGTTGTTCAAATGCTCTACTGTCCCATCGTCAGTCTGTGCCTACCTAGGTGTCATAAAAACATTTGCTTCCTGTAAATCATTACATAGTCGATAATTGACAATCTTTCGCGTACATACAGGCATTAAGGTCCTTAATTGTAACGTACGATGGTGCTTTGGGTACATATTTCGCTTAGCCTTATACTGCAACTTTGAGACGCCCGCTCCGGGGCGGAAATTCCATTCCGCACGCTCGCCTTCGAGAGCCCGCGTACGTCAGCGCCGTGATTCCTCCGATATTTCTAAGGCCATCATTCTAATTGTGACCATCATTCTAATTGTGAAGTTGGAAAATCAAGCATACTACACACTAGGTACTAGGGAGGTAATAAGGCGATGTAAGTAAGCCACAGGACAATGCTTGCTTACCCGCCGGCCTCTTTCTAGAAAATAATTAGACAATCGCTTCCAGCTAGGACCTATTTAATCTGAGTATGGTTCGATGCATATATCTTCAATTATAGGCAAATATGACCCCCTTTTTGATACATACTAGTCTCCTACTCGCTAAGCGCGATAGTCTCATTGACAATTCCGCATGTTTTATTTGTGTGACCAACTAACTATGTGAGCTAGGTATAGGACGGGGAATATAACAGGTAGTGATCATAGGCTGTGTTCCTTAGCGATAATATCAAAATACGCGAACATCACCATAGCCACATACATATATAGAACCACATGTAAATATAGTGTCCTCCACATCGGAAAATGTTCAATCACGGGGGAGTTACTAGTATTTCCGTTCATAGTTAGCGGAGATAAACTAAGTTCCATGAAGACAAAAAGAGAGGACGAAGTTCGATTTGCTCGCTCGTTTAATGTTGCATTGCATCTACCAACAACCTTGAATCGCTTAACGTTTGGAGATCATAACTTGAGTTCTTACTGCCCATCTAACTATAGATCGTCCATACACGTGTACCGTAGACATGGCGATCTTGCTATCCCAGCCATCGGGACCCGTCAGTTCCATCAGACCGGATTAGATAAGAATATATTTACTAGGTACCTAGTGAACACTGAGTAATTAGTATCGATATATTGAAACGAAGCGCCGGGACTAAGGATAAAGAGGCATCTTTTTGCGATTGACTTCCAAGATTTCAAATAAATTACAACAATAGCTTAAAAAGTCCTCAGATCATCTCACCTATAACCAAGCCACGTGCTAAGAAATAGAAAGATAGGTCCTATTGATAGGTACGAAAACGAACCAACAGGAAATAAAAAATGACAGGAAAAAATAAAAGAAAAAATAAGATTGGATGAGCGGGCAATGCAATTCTCATTTCTCCGACTCCCAAAATCGGAAAGGAGACCGCTGCGCTGAAGATAAAAAAACAGAAGCGGCAGCGGCCCCACAGTAGCTTAAGCACAGAGCTCTTTCAGTTCGAGCCAGCGACCCACATGCGTCTAGCGATTACCTATTATCGCTGCATGTACACAGGTACCCTACGTAGCGTCATCGTCACGCGCTCCCCTTCTTGCAGCGACAATCCACTGCACGGCACCGCTGAGCGCCCTCCTCCGCTTTGCGCGTTCCGAACCTACCATTGACCTACCTTGCGCTTGAAACCTACATACATGCTTCGAACGAACCTCCCTACACGTGCACACCGTCCTGTAAGAAAGGGTACATCGCATCGCCGTCAGGTAGGGAGGCCGGTAGGGTAACCCAACCAACAGCGCAGCGCAGCAGCCGGACGCATAACCCAGCGGCCTGCAGCGAACCGTGATCACGAGCACGGGAAGACGACACTTATCTTTCCGCCCTCTCCTCGCTTCGCTTGCTCTTTTACACACATATATACGTACATACGTACCTTGCCATTCTTTAGCGGCGTCTGATCCGTTAGCCACTAGTTCGGAAACCCGTCTCGCCTCACCTCAGATCCCTCCTGCGCGGGACCTTATCACCAACGAACCCAGAAAAAAAAAACACAAATCGAACAAAAGAACAAAAGAACATCCAATCTGACCAACACCACCTCTCCCTCTCTCCCTCCCCCGCCTCGGCCTATTACCACCGACCAACACCTCGCGACAACATCCCCCGACAAGAACCCCAGCTCGTCATGTGCGCCGCCTCGTCACCTCTCCAAAACCGCCGCCCCCATTCCCGTTTCCGCCACGAGTAGGTCAGCTCCAAGCCTATCTAGGGGTAGCCCCCAACGTCGAATAACAAGGGCAAGTAAGAGGAGGAAATAATAGCAGTAGCTAGCGTCTCGCCACCCGTCCTAGGTCTAGTTCTACAACAGGGGTAGAAGGACCATACACCCATCCCTCAACCCAGATCTCGGTAAAAAAACAAAACAACCCGAGCGAAATCTACGCCCCCCGACAACCCACCCGATGCCGGACTTCTTCCCCTTCATCCCGGGAACCGAGACCGGGCGGCTAGCCCGGCAACACGCCAGCGAAGCCTCGCCGCTTCTCGGCCGATTCCGCGCCGTCCCCACCGCGTCACGGACCGCCGCCGCATCAGCTGTGCCGCAGCTCGGACTCCTGTCCACGAACGGCGGGCGGGGGAGCGTGCATGTCGGATACGGAGCGTTGTTAGTTGCGGGGATGGATTCGGATGATGACGAGGATGACGGGGATGATGATGATATGGATAATGGTAATGGGAATGGGGATAGGAATGGGAATGGGAGGGGGTTAGGATACGCGGCGAGGAGAGCGGTGCGGACGTGGCGACGGTTCGCGAGGGTGTCGCGGCGGAGTGTACGGGATTTATGGGTTGCGCCGAAGCAGACGGCTGTTAAACGTGTGGTGGAGAGTTGGTGGAGGCGTTGGGGGGTTTTGGTTTTCCTTCCTGCTACTTTGGTGAGTCGCAATTTGCATTATTTCTCGAGTATTCTTCTACTGCTCCTATGGTCGATACACATTCTAAGGGGGCACGGCATAGCTCGAGGATTACAGTAGGATTATGAAGGCTAACGAGTGTGCTATGTTCGGTCTATCTAGGCAGTAGCATGGTGCGCGCTCCCATTCCCGCAATACGCCTTCCCGCCGAACTCGCACGAGTCTAAACCCGTGCCGGACACTCCTTCCTCTAAGCACAGGGCACCCGGTCACGGCGAGGCGCGCGTGCAAGTTAATTTTTGGTTCTTCCTATTGGTGTACTACGGTTTCTACAACCTAACAGCTCTGATCTGGATCACCAAGGTGTTCAACCTCTATTCCCTCAACTGGTGGCCGTCAACTCTCGGGTTTCCCCTGACCGTCTCGCTCATAGCGATTATCTCTCTCGCGGCCCCAATTCCCATATATCTGGTCCCAGAGGCACGCTACTTGACGGTTCATAACACGGCATGGATCAGCTGGACATTCGTCATCATGGCCATGCCCGTGGCTATTGCCTTCTGCATCTTGATGACGCACGAGCGCCATTTGGGTCTTAGGAACTCGCTCAGCGAAACCCAGCGTATATTCACAAGCTCGTGGTGGACTGGCAAGTCGGACACGCTTTCAGCTACTCGAGATTTTAATCGACGTCGAGGGAGATTGAGTCGGGCTAGGACCTCATTCGATCCAGACGCCGCATTGCAGATCGCAGACCAGTCACGACCAACCATTCCGGCATTCATGCAACGACGCAGTTGGCTGCCCGCCAGCTTCGTACGCTTCGTGTGGTTTTGCCTTGCGCTTTTCATTAGTCTGCTCGCCTACCTGATAGGAGAGGCGTACGCCGAGATCTATCTACGGACGCTGCCGCACAACAGTTTCGAAACGATCGTCTATGTCTACAGCTGGGTTGTGACGGTCCATCTATTGGACGCGCTTACGGGTTGGATTCTCGGTGCTACTGAAGGGGAGCGAGTAGGAAGCTATCCCCTGAGTTGGATCTTCAAGCTGTAAGTTTTCGTGGGGGTTCGCCGGCTTACCCCGAATCTACTGACAAAATGAGCAGTTACTTCATGCTGACGTACCAAACGTATGTTCGCGCGCTATATGCGCGCCTTCGTTCACCCACCCAATTCATCTGGCTTCAAGCTCTCTCGTCCGGCTTCCTCATCATCCTTACTCCGGTAACTATGACGCAAACTTATCATCGCATACTATCGATGATAGGGCTGACTACCCAGTCGTATGCCTCGTACCAGAAGATCTGCACCAGAAATGTCTTCATCCGCTTCTTAGCCGAAAACGTAAGCATGCTCACATTTCTTGGGAGCATCCTGGTACTGCACTTTGGGGCGAACAAGGACGTATATCCGTATTTCGCCTTCGACGACCCTGATGAGCTGTATGACTTCGAACTAACATTCTATGCGTCCATGATTACTTGGGCTTGTGAATTGGTCGCGGGAATCGTTCTCAGAGGTTTAATTCGGTGGATCTTTGGCGTGAATGCCAGTGTCGAGGGAAAGATGGACCTAGCTGTATGGCCGGAGTTGCTACCGACGAGCGTGGCCGTCATGTTGCATGTATTGCAGAGCATGCTGTTCTCAATCATCCGATTGCACTTTCGGTGACGGGATGGTAGAGGAACCTTTGTTGAACTGATGTGGAGAGTCTGGATTGGTGGCCCCAGAGACTTTTGCAGCTCGGTTAAGCGTGGCCAGCGAATGCTGCGCGCGCGCTTCGATGTCTAGGACGAACGGATAGGATCTTATCAATGACAGAATCTGGGGAATTAGTGGTGCTCGGTCGACTGGCTTCTGGTTGTCGGGCAGCGGCCTGTATCCCGGGCCGTAGGCGTCTTGTTTGCTTTCAGATGTTGCTCTTCGTTCAGTTACTATGCAAAGATGCCCAAGGCGGAGTAGATGATACCCTTTTTAGAACAAATACCGTAGAATAGATATCCCCTAACTGCTAATCAAATTCTGCTATAAACTCACCGTGACTTGCGCGGAGATGGTGTGTAGTGGTGACGTGGATCGAAATGAAGATGCATGTGTTCTGATTGTTTTGCATTGCTAGAAGAGAGAAGAGCTAAAGCGAAATGGACACGTCCACAGGGTAGGAAGAGAAGCTTGCTAAAGGGTTGTCCAAGTCTAGTTTCGATTGCAGTGCCTTTATCTCTGCATCGCGGTGGGGTCACTTATTGGTGGAGAGGTATTATGATGCACGAAATACTGCATACCCGGTGTACCAGTTCTGGAGGCCGAAAAAGTCGAGAGAGCAGTGTGGAGTACGTAGAGCCGGCCGGACAACCGCGCAGGAGCTTGGCGACGTATCGCCCACATACTACCATCTATTCTAGTATATTGGGGGGACCGGCAAATACGAAGAGGTGTGTGTAGCTTTGTATGTGATATCTGCTTCATGGCCACATCCGAGGATGCTTCCGGTCGCCTAAACCTATCCGGTATATGCCCTAAGATTCGGGACGGCCATGTACGCACGGCAGCAGAAGCAGGTAGAAATGAGGCCATACTAGCGTGTGTCTGAATCGGCCGATTGCATGACGCTGTGCACCCCCTCCGATATAGCGGGTGGCGCCTATCAACAATCGAGGTCTAGCACCTGGCAGTAACAAGATCGATTTCCCGGGACGGGGTGTCTCAACCCGGGAGACGAGACCGTTGCAGCAAGAGGGTAGAGCGAGCATTTACCGAATGGGTACAACCATCTCGACTCTGCTTTCTGGTGAAAGCCTAGAACACCCCAAGGCTGATGAGTGGGCATGGTGTGTGTTCTGGATGATCGACAGATTTGCAGATCCACTAACGGCGACGTCGCCTTTTGGCAAGGCTGTGGTCGTGGCCGTCAACGCTTACTATCAACCTGCTACGGCAACTTGAAAAATGCTCAAAAAGCCTTCGCCATCTTCCCGTCTTCCGGTCCAGTCAGAAGAGGTCGATGGATCAACCAGGGAAATCTACTCAACTAAACCCGTAGACTGGCGGTGAGCATACGCGATGACTAACTGTTGCTGCTTGTGGTCCAGTTCCCCGGCATAGCTGTCTACAAATAGGATAATAAGAAAAACGCGGTCAAGATACCTCAACATGCGGGGGACTGGGGGATGTACTGAAACGCTGGACAGAGTATTCCATGCATACAGGACGTTGAGGTGAAACCAATGCAGGTCGCATAACCTCGCATGTGGCTATAAGTGTTGAATGACCCACGCGGATACTGAAGGCCCAACTAGAACTTCAGAAAGTGGGTTGTAGTATCACGGAATGATACAACGGTCTTGTTGTCTTTAACATGCCGGGATTCCGTAAAGGGTTAGGCGATAGCGTCTAGATGGGCGAAGGCAGCCGTCCTGACTACCTACATAAAGTTGAGTCATATACCTATAGCTTGCGGCTTGTAAGAATCTCATAGACTATCATAGACTATGAGAGTACGGCTTGCCATTTTGTCTCGGAAAATCGCCGGTGGGTAGGACAGTCAGCCAGCCATGTTGGGAATAAAAGAATGGTGTGGTGGCTGACAAAAGGAATTAAGGGACTCATCGTTATCAGTGTCCCTTGCTCAGGAACACGAGCCGATGCTTATTAGTCCGTAACTCTATGGCGGCCAAATCCAGGAGTGAGTACGGCCGGCTTACGCGAAGAAGAATAGATAAACCTGGAAGCTCGATTTAGCGCAAGCATCGCTAAATATGAGTTTCGAACGCGATTCGGCGAAACCGGCGAATTAATATGTGCGAGGCTGTGTCGACCCAATTCTTGACGCGTTTCGAGCAATACATCATGGATAGGACCTGGCTAGGAGACTTTAAGAGTTACAATTTCTAGACGCTGGGCGTCCAATCATCCGGGTATCCTTCCCCGGCTAGAACAACTTCAACAGACCTATGCTGGAGCTTCGACGGAAACTATCACAACTCCAAGTTCAAACATGTGAGTTATAAGTGGTGTGGTTACAGCATCAAATGTTGGTCACAACATTGGATCCCCTGTTTCGGTTGCTGAGAGCATGCAAGAGATGGGTTGCAGGAGCCGGAGTGCGTTGTACCACCTCGATCGAAACGGGGACCAACGGATAGGTCTGATTCGACTAAAAGAGAAGCGGATGGCGATTGAGGCGCAACGCGGCCTTTAAGCCCCAGCCGATCAACGGGATACGAGCCTAGGCGGTGGATGTGAAAGTGCAATACTGCGTAGTATGTGCCTAGCATCTAGGCATGTAGGTACATACGTATGTATGTATGCATGTATGTACGTATGTACGTAGTGGTAGGTGAACAAAGTAGTATTTGGCTCTAGTGATGCTCAAAGGCTGAAAGGGACGATTGAGATCCTAGCAACTTAGATGGGATCCTTCGAAACATTCTCTAACTGGATCCCGGACCGTTATAGATGCAGTTGACGAAACGAATTCGGGGAGCATCGATAGCACCTTGTTAGTCAATGATCAACTCGATCACCTCATCAATTGCTCCACACAGACGCCGATGTGGCGATTGGGGGCTTTTTTCATAGAAACATTTCATGTATGTATTCCGGGGACGTAGCCAAGAACCCAAGACCGTGTCAAAGACGGAACTGGGCCAGGATTGTACGAGCCACCATAGCGTTGCAAGTGGGTTGCGAATACATACCTTAGGTGCTATTGATGTACATAGGTGGATTGTGGAAGAAACCGGGTGTACGGGGAAGTATGCGATGAGTCAGGGCTCAAGGAGATTTCTTAGGCTGCCTAGGTGGAAAATGTTTGAAGGGTAAAAGGAGGCTTCGTTGTTTAAAAAAAAGATGTAGAAAGTCTTTTAGGGAAACGAAGTGTGGGGTCTGACCAAAGAAACTTTAGGTAGAAGTCGAATCGCGATTTCCAAAAAATCTGATGAATAGTCGTAGCGGGGCAGTAGTTTCTTAACTTGTTAATCCCTGACCTTATTCCTTGTTTAAGTATATTAGGAGAGCATACTATATCTGATGAGTCTTAGACATGTACTTATAGACTACCTTACATGCGTCCAATGTCCAATGGATTGCTGTATGTGATATTTCCAGGGTACTGTAAAAATTCGTAACCTGGATATACTACCTCAGGAGAGACATGTGTCTATAAGTGTCTATATGTGCAAGTACTTAGAGTTACATATGTGTAAGTTATAAGTTCTCATTAATAATAATTAAAGAAAGGAATTTTCATGGCTTGTCTGTTGTGATATCTGATATCTGCTCAAATCTCTTAAGCAAGATAATGTGCCATTCGGGCCTCCATTTAGGCCACCCCCATATCAAGACCCAGGCTATTTATGTTTATGTATACAAGTAGGTAGTATACATGTAGTTTCACAACTGTAATGATTCCTACGGTAAACCTATTCAATGACCGAAATAATTCTTTAGGAAGGTGGCAAATTTTTATTTTTTTTATATGCCGTTCGATCGACATTACTATGTAAGTTCTTGTCAGTCTTGTGTTTCCCGTTTCGAGCCAGTATCCCGTACAACCCGCAACACATTTCCCCTGATCATCCTATCCTTTTACAGGGTTTCTATGTTCTAATGCTTCTAGAAGGAATCTACTACGGGTTTCAATATAGTATCGCAGAAACTCTGTAACAAGCCGTCTATTGTCTAAGGTACACGATGTCACTGGGCGTTCCTTGATTTCTTCTCTGTTTCTTTTCTGTTTCTTGACCTCAGACTGCCTTACACCGCATGTACATGCATGGCTGCTCACGCTTTTGCGGACACCTCTGGGAGTACATGATATACATACATAGTACTAGGCGAGGCTTAATGAGCTCTTACCGACTCTCCGCCGGGCGATTCTTTGTACAAGATTATGTAAACGCAGGTGCTAATAAAAGCGCGGCGTTAGCCGGGAACATCGAACCAAGCCATCACTGGCAGACTGGCAGACTTGCAGCGAAGAGGACAATCCTTGATAAGGCGGCCAGCTCTGCATACGTTCTAGTTCTTCGTTCGGTATGGTCATAATGGTGGCATCAGGAGGTAGTGGGGTCTTTGCATGGTGAGAAAGAGAGCACCGAGAAAATACAGAAAACCCCTGCACCACCACCACGAGAGGGGCAGAGGGGTTCATCATTCGTTCTCGATATTACCTTATAATATGTGTGTACCTGATTGCGTATTTAATTGTGTGTATGCGTCATGTACCTTCTTAATTAAATCTGGCGAAGCAATTTTTCTTTTTCTTTTTTCACTACACCGATATATGCTCAAGTCAATCTTGTTGCAGATTTGATTGATGGCAATTATATACCTGGGTACCTTGTAAGCAGTAGGAGTTTTTTTAGCACGTTCCTTTCCTTTCTCTGTTCCCCCTTCCCAGTTATCCCGTACCTTTACCTATCTTGGTAAGTGGGCTATCATTTAAGCTTGCTTTAGACCTGCCTTAGGGTCCCCAGCTAGTTGGTTGGTGGGTTTCCGCATGTATCGTACAGTTCTTAGGTACATATGAAGATGGTATTATTACTTGTGGAAAATAAGTAGATTAAACTGTTTCGGTACAACGCGCTTGGTTTCTCTAAGATAATCTACCCCTCCATGGAGAGAAAAAAAATTCGAGAGGGAAAGAGTTAAGAAGAGGAAAAAAATTAATTGAGCTCAACTCCATCCCGCTCTCTATTGGACACTCCACTTCGTCTTAGCAACCTCATTGTCTTCCTAGCGACCGTCTCACTTTTTTTCTTCTCATCTATCCCTTTTCCCTCCCTATTATTCCTCTCCTAGGTACCCAATATCACATCGTATTGTATTGTATTGTACTGTACTGTACACATACATACATAGAAACATAGAAACATCTCACAGACCTCCTAACTAGGGCTGCGGTTTATTATTGTTGTTATTATTATCTACCACCCGGGTTGGCGGCAAGCAGGCTACCTACACCTCCTCCTACCTACTATCCCATCCCGCCCCCCTGCGCATATTCCGCGGTCACCTCTAAGGCGGCCTTGTCTCTCTGCCTGTCTGACTTGGCTGGGCTTGTGCCTTGTCTCTGCCTATCCCATTCGTCTTTCTACCTCCCCTCCTGGTCCTTCACTGTGCCACACCCCCAAAATTTTTCTCTCGCATTATCTCTTCCGTCGGTACACATATCGTCCAAGCCCGCCCTCACTCCTCATCATCTCTTCTTCTCTCCTTTCCTTTTCTCTTCCTCAGCATGAGCGGTCTATCCACCACCGACACCCCCGCTGATTCCGTGGCAACAAACCCAAGTCAGCCAAGCATCACTTCATCTTCCATAACCGATGCCTCGCGACGAGAGCCCGCCTCCTCCGCCGCCGGTACCGCCGAACTCGCCGGTCAATCGGTAATTGCCTTGACTGGGCACGAGCAGGAGAAACTCGAGACTGCTAAGAAACTGGTCATCGACGCGCTTAGATTCGTACCTGACTTCCCTATCCCCGGTATAAACTTCATCGACATCCTACCGATCTTCCAAAACCCAGTCGCCTTTGAGTCGCTTCTTGAGGTGCTCGTCCTCTTGATCCGAGAGCGATTCGGCAACCAGATTCCAGATGTCATAGTGGGTCTAGAAGCCCGCGGTTTCCTCTTTGGGCCTACACTTGCATTGAGGCTCAGCCGTCCATTTGTTCCAGTCCGAAAGAAGGGCAAGATGCCAGGCGCATGCAGGACTGTTGAATACAAGAAAGAATATGGCAAAGACGAGTTCCAGGTGCAATTAGATGCCATCAAGCCTGGTCAAACATGCTTGATAGTGGACGATATCATTGCTACTGGTGAGTGGAAGCCTTGTCCGCGTTACCTATCACATGCTTTTTTCTGTCGCTTGAAATATGAGATCACTCGGTTATTTTCCTTCCATATGCCTTTATTTGCTTGTTTCCCATTGAAGTATCAATGAACGTGGAAGCAATTTGCCTACTCCTAATCCCTCAATACCATCCGGTGTTTAGTACGAGCATGGTCGGACATAGCGGCAGTGCTGAAAAAGTACTATCACCCGAGGCTTACATACAATTGAACCTGGATAAGCCATCTGTTCGATTTACGGCTTAAAGTTGACTCAAGTTGTGTCAACGAATCTCACATGTAAGTGAGAGAGGATTCGAATAGATAAGACCTAGTGCCGCATTCAACACTAGGCGAATATCATTTATAGCCCATTTCTAGCGTAACCTGCCTGTTTATCTGCTAGCTCCTCTTTCAGCCTGCCCTCTCGACTGACTCGATGACTCAGGAGGAACTGCTGCCGCTGCTGGCCAACTTGTGGAGCTCTCCGGTGCTAAGGTCATGGGTTACCTCTTCATGATTGAGATCACAAATCTCAAGGGCAAGGCGCTGCTAGGTGACAAACCATTTGTCACCCTCGTCGAACACGATGAAGAAGAATAGACTCGGCGCGACATTTGCCATAACATTTCTGGTTTCCACGTCAAGGTTTCAACCCCAGATACACGAAAGAGGACAAAAAATAATTCACAAATTCTACTATTCTACCATTCTAAATCTAATGATAGATGCCTCTCGGAATTTATTGGATAGTCGGGCGGAATTAGAAGGCGCTGTCCGGTTGCTACGTACTTCAGTGCAACCATAATCACGGGTGGGGAAAGCTGGTTGAGGTTGCATGGCTATGGCGTTAATGGAACACGAACACCACCAGTGATACAGAATCTCTGTTTTTTTAACATGATTTGCTCATAGAGAGTCATAATTCCGTAATCCATCCTAATCTCAATAGTCTGTTTGATTTAGTTGCTGCGAATACGTATTGGTTAACGTATCACATATATCCCACGAACAGCTCGAAGCCGACAGATCGTTAAAGTACTTTCCCGGGTACCTAGGACCAAGTCCTAGGTGCTTATCACAGAAGTGCTCGCCATAATCATGTCATTATGAAATAATATCGTTGTTACATTAAAAGCACTGGCCTCGTTTCTCGTTTTCTATTGTTGCAATAGGAATCAAGCTTGGTAGTAGTCAACAGAATTTCTAACGCATTACTGTCGTTGAAATTACTTCTTACGAGCTACTATTTTTAGTCCACATCTCGGGTTCAGGACTACAGGTTTCTTGGTAACAAAATCTAATAACTACCAAACTTTATCTGGCTTATAAGTTACCTAAATATGAATGAGGTTTGATTCTCATGCTAATCCATGTGCGTTTGTCACTTAGATTTTCCTATGTGGGAGTGGCTAGAAGAGCATTACTAAACCATACGTTCGATAACGCTAATTCTACTCATGGATAGGTAATTCATGTTTTACTGCTAGATGTGTATGAGAATGATGGGTAGATGCTTTATGTATGATAATGATAGTTGTTTCCCTCGATACGAGGGTGAGTGAGGATTCCGCCGGCTTGATCATTATCAGATATATATCTAGACGGCAGCACGGGTACCTATTTAAGTCTCTTCTTCGTGCTGTTGTCTTAGATAAACTGATACAGGTCTCAGCTATGAAATTCTCAGGGTCTTAGACCCGCTTACTTTACTCTAAGACCTCTGAGAAAAACGTGGGGGCAGTAAAGAATTAATCTCCTTTGATACCTCGGCGCTAGAAACACTGACTTACATGTTGGGACGAACCATGGTCCGTGGTCCATGGGCTAGATGTTGTATTACCGTCATCTGGAAACCAAGTAAAATATTTGAAGGTAAAGACAACCTTGTAAGGCTCTCGGATTATGACGGGCTTTTACTTACCCGCGGCTTTACATTGATTCTTTGGGGAAAGAAAAAAAGAACCTTCTAGTTTGTTATCCCTCTCATATCTCTGTGACGGACGTTTTCTATCACCCAATTGCGCGCTCCTCTAGCGTCCTTAGCCGAGTCTAACAGGAACGCACATCACGGCAGATTTAGGATTACATATATTTCGTATCCTTCATAATACGCGGGGTGGGAGAACGCTGTCAAAGAATGCTTGATGAACTATTATGGAGGATTCCGAAGTATGGCTAGAGATATTCTTCATGAACTCACATGATTAGGTACCTACCTATGTAGGATTTCATCATCACATATGTTTTGCCTGCGAGTTCATAGCGGTGACCTCGGCTATCACGCTTGCAGAAAATGGTCGGGTATCTGAATCAATATGAAAGCCCGTCGATCTCGGTCTACCCCATACCAAAATAGTATTATTTATGCGAGCGAATTTCTCCGGAGACTACTAGGATAATGCACCTAAAAGACAGTCTTAGATGCCCGACTTTGATAAGACTAGTTCAGAACGTATATCCCGAAGAAGTGGCATAGGCGAGAATAGAAATATGTTTCGAGATCGTCCCAACTTCGCCGTTCGCTTATGCAAGAGCTGCCGTATCTACCCCGGATTAACGTGCTGTTTAACGCCGTAGAAGAGCTTAGGCGCCCTACCAGGGGCGCGAAAAAATCAAGAAATTCAGGACGAGCCTATCCTTGCCTCAGCCCTAGCTTCAGCTCATCATCTCCAGCTGTCTATCATCATAATTGGGTTGCCGCCAACCAATCCATAATCATTGCTTAAAACAAAGATAACCTCGTATTCCTTCCCTTAGCCTTGGCATAATCACTGGCAATGGCGAACGCATAATTCGGCACCCTCAATTGTGCTTGGCTGAATGGTTCGTGATTCTGGGGCTAGGCTTCGGCAGCGGACCGAAATTACAAGGAGCTAAAAAGTGCAGGCTAGGGTGGATAGTGGCGAAGATGCTGCCTGAGCCAAGCAAATGACGGCTGGTTAGCCTACGCCGCCTCCCTACATGATCGTGACAATTTCCCCGTTGCCTGGTGGATTCGCTGGACTTTTCCTCTCGTTCTTATAACCGCACGAATCTCTACCCCAGATTCGAAAACACTATCGGTGAAAAGAATTGGTCTTCAACACGTGGTGGTGCTCAAGTCTCGACAACAATAAAGGAGTCGCAATTCGGTGGAACTTTCCGCACAAGATCCGCAACCATGTCTTCGATTACGACGGCGATTCCCACCGCCCCCATATCGGAGTGGTGCGTAGGGCCACTCCAATACTACGATGGCGACAAGTACCAATGCGCGAACGAGACGAAGGGAACCAAGGAAGCCGACTTCGAGACCTTCTGTTGCAATGGCGAGATCATCAACTCCGTCCACGACATATGGAAGCCCGCCTTTTGGAAGGGCAACAACCACTCGCTAAGCCTGTCCGACATGATCTGCTGCGGCCTCAGCGGGCCCCAAGCAGGAGGCGTCCTGCCCCTCCCTGAAGTGAACACCGAGTGCAACGGGGGCTCACCGACGCCTCTGGCGAGCCTAGCGAACACGAACACGGAGAACGCGCAGCTCTTCCGCGTCACGTATACGAGCGCGAGCTTTGGCTCCAATACGGTGGGCAACTTCATACCTACAAACACGCCGAACTGCTTCTGGGCATACACATCTGGTGCCCCGACAGTAGAGATCACGCTGCCGACGCCGGATATTACAACTCTAGCGCCTGAATCCACGAACGCGTTTGGGGAGCCTATCACGTCTACGAGACGTACTTCGAAGTCGAGTGCATCGGAGACCGCGAGCGCGAGTTCGGGATCGATCACAGCGGCACCAAGCACCACGGTACTATCCGGCACAGCGGCGGCGGAAAGCAGCAGCGCAGCGTCGTCCTCTCCCGCAGCGACAACATCCGGTGCCGGCTCGGCCTACTCCGGCGTCCAGAAGGGATACGTATTCGTTGGTTTAGGTCTCGCGACCCTGAGCTTCCTCTGGAGCTAACCTCACTTCGATTCTAAGCATAAGCAATAAAGGCGTTTAAGAGATTAAAGAAAATTGTACAAACGGGCTATGAAAATCATAATACATATATATAATAATAGCATATAGATACCACCAATATCGCAAAGATATATCCTACGCCGTTAGAAACTGGCTGCTTTACAATTCGAGAATCCTATGTTTAGATCACCCGACTTCGGGAATTCTTCTATCTGCGTTAGCTTTGTGAAAGGGGAGGAGCAATCGAATTCTATCCCTGTATATCGTAACTTATGTCTTGCAAAGACCTCAGCTGACCTACAGATAGGACTTGTCTCTTATAGCATCAACATATGCTAAGAATACCGTCTCTAAACCCACCAAGTCCCCGTTTCCCTCCACATCCCTAAATCCTACCTATCTACTGCTCGAGCTCCATGAAATACTTGACTCTCCCGATGTCCAGTAGGGGTAATCGTATCTTCTAATGTGTCTAGCCTACATCTCATGGAGCCCTCGAAACCACAATATCGCAACAGACGACCTATAACTCGACGAGGGCGAAGTTGGGGTATTCATATTGAGCACAAGGAATTAATCGCCGCTGTCAGCTCCGAAGCAAGCTTCGCTATCGTTGGTGACATCTATCTCCATTATCTCAACTCTGCCTACAGTATGGCTAGAACAATATGGGTTAGTTAGGATAGGTTCCAGGAACAAGCCTAGATTTACTATCCGATATCTACCTAGTGCCTAGGGATATGTCGAACATTTCGATGTTAGTAGCATCTGCTGCTCCTCCAATATCGCGGTTAATTCTCTAGGAAGGGCCGTCGACTGAATAGGTACCTAGTTATACCCTATAGAGTTTCTCATGCTGCCGAGTTTATGGGGGTATCGGATATGTCAACTATTAGACTCCCATACCATAGGCCTTGTAAATAGGATGATGACACTGTTACGGAAAGAATCTTAAATCTAACCGTCGATGATTACGATATGGTAACAAGGCTATAAGGTACATTTACCTACCTATTGGGTATCAAGACCTGTCAGGCGCAGATGTATCACTCCCAACAGGTCAAGCCTCTCATAGAACGAACCCCTATCCGACTCTCGCATACCGCACAAAAGGATTCGACTAGGATATCATGAATTTTAAAGCATAGGAAAAACGCCGAGCCCATAGGTAATAGGCACATACATACACTGAAACGAATCACTTTATAAGTAGATTACTCGCCGCCAGGGTACCGACATGATCCCGAAGACGGAGCATTAGTCTAGGCAACAAAATTGGCAAGGAAAATGCCAACAATGAAGACGCCATTATATCGATTTGTCGTTGACATAAGAATAGCTAGTGTAAACCTTGCTACTTAGGGGTAAACTCAACCGAGTTATCTTGAATATGCAGCTACAATGAGATATATCCGTGTACCTACCAGGTACATGGGTACTAGGTATGCCACGGGTGAATGATATGCGATAAGTAGGTAGGTGGTAGGAGAGACTATCGATTAGTAGGTACGATTTATGTATGGGCAAGATCTTGGATAATCTAACGTTCATATTGACTATGATAACGGGATCGTTGGGATTCCAATTGCTTACGCAATGTTCAACAGGTAGCACGCGGTCATGTTTACGTACAAAGGAAAAAGTTGGATGAAGTTGACTAGGACTGGATGAAAAAAGAAATATCACAGGGATTTTACCGATCTGAGGACTTCGGAACGAATTGAATAATATGATTTACTACGGTACCACCTGGGCAATATCAACTCAGCTAAGTACATACCACAATCACAAGTTCAAAATATTACGAAACACAGAGAAGGTAACAACACCAAACACATGAGTTTCTATTAGCTATTAAGAGAATGCTTCAGCCGGCAGGTGGCATACCCTACATGGTAAAACACTCTGCACGACATCTGTTCCATAGAGGGCTTCGCCCACTCATCATCGAGCAGCAACGCCACTCCATATTCCACTTCCTACTACTCCGTCACTGTAAAAGAAGAAACGTTTGCGTGCCGTCTCGCAGGTATTTTCTGATCCGCATCAACCAAATGACAGGGGGTATACTGGGTATCAGCTGAGTATTAGGAAAAGATGTGTCAAAACAAAAGCAGTTCTCCTCGCAAATTGAGACAAGACATGCAAAAAGCGTCAATTATAAAGATCATGGATGCCATCTCCTTCGGCTCATCAACGCGCCCACTCCCGCAACAAACGGAAAAAGCGAATGTCAATAGCCGACAACAGATGGGGGTATCAGTTCAGAACCAGTCTTGTAGGGTATCTTGAAATGCAGATCCGTTCCCGACCAAACCCAGTGTCGTGGATACTCTTTACGAAAACATTAATGTAGGACCCGTAGGCCGAACCGGCGCGCACTCTATGCGGCGGCAGTAACAGGGGCAGGGGTAGCAGCGGCAGGCGTCTCCGCGGGGGCGGCTTCCTCAGCGGGCTCCTCAGGGGTGGCCTCCTTAGTGGGCTCAGACGCCTCGGCGGTCTCAGCAGGCTTGTCCTCGGCGGGCTTCTCAGCCTTGCCCTTACCCTTCACGGTCTGGCGTAGCTTGGAGAAGAACGGAGGGGACTTGACCTTCTCACCCTCCTCGTCGGAAGCGGCAGACTTGTCCTTCTTGCCGAAGCCGAAAGGCAGAGAAGACTTGCGCTTCTCAGTCTTGACCTCCTTGGTCTCGCCGTTGGTAGCAGGGGCATCAGCACCCTCCGCAGCGGCGGCAGTAGGAGAAGCGACCTCAGTTGAGAGGGGCTCAGTGGTCTCGACAGCCGGGATCACAGGAGCGGTCTCAGCGACAGGGGCCTCAGCACCAGATGTCTCCTTAGCGGGAGTGGTGGGGGCAGACTCAGCAGAGGGCTCGGCCTTCTTCTTGCCGAAAGATAGACCACCGAAAAGGCTGCGTCATGTTAGTCATCATTGCACAGCATTAGTAAAGTGATTAGTAAATATGACGTACCTAGCACGCTTGGAAGGAGTAGGCTTGGTGGCGGGCTCCTCCTTCTTAGCCTCCTCAGCGGGTGCAGCAGCTTCAGCAGCAGGCGCCTCAGTCTCAGCAGCAGCCTCGGCGACGGGCTCGACAGCGGGTTCAGCAACTTCGGTCGTCTCGGCAGGCTTGTCCTCAGCAGGGGTCTCCTTCTTCGGCTCCTCCTTCTTGCTGAGAAGGTTACCGAAGATGGAGGCGCGCTTTCGGCTGGCAGATCGGCGCTTAGAGCCCTCCTTCTTCTCTTCCTTCTTCTCCTCCTTAGGCTCCTCAACCTTATCTTCCTCTTCCTTGGGCTCTTCCTTAGCTTCCTCCTTGGGGGCCTCACCCTCAGCAGCGGCAGCAGGCTTCTCCTCCTTGGGGGGAGGAGTAGGCTTGAAGCTCTCGATGGTCTGCTTGTAAGCCTCGGTCTCAGCAATGGTAGCGGCGACCTCCTTAGCCTCGGCGATCTTCAGCTTAAGCTGCTCGACCCAGTTGTCACGCTCAGCAGCAGTGGGGGCCTTGAAGGTGTGCTTGTGGCCCTTGGCAGTGAAGGAGAACTTGCTGGTACCCTCGGTACTAGGCTCAGAAGCCTCAGCCTATGTGCGCGTTAGTACTAGTTTCTTTGGTACTACAAGTTGAGAACCATACAAGTTGGATAGCGCCGGTAGGGGTGCTCTTATCGCTCTCCTTTCCGTAGAACAACAGACCCTTTCCGGTCTCGGTGGCCCAGGCGGCAACGTGTTGGGCGACCTCGGCGGTCTTCTCGTTCTTTAGGTAGGCGGCGAGCTTGTCCTTGGGGACGGCCTCGGTGCCGAACCAGAAGTGTAGCTTGGAGTAGATGAGGTTCCTGATCTTTGTTAGCCATAGCCCCTTTGTAACGAGGAGGTCACATTGTCAGGTAGTCTTACTTGGGGAAGTTGGCGGGAGCACCCTTGTGCTCAAGGGTACCAGCTTCGATGGGCTTCACTTCTTCCTTCTTGGCCTCTTCAGCGGGTGCGGCAGCTTCGGCCTCACCCTCAGTTGTCTCGGGCGCAGCTTCAGTGGCAGCAGCTTCGGCGGCGGGAGCCTCGACTGCGGGTGTCTCTTCAGGCTTCGTCTCGGCGACGGGCTCAACGACGGCGGGGGTGGTCTCGGCGACCTCGACGGGCTTCTGTTGATCGGCCATTTTGATAGTTGGGGTTTTTTGAAAATGAAAAATTGGGTATCAAGAAGATGGGTATCACTAAAAAAGGGAAATTAAACAATCGACTATCTACTCGAAAGGGTATTGGAGTAGTATTAAATGACACTTCGTTGTCTCGTGAGTGTTTTATAGTTGAACCTCTGATGGAAGTTGAAGAATAAGAAACACTTGTATTTAAAGTCGAGTACGACAGGAAGGGTGGGAGGGAAAAGTCGAATTGGAGGACAGCAGCTTCTGCCGGTCCTTATTTATTGTCTCGTGATTCAGGAAAGAGTGACATGGAAAGGGAGCACAGTCCCGCGAAATTGAAGTACAGTGACTCGTACTGTACTTGCTACTGTGGTGGTGGTCGGGAAGGCCAAGCACCAAAACAGGAGAACCAGGGATTGAGAGATGTACCAGGTACAGTGTATTCTTCACTGTAGTAATTGAGCAAGGATGTAAATGTGGGACTGGGCGGGTCGCGGGTGGTTGAGCGAAAACAGGTGACCCACATCAGTACATTTGAGCTATTGCACTAATTGACCTAATCCCCCCTAATCCCCTGTAAGAAGGGAAGAGAAAGCCCTAGAGGCACGAAAAAAAATAACCATCCAATATCGAGGTAAGAACGATGGATGTGAACATAGGGGATGACCCGCTGTCATCCACAGACCATGCTTAATTAAGTACGTATGTAGATGTACAGAATACAATATCGTTATCTCAAATTTCTTTTCGCTTTTTTTCAACTTTACAAGAAACGTCATCTGGATAGCTTCAAACCGATATTATTAACATTTTCCATAATTGTCGAAAATAGTCCAAAATCATCGAAACCTCTTACATTGTAACGTCGACCTTGTCGAGACTTCAAACGCGTCTCCATGTATTCGCAATGCAAAATCGTACAACAAACATCTCAGACTGACCGACACACAAGGGACCTGGAATACCTTGAATACCTGGAATACTACCAGGACTTAAGGAGATTTCCATACTACATAGTACGGTACATTTGCTCCTCTCTCGCATAATAACCTGGTCCTTACACCTAACTTGTTGCTGGGTCATCGCATCGTGCAAATCTTGCGGCTATGGTCTGTGCCTGCAACATTTTTTTTTTCTGTAAAATGAAGGCCCTGTCTAGCTCGCTCGACGAAATTACAACGTCGTTTAATATGCACCGGCGCACTAGTGGCCATGGGCTATCGACAGGGGGTTAAGGGGGACAAGACTGTTTCCCAGTCATCTCAATGGACAGTCGTTCTCACAACCGCGCACCAGTGCTGTTTAGGAGAAACACCAGTAGACCAGTACCGGAAAGTTTCCTATTGAAAGGAAAGCCTCGAGTTTCTTGAACACCTAATCATCAGAACCATCAGGGGTTGACCCAGCTTACTTGTCTGGCTATTGGCAATCCTCGCTTCGTTAGAGACTTTGCATTTGCAGACTTTGGAATACTGGAGATCGATCTTCATTTGTTCACAGATGACAAGTTATTTTACTTTATCGGTGTATGTACGCAATTACTACCAATACCAGCGTAGATACCCAGTGGTTCATCGTCAACCGTTGACTTGCCTCCTTTGCGGTGTCGCTGTTCACCGTTACACGCTTCCAAACACCTTCTATGTAGCCAACCCAGCCCAGTCTACCAGCCCAGCCAACCCCCCTTTTGCTTGCTTATTGAGCAGGCCGGGGGGAGCAAGTCAATCATGACCTGCCTACCTAAAATACACTTACATAAAATACCTTAATACAAAATCTACCTACCCATCCTACCATCTACATAGTATACATACAGTCTTAGAAAAAAGACACCGCTTGCCGAACCTGGCAATCTACAAGTTCGGTTCGGTTCTGGAATCGGACGACATTGCTGATGATAGGACGGCGGTGATCGCGCCGATACCACTCCAACACAAATATCCAATACATCCATCCAATGAAGCCGATATGCAAGATGCCCTAATTGCTGCAACACTCTCTGCATATTTGCCCTGCAACTCACGGTCATAGGGCCAGGGTGTGGATAGCTCTTCTTTTGGAGGGGAGGGTTGGCGCCATTACGCTTATTGGGTAATAATTCGGATGAATTATGGGATTGTCAGAGTAGATCTCTTCAGCGCAAAGCAATGTCAGGAGTAGGGGAGTAACAATATGCGCTACAGCGTATGTACCTGCTGGCCCAACAAGTACCGGCGCATATTAGCTGCTTACGCCTTTTTCCTGCGAGCCCTTGCTAGGTACGAATAGTCGCTAAAGCACGTTTATCTCGACGCAGCACTGCAGGAGAGCAAACGGCGCACTCTAACCCATCCCCCATGTGACATTTTAGTCTTTCGTAGGCTCGATGCTAAAAATGTTGTGGGTGTCCCGGCCCTGGGAGCTCTGTCGATCAAAAGCTACCCCTTCAACTGAGGATACCTAAATCACCTTACAGCGCAAAAAAAGAAAACAGGAGTTTTAAGACATGGCTAAAAGATGCGAATTTCGTGACTTCACGTTGAGAGCTCCATTATATTTCAAAATGAGGGGTCATGTTGATATATCTCCTCGGTTCTTCTACGAGGCTTCAAGATGCGGTGTCTGTTTCAAGCTTCTCTCATCAATCTCTAACCGCTGACCGGTTCTCAGTAGCTCATTTACCATGTACTTCCCGAGACCCTGACATGGGAATCCGAGTGGATCGTACTATGCCAACGCTGGGCTGGGCGCTCACTTCTCATGTTGATAACTTGATTCCGAAACGCCATTCATTTTAAGCCGACAATTCAGCGAACTACCTATTAGAATAGGTACTCAAGGTATGCATAGTCATCACAACAAAGCTGCGTCCAATGTTTTAATGGGAGGCTGATTCTTACGCGTGATATGATATTCGTATTCGCTTCTCAACATATTTTAAAAAGAGGCCTCGAATCAAGTTGGAAAGTCGGTAGGTAGGTAAATAGAAACGAATCCTGTTGGATAGGTATATATAATCTCTAATATGCTGCCATGCGTGAAATGCGCCTTGAGGTCTCGTAAGCCTTTTCCCGTTTTCGCATTCTATCGAATGATCATGCGAACCCACCAATATTGAAACTTTTAGTATCATCGCACTCAATACCTGATCCACTTGATAGCTCAGATTCAAACTGTCTAGATCGTTGTTACATTACGGACGCTATTTTCTAGACTGGCCTAGTTATCCCCCTCATAGGCTATATTGATACGTAATAATAGCGCTAGGGTCAAAGTCTCGGAGCGATGTGAGTTCGTCCATGAGTCAAGGACTACCCGGGTGGCAGGTAGATATAACCTATTCAACTGTTACTTGACCTTCAATCTGGTCTAGGGGATGGGTATATTTCCGATAGGATGATAGGATTACTAAACCTAGTTGGATCCTGTTGTTAAATATAACAACCCGTGACGCTCAATGACTCTGACGGCGAGACAACTTGGCAATCTTTAATTCTCGGCTTCAGACAAGCGTAAGCCTACAAAAATCAGCCTCTTTGAAGCCCTAACAATCCACCGCGATCTCTGGGCGGCTAACAAATGGTGCGCACCAACAAGTAGCTAAGCCAATGATCGACAGCGAGTAAGCATGGCGCAACTGGTCGCGTGTTGTAAAACCCCACGGGATATCAGTCGAGACTCGAGAGGATTCTTCTACATAGAAAGGTACTGTTTGCTGCTTGTGAGCAAGATGGCCAAACATTCGTCTAGCATGGAACAAGATTTCATAAAGGTAGCTAGAAGAAAGTGAATAATGCGGTACGGACAAATAGCAGACTCGGCTATTATCATTACATGCATGTCTCACACCAAGCATTTCGTAGCTCGACAACTGTTTGAAACATACAGATCTTCGGCTATGCGCATAGCAAGATTGTCATCCACCACGCAATGCTATAGGTTATACAATCTCACCCCATCCAGACATTACCTACATTACTTGCCTATAATTACATTATCCCGAGCCCATCCGCGAGCTTCAAATGCCAGGGCCGGGTTGCATTTTATCTCGGTATACCTCTCTCCTTCGTACATGGCATAACCGCCGGCCACCCTGTCACTGCGTTTATCGCGGCCCTCCCCGCCTATCAATGCTTCCTGTGGTGTAGCCATGCCGGGTCCTGAAGTCCCGATTACAGGAACCCCTAAAAATAAGCGCATGACTTCTCTGGTGCTCGTAGTGGACCGATTCGTTTGAGATACACACACCTATCCTGCCGCTTGCGCCGTCGTTGGCCAGCGGCCGACGTCGAACCTGCTTGCTTGCTTGAACTTGGATCGTTGGCTCGATCCTTCTCGTAGCTTGATATAGCAACTTTTCCCGATTTTTCTTGCGTGAGGCAGATTTGCGGTTTCCACATATTACCTATAAGGTACGCGTAGTCAACGTACTAATGGAGATATATCGCATAGCAACACAATCCTATGACATGTTTCAAGTTTCTTCGTTTTTTCTTATTAGAGCCACTTTATATCTATACCGCTTTATGCGCATATTACATGCTACGTAGCAGTTGAGATGCCATAGATCGATTCCCCAGGTTTTGATTCCTTCCGGTCTACTAACATTTCGCCATACGCAGGGATCGCTGCTATCATCTTAAGATTTACGGTAGTTGGCGTATGTACATACATAGGTTAGGTTAGATAAGATGTTGGATCTGATGACGCTAGGATTGGTTGCACATTCGTCCTGCCTGACCTGTCTTGTCTGTCACTCCCTTAAAGGTCGGCATAACGGCCGGCGCAAGCCTAGATTCTTTTCTTTGATGAAGGAGCTGAGAAGCATAAGGATTCTTCTCAGGACCGGACATAACCCCGAAACGTGGGGATTCCTTTTGTATGCCATTTGCCTACATAGGAGGTATGTACACATGCTTGTGATTCAAGCCGACGGCGATTCTAGCGGGGTGATGATCGTCAACTAGGCGGTTCGTAGGTAGTTTAGTTAAAATAACGGTCATTTAGATAAGTTATTTGCTTAGATATTACTCTCATCTGACCGTGGCTTTATCAGAGCTACCGCTACCATTTTAATAGGCAATTTAGGCGATTGGCGAAGAGGAGCGAATTTAAAGAAAAGAAAATCCTTCATCCGTAGGGCGCAGTACTAATTAATAACTTAGCAGTTACAAACTACGGTACGAAGGTTCCGGCCAAAAGTTTGGACCATCAAGCCACGTCCCTTGCCCAGTGCGTGATTAGATAAGCACATACCTCATACTGTATTAAGTTTAGGCTTAAACCGCTACCTGGTAGTGATCCGCTCGCTAGATTCTAGTGGATAACCACTATAACTTAAGCCTAGTCCAGGGGGCTTAGCCACTGGAGAAAAACGCCACACGGTGAGAGAAGATTCCAATTTACACGGCTTTGGGCCATCAGGACCCTCTGCGCATGGTCCAAACTTTTGGCCCGAACCTTCGTACCTAGGTAGGTATTGATGATAATAATTCTTTTTTTTCATTGCTATATCTCATTCATTATCTACAACACTTTCTCATTTACGCATATCATCTTCCAGATGAAGACACCTTAATTCCGATAGATATTTGAACACATGTCTTTTTCACTCCAATCTGCACATCGAAAGGAAGAGGCGGTGTTCGGATTGAAGGTAGCTAGAAGCTAACAGGGATTGTAGCACGTCTTCTTGGCAAAATTTGTCGAAATGAAGATATTTCTGCGATCACGTATCGACGACTCACTTAATCCGTCATTGTCACGAGCGACTCCATGATATCGTTGAGATCCTCTCTTCTTGTATCAGCTCTCTGGATGTCCGTGGGAGAGAGGTAGTTATGTATTAAAGCCGTCGAGCATCATGCAGTTTGGGTAAGACAATCTCCGTGTCGTATCGACAGTGTTGCATTCAATCAGGCCAGATTTGGAGCGTAATGGTTCCCTACCGAGCTTTGTCGAAGCTCGTGATCCTTGTTACGTATTCTCATAGCACCCCCTGTATAGCAGTGCCCGTTAGCCGCGAATGTCGAAATCTCCGATTCCGTTCAACTTAAACGAACGTTATGGGAATCATCAGATCAACTAGATCATTCCCCATTCGTGCGCTCCTCGGAGTCGTAAGAGGCATCTAAAATCTTGCCCTCTCATGGGGAATCCTCGTAAGGGTTCCATTGCCTCCCCCTTTTTCTACGCACCTCTCGCAGCTTGTAAGAGGCGGTGACCACTGACGGAACACCCAGGTCGTTATCAGAGCTTTTGCCTGCGTACCATTCAGGACGGCCAGTTACTCATTCCCCGATATGGGACTAGCACATCTAGCATCATCACCTCATCCCACCACACTTTGGTGTATGCACTGTAGTGTACATATCCCCCCTCTCTCCCCTTTCTGATGCCCTGCAGCAACACTGTGGAAGTTCATGCATCCCCACTCCCTGGCTTGCAGCTTGGGGTGTGTGTGCGTGCATACACACCTACTTACATACCTACATATATGTAGGTGGTTGAGCAAGCTCCTGGCAGCAGACCGGAATAGTGTCGCATACGTAAGATGGTGTCTTGCCCGGCTTGCGTATATCTATTCTGGTATATTAACTGGACATATTCCCGTCTCCCTATCTGTCAGTCGATATGCGATTTTCTTTGCGCGTGACGAGCGACCGATAAGTCTATCGCATTAGAGATTTCCAATACTGGATTTGATGTCTTCGATGAATCCGAACTGGATAACCCTTGCCGATGAAATATGGCATTGACGGTAGCTGCGCGTCCCCTCCCCCTCACCGATCATATGTATGTTTTAGTATGGCAGTATGGCATGTGCCGTCGATTGCAGACTCTTATCGAGGTACTCGATGGATTCCTACCGTTTTTCGCATCTAGCGTTTCTTTCGATCGCCGGCTATACCCCAGGTCCCCTAGTCCTAGTCCAAATGGCGGTATAGACATAGACTGATCAGACGGATGTGTATGGGATCACCGGCAATAAGATCCGGTTATCGCTCGTTTCCGACGGCACCTGCATATTTGACGTGATATAGCCCGGCTCGCGTTTCCGTCACGCTTGACATTAGATCGGACACATGACTTTAGTAACGGGTAAATCGGCTACGGGAGCAAGCTCTTGTCGGCCGTTCCGTAGATATGCCTTCCGTTCGGAGTAGTTTCCATAGTCGTATTCGTTCGGAAGCAAATCATCGCCGGCGACTCTCGGTTCCTCCCGCTCATACATTATTCTAATCTTTAGGTAAATATAAGGATCTAAGACCGGCGGTGCCTAGGTATTGTTCGGATCCTTCGAAAAAAAAAATTGCCTTCCATTGGAGACACACTTTTCCTCTATTCACGAGACGGTCGTAGAACCCTGTGATTTTCTACTTCTTCAAAGAAGTTCAATTCTAGTTTCTTCATTCCACGGCTAGTCAGTCGCAAAGGAACTTGTCTGACATGTAGTTTTACACTTGACAGAATATGTCAGAAAATAAGAGGAACGGTGATCGATCTTCTCTCAGGGGTGCGATTGGAGTCTTAGCTTTACTAGCGACATTGCCGGCGTTATGATAGAATTTCGAATTGGGAGGCTACCTACTTTCGCGTCCGGTGTCGATAATGTGCGTGGTCTGTTGGTCTTGCTGATCTAGTCGGCGCTACGCGACTGGGTATCGATATTTTATTTCGATGTGACGGGGATTTGTATCTAGGTAGGAATATTCGAGGGGTGCTTCTTGCTTTGAGGGTCAGTCAATCGTGGTAATGGAATTAAGCCTTGAACCCCAGCTTCACAGCTTAGTTAAGCTGGACTGCTGTCAATAACGGCATGACGATCTGTATATTGATTGTGGATGAAGTACTCATAGTTTAAGGTATCAAGTAGCGTCAGGATTTCATATGTTTTATTTTGGCAAACTGACAGCGAGGTCAAGCCTCGAGAAATCAGATAAGAATTAGGAGATAATTTCTGTTGATATTACTTCAATTAAAATGATTGCTGGTACATACTTAGTACTAGGCACGTATCCATCAAAACATTTTTTGACAACGGAAAACGCTATGTACCTTGATAGTGAGCTGCTACACATTGTGCCTATAAACAGCTCTCAGGCGATTGGAGTCACGACCTTGCTTGCTGTCAACTCTCCCATCATTTCTACGGACAAGAACCTACCTGCTCTACCTTTATTCATGGATGTCTTCCGATTATATATCCTAGGTTACCACCTGAGCATACGTAGATTTATACTTCTGCCAAATCGACCTACCCATCTTCTACATGCCCTAAACTATAGCGTGGTAGTCTGGTGTCAGATTACGACGCGAAAACCTTGAGTTCCACAAGTGCTTCCGACCAACAAATGCCCCGGCTGATAAACTATCCCTTGATAGCTCACACCGTCGTGGGCATAAGTTCGCCTGATGTGTTTATTTATGATAATTACTAGATACCACGGTGCGTGCCCTTAGGGGAGCCTGGTCCGGATGGGAAGGTTAGTTCCAGAACATCAGACCAAATTAGTATTCTGAAGAAACAGCAGCCTTCAGCTTGAGCACTACCTAGTAGACATGGCAGTGGCGGGGGCCTGATTTACTGGGAATGATGCTGCCCTGAAGCCAGCGGACGTCACCGGACTTCCGGGTGGCTGGCGTTATGGCGTCGTGGCGTGACGCTCTACGCTACACTAAAGATAGAGGTCAAAGTTTCAAAGATGTGATGCGATGAGGTTTTTGAACTCTATCAATCCAGGCTCCTGAACTTCCTGGGGGCGTCCAATGTAGGGGTGACTTCCGATGCGTCTTTGTAGTTTTGGTCCATGGATGTCAATTAGAAGTGGAAGGCACCGATAGGGGTAAGTTATAGCGGGTTGTAACGCTGACTAAGTTTGGACGCACGGGTGTCTGTGTAACCAGACCATCGGGTTCGTAATTAGTGCAAACACGAAGTTCCGCAGTTTTCATCCTCTCAAAAACCTACCCATCAACATCACCCCCCAACCCAAAGCCCCGCACCATCCGTACCTTCTCACTCAGCTATGGCTACTAAAAGACAAACCGACGACCCGTTTAGTAAAGAAGTGCTCCGTCTCCGGGCCGAGTATGAACACCGTCGCGTTACTACCAATCTATATCCACCTGGCGGTCGACCGCATCTCGAACTGGATCTCCAGCGCGGTGACAAGTCTTATATGACGTACTGGTTCGACGACGGCACCGAGAATGGCCAGTGTGTACGCATCTTCGATGTTCCCGGTACTCTCTCGGGCGATATCCTACGGCTCTATCGCAACCTGCCACCCTTTTCAGGTCACATTGAGATCGATGGCGACGACATACGTCCATTGAGCTGCTGTCCGGAGCATCCCGAGTTCACAAGGGATGACTCTGAGGATGTGAGCGAGCTCGTTGCCAAACTACCTCTCGTTGATGTCGACCCAACGAAGCACTTTGTCAAGAAAGGCAAGTACCGAAGCGAGATCGAAAATCTCATCAGGTGCCAGGGCGGCTCTGTACCAGGCCATTTACTCTCTCCGAACATTATCCAGCTTCTTGGCAGGTCTAGAGATGGGCACCTCGTCTTCGAAAAGCTGTCGTCAAGCGCACGCACCCTCGGTCGCTTCTCCTCCTTGACTATCTACAAGAGCTGGATTCTACAACTCATCGACGCCTTGGATTGTCTCCACTCGGTTGGCGTCGTCCATCGCGACTTACGCGCTGATAACCTCCTCTTTTCAAATGACGGGGAGCGACTGGTGGTTTGTGATCTCGAAAGCCGTTGGGGGGAGCGGTCGGCACCAGAGGTTGCTTTCCAAGGAGGCCTGGAGGACTCGGGGTGGTCCCCTAGATCCGACATATATGATATTGGGAACTGTATTAAAAGCATGGTTTACGCGAACGGGCCAATCACGCACTTTGTCGAATGGCCTGTTCCACCTCCGCTCCAGGCCATCGTCGACGCGTGCATGTATCCGAGGCCGGAGGAGCGTCCAACTCTGGCCGACTTACGTATCATGGTGGGGGAGATTCAAACGTGAGCAAACTAGCGTACATGGAGGCTTGGAAGTTTAGGCATTGGCTGTTATTTCTAGACTGGAGACCGCACCACTTCCACACAACTTCCCACATTGCCCGGTCCGCGAACAAACTATTAAAGGCTTCAAGGCACCTTATATCCGGGATCAGAGATATTGCCTCTGCTAGCATGACCTTGCCCTCGGAAAGCTTGCTGTGGACATGAATGAGGCAGAGGCCGAATGCGTACTCATACTGGGCCAAAAGCGTAGCCAAGGCACGCAGCATGGCCTCGTGATCAACAAGATTTACTGCATATAATTTGGAACTGCCTGGGCTCTGTAGAGTGGATGGCTTGTTCGTGATGTCGATGGAGTCAGAACGCACGTCTTTGTGTCCCACCGTGTCTTATCTAGGCACTTGATTCGAGGACCTGCGATGTAAGGGGGAATGTCACTGCCGGGTACATCTGCGCGAATCAACGCAGGCGCGTTGGTTTTTAGTCCAACGTCCGATAGTTAAAGCGTTTTGATTGCGCCACCCGTTTCCTTGCATCATCCACGCAGCCGGTTAAGCAGTACTAGCAGCTAAGTTGGATAGAGATTGATTGGACAGGAAGGATTCTCTGCAACACAGACACAGGCGAGTCTTCCGAATATTAACTATGCAGTCGCCGATTAGTGTAGCAGGTACTGTGGGCGACCTAGAAATTGGAGGTCGCATTTACGGCCATTCTATTGGCGGTATCATCTCGCACCATTAACTAAGATGCGAGGAAAGTGCAGTATCGATTCAACTAGGCCGCTGGGCTTGCTCTTGGTGAACACCACGTGGGGCTCGGCCTGGCGATAGCTTCGGGACGAGTCAAAATAGGGACCGAAGAACGCGCTTTATAGTTGTACTTGAAGTTGTTAAAAAGTCGGTGGAAACCGGCGTTATGCCTTGTCTCGGCGGGCTTCAACTAACAACACCAGAAACATTAGGATTACTGCAATAGGAAAATTTGGTAGGTATTTTGGTGAGATCCCTTTTCGACACCATAACCCGTCGTAAACTCAGCAGACTTCGGCAAGTGTTGAGTTTTTTATGCTATTTCGTTACAACACAATAACCGAGGAATAAACGTTTCCCAGAACGGGAAACATCAGCATTAGTCGGATTCACCAAGATGATGAATCATTCTATTCGCGCTGGGATGACTCATTTCCCAAACTGCTTTAAGCCTCTATAGGGGTTGACCGACCAGCAAACTTAGCAGACAGTTCTCTGACGTTAAATAGTCGCGAGAATATGGTTAGTAATTCTCGACCCTGATCTACTGAGACTCTGGCTGCTACAAATGTGTCTATTGGCAGTAGTGTTATGGCTCTATCGCCGATATAATTAGATATAACTATTTCGAATGGGTAAGTGCCTACCTAATTATAAATAATGAATATAGCCGAGTATATGAGCCTGATATCTCAAGACTAGTTGTCGAATTAAGCTCTCCTAGTACTTCGGCCAATAGAACAAAATAAAGATTCAACATCATCAATGCGCAGATCACGCTCTCGTTATGAGTCTACCTACCTCAATATATCAAAACACACATATTTAATAATTATTAATAATTAAGTCGCGATTAGAGTAAAATCTGTTGAGCATAGGCCACCAAGTTCGTTGTCGTCGACTAAATTTGCACTGTAGAATTTGTCTAACCAATGTCCTCACCCTTTTTTCATTGACTCACTTGCACCAAATCTACTTGACATCTTATGACTAGCACTTGGAAACGACAGTGGCATGAGCCATGCGCTTGCCTTTTTTATTCCGGATGTTAGGTAATACAGTGCCGACTGTCAGCCAGTACCGACGGACTTCCTTCCTTCTAATCACACGCTCCTTCCGATTAGACATTTCGCTCATGGTTCATCTGTCTGATTTAATTTTCTAAATATAGGTACCTAGTATTCATCATATATCCATATATATATATTGAGGTTTACTTCAACTAACAATACATTCTGCTAGTACTTCTACAGGTACGCCCATTCACAATATTTTATCATACACATCCTACTTTAAACTCTCTTCTTTTAGGGCCACTTCCGCATCTATTCTCAGCCTTCTTCATTGCCCCATTCATATTTTCAAGGAATATTCATCTTTTATCTTTCGTCATAAACCTGAAAACACGCTCTCCTCTTCGCTGCCAAAATTCCAAAATACCTAGGCGCTAACATCTTCACCCTTCCCAGCTACCAGGTACACCATCATTACAAAGAGCAACCACATCACAAAACGAAGCACAGAACCAACTTTAGAATCTTATTCTCCCAACGGCCTGTAATTCAACCCGCCCCATAGACCTACTCATCATCTCTTCAACTTGCTTGACCCTGAATTTATATCACTACGTCAAGTGCCCATAATTGCAATGGATTACCTGCAAGACTTCCACTCTTCCGGTGGTCTTCCTTACCCCAGCTTGATCAGCATCTACGACCGGGTCAACCAAGAGGAATATTTTATGGAACCAAAGCCCGTGGAAAGAAAACCAAGAGCCGATGACCTCAAAGAACTAGACGTGTGGGGAAAGATTGAGGAGGGAGTGAGGTTTCATTTTGAGAAGATTGGATCTTTATCTCACGTCTACTGTCGAGATCAACACGGGGAGAGCGCCGATGAATTTGTCTTCTTCCGGCGTGACCGCGGTCCAATTGATCATGGCCTTGGTCGCAAAGATGAGGACTTGTACGAGTGTTCTAAGTTCAACATTCTTCGTCACCCACAACAACGCGACGACAACAATCTCAACTATAAAGTTGTAAACCCTGGCAAAGTGAAGGGATTTGATAAGGATATGTTAGACCTGGCCAACTATCCTCACATGGATGGAACAGTGATGAGTGTAAGTAATCTTGGAAGCTTAATGCCTCCCCATGATCTCTGCTAATCATTCCATAGGCACCATTGCTACCTCGATATGGTCCCAAGACAGGATTGCTAAGTTCCAAGAAAGGGCAGTTTAACATAAACATGCATGAACAACCTAGGATGTTTACTCAGGTCTTCAAGACCCCCGAGTTATGCCTCATGATATTGAAGCACCTCGGGCACCGCTGGGGAGACCTGTCTAATTTTGGCCGGACATGTCAATTTACTCTATTTGCAATCAATGAAGTGACTGTAAGTTCTCATAATACACTGATATATCGGAAGGACTACTAATACTTGAATAGACGCACGTTGATGCAAAGAGCGGCAATTTCCTGAACATGCAATTTCCTAACGAGGTTATCGACAAGACAAATGAGCAAGCTGACCACATGGACACTGCAACTTTCAGAGGTTTCGCCAGGCCTGGAACTGCGGATTTCACCATCATTTCTGGCATCAAAGGGCCATACTTCAAGGCACCTCAAGGCGAACGAGCACCTCAAGATAACGGTTATCCCGCTGCCCCTACAGGAGGCTATTGGCGCCTTCCTTCTAGCAGAAGTGTCGTTAACACATATGATATCCGTGAGTACTTTGTTCATGGATAACTTCGTTCTACCACTAATAAATATTCAGTGAAGATGGTGGATGTAAGAGGGCCAGAGTTAACAGTCCTTCACTTGCATTCAGTTCCCAACGTGAACATCCCTGTTCTGGAGATGTGTTTAAAGGGCCTTCCGAACCTTCAAGCGCTTGGGGTATATAATTGTGAACTCCTTGATTTTGGAGCTACCGTGCCATTCCTCAAGATGGTGATTTCTCACAACAAAAACCCCGACCACCCTACTCTCCGCTCAGACTTCTCTCCATATTACTTTCAAGGTATCCAGAGAGAATCGGAGGGTCGGAAGGGCGAGTATGGAGTACTCGCTTCGGACATCGGTACTATTGAGACCAGACCGGCGGTTACGGCAGTGCTTAGTACTGCCATAACACTTGCACTAGATAACAATATCGACTGGTTCAGTCCTGGCACTGGGATGAGACAATTCCTCGAACGACTTCCGTGGGCCTTAGGTTCCTTGAGGTATATCCTAGAAGCACTATTCAATCTGTATTCCCACGAACGCAATGTGTACTATGGTCCAGTATTCAACAAAGCCGAGCGAAAGAGAAGCGAACATCTCCCGCCCGTGAACTATACTCCGTATAGCAAGGGAATGATCCGTACGCTCTATAATGACCTGGTGATAGCGGTCCACGGCAAAGCTATGAAGCGCAAAGTTCTGGATGACATGATGAAGCTTGGAGGTGGTACCCGTTTGAAGAAATGCACTGTTTGCTCTGTCGAACTGCCTGGATTCTTCTTTGAATCGCAATACACAGAACGCACTGTAGGTCAGCCGGAGTGTGATGGCTGCAAGCTGTGCCACTATCTAGACAGACGGGTTGACAACTACCACCTTGAAAAGAAGCGCATTGTCCGCATCCTTCTTAACGACTATGCCATCAAGGATACCAAAACGCTCCTGTATACGAAGCAAATCGTTGCCGATGCAGATCTTCAAGACCCTCATTACCCATTCTGGAAAGTTTCGGTGAAGACGCCACAAGAGGTGCACGCAGCAAGCCTCGCAAACGGAACTCCGCGGATCCTCGATGGCCGCCCATCTCCGATACAATCCGACGAGACGAAAGAGATCTGGGTTGGAAGGGACCGCCTTGTCAGAGCATCGTGCTACGCTTACGATTATATTGATATAGGCTACCGGCGGTTTGAGCTGCGCATACTCTGTATCGATGCCAGGATAGAGCAACTAGACCTCATCCGTGCCCAAGGTCTGGCCCACCAGGAACTCGTTGCCCAAAACCACAGATGGAAAGAAGAGTTGCGCTTCGAACTCGACAGACTGTACGCTCGATGCAATAAGCGCCAAATAACAGGCCTATGGGGAGCCCACGCAGCAGCTGAATGGGGCGCAGAGATTTCGAAATACCGCCGGAACGTACAAAAACTTGGCGAAGTATTGCGAAGTCAGGGCCTGCAAGACATCACCGAGTCATAGGCTTTTTTGCCTTTCTAGGATAGCTCTAAGCTCCCGCCTTTCCCTACAGATGGATTTCTTTTTCAACACGATGATACATTCGGATTCTCTCTGCATATTGGCGTATTTTACTCGTTAGCACTATGAGGCGTTTCGGCTTTGATACCCGGGGAACGACTGGCCTTTCCTCATCGAGGCTTTTCGGAGATCCCCACTTCCATACTATTCTCAGGTTTCTTATGATACAGCACCTAGATTCTAGGTCTAGTGCACGGTGACGAAAGAGGCGGGGAGATGGGCATGATGGCTACCTAGAGTGGGGGTAAGGTGGGGGAGGAGGATCGAGTGAGAGGCAACGGAGCTTCCATAAACGACTAGAAGCTTTGCGTCGAGGGAATTGGTTCTCATTTTCTTTTATTTCCCTTTTCCATCACATTTGTGCGATTAATAACATGCACAGTTCTTTCCTCACGGATACTAACTTGGAATGCAACCATAATCTGAAATGTGCCCCCGATAAAGGGACAACGAACCCTAACGAAACTATATTCATCGAACTGGCTAACATTGGCATACTAGATCCCATAAGAACGTACCGAGCAGCTGCCGAGACAGGTTTCCCTTGAAGTTCCCCTCGAAGTTTCCCGGAAGTCGGTTCGGGAGCGGGTATAACTGGGGGCTTTCCAGAATAGGAAAGAAATACCGAAAAGCTTCGGTTTGATTGGTCTCCTTTCCCATTCCTACTCGGCGCATACTCCGGAGCGTTACATTGCTGCTCAGCTTTCTGATTCAGCGATTGGAAGACGTAAACTTGATATGAGTATTGATTCAATTGGAGCGGACTCCTTTTGATTAAGGTGAGATGTTGTGGTTAATTAGTACTCTTACACTTCAGGACGTCGCTGCCTGTAGCAAATCTTCGTGCTCCAAGATAAAGGCTTTGAGAGCTATAAAGGCGGCAGATCGGGAAGGCCTATTGAATACTGGCCCCCGAGACTGTGTCTGATATAGCTGGCACCTAGGTAGCTTTTCTAACCTAGGTTTATATCGTGATATGCAATTGATTATTTGATGTTCATGACCGCTTGTAAGTGTCACCTCTTTCTTTTCCTTGGGGGAGTCGCATACCGCTTATTGGAGGATCTGCAATCTTGGCGGGTCCAATTTAAAGCAACACTAAGCTATTTGTGGCTAGCTTTCAAGTGAAGCTCTACTGACTTTACTTGCAATATCAAAATATTTCAGCTTTTTTTCTTACGCGTGAATCATTACAATTCCTAATAACCAACTTTTCATCATGAAAACCTCGCCTACCAACGCGAAAACACCTAAAAGGCGTGGCCGTCCACCTAAGCCTATATCCGAACGCGCAGTTTCTCGAATTTCACCTTACCGAAGTAATAAACCACGCCATTCGATCAAGAAAAAGAAAGAGGTCGTAATCTGGCTGGCATACACCCAAATACCATTAAAGCAATCCATAGCAAGACAAGGCTTTGCTCTGCCTACCCGCCAGATATCTGGCGATGGCCTCGAGCCCTTAGAACCTGGTTTCCGACGACCCACGTTCTTGGAAGCTGCGTCCTTTTTTAAGATATGCCAATCCACTATATGCGGGTGGTGGCAACTTCGGAAGGATCTATTAAAAGGTAATTACAGCAAACATCGTACCATTGGAACGACTTATTCATGTTGAATATCTCGAAAAACTTTGTAGATTCGATACAAATATCAGCGAAGCTCTGCTGATTGACATTCTTATTAACACTAACGCGGAATTACAGGATTTAAGTTTGAAAATACCGTGACAACTACCACTGATCAAAAATAACTCGAAATATCCATCACCGCAATGAATACCTACATATCGTCAGCGAGCCCCAGAACCCTCCTAGTTTGATACCCGACGTCCTCAAGCTTCCGATAGCCGAGAAGCTCGCGATGCTAGGTAGACATCTATCTCGCGCGAAAGCTCTACGCAATATGTTATTACACCAGTGTTCTATATCCATAATTCACGAAGCGAGGGCGTCATGATCGAGATAGATATATAAACCTCGATTAATTAAATGGAAGGGATATTCTTCGCTCCTAATTAGAGTGATGCCAGAACGGAGTTAGCAAAGGTGTCCCATGTGCTAATACCACTCACTGTGCGCATGAATATCCCCTGCTCCGCCTATATAGGCGACTTGTAGGTAATAGAGTCAGTGGCGGGTGCCGATTGTGTAACAGGGGATAATTCCGATTACGGTGCGATGTAGAGTTGGTTCGTGAGACGCTGATGTAGTTAACTTTAGTCTTCGCAAGGGGAGGTTCTGCTAACGCAATTGAATATATTAAACTGGCATCAGAACAGAACAGAAATCACACATCACGAAATGTATGCGTAGGGGACCGTGGACATCTGCATCTGCTCTCCGATTCCGAGCTGAAGAGCTCGAACTATCGAATAACACAGTCGAGACTGAATATTATTCATAAATAAAGGGTATCATCTCATCATCATCTAATATACAGCTTCAACTCTCTTTGCAAGACCTCAAGAATCCTTGGCAGCTTGACGTATCGACACAACATTCTTCAAAGTTCCAAAACTAAGGACGTCGCCGATCCTCGGCGCCCCAGAGAGCAGCATGACAAGCCTATCAATGCCACATCCCCACCCCCCTGTCGGTGGTAGTCCGTACTCCAAAGCTTGAACGTAGCTCTCGTCTATTTCATTATCTGCTGCCAAGTTACCATTCTTTGATTCCACTTGCAGCTGGAATTTTCGCCGTTGCTCGAACGGGTCGTTTTCCTCCTCGTACATGTTTGCGATCTCGCGGCCCCTGATGAATAGCTCGGCGCGAGCAGATACGAGCTGGCCGGTCTTGGGACAGGTGAAAGACTTGGAGAGGGGGGACATGCAAGCAGGGTGATGGATGATGAATAGAGGAGACTCTGCAGAATCCTTCTCTAGGTATTTGCTAGCAAGCTCATCTAGGATTTTAGCCATTGTCGGGGTTGGTCCTGGTGTAATTTTCGCTACCTCTTCCGCGAGTTTAATGAGCGTGGGAAGTGAATTGGGGTCCGAAAGATCCGGGAACTTGATACCAAGGATCTCTTCCAAGGCTGGGATGAACTCGACTTGCTTCCAGCTCTCAGTGGGTAGCTTGATCCTTGTCTGTTCAAGAGAGCGAAGCCCCGGGAACATAGCATCGTAAGGATCATTAAAGACGCGAGTCATGAGACCTTCGGTCATGGAAATCAGGTCGCTTAAGTTGGAGTAAGCAGAGTAGAATTCACACATGGTAAATTCAGGGTTATGGCCAGTGTCAATGCCCTCATTTCGGAAAGCGGGACCAATTTCGAAGACTTTATCATTGCCGCCGACAACTAAACGCTTGAGCCACAGCTCAGGGGCAATGCGCAACGCGAGTTCTTTTCGCGGGAGCTCAGTAGCTGATGTCACAAATGGTCGGGCGATTGCTCCACCGGCATGGTCCGCTAATATTGGTGTTTGAACTTCTATGAAGTCTCGCTCATAGAAGAAATCTCGCATGCACTTCAAGATACGGGAGCGAACACGGAGTGTGTCAACGGCTCGGTCGTTAACCAAATAATCGACGTGCCTATTCAACACCATAGTTTCCTGGTCAACTAACATTTCGGGTAGTGGTGCCACGCCGGGACTTAGAATGGTAGGTAGTTCGGTTGCTTGTAACGTCAATTCACCTGCTTCTGTTCGCGTTGCTACGCCTTTGACTGAGACAATATCGCCACGGAGGAAAGGGTGCAGGGCATCCTTGAAGTGCCGAGGTTCAAGTGCCGGATCAGAAAGCTGGCTTAAACTAACCATGACTTGAACCTGTCGTTGCTCGCCCATGATATTGAAGAAGACTAACTTGGACCCAGACCGTCTAACTGACAAGACCCGACCTTCTAAGACGACTTCCTCGGTACTCGATACAGTCTTTGCGTCCCTATACTTGTCTCGAAAGCTGGGTATGCTCATGCGGTTAGGCCGTGGTCCGAGTCTTGGGTAATGAAGAGCATCGTATTCTTTTAGCTTCTGAACACGCTTATCAATAGTAACTTGACGACTTGATAAGGCAACGGTGTTTTCCACCGATGGCTTGGAATCGGAGCTGGTGAACCTTTTGGCCGTAGAGGCATGTAAAACTCTGCGAGATGTGCTTTGGAACCCCAAGCATTGTGAATTTCTCACTTTTACAGGATGATAGCGACCAGCAGAAAAGAGCCGCGCATACACAGTAGCCTTAGATGATGGCAATTGGAAAAGATACGGGCGTAGGAATCTAAGGTATTGCCCGTGCTCCATTGTGACCTAGATAAACTTGAGGTTGTTAGTCAAGTACTGCAAGAGTAATTGGATAAAGATATAGAGGAATATGAGTTCAGGTTCAGATAGGCTGGCTAATTGAGATCAAGCACCACGTGGTGGTGTCAGTCGCAACGGTTCTTAAAAGCAATCTCATCATGATGAGGCCATATAATGAAAGGAACGTTTAAAAGTTTAGCTGTACTTACACCTGGATGATATCTACGTTACCAACATAGAAAAGTGATCTCTCAAGATTTGACGAAATTTTAAAATTCGTATGTTCCAACCCCTCGCGCTCCTCTGGGCGTTTATTTTATGGATGCGGGGCGCGGGGCGCTAAGACAATATCTATGTGAACTTTTCTGCCGAAATTAATCCGCGCCACAGTTAATCCGTCACCGCCTGCCGGATTAGGTTGGCAATTAAGTTTAATGTTCTTTTCATCAGAACTCGGAAGCTTCCAATACGATATTCGAGCTCTCCATCTATTGCGCAAATAACAGGCAATTCCAATCATCTCGTCACATAACATTCAAAATGTCGTTCCTCGGATTCGGAAGACCGCAACCCTCTTCGGAGGAGAAGATTTCAGCCGTCCAGGCTGAGATGAAGCTTCTGACACAGATGCACGACCGGTACAATGCTAAGCCCTACGCCTTCCTACGCAGCGCTATGTTTTCTAACCCTATCTTCTAGCCTCACCAAAGCGTGTGCGAAAAAGTGTGTTCCCAATGAGTACCGCGAATCCGAACTCAACAAAGGCGAAAGCGTCTGCCTCGACCGATGTGCCGCCAAGTTCTTCGATGTCCACATGAAGGTGTCAGAGTTGTTGCAACAGGAGATGCAGCAAAAAGGTGCGGGCGGCATGGGTGGTGGCGGTGGTGGATTCGGATTCGGCGGTTAATATGGAAAAAAGAGCGCTATATGATGCATTATACTATACATGGCCATGGTACGGCCTACGCTCACGACAAGTTATCGAGACCAGCTGTATGATACGAATGACAGACCCCGGGGTATTATTCGGACGTTACACGGAGACTTCTCTGCAGGATTCAGAATACTTGGCTTAATGGGCTTTGTCAGATATCCATGAATGACATTTGTACGATGGAATAGTTTGGCCATGTCAATTTGGCCTGAGAAATGAATATTCCCCTCATGAACACACTCTAACGTCCGCTATCCCTTGGAGAGATAATGGCTACCGATTTGGGGGGTCAAAACATCGTGAAATTGACATGTGGAAACATTGATTGACGGCTATAGGGGTTGTGGTCTTCACACACTTCGGCACGTGTCCTGATAACGCAAGATTCCTCGAGGTTGTTATGTAGGTGTCAATACGACTATCAGAATTGACATATGCCCAGGTCTACTTTAGGTGGGGGCATTTTGAGGAGACCTGCGTTTCAGAAGGTTACTCTTGTCCGAGGCTGGACATGTGTGTTGTCGTTCGACGTAATCGTCGGACAGGCGGCGGATTTCACGGCCTCGGTCCGGGTTGACTTGTTAGCTTGTGTCGTTTTCCATGATACCGGCTCCGTAGTCGTGCGGCTTCACATGCTGCTGCCGGAATAAATCGGGACCACGAGAGGTGGCGTCCACCGTGCGTTGCCCTAGCTGAAGATCTTACATTCTAGTGTCGTTACATTTGAGTATGCGGGGAAAGGGGAAACAGCCTTACTCCCGCATCATGTGAATGTATGGGGTATTGCCCAGGTCTGTGTTGATTTTACTTCTAAATGGTTCATATGCAGATGTGTAAGTTTATGTAGGTGCGTTAGATAGTATTTACCTAGCTTAGGTATCTAGCCTATACATTAATGCATGTTTACGCTACATCTTCGAAACTTCGTAATATGTGACATGCTTGTCCATAAAATATAGGAAGAGCTGATTAATTCATTTCGAGGAGGATGATGATATTTATGAAATGGATTCCAAGTTGCAACGGAGTTTCTCGCGGAGATAAGCGTAACCGTGCTGTTGGTAACTATAACCGAAAAATAAGCGTGGTCCGAGCGTTCCGTAGATGTACGTATGTGGACCTGGGGAAAGTCCGGTGCTCGGGTAATTACTAATTAAGCTATCTCAGCCATCTCAACAATTGGTGGGATTGAGTGGGATGTGTGACAAGCTTTTGATGAGTTTCTACGACGCTTTCGTTGGCTGATCTCGCCTTCCTGCAAAGAACATTGAATCAAGTCCTTGCAACTGCGAACATTTCCCCGCGCAACTTTACATTATTATCAGCCCATCTTTCTAATCTTCCTAACTGGCTACCACGATTCAGACAATCAGTCCATATAGCTATTCCCCCCCAAGACTAAATCTATCCGTCTTGTCTGGTGTTTGATAACTTTTTCCTTTTCTTTTTCCTTTTCAATTTTTATATATACCATAATTTCATTACCTTCATTGACATCATGGACTTGTCTTGACCTAAGTTATCTTTAACCTTCCCTCATATCCATCGCGCGCGCGCGTATCTCCGCTTGCTGCTCAAGTAACAAGTATCGTCGTATTCTGCGCCGAACCGTCTCGCATTATCGCTATCGCTCGAGGCCACAAACATTCCCGCGTTACACCACCACATCTGCGACCTCCGAATCTTTCCGCAGCCCGCACCAACGCATATCGTCGCCGACTGTAGGCATCCCGTATCTCGCTTCCTGCATTTCGATATATCCCGTATCCCTCCCCCGTACTATGCGCCTCCGCCAAGCGGCCCGCGTAATCCTCGTCGGCGCACCCGGAGTAGGCAAGGGCACGCAGTCCGAGCGACTTCTCAAGCGCTTCCCCCAACTGTCCGCCATCTCCTCCGGGGACCTACTCCGTCACAATGTCAAGAACAGAACCCCTCTTGGTATTAAGGTCGAGAGGACGATGAAGACCGGTGGTTTAGTTTCCGATGATTTGATACTACGGTTGATTACAAACGAGCTCGGCCGTCGCGGCTGGCTCTTCGGTGGACGACCAAATGTTATGACCCTTTCGTCTTCGGCGATAGGTGATGGTGGCTTATTAGACGGCTCTCCAGACGCCTTCGGGTCAGCACTCGAAGTCGACCCTCTGGCCGGAGCCAGTCTTTCCCAGCAAGCGTCCGAGGACCCCGCTGCTTCCTTTCTGCTCGATGGCTTCCCTCGCACTGCGACTCAGGCTAAAAGGTTAGATAGCATTGTGCCCATCAACTGGGCTGTCTCCATCCAGACGCCCCTCGACGTCATCATGCAGCGTATCTCATCTCGCTGGGTACATGAGCCGTCTGGTCGAGTCTATAATACTACATTTAATGCTCCCAAGGTACCCGGCTTCGATGACATCACCGGCGAACCCCTCGTACAAAGAGCCGATGATTCCGAAGAGGTATACAGGACACGTTTTCGCAAGTTCCAGGAGACGAGTGAGCCTCTACTGGAACATTACGCGAAGAAGGGCGTCCTATGGGAGGTCAACGGCATGAGCAGTGATGAGATCAGCCCCAAATTATACCAAGAATTTGAGCGACGCTTTTTATGACCTGGGTAGGAAACCTGGGTTGAGAAGCGTCACCCGGTTTTTATGGGTGACGAAATGAATCGAACGAACTGTATATCAGGTTGGGATTTTTGGTATGAGCGGAACGCTCACCGGAGTTCAGGGAACTGGGCAGGGCGAAAGTCGTCCAATGAACGGCTGACGCTCTGGTTTTGTGTATTCTTTATGGTATACACCTATGTTTATAGGACGACTTGAATAGCCTAAGAAAATATTTTTCAACAATCGTACTATCTGGAGGCTGAAAAGAGACGGTTAACTTGAATATGAATTATCTGCAGCTTAGGTAGGGAGTCTTAAATGTGAAGCACTTCCGGCCGTTCCGTCCCAGCCACATATGGTGCTAAACCCGCTTATATCTCCAGATCAACCAAGATTTACTCATAAGACAAGACATTGTTCACCAAATCTTCTTTCTAATGACACTTCTCTTCCCTCCTGTACGGCCCCACCCCTGTTACATCCTGAACAATTTCCACAATGGGGCTTCGACAGCAGTAAATCTTGAAGTCCGTAATCAACCCCCTATCATTAAAAACCGCCGTAGCCGTCTCCGGAAACGCGGCGATCTCCTTGCCATGCACAACGAGACGGTTGCTCATCTCCACTGAGATCTTAGAGCCGCCGGTGCTTCCGAGTCGGTCTACGACTCGCCGTTCCTTGATTTGGGTGTCTTGAAGAACGGTTTTGATCCCCTCGATGACTCCCGCCCGCCCGATCATGGGAGTTGCGAGCTCGCGCATGCTGAGTAGATATGCGGTGCAGTTCTCGTCGAAGAAGTCGGCGAATTTGGAGATTTCGGCTGCGGGTGAGTCGAGGGTGAGGGTTTGCCATACAGCGTAGAGGGCGTCAAGCTTGGCGTGTAGTGAGGCGGTAGTTGTCATGGTGAGGATATGTATGAGCAATTCGAATTGATCCAGAGTTAATGAGTAGCGATGGTCATATTCACTCACCGGCATTTCGGTTTATATCTACATTTTAGCTTTACCTACCTATATCTGAGGATCCCGAAGTCTTAATAAAGCTGCTTTGACTAATGTTTACTGATGGCTACCTACTGTTACCCCACTGGTCGTTCATCCTTTCCACGAAGGGGTCCTATTCCTACACTCCTGCTACCTTATCGCCTTACATATTATCGGATAACCTCCTAAGCATATGCAAAGCGATTGGTCCGATTTCAGCATCGCCGACCGAAACGGTTCTTGACTAAGCTCCCGGACGCCGGACACGGAGGAAGCAAGATGGTCGATTTCCCGAATTTTGTGACTTTATCAATCATGACTAATTCCATCTCGTATTCATGTGCATTATTTCGCTTATTTATCGCCGAACGTCTGTTTACGATGACTTCCAACAAACAGGATGGAAGACGCAGCGCTACTCTCAGCTGGAGTTCGTCATGCGTAACCTGAGGGCAAGATTAGTATTGATCTTCTGTGAGAAATGGAAGCTTGCGCATGTTTAGAAACGGAAAGATCCATCATACACCATCACATGGTTAAAGTTAGGGCATCTGTTAGCAGACGTTTCTAGGTAAAGAATCACGTATATGCGCATGTTTTTGACAATTATGTTAGGTAGGTACCTAGGTAGCGTCTAGTGACTTTTGAGGAGAAAACTGCTACGTCACTGGCCCATGATATCGTGTGTATACGACAAACATTAACGGCATTTGTGTTTTAGATAATTGCTCATTCGTCGATCACGCTGTAGTATTATCTTTCTATTTATTTCCGCCTTTCCTCTCACCACCACAATTCCCGATTCCTCCTTCCTCCTAGGTAAACCAAATAACTCCTAATAAACCGTGACACAAAAACGACGTTTCTATCTTATAACCTCTAGTCGTCAATCGTATATATATTTATAAAGCTCTCTTAATACAATTCCCTTTCAACCCCAAAAACTTAATATCTAAACTAGGTAGCTATTCCGTTAAGGAGCTAGCTAGGATAATGATAGACATTATCGACACGAAGCAGATTGAAGAACGTGCCCATTAATACTATACGCAGTTCCTGTCTCCCTGTATTCTCCAGAGGGAGAGTGGAGACCACAACTGCCGATGCTTTAACCCTCGGCCCCCGTACGACTATAGCTGCTTAAGAAAAAAGACCGCTTCGATAGAGGCTGCATTGCCTTCACCAATGGGCGAAGAATGATCGCAATGATAAATGACGGTCTTATTTAGAATATGAAGTATCATATCAATCGGATGAAGAAGGATCGGAAGAAACAGATGCGGCCCTCATGTTTTGTGGTTTGCGAGATAGTCAATGGGGAGTCGACATCTCCGGACAGCTCATGTTCTCTCGGTCTATCTAAAATCCCAGAACTTCACTGAAGAAGACATTACATTCATGGGAGAATCGAATCCCTTGATTACCCCTGAAATTGATACGAAGGCAGCGTGATCCACAATACCTATGATGTAGCGGCTGTGGGCGTGGTGATACCATTCCCCTAACTGATAGGTAGGTAGTTCCGAGAATATGGTAGATATCGGTGTGAGTAGAAGACGCTCTAATCCTTCCCTCAGATGGCGTTGTTGGGTGAAGCGCGGAGATTGTGGTAATGGAACATACTGCATAGAGGATGAAGAACTAATGCAGCTGACGGAGTAAACTTGGCAGCAAATGAGTAGGAGCTAACGCAGAATGGCTACTTTCTCCTGGAGGAGTAGGAGGAGCATAAAGCCGATACTGAATTAAAGGAGTCCAACTACTCTGCGAATTGGTAGAATATTAATGGTTAGCCTGAGGACAAAGTAGGTAGAGGCCTCTTCTTGTATCTATACCGAGATGAGAATAGTAGAAAGCTCCCCGCGAAACAACGTCATTATCCTTCGCGAGCTAGTTGTGCTTCATGACTCGAATTTCTTGACACGACAAAATCTTTTGAAATGGCATAATGGACGCAAGCTACTGTGGCTTCATGGTTGAATGGAGAAGAAGCACTATAGTTTTGCATTTGAAGTTGACTCTTGAGTGCTCAGAGATCTCCTCATTGAGGCACGTAACCCCTGAACCCCTGAATATCAAGACTTTCCATCATAAGAGTCAATAGAAGGTAATGTCAAGTGATAGTATATGTAATGTGGAATCGCGCATTCACGTCTCCTCATCTCTCATTCTCGCTTATCTCCGATAGTGTTTCCTTGGTTATTATCATGATTCGATATAAGATCCTATTCCAGAGACTAATCCTCGCTGTATACTACCCTGTCGGATACAGGCGACCTATTGTGGAGCCAACCTACCCAATTAGGCAATTTCCTCGGATGCTCCCCCGGACGCTTCCCCGCTCCCGTTTCCTTATTTATTGTTACCTTTGTCGTTACCTTCATGTCAGCAACAGCATGTTGCTGGTAACACCCTCCCCAAATTCCAATTAACCATGAATTTTGGTCGTGCCGTCCTCGCTTTGTGTGCCTTTTCCCTATCGGCAAGCGCGCGCAATGCGCCGTGCTCCTCCGTCGGGAAACCAATCATCATCGACACTGATATCTTCTCAGACGTCGACGATGTTGGTTCCTTAACAGTTGCTAACGCCTTACACAACTATGGTCTAGCAGACCTGCGCGGGGTTGCCATAAACACCGGCTCGAAATACGGCGCGCTGGCCGTCAGCTCGCTCAACACGTATTTCGGCAACGGCGATATCCCAATCGCAGCCCTGCGCCCCTTGACAAACGAGTCGTTCTTCGACACCCGCGTATACACGTGAGCATCCCATCATCCCCATTGTCTAAACATACTAACAGAACACCGCAATAGCCTGGGCGAGTACGCCAGCAAGCTAGGTTACCACTGGCCACGCTCGCTAAACGACTCCTCAACAACACCAACGCCGGTGGAATTCTACCGCACGGAGCTCGCGGCCGCGGAAGACCACAGCATGACCGTGATCTCAATCGGATTTCTAACCAACCTCGCAGCGCTCCTCGACAGTCCCGCGGACGAGATCTCGGCTCTCGCGGGCCCAGCCCTCGTCTCCGCTAAGATGAAGGAGCTAGTCGTTATGGGCGGACGGTATCCCTCAGGCTGGGAATTCAATTTCGGCGGCCGCGATCCCGCGTCGACGTATCGCGTTATTAACAATTGGCCGCGCGACGTTCCTGTTACTTACTCCGGGGGCGAGCTTGGCGGGGATATATACTCGGGTCAAGACCTTGCGAAGAACGCGCTGCCGGACTCGCCGGTGCTTGCGGCGTATCAGTGGTATGTGGGGCGTTGCAGCACCATTCGCGAGTCCTGGGATCCGGTCACGACGCTCTACGGGATACTGGGGATTGAAGGGCTCAGCGAGCTAGGTATTGAGAAGATGTTTCAGTACGCGAATCAGATTGGGTATAATGAAGTGGTGGCGAATGGCTCGAACACGTGGGTGAACGATACGACTGTTTCGAACCAGCGCTGGTTGAAGCTCGCGGATGGGGTGACGAATTCGACGGTTGCGGGTGTGTTGAATCGGTTTTACGCTTATAATCCTTCGGATAGGAATTGTTCTATCTAGGTAGATATGGGTTAATTATAATTGAAGGCTTGTACCTAAGAATTTACCCCGTTATTATCACCCCTCTTAGGATATTGGAGTAGCCTGTAACATGGTAAGATTGTATCTATGTTCTTGAAAGACCCATGATATCTATACAGATTAAACCTCTTTAATAGGCCCTTTAAAGTAGTGCCTTGCCTTGACTATGTACCAAGAGATACTAGACAAGAGAACAAATCCGAATACCAAGACACTCCAGTTAAATGTTTCTGGAGTGGGATTCGTAGTCTGAGGCCAAAACGACCAAAATAGAAGCAATGCGCTATACATGCAAGCGAAGAAATTATTTATGGTTCCCAATGGCTCAGGTAGTTTCCAAGGACCCCATGTAGGGGAGCCGGAATCGTGAATATCTATGCCAGGGGTATATGGTTTGAAGCCACCAGTACAACGGCGCCATAGAAGTAAGCAGCTCACTAGGAGATATGACGAATACAGTGCGGCAACGACGAGCGAGAGCAGAGCGGAGAGTGCAACGCTAGGTGCGAGTACTATCAAAGAGAGCACGAGTGTAATTGCAGTTGTTGATAGGATAGAGTTCATCGGCAACTTATCTTTGGTGAGCTGTCATGCATGTTAGTTAATCGAATCGTAAAGGGGGTGTTCTTGTCGCCTTACTCTCACTAGGTACCCGCTTAGGGGAAGCCCCTTATCTCTCGAGAATGACCACATCATACGGGATGCAGACGCATAAACGCTTATCGAACTCGCTAGGGATAGCACGAAGATGATGCCAGCCATTAAGCAGGCGCCTGTCGTTGACTTGACCGCGGATTGGAAAATCTGGAGAAATGAATAAAACATCGTGTTTGCTGCCTCAACTGCCGCATCCAAGTCGGATATGGAAAACATAAGACCGACAATAATTGCGAATGCTAGAGCTCCGTTTATAAAAATGCTGTACATCAATGCCCTTGGTACCACTATGATAGACGATTAGTGTTTAACTCTGTAAGGAAATTGGTATCTCTCGTGGGCAGTAACTGTCAGATCAATTATGCAGATTTTATACCATAATGCCGCACGAAATGACTGTTGAAATAGAACGCCCCTGAAGTTATGCAGGTAGGTACTTACCTATTGATGCAGATTGGATCTCTTCGGACATGTGAACTGCACAATCGGCCCCTATAAGCGCGGTGGCAACCGTGGGGAAGCCGACGAGAAAGCTCAGCCCTTGGGTCGGCCAATTTCCATTGTTGAAAAGCGTAGTAAAGACGAAATCTGGGGTATTATGCGGCGCGAAATACACCATTGGAACCAATATGCCGAAGAAGCCCGCTAGATGGAGAACAAGTATCAGACCTTCGAACTTTGCCAACATACGGCCCCCAGTTAGGTTCATTAGTACGGCAAATGACGTTGTCGCCCACATGGTCAAGATAGTGTGCCACGATACCGGTGTATATGTGGGATTCGCCAACACGACAATGCCAAGAAGAATCGTGGAGGTTGTGTAACTGGAGGTGATAGCCATCGCCTGCCAGGCCAAGGTGGTAAGCCAGGCGGTGACATAGGTTAAGAACGCAGAGCATGACTCCGGTGCTATCATGGCAATCCAGTGATCTAATCGTGGTGTAACGTAAGCAAGATGTCTCGAGATAGGCAAGAAAGGATCGTGGCCTCACACTGCCCACCGGCGGTTGGCGCGACTGATGCCAGCTCCGCCATCGTGGCGGTCACTGATATGGTACCAATCCACCCGAGAACGAACGCCCAGACTACAGCTGCCGGGCCCCCAAGGCTAAAAGTAGGAACGGAAGTGACAAGAATCCCTTCCCATGAGCACATGGCGGAGCATGCTAGTCCAAGGATGGACATAAAGCCAAAGCTACGATTAAGTAACGGTCGCTTTCCTAACTGCCTGAGTATTATATCATCTTGATTGGAGCCACTAGAGTGTTCGGACTTTGTTAGGAATGACATCGTGTTGGATTGATTCGGGAGCCGAAGCTCAATTGGCTCGATGATGTCCTTGGACATGGCGAAATATGACGAGGATTGTGATTTTTGTGATTTTTTAGAAGAGTAACAACAATCTTCGCAACTCCTAGGGATTAAAGTGATATATCATTCCCCAAAATTCGGCAGACGGCAACATGTGACTCTCAAATGGGAATTGTTGGAAACTCAATCAAGCACGTATTCTGAAGGAGGCAGGTGGTCACGGCGATATGATCGGATTTTGCTAGGCCTTTGCAGTTCGCAAGGCAAGCGCGGTCTTCGCAAACGCTTCAACTGCTCAAGAACCTTCTCAGTCAGCTTCATCCCTGCGCCACATGGAAGCGTCTTATGCAGTTAGTTGCGACCCCCGGAACCGAGCCGTGTCATACCTACTCTTGATTGGATGGAGGGGGGAGTCGGGTAAAGCCATTGGAGCACCCTCCAGAAGATAAAATGGGACTACGTGATTCTGTGTAACACACCAGCTGGTAACTGACCAACAACTAAGCTTTTTGAGTGAGACGTAATACAACTTCAGGACTTTGGTAGGTACCTAGCAGCCTAGAACCTGCCTGTCTGCTCAATCCGTCAATACCAACCCCCTATACGTACCCCCTAGTTTCATTATCACAAGCCTCATGTCTCGGAGTACTGACACGCTATTGGCCTACCGATACTATGGTAAGATTCGATCTCGTTACACGGCCAATGCAAACCGCCATTCCCCGAGGGGGCTTCTTGTTGCGGACCAGAGAGAGTCAAACGACCTTAATAAAATATCTACCTAAAAAGGGTTAACAATTCGCTCAACGGTTTATAGACTAATCGCTAGTTCATGGCCTTTCGCACAATAGTTGCTATTATAGGTCATCGATTAGGAGCATGATATTAACCATATTTCGACTTCATATAAAGGATTTTAGTAATCGTCTATGAAAACGAACGAACTTGCAGGTGGCGTTTTTCAGGCGTCGAATAGCTTACTCGGAATCACCCTGCCTAAACGAACAGCCCTGGCAATAGCGCGGCCACAGACCTTCGGGGAAACTAAATGACCAGCTGAGAAGATCACCGTTTTATTGATAAGGCATGACGACGGTATTCACAAGGGTTGGTATATTATAGGTCTGACTCCCTACTTTGTCCCCCTTGAAGCAAGGACTCCGCCCCCACACCGTCAAGCTTCACCGTCATCGAAAATCATGCAAGACGGATATGCAGTTCATAGGGCTGAAGGTAGCCGATGTAGGAATTGATGAACTAATAGTTCTATTACGTAGAATACGCACACTCGGATACCTCCGTACCTCTCTTTAGCCACAGAAACAATAGGAAACCCTAGCAGCAAACACCATCCCAATATACCGGCTCCTCTTGTTCATCAGTTAGTTGACTTGAAATGAATCGATAAGATCAATCTCGTTTATTGAAAAACAACTCTTTATTCCTCATCTGCTTCGTCTTTCACATCCGTCTCGTTGACGATGATTTCGTACTGACGGCTTTCGAGAGGTTCACCAGACTTCACGCTACGTGCGTCGGTGTTTCCTAGAAGAGGTTAAAAACAATAAAACACGTGTACGTTCAATATTCATTAACACTTACCTAGAGGCATCGATGAGACCATGACGCTTAAGCCAAAGATGGCTAGGCAGAACGACTTGTAGAGCATGTTGTCTTTAGGAGGGTTGTCTGTAATTGGTAGGAAACGACGAGTTTGACTTTAAATTTTGTTGTCGAGTTAAAGATGGTAAGAGATCAAGTTTCATTCATTCCTGTGTCAGCAGTATTATATATCTGCTTCTTTATATCAAACTTGATGCCCTTCGTCACGTCCACCAGTATAGACATGACCAATCATTTTTAGCAACAAGCCGGCGGCCTAGTCTCAGTGCTTGCGCCACTAAAGCAAGGGTGCTTATCTTCACCGTAAATACCGGAGGTCCTACCCATATTCCCAATATTCCTGTCAGATTGTACAACGGTTGATTAGTGATTCTATTGGAGATTCGGTGAATAGAAGTGAAATAATCATGAGTTTCCTCGGAGTCATAGTTAATGCTGTCGTACTAACATCCTCATCAGGACCAATAAGGCGATGCGTCACTGCTTTCTATCTTTGTTTTCAAGGAAAGGGAGGCTGCTTCTTGCTGTGCCGGCTTCACGATGCGGCGGTGTTGGTAAGACGCCTCGACAAATGTGTCATGGGCTAGTGCGATTGAATGCCCGTTGATAGCATGATCCTACAAGCCATGATAGCCCCCTGTCATGATTTCTATCAGATATTCGTACATTAGAGGGCGACGCTTGAAATCATGGGTCATTCTACCCCAAGTCTTCCTCTCGTTCAATCTTCTCGACACCAATACTCTGGATTACAAACACCAACAATTGAAATTTTCCTACATTGAACATCACTATGGAAAAAGACAGTGAAGATTCTCAAGTGCCCCTGCTTGATGAAAAATCCGAGAGCAATAACATGAGCCCTACTGTGGCGTGCCACTGTCGCAATGCCTCTACCCCTATTCGGCCGTGGACAAAGGGAATTTTATTCGCAACATTCTCTTTACTGGCATACATTGCGGTTCTATTGACGATAGTTGTTGCAACCGGTTCCATTCACCAACTATCGAAGGAGCAATTTCAGCCAATGCGTGATCGCTTCAGTATGTATTGTACTTACTAGGCAGACGCTTATAATCCCACGTTCATCAGGCTAACATGATCAAAAGCACTACCAAGAGACCTTCTAGAGTTCGAAGAGAGACAAGGCTGGTACCCGCTTCAGTTTCCATGGAACCAGGGACCTTCTGATGCACTTGACAAGATATGGGGAGATATGCTATATGGTTGGGTCCCTTCACGCCTAAAATACCTCGGACGCCATGCTGATCAAGCTAAAAGCACTTAATATACGGATCAAGAAAGAAGAGGTAGAGTTCCTTGGTTTGAATACGACAAATCGCGTCCAACTCAATGGCGGCGACTATCTGGGTGTGATAGGTGGTTACCATCACCTTCACTGTCTCAACAACATGCGCATCGCGATACATTGGGACTACTACAAAGATAAGTACGGAAACTTCAGCCGCCAGGAAGTTTTCAGCAGGGAACACTCAGGTATGGCGTCATCTTCATCATCATAATATCTCCAACATCGAAACTGACTGCCTCTGTACAGATCATTGTATCGACACTCTTCGCCAAGCCCTGATGTGCCATGCAAATGCTGAGGTTCATACCGCAGAATGGCTAGACAGAGCCCACGAGCTAGGAGACAAGGAATTGAGCGGACAATCTACAACTACGTGTTTAAAATGGGAAAGCTTAGACAAGTGGGCGCGTCCTAGGGCCCTCAGGGCGGGAGAGTATTCTTTCAGACCAGGTCCTTACTATGGGAAAGTTTACGACCATCAAGGGCCGAATACTGAATGATGGCGTGGCTCATCGGATTGAAATCGGCGAATATAGGTTACATGGCTTCACATGTGTCTGGTTTGGCGTATATCATGAGAACTTCAAGAAGCCTATCTAGGGTATTTCCCTGCGTTCTCATATCGCCAGGATCGATACCTAGCAGTTTTCCAAGATATCCAAGGGTTGGAAGTTCTAAAGACTAGGACCGTAAATGTTATCGCGACATAGCCCCGGATCTGTGTACGACATGTTCTCTTTAAATTGGGGGTCGTAAAGCCGACCTACCAGACGAGGCGTGTACGTAGACGCAACCCCAAAGATGTTGGTGTGACTGTACGACACCGTGCATATAACTTACATCAATTAAATTGATCGTATTGATACCTCGCATAAAAACCCGTACCATCCGATATCTCTCTGGAAAAAGAAAGTGCAGGCGCCCATGTTTCACTCTTCCCCCGCATCTTGTGTAGCCTACTCCATCGCATCTATCGTACCAGCCTGGAATTATGTTTGATAGTCGGGTTACACAGGTGAGGAGAAAGGCGCGGAGGGCAACAGCGTCAGCGCTGTCAGCAATCCCACTATGGCTACTTGCAGCAGGCGTAACACGACCAAGCTAACCGACGAATAGACAGGAACAGGAAGGAAGCAGCGACTTGAGAAGTTATGAGTCCGGTTCTTTGATTGAACAAGTTTGAGACGGCAATTTGCAAATCTCACCTGTTCACCTTCACCAACTCCCGGTTGTCAGCCGCCACTATCACACCCATCTGAATCTCATCCTCTCCCGTTTCCGCCATTTAGCGTCTTTTTTGGTTCACACTCCTTTAAAACCGAATCTCGCAATTTTCATAGTCGTCAATTGACCGTAATCGGGAATGGCGGCACAATCCATTTCGGAAGGCGAAGTCGCCTTCGACGCACCCGGTGCTGGCAAGCCGTGTAAAACATGGTACAAGATTATCGGGAGCCTCGACTCCGAAGCCATACCTCTTATCGCACTTCACGGAGGTCCGGGAGGGGGTCACGAGTACCTAACCCCGCTGGTTGACCTCTACGAGAAGCACGGAATTCCCATCATATTCTATGATCAAATAGGATGCGCTAGGTCAACGCACCTGCAAGAGAAAAAAGGCGATGACTCGTTCTGGACCTTTGATCTCTTTGTGAAGGAGCTTGACAACCTCGTGGATCATTTGAAGCTTCGCGAGAAGGGCTTTTACGTCCTCGGCCAGAGTTGGGGTGGCATGTTGGGAAGCACATACGCTTTCCGCCAACCGCGAGGACTGAAGAAGTTGATATTGGTTAGCTCCCCAGCTAGCATCCCTCTTTACATGGAAAACTGCAAGATTTTACTTGCTGGTCTGCCGAGGGATATCCGCGATACTCTTGAAGAGTGCGATAGGCTCGGCGATCATGAAAGCGAAAGGTTTCAAGAGGCGGCTTTCGTGTTTAACAAGAAACACGTCTGTCGAATTGACCCGATGCCTGAACCTGTAGTGGCGGCATTCCAACATCTCAAAGAGGATCCTACTTCATATGTTACTATGTAAGCTGCCTCTTGGGGAGATGTGAAGTTATTCAATTAATCAAACTGATTCTGTGTCACAGGCAAGGTCCATCGGAATTTATCATTGAAGGCACCGCCTTCAAGGGTTGGGAGGGATTCAAACAAGGCCATAAAATCCAGGCGCCGACGCTACTTATCAATGGAGGACATGATGAGGTAGGAGATGTGTGTTTCGAGCCATGGTTCTGGACTATTCCCAATGTGAGATGGGTCACGCTCCAAGGTGCCAGTCACATGTCACACTGGGAGGAACGCGACCGGTTTATCCAACTTTGCGGGACTTTCCTGAAAGGCTTCAAATGACCTCAGATAACAACAGTGTTGATCTTCAGGGAATCTGATAGTCAGACGCTACAGTCGCACTAAAGAATTAGTATGTGGAGGGGAAATATCTATCAATATCTACTCCATTATTAATACTTGAGTTGCCTATCGCCCGTCGTTTTCTTACATCCCTGGATAGCTTCACCTTTTTCACGCCAAATTATTTTTTCAGAAGAACCCGTCGTCGCGGGTTTCTACATTGGAGTAGATTAAACATGCCCACGCTTGAGGTTTCGCATTTTAATATCGTACTCTCCCTTTTGGGTGGCTGGTTATCTTTATTCGGGTTGGTGTCATATTTGGTCAAAGAGAGTCTCTACATTTCTGAGGCCTGTAAGTGTCCTTTGCCGAATGCCAGCAAGCTCCGAATTACAGATACACCAAGCAGAAATAGTAGGTATATCTTTTCTTCAAGACTTACTAAACGGTGATATGCAGTAATCTCCCTCTTGGCCGGCGCAGCTTTCTCCCCCTACGCTGCCAACCTGATTGATCCCTTAGAGTACGCGGGATCTCGCATCAACCTCACCAGCGCTACTCTTAATTTCACCCGGCTTGTCCTTGGAATCCAACTTGTCATCGCTGGTATTCAATTGCCAAGCCGTTATCTAGTGAAAGAATGGAGGTCCCTAGCCTTACTTCTTGGTCCTATCATGACGCTCATGTGGGTGACAACAAGCTCCATCATCTGGTTCATGATCCCAAGGTTGCCTTTCCTACATGCTCTTGCTATCGGCGCCTGTGTCACTCCGACCGATCCGGTTCTTTCAAGTGTTATCGTGAAAGGAGGATTTGCGGATCTGAACATCAGCAAGGACCTTCAGAAGATTGTCATCGCGGAATCCGGGTTAAATGATGGGCTTGGCTACCCATTCCTGTTCTTCGCGCTGTATCTGATAAAGTACACCGGGGTCGGGGCGGAGACTGAATCCGGAGGCGCGGCACACGCGATTGGACTCTTCCTAGGTGAGACGTGTGGCTACGTTGTTCTTCTAAGTATCGTTTACGGCGCAATCGTCGGTTGGGTCGCCAAACGACTACTCCGCTTCTGCGATGATCGCGGCTTCATCGACCACGAATATTCCATGGTCTTCGCTATACCTCTGTCGCTGTTTATTCTGGGGACTTGCGGTCTTATTGGTAGCGACGATATCTTGGCGTGTTTTGTCGCCGGCAATGTCTTTACTTGGGATGATTGGTTTCGATTGAAGACTCAGGATGAGGCAAGGATAAGTTCTCCCTCTTCTGGCTCTTATAATTGCTAACATTTCCTCTAGTATATCACCCCCAATCTCCATATTCTGGCTTAACTCTAACTCTCGTTGCTAACACGTGCTTAGCTTGCTACAACCTACGATCGACACCCTCCTTAATGTTGCTATCTTCATGTGGTACGGTGTCGCCTGCCCATGGAACCTGTTTTGGGAAAACGATACCATCTCATTTTTCAATTTGATCGTTCTGGGTGCACTTATCCTTCTGCTCCGCCGTCTTCCATACATATTCGCTTTTCGTTCGCTGCTCCCCCAAACTAGAACCAGGAAGGATGCCGCCTTTATGGGATTTTTCGGACCCATAGGCTGTTCAGCCATGTTCTATCTTTACATCACGATGGAGTTCGTCAACGGTCTCAAGGTAGGCGATGGGCAGGAGTTCCGTGAAGACGTCAAGTTCCTCCGCCAGGATGTGAGGGTTGTTGTTTGGTTCCTGATGATATGTAGTGTGGTAAGTCCTGACTTTGTTGCTTCTGCCGAGTCTCTCAAGCTAATGAGTTGAAGGTGGTCCACGGGCTCTGCATACCCCTTGGTAATTTGAGTCTGCATCTGAGACGGGCTGCTAGCGGTAACCTCCAACTTGGACTACAGAATTACCGCACTGGTGCATCTTTGTTGTCGTCTGAGGGAGAGCGTCAGCCTATCTTGGGGAGAAGGCTCTAGGCCAATATCTCAGAAATATAGCAGAAGTTCAATTGAAAACCATGGTCAACATTAACAGAGTCAGCCATTTAATGTTAAAACCGTATTACAACCTATGTTCTGGGGCCTATATTTATAAGATCTTAAGATTTAACACAACGAATAGCGCGCAAAGGTGCCCAGTGTCTATTGCCCAGCCGTCTGCAACTGAAGTAAATACGACAGCGGCCCCTTCGGCACATCCTCGCGATCCATGAATATCTCCACCATCTTAAGTCCTTTCGTCCTATCCAGCTCCCCACTTCCCAGAACCTTCTCCAAATCCCCCCACGTCCGCACAGACGCCGTATACGTATCCTCGCTCGCGCCGAAGAAGCTAGGGGCCTGCAGATACCTCCAGGCCGCGACGTCGTTGTATCCGGCTTTCAACCCGTGGATGCAGCGCTCGATAGTGTACCCGTCGTTGTTGATGAGGAAGAGCACGACGTCGAGGTTGTTGTGGATGATTGTTCCTAGTTCTTGCACGGTCATTTGGAAGCTGCCGTCTCCGATGAATAGGATTGTGCGCGCGTTCGTGATGCCGTGGTAGTTAGATGATGATATGAGTTCGCGTTGGGCTAGCGCGGCGCCTTGCGCTGCCCCGAGCATGTACCCTATAGATAACCATGTCACCGGGGTGAATAGACGAGTGTGCCGCGGAAGAGGCATTTCTCGACACCCGTAGCCTGCGGTGCCGGTTTCGCCGAGTACGATGTCTCCTGGTCGGAGAATGGTGGAAAGGATACGCCAAAGCCGGTCCTGCTTGATGGGGCCATCGCTGGAAACGCTAGTGAAGTTGTCTGACTGGTCTCGGGGAAGATCGGGATATGTCGTGTACGATGCTATCCTTGAAGAATCCAGCTTTAGGGATAATCGAGAAACCGCGTATCTCGCCGGGATATCTCGAAAGACTTGGGTGTTTATTCGGATCTCAGTATCTGTAAAAAGGATGGCGGTTTGCGTTTTCGGTATGCTGGAACTGGCGAAGCTGTTGGTAGTGCTGAAGTGAGGCCCAAAACACAAAACGAGATCCGAGTCATTGAAAAATCGCTGAGTCTTCGGATCGTCGAAGTTTCCCCTGTAGATTCCGTGGAAGTTTGGTAGTGTTTCGTCTATCAGACCTTTCCCAAACCCTGATGACCACGTTGGCCACTTGGTATGAGAAACGAACTTCTCTACGTCATCGACGATACCAAGCGCTCTAGTCTCGCCATCGACGAGGATAATCGGCTGTTTGGCTTCATATATCTTGTCAATAACCTTGCTTATCACCGATTCCTGATACGCATTTGGCTCGACGTTAGGAATGGAGATCTTAGTTTTAAGTTGTTCCGCCGAGACCGGCGCTGCAACGAGATCAACGGGAACCTCAATGTAAACTGGCCGACTATGTAAGAGACACTGCTGCAATACACTGTCAATTTGGGCGGGAGCCGTCCGAGGGTCTCTAAGGTTTGCTTGAGCTACCGTAACATGTTGGTGCATCTGTGCGAATCGCCGGTATTCTCCGTCATTGAATGTATGGTGTATAAGTAGCCGCGAGTCTTGGGATTCTCGTGGTGGAGTTCCCACGATATGCACCACGGCCGCCCGCTCAGCATATGCCCCGGCAATGGCATTAATGGCAGATAATTCACCGACTCCAAAAGTAGTAATTAGAGCCCCTATCCCTTTAATTCGAGCATACCCATCGGCGGCATATCCGGCATTCAGTTCATTGGCATTGCCTACCCAATGCAATCCCGCTGGCTCGACAAAGTCTAATAGATTGAGATTGTAGTCACCAGGCACGCCGTGGATTGAATCAATCCCTAACTGCTTGAGACGAGCGAAGAGGTATTCTGAAAGCTTGAGTGTAGCTGGCATCGCGTATTCTCGGCTTAAACTGGAGTTTCGGTGTGTTGATTTGGGGGACTAGATAGAATTGGTTGTTAAGATTGGTGGCGTCCTGACCTTTATACTCGACTAGCGGCCTTATTGTTACCATTCTAGGAGGGGTCTAGGTTGGCATGACCAATCAACTCCGATGTCTCCAAATGCCCCGATTGTTTCGTCACCTCGACTACTACAGCCACGCTGGCTCCGCGATCTATACCGGATTCAATAAGTAATTCTCTAATTTAGCGGAATCCTGCATGATTCGGGAGATAAGAGCAAACGCCCCGTTGCATCACTCAAAATCCAGGTTTCGGACCCGGGGCGAAAAAATGGGGCAACCGGCTTAGCTTTGAAAATCGTGGATCTTCAGCTGCGGGCTTCAAATGTCTTAGATACGTAGGTACCTATGTAAGGGGCAAGCTTTTCTACATAATCACATAAACAGCTTGTGGGTAGGAAAGGCATGTTTTTTTTAATGTGTCGAATTATGATGCGGTGGTGACCTACACCCTTGACAGGGGCGAATCTCTGCCTTGTAGGATAGAAAACTTCGACAGCTGGAACAGCGTGGCGTATTTTCGGTGATGGCGGTAACTTGACCCCTAGGTACCTAGAGGTTGCGCGTGTCCGGAGACTGCTAAGTCCACCGAAAAAAGAAAAAAGAAAGCTGATTGTGACTCGGATAATAGACGACGGGTAGTTGCAGACGCCACGAAATAAGCAATGGTGATGCTCAGTTCGCAATAGAACCCAACACTTTCCTAGCAATATCATCGGGAGATTCTTCCTTTATCTCGAGGAGATCTGCATCCGAGTCTTCTTTGGACGCTACAATGCATCTTCCTCCTGGCCCAAAAAGCTGATATACTAGAAGCTCTAGCACCCAACCGCTAACTCCAGACTGATGCTTTTCCCTTCCACTTTCGAGAAGATCGCTCGTAGCGCCACGTTTCACCTCCCACGATTGCCCCGAAGCCCGCTGAAGAGCATCTAGAAGTTTGTTCTGGGACACTTGAATTGACCGCGCCTTTACATGACGGTTTGCAGTTTCGTCCGGATGCTTCAGAACGCCGACTATAGCCTGCGCGATACCTTCCAACGTTGTTCCGGTAAATTCCACGGTGCCGTCATCGTAAATGACTGCAGAACGCTGTTTGACATCAAATCCCATCAATGGGAAACGTTTAATTGCCTTTGGATCCCGATTAGCATTTTTCAGTCCACGCTACGCAGTCCGTGGAAATCTTACCCAATCGATCGGATTGCCGATAGTAACACCAGTATAAGTAAAGTTGGGATTGGTTTGAGAAAGTTTCTTCGCGTGGTCATAAGCGGCTCTTCTCTGAGTACCGATTTCCCGAAACTCGGGTAGGCTATTGAAATTAGGACCCCATCCGAAGTCGTCGACGATAAAACGCTTGATGCCAGCGGCCTCGGCTGCGTCAATCAAAGCAACCTGGACGTGAAGGCCGCCTGGGCCAATGACGGAAACTGCCGCGTCTTGGCCCGTCAATGCTGTGGTCAGCTTCTCGACCGTGTACTCTGTCCTTATGACCGGAATTCCATCAGGAAAAGTTGAGTCAGATTCAATGCGAGTGATGATAGTCACTTGGAAACCTGCTGTCACAAGCGCGGCCGTGATGGGTGTGCCGAAGTTACCCGCTGCCTATATCTGGTTAGTTAAGGTGGACAGTGCGATTTCCAAGAAGAGGGGATCCATGAATGGTTTCATAGCTCCAATCTTTAGGGGGATACAACCACTTACACCAAAGACGGCGACCTTCTTGATAACCGACATCTTATATGAAATTCTTTGAAGAATAATTGCCAGCTAACATAGAAGAAAGAATATAGGCATATAGACGCCTATATATAATGGAGGCCTAAGCGGGCTCGGAATTAAAACCCGATATTGATCGGGATTCAGTCCCCATGATTTATAATCTCATCCTGGGTCTTGCATCTTGGAGGAATATCAATAGCGAGGGCTGCTTGATTTCGTCGGTTGTTCTATCAAGGAATATACTGGTCCTGGAGAATGAGTGGTAGAGGTAGGTATTATTGTGGCTAAGAGCTGGGCGTTCCAAGGTTATATTAATAGACAATTTGGGTTTGGTCGTTTCGTTCCCGTTGCGCCTGCGCGTGACTTTATCAGAACGGCGACAATGTCGCAGGTTATGAACTCAAAAAAAAAAAACCAGCTCATAATATTTATGTGTAGGACTTTATGTGTAGGACAACCTCCATTATGATATCATTGTAACACAGGGATTCCCCTTTTTCCAGGGGTATTCGGGTGTGCTTAAGTAATGCAAACAGCCGAATTTAGATTGGCGCGTTTTACCCCACATTCAGCTCCGAGATGACAACTCTCCAATCATCGATATTCCGCGCGCTCAGCTGTTCTATCGTTTCATTTACACATCACGGCCTCACAATCGAATCTTCGAAGCTAGTACTTCGTTCCGGGTGGATGTGATGGCGAGTTGAGGTCCCGTGCATGTGTCTTTATATCTCTATACACTGCCTCCTCCTCAACGAGTCATCTGTTCGGAAAGCTTGGCCTCGGATCTGGATCCTATAAAGCCATTCCGCGCGATTTTGAGTCTTGATGTCCGGCTAAACTGCCATTGGATATCAGCATTCATTAAAATCATGATTTGAATTTCAGCATCGATATCTAGTAGATTTGTATTCCTGTCCCTTATTTTCCCTTATTTCTCTTAAGTCAATAGAGGTCAACATGGCTCCGTCGTTCGTCCGCGCCATATCTCTCATCTTTGTCCTCGCTCTCAGTAGTATTGCCTACAAACTATCCGATACAGGCGTTGGCAGAGCGTCGCTGTTGCAGGAATGTCCAATATTCTTCACTACAACCAAGAAATGCGACCCAATTGCGCCGAAAAGTTTCCTGCCTGCCAATGTAATGAACATCGCAAAGAATAAGGACGAGGACAAGGACGGTGGATCACACTCGCCAAACCTCAATGTTCTAGCAGATGTCCTGGAGAGCATGGAGGTCATGCAAACTGAATATTTCGCTCCATGGCTCGGAACATGGCCTGACGCGATCGACTGGACGGCTGCCGTTATGGGAACTCATGTTTCGGGCGCTGTGCGCAGCCTTTCCGAAGCTCTAGCACACCTTAACTCGAAATGGGAAAAGTTCGTGGATTGGAAGTTACAGACGAATCTGGTCGACAAGTATTTCACCCAGATTACGGCTTACTATTTTGGACAAGACGCTTTTGCGATCCGAAATGAGGCGTATGACGATATCCTCTGGGTGGTACTCGGCTGGCTCGAGGCCATCCAGCTTGTGAACGTTCATACCGACTTACATTTCAGGTCGGATTTCCAAGACGAAGTCTCTATCCCTGAGGCGAATAGTTTCCCGAGGCTTGCAGATTTCTTTCTAAACCAGACATATCATGGAAATGTATGGATTCCCGCCTTTGCTCACCGCGCTCGTGTATTCTGGGAGCTAGCGTCTGTTGGATGGGACACAAAGCTGTGTGGCGGAGGTATGGTGTGGAACCCGCGTCTTCTGCCATATAAAAACGCAATTACGAACGAACTATTCATTGCGGCATCTATATCAATGTATCTAAACTTCCCTGGCGATGATAATCCGTCGCCTTTCTATGGTTCGAGAGATACCAGTGGTACCGCTCCTCACACACGCAGTGGGCCGAGAGATGCAAGATATCTTAAAGCTGCTGTGGAAGGCTACAAATGGCTCGTCAGTTCTAACATGACTGATGAACAGGGCCTGTACACAGATGGCTTTCACATCAGCGGGTATCAAGACACGGGTAACAACAACACAAAATGCGACGAACGGAACGAAATGGTCTTATCATACAACCAAGGCGTCCTTCTCACTGGCCTCCGTGGACTCTGGGACGCGACGGGTGCTTCGTCTTATCTTTCGGATGGCCACAAGCTAATCCAGAACGTGATCAGAGCAAGCGGGTACAACCTCGCCTCAGACTCGCCCATCGAGGACCTCCTGACTCTGAAACCAGGCCACCTCCCGAAATGGCATGGTCTCGGTCGTGCAGGCGTCATGGAGGACCCCTGTGATGCAAGCGGGACCTGTAGCCAGGATGGACAGACCTTCAAGGGCATCTTCTTCCATCACTTGACCAGCTTCTGCGCGCCCCTCGTTGAGCCGTTCCCAACCCCCGATCCCGAAATCAAGGTCGATGCCCGCGCCTTCACAGCTGCTCGCGACTCGCACGCCGGGGCCTGTGCTGCGTACGGTGGGTGGCTGAAGCACAACGCGCGCGCGGCGCTGGCTACCCGCAAAGACGGGAAGTTCGGGCAGTGGTGGACAGCTGGGCTGCTAGATCACTGGGTCGGACCATGGCCTACCATGGAAGATGATGGGATACCGCGTGCGTCGAACAAAGTCGATTACCGCAACTACGGTGTGCCGAACGACACAACGTGGCGGGCGCAACCCGGCTTTATGATGCCCTCTGTAAATCCGGATCAAGCGCAAAAACCGCTATTCGTCATAGACGACGATAGGCGAATAGGCGAGCTCAAGAAGCGACAGGAAATCCAAGTCAATGAAGCGGGGGGTAACGCGACAGACCCGAATACGCGCGGGCGCGGTAGGACGGTTGAGACCCAGGGCGGCGGACTGGCGCTTATGAGGGCTTATTGGCAGATTGTGCATGCGCCTTAATCGGGCAGCGATGCACGATCGGTGATTCAGCCTATCGGGGTTGGATAGAACAGCATCATTGGCATATGTTGGCGCTCGATTATACGTACATCGTGTAAAAGATATGGTTTCAAGGGCTGTCTAGATCTAGAAAGGGCAGCTATGTAAGTTGGGGTGACATTCGCATTTTCAGAGCATGTATAACATATATAGGGACGGAAAGGATACGCCGATTTTTATGGCGATTTATACATACGTACATAGCAGAGAGGCACCTATATATATGAGCAAGAAAGGGGACATCTGGATATATATACAGCTAGACAGAGCTAGGAAACCCGATTTCTTCTACTCAGATAGAGTACAATCACTTGGACTAGAAGCACCCAGTATCCAGCCTTCGTTGACCCCTTACATATCACCCTCAGAAACGGCGTAAACTTTAGAATCTGACATACAAAGCGCTTTGTAGGTATGTGTCGTATATTAGTATCAACCCCCAGCAATTAATACTCAATAAACAAGAACACACCTTCCTACCTACCTAGATAAACAACGTATCCCAAAAAGCCAAGAAGAGCACAAGTCAATTCACTAACCGCCCATTCGAATATAATTGATTCCGAGACTTGATGTAATAAACCAATTAACTCCCATCACACGTAAAACCGTGACGCCTTCATCCGTTATGCGTTGAGCCTAGCCTAGCCTACCTAGCCTTACAGTACTACAGTACAGTTGGATACAACCTCCCTCCCTTCCTCCTCCCATCCTATCTTCGCGGTCAGACCCTCAAACACGACGACGATGTGTTGTAACAGAGATCCATCTCTTCCCGTTGAAGTCATCCACCCCATCCACCCTTCCTTAAGCACGGACGGATATTAAGCTCTACACACTCCACCTAACTTCGCACTTAGTTATCCCGCCACTCGCTACCGTTACTAACACCACTAGCGTTCCTACCGTGCGCCGCCCCCGGCGCCGGCTCCGGCAACCCTTCATCATCGGAGTCTTCTTCTTCCGACGACTCTTCATCGTCAAGCACGCGAGCAAGCTCATCCGGGTCCCGCATCCGCGCATCCGGCGCCGCGTCATTGAACTCGTCATCATCGTCATCGCTATCATGACGTCTCACGCCCTCCTCCTGAGCCTCGTGGACGCCCTCGTCGGCACTAATCGAGATCCCCCTAGCACCCCACTTACTCCTCCGCTGGCCTCCCACACCCGCACCCGCACCCCCCGCCCCATTCCTCCCTAGCGCAGGCGCGCTCTCCTCATCATCCGTATCAGCAGCTTGAAACCTCTTATTTCCGAAAATACGATTAAGCAGCCAGCCGCGGCGGATATCGTCTGCGTCGACGAGGCCGCCGGCACGCAGCTTGACGCGCTGGCGCGTGTAGTACACCCAGAAGAAATCGACGTACAGCGCCGTCTGCACGACGCCGAAGATGATCTGGACGGCGCCGGCGCCGGAGTCCGACGGGTCGATACCCCGCACGATCCAGTTAAGAATGTAGAGCGCGCGGTAGGAGCCTAGGGCTAGGAGGTAGAAGGAGTCGATGACGGTGGGGACGGTGGTTTGGCGGAGGAGGAGGAGCTGTGGGAGGACGCAGACGGATTCGAGGATTAGGGAGAAGTCGTACATCCACTGTTAAGGGGGCTGGTTAGCTTGTTGAAGGTGTGGAGGATTGGGGTGCTTGGGGGAAGGGAAAGGGGGAGGGGTATGTGGACTGACCCTGAAGAAACCCCATAGATCACCTTTGTCGAATATCAACATGGTGAAGGGGGAGATGAACAACGATCCCATCAGGACCACGGCGCCGAGCTTCCATGATATCTCGCGTTCCCTGGTGCGCGGAAACAGCCATCGCATAATAATTAGGATGTAGAAGGACGAGACGATATAGAATAGCTTGAAGAAAAAGTTCCAGTTCGATCTCTCGTGGAAGAAATCCGTGTATCTCGTGCAGAAGACGATCGCGTAGAAGACTTGGGTGATGAAAGAGACGCCTTGAGTCGTATGTTAGTTGACGTAAGCTTCGGGGTGAAGTTGAGGTAAGGGTTACGTACCTTCAGCGCTCCGGTTGCGATGGATCGCGAAGATTAGGATGCATTTCGATAGCAGATGAGAGCAATCTGCTAGTATTCGAAATATCTGTAAACCAAGCCTTGTCAGTTCGATGTTGTAAATAATAGAGCGAAATAGCTGTGGTAACTAACATTCCATGCAGTCATCTTGATAAATCGCTCCGGTTGGAGCTATCCCAGCTCTGAACACAGAAGGGTGGAGTTTCAAACGTTATCCCGGCGGCCCTGATTCAACAGCTCAGAGCCGCAGAAGCAGCTTTAGTCTGGTGGTTGGAATGGTAATACTCGAGCTACTCAAGGTAACTCTAGCGTACACGTCGGTCGGAAGTCGGGAAATAAGGATATGAGTTTATAATGTATTCGATTAAACGGCTGCCTGTGAGCTGAGAATCTGAAATGTGTCGCGGAAAGGTCATGCACGACGATGACGGCCACCCATTACGTGTATACAGGAGTGGGTCGAACAAGGTTACAGCATGGTAACGGCACAGCGGCGCCGCATGTGGACGCTAGCTCGAAGCTTGCGCACTGACGTTTTATCTGTTATCTGTGGCTGTTGCTTCGTACCAGCCACAGAAACATGCTGATATCTTATCTAAGCACTGCATCACGCCACAAATCCGTTTTCGCTAGACTTAGATGATCCGACTCCATTCACAGCTTCAAACATAATATTGAGAGTAACACTATCACGAGCCTTAACTAGTCGGAAGTCTTCCGTGAAGAATTTTTACTAATATATAAGCTCCGTTCGCAGTCGAGCATCAGCTCAAACTCGGCTACCTGGTCTCCTCCTTCGCACATCTTGCTCTCGAAAGCAAGAGGAAATTACTCCCCGTAATTCTGTCCTTGTCTAGACTTAGACGTAACAGAGCCGTCCTATATATTGGCTGAGTATAGTTTTCTCGATTAATATACATCTCCTTAGTGAGTAGTTTAGAGCTCCTCGCGCATCAATGAATCCCTTAGCTAGACGCTCCTGGATGATGCTGTAGAAGCTTCCAAAGCATTCCATAAACCAGAGATACATATATGACGGAGGTGGCTGAGACATCCGGACCTCAGATTCTCCGGGTATATGTCCAAAAAACCAGACAACCTTGGAAACAAGACCCGCTGACTAAGTCTCTCATTTATCTACAACACCGCTATATAGATGAAGTTTATGCGTCGTTTATTATCATCATCGGCGACAGGGCCATGAAGAGGCAGGATTGCGATACCAATTCCAAAGTCGCCATTAACTTCCATTTAGGAATTCGAGTAAATACCATAAGCCGCGTTAATATCGCCGGGAAGAGCGTGATAAGATTCGATTGTTGACATATCTGATTAGGGCCAGACTAGAACATCATTCGTCATCAAGGTCGATTTCGACGACAAGTTCCTTAAGGTCTAAGGGATTTGGGGGAGACTCGATTATCGGGATTGAAGCGTCGCGAGCCCCAAGAAAACTGTTCCACTGCGACAAACTCTCAAAAGGAGCCTCGTGAGGAGTGTAGGGGAGAGAGACGTCCCCTAGATCATAGGTCAAAATATCCGTAAATGATACCCCAGTCCTTGCTTTCCAGCTCTTGCTCAACAGATCCATGTATTCTTTGTTTTGTGGAGGATTGGAGTCTGGATTAGGGTGTATGACTGTATCGGGCTCCCAGAAATCAGCTAATCCCACGCATCGAATCGACAACCAGGACCAGACCTTCTAAGCCCCTTTCCGATTGCAGGTTTCGATGAATTTAGATGTCCCCGCGCGCATAAGGCACTCTTTCTCGACGCAAGCTGAACAAGGCTTATTCAGGAAGCCAGTCGAAAGTCGCACGGCCAATGCATGCTTTCGATCTGTCAGATACAGCCACTTCCATAAAATTGAGTTGAACTCGAATTCGATCCCTTCAATTCCGAATACAACGTTGTCCACGTTCTCATACTCGTTATTCTTTCTTGTAAAGTATATGGGCATGTTGCAAAGGTTGCAGTAGGGGATACGCAAAGTGACGTGACGATGAGGTATCTCGCTTAGCCTCGCTGCCCAGTTGTTATATTCGTAGCTCTCTTTCGTCCATTCTTCCACGTCTTCCTCTCCATCGAGTCTCATCCCTCGAAGCTTCGGACAGATTAGACCAACTTGTTCGTCATCGCGGCAGCAAACGAGGGTACACACCTCACACAGCTGGCTAAGGAGAGATAGGGGCCGAATTGGCGGCCAAGCAAAGTCCGGACAATGTGTTATTAAGTTTGAATTGTTATAGTTCTTGGGACCTGTCGCTTTTTCGAGGCATACTTGCTTGATATTGTCGCATATGCGAATTCCATAATCATCTATGGTACCACATCTTGGACAGAGAAGGCTCGTTAAGACACACATGGATTGAAGTGATAAGGAAGGACCAATCTTCCTTATGGCCTAATGAATCACGAGTCGATGTTTTGACTTAGATCTGATTCAAATGGGCCTTCGAATTTGGAATTTGGCGAGGGTAACTTATGTAACGACGCCAGTGGAGACAGGAATGAGACCTGTGCTGATGATGTGAGTGGTGTCAAGTAAGTATCGGAGAAACTTGAGTAGAGAACAAATACTGTGAATGAGAATCGTCCATGAATGATTGGCAGGTCCAATAACAGCAACCACCGGAGATCTTCCAGAATAGCCACACGCAGATGACGTTGTTTTCTGCGATAAATCTATTGTTATGAGCCGTATAGTAGTAGCGAAATGTGATGATAATAGAAGCTGATGGTGAACAATGAGCCAGTGGTGGGATAAAAGATGATAATCAATTTTTTTTTAAAAAAAAGAAGCATAGGATAGCCAGTGTTAGGTAATGCTGGTGTTATTGAGCTGTGAACGCCCTTTAATATACGATGGTGTCGATTCACTCAGCTAAGTTGATATTAAGTGATGAGAGAGGTGGAATATTCTATTGTTTAGAACGGGGATGGGTTGATATTTATCTATAATCCGAGGCTTCAGCACACCTGCCCCCCAAGGTCGTGCACGGATCTATGACTACATATGTACAGCAACTTATTTGACTCATCAAGGACGTGTTCATGATGTGTACAAACCCATCGGCTGTATGTCAACCTACACGGCGAGTATCTAAACAGCGCATCATGTCACTTGACCAACACTCTAACACCGAAACAGCATTCAGAGTGAACTTAGATAGCAAAGGTTTTATGGGATAGTTACATAAAAACTTTGGAAACTAGGTAAGTATGTGAACGTTAATGTCTGATATGTCAGTGAATAGGGGAGCTATAAGTACATCTATGACGCCATCTGGTAGATTATAACGAGATAGTTGCGCAAATTATATAGTTTGCGCATATAACGGATCGCACTTGTATTCGGCATAGAGTTATCACATGTGGTATGATCTATAGCTTCATAGAGAAAGCTGCTAGTGTATCGCAAAGTAATTCACTTTAAAGTAAGATGCTTGCTGCAATTTGGTTATGTGGACGCTTACTTAGGGTTGGCAGAGTAATCAGATCATACTCAGCCAGGGGTTTATAAACCTGAGCCAACTGGAAAATTAGAAAAATTGTCAGGTCTTATTATTATAGATGCAGCTAGTTAAATGAGTTATGGTTTTAATATACTAGAATCTTTGTCTTAAATAACGAGGTGAGTGAGTCGGTGACAGATCTAGGAGTATCGCTATGTTTGGCCTGATCCGCCTGCTGAGCAACTCAATCCAACCATAATACGTAGAAACAATATGGAAGGTATGGAACCAATTTTGATACTAACATTAATAGAAATGATAACCTAGAAAGTATATCCTGGAGCTCTAGTATTATATGGACGAGGTAAAGACATTGACTCGGCACCATCGTGGCTTTACTTATGAGCAGGGGTACATCCCATGTGAATCCAAGCTGAATGATAGAGAGCAACCGGGGACAGTAGGTCCTTGCATTAGCGTGGTTTAGTCATCGTAGCCAAATACATACTAAATAATCATCATAGAGTCCGTAAGTATGGAATCCTTCAGCGCCAAGGACTCGCATAGTGCAGCGGGAGGATCGCTAGGTTCGGCATGCTTGAAAATCCGGGGTCACCATTAGAATCAGTCCCTTGTTCCTCCGAGTCAAAGGCGTCGACCCAGGTGTCGGCAGACAAAAGGCCTTAACTAGCCAATAACGCCATGAACACAATGCTTATACCGACTACCTTTGTTGGCGATATACCCAACCTTAAAAGTGGCAAGAGAACTTTAAACCAATCAGAGATTTCTTCAGTTAGGTATATTATCTCCGTATATTGATGGAGGGAGTTCCTAAGACTTGGCGACGGTCCCGTTTATGAACCTATTGTAGTAATCAGCACCGCGGGTAAGGATATCTACCTCCGTCTTTAGGAAAGCGATGATGAAGGGAATACTTCCCATTTATAATTAGGATTAAACTTATCAAGATGTGAATTGTATTTCCCAAACGCATGTGAAGGCCTGTCCTTGTCCCCCCTAGACAGCTTAACTTTGGATCTGAACATCTTATGAGATGACGCATTCCCTCGCCTGGGAGGTCCTTTATTATTAGCGGGCGGGGTCCACGCTCTGGAGCTCCTTTGAAAATTCTCCTTGTCAACGACAACACAGTCTCTCGAGATGGATCCTCATCATGATGTACCAAATTTGGGACCCAACCTGATGGTTGGATTGTGGCTTTGTTGTTCGTTGGCCTGTGTATTCTTATCTCTGCGGGTATACTGCAAGTTTAAGCGGCATGTCTCGCTGCAATATGATGACTACCTGCTCATCATCTCTTGGGTAAAGATCATTAGCGGTATAATCTTAGGTCTCCTACTAATGTAGTTCTTTAGGTCGTCCAATTGGTTTGCAACGTTTTGGTCAGCATCAACGTAGCGGTGGGGTTCGGGAAACACACAAAAGATGCGGTTCTGGAGTATGGTCCTGGAAACCAGGTTGCTGTGACTTTAAGAGAAACCATAGTTGGTTTCTTGCTAACATTGGCAATCTCGTGGAGTAAAACATCTTTCGCGGTTACCCTACTGCGCATTATGCGAGGGAAAATGAAGGTGTTTCTTTGGGTGATCATTGTTTCTATGAATGTTTCGATGACACTTGGGGCACTAGCCCTCTTTCTTCAATGTTCTCCTGTGGCGAAATCTTGGGATGAAACTATTCCCGGTGTCTGTCGGCACGACTTCAGCAGGATCACTGGCATGTTCTCTTCGGCATATTCGGCCTTGATGGATTTTGTCCTTGCGCTACTTCCAGTGAGAGAACCCCTTAGTTAAAGGCTCTCTAAGGATGGGCTCACGCTGACTTCGATCTTGTAGTGGCCACTTATCTGGCATCTTAAAATGAAAACTAAGGAGAGAGTTGGAGTAGCGGTTGCTATGAGTATGGGGATGTGGTGAGTATCTATATTCCTAGGTAGTTAGGTTTCAGATGCTGACTTCCTTTAGTGCTGGTGCCACCGCAATCGTGAAGTGCTACTACCTACAGAGACCTCATGGCGAGGACTTCTTTTGTAAGTCGCCACTAAAACTAGTCAATGAAATGTACACAACACTCATATTTAATAGATGAGGGAGGTAATCTGGTCATTTGGGGTAGCGCTGAGGTTGCTACAACCATCATGGCCGCTTCTATCCCAGTTCTTCGAGTGTTTATACGCGATATCAGGGAATCGGTTGCTTGGGTTCGCGATACGGGATCAGTTAGGGGCGCGTTGAGATCACTAGGGCGGAGGTCAAGACGAATAAGTGGCCAAACTCCTTTTGCTGGTCAACGGCCGCGGATGTTGCGATATTCGAATGATCAAGAGAGCCACAAGACTGCTTTGAGCTGGGCCGGTTCCGGAGGGATCACGAGAACCCAAGAGGTGCACATCAGCTTTGACATTCGAAATACCGTACACTTTGACGACGGATTCGATCCAGACGGCTTTGGGCACGATTTGGATAGGATAGAATTCGGAAGAGCTGTATAGCTTTATAGACTCCTATTGCAAGATTGTATCGAGGCCGTGGTCCATGCTTGAATGATTCGTACTGTGGGTCGTCTGATCCTATCTGACGCTAGATCGAGTTTCTCTAAGAATATCAATCCTGCCTACCTAGTAGGTAGTCGAAAATTTCATAATCTCATAGCTTAGGAAGCTAGATTTCTGCAATTTCTTAAACTGAAAGCAGAAGTTTGACGTTGAAGAAATTTGACTCTCAATTGGCTGCTTTAGATTCGGATAAAATAACGATAAGCCGGTGCTGCCAGCTGCTCGCCAGGTGTGCTCCAAATAGCCACACTCTCCTTATCGGTTATCGGAAGTTAATTGTGGCGCGTATCCAGACGCGACTGACACCTACGTCAACATCACTGGGTATTATCTTCATACAACATTTTATAATATGATATTGGATTCGGTGTAGGTCAGAACGTAGCTTGCTAAAGCTATACCATCAATTCAAATCATACTTCAACATGGCTACCAGTAAGTAGAGATAGCAATTGTCATCGGATATGTACTTTGTACTAATACTGGAAATCAGGCCGTGAGGAGCGCATGCAACAGCGCATGCGTGGGGCTGGGTATGTATCGTCGATATAGGTCTTGGTGTCCTCTTGGTGTCCTCTCTAACAACCTGTCACGTAGACGTCACGAAGTTGCCGACGACTCATTCGGTTTCGTCCTCCCCGGTCTTGAGGAACCTCCTGCTCCCTCCTCGACCCCACCACCACCGCAATCCGTACCACAATCCGCGCCACGATCAGAGCCCAATACTTCTGCGAAGCGACGGCGGTTGAATCCTGAGGCTGGCTCACCAAGCTCACAGCCAACATCTAGCACAACTAGATCGTCGAGAAGAATATCTGCACAATATAACGAAGCTAGAGCCGACCCTTATGACGTTATCCGAGAACCCAGTCCAGAACTTCGCTCAGAACCGCCTTTAGAACCCCAGACAGATCCGGATCCAGCACCTTCAGAGCCACCGAATGAAGAGGAGCCATTGGAAGAATCCTTACCAGCGACAATACAGCATCAAGGATCGCATGTGTCTCCAGTTTCTCCGATATTTACAGGCGTCGTAGATGAGGAAGTCACCGAAAGTCCAGCCGAAGCCCCAGGAAGTGGTCAAAGACGCTCTATTAGAGTCACCGAAAGCATTTCTCGAAGCGCTAGATTACTAAGAACCGTAATAGATGACGATAACGGCGTTACAGATGAGTTCACTGTGTCATCACCTCTAGCGCGCAAGAGTAGGATTAGCGGTGCCACCTTAGGTGCAGCTTCGGCGCGATCAACGCGAACAGGTGTGAGGGCATCGGTAGCTTTTACAAACGACGATGGCGAAGAGACGACGCCGATTGCTCCCGCCGAATCCGCGCGCACCACACGAAGTCAAAATAGAATCAATACCCCTAGTACGGTAGATGCGCTATCTTCACCTCCCGAGGCTGCAGGTACTGCTAGTCCCAGAAAACCTAAGCTAAGGAAGCCTAAGTCTCCCATCAGGCCACCTGAACCAGTGCAAGAGGTTGAAGAAGAGGTCCAAGAAGAGGAGGTAGAAGAAGTAGAAGAAGCCGAGCCCGATAATAATGAACCTGCTGAAGAAATCGACGTTCAAACAGCAGCCCGAAAGATCGGTCGAAAACGTCCGCGGGTTAGTTTGCCTCGAGAAGAGTCTCCGGAGCTGCATACTAGAGCCACCGAGGAGACTCGTCCAAGAAAGAAAAGCAGACAACAAAGAGTGCAAAATAGCCCGGCAGTACAATCACAACCCAAGCCTCCCAAGGCTAAAAAGAATAAGGCAGCTCCGCGACGACGAAGCGATGGTGAAGCGATCCCAATTATCGTACAAAGATACACAAAACGAACGCACCAAAATGAAGGTGACACCGACGCAGATATTCTCAATGCCGAGATTCCATTCGCCAACCGCGGGGGCGTCAACGTGATCGACGTGCTTTCGCAAATATGCGACGAAGTCATCGAATCGAGTTTGGAGACATTACAAGAGGCGGCTATTAACGCGAAGGACGCACAGACGAAGAGGGAATTTAGGACAAAATTACGAGCTTTAGAGGCATTTCAAGAGGAGCTGCGAACGAGGCTTCTAGAACACGTAAGTCACTACAATAAAATTTAAGTATGAATATCAATTAATATCGATATTTAGACCATCGCTCTCGACACCATGCACGCGCTTAAGAAGCGTGTGCGGTCAGTCCAAAAAGAGAAACTTACGCTTCGAACGGAAATAATGCGGATCCGCGCGGAGAGAGAGCAGGTAGCTTTAAAGATGGATGCGGTGAGGGTCCGTCACGAAACAGCAAATAGAGAATCACTAGTATGTCTATCTACAATCATAAGCCTAGCATTTTACTAACATCGTACTAGCATCAACTAGGACTTTCCTCTGCGATGGACGATATTGAGTTAGCTATCGAGAATGGAAGATCGGCTCCAGACCTCAACCCGAAAGCACAGAAGGCAGCTGAGTTAGCGAATCTAGAGCTGTTGATTTCGAGAGTGGTTGGCCAGGCGAGTGTTGCTAGTGACGGAGGGGGAAATCTGAAGCAGATCAAAGACTTCAATGCTTTGCTCGAACGTACTGCGGCTGTTCTTGAGCGAAGATGATGGATGAACAAAGTAGAGGGAACCAATCGGCCCTAATAGTATTCTAGCAGAAAGTTATTCTCTGCCTTTACTGGACAGAGATACTTAGAGCCGATTCTGGGATTGGAGCCCGTTATTAAGATGAACATAAGTGGCTTAATATGAACACCACGCCTGGAAGCATCCCCAAACGTTGTTTTTCAACCAAACCTCAAACCCCTAGTAAAGACCAAGACCTTAGCAGGCTTAGCATATCTAGAGACTCCTTCCATATCATCTGGGTAGGCGTACAGCAGCATCCTGCGCGTCATCCAGAATAACAAGACCCGTACCGATCTAACAAACTGGATGTTAAACAGCAATTTTCGAAGAGAATATTCCAGGATACCTAGACATGTTTTCAAGGAATCTGGACGACACGTGCTGTTTGTGGGGTTCATCCTCATCTTCGTTCTCGCTTTCAGCCTTGTTAAGCCTTGGCGACAAGGAGGATTCATGTTGGTCTTGGTATTGATGGATGGGAGACTTGGCTCCCTAAAATGACCATAATGGCTGTAAACGCCGAGCCATTGCGACCTTGAAGTTATAATTAAAGAAGAAACAGCGCCACAACCCATAAAAATAATGTCTTCAGTATGCTTGAGGGGAAACACGTTGAGAAGCGATTCTTCTTTTATTGATAGACTCTATCTGGGACGCATGTCTGGTGAGATGTCATCATTACCTGCGTTGAATGAATGAAATTTCTCCAGATGTCGAAAATGCGGTCGAACTTCTCCATATAAAGTCTCATTTAATTTGGATCGTGCCATACGGCGCAACAGCAGCAGCAGGTCCCGGTTTGCTACGCCTTACTGGAAGCTCTTGGCAACGCGACTCAGCCAGCTGCAATAGCCAACTGCGTTGTATGGGGTAGCTGTGACCGCATATCAATCGATATTTACGGCTCATGCAGAAGGCAGCAATTAGTTATCTTTTAGAGGAAATTTTGATTCACCTTCTTTTATTCATTTCATCGTCTCTCTTTAATTTCTCAAGTTTTTTTCTCTTTTGTTCTTCGACAGGTATTTACCCTTCACCGACCAACCTATTCCTATCATCGCAAACCACAGAAGCATTTTTCCACCCGACGTCATGGCGAGACACAACTACCCGTACAAGAAGAGCGTCACCGTTACCGTTTGGGTTATCCAATTCATCGTCTGCTTAATCCTCCTAGCTGCATCGTCATGGATAATATGGCTTATAGCATCGAACAACCGTCCTAAAAACTTTAGGGAATGGCGAGGGTTCTTCACGTAAGCGTTTCTCCCATAGGAAAACAGGGAAAGGAGTTTGACGGCAAAGGAGAGAGAAGCTCTAGCTAACATTGTAATGAAACCATAGCGCCGCTGCTGGCCTCCAGATCGGCATCGTCTCCGTGAATATTATAATGAACATCGTCGAGATCGTCCTGATTGCGAAGAAGCGAATGCCGCCGGCACTATTTCTGACGAACGCATGCCTCAAGTCCGCAATCTGGGGTATCCTTTTCATTCTAAACGTCCTCTCGGTGTCGCTTATCGCCATAGTTTTAACCTTAATTCTCTTGTACGTACTGCCTACCCAGATTCATTTGAACCATCGGCAGAATTAGATAAACGACCATATAACTGACACCTACTTATAGCTTGACATCCATGGTCCAACTTGTCCACGCAGCCATCATCGTCCACCGCAAACGTCACGGTTTCTATGAAGGCGGTGAATACTCCCGCGCCTCAAACCCAGTCGACCTCATGTCGGGCATGGCTGTCGGCGTGGAGACACAGTCCGGATACCTCAACGAGAACGTCAATACGGAGTACAAGACGCCGTTGGTGGAACCGCCGGAGTACGGAAACACAACTATGGCATACTCCCCGCGTCAGCCCAGCCCCTTGTACGAGCTAGACAACCGGGACCGGAACTAGGACCTCTCGTCGGTGACTTATGAGACAATCACATTGGTCTGACGGACGGGTTGAAGGATTGCATTGCGTCGAAAGCGGGAGAGGACTGGACAAGGACCGGATTTTGATCTTTCCACTGTGCGACTGTGTTTTGTGCATATTATTTCTTGCCTGGGGGGTGGATGTGGACATATAAAGGCGGTTAAGAGAATTGTTGATAGACATTAATACCGTACATCGCGTACATCGCGTACACTGCGAGAAGGGGGCTCACCTAAGCCCTTATAACTGACTGCAGCTCTTCATGTCATCCGAGTACGAGCTGGACTGTTTCATACGTCAATGATAGTCACTTAACCATGCTGAATGTTGCCAGGTTGGTAAGATCATCGCTTATGGGAGCAGTGTGATTTATGTTTCCAGTGGAATGTGTAGGTCTCAAAAGAACCCCATCTCGTCCGGTTCTCTTTTTGAAACTGAGGCGCGGTATCGTGCTTGTACTCAAGTACCCTCAAGAAATTAGTTAGCCCGAGTTTAGCCGACACGGAACTCGGCAAGAAGGAAGAACTCCGCGTGGTCCAAGCGGTCCAAATATCTGGGGCATCTAAGCCATCAAAGCTTCCCAAGGTTCGGCCAAAGCTTGTCTCTGGGAAGCTACCGAACCCTTCCTTTTTTGGGAAGGGAATTGCATTTTTATATTAGAAGGACCTCTAGCAGCGAAATCTAGCCCTACATAGCTAACCCATCCACTCCGCCCCTCCCAGCCTCTTTTTACTAGAATCTAGCCCTTCTCCAACATCTGTCAGTTCTGTTTACTTACGTCGTTGATATAGATCGACATACGGAAGCACCTAGGCAGTTAGAATTGCCGGAACTTACCTAAGCTATCGAAAATAGTGCATAAACATCCAGATATTAACGTACGACGTCGGGCTTGTCTTTTGTTGGTTAGGACGCTTGCATTATGGAGTGGTGGGAATGACACATGGGATAGTTAGTATGTTTCATACGGACGAACAACAAGATTTCCAAGTTCAAATACGATCAAGGAGGGCATAGCCACTGTCACTGTCCTTGATATTATATGTTCTTCCAATTGAGTTATTTATCACAGAGATTATCGTCAATTATCATAGTTACATCCGCGGTAAGAGTTCTAGATATCAATTGAATGCTTGTACGTCCGTAGGGCTATGCTATGTACCTACATATGCCGCGTACCGCTTTAAGATAGCTTGTTCGTATACGCCGTATATACAATATATGGGCGCTTGGATATAAGCGGACTGGCCGACAGATAGATCATGAAAGCTTAGCTTCATTGGGATTGAAAACCGCCGGCCTCTAGAGCGCAGCAGAACAACTATTTCCCGTATCGAAGTACCTAGATCGTCGTCGTGGGGAAATGATTGGCTACCTGCAAGCTGTAACCCCATCTGAACCATCCACTTCATGTAGGTACTGTGTACCTAGGTATCTCTAAGGTATCATGCATTAGCAAAATATGAGCAGTATCAAATACAGAGCGCCACAATTTACGTCGCAAGCAGCTTACGACTTGAAATGATGACCGCCAACCGAGAGCTTGTCTTTACCTAGGTACATTGAAAAATTTGACGTTGTATGTTTAAAGTCTTCGTGATCATAAGTTCTGGATCAATGTTGATGTGGACTTGCACCACGTACGGCAATCACATACTACGTAGTTGCCAGGTAGGAAGTGAGTCAGGTAGTACGAATTGACAACATTCACGGGGGATCTTCAATCCCAATGGGTCCTTCCAAACAACTTCGATAACAAGCCTTTTACAAGCTTTTGTGGCTTGCAGTAGGCTGGGTCCCGTGTTGTTTCCAATCAAACTGAGGACCGGGGTTCCATACAAGCCCTTACAACTTTTCTTCCAGGAAGTCTCCTAGTCCCTACCAAAACTTGTCTGCCTGTTAAGGTTCTGGGGTCAGGTATGCCCCTGTTTACAGTTACCTAGGCACGTAGGAGGCAGGTACGTTGCTCGTACCCCCAAGCCCCAGGAACACAAGGGCAATCGGCAATCACGATAGACATTAGACGATTGGATGGAAGGTAGGATGGGATATGCATTGGGCTGCCTCCCATAGTGATCCTGCCGTTATATCCGCCGAATAGATAAAGAGATCACTCCCCCCTCCCCAACTTCGATGAAATAGAAGAAGTCCTCACCGCTCTTGTCTTCTACTCGTATTTCTCTCTCGCCATAGTCGCCCATTTCAGACTCTTGTCAAAGTCATTCTCTTCGTAACCCAAACGAAAACAATCTCTCAAACTCATCAAAATGCCTGCCCCCCAAGAGCCCCAGCAGCAAGCTCCCATGGAGATGACCTCCAACACCGGCATCGTTACTCAGCAGCCTGTAAGTTCTTTTTCGTCCTTGTTTGCTCTGCGTGAGTAGCAAATCAAACATAAGCAGCCCAATTGACACTGTCGTTACACAGTCCGCTGAACCCCAACCGGATATGGGCAACCTCCGTGGTGGTGAGGAGGCCGGCTGTGAGATCTGCTGTGGTCTCTGCGCCTGCGACGAGGGCTGCTGCTAAATGCAGTCGACCATTGACGACATCCCCATTGCTATCGCTTTGAAATTGTCCGCAATGTGGTGGAACGAGCATCACATCATCATACCTGGCTCGTTACCAACTCATCGCACAAACGACTCATACCCCGCATCCAATTACCACACAGTCGTTGCACGGAGACATTTGGCGATAACACGGCATTCGGGGTCGATTATGAGTGAACGGTTCGGTGGACGAAATGAGTTTATGTCTTAAGTAGTGAGATTTGCTTTCGCTCGATAGAAATCCTTCAATGAACAATACCAAATGATTTTTCAGCCAATGGTTACCACCAGTTCTTAGCTGTTTTCGATATTGCGTGTGCCAAGAAGGCGTTGAGCGATCATGTCGAAACCAAGTTGCTCTGTGTTCGTTATCACCAGTCGCCAGGACGTCTTACAAGACATCTCGCTTGGATATGGGAGATGCTACCAGCGTCTACAGGTAACAATCACATCGAAGAAAGTGAGATGAAGTCAAGATGAATTCTATTTCGGGTCCAACTTGTCGAAATAAGCATTTGTCCAAGACTTGGCGATCTCTTGGCGGCGCATCCCAAGTGCTGTCAAACGGGACCCTGATTTCGCCATCATCCTTTCAGGTACAAGTATGAAGTAATCGTCCATAGATAGGCAGGCTATATTATCGCTGATCCTTCTCGGGAGGATGGGATTGGGATTTTGGGGGGGCAATTGACACGATTCATTCGTCCAATGTTGCACCATTTCCTTCTCATTTGAAACAATTGCCACGAGAATACCACGTTCCTTTTTCTTTTCACTTTCTACACCTGGTTCTCTCAACTTTGATAGGGAAAATACGTGTTCATTGGACTTGTTCTAATCCCTTGCACCTTCATAGAAGAATTCGTTTCTACCAACCTACCTAGTATATCGCATCAAACATCTCGTAAACAAATGAACATATCTACAGCGACCATAACACAAGGATGCGATGGAACGCTGGCGGTGTGAACTAAATGAACCGAGCCAATAAGATCCATCGAGCGGTAGTACTTGAGATATAGGCAACTAATATAAACATTCGCAGCATCCAATCAACGGTTTCCTGGTGTAATGGCTAGCACTGCGGATTCTGATTCCTTCCTGTCGCGCTCGTTAACTTAACGCACGGGTTAGGAGGTGACTTCCGCCAATCTGGGTTCGATTCCCAGGGAGACCTATAGTATTTTACCTTTTACTCTGATATGTTAAGTTATTTTGATTTTTCGGTTTTCCCTGTATTGGTCGGTTGTTAATTTTTTTTGGACTCGGGCTGTATTTTGTAACGTTAAAAATCACAACTTTGGCTGAGTTTTCGTTCCGACAATTTAACGACATGCCCCGCAACGCCTAGAGGGACATTACAGAGCGCCAAGTGCGCTATATCCTACGCAAACCCCCCTAAGCAAAAAGTTTAGGTGGTGCCCGGCGCACCTAATAGGCCGTTGTAGGGGGAAGGCGGGAGGGGGGAGGTCTGCGGGTTAACATACCCTATTCCAACGATTTAGCTTATTTCATTCAATTAGAGTTTCTTCTCATCAAAACGTATGTAGTATACACACATAAGTGTTCAACAGCAATAACTATGATACAATCGCATCCAGTAAATCGGTAACTGGATGTAGGCGTCAGATCCCACCATGTATCATTCCCTCCCATATCATCCATCATGAACTTCATATATATATCTGGGTAGGCACCCAGGTATAGCATAGAGGAGTATACTTTATATAGCAGAATGAAGACGCGTAGGTCAGGTTTTATTTTGGCCTTCGCCCTCGCCTTCAACAGCACCAGTTCCACGAAAAGGTCCACTCAGTTTATCCCACATCGTCTCCTCGCCCCTCTCTTTGCGTTGCTGTCTATCCATCGCCTGTTTCCTCCACAACCCTTCGACCTGCGACGCGACCTCAGCCTTCGCGCGCCATTCGGCACGAATAGCCTCTTCCTCTGTAACGCGGTCCTGTTCGGGTACCTTTTTCAGCCGCTCCATTAGCATCTCCTGCTGTTCCGTCGACAGCTCTTCTTGCTGTTGTTTTTGCTGTGGTTGGTTTAGGCGCGGTATCAACGGTGTGAACTTCGGTATTGGGCGCCCTTCCGCCTTCGCGGCTGCGATCTCGGCTTCTTGCGCAAGGAAGCGTTGGTATAGCGCGTCGGCGTGGAGTTGGATGTCTTCTTCGATTTCGGGGGAGCGGTTGTAGGTTGATAGGTAGCCGAGGGCTTTTAAAAGTCGCTGTGGTAGACATAGAGAGTTAGCATAGCCCTACACTACCAAGTGATAGCACGTAAAGAATAAGGCAATGAGGAAGTGAATTAAAAACACCCACAGTCTGCATCATGTAGCATTTCTCAAACTTCCTGACCTGGTCGCGACACATGGTCAAGCGCTCCGAGATGCTCGGGTCGGTCATACACTTCCGCCAGTCGCCCTGCTCTATGGCGCAGTTCTCTAGGGCCGCCTTCCCGATCTGCCCCTTGCGCTCCTTGTACCCCTCTAGCACATCCATCAGCTTCTCATGGTCGCTCTTGGTCTCGGCCTCGATCTCGGCGAGCGGCCGGTATGTCTTCCAGATGTGCGCATACCGGCCATCTTGGAATTGGCTCTGCGGCGGGACTGTCGGGGCCTCGCTCTTTGCATTCTCGTCTTCTTTTTGCTTGTCACTTTGCTTTTGTCTGGCTTCGGCCGCAGCCGCAGCTTCTTGTTTCTGCTGCGCGGAGCTGTATTTCACAGGCGATTCCTTCTCGAGGAATTCTCGGAGCTTGGGGTCGAGTGAGCGGAGGGGATCGTCGGTCGTGTTCGACGACCAGAGGCTGTCCAACCAGCCCATGGCGGATCAAAAGATTGCGGAGTGTCCAGGTACGGGCGTCTGTTGGCTTCGTGGGGTTTATTCGAGGGGTTCTTGAGAGCATCCAATTGTGTGTATTACAGTATTAGGTATGGATGTACATATTTCGTCATGTCAAAAAGATCGTTATCTCTATCCTTATCGGAGAACAAGAATAATTCCCATTTATGCAAATATATACACTTATGCAAAAGACCCACTATTACATAATTACGCCGGCCCCTTAATCATCAACTCCAACGTCACCGCCAGCATAAGATGTTTCTACTTATAAATTTGCATTTTTTGAACATTCTCGGAGCTTCTTTTCACTCTAGTTCTCGCGTAGAATTCCACTCTGAACTGAAAACAGTTTCTCTATTCCTTTTTAAAACCTGTGGCGCCGATAGATAATGTGTAGTCGACGCCTTCCACGGGCGAGGACGGGAGGAATCACGAATGATTCGAAGAATATGCGCCATGTCTTGCGGTTATATGCAAAAGCTTCATTCTAATACCTAACTAGCGCTGAATGATAATTCAAGATGGATTTCCTTACAGGTAGGTACCTAAGTAGTGTATATACCTACTTTCGATGCTACAAGTGCAGAGAATGCGTGTCCGTGTATAATTCACCGTTTTCTCAATTGCATAAATTTGGCGGTATTTCCAGTCCCATGGCTCTGGAATTCCTTCCTACTATACACGTTTGATTGCCCGTTTGATCATGGAGGAAACCTCTCCTTTCCCCGGAATAGATGTTTCGTGGCCCGCCGGTACGCAAATCCTCCATCCGGGTTCGGACGAGTTCACCGATGCGACATGGCGATGGTCTATTTATAAGCCTCCAAGGTTTAACGCAGCAGTCATCCCAGAGAGTGAAGAGGATGTAGCGAAAATCGTACGAAGATGTTGACATGTCGAGTTTGCGAACACCTTGTTAACGAGTTGATTAGGTCAAAGCCGCACGAGCCGCCGATATTCCATTCCTAGCTATGGGAGGCCGTCATGGCTACGGTATAACGCTAGGAGAATTTGATGGTGGCTTGGCTATTGACCTTAGTCAGATGAACACATTCAGCGTTGACAAGGCCAACGGTACTCTAACCATTGGACCAGGAGTCAAGCTTAGAGACATTACCGGTCCGATAGAGAAGGCTGGGTATGCACTTCGTAAGTTCTAGAAGCCTTTTTCTAATTGTTCCTATCCTATGTGCCATGTTTCGAAATTCTCTTGTGCTGACCATTCAAAGCTGTTGGTAGTTGTCTCACTGTTGGTGTTATTGGCGTGACCATAGGGGCTGGTCTCTCACCATTCCAAGGGCTTTTCGGTTTGATGATCGATTGTCTCCGATCCGTGCGCCTCATTACCGCAAATGGGGATCTCGTAGAAGCATCCGATCATGTTAATTCGGATTTGTTTTGGGGTATCCGCGGCGCTGGAGCGAATTTTGGCATTATTACATCAGCTACCTATCAACTCCATAAGGCTGTTAACAACGCGCAGTGTTTTACTATCAACGCTACATACCCAGCAGACCTAAAGGATGCATATCTTGATGTTCTTCAAACACTTGAAGACAGAATACCTCCTAAATTAGCAATAATTACTCTCTATAATTGGGATGTGGATTCGGATGCTGTAAGTTCTACCTCTAATCATATTGATCAACTTCAAAACTTACGGCCTATGTAGACACAGATCCTAGCTACATTCATCTATTGTGGCCCTGGATCAGAAGCTTTCCAGATTATCGCACCCTTTTTAGATCTTAAACCACCGAATCTACGTATGAGTAGTGTCCTTTATAGCCAGGTGCAACACACGATACCGATTGGGGCCGAAACTCCTCCCGGACGTATTTACGATCTGTCATCGGCCAACATTCGTAGGTTTGCGGTTGACACGTGGAAGTCAACTTTCAATAAATTCGATGCCTTTTGTAAGGCAAATCCTGATGCTCGGGCTAGTAGTATTACACTCCAAACTTACTCTAATGAAGCTGTGGTTGCCGTGCCTAACGACGATACGGCCTATCCATGGCGGGACGCCAAAGGCGACTTGTGCGTTAAAACAGACCTTTTGATTTTCCTCATTTGCTAATTCAATTCATAGCATTTTCTTTATGGCCTGGACTGAGCCAGGAAATCCGGTAGAGGAGTCAGCGAATGCTTTGGCTCGTGAGCTACGTCTGGACATTGTTGCTACGTCGGGATATCCTGATCTATCAGTATACGTAAACTATGCCTATGGCGATGAGACACTTGAGCAGATATATGGGAAAGACAAGCTTCCTAGGCTCGCGAAGTTGAAGAAGGAATGGGACCCAGACAGTGTATTCAAGTACCACCATGTCTTGCCAACAGAATATCCATGAATCAAGTGTCACGGTGCGGACCAAATAGAGGTCAGGCATTCAATAGCTACTTACCTAGTGCTTAGTAGGTACTTAGCTTCCACTTATGAAACCAAATACTTGACATACAAACTAGAAACTAATAACATTGCAACTTGTGAGCTTTCTTTCATAGCACCGCATGTCAACGTCAAGCAGATAGGGACTGCTTTTTCGTTTACTCAGACTGGCTCAACTGAGATTCAGCCAGTACACCTCCAACCATAGTCCGAAGAATCATGTCTATCTTCTCCAACTGTTTTTTGTAGGTCCAACGACCAGAAATCCCTTTAGCATGGGTAACTTTCCCTCGTCGCCTGGCACTGTAGCTCTCTCCACCTATAATATATATGAAAATACGATTTCTCGTCCAGATATGTCGCTACAATTACCTGACTGTTCTTTTCAAATTCCCTATACGGTTCTCTCTGCTTGGTGATCTTGCTGTCCTGAATCACCTCTTGGTATAGCTCATATACTGTATCTCAAGGCCGATCATAGCATCCAAATTTAGACGGAGGTTGAGGACGATATCGATAACTTCAGACATGAGAGTAGCTTTCACGTCGAGGCCAAGACGTGAGAAATACTATTTGTAATGATGCTACTGCTGCTTGGTTAGTAGTCGCAAAAGGCGAGCAAAGGAGACACTGCGTAGACTATGTGCATTGGAACAGACTTGGACGTAGGAATTTGGCATATTAAACAATCTTTAATGGAAGCATCATAGCCTGTCAGATCCCTTATCCGATCATGAAAAGTTGCTTGACCAAAGATCCCGGTCGACCAGAAGGAGGTAGGCGGATGTAAAATTGTATGAGATGCCTGAGCATCAAGCAGGTTAAGAGCGGATTGACTACTTGTATGTGTGGTCAAACAGCCTGGAAGCGTAACATGTCATTAGTAGAGGCCTTACACCTGTTTTTTCATCAAGCCAAATAGTTGCACGCCACAAATAAGCCTTTCCACGTCATGCTCACAACTCTGGGAGATAATATAATTTGTGGTATATCCGTTTTTATTTCTCAGAACTGCTGATGGTGCATCTTTGTGCCCCAGCAGAATGCCTATGAATCGCCCGTTCCGAATCTGAGATCATGAAGAACCATGAAGTAACAACGCCATCGATGCCCAGGAAAGATCCCCAACTTAGAACTTGCTGAACTTCTTCACCGCCTTGCCGGTTCGGGGAAGCACACGAAGAACGTTGAATCGGACCTATCATACCAACCACGTTAGTCATCCATTCAAGAAAATGGTTGTGCCGTTTTTTCCGCGGCATAATCCGTAGAAAGGAAGAACGTACAGTCTTGCTAAGAGGTCGGCACTGGCCAACCGTAACCTGGTCACCCTCCTCAACACGGAAAGCCGGAGAGACGTGTGCAGCCAAGTTCTTGTGTCGCTTCTCGTATCGGGCGTACTTGGGGACGAACTTCAGGTACTCGCGTCGGATAATGATGGTTCGGTGCATCTTGGTAGAGACAACGGTGCCGGTCAAGATACGGCCACGGATAGAGACGAGACCGGTGAAAGGGCACTTCTTGTCTGTTATTATCAGAATTAGCATCATGCTTCGCATCGCGTTGAAGAAGAAATCATCGTCTTAGATCGCGAGCGTCGCGCGATTTTTAAAAAAAACCCCAAGACCCTTAAGGCCGCTTGATAATCCAACCAACAAGACATAGAACATTTTCAACCCTTTTCGCACATATTTCGCGTATTCACGTACCGATGTAGCTTCCCTCAATCGCGGTCTTGGGGGTTCGGAAACCCAGACCAACATCCTTGAACCATCGGCGGCCACCCTACAGAATAAAGTGGTTAGAAAGGGATTCGGCCTAGCTGACGAGATGTTAGGATAATGACGGCGTCGCCTTACCTTGCCAGGTCTCGTGGACTTGGCCTTGACCTTTGAGTTCTGGAAGATATGGGGCTGCTTCTGGAAAGCACGCTCCGACTGAACAGTTAATTCCGTGGCCATGTTTGCGATGTTTTGTCGAAGTCGCAAATGTGGTTGATGTCGGAAATCGTGGGTGGTGTTGTAGTTGCGATAATGCGAAAAGTTGCCGAAAATTGAAAATAGAAAAATCTCAAATGTTTAGTTGTGTGGGCTCGCTTGTGGGAAGGCACAGGTTCCACTCCAAACCTTGAAAATTAGCTTGGTTGTGGCTATCCACTGTGGCTTATAGGCGAAGGCGGAGGGATTAATGAATTATCTGTGGCTAATGAAAAAGGCACCAGAACCTTGAAGCTTGGACCATTTCGAAAGGTACCTATGTACATACAACTGTCATGGCATAATGCCCCACCTTCAATTGTTTACAAACATGGGTCTCTTATCCAGTCAATTGACGCGATCGTTAATCGACCCGACTTTTAACGTATGGAATTCGATTTCCAGTTCGACGTCACCCGCCACTTCCACCCTTTTCACCAATTCTGAAGCAGGTGTTGTTTATGATTGCTTCGACAAAAGCACCTTACATTCAGACTTTGTGATTATTCTACTTGGATTATTAACCAAATTCCTATGCGACAACTCTATTTACCTGCGTCGCATTCCAACTTAGAAGTTGCGTCTTAGATGATGAGAACCTAATTGCTTCTACGATACTTACTAACAGTTCACCTTCATCTTTGTCGCCAGCATGTCGAGTCGCAACGATGCGACTCTCCCGTCCACGCGTCGGCCTAGGAAGTCGACCGGACATTCGCCTGTGCGGAAGAGGATGGAGAAAGAAAACATCACCGTCGACGTTGCTAGTTCTTTGGCCGGTAATGGAGGCAAAAAGAAGTTACGTAGTAAAAGTATTGGACCTGGAGGACTAGACGGATTGAAGCCAGGAACCGGAAATCGACGTGTTGTACGTGATGCAATTCCATCACCCACCTTGATTAATCCACCTTGTTCAACCCAACTTGTTCAAAACGCGTTACTAACTTCCAACCATCTAGTCCCTAGCAGCAAATGCCAAACCTCCGCCAAAATCAATCCTCAAACCAACCATGCCACTACCTGAGATTCCCTCGTTCAAGTCCAAGCAGCCTGCCCGCAATTCACCACCCTCTCTGAATATTCAGGGAGCCGACAAGTTAATGAACCCCTTCCAGAATGATGATACCAATTCATCAGGCACAAAGATCGCTGTGCGCACCGAAGAGGAACAACAAGCTGCTGCGCGTGAAAGAGAGGAACGAGAACGAGCTAAACTAGAGAAGGAGATTAATGATCGAAGGGAGGCTCGACGCAAGTCTCTTGCTAATCGACGGGTGTCGTTTGCCGCTGAAGCCACCCTACACACATTCCATGAGGTTGAGTACAATCAGGACTCTACCACCTCTACCGATTCTACAAGACGTGCATCATCACTTGCTACACCCGCACAACCCCCCGATCCAGCTCCTGCCCCGGCAGAGCAGGAGGATGATATCGTTCCAAATTCACCAGATCATCAGCAAGATCCCCACCAAAAGAAGAGACGTAGAAGCTCAGGCGCTCCCCAGCTCAACTTCAACAACCAGATGGACGACACCTTAGCTTCGAGTGTCTATAGCTCAGATTCCGATGCGACAGATGGTGTGATGGAAGCACAGGAAGATATGGGCTCGGACTCTGGTAGCGACTCAGATGATGCTGACGGTGTATCGATGGACTTGGATGTTGATGAGGTCACCGGCACCTCAGTCGCTTCTGCTATCTCTGCCCGTTCAGCATTCACCACAGATTCGACTGATACCCTAGAAACTGCTCTTCGACTTGCTTCCAGACGCGCCGAAACCCAGCAGCTAGATGAAGAGGAGGAAATCATCCCCTCTTTTGGATGGGCTAAAAAGCCTGCCCCTAGACAAGCTAGTCCTACCCATGATCAGGAAAATATCCAAACGTCATCCAGGATCAGTCCTATCCAGGACGACGATGATCAAGAAGAAACTGGTGGTATGGACATGGATATGGACATGGATATGACAAATGCTGTTGGCGGCATCATCAAATCCAATGGCGGTTCCCTGGATGACGAGGATGATGCCCAAGATGATGAAATGTCAATGGATGTTACTCGAGCATTGGGCGGCATTCTTCCTCAGCGCAGCAAGACACAGAACATCCAACCAGGAAGCCCAGATAAAGCCGGAGATGATTCGATTGTTGAGGATGCTTCTATGGAATTTACTATGGCAGTTGGTGGTATTCGAAAGGGCCCGCAATCAGCGAACAACCTACTTGATCTCGACGACAGTGAGGAGAACGAGGATATGTCAATGGAATTTACCACTGCAGTGGGCGGAGTCCTATCTGGGTATAAATCTAATGCCTCAACAAGAAAGGCTCCTTTAGGTCGGCGCCGTACTATGACGGCTGCTAATGACGAAGCAACCATGGACATGACAGTTGGGTTGGGTCGTATTCTTCCGACTAATGAAGTTGAAGACGAGGAGGATGCTACAATGGGAATGGATATGACTATGGCCGTGGGTGGAATCATTAAAGGCCCGCCTCTCGCCAAGGACCGAACTGAGGCAAGGCATATCATGGAGAAAGAGGTTGATGAAGACGATAATGTGCCTGCACTCCACTCGTCTGCAAAACAACGCCTGTCGGAAGCTATTTCTGGCAAAAATGTCTCAGAAACAGGAAGCCCTAGTTTATCTGCGTTTCGGGGCAAGGGACTCCGTCGCAGTATTAACTGGCGAGGATCTGCTAGTCCTAAGAGCAGCTCGCCTGTTCGTGATCTTTCAACGCCCAAGTTTGCGAATCCTGCTAAGCAAAGTACTCCGAATAAGCAAGGACCCCGAACCCCGTTGAAGGAACCTCCTTCAAGGAACCCAAAGTCTCCTGCTTCGACGACTCGACGGAACCCAGATCGTTCGACCTCTACGCCCAGATCCGCTTCCAAGAATGCACAGTCAATGTCGATTTTCCAGAAAGACCCCTCAACCGGCTTATCCACACCACGAGTTATTTTAACTCCACAATCGAGGCGACTCTCGGGCTTGGGTGCTGATAGGCCTGGTCTTGGATCCCCCAAAGTCGCTGCTATATTTGACAGGCGTGAATCCATTGGAGATACAGCGGACAACTTCGTTCCACGTGAAGGTTCCCGAGGTGTTACTTTCGCTGATCCTCGAATCATGGAGTATGAAGTAGACCTGGAACGCCGACATGAAGTGGATAAGGAGAATGGCCGCTACAGACTTGAGAGAGAAGCCGATGGTGAAGACGAAGAGAATACCACAGCCACTCTGAAGGATATGATTTCCAGTATGACACCCAAGAAAAACCATCTCAAAGGACGAAAGAGCCTTCACGTGGGTAGTGCCAAGGGTCTCCTCGGTAAACGTCCTGCTGAGCTCGATAACGAAGAGGAAGAGGAAGAGAGGGATGGCATTAAGCGACTTAAGAATCACCAAAGCAGTCCTGTCAAAAACGTGCGATTGCATGCCCCTCCTTCGAAAGCAGAAACGACTGGACGAGTAACTCGCTCTGCTGGTAGAACTTTGGAGGATGGAGGTAACATCATGACGGCTTCGACACCGGTACTCTCGCCCAAGAAGGCGCACATGACAATGCCATCTCCACAGGTAAGAGGTCGCTTCAAAGATGTCGACTCTAATTATCCTACCGACACACTGAACTTCGACGCATCACATGTTGTCGCGGATTCTGAGGTTCAAATGGACGATGATGGAGAGCGGATGCATCTTCAAGACTTCTTGAACATGACGAATATTCGTTTCATGGAATTAACCACAACCAAGAGACGACGCACGCAAGCCCCTACAAGCGTCAAAGATGATGCTGCAGTAGGACAGGAAGATCTCTCCCTCCAACGATGTGTCGTGGCGGGTGCCTGTACAGTCCCAATGCTGGAATTGTACCAACATGTAAGTGTCCACACAAAAAACTATGATCACGACGAATGCTAATGAATTTTAGTCTTGCCGAGAACTGAAGAAATACATTTCAGAGGGTAGAAGAATTGTTCGAGAGATTGAGACAGAAACTTTGGAAGAGAACCCTCCGCTTTTCAAGGAATACATGTCTGCAACGCCCGAATACAAGCTCTTCCTAGACAACCAGTTCAAGAATGTCAAAACGCACGCACGGCTCCTGAGCAAGGCTATGTGGTACGAATGGCGCATGAAGCTTCAGGATGGTCTCAAGGAAGGCTTGGTCACGATTGCCGAGGGCATGAAAGCTGATGAACAGCTGTTGCAGAAGGAACAGAAATTGCTCGATTCTGTATTGCCTAAGCTTATTGAAAGATTCGAATCCTTGGATGTAGAGCACAACAACCTGGAGTCTGCCGTCCAAGAGATAGCGGACTGCGACCCCGAAGACCTGCAGGCTGCCCGATCCGAACTTACTGAAGTTGATGCAAATATCGAAGCCAAAATGAAGCAGATTGAACAATTGCGTCAACAACTTGGGGAGACCGAATCAGGTATCAGCGAATTATCAGAGAGAAAAGAGGAGTGCCTCTCTGATATCAAGGAAGCTGAGAAGGTTCGCGAAGAATGCAGGGGTTGGACATCTAATGAAGTCAGCTCTTTGAAAGGTCAGTATCTCTTGTCATCTTAATCTTATCGTACTATAAAACTAACATGATGAAATAGCGAGAGTGGAAAATATCGAGAAGCAGCATGGATGGATGATTACGGGCACAAATGGAACCATGATGTCGATGACATATCGAAAGGAGATCGAACTCGTCTTTGACGTCGCTGTATTCAAAGGCGTAAAACCGACAAATTCGACAATTGATTTGTGGTACATTGCAGCCAATCGAGAACGAGATCCTAAGCCATCTACACCGGAAAAAGAATTTTTCATTCAATGCATCCGAGATCGAATTCGTGAATTGGACCAATCACAAACCAGAATCAAGGAACTTCTAGACATGGTCAGTGCTGGATGGAAGAAAGCCAAGCACGTGTCAGACAGTATGCGTCTTGTCGATTGCACATTCAAGACCAAAGTCACCAAAACGTCGGATTCGTCGATTGCATTCAACGCAATGTTACTGGTACGCCCAGTCAAGACGAGGGTAGATGTTACACTCAATTTCCACGGTCGGAACACACCTAGCGGTATTGATGTCACTATCGAGCCCGAGGCACGAGTTGTCTATGGAGAGCAGTTCAAAATAGATAACGTCGTCGAGTTCCTCAAGACTAGAATCGGTGCGCGCGTTATCACAAAGGAGGAGCAGAGCAATATCGAGTCTTGGAGCGATATCATCGTCGAACTCCAAGAAAGACTTGTTGCCAAAGCAAAAGCCCAGCAGAAATAAGTGGTATGGGGAATGGGTTTATCGGCCTTCAGGCCTCTGCACTACCTCACTATAATGACTGATGATTGTTATTCGCGGACATGGAAGATATCCCTGATGAGAAGATGGCGTTTGTTGGTGTATTGTTAGATTATTGACGGATGCATATGGATTCGTCTTGTAAGGATCGCTTCTGATATTGGGGGACTTGCCCTCAACCAACGACGGGAAAAGGAAATGTCTATCACGTTTAATATATGAAATAAACCTCACTCAATGGGTCTTCTAGTTTAATGTTACTCCTTCAATTCACATACGAGTATGAGTATTTCTAATTAATGCCTTGAGGATAATAATACGACTCAATAATATTTATTTTCCACCTTTACGCGTTTCCCGCGCCACATTCATAATCAATTAAGCTGGGAATAATTTGGTCAAGATCTATCCACTGAGCATACCTGTAGAATCGATTAATGTTTGAATATTATTTGCTACCTACTTTTATATATTATGTGCAAAGGCATATACATTTGCATAATTGGAATAATCTACCTAGGTCAAGTTAAACTACTAGTAATAATTAGCATCTTCGGGAAAATAAAACTACTACCAGGAGATAGAACGAATATTCGGATTTGTTGGACCGATGGAAAAAATCGAAGGGCGGCCATGCGAGGTACGTACCCCAAAGACCAGACCGTTTATGTACCTTGGTACATACTAATAGGATTGATTTCCGGATTTATCATTGGTTGAAAAATAACCCTGTCAATCGAGATTAAAAATATCCGATAGGTACGTACTAAGATCTGATAATAATAAAACTGGGGCATGGGTTAGGTGACATTTTTAGTGGCTCCTCAGCCTTACGGACGACAACGCAACACTCAAGTACCGTAGGTATTCAGAGTCAAGAAAAATACATATGTACCTACCTAAATAAATATTTGTATAATTTGACCGCGTACTAATAGGAACTAATTACAGATATCTAATGGATTAAACAATTAAATATCCACATAGGGCCTAGCTACGTATAGGGGTTGGTAAGTAAAATATACATATGGATAACTTCTACTTGCACGGGAATATGTACTACAATATAATTAGGTATATAACATACATAAGTACTGGGAGGTCAATTTTAAGGGCTATCGTATACTTAGGTACCTAGATAATTTGTGGTGGAGGTATTTGTATTGGACCATAGGTATTCTTGTATAAATACCCGGTAAGTATCGATTTATAAGTCAGTTGAACTACCATACCATATGTACAGCAAGTACATAGATTTGAATATACATATCCTATGTAGCGTTTCTATTCGTGCTTACTTATATATCTAGATACACTGATATGATAGCGCATGTCTTATATATACTGAATTACTACTATCATGAGTTTCTCTTGAAAAGCATAGAACATCGAGGAGAATTACAAGGTACGGAAAATCAGTTGTATCTTTTCTAATTTTTGATTTTCCTCTGTAGTTGTGGATCAATTTCTCCAAGAACAACAGTACATTCTGGTAGGTACCTTGGTAGATACTTTGGCAGGTACCTTTTAAAAAATACAATTATACAAAATTCGGAAGTGACCACCCTATCGACGGTAACCCTGGGGATGCGGCTGATTAGTGCCCCTCCTACCCCAGACCCCAGTTCATAAAACCGCGGCTCCCGTTAATGGAACTTCTTCCTTTCTTCTTCTTTTTTTTTTCTTCAGGTTTACACAGATTTTCGCGTCCGACCAACAGCAGATATCAAGCAACGCTTTCAAGCATTCAGCTACAAGCCAACGCCCTCTGCCAGAATTTCCTGCTCTAAACCTTTTTCGTTCTCTCTCTTTTTTTAATAGACCACACAAGCCCGTCATACTTGTTGTGCTCTTCCGACCGATACCATGGATTACCAAGGCAAGATGACGATCCTCTCCCCTCTCCTCGTCATTCCCTTCCTCCTCCTCTACTCCGCCTACCTCGACCTCAAGGATTACCTTGGGTTGGGTCTCGCGTATGAGGCTGCCCCCCTGCTAATGGCTGGTCTCGCTTGCCTTTTCGTGGCAAGCCCAGTCTTGGGGTACGGTATCCTAAGCTTCGTGTCCATCACCGCCGCTACCTTCCTCCACCTGTCCCGTGAGTTCCGCGTCCCGATCATGAGTGCCATAATTTACCTCACGGCACAAGCCGCCGCGTCGAGTTATACTCCTCTCGGTTGGTGCGTGTTTGGGGCGGCTGTCTTCCTGACCCGATGGCATCTTCATGGTCCGTGGATTCTTCTATGGGCAGTTGGGGATCTAACATGGACATACCTCACCATGCTGTAAGTATTTTTCATTTCTTATTTATTTTTCAATTTTCTTTCTTGTGGCCTGCCCCGCGCTCGTCACTGACCATCGTAACCTACCATTCTATCTTCATCTACCCCTCCATCATCACATGAACTGAACATCACAACCTCACCTAACAAAAACTACCCTCACCCACTGTACCCACTATACCACTACTATCATACCACATTACCTATCCACTACCTATAACCATTAACACATTAACACATCAACACAAAAACATATCAACCCCTATTGCCCTCTATAATATCCTATACATACACTATAACATACATTATATACAATGTACCTTCCCTAAATTCTTATTCCCACTCTGATAATAAATGTATCCTTTGCCTCTTTACCCCTTTACCCCCTTTACCCCCTTTACCCCTTTTCAACTATCAAACTTTCTCCATTCTCAGAAATAGTCATATTTTACCTCCCCATTCACAATGCAATCATGTCAAACTCATACATCATCACTGTGATTCATGTTTGGAAAATATATGTGAAATATTTCTAACTTTCGATAAATAGGACGGTGAACCATGTCATGTACACCACTTCTTCTTCGAGCGGCTTTCGCCATCTCTTAGAGATTTGGTTCTACATGCTTGAGCAAGCCCGAATGCTTGAGTGGAAGGTCACTGTCCACGGCGGCATCCATAGAGAGATAGTCCCCCTATCGATGAGATGTGCTCGCTCCGCTGTCACGGTAGCCCAATACCTGACAGGCAAGCTCTATTCCTCTCTCTCTCCCCCTCCCCCTCCTCCTGCTCCGGTTCTTCCCAAAGAACCCACGGTGGTTGCTCCCGCTGAGGACCCCGTCAAGCAAGAGGAGGAGGCCAAAGAGAAGGAATTGCAAGCGAGAAACATCTCTCGGGTACACCAGCTGGGGAGGGAGCGCCGGCAGGTCGTCACGCCCCAGGCCAGGCCCCCGCCTGAGCGAGCGTTCACGCCCCTCCGACCTTTCAAGCCTATGCCTAGGCCGGTCACTCCCTACGTCCCCAGGTACCTCAACCTTGAAAACTTTCCGCGCCTCGCCCCCACGCGTAATGTGAGGAAGGAACATCGTATGACTCTTCATAGGCGGTGGGAGATAAAGCCTCAGTCACCTCGCAAGTCTCTGACTGAGATGGTGATTCCCACCACGGCTTGTGCAGAAGTCTTACTGGGTCCCCAACCTGCGCCGACTTACGAACCGGTGCCGACTTACGAGCCGGTACCGACTTACGAGCCGGTGGCAGGTCCCCAGTATGTTCCGGAATCCGAGGTCCCGTTGGTCCCGGGATATGAGCCTGTTGCCATGCAACAGGTGGCTATCCCCCAACCTGTGCCTCAGCAGTACGCGTGTGATCCGTCCATCTTTGCCTATAATCTGCCGATGAACCTTTCGCCGTTCCCTGGGGTAGTTGTTCCGATGGACATCGATGATCCATCGGAGGTCCATGCAGTTGTCCTCCCACCCTTCAGTCAACCGACTGAGGAGGTCAAGTGCAATGGAGACTACCTCAGCACAGATATAGACATGGGCATAGATGAACCCTGCGAGGAGCTCATGGTAGTGGATGAGATGTCGCAAGCCGGTGGCTGGGAGCTAATGCAACACGACGGCTATGGTTCAGACATGGTCATCGACGATGACGCAGAAATGCAATTCGTCGATGTTACCGCCATGGTCATCGACGATGTTACAGCCATGGCCATCGACGATGACGCAGAAATGCAATTCGTCGATGTTACAGCCATGGAAATCGACGACGTTGTTGCTGAGCCCCCATCGGCCTCTGCGGGCAACAAGGCGTTGCCTTCTTTGCAGGCAGCTGCAGCGGCTGCCCAATCTTCATTGAAGTCTTCAATGGAGAACAGGTCATCACCGCTCGCACCGGTGTCCACACCAGTGTACAGCCCAGCGTACGCGCAGGGGTACACTTCAGTGTACACACCGGTGCCCGCGCCAGCCCTCGCGCCAGCACCTGCAGAGAAGCAGCCTCCTCATCCCTTCCAATCGGCTGTTTTCATCGGGGGGACTACCCAGAAGGCTAAGTCCCAGACCCTAATCCAGAAGCCCAAGCCGATGGCGCTTGCTGAGTCCTCGCCTCCCCCCAAGATCGTGATCAAGGGTAGCTTCGCGCAACAGATGCTGAGGGATTCGTATCCCCCAAAGTCTGTTGTGACGCTGTCTGCTACCGACCCGAAATCCTTTTCGAGTCCCACATCGGTCTGGGGGCAAGGACCTACCAGCACGTACGCGCCCGGCGGGAAACTTACCGGGCTTGTCTCCAAACAAGCTCCACCTAAAACCACTGTGCCCTGGTATGCGGAGAGCTCGGCGGAGAGCTCGAAGTCTCCCCAAGCACAACTGCCTAGCCAGGGCGCTTGGCCGACCCCTACCAAAGCACCGCTGCCCAGTCAGGGTGCTTGGCCGGCGCCGGCCACTCCCAAAGCACCGCTCCCTAGTCAGGGTGCTTGGCCATCCAGTGGTGGAAGGTTGGAGCCTGTGGGTGCAAAGGGCAAGGGTAAGGCAACAGCGGCGGCATCTACCACACCCCAGGGTGCGGGAAATGTGCAGCTGCCCATGTTCGCCAATTACACACCCTCTGCAAACCCGGAGCTGGATAGATATGAAGATATATTCTCCATCAAGTTGGAGGATTATATGAACGCCCATGGCGCCGATGATGAGACTGCTAGGGCGGCCATCGCCAGAGAAATGGGACCCCCGCCTGGTTGATCGGGCTATCGCTCGGTCACCACCGTGGATCCCATCTTGCTCTGGTACCGTCGTAGCATCTCATCATGCTTCATATCATCCCTCGGTACTTCTGGTATTAGGCATCCGTGCAATCGGGTCTTAGCCTACACGAAACTACTTACGTGGGACCCATAATATCCCAATCCTTTCTCTCCCTCTCTCCCTCTCTCCCTCATTAACTTCTAGGTAACAATCCATAGGGCACTGGGCCGGTCGATGCCTCGCGGCGTTCTCACTCTGTATCTCCTTCGGGAGTTACGGATGAGGTCGATCGGTCGCCTTGACTGCTCCGAAGCATGTCTTGGCCGCCTACCGTTTTAAACTCCAAGACCCCGAGGAATCCCGCGAGGGGTGAAGGGCGAGAGTTTGACTCCAAGATCCTGATGAACCCATTCTGGGTGAAGGGGGAGAGTATTTGGTTCCAAGATCCCGAGGAACCTCATCCCTGAGGTGAAGGAGTAGAACCTGCCTGAAGATCCCGAGGAATCCCGTATGGGGTGAAGGGCTAGGGCGACGGTATCGGGTTGCGATCTCTCATCCTGAGGGAACGCAATTATCCTGTTTGGCGAATGGTATGTTCTGAGATTTCCAAGTGGTCCTAGACCAGGCGGTTGCGAGGACATTGCCACAGTGCCTTGATTGTTACCTTTATATTATCTGGAACGGGCGTGAGTGGTACGTCCCCGCCCCTATTTATGTAGCGACAATGTCTTGACACGGTCTTGTCCGCGCCGTCCGTCAAGCATTACATAGACAGATAAGGCCTCGACACAGCCTGGTCCCGGCTGTCCTTCGAGCGCACCCCGAGAACGCTTTCCCGGCCTCGTCCTCGCCGGCATGAAAGCACTCACCGAATCGACAATTTTCTTCGCGGCAGTCTTGTTTTTCTCGCTGCCCCCCCGAAGAAGATAAAGGCTCACCCGACTTTGGTCACGTCGGCCAGTGAGTAGTCGATAATTCCTCGTAACAGCCTCGTCTGAGGCTGCCTTACGAGCAGATAGCTAATCCGACAATGTCTCGACACAACCTCGCACGGGAGGTTGTCCTTCGAGCATTTGATTTCGACAATGCCCGCGCTGGTCTCGTTTTTCGCGCCAGCCTGCAGGCATATTAGCTATCGGCAATCCTCGTTTTCGGCCTAGATGTTTCGTTTCTGGGCCGGTTTCCCGGGAGGGTGAGGTTCGCTGCCTCATCTAGAAAAACGCTCGTTGCGGTCTTGATTGTCGCCACCGCAACCCGAGCACCTTGGACAACGATTCGTTTGCGGGCCCGTTTTCGCCGCCTGCCCTTCGAATCACCCCGGACAATGTCTCGATCGCAAGCCGGTTCTGCGCTTGCCCTTTCGAGCATTCTTTCCGACAACGCTCGTGGTGGCTTTGTTCATGCCACGCACTCGAGCACCAGGACAATATACTTGACTGTAGGTCAGTTTCCACGCCTGCACCATCAAGTATATCTTTTCGACTCCGCTCGTATGGTCTGTTTCTCGCCATCATTCGAGCTTCTCGACAACTCCTCCTGTTGGCCTTGTTCTTGCCGACGCCTGAGAGGATTGGCTACACTCGTCCGGTCTTGTTCGTTGCCGGCCTTCGAGTTTCTGAAACTTTGTTTCAGATTGCCTGTTGAGATATGTCACAAGAATGATTCACATCATGATCTTCTTGTTTGGAGTTAAGTTCCACCCGCGTAGCTTGAGGGAGCTCGCGTGGTGGGAATCACCGATGATTCACACTATGCTCACCGTGAAACGTCACCATGAGATTCACATTGCGACCACTATGATATCGATTTCCGGCCACGAGATTCACAGTACGCCCACCGACAACGACACCAGAGATTCACAGGAATCTCATGATGGTGTCACTGTGGGATTCGAAGTACGCTCGTCGTGATGTCGCACCGTGGATTCACAAGAAATCCAAGACGGGTGGTCGCCAGCCACCATAAAGGCTGGCATGAGCAATCACGCACCCCCAGGTATTAGGGAGTACCTGGGGGTGTTGATCCATGAAAATGGATTTGTCGACGGCCCATCCGAGGAAATTAAATTAAATACTATAACAGATAATCCTAACGATTATCACTTCCTCGGATGGGCTATAATAACAACTGCTTCGATGTGTTGTTAATAACAACAAAATAAACGAAAATAAAAACAACTAACCCTTCGAGTCACCCACGCGGAAATCAGATAGGGGGGCCCCTGAACAACCCGAGCTTTCAACGGGGAGCCCCCCTTAACCCCCTAATCGAAAAGGGGGTACACCAGGCCGAAATAACAAGATTTCAACTTGGGGTTCTCCTTATCACTAAGTTGAGAACCCCCAAAAACTCCAAAGGGGCTCTCCCAAATCTTGGTAGAGAGCCCCTAGGATTTCCGCGTGGCTTTGACTCAAGGGTGCATCGAAGCAGTGTTAGTGTCGACGGGAATTTGCGGGGGATATTGTTCAACACCTGCGGACGGGGACCTGATACTCTAAAACAACATACCTCAAGAGCAATATACTTGAGGGGGTCCCGTCCGCCCATTCAGCTATCAACCTAAACAATATTCCCCCGCTTTTCCACTATGGTGGCTAGTGAACTTAATTGTTCCTTGTAAGTCTCATCATTCTACATTTCTCTTGTCTGGTACTGAAACTAACATTGATTCTAGTTTTTAAAATAATCGAGGCCAAAAAAGGCTTTGGCCCTTTCTAAATAACAAGATCCGCATAAAATGCGGTGATCTCGAAAGGGCCATTCCGACGGCATCAAATGTGGGAGGACATTTGGATACCTGACGACGGACCAGGGGCTGTGTGAAAAAGACTTCACAGCCCCATGTCCTTTTCGATTTCACCAGCGCTTTCGATACCTGATATCCATCAGATGCTTTTGCTAGATACGGGGTCAGAGGGCGAGAGAGGCGCCCGATGACAACGTACTGGCTGGAAGAGCAATATGAAGCGTTGACCGAAATCTATTATGTGCCCGCTATCAATTAAGGGCACCTCAAACACCAAGCCGAGCTTAAGGATGGAGAGGACATCCAATAGCTTATGGCTAAAGATAATTACACGCCAACATTGCAAGCTACAACAGTTCATGCTTGCTAGAGTCTGAGGGGGCTCTGTAAATTAGGAGGCATCAAATTCATGCCAGAGGATGGACGGATCCAACGGCATTAGCGAGAGCCTGCTTCACATTTTCGGCACACCATAAACATATCCTGGGCGGGATCGTCATGGCACAATCAAGGCATTCAACTATATTCAAAATTTAGCCATGCCAGGACGACCAGATTTTGGTGTGCCACCCCTTAGGTCCTCGATGAGTCGCTTTGCAACTATTTACATGACAACTACAATCATCATCATATTGGGGCTACGCATTGCGACGACGAGGACCTGGGGAATGGAGCAGCATCTTGCTATCTTCCGCGGCATTGGAAGCTAAACGTGGTTCTAATCTGCTATCAACTCGACAATCTTAAATCAGAATTAACCAAGAACCATATTCCGATGCCGCGGAAGACTTAAGGCAACCCCTAGGCAGGGTTCGACAAGTCAACCAGCACATCAGCATGCCGGCCACTAACACCAACTTTCTACCTAAAAAAATTCGGGACGGCGTGCTGAACGATTATCAGCACATATTATGCTTACGGGGAGCATAGTTCCATTTTACCTACTATAACGACATCAATTCTCAATGTCACTGGGTTATATGGAAATCTTGACAACCAATCACCAAGAAAGACAACTTAAGTGCTGGTAGCTTGTCGTTGCCGACTTCAAACTTTACCAACCAAAACGACAACCAAGTATAAGGGGACGAAAAAACAAAAAATAGACGAGAAAGAAAGAAGAGTCGGGTGGGATTATCTATCTGATCCCATTCGCCCGAGGAGTCACCACCACAAGGGCCACAATCTTGAATCCCTGTGGTGGTCGCAACACCAAGTCGACGAGTTCCATCTTAGCCATGCAAGGCAAGGACACATCTCAGCACCTTTTTCAATACCGCTTCTGTGTAAAATGAAACAAACTTGGAAATAAGTTTAGACGCCACGCACTTTCAAAAGAAATCTAAAAGGGACGAAAATACCCCTTAATTCGGCGTTCGCTAAACCACAATGTCCTTGCCCAAAGAAGATATCGCAAGACGGAACCACCGGACATCGAAAATAAGCAATATATCGGCCTAAAAACAACAGAGTATCCTTCAACAAATTGATACCCTAGGCCTTAGGTGTTGCGACTCGCAGACAGGCCAAATCATGCCAACGACAACGATCCAAAACCTGGAAAAAGCGAACGACGGCGTGTGTCCGCGGTAAAACCATCGTGAGGACTAACTACACCCTCGCATCCACTGATGGACACATCTCAAGAGAATCATGCCGTTACTCGAGGTGGGGCAAACAAAAATCCCCAAGTACCTCTAGTCTCTGTCGTGAAGGCATATCGCCTAGTCTGCGAGTGACTCCTCGGGAAGCCGGAGACTTCTCTGTGCTTAGTAAGCAAGCCCCTTTATTTTCTACTATGGCGATATACTAACAATTATCAAGATTCGATAATCAAGCCACTACATCTGGCCATTTCAGCATCACATAAGTCTGAATATGACGCCAGATGGCTAATAATTATAGTTCTTCAATCTAAAGAACTAACTAAAAAGCTACTACCATCCTCAAATCCACGAAGAGGAAAAATTAAGCATCAAATCGATAGCAGAGAAGTCTCCGTTAAAACCCTAAGGGGTACGAAGGAGTTGGCAAGGTCCTCAACCAAAAAAAAGGATCCCTCTCCAAACAACCATATATATTAGGCCACAACTAAATCGGCCTCACTGCTGGCCCCCTTTTCACGACCAACGCACAAGAGGAACCGTTATCCTCCATTATCAAGGCAGAAGGGGGCTCAGTACCTATAAAAAGACCCATACCTAGGTCTCCAAGCAAAGAAACATTGCTGTTCGATAACAACTACAAGGGGGCTCGAATCCAAAAATACGAAACCCCGGAAAAATATTCCGGGATGAAATTGAGTTCAGCACCTCTGGCCGACACAGTTGTCTATATGCCAATATTAGAGCTAAAATAATGGGCTCATCTCACTAAGCCCACCGGTCAGAAATAGAAACCGGCTCATATTCAGCATTCTCTCCTCTGTGGAGACCTAGGTATTCACCAAACATCATAGGATTAAGAAAGTGGCATCGGCACAATAAGGTACATATCTATCTTCCCAATTGCTCTTATATCCCCACAGAAACTAACAACTTCTAGAACATGTGCGATGCTCTGGCTGTGGCGATCATCTATCGCCAGCTTCCAGTATTTGATCCTTGCCACCCATGCTGGGGGGAACTGGTATGTCACAGACCTCACTATAGGAAATCTAATATGAGAATTGAATACTGAATCATGGAACAGATCGAGCAAAAGCCGACAGTCCCTAGCCGGGTGGCCCCACCAAAACTCGACGAACCTCGTCATCCACTTTACGAGGTTCAACTACCAAAAACACCAACAAGCCTCTAGCAGCACTCAACATGCTGGATTGGCCACAAGAGCGCGGTTCGATATATAGGCGCCTGTCATGGATTAGCATTGGGCCATATTCATGTGGCCCATCGACGAATACTGCCTGAGTAGGGTGCCGCAGGCACCCCACAAGGAAAACATCCCTTTCCTTGGGCAACAACAAGAGCCTGCCCAGAAACTACAACAGGGCCTTTGGTGGGGCCGTAAGTGAAAAGAAAAAACAAAATCAATAAAAGAAGAAAAAAACAATCAAAAACAAAAACAAAACAAAAAAACATAAGAGCATAAATTGCTCTGACATTTAAAAAAAAAAAAAAAAAAAAAAGCGCGTATGTGCGCGGGGGATGAATAGCGGGAAAACGGGGTGGGGGGAGGGGGGGGGGTTCTGGGGGCTCGTGGGGAACTGGGGGCTCGTGGGGGTAGTCTTGATCGTCAGGAGGGGCTATTCAGGGAATTGGAGCTTACCCCTGAATAACACCTCTCTCGTCAATCATGACTACCCTCCAGGTAAGCCCCTTCCCGCTTACTGATCAAATACTAATTCCTTCATAGGTTCTCTTGCACAAGAGCCTTTGCACAAAAAAGATAAGTCCCCCTCCCTATGTAAGAGATACGTTCCCTTACTAACTACTATATATGTGCGATCGTCCCCCTCAAAACAACGTTCCGAGATACGAGAAGCCGTCGGGCTGCCGGAAGAAGGAATTATTTCGGTGAGAAATCCACTCGGTTCTTGATCTTCTTTTATCCTAGACTAACCGATTTTCTTTAGAGCCAAACCGTATACGCCGAACCGAGGACACCGAGTCACAAAGGGACTCTCGGATAGAGTTGAGGCCGGGGTTACCCCCTATAAATCGTATGTCATAGTACTATACATAGATTTATATCGACTTCAAGTGCTGATATAGACACAGTTTTTTTATGCAAGAACATAAGACGAGAATTCCAGTCGAGGTCACAAGACGAGGAATGCCATAGGGGTCCCTAAGGGATACGGGTTGGCTTTGAATGATTCGGGGTTCCGGGGATGGAGAGATGGACGGATCTATATCTTGGGAAGAGGGGATACTTGGGAGTTTTAAGGGGGCAATATTCTACGAATAAGGGATTCATCACCAAAATTTCCCAAGTCTTAACGTGACTGTACGCCTATCAAAGTTCATCATGATCCATTTTGTGGTTAGGCATCACGAGATGATATTCACGCTTCCAAAGACCACTTAGGCTTCAAATTTCCCATTTCCGAGAACCTCAAGGTTGAATTCCTTATTTCTAGAGCTTGTGCACCTCATACTAGGTCAACTAGAAACTTACATAATGACTTACATAATTGCTTACATAGCGGCTGACATAAGAAATTACATAATGAGCCCCTGAGGCTGACTCAGCTGATTCATCCGCAATTTGGTGACATAATCGGGTGGCGCTGATTATATAAGCAGAACCCCCTTTTCACCCCTTTAACCTCAATTTCCACCAGACTTGGCTTAGTCCAAGTTTTGCTGGTATTCCCAGCGCGATTGATTCTAAACATCATTAAACTAGTTACACGTCAGGAAACTGGAATCCCATAAGTTCTTCGATTCGAATTAAGTTAGGAAGAGTTTCCTATCTCCTAATTTATCACCCGCGTTGTACAACCAGCGTTTACCATCTGGAGAAGATGATCGAGTAAAACACGACACAGCACAGCATAAATAGCACATGGGGCGCTCATTATAACTTCCTTCAGATCGTTATATTTAAAAGGAGCGGTTGCTATCTGAATGAGTGAATGCTCTCAACATTGAGTCCTCTAAGGAACTAGTAGTCCTCCATATCACATCAACCTCCAAGTTCTTTATAAAATTGTTTTATAAGACCTAGTGCTCCTCTCCGACATCGCAGCATTCCACAGACCATTCCTGGGCGTCCTCGCGTTCCTTAAGAGCAGCTAGACGCGATATGTATTAGCAAGATATTGACATTGGAATGGAATTGGGGACGGATGTCTTACCTGGGGCAGCAAAGACTGCTGTGAAGGAGACAGCCAAGAGAAGGAGGGTGGACTTGAAGTTCATTTTGGCGTTTGTTTGGACTCAAAAGAGGGATTTGAGAAGTTGTGTTGTTTTGTAGTTGACTTGAGACTTGGGTTTAGATGATTGATGGAGGTTGATGCGGATAGAATTGATCAACGAGGAAGGGGAAAAGTCTTGGTTCTTATACTAATCTGAATGCCGCGGGTCTAGCATCAAGGCTGTCGTTGACCCTATAGACCATGCACCATCACATTGCTGTTCCGCATTTAAGAGATTCCTCCGGTACATACCTAGTCGTGCGTCCCCGCGGCCGGCAATAGAAAGCCAACACCCTTTTCGATATAGTTATGGGCAGAATTGTTGGTTACCTAGTGCTGACCGCGGGGAAGTTCTGGAAATGGCAACATAGGATCTAGGACTTATACTTTTGGACCAATCGGAGGGTAAGGATGGACTTAAGTCATCACGCATATAGTGATAGCTAAACTCACCGTAAGCGGAAGAAAACCAACATAGCTCTTATCGTTGAAGAAATTACAGTTTCTAATGTTGGCTGCAGGCTGTACGTGACCGCAGAAATGAATGACAACATACCCGAAAGTCTTAATTCAACCTAACTGAGTCTAAGAAAATAGAAAACTGAGTTACACAGCCAAACCGCTTCAATTAGTTGGTGTAAATACAATTTGAGGACTTCATCTGTCTATACTATATCACCTCGTCCACATAGTCTCTTTAATATATTAACTATAGAAACAATATACATCCTAACCTGATCTGATTGTGATTTGTAGCCGTAGCCGGAGTAGCTAGACTGGATAGTCCGATGTATGTATCCGCTTGGACCTCGTCTGTATCACAATGCTTGAGGCTTTTTCGAGCTAGTATGCATATAAATCGTGTGGTGTGTGATACTCGCGGCTTCTTGATCCTGACTATGGGGTGTTGCCTGCTTCTTTGCCTCCCTGCTCATTAGTGCTGACGCAGGGAGGGAATTCTGCAATGATATGGCACAGGCTTTATCGGCTAGGTACCAACACCAAGAGAGCAAGCATTCAGATATCGTTTTGGAATTCTATTCGCCTCTGCATTCTCTTGCCCCGTCACAAGGACAAAGTCATGCCTTCTAAGATTTTCAATCCTTCTCCAGATTCTCCCAAACATTAGGGAAAAATTCCCAGACTATTACAGTCAGAAGTTTCATGTCAAAGGCGGACGAAGAAATCCCATACCCACATTATACATTGGCCAGTTCATGATGGCTAGTCGTCCGAAATCCAAAGAGTATGCTGCCGTCGATGATGAGGAGACAGCATGTCTATCCGAGTCAGAAAGCGCCGAGAATCTCCTCGGTAACAATCAGAGACGTATCAAACGTCCATCAACTTGGATTCCCCAAGTACGCTTGAATGCTGCGGGCTCCATATTGGGAGCTGCGTGTCTAATTGTGACGATTCTGGTCACTATTCAATGTACCATTTGGTACGAACGGAGAGGCAGCAATGCTCCAAGATTCCGCCCGGCATTCTGTAGGTTACTCTACTTCCCCTTCCCAAACCCTAATATTTGGAGGCAATCGATACTAATCGGCGCTGACGTATACAGCACCGTTGTACGACATGGTGAAAATTCCATTCGTGACAGCATATAGCGACCATTCTCCAGCTCCAAATGCCTCGGATCCAAAGCAAATCTACCGGCTAGACCCTAGCCCCGAAGTGGACGCAGCCTGGAGCCGTATCGCTACAGCAGATGGAGTATATCCTATGTCGGCGTCGGACGTAGTGCGCGCAGGCAAGGACCCCAAGCTAGCCGTCGACGCACCAGAATCGTGGAGTTTTCCAGAGGGTAAGAGCAAGATGATGGGTATCGAGGCTTTCCATCTACTTCACTGCCTGAATGCGTTGCGCAAGAGCCTCGTTACCACTTATGACTACTACTGGGGAGCGAAGTACGGATTCGAGCCTCCTGCTATCTTCGAGCGCCACCTTAACCACTGCGTTGATATGCTGCGGCAGCACTTGATGTGTCATGCTGATCTGGAGCCTTTTACCTTCAACTGGCGCGTTGGTCAGGCTAAGCCGTACGCCGATTTCAACATTCGGAAGACTTGTGTAGACTTCGACTACTTGCTCGAGTGGTCCGAGAAACACAAGGACCCCCGGCATGAGCAGTTGGTGAGTTGATTCCATATTCTTCGTTTTTCCTTTCTTCCTTACCGGGATTCGGTACCCCTCTTACAACTGTTGACAAGGATTATCGCTAACTCTTGTTGTAGTGGGGAGAATTAGAAAAGCCAGCCGACGCGTTGCAGAAAGAAGCCCCTGCCGATTTGCCACAAATCACCGAAAACACGGTATGGAGCAAGAGCGGGAGGATTCCACTAGCTAATCTGACTGGCTTGGAGGGTAAAGAGTACTGTCTCGGTACCAAGTCATAATCTCGACGTCAAATGCATCGGATGATAGAGCCGATGGTGTACTTAGGTAGTCGCAGAAATGGAAAAAAATAATAGTATGTTGTTCAAGACAGCGTACGCGTGCGTCGATCCTAAGCGAGGACCTGGTACGTGGACGACAGCAAGAGTGACATGCCGGAAGGCAACCCGAGGCAAGGGGGAGCTGTGGTAGAATGGAGTCAGAAAAGGTTGTGCATGTGCTAATATCACTGTATTACACTGTAGTTTAGGTAATCAAGATATCCCAATGTTACGTAATATCCACCCAGTACCTATCATCATATGGATAAGTTACCCATATAAGAGCAGCAGGGGATATCGATCCTGAAAACCAATAGTTAGCACATGGGACCTTTTTCTGACTCCATCTTATGTGGTTGGCATAGCCAAGACAGGCCAGCCTGCAGTAAAAGCGGGCAGCTCGGGGTAAGATGAAGCTTGATTTAACACCCACCAAGAAAGCAACCCAACCTGGCCGATAATTCGATCTTGGCAAATGTGCTCCTATCTAGATCTTCCGAGGGGAAGAAGTTTGCCGCTCTAGAAGGATGATTCACACTCGGGAACATAAGATGGAGTTGTTGTAAGGTAAAAGATTGGTCACTAACTGGAAAAAACGCGGGGGATTATGTTGCCGTGGATTATCAAATTCTTGGCGTTGTGAAGGAATCTATCCCCTTTCCTCGCATTTGGGTTAAATCTACGCGTCATGTTGCATGTGATTATATAATCAGGGGATAGCTCCAATTACTAGGTATCTCGTGTCTGCTTAGGTAAGCCGACGCGGTCGATCCGTATGATCCGGGACTAGGTAGGTGCATAGGTGGATGCAGGATACGTATGGATGTATTGATTCTACCGGATCGACTGCTTACAAGTTACAAACATAGGAAATCCTTCTTATTCCCCGGGGTCTTATGGATACGTGAAGAAAGAACGCCAAGGAAATTATTGGTTCTATAAACGACGGACGCATCTACGGCGCAGCAGCTGAACCAACATCACGGCTTAAGAGACGGAGTAAGATAAGCCAGTTGAACCCTATCTCGACCGACAGCCGCCTATCATGCATCCGTGTTCTAGGGCTGCGTTTCCGTTCTCATGCACCTTTTCGTCCTCTTTGGAAATGATTGTCAATTGGCCGTTTTTACGGGTTCGAGCACATGGCCAGCCATGCCCACGGGAATACTGGTAGAAGCTTGTCAAGGGTTAATTCCATAAATGTCAGCCGTGTCACAGAGCAAAAAGACGTTGGCCAGAAGCTCACAGGTAGATAGGTGATATTGACTTGATCAATAATTCCGAACTGTTTCGGGGCGTCGCCCTATGCAGCAGTGTCTGTCTGACCTTCACGACCATAAGAATTAATGTCAGCCCTAGTTCCAACAGCAATTTGAGATTCGGGAAGTGGAGACATCTCAGAGATAAGAAATATGCTGTTACTAACACGTCCGGTAGCTGCATGCTTGTGCTAGATGTAAAACCATGATCGAAACTCATGATTTGTTACTCTGAACGACCAGATAGTGATGTTGGTTCAACTTCCTCGAATGTAAGCAAGTAGCGCTGTAAGACCTCAACTTCTCCGGAAGATACGAGACAGGAGCTTCTAGCACGAACCAAGGACCGTTCTCTGCTGCCTTCCCCTATTCCCCTACTAAAACCACTTGTCTACTGCATCCAAACAAACAAAGAAGCCGACATGAATAGACAACGGGTATATTCTATTCAACACACCATCCCGACCTGTCTAATCTAGGTATCTATCCCATTCCACCCTCCCTACCAACCTATCCCCTTCCCAAATCCAGCCAACCCGAAGACAAACCTATCTAATTACCTATACTTCACCTTCGTCCACCCACTAGTCCCCCTCACATCCCCCTTCTCGCGATCCCTGCCCGGAACCGCGCTGCCATGCGGCACTCTCGGGTTCGGATTATGATCGCCACTACTCCCGCTCTTAACTGTGTTCACGCTCATATAACTCTCGATGCCGAATCTATGGCCCGGGACGCCCAACTGTCCCCTACCGACAGGCGTTCCGCCGACAAGCACGCCGTCGTCGAGCGCGTCGTCGGGGGTCCACGCGTCGTCTTCGAGGAGCTCCCACTCGGGCGCAGGAGTCTCGCGGAGTAGACGCGCGCGCAGACGGTCCGCCATTTTCATGACGTTGGGCATTTTGAAGCTGCGCGTGAGCTCGTTACCCGCTGCGCTGCCGAGGTACGTGTGCGCGGTGCCGTGGGAATACAAGCCCATTCTCGGCCCCGCTTTGCCGAGTTCCGCCGCCGTGCTACTGTTGCTATCGCCATGGCTGCTACTGCCGTTAACGCCGCTGCCGCTGTGACTGTTGCTGTTGATGTGGCTGGTGGTCTGAGATGGCGGGGCGTCGGCGATTTGCTGTGGGCTGCGCTGGAGGGAGGAGTTGATGAGGAGGTTATATAGGTTCCGACCCAGTTGGGAGAAGTCTTCTAATTGGTTGCTGTTGTCGCCGACAGGGACGCCTTGCGTTCGGCAGAGCCAGACGATGTCGTAGGCTAGTAGGATAACGGCTTCGAGGAATGCGTTATAAGCGGCGGGGTCCTCTTTCGCGAGGGTAGATAACGGTTTGTCGAGGAATAGGGGGCGTGGGTGGGGCACGTGGGCGAATTGCCGATCACGTGGGTCAGGGGGGAGAAGGGAAGTTCCCGGGAAGGCGACGTCGCCATGATGGTAGGATGATGTGAGTGAGAAGATGGTTGGGCGCGGGTAGTCGTTATGTGGGAGAGTGATTTCTGCCGGGAGACGGATGGATAGGTAATGAGAGGTAAGCCAGAGCAGATGTGTGATATGTGCGAGAGACGCGGATATGAGTTCGGGTTGCGCACCTAAGTGGGTTATTAGATCAGATTGAATAATAATTATAAACAGTATTTAAAGAAAATGCACTCACTATTCATGTTACACAAATCGATAATATCAATGCCGCCGATTTTGTATTCGAATCGGACGGGATTCCCACGCTTGATACGCTGTAGCCTGTATAGCTTGGCTACTTCCATACACAACGCACTCCTGTACTGCGTCATAGCCCCGTATTCTCGATCCCAAGTATATCTAATCATTTTAGAAGCCTTGTTAGGCTCCTCTAATAGTCTAGTTCGTCTTGCGGTAATACCCTGCGAAGTGGTGGCAAGGTCGGACTTCTTGCGCGCAATACTGGCTTTACGCTCTTCAATCTCCTTCTTCGCCGCAGCAACATCGTCGCGAAGCTTGTCTGCTGCTGCTATTATCCTCTCGGTCCTTTCTTTTGCTTTGTATTCCTCCGTAGCGCAGCTCTCGATGTACGTCCGAGAATAACGGGTTGGGGCGTCTGAGCTTACATCGGCGTCAGACAATAGCTTAGTCACTCGAGACTCGAGCTCCTCGGTCTTCATAAGGATCTCGGCATTCGCTAGTCGTCCATCGTATAGCTTGTTTCTCGCATCCACCACACAGAAGAAGGGAAGCCTGTGAGGGTGATGCGCCCTTTGGCAAATGTCGCAATTCATTGTGGGCGGTAGACTCGTGATGGAATTGGTGTGAATTTGACAAGGCTGGGTGCCTAGTAATGCAACAAAAGGCCGCGTTCCTACGGATAGAAACTGGGCACTCGAGGGATTCCTGTTACATTGGTACGGTAAGCAAAGTGCATGTTGTTCTTAAACGAAGGTTATATAATTGGTAGTAGTAGGGAGGCGAAATGTGCGAAAAGCAAGGTGACAAGGTGATCGGTGAATGTGAAGAAGAAGAAGATGGGACGAATAAGACGAAGAGGTCCTTGTGACGTTAGGACCTTACAGGGAGTCCCCTTATCAAACCTTATCAGCCTTATCGGCTTTATCATGCGACTCCACTTAAATCCGAGTCCGGGTCAAATTACTTAATCCTTAACTTAATGGTTCTTGGGCAGCGACGCGTCTCTTAAATGGCATTTTAGGTACGTAGCATTTGGGGATATCGACTATTCTTATCATTAACAAAAAAGACATTCCTTCTCTATCTTGATTTATATAAATCCAAGGAACGTTGCAGTTGAGAGTCATCAGGTGATCAATCATCCTATACTGACTGCGTCATTCTCTTCATTTCTAAATCCGTCGCGTCACGCGTCGCATACTCTCTAAAGGGGTCAGACTATTCTAGGCGCTAATTTATTGCTCTGCTATTTGTTTGCAGAGGTTTCCCGAACCGAAACGTACACGTGAGATTAAATAAGGACAATGTCTACCACACCTAGATCATTATCGCCGGTGAAGGCGCCTTCGCAAAATGGGATAGCACCGGATCAATCCATGATGGTAGAGTTGCCGACTCATTTGGGTGACGAAACTGAGATTATTGAGCCGCATGAAGAGGATGTTACAGTGAGACTGCATTCACAAACACAATCACAGCCACAGTCACCCCCACTGGCTCAAGGTCTAAAAATTGAGCAGAGCCAGGAAATCTCTTTGCTCAGGAACCTAGCGATGCAACGTCAGCGACGGACACAGACTCCCGATCCGCAAAATCGACGTAGCAATAGGTCTGAGATGCAGAGTCCGGGCCACCTTGCCGCGTTTGATTGGGAGGACTTTGAAGACCGCTATGAGAAAGCTTTACAAGAGGCGGACGAGCAAGAGAAACAGCTGTTAGAGGAATTTGACAACTTAGTCAAGGTATGCGAGGCCACACTAGAGCATGTTGGCGAACTTCAAATCATCGCTGACTTCACAACCAGTACTTCAATGTGTGGGCGTCGGCTTCATCTACGCATGATAACGAGAGAGCTGTTAAGAGGTTTGCCTTGCCCCTTTTCATCGATATTTGTCTAAGCGTAAAGCTAAAAGGTAGTAGATTACAAACTCGTGAGAGACACGTACGCCTTTCCGAGCAGACACTCTTGCAAAAGAAGCAGCATCGTGAGTTCCCGTACCATTTCATCATTTGAAGTGGAATGATGAACTGATTTGTTTAGTTTCCGAGGTTGTGAAAGCCTTCCAGAGTGCTCTGGCACTTTTGAGCACCACTTAATCGACACATCACATTCGGTACCCTTCTAACACTTCTCTTCGTCAGGTCTTAGGTCAATGAGGAGACACTAAAATTCATATCTTCCTCTTAAAAAAGACCTATGAGGGATATGGTAGGTGGCTACTAGTTTATAAGTCAATCAGGGGTCGGTTTTAGCAAGCATGGCAAGGGCGTTGATGTATTTATTTCTCACGATGATTACGACATAACGATTTTGACGACTTTTATGAATTATTTATATCATGATATTGTACGTAGTATTTATCTAGTTAGTTATATTATACCGGACTCGTCTTGGTTTAATAATTCCATAAAATGTTCCTCTTCAACATTGAATACTACTAAATATTGTGGGTACTTAGTAGACACCTAACCCAGCTGCCCAGGGACTTTCAGGTGCACAGTGCGCCAAGATCAGAGCGCGGTAGCTAGTTATCGATAAGTACCTAGCGCCCAGCTAAAGCTTGACAATTAAACATTCAACATCTAAATTGTCATCTTTCACCTTCATCTCTCATCTTTCCCAAACTTATTATCTCAGCCGTAAGCAACGGCTGGTCTATATGACCATGTCCACTGCTATGAAAATTCCGGGTGGTTTTTTCCAAGTCCCAGAAGTGTCACAGGTGTGTTGATTTGTTGTCTTAGCATGTATACCTTCCTTGGCTAATGCTGACTGTCTAGATAGGCAGAAATCAGATCATTCCACGACGCGCACTTCTCTAACTCAGCAATTGAACTATTCGATATCCAATTTCTTCGACCAGATAACGCACAGAATGAAGATCAATATTATGAAGAGTACGAAGAATACTACGAAGAGGAAGAGGATGATGGCTTAGGTTACTATCCAGATGGTGTCAAACGTACCCTAACCGACGAGCAAATCGCCATCTTCAGACATTCCGAACTTGAGTCGCTGAACCGCGTTGAAGCTACAGCCGCGAAGCTTAAACAACAGTCTGCAGCCCTATTACAGGCAGCGAAGGATGAAGACGCGTCCGAATTGCACGACGAGTCCATGGCAACTTCGCAGCCTGTGACACAAGGCGAAAATCCCGAGGACACAGAGGTTAAGAAGGGAGATGACGCCCAAGACGGCAGTGAGGATGGGGAAATCGAAGCTGAGCCACCCCAGCTTACGAAGGCCGAAGCTAGGCGTCTAAAGAAACAACGTTCAAAGCGTAAGAAAAACCAGGAGCGAAAATTCAATCCCGAGAAGAAACCTGATCTACGCAAGAGAACGTGGGATGTAGTCGAGGCTGGCATGGATAGTTTAGACTACGATGAACTCGATACAGGTCGGAATGCTTCTTCTACTCCCGCGGCACAGAGGCGTCGGATTTCGTACGATGATTGAGGTTGTTCCTTGCCTAGGCACGAAGGTGGTGTATTCCATGGTCAGATAATATGCTCGTGGATATAAGTCTCAGATACACGCGGTTGTACTGTGCTTATACAGGTTAGTGTCTCATTCTTTACCTCCTTTGTCTTTCGTTTCCGTGATGAGAACCTTTGTATCGTCATCCTTAGTCTAAAGTCTGTGGAGACCATTTGATGCCGGCGTATAGCTGGCGGATAGTTGGTCTCTGAACGGATGCATGTTGAACCCTTAATCTTCTCTCTGAAAGCATCGTATCTGTTTTTTTAATGTAGGAGTTTCAGTGGGGAGATCCTTGCTAATTACTGGTCTTACAATATTTAGCGATGTGCGACAATTCCCAGCCAGTTGGATCTTTGTCAAGGGTGTGCTCGGTCTCGACAAATTAACAATAGGGTCCATGCCTTTCGGAGGTATTGGTAATAAGGAGGGTGTTGAACTACTGCTTACCTAATACATTACTACATCAGCCTCCTATTTGCAAGATGGAGCTATAGGGGGTAGTAATCATCTAGTCATAGCGTACAGTCAACATCTAAATCAGATACTGTACATATTCTGGAACCTGGGATATCGAGTTGCGACTTTTCCAGGCAAACATTGAAGCTCCGAGGCCTTGTTTGATAAGGTTCCTACTGCCGATGTCTCAAAGATTCATGCAGACTCAGGTGACAAAGAACAATAGATAATAGAATTTGCCAACTGTTACATGAATGGAGACTGTTCTTTCTACTTGTCAAATGAATACAAAGGCTCCTTCCGTCTGTCAGGTAGACATTGTATTTCATATTTCGTGATGCACCTTCTATATGCTCTAGGTATCTAGGTACATTCATAAAGTATTTCTAATGTTAACTTTGCAACGAATAACCTTGTGCACAGTTCCGATATCGTAAGTTTGTACTGTCGTAATCGGTTGCCGTAGTTGGACCGGGGTAAAATCCCCACTTCAAAAGCTCTCAGGTGAGACCCGTGCGCCAGCCATTCTAGCCATTCTAGACCGGGTTCTGTCGACATCCCACTTTCAAATATAAATCCCGTCCCACTACAACTACCGCCGACGGATTTGGGAATATCGTCACTACACGCGCATTGCGTGCCGCGTCCCCTTCCTCCCTCCCGAGTCAAATTTTTCTTTGACTCTCGCCGAGTATCTATCAACATAATTCCAGCCTATTTACCTCCCTGTGTCCGGGTTAGGACGCGGAAGTAGGCTGCCCATCATGGCGCGGGTCTATGCGGATGTCAACCAGAACATGCCCAGAAGTTATTGGGATTATGATAGTGTTAATATCAGTGAGTCGCTATTTTTAGATAACCCAAACGATGTCGCACCTTATTGTCGTTGTTTTACACATACCCTTATCGTTCCTATTCCAAAATGTTCCATCTTGCAGACATGTCTAGCAATCGTCTTTTAGCAAACATTAAACGCTGACAACCGTGTGTTACCTAGGCTGGGGCATCCTCGAAAACTACGAGGTTGTTCGTAAGATCGGTACGTTGCGACGCGCTCTAGACCCCCCGAAATCAAATAACTGATCTTGTATCGTCCCGATTAGGCCGTGGAAAATATTCGGAGGTATTCGAGGGTATCAACGTGATTAACTATCAGAAATGCGTCATTAAGGTTCTGAAACCGGTCAAGAAGAAGAAGATTAAGCGTGAAATCAAGATCCTTCAGAACCTTTCCGGCGGTCCCAACATCGTCGCGCTCCTCGATGTCGTCCGAGACAATCAGGTAAGCGACCGCTCATTTACAACCAATATGCGCGCCTAAACCTTGCAATAACATTGCTTTATATTCTCCTCTTCTTATTGCGAGAGGTCGGACCTAATACTGACCATCACATAGAGCAAGACGCCTTCGTTGATCTTCGAGTATGTCAACAATACCGACTTCCGAAGCCTTTACCCTAAGTTCAACGACATTGATGTACGATACTACATCTACGAACTTTTGAAGGCCCTCGATTACTGTCACAGCAAGGGAATTATGCACCGAGACGTAAAACCTCATAACGTTATGATCGATCATGAGAACAGAAAGGTATTTGTTCCGGGTCCTAGGCAAAGAAATTGTTGCTCACGTGCTCATTAGTTGCGTCTCATCGATTGGGGTTTGGCCGAATTCTACCACCCTGGAACCGAGTATAATGTGCGCGTAAGTGTTCCATGAATCCATGGCACTGATTTCTTTCTCATTATCGAAATGCCGGACATTTCTTTATAAATATGAGCTTGTGAAGCCAAATCAGCGTAATATGTATGAAGACCAAAACACTGATGAGATTCTTAGGTTGCCTCTCGCTATTTCAAGGGGCCCGAGTTACTAGTCGATTTCCAGGAGTACGACTACAGTTTAGACATGTGGTCCCTTGGTGCCATGTTCGCATCTATGATCTTCCGCAAAGAGCCTTTCTTCCACGGGAATAGCAATTCAGACCAACTGGTGAAGATTGCTAAGGTCCTCGGCACCGATGACCTTTTCGATTACTTGGATAAGTACGAAATAGAGCTTGACCCTCAGTACGACGACATTCTTGGCCGGTTCGCCAAGAAGCCTTGGCACAGCTTCGTAAACAGCGAGAATCAGCGATTCGTGAGCAATGAAGCTATTGACTTCCTTGACAAGCTTCTTCGCTACGACCACCAGGTTAGTGATATTAACCAACATATTATCGAGGTTTGCTAATGGAAAACTAGGAACGACTTACGGCCAAGGAAGCGATGGCTCACCCGTACTTCGCCCCTATCCGGGACGAAGCTACTCTTACGGAATACCTTAACGGTGCAACCGTGAGCTCCGAGTCTTAATTCTCAAGCCATTACCCACACGAATTATCTAAGATACCCGATAACAAACTGCTCGTCACTGGTCGTTTTCAGTTCTCTTTGGCGACAGCTTAACTATTTCCTCTCACCATTCCCACATTCTTGCGGGGCTACTAAAGTGATACGTTCTTCGCAGCATCGCCGCAAGTTCGTCGTAGTATCTTAGATAGACCTCAAGTCCGTGCATTGTGTTGACGGAAGCAGGATGAATGCAAAAAATTGTAATAAACTACGACTCCGTGAAAACTTGTCCCCAGTCTAGCGTGTCGCGATCGCATCCAGAGGTCTACGGTGCAACGGCCAGGGTCCAGGATCGACGGAACAGCGTGAATTTTCGAGGTGACTTGGCTGGGCTGAGACTGGCGTTCCCGGGCTTTACTTACCGAATTATTAAGGGGGCGTGTGGTGGAATAGGCTTCTACGGGGCATTGCATACGGGATCTTGATTTTTTTATCATGTTTTTAAGTCATGATTTGTTGTCTCCTGGTTTCTTCTTCGTCTCCTTTTTCTAGTGTTGGTGTGGTGGTGGATTCGGTACTGCTAGGTACGGAGGGAGGTATTCGGGTTGCCTTTGATGCGGCGCTAGACTGCCGGGGAGATTAGGTATCGAGCTGGTCTAGGTAGTGGCATGGCAGATGAGCTAATGATTGGCTTTATGTTCTTGCGTTGTGTGTTCTTCGGCTGAGACTTGATTGTTGTGGTTGTGTTTTATGGTCGAGTCTGGGGTGGTGGTGCTTCTGTTTCTAGGTATGTATGGAGGGAGTAGCATGGCTTCTAAGTAGTAACCAAGTATTGTAACTCATAGATATGTTGTCATGTAGCTATTATATGCCCAATATTACTATCCAAACTCATGATCTATTAAAACGATAGGTGGGTTGTTTCCCGGGGGAGAGAAGCTTACGTAATGAGTTCGCGCTGGGCTTAGCTAATCAAAAAGCTGAGGTAAGAGACCTGACATAATCAGAGCTTACCTAACAGCCCTCGATCGATGACATAAACATCTTGTGCAACGCAGAGTCGGCATTCAGGGGCAGCTTACTATCTACCTAGGGGCGCAATGTTACCTATGTTGTGGATATATATACAGTAGTATATTAAGATATTAACTCTAGAATTCTTGCAATACGCCTTCAGAGCTTTGAATCGTAGGCGTTTCCTACTGCTTAGCTCTAACATATATACAGCTCCTAGCTCTGATTTGACTTCCTCTGCTTCTCTTCTATTTCCTTTCCTTCTCTTCTCTTTTATAATCTTCACTTTTCTCCCCATGCTATGCTATGCTATACGATGCTCCTGTTTCCACAGTACCCTCCGCTCCTCCGCCTGCTTACTAATCACTAACTCCCTCCCGCAATAACCATCTACCCAGCAAGATACGCGGTACGCAGCTAAGCCTAGCCACCACCTCACTTACAACAAGTAAAGCAGAAATCCCGATCACACGTAAACCCACCCTCGCCGCACCTCCGCGCCGTTCCACCAGGCGTACGCACGGGACTACTCCCTAGTTCCACGCTCCCTGCTTCGTCCCTGTCCCTAGTCCTACCCCTATTTCCGTTCCCATCTCCGCCATTCCTGCCTCTCTTGGACGGCGTAGCCGTAAGAGCCTCCCGATGATTCAGATTCAGCACCGTGCGCGCTAGCGGCGAGCTCTGCACGCCGGACCCGCCCGAACCGCCGGCGAATCGCCGCTTCGAGGCGCGGGAGTCGGTGGCGGGGGGGACGCCGCGCTTGCTGATGCGGTGGGGGGTGCGGAGCGCGGATCTAGATGTTGATGTGGATCCCGTGAGGAACCCGTGGTGACGGTTGGGTTTGCGGGGTGTGGAGGTTAGGAAGGTGTGGGCGTCGAATCGGGAGTGCGGTTTGGTTGTGGTGTATGAGGAGAGGAAGGGGCTGGGCGCGACGCTTGATGCGAGGACGCTTAGCTCGTCGTCGTCTTCGTCCGGGTCGTCGGGGATGAGGGATGTTAGGGCGTATTTCTTCCTGGCGGACGCGGTTCCGTGGCTTGTTTCGGGTTGTGGGTCCTTTCGCTTCTTTGGTGTGCTGGGGATTGGGGTGGTAGTGCCGGGCTTTGCGGATTGGGAGAGCCGGTGTTTTGAGGGGCTTGGGGATTTCGATGGGCTGGCGCTACTCCTGCCTTGGATGATCTTTGTGCGAGGTTCTCTTCGGCTTACTTGTGGTCTCAGGGCTAGCTCGGCTTTCTCGAATAGTCCAGGGACCTTGGATTGGTGGGATATAATTGGGAGTCGAGCTGGCGGAAGTGTAGGCTCGTCCTCTTCCGGCAAGCTCAGTGGATCCGAGTCTTCTGTGAGACTCGGCCGGCTTGGTGTACTCTTAAGAGGCATCTCTTCCTCTGTCGATTCTGTCTCGGCAATTTCAGACTCTGCGATCTCTGGCTCGGGAAACAGATTTTCTTCCGGGACGGGGTCGGGTAGATGAGCAGTGGCTTCTTCTAATTGGATTTGGGTAGTTGGACTCTGGGGTGTTTCTTGATGATCATTCAATATAATACTGGCTTCGGGTGCTTCTTCTATAACGGCTGGTATCTCTTTGTCTGTAGGACAGGAGGGCGTGGTTTCTATGTTGGCCTCGATAGCGGCACCCTCTATGGTAAGACCTTCCAAATCGCCTTCATGGACGTTTGGCTGAATAGAATCTGTATCCTGGACTGTGTCCTCCAATGGATAGACCAAGGGTTCTTCATTTGTGGGGTCTATAGGCTGTTCAGTCTCATCGGGAGACACCTCTTTGTCTTGTGAAGAAGTTAACACTTCATCGATACGAGGACCACCTATTGAGAACAAAGAATCTGATTGCTCTAAGCTCTCAATTATTTTTGGAGGACTAAGTAGAGTGCTTTGTGGTATTTCACCTTCACCTAAATCACCAGTATTCACTGGTGACTCTTCGTGGTATTCTTGATTTGGGATGGCAACGTGGGTCTTATCAGAAAACTCTTTTTTCCCGACCTCTTCAGGCCGGGCATCTGAGTCAAACTCCATGATTTCTTGCTGGGGAAATTGCTCGGGTCTCACATGGTCAGGAGATCGATTTGTTTCTATGGGTGGTGAATTAGGAGGTTCATCAACCAAATCTTCCTTAACATATTGTGCATCAGCCCCGCTTGCATTTGATTTCGGTGATTTCGTCCATGTGATTTGGCCGTAGAATTCTGTCTTTTTACGACCACGTGAAGACCTCCGTCGCTGGGAATCGACAGGTTGTGTGTCTCCTTCGGTTGCTACTTCAGTCAATACCTCAGTTACTAACTCTGCCTCCGTCAGCTCGGTGCCAATTTTTCTCTTGAGAATATGCTCTTCAGATGGTGGAGACGGTAGTGTTGGTGTAACTATTGAGTTATTTGTAGGCTCTGTTGAATTCGATATCCCAGTTCTGATATTAGCTTCGATATTTTCCCCATGTTTCTCATTTGCCTCATTATTGGAGTCTGGTGGTTTTGCAGGCACGGCTACTTTCTTCGGCCGGCCCCGACGTGACTTTGGAGTATCTTTCTCTTTTTTAGCAGTAGAGGTGGGTTTGGCATCCTTCTGAGTCATTTGTTTCGTTTTCTCAGCCGCCGCAATTGATGGCAAAGCCTTGATGCTTTTTATAGACACACTCTTAACAACCTCTTCCGTGTTGCTACCCAGTAGAACATCATCCTCTCCAGAGTCATCCGCGTCTGATGGCACACGAGGTAAAAGCTGCCGGGCTGGAGCCTTCGTGGGAGGAAGTTTCTTCGGCACCTGTGGGCTAAAAACATCACCGAAGGTTCCATGGCCAAAGCCTCCTGGAGCCAACATCGGGCCATAACCGTAGCCAAAGGAAGGCGGGTAACCCATGGATTGACCTATGAAGCCGAACCTATCCTGATAAAGGGGGATAGGTAAATCCGGAGTTTGCCAGAGTGGGTCAGCCGGTCCGTGTCCCATGAATGGGTCCATGAACCCGTACGGGTTTGGAGGTATCGCAGGTGATGAATACTGGTATGCCATTACTTGTTGACTTGGTCCGGCAGGAAATCCTAAAGGGGGATGCGGGTGCGTGGATGAAGTACTCTGTACGGAAGACTTGGTATGCGATGCTTCAACTGATTTGGTCTCCTTCCCTCTCATGATCCTTTCCTCTTCGTTACTTGAGATGGAACCCTCCCGATTACGATCCTTTTCATCCTCTAGAGATAGAAGATGCCCATTGTTGACAATCACTTCACCGGTCTCGAGATCAATCTCGTCGCCAACGTCGGTAAAATCCCTCTCATACTTTTCGAAAATACGTTCAAAGGCTGATTTGAGTCTCGAAGCAGCCTTAGCCCTACCCTTATCAAGTTCGTAAAGAGGATCCTGTCTAGCATCAAATTGGGTTGGATCCATGGATAATTCATCGAGATTTGCCTCATCGTCATCATTATCGTCGTAAGGGGATTGCCCGAGTCTCATTCTCTTTGCAGGGGGTTCCATGGTTTCGGTCGTCTTTCCATCATTACAATCGAATCTGCTCGAAAATAGATGAAAAGTTTTCAGTTGCTCAGAATGAAGCAGTTCAATGAATTTTTGACTGGAAATGAATGAGACAAATATGAAAAAGACCTTGTTGTCATTGAATGTCAATTGCTTTGATATTGTGAACGCGTCAATAAACGCGACCTTATCTTATCAAAGCAATTAACCTTTAGCATTTTCGATACGTGGAAGAGACTCCGCATAAAGTATTCTTCCTGCCATTTTAGCCTAAAAGGTACAGCATTGTAGATGGAAGGGGAGTACCTAGAAATTACCCGCTAGATCCTTGCCCCACTAAGCAGTCTAGGATCAGCTGATGACGTACTGAACACACGCATAATTCGACGTCGGAACTTTCGCTAACTTCTACTTTTACTTCACTTCAACAACTCAACAATAACAACATCAGTATGGAACTGACCACAATAATACTATTACCAAAGCCACGATGTATTGCCAAAAGTGTCGTGCACCACTTAAGCTAGACAGCTCATTAGCAGATCTAAATCCAGCTGCATTCGAACTGCTTGCTGGTTGGTATCTTCTGTGAATATCAAATCGTCGCATTTAGCTAATTATTCATAGCTTCGTCTTCTCAAAAGCAACCTAAGAGACAGCTGTCATCCCGTCTAACCTACCCAAATGATTCCGAGCGAAGAGCCCTATATGATAGGGTATCTAAAGATACAGGCCCTGCTACTTTTAAGAGAAATGGTAGCGCCTTGCGTAACGATGGCCAACCTCGCGATAGCTCGGCCATGTCTTTCGTCCTCCTAACCGAGTCTCAAGTAGCTCCACCGAGACTTACACCTCCAATAGAACAACCAAATCAGAAACAACAACGTCGAATATCCATGTCTAATGGGCAACGTAATGATGGGAAACCGGCGCAACCCCACGAAGCCGAACGTATCAATAAGCTCTTCGAAATATTATCTGCGCGATCCGATATCGATCATCCCATTTGTGTTGAATGTACGGAAATGCTGGTGGATGGACTTCAAAAGAAATTAGAATCTACGGCACGGGAACGAGATGCATATGCGGCATTCTTAAAGCAAGTCCAGGCCGATGTGCCGAGCGAAGAGGATATTGCCGAATCCGAACAGGCTTTAGAAAAGGCACGGAATGAAGAAGAAGAATCAATGAAACAACTCGAGGCCCTAGAGAAAGAAAAGGCGGCTCTTGATTTAGAAATCGCAGCTCTGGAAGAGGAATCGGCGGCACTAGATACTGAAGAAGAACAGTTCTGGAGAGAACGCAACGCATTTACGACGAAACTTACAGAGTTCCAGAACGAAAGAGATAGCATAAACTCCAAATTCGACCACGACTCTCAACTCCTAACTAAGCTTCAGCGAGCGAATGTTTATAACGATACATTCTCGATACATCACGACGGTCACTTCGCGACAATCAACGGTCTCAGGCTAGGTAGATTATCGTCGAAACCCGTGGACTGGCCGGAAATAAATGCTGCCTGGGGACAGGCATTATTATTAGTCGTCACTGTTGCTGATAAGCTGGGATATAAATTTGATAGCTACGAGCCACTCCCTATGGGCTCGACATCGAAGATCATTCGATATGATTATCAATCTCCGTCATCTAGTCGGTTAGGCGGCCATCGAAGCGGTCCCCCGCCAGCACCTAAGAAGACTGTTCTGGAGCTCTTTTGCTCCGGCGACCTTCCACTGCAAATGTTATTTAATAGGAAGTTTGACCAAGGGATGGTTGCCTTCTTAGAGTTAGTGAGACAACTGGGAGCCTTCGTCCACCAACAGACGAAAAATAGCGAGCAGGGCGGCTACGCAACGACCCCGCTAGCGCTCCCCTATAAGATCGAAGGAGACAAGATCGGGGATGATAGGATAGGTCATTTCAGCATCAAATTAGGGATGAACACGGACGAAAGTTGGACCAAAGCGTGCAAGTTTGCGCTCACGTGCTGCAAGTTTCTGATCGCGCACGCAAGTAACGTTAGCCATGTCACTAATGGTCGTTGAGCCCTATCGGCATTTAGGTATTAGGTCATCAGCATGGTGTCAGGCGTTTCTCGAGGTCGGCAGGACGTATTATACCACTGGCTAGTTTGTTATACAGCCTTCAAAGTGTGAGATTATTAGCTATCAGGAGTAGTGCACCTACTTGGGTGAGGTTAGGGACCCTTGACTTTCTTGCGCCCTTGAGGTGTATAGGGACCAATGTATTATCTGTTAGTTTTATACACGAGACGTGATAGATTATCGCGACGTCCCAGACTCTTCATAAAGAATAAGTAAGCTTATTCATCGACACGGAATCAATCCTGCTCCCCCTACAGAGCCTGAACTATGGGTCAAATACATAATAATATGAGGTGAACTTTGTCTGGTCCTATTATCGGCTAGCGGCTCCCCCTTCCGAAGAGGGCACCTCTGCCATTCATCACGAAGCACCCGGGAGTTATCGAATGACTAACAAGACAGCTAATGCTGCATTTGCACTTCGAGATATTAAGAATGTATTCCATCTGTCTAAACTTGTTAGAGTTGACTAGCAACAGTCTATCCGATAGGCGTTAGGGCTACATTAGGTCCTAAGCACTAGACAATCTTATATCGGTTTCTCTGGTATACATTGACATGTCCTTCTGATCAAATAGCTTCCAGTAAGATCAAATGCTTTTGACCAAAAATTTCTAGTTGATGCCAATATAGACTTAAAACCAGTTCCCGCGTGACATTTTATAACCGGCCATCCTTGATCCACTTCTTTACTTCCTTCTGAGTGAGCATCCTACCATCCTCATACAAGTCGTAAAAGCCGCATGCCCCAACCCTACAAACGAGGTGTAATTGCCCCCAGGGCTTGCCATCCCCCCCGGTTGATATCTGCAGTCTGCATGGGTTTCCACAGTCACAGGGTGGATTGTCCTCATTGATCCCACGATCATCAGCAAACGTCAGGAAGTCCGGGCAAAAGCGGCATTTGAAATACGGCCTATCCTCATTTTCGTTGGGGTTGTCTGGTGCGCATCTCAATACTGAACAGACTTGTTTGTGTTCGCATTTAGGGCAACGCATTAAGTAGTCTCCATTCGACTCTTCGAACTGTGAAAATAATGAAGAAACGGTAGTGCCCTTCGTATATCAGTAAACGTAAAATGGAAAATAATACAAGTTCATGATAACTTACTGCCATGGTGATTCAATGGTTACAAGTGCGTGGGAATGCTGAGCTGGAAATTGAGTTGTCTGGAGAGGAATCGAACATCAACATCGGGAGCAGGGCGTAGTCCTGCATTTATACACGGATACTCTAAACTTTGACTGACCAAATGGGTGGGGGAGGTAACAGGGGGTGTGTTCCCGTAGAGGCTTTCCCGGTTCTTTATGTCGTGAAACACTCCATCTTGACTGACCGGTGAGCACGAACGGACCCGACGCCAGCTAATACCGGCTGCAGTCGTTATTATGGATCATATTTCGGAGATGTGCATATTAAGTACTCCACGGAGAGAGCCAATCAATGAGAGAGGATGTTAAAGATCTATCATAAATTCCAGGTGGCTGAATTAAAAACAGGGAAGTACAGGAACGGTCAGATCTCATGATTCTCACTACCCCATTTTGACTGGTCTTAATGATTCCCAGGCCTCGTTTCTTTATTCAGTACCCAAACATGTCTCACCATTGAGATATCATGCTTTTTGCTCGTCAGGTTCTGTATGATCGATCGGCGCTTGCTCCGGTTTCTCTTCTTCATCCCAATCATCCGTTGACATTTGCTCCTCCAGCCCCTCATCGTCATCATCCGATTCATCGGTTGATGTGTAGTCTTCCGGGTCCTCATAGTCTTCCGGATCCTCGTAGTCTTCTGGATCCTCGTAGTCTTCCGGATGGTCGTAGTCTTTCGGATGGTCGTAATCTTCCGGATCCTCTTCTCCATCCCAACCATCGTACATATCTACGTAGTCCCGTAGATCCTCGATTTCCTCCCAATTAAAGTAATCGCACTCTCCAGTCAGGCAAATGAAAAATGCTCTTCCAGACTGTCTTGAACCCGATCCGGCCACACTTCTTCTGCTGGGAAATCCACAATGGCAATTGCGATTCGAATCGTCGTAGCCATCTTCATCAGCGAATGAAATAAACTTGGGGCAAGTTGGACAATAGAAATAGGGCCGTCCTGCGTTTCCATTGGGGTTTGACCAGCTGGTTATCTTGATAATGCTGGTTGTACGACAGGAACGGCATTTCGGAGCGAGCGCGGCAAGGTCTTCAAGAGAGTTCTATAAATATATCACGTTAGAAGAATCTAGAAAGCGATCCGATTACGAATTACTTGCCGACATGATTTCGGTACGCAAGAGGGCGATATTCAAGCTCTTGGCGACTCTTGTGACTTTTGTCAGATAGCCATGATCGATAATAAAGAGGCAGAGTGATCTTATTTTGAAGATTAATATTTCTTGTCGGGTTAGCGCGGTAGAAAATAACTTGGTACCTGGGTAAGTACGAGGGGTCGCTGTCTAGGACGAGTATGAACGGATTTCTGTCCTGACTTGCTATGGCTGGACCACAGTGTGTATCATCAGCTACCTACACTTGGTGACTACAGTGGCTGCTCTTTATCTACTACTAGCCTGGTATGTAGACGCCTCAACTTTCTTTCACTAAAACCCCATGATATGACTGGCAGGGTTGAAATGTGCACATCCGACGCTGCAAACATCGACTGCATATGTATCATGTAGGGGTACCAAATAGGTACTTATGGAAACCGAATCGGCTCAAATTACAGTTAACAAATTTACCAATCGCAATTTCGAAAGTCTTCTAGCCTTGGCCTGTAGTGTCAGGTCCTACACTCCAGGACTTTGCTGCTAGGTAGGTGGACATATCAAAGCTTCGTGTCTTGTACTGTTCAAGTCTTTTACTAGGTAATAATAATTTAGATATCTAGTAGGTACCTAGTTAAAATAGCCATGCGATTTCCATCTTAATCACTAGGTACGAAGATATCTACATACACAATCAGCCCATTTTCCGACCTCTTGAGTCATTCATATTACTATATCATCTTATTGGCAATTTACATTTATTCCTCAAGTTTCCATGTGTCAACGGGAACAAATATTCCTTCCCCCGATTTTTACTCCTATTCACACATTCTGGTTCCCTTAGGCACAACACCAAAATCCTAGGGAATAGAAAACTTTCGGATGACTCGATTACTATTCTAATACCATATCTGCTATGTGTCTACCTATCTCAACCTCAAATAGCTTTATTTCTTAGTTGAATCACCTACATCCGGCTAGATGTCGCGTGATAATATATTGTGTACACGCTCTCGGGGTCCTAAATTATCAGAGAGGACTTGGCTTGAACCGCGGGTAGTGAATAAAACCTTAAACTTCCGCCCCACGCTCTGGGCACGCAATGTTTCCAACAGCGACTCAAGGTATGGGATGGTGTCGTCGTTCTCTATCTTATCTAGGCCATCGATGACGCAGACAAGGAACGGTGGAATGTATGTTAGCAGGCTAGCGATCATATCCAGCGCCGGATCGACGCTCGCGATGGTCCCATTGAGTCTTTGAAAGTGCCACGAACTCAAAGTTCCCGGGCGTTCGAATTTTGTGGGGATTTGTGTGATGAGCTGTAAGATCAAAGAGTTGACAAGATTCACGATAGGAGGTGTAGGTCGACGTGTAGAAGGTTCGGGATCCATGTCAGGACCATCATTCATAGAGAAAATAGCCACCGGAATTCCCACTTCATAAGCAATGCCACAGATTTGGATACCTACTCTTGGGAGTGCCATGTGTTGAGCGTCATAAATGCTCTTGTCTTTAGCCCACATGAAGTGAGATTTGCCAGACAAAATCCATTTTTCGATATTGGAGTGGAATTCCGGCGAAATATTGGCGGGAAAAGGGGTAAATGCTGGAATATTAGGTGGCTGGAAGTTTATGCCTTGTACTTAAAGGGTATATATGTATTATTTACGAATTATTATTTAGAATTAATAACTTAATTAATTAATTAATATATATAATATTTATAACTTGTATTTATTTTAATAAGTTATAAGTTTAAAAGTTTTTAATTATTAATTAAAAATTTTTATTATTATAATAAAATTTTCGAATTAATAAAAAAATATAAATATAAAATATTAAAAAATAATTATTATAATTTTTATTACGTAAAAAATTCGAAAAAATATAAATTATTATTATATTTATTAAATATTTATATAATATTTAAAGGAAATTTACGATAATTTTATTATAATATAATATATTAAAACGTTAATAAGTTTTAAAATTTAATTAATTCGTTTAAAAAATATTATTACGTTTAAATTTTATTTATTATTTATAAAATTACATTAAAAAATAAATTAATATTACGTAAGTAATTAATAAATAATTAATAAAAAATTTTATACGTATTAATTAGTTTAATTTTTTTTTAACGCGTTATTAAATTTTAATAAAACTTTAAATTTATTCGCGTATTTTATTAAATGTATTTTTTTTATATTTACTTTTTTTATATTATGTAATATTATTTTATATTTATTCGGCGTTATATAATTTTATATTTATTCGGCGTTATATTATTTAATATATAATTAACGTTATAACTTAAATTTTTATAAAATATTATTATTAAAATTATTATTTAATATGTTTTTTTTTTTTATTAACGTATTCGAAATAATTAATATTTAATAAAAATAAATAATTATTTAACGTAAATATCGATTTAAACGACGATACGACGAAAAACCGTTTTAAACCCCGAATATAAAAAAATTAATTTAATGTAAAAATAACGATATATACGATAAATATTTTTAAAAAAATAATTTAAAAAAATAAAATAATATTAAAATAATACCGGTTATTTTTTTCGTTATTTTATTATAAAATCGTAATGGTTATTATTAAAATAAATTTCGAATATATATATTTTTAAGTTATTTATTTCGTAAATCGAATTAACGTTTAAATTAATTATATATAAAATTAAATAAACTTAAAAATAATTTAAATTAATTTATAATAAAAAAAAGTTTTAATTATTCCCGTGGTTTTAATTATTTTTATCGTGGTTATAATTATTTTTATAATTTTATTTATTTTCGTAATTATTTTCGTTTATATTTATTAAATTTTATTTTATTTTATTTTTAACGTGGTTTTTATATAAATAACGATTAATTACGAAAAAAAATGATTAATTTTAATATATTTTTAATAATATTTAATAATAATTAATAAAAGTTTTTATTTAAAGAGAAAAATTTTATTATAAAAAAAAAATTCGACGCCGTATTAACCGTAAATATAATAATATTATATCCGCGGTATAAAAAACGGTAATTTAACGTTAAATTAAAACTAAATAATATTTATATTAAATATTATAATAAAAATAATTAAAAAAACGAAAATAAACTTTTTTATTATTTTACGAGTAATAATTTTAATTTTAACGATATTTTCGAATTTTTTTTTAAATTAAAAATATTTAAAAAGTTTTTAATTATAAAAGTTTATATTAATATAAACGTTTATATTATACGCGGTTAATAATATAAATATTACGATTATATTATATATTTTTTACGTAATATAAATAAAGTTTATATTAAATTATTTTTATTATTAAAAAATTTAAATATTATAATTTTTCGTTTATTAAGAAAATAACGAATAAAAAAAATAAAGCGATAATTTCGTTATTATTTTTATATTTAAAAAAAACTCGTTATAATATAATTACGATTTTTAACGGCGAATTATTTAAATTATTACGAATTTTATTTAAACGAAAATAACTTTTTTTAATTTTTTAAAAATAATTACGTTTTTAATTTTTTAATAATTTATAAATTTAAAAATATTAACGATATTTTTACGAATGTCGGCCCCGTTTAAAAAAAATTAAAAGAAAATATAAAAATTATTAATAAAACGGTAATTTTTAATATTTTAATAAATAATTTCGAATTTAATTAATTTCGGAATTATATTAATTTTATAATTACGTTATAAAATGAAAAAATTCTTTTACGTTATTATAATTTTCGAAATATTTATTAATTATTAATGCCGTTTATAAAGTATATATTTTTAAACGAATTTAATTAAAATTATATTTTATTATTTTTTTTATATTTAATATTTTTTTTTTATAATGTTATTAATTTTATAAAATTACGTTAACGTAAAATTTTTTATTAAAATTATATTTAATATATTATAAAATAAAATAATAAACGTTTTATTTATTATTATAATTTTAAATATATTATTTTAAATATTTTAATAAAATAATAAATTAAGTTTAATAATAAATATATAATTTATAAAAAACGAGATGTTTTTTTTATTAAAAATAATTTAAAAACGGCTTTAAAAAACCTGGAAGTTTTTAAAGTATAAATAATATTTAATTATATTTTTAAATACGCGAACGTTTTAAAAAGTACGCGTTTTTTTTAATATTAACGTTAAAAAAAGTTAAAAACTTTTACGTATTATTTCGACGCGTTATTAACGTTTATTATATTTAATTTTATTAATTTATATTAACGGAGTTTTTATTAATATATATTAAAATTTAAACGGTGGAAAATTTTAAATAAATTAACGCGAATAGTTTTATTTCGTAAATTTTTAAGAAAAAATTTATATATAATAATATAATATTTTTATTTAAAATTTTTATTATTTAAAAATATCGTTTTAAAAGAAAAATACGGCGTAAAAAATTATTAAAATCGATATAAATAATAAAATTACGGTAATTTTTATAATTATAATTTTTATTAATTTATTAATAATTTTAAATTTAATATAAAAATCGAAAAATTAAAAACGTTATTTATAAAATTATAAAATTATTATATTAATGTTATTAATTTAAATTTAAATTTAATTAAATAAAGTAATAAAAGAAATTTTTTAAACGTTAATTTTTTAAATATTAAAGTTACTTAAAAATAATTAAATAATATCGTTAATTAATATTAACGGTATTATTATTTTTTTAAATATTATTTAAAAATTAATAAAAAAAAACTCGATAAAATTAAAGAAAAAAAAGAGTTTAATTTTATTTTAAAATGCCGATTTTTTTTTTTATATAATTTTTAAAAAATCGTTAATATAATTAAATAATAAAATAAAACTTAATAAATTTTTTAAATTAAACGTAATAATTATTATTTAAATTAATTTTATAAGTTAATATTATTTTATTAATTTAATAATATAAATATTTCGTTTTATACGTGCGTATAAATTATTATTAATTATACGGTAAAATATTATAATAAAACCGAAATTTTATCGATTATATTAATCGAATTTATAAAAACACTTTTTTTATTTATTTTAAATAAAAATTTAATATTTTTATTCGTTTTTAAACTTATAAATAAACTTATTAAAAAACGGGATTATTTCGTTTAAAAAATATGTTATTTATTATTAAGTTTTTTTTTATAAAAAAATAATTACGTTATACGATTTATAAATTATTACTTTTTTAACGCGTATTTTTATTTATTTAATATTAAAATTAACGATAACGTAAATAAAACATTTATAAATTATAAAAAGTATTTTTTTCGTTCGTTAATTATAAAATAAATTACGTATTTTAAGTTTTTAAAATTTTAAAATTTTAAAGCTTAAAATTTAAAACGATAATTAATATAATAAATTTTAACACGGCCGCGTATATTAATATATTTTTTACGGTATAAATTAATTATTATTTATCGATAATTCGAAAATTTTTATTACGTTAAGTTTATATTTAATTATTTTTACCGTTATTATCGTAAATTATTACGAATTAATAATTTAAAATTATTAATTTATAAATATATTTATTCGCGTTATTAAAATTTTTATAATTATTTTAATAATTATTATAATAATTTTAACGAAAAAAAAAAAACTCTCGTAAAGGAAAAATTTAAACGTTTAAATAAAAACGTAAAAAATATTACGTTAAAAAATTAACACGAAATTATTTAATTAATCCTCGAATTTTAAATATAATAAAAACTTGTTAATTTTTTTAATTATAAAAATATTAACTTTAATTATAATTAAATACCGTATATTAAACGATATTTATATATATTTTTAAATAATAATAATTATTAAAAAAAGTTACGTTAAAATATATTAAATAATTATAACGTTAAATATATGCCGTTAAAAACGTAAAATACGTTAAATTATTAATAATGTTTTATTTATAATATAATAATAAAGTATTATTAAAAAAGTTAAAAAAATAATGTAATATTTATATCGTTTCGTTTTTAAATCGATAAAAATAAAAATACCGGTAAATTTTATATAATAAAAGTTTTTTTTACTTATTTTTAAATTATTATTATAAGTTCGAAATTTTTTATTATAAAATTAACGTTTATAAATGTTATAAATAATTAAATAAAAAAACAAGAGGTCCCCGTGCCGGGAACACACATCCCGAGCTCCAAGCTTGCCAATTGGCTTAAAAAGCCGCTTTGACCACCTCAGAAGCCGCTAAATCACTCTAGCGCCGCGCTAGCTACAGTTATTGGAGCATTTTATTGGATGCATCCTCCAGCGCTCAGTGCTTTGATTGGGTGCATCCTCTAGTCTCTGATTATGTAATCCTTTCTTTAATCGCTATAGCTGTTGAAAAACTGATTAAGTAATCGATCAG